CTTCTTTGGCGATCTTATTGTACCATACGTCCGTAATTCTTTCAAAAAGCTCACGAATACCCTTAGGTGGTGTCTCATACTCATTAAGTTTTCTTTTTGTTAGAGCCCACATATGTTCAATAGGATTAAGGTCTGGAGACTGTGATGGCCAATCAAGAACTTCGTATTCCTGGCTTTTCAAGTATTCTTTGATTGGAATTGACCTATGTTTTGAATCGTTATCATGCTGGAAGACGATTTGGTCTCTCCTTAATCCTGTTTGCTTGCACACCATTTCGATAGATTTCTCTAATTCGTCTTGAAGGATTTCCTTATAAAGCTCTCCGTCCATAGTAGAGTCTATTTTGCACATCCAGCCAACTCCGACGCAGGTAATACAACTCCAAATCATGATTGAACCACCTCCATGTTTATAATTCTGCTTAATATGACGCATTTGAAGACTTTCATTGTCCCTTATCCAAGCCCAGACACGTCCATCGGAGTTAAAACGATTAATTTTGGTCTCGTCAGACCAAATAACCCTTCTCCAATCATCGACTGTGTAGTCTTTATACTTCTTTGCCCATCTAAGTCGTTCTTTAATATTTGTGGGACTAAGTGCAGGTTTCGCTTCCTTCTCTATAGAACCCAGACCGAGTGATTTTAAAGCGCGACGAACTGTCTCCAATGAGACTGACTTGCCTAACTCCGATCTAATTGAATTTCCGACTTGCACAGCGTTTTCTAAACCTCCTCTAGTTATTTTATGAACACAGTAGTGCTTGTCCCTCTCCGTGAGCTTACCAGGTCGTCCCCCTTTTGACAAGCTGCGCCCAGATAAATATGTTTTTCCGATGCGACACACCGAACTCCGACTCACGCCAATCTGCTCAGCCACTTGACGCACAGAAAGTCCGCTGTTGAGCTTGGCAATAATGTCATTTCTTTGGTTTTCACTTATGGAGCGCATACTAACAATATGGCCTCAAGATTTAGTCCCCAAAATTATAGAATATTCTAGAACTTACCTTAATTATACTGTGGAAGGTACAAAGAAATACTACGATTGCTACTATATGCTAGGCTGAAGTTACTGCCAAATTGTGGGACAGATTTTATTTTTATAGGTACGGCCACAAAACTGTCCCAATGCATATTCAATTTTTTATTTAATATTTTACGCTGAGTTTTAAATTATATTACTATTTTTGGTAATGACTTGATAGAGAATTACTTAGGCTATCGAATGATATCTTCGGTATCTTTCTAGCATGATTACAAAAGAAGAACGGGTCAGTTAAAGAGAAAAGTGCAAAACATTGGGACAGTTTTATGAGTCACTGTATTTCTTATAAAATGTCAAACTCTCTCCAAATTATTATGGATGAACACTGCTACAAGCATATGAACAATGCCGGCGCAGATTCAAATCCCAATAGCCATTTCTTAGAAGCTTTTGCTGGTTTCCAATATGAAAATTTTAGCGAAAACAACAACGCTCAACGTGGTCAGGTGCGCAACGATTTTGTCGAATCAGTCCAAATGGATTGCGTTTCCTCTAACAAAGATGGGCCGCATAACGATGTGCAACAGCTTTTTACCTTATCCAACTTTAAGCCTGAGACTGTCGAACCTAACACTGGTATCTCTGCTTCAAAAACAGCCGGCCACAAAACAACTACTACTGCTACTACTAAAAAGTTACCTTTCGGAATGATACCTAGAGCTGATCAAATAATCAAGCGTCAATATCGCAAGTACACCGAACAACAGGTAATGCCATTATGCATTCTAATACTTTTCATAAAAAAGACTGACAGATTCCCTTTTCAATTACTAGATTAATAATCTCTTTCGCTTGGTGTTTCAAGAACATATGTTTGCCTCAGAGGCTGCCAGAGAAACAGGAATTGTAGTTCGCACTGCGCAAGATTATGTTCGCAAAGCCCGTTTGCTTATTGAGGAAAGGAGACTGACAGAATGCATGGAGGTCGATACTGACGAGGAGATTGTTGTTACAGAGCCTGCCAAGCCTAAGGAACGAAAGTATGGAAACCAAAAGCTTTTTGAGGAACATTCCATCTTTTTTTTAGAATTCTATGAGAAGCATGCAGATGCTACATTGAATGAAGCAAGAAAAGCTGTGATGGATAGTTTTCCTGGTTTAGAGATTACTGTCTCGGCAATTTCAAAGCATTTGACCAAGCGTTGCGGTCTTACAATGAAGAAACTAGAGAAACTTCCTGCCGCTCGCAATGAGCTTTCCACTTTGGAGAAGAGAAAAGAGAAGATCTTGAAGTGGATGGGGATGTCTGATTTTGATTACCTCAGAAGCTGTGTGTTTATTGACGAGGCAGGCTTCAATTTGCATATAAAGAGAACCTTTGGACGTTCTTTGCGTGGGACTCCTGCTAAAACAATAGTTTCCGCGCAACGTGGTGTGTTTATTAGTATCATTGGTGCGATGTGCGAATTGGGAATTGTCAATTTGATGGTGCGTAAGCCTACAGCAGTAGCTTCCAAGAAAAGAAAGCTCGAGTTGGCTGAATCTGGTGTTGAAATTGTGAACGGTCGTATTGGTACTAGAACAAGTCATTATATGCAATTTTTGGAAAAAACAATGGATGCACTGGATGAAAATGATCTGAATGGCCGCTATTTAGTTATGGACAACGCTCCCATTCATAAAAGTACTGAAGTCCAAGAATTAATTTCTCGTCGTGGCTATAAATGCATGTACCTTCCAGTATACTCCCCTTTCCTGAATCCGATTGAAGAAATGTGGTCCAAGATCAAGCTGAATATTCGGAGAGGGGAAGTTACTGAGAAGGATACTTTGATTCCACGAATCAGCGAAGCTGCTAGGAAAGTTACCGTTTCCAATTGCGAAGGTTGGATTAGACATTCCATATCGTTTTTTGATAGGTGTTTAAACATGGAGTCAATGTTGTAGCTTTATATCCCCTTTCCTCCTTTAATTAGCCTTGTAGTTTGAAATATATTATGAAAAAAGATTAAATAAAAGCAATATACACTTGTGCATTCTGTAATTTGCGGTTTTCCAATGATGCACAATTAGTGTCAACCAACGCAAAGTTGGATGGCAAAGGCTGCAAACTGAGCTTCAATAGCGCAAACCTAAACTTCAAAGGCCGCCAAATAAATGGAAAAAACCAGTATTACTGTGTTCTATTTTTAGCCGTTTCAATTTAATGATATGAAGAAAAAAGAAAAAAACTGAAATTTTAGAGAACATTGAAACCATTTTTTGAGTTGGTGTACAACCTTTGTATTATTTTGTCTTTAATAAACTATACAGATGTTTCATAGTCTTGTCTTTTGTCTTTATATTCTTTTTCTTTTTCTTTATCTTTTTGTCAACTGAAGTAATATTGAAGTCACACGTAGTTGATATTGTTGTGATATTAAATCTTTTATAATTTCTGTCAAACATTATTACTCTGCTCTAGTGATAATTGACACTTTCTCCAGATAGATTGACAGCTATCCTGCAGCTTTCCAAAGCGCATCATTTACATGTCTTTCACTATTCAAATGAGTCTGCCAATATCAAAAAAAAATCTTTAGTAGTCTCTTGCGATAATGGCCGTCATTTCAATGCTGAAGGACCAAAAGTGACGATGATTACCAATTATAGTGTTAAATTGAATTTTGAAGTTCCTTGCTGACATCAAGAACAAGGCAAAGTGGAATGAGCTAATGGCAAACTCAAATCAATCCTGAAAAAGTATTGCCTTGTTTGTAAAGAGGAGTGAGACAAATGGCTTCTGGCAGCCATTATAGAGTAAGCTTTGGAAATAAGTATGAGTAATATTATAAATGATGAATTGCATAATACAGGATAAACTATAAACCTAAACATATAATAAGAAATTGTATCATTTCTAAATATTTATTTTTATAACGTTGATAAAGGATTCAGGTCGTCTTTGATCCATCCAATAAAATAAAAATGTAAAAGACATCAGGAACCCATACTCAGATTGAATAATAAATTTTTTATTTAAAACTTAATCAGATCATTATAACACCCAATAGGTAATCCATAGATCAATCTCTTGAGTCAACAAGACTTGTATATCTGAATACTTATACTGTTTCATGACTCATGTTCTTTGATGGTTATTTTTATTTCTTTGATTCAGGAATCATTAGTATAAATATAAGCAGTTGTTTAGGCACGATATAATCTTTAATCTTTAATTCTTTTTATTATTATTATTCTTTTACATTGAATAAAAAGTGTCAAATTATAATCCTTTCTCGCCTTCTTTCTTTCGTTCTTTTTTATCTTTTATAATATTACAATCTATACCATCACATTTTGCTTAAAGATCAGCAACAGAAATCTTGTAATAAAAAATGCATGGTTATATTTGTATATGTCTATACTATTCTCATATTATTATTTATATTATGAATTAAGACTTCATAACAAAATGCAATTACATTTCGTACCTAGTAAAAGCCTTTATTTAATGGTAATATATTCCAATTTGATATATATGCATTTTTTTTTTTTTTTTTTTTTTTTTTTTTTTTTTTAGTGACGATACATAGGGTTTTTATCATCAGGAGGACCATAATTACCATAACCACTAGAGTGCGACTGATAACGAGAGAAATCATTATTACCACCATCTTGAGAGTATTGTGACTGATTAGAACGGCCATACTGAGAAGCAAATTGATCATTATACTCTTGATGGTGGAAATGCTGATTACTAGCAGGGGAATAACTAGAGGCATTACCAATACTACTAATACCAGCAGCTCCTCCGCCTTGAGGCGGATTATAAGGTGTTTCTTCCTTTGGACGACCACCATATATAGGCTTCTGAGTTTCACGTTGGTCAAGAGGTTCACCGAAGGGTTCAATAATCCATTGTTGATTATCATTATCATTCTCCTTTCGCTTATACAAAATAACCTTGGTACCTTCCTTGCTTCCACCACCCTATACATATAATTTAAGTACCAATATTTTAAATATATACAAATATGAACATTTTTTTTTCTTTTTTTTTTTTTTTACCTTAATATCTAAAACAAGACGAGGATCAGCTAAGCAGTAAATATAACCATCGCGGTAACCCCACCTTTGATTATGAGCCCTAAAAAAAAAAAAGAAAAAGTTATAAACAAATGTATAAATTGAATTAAAGCAACATACATGGTCATTTTACGATCATATTGAACAATAGGCTTATCAGATTTGAGATCACCACCACGAATATCCATAACTAAATATAATAAATAATATTAGTAGGCAAGTTTTTATTTCAAGCATTAAATTTACCTAAATTGGACTTCTTATTAATTAAAAAACCATCATCAAAACGCCAGAGCTATTTTTTTTTTAATTAGGTATACATATAAACCTTAAGTTATATTTTTATCAATAATTCCAGGAATTATTATTGCTCCTTTACCTGATTATCATTATCATCGCTTCCTTTCTATAGATGTAAACGCAAAGTTTTAAAAAAAAATATACACACATATATATATTATATGTTACCTGTGGCCAAATAATTACACTAGAATCAGGCTATATTTCCGAAGTTAGTTAAAAAAAATAAATAAAAATAAAATAAAATAAAACACATTAAGCTGCTAAATATAGTATTTACAGTAGTTTCTCCCATGTAAACATCTATACAAGCATTACTTTTGCGAGATTTGATATAAAAATAACGTCTTTGAGGGAATCCAGTAGTCATTTTTTTTTAAAAAACGAATATATGGTATATTAATGTATATTTTTTCTTAAAAAAAAAAAAAAGAAAAAGAAAATTAAAATTAAAAAAAAATAGAGTATTTTATGCGGACATCATTATTTCGAAATTATGTCGCACTTTTAATTATAAAAGCGTTCTATATATTTCTTTTTAATGTAACCTTGAGGTCGGGAAAAACTATATTGCTATGTTAAAGAAAAACATATCGCATAAATGAAAAAAAAAAGGTTAAAAAAAAAGTCATACTAGTCGTGAGATTATGAGATGATATGAAATGAGTAGTTTACATTAAATTTAAAATAGTTTAAGAATAAAATAAATAAATAAATAAAAAACGATAAATGCGTCAATGGAAAACCTACTCTAGTTTATAATAGATAAATTAGTTCATTTTTTTTAAAAAAAAACTAAAAAAAAGAACTTACTTTGTATCTAGGTTAAATCTAATGATAAATTGACTGAAAGATTGTACTACTGTCTACACTTTGATTGAAAACTTTCAATTTCTAGGTTTCTTTTCGATCGCTGACTAACTAAAGTGTGCTAAAAACATTCAAGGATAACACCATCTACCCACAAAGGCCAAACAATAGCGAGCATGCTCAAGTATGCTGTAAGATCAAGATTCTAAAGGTAATACCGGGATTCCCATCTGTAAAGAAAAGCCTATGTACATATTTAATCTGTGCACCTATTTAAATAAAATGAAGAATAACCTTAAAATCTTAAAAATAATAGAATTATCTTAAAAAACCATACCTGATAACTGAGGAGGGAGGGGGATTCGCTGGTCTTCTGTATGGACTAAGGTTTTCAAACATTTCAAACTATTTCAAAACTTAAGCTTCAGTATTTGGGGCAGTATTTACTTGTATTAAATTCCTTACTTGACAGTAACAAAAAAAAATCGTGCTTTTTCAGTAACCTCTTAAATTTGATAACACGTATTGGTTTGTGATATCCAGTATTCGAGATAGATCAATTACTCATTATAAACTCTATATCTCGACAAAAAAAATTTCTAATAATTTTTATCAGGGCTTGTTTCTTGATGTACATAGATGGTTTTGAATTTCGACGCAGATTGATAGCATTATCACGACTAGAAGTAATTTTAATATAATAGTAATGTAAATCATTAAAAACTATAGGCCTGTTTTTTTAAAAAATCTTCAAGTCCTTTAAGATTCAATGTATCAAAATGCAAAAGTGTTCTTTCGCAATATTCTTCTACATTTTCTTCTCTTTTAAAATTGTTTTTAATGAGACTTTACATACTGATGTTTTATTAGTACATCAACAGTATAATTTTTCGCGTACATAGTAAAGCAAACCTCGTCTTCCTGGATCAATTGCCACACATTTACCAGTAATTTGTTGTTGTTATTGTTCCGAGAAAAAAGCTTATATACATACTGTATTTGTTCTATTATATACCTATGCTTAGACAAGTATTTACCTTGCATATCCAATCTTTTTATAATAATAGTTAGCCCAACGCCATTAAATTGCATGGTTCAAAAAAAAAAAAAAAGGAAACATAATCTACTATCTTCTCCTTTGTACTTGGAAGACTTAACCTCTACTACCCCATAATTACAATTTGTCAACATTCATGTATCATGATCGAGAACAACTTAGAATGTTCCGACTGACATATTCTCGGCAATAAAGATAAAAATACAAAAAAAAAAAAATATCAAGTGATTAATCAGGGGTACTGACTATCTCAAAGTTAATTAAAAAAATTAATTCTATCTATCCTTTCATTTTATTATAGTATTTCAAATATCATTATTTATTGTGTGCTTTACTGAATTAATATGGAAGCAATTAAGAGTACGAATCAAAGCTTAGTTTCTGACACACAGCATTTACTTAATACAATAAAATGTGTGTACGAAGTGTATTCATCTTTTATTAAATTAAAGATATTCAGATACTAGCTTGATCCAGTTAATTGCTGCTCGGATAGTTACTGTTCTTGTATATTTTGATTCGGTATCATACTTGTAAACAACTAGTGATGATGTGTTTTAATATTATTTGAAGAAAGCTATCTACGTCTATTGATGCCTATGTTTAGATAATAATATATTTAGACAAGGAAGGCTAGATCACATAAATGTATTAATAATATCTATTGTTATAACTAGAGCTAATGTAATAGCTGGAATACAACATGTATAGTAAGGTTATATACTACAGTGGGCTTGACTACTATGTAGTGATAAATCATGATTTATTTTGTTTACACTCATTTTCAAGTCTATGTTTCTCAAGTATTATTATTATAATTAATAAATATATTACCACCATCACAAAACCTCCCCAAAAAAACAGAAGTTGACAAAAAAAAAAAAAAAAAAATAAAATAAAAAATATTCTTATTATGCAGTACACTTTTCTTCAATACTGTGAAATAATTTTCTTTCAAGAAAAGGTGTACACGAATATAAAGTAACAGTCATACATTGGAAATGGAGATTATTAGCTCTTTTATTGCTATATGCAATTCTTCATTATAGCATTTGTTTCTGTTTCATCTAAACATAATAATTTAGATAAAATAGGCACCATTGCCTTTATACATGTACGTAAATGTATATAAAAGGGGAATTAGTTTAATTATAATCTATATTTTCAATTACTTTTTACCTGCTTATTATTTGATGTTAAAAAGCTTATTAATACATTTTTTAAATATTCAACATTCATATTTTGTCTTTTATCAAAGGCATCCATTTTTCTGTCAAGTATAATGGTAATTTTAATCATTTCAAAGTAATCATGATTGATCAATTTTTTTTAATTACCTTAATTCGTCTTTTAAGACCTAATTATGGCGTTAATTAAAGATGTTCATTTGTAAATAATTAATTATTACCTTTTCTTGACTTTTTAAAGCAATAATCTTTTCTTCACTTTCATGTAACATTTCACTTAAACGCTGTACTTGCTTCTCTAAACTAATCTTCTCATCCGGTGTTTGATATGATATAAATGTAGAAAGTAGAGAACTCATGGAGGCTAATAATAAAGTTAATATTTAGGATTTTTATGAAACATAAATACTCTGTTACCATAAACATCCTGATCGTTATCATCATATTGTGATAATTGAGTATTACTACTATCTGAAGAAGTTGTTGTTGTCGTCGTAAGTGTTTCTTTTTCATTCTCTTTTCCCAAAAGCTGTTGTTGAAGAGAATCATTGGCTTCTTCTAAATTATGAATACGAACTTTACATTGAATTAATTCTTGTGTTAGATCATCCACATTGTTATTAATTGCTAATTCTTGAATTTGTGCTTCATATTTAAATTTGAGTTCATTTAATTCTTTACTAGATGCTTTTGTTGTTTTCAACCTTAATATAGCTATTTATATTCATATATATGTGTATAAAACTTATACCTGCTTCAAGGTTTTCTTTTTCTTGTTTAAAAGACGCTTTTAATTCATTTATTATTCCTTCTTTTACATTGTTTTCTTTTATCAACTTGTTTTGGATAGTTTCTAATTCACATATACGATCCAGTGTTTTTCTAAGGTCATATTCTAATAAAGATTGATGCTCTGTTTGTTCTCTTTTATATTTCCTATTAAATAATCATATTAACATCCATCTTCTCTCATTTTTTTTTTTTTTACATGGCTTATTTTTGTTACATTTTCTCGGCTTGAAGTTGTTGAACAAGCTTTTCCAATTCATCAATTCTTACTAAATTCAGTTTTTCTTCTTTACTTGTTTCAAGCAAAGTACGTGCCCTTTTTTTATATTGTTCATAATCGTTTTTAGTTTGTTCCAATTGAATTGTTAGTTGTCTGTTTTTTGCTTCCATCTGTTTAATTTCTGTTCCATAAAAAGTTTTGGCATTAGTAATTTCTGCATTTACTTTTTCAATCGTTACTAAAAGAAAAAAAAATATTCAAATAAGCCTTTCATTTTTTATTTTTATTTTTTATTACATTGTTGTGATTCAGAAGTCGCTTTATATGTGTGCTCTTTCATTTGACTTTCTTGTAATTCAGTCTTAAGTCTTTCAATTTCTACATCTTTAGAAGCGATGGTAACTCGATATTTATCTATATTCTTTGATGCTTGTCCAAATATTTCTATCATCTTATTTAAATTTACCTTATCAACTAACATAAACTTTGTTTTTTTTATTACCTCTCATTCGTTTCAACTTTTCTTCATATTCAGCTATTTATTTAATTTTTATTTTATTTTATTAAAGGAAGATGAAATAATGAGCATCGACTAGATCATTCTATTATTGCTAAACTATTACTTGTTTTTGTTGTTAAAGTTTCTTTTAACTTTGAGTATTCTGATTGTTGATTTTTAAGTTGATATTTTAAATCTTTTACTTGTTCTTGAAGTTGAAAGTTTATTTTATCTAATTCTTTAGTAGATGATGTTGTACCTGTTTTCTTTTTATTGTTAACATTTTACTATTATTTCTCAATGTGCAAATATTGTATTGTATTGTCTTTTTTATTCTTATTATTCTTATTACTTTAATCCGTGACTTTAGCAGCTCAAGTTCTCTTTCTAATCTTTCAACCTGCTTTTCAGCTTTTATAGCTCTTGATTTATCTTGATTATCAATATTCATTTTAAATTAATTATTGGAAAAAGAAATGTGCTACATTATCTGAATATAAAAAAGTGGGATTGATTTATTATTTTTATAAATTAAAATTTATAAAGCGACCTATAGGCACATAATATCTTTATTATATTGGATTGCCCAGGTCAGTTCAAATTATGTGAAAAAAAAAGTATCTAAAAACCCTCTTACGGGACAAGAGGTAAAAAAGGTAAAGGAAAGGAAGAAGAAGAGAAGGAGAGAAAGAAAGGGGGGGAATATGGCTAACAAGTTTAAAGGGACAACCTAGTTGAGTCATTTCCTGCCTGGATCAAGAAGTGGAGAGGGGGTAGTTTATCGTGCATTAAGTAATCCATTTCCTGTAGAATGGTACACATAACTGGCCAGCGATAGAACCAAGCAGAAACATCCTGAGAATTTCGGTGCTTATGCTGAGGGAGATGATTTAAAAGAAAGGAAAGGGGATCTGCAATTGATCGTGGCAAGAATAAACGGGTGTGCATATGCAAGCATTCAGTGACATGTGACCGACTAAAGTGTACATGAGGATGATATGGGCAGGCTTTAGGTATTCCTCCAGGTAACCAACCAAGACGCCATCGAATAGTTCGACTACGCTCACTGTGTGTCATGGGTGACCAGAGTATCGGATCAGTAATCAGATTGGGGCGGCAAGCGGAAAGCAAAACAGAATGTGTCTCGTCACGTAGTTGTTGAAAACTCTCTTCAAGAAATTCTCGACGATGTTTTCGAAAGGAGCGTTTGTCTAACGGAATGGAATTGGCGGCACAGAGTCTCCATCATGGTGTTTGAATGAGTTTACACCATTGAGTGTTGAAGGTGGAGGCTTGAAGCTTGGGAAGTAATTTAGTGAGCAAAGTATCATTCGGCAAATCGATAGCACGGAACACGAATTGGGCCTGCAGAATGGACACCCTAACCTTCATTGATGGTTGGTTTACCATATGAAGCATTACCTTTACTGATAATCAATTAGAGCCACCAAATATCCGTCTTATGCAAGTGTTTTGACAAGATTCCATGTATTGGATAGTCTTTGCACTGGGTAAACTAATAATTAGACCATATTCGAGTTGTGGTCGGACTATCTGCTTGTAGAAGCGAGTAGCGAGTAAACGATCAAATCCCTTGGGGTTAACCCTAATCGATGCCATTTGGTTCATTGTTTGTAAGGCTTTGTTAGTATTATTTTTGTACGAGTTGAGCTGTATCTAAGAATCCTCCTGTCTTGATGGGGATACCTCTAGATAAGAAAAACGTTTTTGGGTTGGAATGGGGTCACCATATAAAGTGTACGGTTACTGATTATCAGAAGGATCAAGGATTACACATTTACTAGGATTCCAGTGGTAGCCTAATAAATTACTGTTTTCTTCACATAACGATAATAAAGAGCGCAACTTTTCAAGTACCATGATGAGGACAACATCGTCAGCATACAACAAACAATTAATCGACTGTATAAATTGAAGTGGTTGATCACGTATATTTGTTGAAATTGGTGATAGACGTAGAATATTAGGAAGATTGTTTATGTATATTGAGTACAAAAATGGAGAAAGAATTGAGCCTTGAAGAGCACCAGTTCTTGGGAAAAACCTATATGATATAACATTATTTAGAAGTGCTTCGAGTTGGACATCGTCAAAAAGATTTTTCAGGATATTTAGTAGTGGAGCAGGGGCATAATCAGATAAACAGTGCCAGATGTAGGCACAGTCTACCGTATCATAAGCCGATTTGATATCAAGGAAAGCAAGCACTGGTTTGAAATGTTGTGTTTTGTGAAGTAAGTTACAAATTTCAGTCAGACAAAGGACCTGATCAAGTGTACTTTGAGCCTCACGAAATCCCCCTTGGGCAACGTCTAACGGTGAACTATAAGTCATGAGATAAGGATACAGGCATCGTTCAAATAGCTTTCGAAAAACTGATGTTAGGCTGATAGGTCGATAATTTCATGGTTCGGTAGGTGCGCCTTTCTTATGTATTGGGACAATCTGAGCGACTCGCCAAGATAGAGGAGTATAGGACCATTTTTCTTTAATTACACTTTATTCCACTCGAAAAAAAAAAAAAATATCTGTCATTGTCTGAATTTGAAGTTCAGCAACTGTAAGCCACGCATTAACAAAAATAAATAAAAAAAAACTGCACACACATATTTTTTTCCTCTTTAAAAAAAATAAATATTAATATATAATAAATGAAAGCACCTACTTCTCAAGATAACCTATGGATAGCAGCAGGTATTTTTAACGAAAAAAATATATTATAATTTATTTACATCTTATTAATTTTGTTTATTTTATTTTTTGATTACTAGGTGATGGCCAATTAGATCGTGTTAGGGTAATAAATTACATGACAATCTTTTTTTTTTTTTTTTTTTTTTTTTTTTTTTTTTTTTTTTTTTTTTTTTTTTTTTTTTTTTTTCTGCTAAATAATAAAATGATTTCAACAGGAATTAATAGAAAGCGGAATGGATATAAATAGTCAAGATCAATTTGGATATACTGCTATGTAAGAGAAGTAAATAAATAGAACCTCATTCCCCTCCAAAAAAAAAGAATATTATATAGATCTTTAAATGTTATATTAGGCATGCTGCAGTTTCATATAATCAAAGTGAAATTGTTAAATATTTAATTAAAGAAGGCGCTAATATAAATATTGAAGACCTTGATAAGGATACTCCACTTTTTGTAGCAGAAACAGTTGAAATGGCTCAATTATTATTAGATCATGGAGCTGATCCCAAGCATAGAAATGAAGAAGGAGTTACTCCTGCCTTAGCAGCCTTTCAAGAAGGTTGGAATGAAGTTGCAGAGTTACTAGCTAGTATCACACATGAAGAATTACCTAATGAGGAACAACAAGAGACAGCAGCAGATTCTCTCGAACATGTTATGCAGGATGCTGCTGAAGAAGAAAAAGAACAAAAGGACGAAGAATTAAATGAAGATTTATCAAATCAAATACAGGAAATTATAAAACGTATTGAAGAGCAAGGTGGTGTTGACAATGAAGAAGAGCTTCAAGAGATGGTTGCAAAAATGCTTTTAGATGAAATGCAACGTAAAGTAAATGAACAATAAATAATAATGTCAATTATAGAGTAGTGTTGTTTTGTATAAGTAACAGAATTTTTTCGGGATGGAATGGAGAATAGTTATAAAAAAAAAAAGTGTCAAAATAGGATGATGATACAAAAAGCAGTGTGGTATTTACCTTTGAAATGTGAAATTTATCCATAAAATACTAATAGTAAAAATTGTCACACTTTTGTCTGCATTATAATTGATTCTAAAGAATTAGTGACTCCAATTTGGAGACCTTTAAATGCCATTGAATCTTTCCCGAACACTTCACTACCAAAAGATACGATAAGTAACCTATCTTTTATGATGTTCAAATTTCTTTTGTTCCTAGAGATGTGTATGCTCCAGGAGAAGCAGATAAACTGATAAGTGTGACTGATTTTGGACATATCAATCGTCGATATTTTATCATTGTGAACATCAGGAAAGGGTATCAGGTCATACCGGTGTATCTCTGCAAACATATTATAATAACAATACGAGTTAGTAATCTTTTTTAACAAGGCATTTATTTGGCTATAATAGAGAACAATTGTATCCATAATCCTCTCTCTCTCTCTCTCTCTCTTTCTTCCTCACCCAAGCTTCCTTTCTAGTTTAATATCTGATTCTCCATGGACTTGTTTGTTGGTTCTCAATATGTTTTATAACAATATGAGATAGATTATCCAACTCTCCTCCACTCCATTTCTTTCCAATCCAGGATCACTCCTGATAGACTGGTTCTCTAAGCCCTTTTCTTTACACTTTATTTATTTATTTTATTTTATTTTTCGTAATGTGTTTGATCTTTTACTTGTTTTCACCTTTTGTTCTATAAGTTACTTTTATCATTAATTTTAAACTGACTAGGGCAATTCAGTAATCTATTTAGTTACATGCCCATTGGTCTTTTTTTTTCATATTTTTACAAATAAAATTCTTCTTAATCGTAATATAAAGTGGGCCACTTTATCTTTCTCTTTCTTTCTTTTTTACCTTGTGTCTCTCACAAAGTGCCTTTTTTTTTTCTGGGCAATCCAGTATCATTTTAGATACTGTGTGCTCCTAAAGATCAGAAATTTAATTATATAAAATTGAAAGACTAGAAAAATTTAAATACAGAACAGGGCGATAGGTCCTATTATTATTACTATTATTTAAAAAATATTTCTTTTTCTTTTTCTTTTTCTTTTTTTTTTTTTTCTTTATTTAATAGTTAATTCTTAATAATTTAATGGATAAATACCAAGTATGAAACATTAAAAGACTTATTTATACAAATGAAAGTAACTAATTTTAATATTACTATAAAAAAAAATAGAAAATTGAAAAACTTGGTGAAGGTAGATTATTGAATGAATATAAAAAAAAAAAAAAAAAAAGAAAAAACCGAGCTTCTTGTTTACATTTCAAATTGCTCATTTATTATAATTAGGTACCTATGGTATTGTTTACAAAGCTCAAAATCGTGAAACAAACGAAGTCGTTGCTTTGAAGCGTATTCGTTTAGATAATGAAGAAGAAGGAGTAAAGTGCTTGCTAAAAAAAAAAGCTTGTAGCTAATTAAGTTTTATAACCAATCATAGGTACCTTGTACGGCTATTCGAGAAATTTCTTTATTAAAAGAATTAAAACATCCAAACATTGTTAGGTAAATAGAAATACTTTTACCTAAAAAAAGAAAAAGAGGGAGAGAGAATACTCATTATATATAAAGATTATATGATGTTCTACATACCGAAAAGAAGCTGACACTTGTATTTGAATATTTGGACTCTGATTTGAAAAAGTTTTTGGATTCTTATGGTGGTGATATTGATGTTATGACTTTAAAAGTAAATTATATGACATTATTGATGAATACATTTGAAATATTAACATTACTTTGAATTTAGCAATTAATGTATCAATTATTAAAGGGTATTGCATTTTGTCATGCGCATAGAGTTTTGCATAGAGTAAGTGAATAGTGATACAGTGATACATATTTCATTCTTACTGTATATTCTCTTTCTCTCTCTCCCTCTTTTCTTTTTCTTTTTTTTTAGGATTTAAAACCACAAAATTTGTTAATTAATAAGGTAAGGCATTTACTTATAGACAATATCGAGCCAAATGTTGAGTGTATTTTTTTTTTTTTTTTTTTTTTTTTTTTTTGAATAGAAAGGAGAATTAAAATTGGGTGATTTTGGACTTGCAAGAGCATATGGTATTCCAGTTAGAAGTTACTCTCATGAAGTATGTATCCTATTTTATTCAAAACGAGTAAACTTACCAATCATTTTAAGGTTGTTACTCTGTGGTATCGTGCCCCTGATGTCTTAATGGGCTCACGTCAATACTCAACATCCATTGATTTATGGTCAGCAGGATGTATTTTTGCTGGTAAATATACTTTTTTTTTTTGTTTTGTTTATATATGTAGACACACATATTTTAATTAAATACTTATTATTAAATCATAAAGTTTGCATTTTTTTTTTAATTAATTAGAAATGGCTTCTGGTAGACCTTTATTTCCTGGTAGTTCAATTTCTGATCAATTGCAAAGAATTTTTAAAGTGTTAGGTACTCCAACAGAAGAAATTTGGCCAAAGGTGTCTCAACTTCCTGAATATAAAGTAAGGTTTATACATATAATATTTATGGTGAGACACTATATTAACTAAAGTATAAAAAGCCTGATTTCGAAATATTCCCAAAAATTCAGTTAGAAACTCTTCTTCCAAAACTTGACCATCATGGTATAGACTTATTAAAAGTAATGTATATGATTAAATATGACTATCATCCTGTGTTTTAATATCTCTCTTTTTTTTTTTTTTTTCTTTTTAGCGCCTTCTTGAATATCCACCAGAAAAACGTATTACAGCTAGTGACGCATTACAACGTAAGCTAGAATGAACATATCATTTTCAAAAAAAAAGTAACTTATTTTATTATCAATTAGATCCATACTTTGATGAACTGCGGAAAAAGGAGTTAATTTTAATGGATAATAATGTAGCAAAAGAGAATAGCAGATAAAAGAAAAGAAAAATCTAACAATTAACATTATATATAAAATAAAATAAAATCTCATTATTTTATCATGGAATAAACATAGTCAGCAATGGCCAGTGATGATGTCAATCCTGGACTTTCTATAGCAATTAAAGAAAAGAAATGATCATAACCAGCTTCACTTTCGTCCTTAATAATAAAATCTTTAAATGTCTCACCAGGTCCTGCCAACTTAGGTCTATATAATAATGATAAGTAGAGTAGTGTTTAGTGTTCCCTTTCTTATTACCTAATACCCGAATAATCTACATGAAGCCTTTCCTTATTTAAAGAAGGTAAATAAGACTGAATCGCTTCACAAAACATGTCTTTCCTTTCATCTGATACACTATAGTCATGAGGACTATCTATATATTCAACATCAGGTCCAAACTTAACAGATCCAGCCAAATCAAGTGTCAAATGAGTACCAAGTCCTGCAAGGTCTCTTTCTGGACATGGATAGATTAAATGATTCACTTTTAAAGGTGCATGATAAGCATAATAATGACCTCTTGCATAATGTAATTTATATTTATTTGATAAGAGCATGTTGCTGACTTTATCTGCATGAAGACCACCTGAATTAAATACACGTTTTGTCCATATAAGTGATACATCATCCTTATTATTTGTGACCAACTCAAGCAGATAGCCGCCCTCCTTTATAGAGGAAGGTTCTATAGAGCGTACACACGTAGACAAGACAACATCACCTCCCTGTTGTGATATCTGTTGTTCAAGATAGGACATAAAATGATGAGAATCTATAATCCCTGTAGAAGGAGAGACGAGTACTGAGAGAGCATGTATGTTGGGTTCTTGTGCCTTTATCTCCCTTTGTTGGTCGATAAAATAAGTTTCAACACCTAATCGAGTTGCTTTATTATAAAGACGTTGAAGGTACTGATGCTGTTCTTTATTTTGAGCTACAATCCATTTACCAATCCTTTTATGACGTATCTTACGCTCTCTACATAAATCATACAACATACGGTTGCCTTGAATACAAAGTTTAGTTTTTAAACTATCTTCAGGATAATAAAGCCCTGCATGAATGACTTCACTATTGCGAGAACTTTTTTTTTTTTTTTTTTTTTTTTTTTTTTTTTTTTTTGACATGTATTATTGTTTTAATTTACAACATTTCAAAAAAAAAAATAAATAAATTGGATTGTTAAAATTACCTTGTTTCTTCACCAATTCGTTTATTTTTGTCAATCACAAATGTCATCTCATTCGGTCTTTCTCTAGTTAATTTCTCACCGATGGCTAATCCTACAACACCTGCACCAATGACAATATTATCGACTTCTACATCAGGTAGTCTTACGGTGGAAAACGATCTGGTCTGTAGTAGTTTGACCCATCTTGATGAAAATAACATAATAGGTTGTAGTATAAAGCAAAGCTTGCATTATTTACGGGCCAATCATCTCTTGATAGAAAAATTTACAAATGACAGTGAGGGAAAAAAAAAAAATAGATAAATAGCTTTGATTGGCTTATCTACAAAGGGGTATGAATTCGAGTCCTATGCTTTGTTACTAAGAGACCAGATATAGATGGGGGGGAGAGAAAGAGAGAGAGAGAAATAATGGTAACCATATAATAGATCAACAACGTACAATTATGTATACATAAAACATGGTAGTATTTGTTCATTGTAATATATAAATAAATATACATACATACATGCTTACATACACACATGTACATTTGATATATTTTTATATCAACTAAAGTTACATGATATAAAACTTATTTATCCGTGACATATTCTTTGTTTTTCCTCTTCTTATTTCTTCCCATCTAATTATTGGTAAAAAATTTTTATTTTATTATTATTTACAATTGTATTTGTTTGTTGTTGAATTCAGAAGAATGATGGATACGCAAATGTCTACGCATATTACTATGCACGCTAAAACTACGTCCACAACCCTGATGATGGCATTGATAAGGCTTTTCACCTGTATGTGAATAGATATGAATACGGAGCGATGAAGGTCTTGAAAATGATTTTTGACAATGATGACAGTGATGGCGATATGTTTGCTGCTTTTCGAAAGACGGACAATAGAATATCTTTGTCGTCCTTTTCTCCTCTTTTGCTGTTAGCCTAGTTGTTGACGATGGTGGTGACTGAATTGGATGATTATAACTTTGTTGTTTATAAGGATCAAGCCACATAGTAGGTGGATAACCAGATGTTGTATGAGCTCTTGTATGCTTAGGATGATATGATTGTTGATGACTAGAAGAAGGAATACACTGATGATGATGATGAGATGATGGTTGACGATTGTATTTCATCATCGTCCTCTCTACGACTCCTCTACTAGTGCTATTGAATTCAGACACAGAGCGACGATGTACCTTTATATGATTCACTCGTGACTCTTCTAGACAATAAGGTGATGACGAAAGTTGTTGTAAATTCGGAGTAGCTTCTTCTACCTTAAATTCAGGTCCAAAAGATGATGTTTTTCCTTAATAAAGTGTGTTTCAATTAATATACATGATACATGATACATATTCATATATACGATACTATACTATACTATGTAATTATGTAACTTACGATAGGGTTCAGTTTTATCAGTATTAAATAAACCTTGAAAGACAAGCTTAATAGAAGGCAAAGTAACTTGTTGATTATTCATTTAATATCAGTTGAATAAACAATAAAGAAAAGGGTAAAAAAAAAAAAAAAAAAAAAACTAAATGCCTTTTCAAGTACATTTATATAAGTTGATCAACACTATTAGTATCAAATGATGCTGTTGCAGATCGATGATATATAACAATTATCATGAATGCATTAAATGAAACATCGTCATTTAAGGAGAAAGTTTACATATTCTTATTACTCCTTAAATGACTTTTCTTTTATTTATTTATTTATTTGTTTGTTTGTTTGTTTGTTTATTTAAGCTTGTTGATCTATAGTCACATTTTTAAAGTCTGTTACTGAATAGTTTTTTTGTGTATCCTTTACACGTCGATACATATAAAATTGAAAGAAAATCTATTATTTTGTTTTTAGTATATTATAAAAATAAAAAAAAATCTGATAACTTACGGTGAAATCAAAGAATAAAGTACCGCCACTTCCAAGTAACCAGGGATAATTAATTAATAGATAGGTTGGATCAGTCGATTTCAATATGATGCTCTATTTTAGATGCTTGTTTAATATAATCCTAATATCTCCCCCCGCCCACTTTTTTTTCTTTCTTTTTCTCCCCCCTTTACCACACAATAGGTTAAATTGCCAACAACACTAAACACAAACATAGTCAAACTAAGTCCTTCTACACTCTCATTTCTAAAATTTTGCATAATTTGGGGTATACGACTTGAACAATAAAGAAGGGCACTTCCCCATCCCAATAATTGTGGAATAAGATGTAACTGACTTGGATCAATCTTCTCTTTTTGTCCTGGTATGAAAAAAAATAATGCAGATCCTCCTAAGAGACCAATCCAAAGTAAAATACTAGAGATAACAAAGATTCGAACAATCGTGTCTGTCTTTTTCGAGCTAGTTTGAGTGGATGATTTTAATTTTTTATCTGTTAAAAGTGGTGTATGTTCATTTAATAATCGATGTCTTTCATTCTGATATTGGCTAAGTCCACTAATATGGCTAAGAGTTGATGTTGAAGAAAAAGAAGAGGAAGAAGAGGAAGAGGAAGAAGAAGAAGAAGTATCATTAGGTGTTACATAGTTAGTTTGTTGTGTTTCAAAGACAACTACTTCTTGGTTATAATGATTGGCTTTTCTATAATAAAATACTTGACCCATTAACAGACAGTCTGCAAATAAATAATATAATGCAAGTAAAAGCTAAACAAAAAAAATAAAAAAATGAGCCAAGTATTACATTATATTCTAATTTCTTACCATTGTAAAAAGAAGATTCTCCAAGATAATTCCCATTAAGTTTAATATATCACCTATAATCCAAAATGAAAGAAATTGTATAGAGACACCGTCTGTATTCTTTCTCTTATAATTTTCATAAAATTGTCTATTTATATATTCAGTATTGTTATTATTAAGTTTATTTTTTTTTCTTTCTACAAATATTCTTCTTTACGGTGTAAATACAACGATCCAGCAGCAAATACTTAGATACCCAAACAGATTTGCAAGTGATTCCTTATCTAAAAACTCGATCATTTTTATTTATTTTATTTTATTGAAGAGAAATAACTTTTTCTCCTATTTCGTTTTGTTATCAAAAGAATAGAGTAAAAGAGGTTTTGAAACGAAAAGAAATAACATTTAAAAAAAAAAAAAAAAAAAAAAACTTTTTTTTTATTTTGAAACTTCAAAAATACAACTTTTTGATTGGTTAATAATATATTACCGTAAACCTTTATTGGTAACACGACGTTTTTGTAACAAAGTTCTTTCTTCTTGTAACTTTCTTTCTTTTTCTTCTTCATCTTGCGAATATGGTCTATTAACAAAAATTAAAAAAAAAAAATGTATTCAGAAAATAAAAAAAAAAGAGAAAGAGGAAATACATACGATAAGGCGGAAAATACTTTTAATTGTCGTATATGCGTATCTCGTCCATTTAAATGTGTATTTAATATAGCAATTTGAAGCCTAAATAAACGAAAAGGATTTCCATCACTTGATTTTTTTTTTTTAATTGTAAGCAACTCTTTTTTTTTTCGAGACTATTATATAAAAAGAATGATACTATACTTTTTGGAGGTTACATCTATATTAATCCAACCAACGATTTGATCACATTCTATTTGTATTATTTCCTAAAAAAAAAAATACATGTAATGTCAATCTATATTTATTAATTCACATTCTACTTTACTTGAAGATCTCTAAATGTTGTTCCTCCTCTAATAGATATTGTTTTCGGGGTATAGCTTTCATCTTGAAAGTAATCAATGAATATAGATACTTGTCTAATTAAAGTAGCTTGTTTGAATAGGAGATCAATTGTATGATTCAATTTTGGATCAGGACAATCAGATCTAAAAAAAAACCAAGATTTTAAACGATTCAATATATATACCATATATATTTTTAATTCCTTATTTACTGCCAATATGTCAAAGCATTGTTGTCCCTTAATTTATCGGGTCCCCAATGAGGTCTAAAAGAAGAAACACTCCAGATAGCATCATTTTCAGCAATTTCACGTCCCCCTAAAGCAATTTGCTCACGATTTGGAAGTGTTTCACGATAGATGAAAAGCGCATTACTTTCTTTTGCAAGATCTTCTGATTTTGTTTCATCAAGTTCACTTTCTTCTTTTCTTCTTTCATCATTTTCATTGTCATATTCGTCTTCTTCATCTTGTCTTTCACCAAAACCGGAAACGGGTGGCAAAGACATTATTTCATCGTCATCGTATTCTTCACTTCGTGTTGGATCATGTAAAAACTCATCAGATGTTATATTCGTTCGTTCATCATAATAGTCAAGTATGTTGTTATTAGAAGAAGTTGGACCTAAAATATCTAACGTGTGGTCTTGAATTTCTTCATCACTCATCATTTGCTGTCAAAAAAGAGAATAAAAATAAAAATGGGTTTCAGAATGTCCCGATTTATTTTTAAATTAAAAAAAAAAATCACACACACACACACACGCTATTATTAATAAATTTTTCTCACATTTATTCCTTCACGATTGTTCCCTCATCAGTTACAATGGTATTGTATATTATACATGATAAAGATCTTGATGCGTAATTTTATTAATTGAAAAAAAAATATTCTAGTTTAATCCAACTATTCCTAAAGAAGGTATCACTTTTATATATATAAATAACTACACGTTAATACATGTGTTAACTTTATTATTATTATTATTTTTTTTAGCTCAGGATTTCGTTGAATTTGTCAATAATTCACCTTCACCTTTTCATGCTACCTTTGAAGTCTCCAAGATCTTGAAGGCTGCTGGCTTTAAAGAAATTAAGGAGCGTGATAGTTGGAATGATGGTTTAATCCAACGTCAAGGTAAATATTTCTTTACCCGTAATGGCTCTGCTATTATTGCATTCCAAGTGGGTGGAAAATACAATCCTGGTAATGGGTTTTCTATTCTTGGTGCTCATACTGATTCACCTTGTCTTAAGGTAAGATAATAATTACAGTAAACACGCTGTCATAGTTAGTTTATGACCTTTTTTTTTTTTTTGTTTAGGTTAAGCCTGTTTCTAAGAAGGAAAAAGCTGGCTATCTCGAAGTTGGTGTACAATTATATGGTGGTGGTATTTGGTAAAGATAAAGATAAAGATAAAAAAAAAAAAAAGGAAGAGGTGACTATGTTTCTTATAACTATTATATATAGGCACACTTGGTTTGATAGAGATTTAAGTGTTGCTGGTCGTGTTCTTATTGAACAAGAAGATGGTACATTTAAACATACTTTAGTTAAAGTAGATAGGTAAAATTTTATACATGTTTCTATTGTCGAGACATAGGCTTACATTTTATTCTAATAGACCTATCTTGCGTATTCCTACTCTCGCTATTCACTTGGATCGTACTGCTAACGAAAACGTAACTTTCAAACGAAATCCTCAAACAAATATTTATATTTATATTCATTTTTTTTGTTTTAGTTTTCATTCAACAAAGAAACTCAGTTGGCTCCTATTCTTGCAACTGCTGTCAAAGCGTAAATATTTTTTTTTTTTTGTTTGTTTGTTTAGCCCATCTTTTTTTTTTAATATTTTTATTGTTTTAAAAAAAATAGTGAATTATCTGGTATCAAGACTACTGAAGGTATTGAAGCTGAGGAAAGCCATCATTCTTTATTAGTTCGTATTTTAGCTGATGAGATGAATGTGGAACGTAAGTAGTCATAGTTTTTTTTTTTCTTTTTTTCATAAAAGATATTTAATACTATTTGGTAATATTAGCAAATCAAATCCGTGATTTTGAATTAGCATTGTATGATACGCAAAAATCCGTTATTGGAGGTGCATGCAATGAATTTATTTTTTCACCTCGTCTTGATAATCTTGAAATGTCTTATTGTTCCATTCGAGCTTTAGTTGAAGCAACTGATATTGAAAATGATGAAAACATTCGTATCGCTGCTCTCTTTGATAATGAAGAAGTTGGCTCCATGACAGCTCATGGTGCTGATTCTAATCTTTTGCCTGTTACCCTTCAACGTTTAGCAAACACCCATATTGTGGATGCTACTAAAGAAGTATCTTTAACTGCATTTGAGGAAGCGATTCATAAGAGTATCTTGGTTAGTGCTGATATGGCACATGCTGTTAATCCTAATTATGCTGATAAACATGAAGAGAATCATCGTCCTCAAATGCATAAAGGTACAGTCATTAAAGTGAATGCAAATCAACGTTATGCTACTACAGCTGTTACAAGCTTAGTTTTGAAGGAGTTGGCTAAAAAGCATCAAATTCCAATTCAGGTAACAAATACGATTTAACCCTTATATTAGTATTTTTTTTTTTTACTTACATGTTTGTCAGGAATTTGTTGTGCGTAACGATTCGTCTTGTGGATCTACTATTGGACCTATGTTAAGTGCTAAACTTGGTCTCCGTACAGTTGGTAAAGTGAATAATAATAATAATAATAAAAAGAGCGATCGAGTGTGTGTGTGTAAAAGAATAGAAAGGGGGAAAGTTAAAAGGAGAAAGGGATGAGCTCATCCTTCTTTTATTTCTTATCATAGATATTGGTAATCCTCAATTGAGTATGCATTCTATTCGTGAAACAGGTGGCACTGACGATGTTAAACATGCTATTGACCTCTTTAAAGTAAGTTGATATATCATTGGATAAAGCATTTTATTGTTACTAAAGAAGGATATTGTTTTTTTTTTTGTATTTCTTTTATTAGGTATTTTATCAAGAATTTGCTGTATTAGAACAAAAGTTCATTGTTGATTAAAATGAAAGGAGGTGTGATATAATAATAAACTGAGATTTAATAGCGTGAATAATTGCAGAAATAATCGTTATTATTTGATGGATAAGTTTTCTACTCTTTACATTTCTTTCTTCTTCCTTTACTTTATAACATGGAAATAAATAATACAGTCACAACTCCAAATTTATATGAAATACTCGGTTTAGCTAAACCATCTAGTACCTTGGAGATTAAAAAGGTTTTATTTTGAACACTAATACTAATACTAATAATAATAATAGTAATAATTTTTAATGGGGGGTGTGTGTGGATAGGCTTATAGAAAGTTAGCATTGAAATATCATCCAGATAAAAATCCAACTAGCTCTGATAAAGTAATATATACACATACATACATAATTACATTTTGATACAAGAAATAATTCATTCATATATATATATAATATGATCAAGTTTAAAGATATTAGTTACGCATATGAAATACTTGGGGATGAACATAAAAGAAAGGTCTATGATAAATATGGAGAATTAGGCTTACAGATGATGGATTCAGTTATAGGCCCTTTATTTGACCCAGAGATTGAATCCAAATTACGTACTTTACTTGTCACCATATCCTGCTTATTTTCTTTAATACTTGTTTTTATTGCCTTTTTAACGGTTCGAATTGATCAGATCGTGTTATGGTCCTGGGGGATTGTTTGGATTCCAGCCTGGATGATCAATACTATTTTATATATTGGATTAATAGAGTATTTAAGACAACAAAAGGAAGAAGAGAGAGATGAAGAAGATGAAGCAACTTCCATATTGCAAGAGACACATCTTCCTAAAGAAGAGGTCAATTATAAACAAAGACAGCATATTGTCAAATCGATTGTTTATATGATTCGATTTTTGCTTGCTCTCTTATTTCAAATATTGATTGTCATTCGTCTAGACGGACGGGTTATGTGGTCAGGTTTTATTGTCTTTATTCCTTATTTTATAGCTGAGGGGATTCAATGTATTCTAAATGGCGTCTTATTTGTAAAGGGAAAAGAAGAGAAGACGATAAAGAGAATCTTGAGTCAATTCTGGTTGAATATAGTACGGTTTTGTCAATTTCTATTGATCGCTTTAAGGATAGATGATAGCATTACTTGTTCATGGTCTATTGTCTTTATACCTCTTTATTTCATAGGATTTAAATGGGCTTTAGAATTGATATATCATTATTTTATCTATTCTAACCTAACACAGCCAGAGATGGTACGTCAAGGGAAAATGATGATTTCTATAGGTGGGGTTATGTTTATCGTCATGAGTACCTTGTTTTATACATTAATTGGATTGATTGCAAGAAGATTAGATGGTACTCTTTATATACAAATGTCTCATGTATTTGTCCCTCTTTTTATTGTATTTGTAAGCCTCATATAAACATGTATATGTATATGTATATAACTCATTTCTTTCTATATATCATAGTCATTCTTATTATGTTGTTCTACTTGCTGTCTTCCTTCTTTACTTTATATTATGACTATACCTGATATTACTTTAACAGAAACACAACGTTATCATTTTATGATGATGGACGGAACTAAGCGTATCACAGCATTATCTCCTATTATCTAACTTATTGTATTTTTAAGGATTTGAAGAAAAGAAAATACACATATATACACATATATACACGTATACACGTATATATACATACACATACATACATACATATACACATACACACATATACACATACACACATACACACATACACACATACACACATATACACACATACACATACACATACACATATATAATTATATATGCATGCGTGCATGCATAATTGTCCCCTGAATCATTATCGAATTTTAGTTTATTTCTGCTGCTGCTCTTTTTTCTTCAATTATTGAATAACCAAATCGATCAAGTATCTCATTTTCAATTTGTGGATAAATTTCATCACTTGTATTCCCCTTGACATGAATAAGAATATCTTTATAATAGTCTAATAAAGGTTTTGTCATTTCATGATGTTGATCTAATCTTACTTTAAATACTTCAAGAGTATCATCTGGTCTTTTTGATAAAGGTTCACCTGTTAAATCATCTAAACCATCTTTCTTGGGTGGATTATAGGACAGATTATAAACTCTTCCAGAAGGAATATGAACCCAACGATCTATTTATTTATTTATTTATTAATTCTATATCCTTCTTCTTATCGTATTCTTTACCTATAATTCTTTGTAAAATAACTTCTTCAGGGACTTGTAGATTAATAGCAAGATTTAAGGGTTGAGAGATTCTATTTAATGTTACATCTAATGCTTTGGCTTGATTTAATGTTCGAGGAAATCCATCCAATAACCAATTCTAAAAAATAAAAATTAATATTAAACATGTATTATATACACAGGTAAACTTACTTCATTTTTTATTTGCTGTTGAGATGCTAATTCTTTATTTATTAATGAAACAAGTAGATGATCAGGAACCAATTTTCCATCTTGAACATATTGTTTTGCTTGTTGTCCCAATAGTGTTCCTTCCTTAATATTCTTTCTTAATAAATCTCCACTTGATACATGAGTCACTCCAAATCGTTCAACCAATCGACTTGATTGTGTGCCTTTTCCAGAACCCTAATGTATATATGTATATGAAATACAATAGAATCCAAGTTATTCGTTTTTTTTTCTTTTTTTTTTTTTAAAAAAAAAAAACGATTAATCATCTTACAGGACATCCAATCAATAAAAGTCTCAAAGGTTGTTGAAGAATAGAACAAGTATTTACAAGTGTTGAATAATTATTGTTTCGTTTATGAATAAAGTTAGAAAGTTTACTTTTCAGCAAGTTAGAACGAAGCATTATTAAAGTAAAAAGAATAAAAAAAAAAAGAAATGGTAATCCAAATATTTCCTTTTTTGAAATAAAATTATCCAACTTTCAAACTATAATCCAGAATTGGGCGCTAAATATGAAACTAAAGAAGGATAATATGAAGAGCATTTCTATGCTGATCTAGTTTTGTGTTGCCTATAGGATCTAATTTGTTATTCTAGTTCCTTTGAGTATTCGTGAATGTTCAATTCTTTTCAACTGATGATAGTTTCGATCATTTGAGATCTGGCTGTAGAATCTTGTAGATTCGGTGCTAAAATTGAGATAAAATAGCTTCTGTAGTTAAACTGAAGGAACTAAAATAAAAGGAATAAAAGAAAATTAAAGATAAAGCTTCTTTTGTGTCTACACTAAGTGTATGTATTTATATCCCCTGAATTAACGGAATAAAAATAGCTATTAAAAAAAAAATACAAGTCATAAAACTAATAGTGAGTATTCAAATATAAACACCTATTTTCCGTTGATTCAAAACAATACTGATCCATAAATCATTTATTGGGTGTTGCAATCCTTACATAACGTTTTTTTTTTTAAGGTTAAAGTTCCCGAAAAAAAAAAAAAAAAAAAAAAACTTTTATATTTTTACATCCTTTATCAATAAGGTTATCAATAATAAATATTTAGAACTAATGCGATGTCTTATAATTGACACGATTAGATGATTGGATATCATTCAGTTTTATATTAATTACAAGACGTTATATACAGTATGATGCAAAGCTTTACTTTATATTTAGGTTTATAATTTATCCTTTATTATGTAATACATCTACTATAATATCACTTATGCCCATAACCAGAACTTGCTCTACACTAAGTCTACTATTCCTATTCTATTGTTATCATGATCATGGAAATAAAAAAAAAAAAAAAAAAAAAAAAAAAAAAAAAAAAAAAAAAAAAAAAAAAAAAAAAACAACGACAGCAAGTCAAAGTAGCAGTAGTGGTAGTGGTAGTGGCAGTAGATAATACTGGTATTCTGTAGTGAATATCAACATTAGTAAGGATGTATTGTAGTTGTACGTATAAATGGCGGTGGTGGTATAAGTGGTGTGTTTATAGTAAACATAGCCCTATATGTATCCTCTATTTCTGATGAAAGTAACACGGGTGTTTGGAGAGTGACTAGAATTCGCAGCATATTTAGCCCAAGCCTAGGCTGTGGAATCGAATCACTTCAAGGGTTCCCCACCAAATCAAATGAACCCTTAATTTTTTTATTTATTCTTGTTTTTTGTACTACGCCAGCGACTCCTTTTTTTTTTCTTTTTACAGCAACAGTAGTAGCAGTAGCAGCAGTAGCATGAATAATGATGTTTTATGACTACATTCTACCAAGCAACGGTAGTAGATACAGGAAGAACAGTGTTATTATTATTATCTGATACTATTATAGTCAGATCATATATCAGAACCAACAATCTTTAAACGTTCCCCTCCCTTATATATATATATATATATATTATATGAATGTATATTATGTACCTTGGTATCATTATGGCCCTCAAGCCATAGAAAGAAAAATAGAGTGTCTAAAAAGCCTTATTTTATGCCTATACAGATACAAATGTATAGTTGCTATGTTTGATCATAATCACAAGTAAACGTAATATACAGGCTCCTTTAATTGATTAACATCAAGCTTCTCTAGCTAATACTATACATTATGTTATGGCTCATTTAAGAATAAAAACTTAAATAAAAAACTCTACCAAGAATATCGTAATAACAACCAATATCTCTCTATAAACTAGTGTAGAGAAGAATATTCTCGATTACTTATTGTGGTTCAGATAAGTTAAATAATAAAAAAAGAAATTAAAGAAAACAGACAGAAGAAGTACGTTGAGACTTGTCAATAAGTTTATTAAGATAAAGTTAATTATAACTCTTGTTATACCAAATAAGGGTTAATAATGTAAGAGTATCTATATATTTTGTAGATAAGGATGATGAGTAATAAGAAGATAAAAATATAACAAATTGTATTTGATAATACAATTATAGAACGGTTACTAAGAGTTATTATAGATATAGATTCATGTATTTTGTATATAACTAATGTGTGCACTCTAAGTAGAATCAATTATTACGTGTATTTTCATTATTCTTAGTTTACCCCAGTTTAACTGATATAAAGTTATTTTTATAAATTTATATTCAGTAGAACAATAATAAAAGATAGCATATTTTTAGATATAAGACTTTTATTAATTAATTATTTATCTATACAAGAGTAAATATACTTAATATGTTTGTAGACAGAATCATCACAGAAGTGCACTATACGTTCTATTATGACTATTTTTCTTATTGAATGAAGTTACAAATCCTACAACCATGACATTACTTCAAAAAAGAAGATATTGATAAATATAGCAATTCTGTCACTGTAACAGTAATAAATGCAAGGATATTTCTTTTCTGAGAATACTCAACATTTTTTTTCCCTTATTTTACTGAAACATTATCCAGATATTATGTAAACAAAATGAATAATCTTAACTCTTCCTTTAAAGTTCATATTTTGCCTCATCAAAAAAAAAAAGTTGAAATGAATTACCTAATAAATCCCTTGTTCTATGTAGTATATTGTCAAATATTTGTCAATGCCTACAAACTTGAAGGCTAAAAGAGGTTAAGAATTATATTTCAAAAACCGTAAATTATACAGAAAAGATAGCTCTAATAAAAAGACAGTAGTAATACGAACATTATTGCTATAGAGTATATATTCATGTATATATATTTTTAGGAAAAAATAGGCATCATCAGAACTAATTATTCTCATTATTATCTTCATTACAAAAGGAGATATTTATAATACTGTTCCTGAGCTAAAACGTAGCAACAGTAGAGATTTGAAAAAATAAATACATTTCCTCCTTTATATTTGATATATAATAACATGTTATATATCATCCTTCTTATCTCCCTTTTAGTCTTTATAAGAGTTCTCTACAGCCATTGTAATCATTGAAATAGAGCCGATTCATTTTAATATACCTTAAAAATTTATTATCATGATCTAACTTATAATGTCATGTACCTTGATTAAACAAGCGGATCAAGGAACTCATTATCTATAACGTATCTTAATATTGAAAAAGGGGAAAAGATTACTGTGAATGCAAGTTAAAGATAATTAAACTGGTTTTCATAGCATATATCAAAGTAGTTAAAATCGTTAATCTTTACAGCATCATTTTGGCAAACGATGTATGTGAGTAAAAGAATGATTTTAAGCACAGCACAAGGGAGACTAGACTTATCAAATACCCCTTGTTAGAAAATAGTAGTATTTTGTACAAATGAGATGCATATTAATTGCCTAAATAGGAAAAAGAAAGTTGATGAGAATATAAACAAAAAAGTGAAAAAAAAACATTTATTTTATTTACTTTACTTTTCTTGAGCATAAATACATTTCATATAATCATAAAGAAGATATAAAGTTGATAACATTTTACTATTTTACACATTGTTACTTTTTATAAGAAGGAAAGAAAATTAAATAATGTAACTGTGTGTGCGTGTGTATTAAATGTGGGGTAACACATATTCTTATCGATTTCATATGATTGTGACTGTAATTTACAACAACGACCTCCTTATTCTTATGAACTATAAAAAAGTAGCTATTCAAAGTTATTATTTATTCCCTTTTTTCTTCTTCTTTATCTTCTTTATTATTACTATTTCTTTTGTAGGTAAGTCATTAAATAATACTATTTTATTCTTCTTCTTCTTCCCTGCCCTAGGAGGAAATTCTTTTTCTCATGGTTACCACTTATGTACCGGGCTCTTGATGAGGAAGACACCCTATCTTGCCCTCCTTGAATTAGGAGGACATTGTAGGGTATCTTGTTGATTCAGAGGGCGTTACATATTGTGATCGCTATGGTTTTTCTAACCTCCTAGTAAAAATAAAAAATACAAGAACAAAGAAGGTGCAACGAATCCTAGCCTCCACGCGGCCACCTTTGGACTGCAGTAATTATTACTGTTGACGAATTGGGGATTCACTTTTTTATATATGAAATAAAAATGAAAATAAAAATAAAATAAATATCTCTTTTTGCGCATCTTTTAATAATCTTGTGCCTTTTCTTTTTTTTTCTCTAAGAAAAAAAAATATTAACTATTGTTTGTATAATAAAATATTTTTTTTTGCTCAAAATTGACTTTAAGAAGTATAAAAATCTATTCAGGATACGCGTCATTTAGTTGATTATTAATGCAGGTATAAGAATTAAATATACAGTTTGTTAATTCCAATCAAAATATATGACTTTAATAACCATAGTAATATTCTCTGTTCAATTTCAAGAGAATCTAATAGTCAATGAAGTCGCTTTAAATCAATAGCTTTTATCTTTATCATAAATAACTTTTGTGAAGATTCTTTGAATTCTTTATGCAAATTTAGACCTATCTTTATATGCATTTTGTAGCTGTAGTGAATATCTTTACTACTTGAAAATAAGCACACACACACACATATATATATATTGTTGGACATTTCTTAAACAGAAATTTATACAGCTGCGCAATGAACACAACTCGAAACCACACATCACTTGTAGACAATCTCATCTTACTATTATTCCTATACTTTGACTGTCTATGTCCTATAATAAACGTAGTTGTGTTTATTTGATGGTGTCTGGATTGGTTACCTGATAGTACACCCAACTGCTGTTTTTATCATCCATACACTCAACTTGGTCAATTTATGCACACTCGTTTATGCCTGCCAACAACAATTAAAGTCTCACCCCCCCCGATGTAAGTCCTTAAGATTCCCAAAATGTATCTGTTTGGCTTTACTGTTGGTCAATTGTTTGTATAATCCTTCACGAAATAGGCTATTTGTTACATGATAAGATATCTCACCCTGGCAAAAAAAAAAAAAAAAAAAACGAATTGATTGGCGGTCTAACTAAACTTGACAGTATCATTATTCTTTTTATTTCTCCCTTTTCTTCCTTTGTCTTTTTTTTTTTTTTTTTTTTTTTTCTTTACCTCTTGTCTCTTAAGAGGGAGCTTCTTTAAACTATTTCTTTTTTTTTCCTCATATATATTGAACTAACATGAATAATCCAATATACGATTAAACAGTAATTTTATTTAAAAATACATGAACCCATTTGAGCACGAGATATTATTAAATACATCAAATTTGCCCGGACCGGATCAGTTTAAAGGGATGGGATAAGGAATGAAAAAAAAAAAAAAAAAAAAAAAAAAAAAAAAAAAAAAAAACTTCTTTAGGAACAAGAGGAAAAACATAAAGGAAAGGGAGGGTGTGATAGGTGTAATGTAAATATTATACAGGTAGTGTAGGAGAAGGAGGAAGCCGATCTAAGAGACGTTGACCAGGATTGGGTAGGGTAGGAAAACTCGACTTATTATGTTGTAACTGATCAAGTTCATGAAGGATAGAGCAGATGGAGGGCCATCGAATGTGTCAAGGGGTGACAGAATGAGATGAAGCAGGTTTCTTGGTGAGAAGTTGATTTAAAAGAAAGGACAGAGGATCTTGTACAGTTTCAGACATCTGTAACCAAAAGTGCATTTGAAGACATATAACTGCATGTCGTCAAGTGAGGTATTGAGATGGGTGAGTGGGACAGTATGTGGAGTAACCGTTTGGAAGCCATCCAAGCCACCAACGTATGCATCGACTGCGTTCAACAAGAGACATCGGTAACCAAAGGATAGGTTCTATAGATATAGTAGGCCTGTAAAGAGAGAGGAGTGTAGAGTTATTTGGAGCACTACGACGTGTATTTAAGTTATCTTGTAAAAATTGTTGCTGTAACTTTCTAAATCGTTTGTGATCTAAAGAGTGTAGATCGAGGTGACAGGCCTTCCACAGTGGAGTTTTAGATAGTGTATACCATTGTGATCTGCTTGACGAGGTTCGGATGTGGAATAAAAGTTTCATAAGAAGAGCACCATCAGACAAGGAAAGGGGAGCGTAGTAGGAATTTAGCCAGTAATATATGAGACCTTTCTTTCATCGAAGGGAGACGAGTTAAGTGAAGCATAACTTGGACAGAGGAGTGAGTGGAGCCACCGAAGAGTCTTCAAATGCACTTTTTTTTTCTAGGGCATCTTCGAGTTTGTTGTATAAGAATGAGGTGAACTTGTTGATGGCTAGACCGTAATCCAATATACACTATTTTCACAAATTATTCGTGCACCTTCAGGAAAAAAGTTCGTGGAGTTTAAAAATAAAAATTGATTCAGGCTTAGGAATAAACTTTGGCCATTAAAAGGAAATGGGTTTGTGCAATTAAAGAAAAATATTTCGCGCAGTATCAGGAGCCTTTCTTTCTCACTTTTATATTCAATTCAATATGAACTCTTTTATTCATGAAGACGGAAAAGGAAACACGTTAGACGACCAAGAAAATGAAGTTTTTACGATCGATATGGAAGTGAATGATGAACACTTCTCCTGCTTGAAAATGTAACGGACTTGAACCAGTACTTCAACGTAAAGTCGCCCGAGAGAATGGAACAAGAAAAAAAAAAGAGAAGCTGCCTGAAGAGTCAAATACTAATAAGCAAACATTCGAAAAGGGCAAGAGAACCTACAGACGCTACAAATCTGAAGATAAAGAGCGATTTTTTTTTCTTATTTAGGAGAAAAACATGGGCGTAAGAGAAGCAGTTAGAGCCCTTAAAATACCAGAAACAACTGCTCAAAGATGGTACAAAAAAGAAAGCCAGAATCCAGATGAGGTGATTGAAAGAAAAAAAGGGTAGTGGTAGACCTGTGGGGAAGACCATCTTTCTTGAGAGAAGAGCATGAACAATTCTTGAAAGAGCTTACTGATGATAAGCCAAGTTTAGTTTTGCAGGAGATGATGGACAATTTGACAAGCAAGTTTGAGGACCTATCTTTTTCAAAAACTGCTCTTTACAACTTTATAACGAAAAAGTACAGAATTAGTTTGAAGAAAGCACACTTCCACTCAATAGAGCAGGTAGTAAGGTGGAATGAAACAGACCTTGATTTCACGAGTAACTGCATCTTTATTGACGAGGCAGCTTTCTATATCAATATGAAGCACTATGTAGCATGGTCAAAAAAAAAAAAGGAAGCCGTGCCGTGGTGGTTGTACCCAAGACAAGAGCCAAAACAACAACTATTTTGGGTGCTATCTCTCCTTATGGTGTAGTAAACATCAAAGTAAGAAGACCAAGAGCACCTGTCCCTTTGAAGAAGAGAAAGACAGCAGGTAGTACTCAGTCTGCTGGAAATGCCAAAAACGGAACTATCACTGGATACTACTTCAATTTCATTGCAAGTATCCTTGATATTTTGGATCAGCATGAGCCATTTAAGGACAATTACGTTGTTATGGACAATACTCCTATTCACAAGCATGCCGATATCAGAAAATATATTGAGCAACGCGACTACGACTATGATTATCTTCCAGTTCACTCCCCTGAGCTCAACCCAATTGAACAATTTTGGTCAGTATGTAAAAGCAAGCTTAAAAGAGAAGAGCTTCTGCAGGAAGAGACATTGTCGTCTAAAATTGGGGACGCATGCAACAGAATCCTTTTGAGTGATCTTCAAGATTTCTGCAGATACTCAGCTGCTAGATTCGAAGACTGTTTGAACTATAAGCCTGTGTAGTTTTCTTGTTTTTTATTTTTATTTTTAATTTTTTTTTTCGTGCACTTAATGCAATAATAAATTATGAATTTTTAATGAATTCTTTTTTCTGAGCCTGAATCAATTTTTATTTTTAAACTGCACGAACTTTTTTCCTGAAGGTTCACGAATAATTTGTATTATGTTGAAATTTTTAGTCATAGCTGAAAAAAAAAAAAAATTAATAAAACTCAGTAAAAAATTTTGTCATTCTTTTAATTTTTATAGTTTCTTTTTTAATTTTTCTCCTTTAAATAAATGTATTTTATTTTTATATAACACAAAAATAAAGCCTTTTTCTTTTTGTTATTTCCTTAACTCTTTTTTTCTTTTTTTTTTTTGAAAAAGAAGAAAAAAAATAGAATGGGAAATACAGCAAGTATTGAAGATGCGGGACCAAAGCATCTTTCTTATTTGAAATCAAGACGGCAAAGTAATCGATCTATAATGTCAGCAAAGCAACTCAATTCAGCCTCTTCTAATAATAATGATCTTGTAATTTGGCCCTCTCGGAGAACTGCAAAAAGTAACAGTTCTTTATCTTTTTTATCAGAAGGTCAACAACAGAGTCACCATCATGGAATTATAAGTCGACTAAAGAATAAAGCAACAGGACATAAAAATCATCATAAAGGTGGTAGTGGTAATGGTAATGGTAATGGTAGTAGTCATAGTATAAATAGTACAAGTTCAACAGCTACCGCAGTCACAACAAAGCATCATCTTATCCCATATCAATTCGATTCCTCTATAGACGATCTTATGGCTAACTTAACAGTAGATAGTTCAACTTCGACTCTTTTATATACTACTTCACCTCAGTCTAATCAACGTCAGGAAATACCGATCATTGAAAAATACACAGATAGTCAAATGTCATTATTCTTTAATCATACCAAAGATACCATTCATCATCATCATCAGCCGCAGGACGGTGCAGAATCTATTTATAATGAAAGTGATATTATTTCGACTCATGCCATCATTGACAGTAATACAACTTGTCATGAAGATCAATCTGGACCGTATTCAAGTGAGTTATTATTAAAAGAGTTATTTATGTTATATGAAACAAGTCCTGAAAGAAGAAGAGATCGAGACAGGTAAATATATACATGGATATAAAAGGAAAAGAAATGCACCAGAATATTAACTTTATTCTTATTATTATTCTATGTATATTATACATTATAGGAGACATAGACAGGTAAATTTTTTTTTTTTTTTTTGCTTAGAAATACGTGTAATAACCAAATATCATGATTAGCATTATTTATTAAAAAGGACTTGGGGAAGTAATTATAAAATACCTTTAAAAGATCCATCACTTATTATTCATTGGTGCTGTGCAACAGGTAAATACAGACACATATTTCTTCTACTTTACACTCTTTATATATATTAATTCCATTATATAAAAATAAATATATAAAGCTGTTTGGGATGTAGAACTGGCTTTTGAATTTCCAAATGCTAAAGTTATCGGTATTGATTATCAATCAGCTACAGTTTCTAGTCTAACAGATACTGTCAATAATTTTTCATTTCATAATGCAATCATTCATGAAGGAGAGTCAGGATTAAATGATTTTAAAGATAATGAAGTAGATTATATTATGATGAGAGATGTTTCGATTGTAAATGCTCCTTCTTCAAAATGGACTCAACTCTTTAAAGAAATTTATCGTATATTAAAACCTGGTGGATATATTGAGATTTATGAACAAGGTTTTTTTTTTGTCTATCATCGAATACCATTTATTTCTTGTTTTTAACTTTTTCGTAATTCTTTTATAGATGCTAATTTTGAATCAATGGGACCGAATTTAACTCTCTTGGAACAATGGGCAGATCGAGTTTATGAAGCAATCCAATTTGATCGTCAGACAAATAAGGATCTAGGTCTATTTTTAAGGGATGCTGGTTATGTGAATGTTAAGGAAGAATCTATTCAACTGCCTATTGGTGAATGGCCAGAATCGAAAGGTACATAAAGATATTAATGTTCAATACAATCTATTTTGAATGCTCATCCATTATTTATAGAATTAAGAGAAACAGGCTATCTTTTAAAAGACTTAACAGAACGTAGATTTAGAGAAGCAAAACGTTGGTGTTGTAAATTTAATCATATTACTGAAAAAGAATATTTAACAGTAGTAAGTAAAGCGATTGATGAATGTGATGACTATAATACAACTGTCTATAGCCTTTATTACAGTGCTCAAAAGCCTTATTAAAGATTATTACGTAACATAACATCATAGACAACTTTCTTCTATAAAATGAATAAATTAGACTTTTTTTTGTGGGTGTATTAAATAAAGATTTATGCGGATTAAATACCAGCAATAGCAATCTCATCTTAATTGGATCTAACCAATAATAAGCTTTCATCTTTAAAATAAGCATAAAATAAAATAAACCCATCAAATCCCTTTCCCAGATTTTTTCTTTTTTATTTCATTTTATATTTGTGTCATCATAGAGTATGAAGATTATTAACAAGATTGAAAAAGCAGAAAGGGAAGGACGTGCATTTTGGTCCTTTGAGTATTTCCCTCCAAAGACAGATATAGTAAGAAGAAGAAGAAGAAGATCCTTTTTCTTTTTTTTTCCCCCTATTATTCATTATCATTTATTCAATCCATTTTTTTTTGTTTTGTTTTATTTAGGGTGTTCAAAACTTATATGATCGTATGGAAAGGATGCAGCGTTATGGGCCTGAATTTATAGACGTTACATGGGGCGCAGGTGGAAGTTCTGCTGAACTCACGATAAATATTGTTTCTACTTCACAGTCTGTCTATGGATTAGAAACTATGATGCATTTAACTTGTACAAATATGCCAATAGAAAAGATAGATAATGCTTTAAAGGTAAGAAGAGTTGAAGGGATGAATTAAATCATCATCAATAAAGTAACTGATTCCTGTTTATTTATTTATTTATTTTACTTTTATAGGCAGCAAAGGCATGTGGTTGCCAGAATATCTTGGCTTTGCGTGGTGATCCTCCAAAAGGACAATTAAACTGGGAATCTTGTGAAAATGGGTTTAACCATGCTATTGATTTAGTGCGTTATATTAGAAAGAAATATGGTGATTATTTCTGTATCGCTGTTGCAGGTAATTAGGCTAAACAAAGAGATGACTTGATACTCAAATATTTACTTTATAACCTTTCCTCTATTCTCTTTTTTTGGTATATATACTACTACTTTTTTTTTTCTTTTAAGGTCATCCTGAAGGACATATTGATAACGAGGATAAAGAAGATGATCTACAAAGATTAAAAGAAAAAGTCGATGCAGGTGCCAACTTGATTATTACTCAACTCTTCTTTGACGTTGACATCTTTATTCACTTTGTAAAACGTTGTCGTGCAATCGGTATCACCTGCCCTATTCTTCCAGGAATTTTCCCTATTCAGAGTTATGCTGGTCTACAGCGTGTCATTTCTTTTAACCATAATGCTGTGCCCCAAAAAATATGGGATGATTTAGAACCAATTAAGGATGATGATTTAGCAGTCAAAGATTATGGTATTGATCTTGCTGTTCACTTTATACATGAAATTAGAAAACAAACTGGGATTCAGTGTTTCCATATCTATACTTTTAATCTTGAACGTTCTTCTCGTCTAATTTTGGAAAAATTGGGTTTAATGCCAGAAATAGAGCATATAAAACCTTTGCCTTGGTATCCTGTAAGTATCTTTATATATATATATGTATAACGATGGAAAAGCTTTATCTTTCCTTCTCTCTCCTTACTCTTTTATATACATTATAGTCACTTGGACCAAATCGTACAAAGGAAACAGTCCGACCTATTTTCTGGAAGAATCGTACACAGAGTTATATTCAACGTACTGAATCTTGGGATGAATTCCCTAATGGACGTTGGGGTGATGCACGTTCACCTGCCTTTGGTGAATTTGATCGCTGGGGGGTCTCTATTAAATATCCAGTTGAGAAGCGTTTAAAGATGTGGGGTGAGCCTGAATCACCGGATGATATTGCTCTTATTTTTGCTAAATACTGTAAAGGGAAAATTGAAGGATTGCCTTGGTGTGCACAAAAGTTAGACCCTGAATCAGATATCATTAAACAAAGACTAGCCGCTATTAATTTACTTGGATATCTTACTATCAACTCTCAACCTGCTGTCAATGGTGTAAAAAGTAGTGATCCTGTCTATGGCTGGGGACCTAAGAATGGTTATGTTTATCAAAAGGCTTATATCGAATTCTTTCTTTCTCCTGACAAATTAGATGAGTTAACAGAAAAGATGGAAAAGGATCCTGAAGTGACTTATTTTGCTGTAAACAAAAAGGTAGTACTTTTATTTTATTTTGGTTAATAACGTGATAATTCATCATCTTTTTTTTTTTTTTTTCCTTTAGGGTGAATTAAAAACAAATACAGAATATGATGAACCTAATGCAGTTACTTGGGGTGTTTTCCCTGGAAAAGAAATTATACAACCTACTATCGTTGAACGTATTGCATTCATGGCTTGGAAGGATGAAGCATTTAGTTTATGGAATGAATGGGCACACACTTATGATAGACAGAGCTTATCGGCTGAAGTCATTTTGAATATTTATGAAAATTGGTATTTAGTTAATATTGTTCATAATGATTTTCAAGATGAAAAAGGTATTTGGCGTTTATTTGATCTAGAAATTGATGGAGACTTGTCTAAAAAACTAAGACGTGGTTCTGGTTCTCTTTAAGAAAGAAGACATTCTTTTTATATCTATGCCTCACACACACACACACACACACACACACTTTCCTTTTATTTCTAGTATTTATCCCCTCCATACCATCATTATATAATATAATTTAGAATAGAAAGAAATAATACATATTTATTGTTAATTATGGATCAATAAAATTATGTTTAAAAACTACTACTATTAGCAAGCATCAACAATAATGAGTGTAGCTCCGGTCCGAACATCAAAATTTGCAGTGTTTATTCATTGACTCCGACTTTTTTTTTTTTTTTTTTTTTTTTTTGCGTTTGTAATTTTCCTTAGCAAAAAAAAAACAAAAAAAAAAGCTGAGAATAATACGCATTTGGGAGCTGTCAACAAGAAGAAACTTCCTCTTTTCAATTCCTTTGTTGAGTTAGGTATGACATCCAATAAGAAAACAATACAGCATAATCCTACATTAAACAGATCTTATCCCATCCATCCATCCATCCATCAATGAGAGACAAGTAAAGAATATTAATTAATTTTTTTTCTTCATTGTAATCATAACAGAAACGTAACAATGGCCAAGTCTAAGAACCATACCAACCATAACCAAAGTAAATTTTTTTTTAATGTAGATTATTTCAATGAATGTTTTGACATTAACCTTTCCTTTTTTTTTTTCCACTCTCTCTTTAGACAAGAAGGCTCACCGTAACGGTATTAAGAAGCCCGCTGCTCACAAGTACCGCTCTCAAAAGGGTGTAAGTAATCCAATACATATATTTATATAAATGGATAGACTTTCCTTTTTTTTTAGGGTTAATTACTCACATATCTTGACCTTTTTTTTTCTTTTAATATTATTTTAAACGCATAGTTGGATGCCAAGTTCCTTCGTAACCAACGTTTCGCCAAGAAGGGCACTCAAAGAGCTCTTGCCGCCGCTACCAAGGCTTAAACAGTTTTAGGATGATTCATATTTTATTATAATTCAACAATAAAAGTCTCCCCCCAAAAAAAAGCTGTTCAATTGCTCTTTAACATTGGAAATGGTTATTTAGAAAAAAAAAAATGTTTTAATGTGAATTTGATTTACACGCTAGTTTATGATTTTATGAATTTATTTATTGACTCTGTCCTTTTTTATTTATTTATTTTTTCTTTTTTTTTTGGCTTTAATAATATATCCGATATTGTATAAAGGACTTGTCCAGCAAGGGAATGAGAGAATACAAGAATAGTGGCAGTTTAAATTCAGAGAAATGAATTGTATATATAGTAGCTAGTATAAATAATAACAATTCCTTTTTAGATGAATTGGATTATTCATTCATGTCCTTTTTCATTCATTATTCTTATTTAATACGGAATATTCTATTAAAGAATGAATTAGGTAAACAGGTTGATTTCTTTTACTTTTTCAAAAAAAAAAAAAGAAAAAAAAAAAAGACTAAAACTTACATTGATCTCACAATGAGCTTTAATATTTTCAAAAACTTTGAGCATTTTGCGTCTAGCACCCAGGGCTGCCACGCCTCTCTTTAACAAATCTTCATCAGACATTTTAACAATTTCTTGCCAGCTACAGTCACTAAAGATAGCATTGTATTTATGTAAACGAAGACTCCTGAGCCAAGCAGGGATATCTGCAGAGATATAAAGATCAGATTAGTTTTTTTTTTCCTTTTTTTTTTTTTTTTTTTTTTTTTTTACCTTTCAAGAGTTCCATATCAACAACTTCTACAGCTTTTTTATCTTTATTAGCTCTTGAGTTGATAGTGTTAGTAGTGATATTTGTTGTATTACTGATATTGAAATTAGTAGGGGATATATTGGTTTGATGATCGTTATGGTCATTTGTATAGCCAGTACCATTATTACCAATAGGATCATCTAAAGTAAGCGCTGTAGTACTTTCAATAATACCTTGAAACGGTTGCGAGTTTGAAGCATTCATCAAATAATTTGTATAATGATCTCCTAAACCATTGTTTTTAGTGCTGCTGTGGTTATTATTATTACTGTTGTTGGGTTTACGGAAATGGGAATCAACCCTGTTATTATTACTACTACTGCTGCTTGTATCATTTGAAGCTGATAAAAATGAAGTTCTAACTAACTCATCTGTCTCTGGTAAAACGGGAATTCGGTTCACTACAGCTCGTCTTCGGAAAGGCTGTTGAATTGAATTTGTAAAATCAATTAAATCATTATCTAATTGTTGTGGCTGCTGTGGCTGCTGTGGCTGAGTACCCCATACTGATACATATCCATTACTGCTATTATTATTAGTTGCATTATTCGTTGCATGATTAGTGTTATTTGCATGATTAGTGTTATTCATATTATTGTTATTATTATTATTATTGCCACTTGCACGACGATCCATAATTAAAGGATCGACAGTAGGAAGAGCCCAGTTACTGATATCAGCTGATTTAGGACGTTCAGCTATTAATTTACTACTACGATCACCAATATGCCCTACACCTGCTGTAGGTTGACGACGCAAACTGGTATTACCACCATTGTTGTTACTACTACTGCTATTATTTGTATTCATCCAGCTTATAGAGCTGGGAGGGAAAAGTGAATTAGTGTCACCTTCAATCACAGAGTGAGGTCTTCCACTACTATTAAACATAGCACGTCCAGACGTTCTATTACTACTTGTTTGGCTGCTTAATCGTCTAGCACTATTGGCAGTTGAATCATCCAAGATAGAGCTTACGTAAGGCGAACGAGTTGTATTTAATAAGTCATTACCAGTACGGCCAGTACCAAACAGCCGACTATATTCTTCAGTATCGCCTAATGCAAACGAATGACGATCTACTGTACGTCGATTGACATTGCTACTTGGGGGTCGACTTATAACTTGGCCTGTCTTATAAGGCAACACAGACATTAAACGTTGGCTTGCTTCAAGTTCTGCCTTTGCCATAGCACCAGCTAAATGAGTTTGCATATCTAAAAAAAAAAATAAAATAAATAAAATAAAATAAATAAATAAATAAAAAGTGGACTTAATAATCTCCCCCAACCCATTTTCCTTCTCCATTCATATAAATATGTTATCTATCTAAATTCTAACCTTGATCGGGATTATTAGGTGTTAATAAAGAAAATAAAGGATCCCTTTTTAACATTTGTTGTAGTAAATTTATAAAAAATCTTGCTTGAACTTGACTTGAATGTTGAAGTAAAGTATACATAGTAGCCGTTTTCTCAGCTTCTGTTAAATAACGATACCACTGGTCAACATGTTGCATCTCTTCTTTGAAATTCTAAGGAGAAAAAAAAAACACACACACACAGTTGGGATATTAACGCGTAAAAATTATTTATTTTTATCTATTCATTGTATTTACTTGATCTAGCGTAGCAGAAGCCATCTCATCCAAGTTTCTTTCATAATTTTGCAAATCTTCATACCAGTTACCCGCAATATCAGCTTTTTTTTTTTTTTTTTAAAAAAAAAAGTTAATGTAAGCTATTTTATCAGTTTATAAATAGTTGTATATTAGCTTTTACCTTCGCTTATAAAACGACCTGGGTTAATAATTTCAGACATGGGCCTAACAGGCCGAGATTTATATTCATTGGGAAGCATATTTTAAATTACTTTTAAGAAATCAAAATATATTCAAGTATACAAAAAAATAAAAATAAAAATAAAAAAGATGGGAATAAAGTAATTTAAAAAAAATAGTAAAGGAAAAAAAAAGGAAAAAAGAAAATGAAAAAAATAAAAAAATAAATAACTAGAATAGGTTATTATTCGTTATGTACTATGATGGTGTTATATATTTATATATTTATATAATACAGCTTTTTTTTTTCTTGTTTTTTTTTTAAAAAAAAAGTGGAAAATTTTTGGCAAAATAACAATTTCAAATTTGAAGAATAAGAAAAACTCTCTTAATTAATCGAGAAATTAAAGTAGTGAAAATCAGAAAAATTTATAGAGAAAGTGTATTTTTTTTTTTATAATAGAATATATTTTATGAAAAGGTTTAAAATTTAAAAAAAGATAAATCTAATTATAAAGACCTTTACAAATTTATCTTGTTGTTCATCAATACGAAAGTCAAATCTTATATTTATTAATTGTCTCAAAGATGCATATTTTTTAAAGACAAATTTCTATAATTGTCATATACATAAAAACAAAGTGATACTATTACAATTTGACCAAGTCATTTATTAAATACGATATTTACTTTTCAGGGTAATAGTGTGTATGTGTATTTTATTTTATTTTTCTTATGAGTGAATTTACAAATATAAACAGTTAGCTTGCAGATATGTTTAATTATTTTTTTATCAAAATAAGTGCATAATGATTTGTAATTACCCATTCAAACTTACCCAATGTTTTTATTTTATACTTATACTTTTTTTTTTCAAGTTGAGGTATTTAAGATTATATAGAGTTTCATTTACGTATTATTTTAGATTCAAGGATACTAACTAAGGCTTTTTATATCTTTATTTTTTTTTTTGCTTATTTCTTCTATTACATATGCAATCATAATATAATACTTTAAGGATAAATCATTGATACATACACCTACTATTATGAATGAATATGAATATATGAATAATAAGTTTATGATCAGCAGTGTCCTAGATTGCTCATTTAATGGCTTAAACAAGTGCTTTTTAAATAATAATCGATTAATTTTATTTTATCTTTTATATATGTAGATAGATAGATAAATAGATAGATAGATAGATATATGATGGTAAATTAGCATTGATCTATTATCTCTTTATTGTTGAGAATAGATAACGCATCACATAAGCAGTATGCCTTACAATACTTCTTTACAGCTATATGTGTAAGATATATTCAGATCCGTTTAATTTTACCAATACAAAGCTAATTAAGTCTAGCCTCCTTCTTCTTGTTATGCTTCATTTTCATTATATACATTCTCTAATATTAACAATTAGTCACATTATGAGAATATTTCTTTATAATACTTGTAAAAAAAAAGGGTTATACTTTTACCTACCTCATCAAATACATTATATATCAGTTATTTTAATATTTATTGTCACAACTACATGTTGAAATAGCTATCATTGGTAATAAATAGAATCATTCATTTTAAGTATTTATTATATATACTGCTGTCCTCTTGTGCTTCCCTTTAGAGTCAAAAAATGAAAAGAAAGGGAATTTATTCAAGTACAAATAATGTATGTGTATATAATATAATTCATCATAGTTCTTACATTCAGATAAAAGAAATATATAGCTATTATATGTAAGATATACATATATATATTGAAGAAGGTGAAGCTGTGAGTAGAGGGACAAACTTCTGGTAAATGGTTATTACTAAGGTTGATTGATCCAGTTATAGTGATATATTCAAAATATGAATGCTCATTACTAGCTTCTTTCCATCTTCCGTATTTAAGGTCAATGGTCAGACGTATTACTATTGGTATCTTGTTTTCTTTTCTTTTCTTTTTTTTTATCCCATTATTGAATCTTGAGCTACTTTTCGTTGATCCTGTGGGGTCTTCCATCACAAGAATCTCGACTGTTGATAAGGTAGAGATAAAAAAAGAAGACAGAATAAATCTGTGAAAACGTTGTATGAAACTTTTATTATAAATTGAATATCTTGAAAGAAGAATATTTCCCATAAAATGATTGAAGTTATTTTATTTGAGCTCTCTAGTCTTTGCCCGCCCCTGATTGAGAATTAACCTCAGTTAACTCACTCTAATAAAAAATTAAATTATTCGTATTCGTGTTCAATCTAGCCGGCTCGGCTATTTTCCTTGAAACCAAATAATAAGATCTCGTTTGTTCATGACTCTGGTCTGTATATTATATGATATTATATAATACATCATTATATACACAACAATCAGCTATTGGTGTTAATACTAAATCACTCGAATTATGGTGCAAAGCATCTTACACTACCTTTGACAAAGTAGCATACAATTTACTGTCTTCAAATGCATTATCGACTTCAAATGTTTGAAACTATTGAGGATTTTTTCTCATTTATCTTGAATCAGTTTCCTACAAAGCAATCACGTACATACTTTAGTAACCTTCCTTGATTTTTCTGTCGGCAAGTTACTTGTACAATCCTTTACGAACCTGATTACATTCTTCGCCACAAAAATTCACCTTTGCTACTTTCACAACCTGGCCAACAATTCCTAAATTGGCTTCCCCTCTACTCTCTCTTTCTGTCAATAATAGTGTCATAGCTACACTATACTCCTTTTTAACTTTCTTTCTTTTTTTTTATTCTTTACTCTTGCTTTCAAAAGGATTTTTTTTTTTTAGTATCTTTTGCCATTGATGATCTCATCCGGGCAATTTTGATACTATCATGTGCCCAATTTTGGGTTTTTTAAAATTTAAATAAAAATTATTGTTTAGTAACTTAATTTAGAATTAAACGATGAATTAAACAAGATTTTATTTATAATCCCGATATTATTAATGTTGTGCTGTATTTTTATTTTCTTCTTTTTCTTCTGTTAGATTTTTTTTTTAAAAAAAAAAATCCTTAATTAGATGTCTAATCGACACCATTACCAACATTATGGAAACGAAAGTAGGTCAAATGCACAAGATGAAGTCGAAGCTATGTTGAATTCACTTGTTGGTGCTCAGCCTTACACCGCTCGTCCTGGTTTATATGATAATGTAATATATAATCATAACTTGTAAAATTTTCTATTTTAACATGTATATTTGCTCATAGGCATCTCACTATTATCAAGCTGACAATAATCTTGGACCACCTCCAACACTTCCACCACGTAATGAAAGTAATGGTTATATAAGAACAAGCCAGAATTATGAAATGGAAAGTTCCAATAAATATTATTATCCTCCTGCCCCTGAAAACTATCATGGCTATTCTTCTCAATCAATACCTACAACTCCTTTACCTCAAAGGGTTTCCTCGGCTACTTCTGAACCTTATGCAACAGATTTAGCTTATTATCCTCCTACTAACTATCCTATGCCTGTACCTCAACATAATTTTAATAGTGCAAGTATATACCCTCCACCACAATATGATCAACGTATCTCCAATCAGCAAGAAGGGTCACCACCAGGTTCTCCTAGACACCAAAATCAACAAGTATATCCTCCTTTAGGATACCCTGATATCACTCAAGAATTCATTAATAATTCTTATAGGCCCACTTTTACTCATCAAGTATCTGATGCTTCTACTTTTACTTCAACTCCATCATCCACAGAAGCACCTTCTCGAATGCCTTCTTCTTCCTCTTCTTATGCATCTGGTGGATACAGACCTATGCCAACATCTACTACTCAACCATATCGCAAACCACATTCATCTTTACGTTCAAATATGATTATGACAATTGAACGTCCTCGATATACATATCCGTCAGAAAATCTTAATGGAGAGGATGGTGAAGTTCCTTTCATTCCCGTCTCTCCTGATTCTGATAGTGATGAAGGTGAGTATTTTTCAAATCATCGTCATCACGATCACTCTTCTGTTTCGGCAACTGTTGCTACTGATTATCAACATCAGCAAAAATCAACAGGTACGGAGTATATCGACCCTTCTCGTTTCTATATGCAGCCTCAGCCTGTAATTGAAAATAAGATAATGGCTACTCCAATTCAAATGGAGCATCAGCCACATATTGAAATAATGAAGCCAGTAAACCAATCAGAACAACCACAAGAGATGAATGTTACGAATCATTTAGAAAATAATCTCATTATTCCTAAAAGAGAGGTAGAGCCAAACTATGGATTACTTTCTGTTTTATCAATCGCTTTTGCACGTAATGTTAAGGGATTAGAGCATGTTCGAGAATTATGGTGTGCGAGTGAATATAATGAGTCATTTACGGGTTCAGAGGCTATAGTAAGTGCGTGTGTCTACTATTTTTATATATTTATATATATACATATACATATAATTGATTTAATTCCCTTTTTTTTTTCTTTTTCCTTAACAGACTATTCTTAGAAATTTATTGAAAGAATTAATACCTGATGAATATTGTATTTTAGTAGCTAATGTTTTAATGAGAAGCCATCCTCCTTTATTTTCTCCAACTCAATACTCTCAAAAATCATTGATTTCAAATTCGGTCAATTCAGATGACACATATTTCATTGAAGAGAATATTACGAAAGATTATACACCTATAGGTGTTATTCCTAGTTTGACACCATGCTACAGCTATACTTGTCGTCCTGGAGTGGGCGGTTGCTATTCAGCGTTTTGTCCTAATACTGGTAAAGACTTTTTAGTCAATGTTAAGGTTGAGCCAACTGCTTCTGATGACACAATTGACAAGACCATAACTTCTCCTAAAGGAGGCTGGGTAAAAAAAAAAAAAAAAGATACATATCATATCCACTAACATTTTAGTAAATAATGACTTATAGTTGGTATCTCATGATGCATGGTCAGCTAGAATGGATAGAGAATTTTTAAAGACATTAGATCCTAAAGAAATTGGAAGACAAGAAGCTTTGAATGAAACAATTTATTCAGAAGAAAAATATTTAGCTGATTTAAAGATTCTTCATGAGGTAAATATAAATGAAAAGGTAAAAAAAAAAAAGAAATATACTGAATAGAATATTAGGTTATTGTGAAGGGGATTGAAGAGTCAGGCGTAATTGAACCTGATCGTGTGAATAGTTTTATCAGTACTGTATTTAATAATTATCAAGAGCTAATTCAAATGAGCGAATCTATGTTTAAGGATATGTTAGTTCGTTATCGACAATATGAAAATGAATGTATTCCAACTATTGGTGATATTCTAGTTCAACATATGCAGTTCTTTGAAGAGGCCTATGTAAAATATAGTCCTCATGCTCTTCTTGCAAAATATTTAGCTGAAGCAGAAATTAAAAAGAATGCTGAATTCGAAAAATTCACCAAGGAACTTGCTAAGCATGATCGTACAAATCGTTTACCAATATGGCATTATTTACTAAGTCCTGTGACACGTATGCAACGATATCCTCTCTTGATTGAAGCTCTTTTGAAGAAAACACCTATTGAACACCCTGATCATGTTTTCTTAACACGTAGTCATGATATTATCAAATCTGTAGCTACCAAGGCAGATAACGCTGCTACTCATATTAAGAAGCGTCTAGCTATTCTTCATATACGTGACAGTATTACCTTTAAGCAAGGTGAATTTTATGATCTACAATTAAGTGATCCTAATCGTCGTTTATATCATAAGGGAACTTTAAAACGGCACAGTGGTACATTAGATGTCACTGATAAGAACGACATTTATGCATTTGTCTTTGACCATATGTTAATAATGACAAAGTTACGAAAAACAAATACAGGAGAAGAATATCGTATTTGGAATAAACCAACCCCTCTCCAGATGCTTGTTGTTCAAAATAATGCTTCTAATACCAGATCTCAATTATCAGGCACAACCTTAACATTACATCATCTAGGCTCTCGTGGTGGAACAGTGTATCCTTTCTTTTGTTCCTCTGTTGAAGAAAGACAAACATGGGTAAAGGCAATTGAAGATGCAAAAGCGAGTTTGAAACGACGACAAGGCGAAACGGATGTCTTTGAATTGCGTCCACTAGATGATGTTAATTTCCGAACTTTAGGATCAGGGCAATATTCAGGCACTACAACACGTATCAACTGTTCTGTACCCTTTATATCAGCCACACAAGAAAGAAAGATTGCTATCGGTACTGATAATGGTGTTTTCTTCAAGACAGAAGGTCGTGACAATTCTATACGTCGTATCATTCAATGTGAAAGTGTAATTCAACTCGCCGTGATGGAGAAGTATCATATCTTGATTGTTTTAACTGAAAAAGCATTAAAGGCATATCCTGTTGATGCACTTGATTCTAAAAGTAATACGAAAGCAATCGACCGTGTGGAGGTCGAGATTGCTCAACATGTCAATTTCTTCCAAATTGGGCATTGTAATGGTCGTGATTTACTTGTATTTAAGAAAAAGAAGAATACGACAAGCGTATTTACTGCATTAGAGCCTTTTTGTGATTTACGTGACCCAAAGAACGAAAAACTATTGACTCACAGACCTTCCATCTTTAGCAATAGAGCTGAATATTTAAGATGGTTCAAGAAATATAAGGTTTTATATCTTTCTTCATAAATAATATATGTATATACTCATTTTTTAAATTATAGGACTTTTATATTGGTGCAGAAGCAAGCAATATTCATTTCTTGAAAGCTAAATTAAACATTGTTTGTGAACGTGGCTTTGAAGTCATCGATCCAGAAAATTTGACAGTGGGTCGTGACATCCCTGATTCTGAAGATCCTGAATTTTATTTTGTTACACGACATTCAGAACCATTAAAACCCTTAGCTATGTATCGTATCAATGATAAATTCCTTTTGTGTTATGATAAATTTGCATTTTATGTCAATAATCGAAATGGCTCTTTAGTACCTAGACCAGATAAAAGAAAGTAAGTGAATAACGAAAAAAAAAAAAAAAAAAAAAAAACTAAACTGATATGTATATATATATATATTTTTTTGTATTAGGCCTGCTACTATTTGTGATTGGGAAGGTAATCCATCCCATATTGTATATGAGCACCCTTATATCATTGCTATAGATCCTTACTTTATTGAAGTTCGACATGTTGACACTGTAAGTTATTACATTTTTTTTTTTTTTTTTTTTTTTTTTAAAAAAAAAGGAGGTATACACTAACATTATACTTGGTAGGGTGAACTTGTACAAGTCATTTCTGGTGAAAATATTCGTTTAGCTTATTATAATGGCGGGGGTGAGAAGCCTATTATTCATGTCTGCATGACACATAACCAAAAATCAGATACGCAAGCGCTATACCATTTGGTCTTAAACAATCATCGTAATTCTGCTGGTTATCCTCGACGATAACAAAATAGATTTTACATTTTCTTTCTCGCATTTTAATTTTTCTTTTTTATACATATATAATAAATTGAACCCTTATATCATGTCATGTAAATTTTAAATAGATTCCATCTTTTGTTGTATCTATAAGTTATATACATTGTATAGTTACACAAGAGGAAAGTATAAAGTTTATTATGATATATAACTTTTTTTTTTTTTTTTTGTTTCTTTGTTTAATTAAAAAAAAATCTAGAGATTCTATATGTAAAGTACGTATTTTTTTTTACCATTCAATATTAGAGGGATCTTCTTCGTCAGAATCAGAATCAGACGAAGAATCTTGTTGTTGTACAATTGGTTTCTTTTGCACAGGGGCTTTATCTAAAATGTATAGTTAGATTACAAAATATAAGTTACCATGATACAAAAAAAAAAAAAAAAAAAAAACTTACCAAGTTCTTGAGTAAAGTAACTACTTAATGAAGGGAAATCATCTTTGGCAGATTTAGTGATATCATCATTTAATAAGGAGTTGTCTTCAATGGTAGATTGATCATCCAATACTTTTGTATCTATATCCATCACTTCTAATGTAGTGTCTTCTTGTTGTAATGCATCAATACGAAGAGTCATAAGAGAAGACATGAATGAGTCAAATAATGACTCTACATTGGGAAGTACATGACTTGGTGCAGACATGCCAGCCATGTCTCCTTCTTCTCTACGTTTCGATGCTCTGTCCTTTCTATTTGCTGACATGGCCTCCTCACGTAATGCTTGTGCTGTCTTGAGACGAATACGAGTTTCTTCTTCACTCTCACGCTCAGTTTCACGTTTACCGTACATACCGTCTAATAAACCTGATTCAGACCTATCATTATTTATCATAGATAATGTATTTGCATCCTCCTTTTCAGTTTCTGTTTGGCTATTTACCGCCCTTTCGACAGTTGTTCTCGGTTTGATTGTATGAATAGCAATTTCATATTTATGATTAAGACAAATTAATGCACTTGATAATGTTTTGTTTTCATTTTGCTCTTTAGGAAGCCATGCCATAGAAAGACATTTATAATCCACATGTTGTAATGCAATAGGCTTAGGAGATTTTGCATCAAAAACAATAATACGTGTCTGATTACAAGCAATATGATTGCAAGCAATAGCAATTCGATTTGATACTTTATCGATAGCAAGATGATCCACTAAAATTTTATAACTCCACCAAACCTTACAAGTTAAAATGTTCCAAACATATAAATGAGACATTGTTTTAGCAACTAAAAATGGCGAATTATCACCCAAGAAGCTTAGAAATGTAACATCTTCAGGATTAGGTTGTGCAAATACAGCTTGGATAGAATTTAAATAGGGATCCCACAAAGTAATAGCTTGTTCAAAGGCAACAGCTAAAATACTACCATCCTCAGAGAATGCGGCAACAGTTGGAGCAACATCACGATAAACACCAACTGAACGGCAAATCCAAGCGGCATCAGCACCAACTTGCGAGTTACGACCAGCTCCCGTACTCAAATTCCACACTTTAAATGTTTTATCCTCTGATGTTGTAATAGCCATAGGGCCATGACGAGATATTGGATTAAAAGTGACGGATGTGATAGGCTTTGTATGTGGGTAATCAACACGAGTGTGAAGCTTATAAGCCTGGGTATCAGGATCCCAACGCCAGAACTTTAAGAAGAGTTCAGGAGTTGTAACCTTATCATCACGCATATCAACAGTAGCCATCCATTCTCCACTACGCAAAAATGCTACATGAGCAACATGCCCATGAATGACATCTCTTTCGCCAGAACGTACAATACGATTGACAGGCATAACTTCCAAGTTCATTACATGGCTATCAGAAATAGCATCATAGAATTGAATACTGCCTTGAACACCATTTAAAACGACATGATGATTACGAGGTTCAACAATAAGACCCGTAGAAAGAGGATTCGATGCATTATCAGCATGAGCTATCAAAGTTAATTACATAAATAAATTGTTTCAATTATTTAGTTTGTCTCTTTTCTTATTTTACTTACCATATTGAAGGCCTTGAATAACTTGCTCAATATTCTGAGTAATACTATTAATTAATCGAATTGAGTTATCCTCTAATCCAACACAATAAAATCTATGATTAGGAGAAATTGTAATAGAATCAATAGCACCACCCAATCTAGGTAAAAATTGCTTATGTCCTGTATCTAATTGCCAAATAACCATAACAGATTCACCACCACCAGACAACAAGTATGAACCATCAGCCATAAATATAAGACTGCGTACATAAAGATGATGCCAGTGAAGAATAGAACGAATATAATCTTTTTTATCATTTGAAATATAGTTAGTTATAAGTGTAATTTGACCAGATCGATCACCAACTGCTAATATAGGTTTAAAAGGGTGAAATTTGAGCACTGTAATAGATTCCGCAAAGATGTGTTCTTTGAGTTGTGTTTCGGGAACATCTTCTGTATCTTGGTTGATTTCCCATACATAAACTTTATATCTAGCACCAAATGCAAGCCATTTACCATCGTTGGTAATATCAATTGTATTACAATCTCTTAGTGAACAAATACGACGCATTTGGGTAGGTTCATCTGAGCTTCCAAATGAAAAACGATACACAATAGAATTATCTGCTAATTTGTCTATTATCATATAAAATTATAAGTTTCTTTTTTTTTTTTTTGTTTCCTCTATATCAGTTTACTAAAATACCTTTTCCATCACCAGATTTAACAACAATATAGGCATGACCGGGAGCCTCAGGAGACATAACCATACATTGAATTGGTGCATTCACATTATAAGTTTTTAACAAAATATCATCATTATAATCCCATAATTTAATAGTGCCATCAAGACTAGCAGTATAAAGTTGAAGATGATTCTTTGGATTCAAAATAACACGAGTAATCTTTTTGCTATGACCACCTAAAGCAGGTGATTGTGACAATGATTTAACAATTGCACCAGTAGCTGTACTGAAAATTTTCACACAAGAGCCAGTGGAGGAAAAGAAATATCTGCAAACAAAGAAGAAGAAGAAGAAAAAAATTAGATCTAGTAACATCTTTATTAATCAATTATTGATCACTTACTTTGAATCTTTGGTAAATTCAATGGGATATTCAGAAATATTACCAGCAGCATATTTTGAAAGTACAATTTTGTTAGGTGCTCCATATTTTTTGTGAGTATTGTTCTCTACATTATTGACAGATGCCACATTTTCTGTTTTCGCTAATGACATTTCTGAGATAATTTTCAATAGATCAAGTTAATTGTTCCTCGTATTTCGATAAATATTATTTTGTTTTGGACTCAAGTTTTGTACAAGTGAGGGATCTTACTTTTTATATTAGACAAATAACAGACAAAAAGATACAAAAAGCACTCAAAATAATCTTTTTTGTGTAAACAAAAAAAAAAAAAAAAAAAATCGGCTTTGTCTTTTTTTTTTTCTTGTGAGCAAAAAAATATAAAAATGTGACTGATGGCCGTCACGAAGGCCTAAATGGAATTTTTTAAGCACAGACTACATAAACTACTTTAGTTCTTTTTTTTTTTTTTTTTTTTTTTTTTTTTATACATATTCATATTTATTTGTAATGTCGTTAGTTCCTAATTATGCAAGTAGTTCTGACTCTGATGAATCAGATAATGAATCAAAACCCCAACAAAAAATAGAAACTAGAACAAAGAAAACATTATCATCATTATTACCACAGCCAAAAAAAACGGTTTATATTGATCTACCGAAAATAAAAGATGACAACGAAGAGGAAGAGGAAATAGAAAGAAAGCCAATACGTAATAAAACAACTGCAGGTTTAGGATTAGCTGACTTGCTACCAGCACCAAAAAATAGGGCAATTTCTGTACCTGTAACTAAAACAACTACTGATAAAGCATTCACACCTCATTCCTTAGCAAAAAGGCTTAAAGAAAAGAATCAAGCTATTCGGGAAAAACTCGAGAAAAAGGAAGAAAATAAGGATGAAACAAGCAAATATGATGATATTGAAACAAATAATGAGGAAGATGAATTAGTAGAGAACCAAAAGGAAGAAGCAATAAAAAAATATACAGGACCATTTTTCCGTGTAGGTAAAGATTTAAAGGAAGAGCAGCCTATTAAAAAGCCAGTACAAAAACATACAGATATACCTATTGGTCCCATCTATACAGCCGAGAAGCCACCAGAACCAGAAGAACCTGAGTTAACTGCAGTTGATGCATACGCTTATGACCCTAATGCCATCTACTCAGCAGATCCTTCTCTCTATTATCAATACCAACAACAAACTCACGAACAAGATGATATAAATGTAACTATTTGACTATAAGCAGTTGATGAAAAAAGAAAAAGAAAAGAGTATTCATATTTCTGTAATTTTATAGCTTGAACAATATATTGGCAAAAGGGCTAGAGGAGAAACGAGTGTTCAGATCAAGACAATCAACCAACAAGATATATTGCCTTCAGAGGATTGGAGAGCTACCCAAGCTTTAACTGCTGCACCAAAATTCTATACAGGTGCTCCTGTAGGTTTATGTAATTAGATAAAAAAAAGCAAAAATTCTAATTTTATATATATTAGATGCAAGCAAGTAAGTTACAAATGAAGAAAAACAATATTGTAGCCTTAGCAGCGCATGCAGTTAATAATCAAGAGAGATTGGATGAAATGTTTGCTGCAAATAAGAGAACAAGACGTGAAGCTGCTAGAAAATATGGTAAACTATATTAAGCCTAATAATATATACGAACATTAATTTTAATTTTTTTTTTCTTTATTTTATTAGGTTTCTGACCAGCTAATCATTCATTCATTTATATTTAATACAAATTCTATATAACAAAAGGAGATAATTAATAAAGAAAGAAGAAACAAAGAAAAAGGGGAAGGGCAAGGAAGAGAGATAACCTTCTACTTATTTAAAGCATATATTTTTTTTTTTTTTTTTTTTTTACTCTCTTCTTTTCTTTTTTTTTTTTTTTCCTTTTTTTTTATTTATGTTATTTTATAATATTCATAAAATGGAAAATATAATTGAATCTCTAACTCGTACAGCGACAACAACGACAACAACAGCAGCAGCAACTGCTACTAGACGACTTCGAAGTCTCTATTTACCTTCTTCAGATCATACAACCGAACTGACTAGACGATTTAATAGTCTAAGAAGATCAGCCAATCACAAATCTTCAACATCAACAACTGAGCATAAAAAAATTAGAATTAAACTTATACCTAATATTACCATAAATACCCGATGCTTTGTTTTTGATGTTGTTGACTATGAGTTAGAAAGTGAGGGCCCTATTCTTAAATTAGGCCGTTATTCTGACCGAACTGTTGTACCAGATCGAATTTCTTTTAAAAGTAAAGTAGTAAGCAGATATCATGCAGAAATATGGTTATCCAAACTAGATAACAAGGTACAATACACATGTATATAAATGTGCCCTTTTTTTTTTTTTTGTCTTCATTTATAATGTATAGGTCATGTTTAAGATTATTTATATATTAATGGTATATACATACATATATATATATATATATATATATAGATTTATATTAGAGACACTGGGTCATCAAGTGGTACATTTGTGAATCACATTCGTCTTTCAGCGGCTAATACAGAAAGTGCTACTCCTTATGAACTAGTAGATGGGGACTTGATTCAATTGGGTATGGATTATAAAGGTGGTATAGAGCCCGTATTTAGAGCAGTCAAGATGCGTCTGGAAGTGGATCGTAAAGAATGGTATAAACCAAATTCAAATGCCTTTCGTCTTACTGCGTTTCAACAATTACGGGAAAAAATGAAAAGTACCCCTGATGATACAGAGGGAGCAGTTAGTAAAATAAATAATGCTACTGCTGTTAATACCGAAGATATCCATGAGTGCTGTATCTGCCTCTATTGTATTGCTCCCTTCCAGGCATTGTTTATTGCTCCTTGCTCTCATATATACCATTATAAATGTATAAGACCATTATTAGTACAAAATTATCCGGGATTTTCATGTCCATTATGCAGAACATATTCCAATTTAGAAGCTAGTGTTGCTGTCGAAGAAAATGAAGTGTTACAAATGCTTGGTATAGTAAATATAGAAAAAGATGCTAGAAAAGGAAATATACAAATGTCTGCTTCGGAAGATAAACAGTTATTGGCGCATAAAGGTTATTGTTATCATCGTGAAAAAACATTAATAGCTGAAGAAGAACAAGAGGTATCTATTTTTTTTTTTTTTTTTTTTTTTTTGGGAAGCTTATTTATCTTTGTATAATATCTCACAATTTTATTTTATACATTTTTTTTTATTGTTATTACAGTCACCATCTAATCCTCTATTGGAGTCTTCTTCAACATCCTTATTTTTCCAGCTTCAAATACCATTCATAGACAGCGGTTTAGAAGTAACTTCTTTAACGGGTACAGCATCTCAGCATCATAATGCAGGGGAGTCATTATAAATAAATAAAGATAAATATATGTATGCATGTATATCTGTATAAAAATATATACTATATAAACGGGAGTTATTGAGAATTGAAATAGAAGTAATTAAATATACATAACATTTATAAAACTATACATACAAAATATGGTTTATGCACTTCATATAATAATATATCTTTATAAATATTAAAGATTTTTTTTTTAAATGTTGATATATACACGCATACATCATTGTGTACATACGCATTTATACATGTATTTAATAATCGAAACAAAAAAATTAAGAAAGTAATAAATTTTTATATCAAATATTTAAGCTGTATTACTTTCATCCTGGGAAACAGAAGCTGGTGCTGCTGCTGCTGCTGCTGCGTCTGCAGCTAACTTCTCCTTTTGATTTTCAAGCGATCTTTGCAAAAGATGTTCAGGTGTAGTTCCGGGTATTATGCCAAAGATACGCTGACACAAAGCTCTTTTGTCATTCTTGTTTAATAACACATTAAGTGAGTTTTTACCCTTCCAGACAGGTAAAATGAGGGGAACAGTAAATTTAAATTTGTTGTTTTCATCATCCGTCTTTACATGGGCAATACAACAACCATTCTCCATAGGAGTTACCATCTTTCTAACTTCTTCACTGAACTCTTCCAAGATGGGAAAGGCTTCAACTAACAATGTCTTGAGTGTTTCCAAATCAATTGTAATGCGACGCTTATCACTTAAAACGGTATCAAGAATAGGAAGACCTTCAGAAGTTAAACGGAAAGGAGAACCATTCTCAACAGGAGATGATTGACGTACAAAGAGACGGACACCGGTATTGACAGTTTGAAGTCGAGAAAAGTCTTTAGATTCAATAACTCTTTTTATAGAACTAGAGACAAAGTAAAGACTACGACCCTTAGCATTGCCATCCGAGCGCAATAAAAATTGGTCACGAGGGAATTTAGGATCAAGACCATAAAATTGGGTAATTTCATCGAGGTCATTAGAATTAGAAGGCATCATCTCGAAAGGAGCTTCTTTAATTCCAGGAACATCTTTTTTAGGTTTGCCTTCATATGGCTTAATCACTTTCTCTTCCTCCTCCTCCTCTGTTTTATCCGTCTTGATCTTCTTGACCGATCCTTCTTCTACATGGTCTCCTTCTTCCTTATCTGTGCTTGTACGCTTAGTAGGGATGACTTCATCCATATCATTGAGGGCTACATTACCTTCCTTATCTTCAACGACATCCATTTCTTTTTTAGCCTCTTCAACATCGTTTTGGGAAACGTTCTTTCCTTGTGATCTAGCAAGTGAGATACGATCAGCAGCAGTTAAAGGCTTTACTTTTTCAAAAACAGCAACAAAGAAGCCACCTGTATCTTGATGATGAGGATAAATACGAATACATCTTTCCAAATGCATTTCCTTTGCTTCTTCAGGAGTAGGTGGGAAAGCACTACGAGGGAATTTTGCACGTTGTCTCCTTTCAGGAATATCTTCAATAGAATCAATAAAGACACCATCCTTATTAGTTACCTTCCAAGTACTTAAACCTGGTCTACGTTTTAATTCAGGTAAAGAGGTAGAGACATCAACAAGTTGAATAGCACCTTTAGTTTGTCGAAGTACTTCAGCAACAACAGCCTCATTTTCAATTGGATTAAAAGAACAAGTAGAGTAAACGATACGTCCACCAAGCTTAACAAGTTGACAACCACGAGCAAAAATTTGAACTTGAGTGGAATGAAGTTGAAGACCATCATTATGACTCCAATTTGACCAAATTTTTTCATTCTTACGAATTGTACCATCACCACTGCAAGGAACATCGCAAAGGACACGATCAAATTGCCATGGGAGTGAATCTTGATCGTCTTGTGCATTAATACAAGGAACATGAATATTGGGAAAATGAGCACCATCATGATTAGTAGCCATAAAACAAGGAGACTGTAATCTCTTAGATTGATGAACTAACATGTGACTACGTTTATAGTCGGCATCATTAGCAACAACCAGACCAGCTATATAAGGAGAGAGTTAAGTAAACATATTATATGTATAATTGATAAAGTTAACGAAGATATTTACTAGGCATTTCATTTAATTTGTCATTTGAATGCACAGCTTCAATAATTTGTGCAGTCTTAGATCCAGGAGCAGCACACATATCAAGCACCCATTGATGTGGTTTAATATCCATTAAAAGAGGAGGTACCATACTAACAGCCTCTTGTCTACTTATGTTACCCTAATATCATTTATTATTACTATTTCTTTCTTCTTTTCCCTTTTGAAAATCAAACTTACAGCTTCTGTCTCTGTTACCATAAATTTATGGAATTTTTGAAATTCAGGCGACTTTTTAATGACAAGTCTAGGTGCATTCACTTGCCAACCAAGATTATCAGGATACCAAGGTAAAGGTTTAGGAGGCTCGATCTTTACACCATCAATAACCACGTTTTGCATGTTGGGAACATAAGTGTTTTGAACGACATTTAAAATCTCCATAGCAGTACTATACAATAATAATAATAAAAAAATACATTTATATGAATGTATATTAATTCATCTAAAATTCAACAAGATCATGATCAATCTGGAGGAGTTTTTTTTTTTTTTTTTTTTTTTTTTTTTTTTTCTATTTACGCTCTACTGCCTGTAATACGAAATGTACTGGGTAAAATAGTTTTTATGAATGAGTAAAATTCTTCGAATTCCTCTGGAGGTAAAATATTTTGTTTCTAAAATAGAATTAGTTGAATTGAGCTAAAGATTTATGAATGCATGTCAAATATCAATTTAATTTACCTGATAATATTCTTTAAACTTGAGATTATCTCTCTCAATATCAGCATAGGGTGTACGTTCATCGAAATATTTTTGCTTCTTCTCACCTGTGCTATCAGTCTAAATTCAATTGACAAATAAATTTAATTAGATTAAAGATCTAACATTAAAGAAAAAATATTTGATTTGTTTTACTTTATTTTGACGTTTATTAGCTCCACGCTTCTTTTTACCGTATCCCATTTTTATAAGCTTTTGAATCTTATGCTAAAGAAAAATGATCAAGAAAACTTTTTTTTTTTATAGAATTTAAATTATTAGATTTCCGGTTTCATAATAATCGTTTAAAATTTTTTTTTCCTTTGTAACTGACATATTTGCCAAATGTGTCAAAAAAAAAAAAAAAAAAAAAAAAAAAAAAAAAAAGAGGGCGTTTTATATAAAGCAAGTGTAACATGAACCGCATATATTTCAGGTAAACTAGCTGAGCCATTAAAGATATCTTCAAGACGACTGTAATATACATTGTTGACCATTCAGGGCACTTAAGCGTGTTTAGCTATATTATCTACAACAAACAATGAACTATTATTTTAAAGACTTTGAACACTTTATGTTGTAAAATTAATATGATGATTCATAACTATATCTCAATTTTTTTGTTTGTTTGTTTTAAACTAGTCTCTCTTTTTAAGCGTAGTTTACGTTATTAATATATTCATTACACTCTATTAAAGTTATATTATAGCGTAATATCAAGCTATATCTTATTAAACACATTTTGCATCCATGTAAATTGTCTATTTTACTAGACATGAATAATGCAAATATGTATTAAATGGTTACTGCAACTATTATTATTTATTTATTTTTACACTTTATTCTTTTTCTTCATTAACGAAACTATTTTGCTCATATTTGTATCTGGCACTCAAAAAAAAAATCTATAGAAAATGTACCATTTACAGTATTATAGAACATACAATATTACGTTCATCTCTGTAAGCAAATCATACTGAAAATCAGCAAAGAGCATATTGATAATTTTGGTATAAGTTGTATAACTATTATTAAGAAGCGTATACTGTGGTAGCACTTACAGGCACCTGACGATATATATACTAAACGAAATAGCAGACATGTTTCTATTTGTGAAAAAAAAAAATATACTTAAATATGATCGAGATAGATAGATACAGTATTTATCGAGTAACTAGATAAATTTATTATCTTTACGTGGCCAATGAGCTTTTTTTTTTTGGAAATGATTGTTTTGTAAGTAACTTTTGGAAAGTCTATACATATTTCGACTTGTTCTTTTTACGCAGCCTTTTACATGCCTTGATTTAATTTTATTTATTCTTTGTGAAGACATATAACGGAGAATCTCCTTTTTCTCTACAGTACTCGATTCTTTTATACTATATATCTATTCTACCCCCAATCGACGAAAGCGCAATTATCTTTTATCTCTAACAGATCTTTTTTTTTTTTACAGATTCTTTTCCTGATACACACACACACACACATGAATACATGTATATATCCCCCATCTTCACTGTTTTTATTTTTTTTTTTACTTTTAGTGTATGTTTGCTTTTTCTTTTTTTGAACTAACTAGGCTAAATTAGCTTTTATCGCTTCGTTCTCATTAGTCAAAAAAAAAAATGATTATCTCAATCATCTGAATTCCAATTATGATTTTTCCAAGCTTTTTTTTTTTTTTTTTTTTTAAATAGATATTATTAGTTTAAAGTAAAAAGATACTATTATCCAGCTTTATTTTAGTTTAAAAGAAAGAAAGAAAATAAGAGAATGAAGCCATAAAATTAAAAATAAATAAATAAAATAAAATAAAAACATTTATATATAAGAAAAAAACTGCGCATTATTACAGATACATGCATGTATGTATAAACTAAGCAAAATAATAATAATAATATGTACAATTTAAGTTATAAAGTATTAAGTTATAAAACAACAAATATGCGGATTTAAACACAGTAAGGCATTGACCTAGATCTTTCACAAGTCAAGTAGTAGTTTCTCGCAGTAGAATTTGGAGATAAGCTAAGATCTTTCATCATCCCATGTAATTCCTCGACATTTTTTTCATTGGGTTGTTGTTTATCCTGTTGTTTTGTTTTTGGTTGAATAGATGACAGATCAAATGCATATGGTTTAATCAAATCGTCTTGTTTTTGTAAAGGATGAACGGAGGCAGAGTCAAGGATCAGTGAAAAGTTATAAGGTACGTCAAAATCATAAGCCTCATTAATGTTATAAGTTGAACATTTTAACGGCTGTTCTATTTCTTGCTTTGTAGAATTATCGCTAATTGATAAATTTGATATTTTATTTTCTAATTGATTACATGACATTGTTATTATAAATAATTGAGAAAAAAAAAAGGAAAGAAAAAAGAAAGGGGATTATCCATTTTTATACAATCTCTCAATAGTGAAATCTTATCTTTTAGTTGAATTGACACATTTTTTTTTCCAACTCAGTTTGTTGAATCATCATTCTTTAAGATTTAAAATAGCTTTCTACTAATTTCGCGCTTTTAGAATAATATCTATTAAACTGCTGACATGAGTTTACTTGCAAATCCTAGCAGTGTTTAAGATTCGATTTACTAAAAGGCTTTTCTCCTTTTTTTTCTTTTACAATATACTAGAATTATACATTGGTAGATAACTTTATGATTTAAACGACCTCTAGTCTTTAATAATAAAACTTATCATTCTACAGGCTATTTGTATTTTTTTTCTTTTAAAGTTCTATTTATAAGGCTGTAATCTTTGTTTCCAAACAATTTTTTTTTAAAAATCATAAGCAGTTCTAGACCCTTTAAAAGAATATCATACAAAATACGTTCTCAGCTGATTTAAAAAAGAAAAGAAAAGAAAAAAAGCCAAACACGATGTGATATAATATAAGGGGTTTTCAAAAATAAACGTAAATGGAATGAAAAGATCTAAAATTACTGTCTTTTTTTTTTTCTTTTTTTTTTTTTTTCAACAAAGCTATTATTTTTATGGGTTAAGTTGAACATGATTTATTTGTATACTGCATGGTATGTCTTATATTTGTTCATAACAAAGTAAGCTTTTATAGAAAATAGCTTGCTGCATTAAGAGTAAGCTTTAATTAAAGTTACTCACAATTCATAACCAGTAGACTCAAAAAAAAATTATTACTGTCATCTTTTTTTTTTCTTTGAAAAGACAAATAAATATAAAGACTTTGATTTCCCTTTTGGTTCCTTGACTGATGAGTCGTCATTTTTATTAATTGAAGTTCCTATTTGTGATATATAGACTGTATATCCTTTTCTTTTTTTTTTTTTTTTTTTTTCCTATTGAATTTACAATTCATCTCTAGAAACTTTATAAAATTTACGGGATATCATGTTGACAGTATCGATAGCAGCTATAGTGAGCAAAATATATGACAGTCATAATCAAATGAGGTAACTCTTATGCGGAATTAAGGGGAATATCAAAGTCATCACTTTAAATTATTATACTACAATGACACAGTCAGCTAATTTTTTTTTTTCACTCTTCTTATCTTTATTTATCTCCCCTTTTGGAAAAATATTAGATATACATATAAAAGCTTAACTCATGTCAACTATCTTTTCATGTACTGCAGATTTCTAGGCCATAAGCATAAGAATACATTCAATTCATAGTATTACTATTATAAAAGCCTCACTGTCATCTTTCACTATATCATATATTAAGACAAATGTTTAAAGTGTTTATCTTTATTAAAGTGCTCATTATTTATAACGAATCAATATTCTCCTTTGGCAACTTTAGACATGAAGAAGCTTATCTATTTAACCTTGAAAAGAGAGAGATAAGTTTGTTAAGCACTGCATCAATTACCCTTTCAAGCATTTACTGATAGATCTAAGCAAACAAACACTATCTCAACTACTCTTAGCAGCTTTCACTACTACAACATAAACTCCATTCATCAATAGTAAAATTGACATCCTATTTCTAGACTCATTTCAGTTGAGGCATTATTAGTCAAGAAGTTAAAATATCAATGTTTTTTTTTCTTTCTTTTTTTTTTTCACAATTCATGTCATTTACTTTAATATGAAATACATGAAAGTTATTTTCAAATAACGTGACGACAAATAAAATAAAAATGACCTCCTTCTTTATGTGATATAGACATCTCAAGCTATTCGATCCATTCACCTTTCCTAATTTTAGAATATTCAATAAATGATAGGTATCTTTTGACTACTATCAGTCCCGAGAAAGACAAATGTATTAATTATATAGATACTATTACATAAGCATACTAGAGCCATCGACAAATATCTTTCATTTTACACATACAAAATAATATTTATTCATATATATTTAATATAATAAGATTGTTTATGCTCATTGTTAGATAGAAGAAGAAGAGCTTATGCATTTTTTTTTTGATAAATAGGATTGCGATAACAACATAGATAGTCTTTTGGCTAATCTATAACTTGAAAATAATCGCTCTTCAATTCAGCTTGACTATAAAAATAAAGTGATTGATTCAATTGTTGTACTATAATAAAAGCAAAGCAAAGCAAAGATTCAAAAGTAAATTATTTACTATGGCGATATAAGTTTATGCACTTTCCACACACACACACACACACACACACACCCTCCGAACAGTAAAGCTAATAAAGTTAGCTGATTTTTCCCTCTCTAACGTGATTAAGTTTGTGTAAAAAAAAAAAATGAAATAAAAAATAAAATAAAGAGTCAGTGCGCAAGTTTATTTATCATACATAAGGGTAAGGTTTTGTTTTGTTTTTTCATATGTAAATATATAAAAAGAAAGTATATATTCATAATGTATTTAACATAGAAGAGATGAATTATTATTATTATTATTATACTTGTTGTATGCATGTAATTATAGTAGATATTTACAAGAAAGAAGAAAATGCAGGAATAGCTTGTAGTGTAGTGTAGTGTAGTGTATGTGTGTGTATTTGGTATATTATTAATTTAATTAGTAGAACAAGAAACTTCAGGTTCAAGACTTGGAAATGATACATAATCGTCTTTAAATGTAAATGAGTCCTTTGGTTGATTCCAATCCATGATGCTTGATATAGAAGCAAATGATTTATTATCAGAATCCATAGAAGAACTTCGACACATCAATACATTAGTTGTTGTGGCTTCATTTGAGGTAATTTCTTCTTCGTGTCTTAGTGAATCTTTACAAGTAGGAACATGAGTTGAATTAACGCTACTGCCACGCTTACGCTTCCAATCATTTATAAATTGAAACATAATAATAGATAAAGTGAAAATAAAGTAAAAAAAAAAAAAAAGAATAAAATAAAATAAAAAAAAAAAAGAACTTGATATTTATATGTTTGTTTCGGAAATCAACAACATGATCGCCGTTTCTGTGTAGAATATCATACTCTTCTTTGCTCCCCCTCTCCTTCCTTCTCTCTCTCTTTCTCTCCCCCCCAAAAAAAAAGTAATCTCGACTTTTTTTTATTTTTCTTTGAACTTCTTCTAAAATAAGATTTCTAATTATTGTAGCACATGCATGTTTGTACCGGAACCTAAAAAAAAAAAAAAAAAAAAAAAAAAAAAAAAAAAACTAAAATTAGATAATGACTACAATGTGAGTAAGATTGAATGTTATAGACGATTTACAAGCAATTTAAAATAAAGGTCAACTTTTATTTATAGAAAATTGTATTACAAGTATTATTTTTTTTTTCACTCAGCTGCCTAAAGTCCTTTGGCACACAACTTTACCGCTATTGTTGGCTCATACTATTTATGTCTATTGACTATTTTCATGCGAAATAAAAATGAATAAAGTATTTTTTTTTAATAATCTTAGTAGTTTATATATTTTACAACAGTTGTAATAATAATAATAATAAATAAATAAAGTGACCAATTGACGCGTAGCTTAAACGATTCATGAATTGTCCTAGTCAATTCAAAAAAAAAAAAAAAAAAAAAAAAAAGGGAAAGGAAAGAAAAGAGGAAAATGAGAGATTAAGTTAAAGAAAGGAAGGAACAGGATACGAGTAGTTAGAGTCTATCAGGAGTGGACCTAGTTTGGGGAGAGAAGGATGAATAGGACTGTTAGCCTAATAATCTATCTCATGTAATATAGAACATTTAGAGAGCCATAGAGAAGCTAATAGTGTGGTAGAAGTCTTTCTATAGGTAATCAAAGGATAAGACCTATTAGTAACATATTACCACAGACAGTCAAGTCAGGCACATATTTCGGAATAAAGAGCAGCATACCTTTTATTTAAGTTATCATAAAGGAGCATGGATCATATATTTATATATATATATATATATATTTAAAAAAAAAGATGTATACTAAAACTTTCGATAAAAGAGATATTTTATAAAGTTGATACCATTGTGAGTAATTTCTTCATCGCTGAAGATAAGATATTTGCTTTACAGATCGTGTATCTACTAGAAAAACGAATAAATTGAGCTTATAATGTGCTGATACTTTCTTTCATAGTAAGGAGTTTGGTATGATACAGTATCTCTTTTATAGAAGATGACCACGCAATATACAGTGAGAAGGGAGGGAGGGAGGGAGTCACTATTTTGACAGTCTTTGAGCGAATTTTATATGTTTTTGTGTTAAATGTATTAATAGTTAAGTCATACTCTGGCTGTAAACAGATGGTTGGTGTATAGAGATGAGAGGAGATTAGCTTGTCGAAATTTGGTTTGTAGACATCTATTATATTAATTTGGTTCATTGTTGATAAAGTCTCATTGACATTATTATTATTGATATTGAATACTATTTTACAAGTGCTGAATAAGTATTTGGTAGGTAATGTTAGTCAAAAGTCTCAGTGTTCCCTTAGCTTATAATGCTTCGTTTTACCTTTTAACGAATGCACAAAATTACTTAATTGGGTTGAGCTCTAAGGAGGAAATACACACATTTATAAGCTCTATCCCTCCCTTTAGTTAACTCCTCTATTTGGCTTGAGTTATAATGAATTAATTCTCTAGGTATTGATTCCTAATAGCTAATTAACCACCATAACTACTGTATATTATGAAGAATAAGTACAATGGTACCGACTTCGTATTGGCCCGTATCGTGATGAAAATGGTTAAACTGACAGTTTGATTAATAGGTACGAATAAAAGTCCCTTTTTCTGCCTCATGGGGGAATGATATAAGGGGAGGGGGAGGGCAAAATGTACTATAATATTTGGTTGGTAGTAATGATAGATTGTTATGTAAAAAAAAAAAAAAAAGTCATAACAAGTAATAACAAAGTTTATCATAAACACATACACACACGTAATATTTAAAAATTGAAATATCATATACACTATAGTCAGACGTGATATAATATGCGACTTGATATATGAAATTGACTTCTAGGACGATTAAAACTAGATACTTGGTAAGTATATTGATTAATTTCGTATAATCTAATGACGTGTCATCATATCTGGTCAAATAAGGGTATATCATTTGTATTTTAGCAGTTATTAATTTAAATATATAAATAGCATATCCTAAACAATTTAAAAGCTTTTACAGACAGATTTATTATTCAAATATTCATACATGTCTATAAAAAAACTTGGTAGGATTCAATATGTCTGTAATTTTAGATTAATATATACACAAGACACGATTTATTAAGCTATATTTGTCAACCTTGTCAAGTTAATAAACATATTCTACAGTTACGGAGAAAGGATAAACTATATTATAGCTCGTGTTTTTTTTTTTTAGTTGCCCTCGTATGTACAAAAATATACTCAAGTTATATACCTTATTTACTGTAGTTAAAATTAAAGAATAATAAATTACTGTATATTTAAATTATATTCAACTTTTATGATCGACACACAAACACGTTTTTTAATTTTAATTGTCAAAATTAATCTGAGATAACACAGATCTTCAACATATTTTTATATTCAAACACATGTAGTATGTCTGACCTTATTGTTTTGTTCGAAAATAAAATAAAATATAAGAAAACTCTCATTGTTACAGATATATAAAAAGCCTTTTATTCACTCACTTTACTTTTGCTTTATTTTAAATAAAAATTTAGTTTAGTTGTTATTCGTATTTTCATGTTTTCGTTATGCTTTACATGTGGCATATTAGGGTGATCGTTTCAGAATTTCTTCCCTCCATAAGCGCGCCTTGGTGAATAATGCGTCACATATTAAAGCTCCGACATTAAATTCCTTTTCTTTTTTTTTTTCTTTTTTTTTTTTTTTTTTTTGTGGAAAAAAGAAACAAAATACATGTTAACATAATGGAAGAATCAACAGATATTACTAAATCAACACCAATGGATATTTCATCTTCCGAAAAACAACAAACACAAGAAAATCAGAATGTTGATAATGATACAATCATGGATGATCAATTAAAAAAAGAATCAACTTCAAATGAAACAAAATTAGAAGAAAAAGAAGAAATTGAAAAGAAATCAAAAGATAATGTAGAAGATACACCTTCTATAACAGATCTAGAAGCACGTAAATACCTTGCTGATCAAACTCAAAAAGTGATAATACCCAAATATGCTTCTTGGTTTGATATGAATACAATTCACGATATTGAACGCGTTTCATTACCTGAATTTTTTACAAATAATAATCTTTCAAAAACTGCAGTGATTTATCGAGATTATCGTGATTTTATGATCAATACTTATAGACTTAATCCAAAAGAATATTTAGCTGTTACAGCATGTAGACGTAATTTAGCTGGTGATGTATGTGCTATCATGAGAGTTCATGCCTTTTTAGAGCAATGGGGTTTAATTAACTATGAGGTATATACATATATATATATTGTTTAGACAAAATGAAAATTTATATGCATGTAAAAATTGACAATGCAATTCATCTATATTAGTGTGATCCTTCGACTTTCCCAACACCTGTAGGTCCACCATTTACAGGTCATTTTAGAGTAACAGCAGATACACCTCGTGGTCTTGTACCATTTAAACCAAGCATTAAACCTATTGTCGCTACTGATAACTCGTCAACAACAACAACAACAACAAAGCCAGCAATGAATGTTGAATTACGGCAAAAAGTGTTTGAATCCATCGCTGGAAAAGAAATGAAACAGTATTTTTGTAACACTTGTGGTGCTGAATGCTCTCGTGAGCGCTATCATAATCTCAAGATCAAAAATATGGATTTATGTCCTCTTTGTTATAAAGAGGGTCGTTTCCCTATTACTAGTTTCAGCAGTGACTTTATTCGTTATGAAGTATCTCCTTATAAACATGATGATGATGAAGAAGCAGAATGGACAGATGAAGAAACTTTATTATTATTAGAAGCTATCGAATTATATGATGACGATTGGAACACGATTGCAGAATATGTAGGAAAAAAGACAAGAGAACAGTGCATCTTTCATTTTTTACAAATGCCTATTGAAGAACCTTACCATGATAATGATGAATATCACAAAGTATTAGAACATAAACGTACACCCTTTTCACAAGCCGATAATCCTGTCATGTCCGTCTTAGCCTTCTTGGCTTCAGCTATTGATCCTAAAGTGGCTTCTGCTGCTGCCTCTGCTGCAATTGCTTGTCAAGAACAAACGAACAATAAGACACAACAGAATGAAGAAGAAAATGACATGGAAATAGAAGAAACGAAGAAACCAGATACTGCCATCGAGAAAGCTGCTGCTGTCGCTTTGGGATCAGCTGCAGCTAAAGCGAAATCATTATCGGGCATCGAAGAACGTGAGATTCGTAGATTGGTCCATTCGGTGATTGATGTTGAAGTAAAAAAATTAGAAATCAAGATGAATTATTTTGAGGAGTTGGAAGCTGTTCTAGAAAATGAACTAGAATTGATTGCTCAACAACGTAAAGAGATCTTTGCTTATCGTTTAGCTGTAAAGAAATCTGAATTATTGCTACAAGAAGAAATTAATCAAAGAGGTGGTATTGAAAAAGCTATAGAAGAGGGTTGGAACCCTCAACAATTACAACAACTTATGCAGAATACACTCTTTAAGGAAGATTATCATGTGGTTGATTTATCTACTTTAGATGAAGCTAGTTTATCTCATCCTACCTCTGCAATGGATGAAGGAGAAAAGGAACCCCTTACTGTTTTATCTCTTTAGTCAAATCTGAATCATTTCTTGTTTATATAGCATAATTTTAATAAATATATCTCTCTTTACGTGTTTATATGTAATATAAAAGCATTATTCATAATGTAAGTATGTGTGTGTGTGTGTGGGGGGGAAATGATAACTAAAGAAAAATTTATTATGGAAAAAAAAAAAAGATTAATTTTGAGTGTTGAGAACATCTACATAACGAGAGCGCATTGGTTTTCTACCAGCACCTGCTCTTCTAGCAGTAGGAGGCGTGTTAGGTGGTCCACTACTAACAGCACCTATAGGAGGTGCAGAATTAATACGAGGAGGCATAGAGTTTGGCTTTAAGCTACTGCTGCCAACTGGAGGCGTCATTGTTGTTGGTTGAGGTGTCGAAGCCTTTGGTGGGGGAGGAAGTGTAGCTGCTGCAGGCTTTGAATCATTCTAATAAATAAATAAAAAAAATAATAATAATTAGTATGCTATTATATATATGTATATACATAAATATTTCACTTTACAAGTTTGTTAACCCAACGTTTTTCTTTTTCATCATAATAAAATGTATTTTCTTCACCCAAATTAGCTTTAATTGCTTTCTTTTCTTCTGTTGGCTCTTTATCTTTTCTACCAAATAATGAAAAGAGACCCCATCCATGGCGTTCCTTTTCTTTCTTTGCAGTCGTTTCATCCTGCTTTTCTTCTTTAGTTTCAGTTTCCTTTTTATCATTATCTGTTATTTCTGTAGTAGTAGTAGTAGTAGTAGATGCCTTTTTATTACTGTTGTTACCAAAGCCCAAATCATCATCTTCATCCCATGAAGGTTTAGATCCATTTGTTTCAACTGCATTTTCTGTAGGAGGCATATATGCATTAGGTTGATAATCTGTTGTCGTGCTATTTGCTTGAGGTTCATATGGCTGATATTGATTATTAAAAGTATTTGTTTGGACATGATTCGAATCCCACCATGCACCACCATTCTCGTCGCCATTAGTTTGAGCAGAAGCTCCAACAAATTGTTGGGTGTTACTTAATGGTGACGAAATAGGATGTATATTTGATTGAAAAGGTGATTTAATAGGCTGAATAGGGCCATTTGAGTTCTCTTGGAAAGGTGATCGAATACCTTTAGCTTGTTGTGCAAAAGGTGAAGTAACGGCGTGGGGAATAGTATCAGCAGATACCGTGTAACTGTTGCCATATCCATAATCATTCTCAGGTACTAAAAAAAAAAATGTTAAAGAAACATGTGAAGATGTAATTAACCTATGCAATACTTACCTTTATCATTGGTCTGGTCACTATAACCATAACCAGTAGTATAAGTTGGGAAGGTCATTTTCTCTTCAATAGAACCAATCAAAGTATCAAAATTCTGTTTAGTTAATAAAGATGTAACATTATCACTAGAAAAAGGAAAATAAACAATAAAGATTATGTTTTGCACAAAAACTTTTTTTTTCTTTACCTTTCATTTGACATAGGACATAGTTCACCTAACTTTTTCAAATTTTCTAAATGCGGTACATAGTCAGAATTGTTTCGAAGTGTGCTGACAATAGAGTCACAATAGTATTGTGATTCTTGTGTAAAACCTAATTCGGTCAACCACCATGCGAGCATTAACTTAAAATTCTGTTGAATACTAGCATTTGTTACAAATTCATAAAACTCTGCAAGGTATAATGAATCTAAATCTGTATATATATCATCACCAACAATTTTGTTATCTTTATCAGTATCACTCAATTGATTAGGTGATAGCATATAACTATACAAACAAACAAAAAAAATTAATATTATATAATAAAACATAAAAAAATAAAAATATACCATAAACGGGCTTCGTTATTCATTGTTCCTTGTTGCTTCAATTTATCACCCAACCCATAAATAGCTTCTTGATCATTTGAAGATCGATTTGCCAATATAAGAGCCAAAGCATGTTTCCAACCTTTCAAAGTCTCTTCTGAATAAACAGGTTCTTCATCTCCGCTTTGTTTTACAAATGCAGTAACTAAAAAAAAAAAAAAAAAAAAAAAAAAAAAAAAAAAAAATTAGCCTCTGTTCCCCTCCATTTGTTAACCTCTTTAAATTTTTTTTTTAAAAAAAACTTGCCTGCATCTGCACCTGCACCATTGAAAACAGAATATAGCATACGCAATGCTTTCTTATTGTCCGTAATTTGAGGTATCAATTCAGTCGTAGAAGAAAATAGCTCACGACTTATAAATTGAGATACAATATCTTTGAAGAGATTACCTTCAACACTAGATGCAATAATTAGCGCATGACCCCACATGTCCTGCTCCGAAGCAAAACGACATGCTCCTTCTCTATCTCCATTAACCAAAAAGTTTTCTAATTTATCTAAGTTTGTATTTGATGATAAAGCGTCTTGGCTTGAAATTAAATTCATAATAGACTTGTCTAATTCTCCACTATAGAATGATACTCAAATTAGTAAAGTCATCCTTTTTTTTTTGTTTGTTTGTTTGTTTACCCATCACCCAAATTATGCTCATGATGTTCCAACATTAATTTAACTAGACGCCACAATAATTCTTTACTGTCATCATCAAACTTGTTTAAACGTCCTTCAATATATGCTAAAGCATATTTACGCTTTTCTTCTACATCTCTAGTATTATGAATTACAACAGAAGCATCCATAAAGTCCTTTAATTTCTGAACCATTGCATCCTTCTTATCATCCAAGGCACTACGCTGAACTTGCTCAGTTACCATGTCAAAAGAAGAAGAGATAGGATTAAAAGGTTCGACACCAAAATTGCCAGTAAATAAGTTACTAGATGGAGTTGTTGATCGTGAAAGGCTTGCTAAAGGTCGACCGCATTCACAACAAAATTTAGCCTTAGGCTTGTTTTCACCTTCACACTTAGGATCAGGACAAGGAATAAGTTGAGGACGAGGTGAAACGATGCGATCGACAATAGGAGGTGGTACAGTAGCTGAGCGTTCAATTGGGAATTGGTTATTATAATTATATCCTGGAAAAGATACACCACTGTGTCGACGCTGTTCAGATTCGGCGACACTGTTTGAACGCTGTGGTTGATAGAAAGATTGAATAGGTGGAGGAGATACCATAGCTTTAGCAGAACCTGTACGAGGAGGAGGAGAAAGAACACGTTGCTGTTGTTCTTGAGGTGTGCTATAATTAGGCATATCAAAGGATGAGATAGGATCAGAGGGAGCAGACTTTACTTGCTGAGGCTCATAATTATTTAATTGTTGCTCAGGTTTATAGTCTGCCTCTTGCTGTGGTGTATAGCTAGTTATTTGTTCAAGCATATTATGACCAGTTTCGTAAGACCCATATGATTGATTTTGTTCGGGCTCATAATTAGCCAAAAGGGGTTGAGCACCAACCGTATTTTCTTGGGTTGTTTGTTCAGGTACATATTGATTTGGTTGATAAGCCTCATTACCCGTAGCTTGATCATATTGTAAAGTGGTACTATGAGGCTCTAAAGAAATCAATTGTTCAGGCTCATAATTATTAGTTTGCTCAAGTTGATAAGAACTGGCTTGATTAGGTTCATAATTATTCTGTTCATACATTATTTGTTCAGTTTCATACGACAAGTACGATTCAACTGGGTGTTCTGTATGATCAGGTTCAGTTTGTTTATTAGTAAGCTGTTTCTCATCATTTTTGTCAGGTTTATCAGCTGTATGATCTCCCTGTTGCTGAGTTTCGTCCATTTGAGCTTGCTCTTGCTTAGGCTCACCAGGAGCATCTGATCCAACTTCAGATGGTAATTCGTTGGAAAAAATAATAGGCTCCATTTGCATATGTAGTTGTGGCATCTTTTGATTGTTATACTGTGAAGAGAAATCAGTTTCACCATCTGTTCCTGTATTTTGCTCCATGGTTTGATTCTCTTCATATGCATGAGTTGCATAGTTATCCATAGTCATCAAATTGTCTGATGAACGTTGCTGATTGTCAGACTTACCCAATACAAGATCATCTAAATCATCCATATTTTCTGTTTGTTTAGATGAATGCTCTTGTTGTTGTTCTAAGTTTACTGAATTTGCGTCATATGAGCCTCTTTGAGTTGCTTCTTCTATTGGAGTTGAGTTTGGTAAGGAAGAAATATCATTTTTGGGGGGAGCAGTTGAGGAAGATTTAAAACTTGTCATAGAAAGAGGAGGCTGAGAGGCTGATGGCTGCAATACTTCTTCCTCAAATTCAGTTTGAAATTGTGAATAATCTTGTTGAACAGCAGTATTATTATAATCTACAGGAACATACTGATCTTGTTCAAGCTGACCCTGTGGTTGTAAATTAGCAGTTAACGAGGCATTATTAGCCGGTAACTTTTGGGTTTGATAACTATATTCTTGTTGTTGTTCATTGTATTCAGCAGAAACATAGTTTTGAATACTATATTGATCCTGTTGTTCAGGTGAATAACTTTGTGTATCAATTGTTTGCTCGGATTGAACTTGAGCGGGTACTTCAGCTACATTATTTGTAGTAGTAGAGACATACTCCTGAGGATGATAGCTTTGTTCTTGAACTTCCTTAGATGAATTGAGAATTGTTGAAGTATGCTGAGCGGGTTCATAATAACTTTGACTGGCATCTGCAGATTGTTGCGCAGGAGTATATGCATTTGTATTATAATTAGCTTGAGCTGGAATATATGTTTGTTGGTTGTCATAAATACCGGAGTTATCATTTGTAGTTGTATACATATTAGGATCATAGCTTTGTTGATTATAATATTCTGCATACTGAGGATCATATTGATATTCATAACTCTGACCTTGTTGATTGTATTCAAATTGGCTCATATCATATTCTTGGTTTGTATTAGGATCATAATAATGAACTTGACCTTGTTCATCATAATAATAATGCACATTGGGATCAAATTGAATCCATTGAGATTGATCATATGGTTGTTGTTCCTGGCCTTGAATTTGCTCTTGTTGATTATAGTCGTAAGAGGCATAAGCATTAGGATCATACGCATGAGTTAAAGAAACATTAGAAATGGCTTCTTGTTGTTGTTGTTGTTGGTTTTGTTCATAATTGAATGGCTGCGTTAAAGATGAAGTCTGATTCTGACCTAAATTATCAAAGAAAGAATCTGAAGGCTGAGGCTGCTCGAAAAATGCTGCAGCTAACGACGCGTTTGAAGTTGATGGCGGATTGACGGATTGAGATGTAGGATTATTAGATGAAAAAAAGATGTCCGCATTACTTACTTCATTATTACTAAATAAGGTAGAGACATCACCGACTACAGGTTTAGATTGTTCTTTGACAGAAGAATCCTTCTCTTCATTGACTTGCTTTGTAGGCCCCTCCGAGATTGTGCTTTGTTGCTGCAACTGACTAAAAGGATCATCTCCCGTTGAATCCCCGAATAATGAAGAGGCATTGGATTCTTCTTTAGTAGAAGCCATTAGATGTAAAGCTATTAAATAAAAAGAAGCGTAAGGTTCAAATACTTAACTTTATAATTGAAGAGGTTACTTACAATGCCTTTTTATGGGTTATAATATTAATAATAAAAAATTTAAACAAAAAGATAAAAAGTTGTACAAGTTTCTTTATTAAAGGAGCTTGTTTTTATTTTTTCTATAAACAACATTAGTCTTTTAGTGATAAATAAAAATATGCTTCTTATATATATATATATATAAAAAGAACTTTACGAAATACTGCTTGTATATAATGAATATGAATAATAATAATAAAAAAAAGAAGGCATTATGTGTTTAATACACTTTAAGAGGGTTTACTTGTTACAGCCGTTATTTAATTTAAAACTCAGTATAAACATCTCTAAGAAGTAGTAAAAGATAAAAATGGAATTGAACTCTTTTTTTTTTTTTTTTTTTTTTTGTGGATGAATTTAATTGGTTGATATAAAATTATAAATGCATACACATTTTTTTTTTTTTACAAGTTGACTATAACTTCTCCTTTATCTGCTAATGAAGCCAGCTTCTTCATTCTTTCAGAACTTGTGAATCTTCTAGATCCCTTTTTTACTCTTGGAAGTGGTGGTGCTTCTTCCTCATTTTGAATATGTCGCAATAAATCTTCAGCTTTTACAACCATGGATTCTGCTCTTGTCTTTCTCCGCTCTCTTATAGATATTCTACGACTCTTACGATGTGAGGTAGTAGCCATTTCTCCTGAACGAAGCTTTTCCAATAAATTATCCATAATATCCTTATCGTCCTGATTCTCTGCAGAACCTTATAATATAGTTCTTAGCAATTATTCTCTCTCTCTCTATAAATATATATATTTATATACACCCTATTATCAGCTTACCATCATGAATCTCTAATCGCTTATTAAGATAAGCTTTGCGTTGTTCTTGAAACTTTCTCGATTTCTCTTCTTGTTCTTTCTTTTTTCTGCTTGATTCAATATCTGATTTAGCTTTATTCCAACTAGAAATAAATGTTTGAAAGATGCCAAAAAATTCATCTGGTTTCATTTCATTAGGGTCTTCACCAAAATAAGACACTACATCTTTGTATGCTACATCCATTGAAGTATATCTAACTTCAAGTTGATCAAACTTTTCAATCGCAGAATCTTTAAATTTATACATGGTAGCTGCAAAGTTGTCGCCAATATCGGCTTTATAGTTATCACTGTAGTGACCATTGAGTTCATCAATTAATGTCTGGAGCCCAACTCGTAATTCATGGTAGTCTTTGATAAGATCTTGGATAGTGACTAAATATGAAATAAAAGACAAGATGCATTAACATATATCATTTCAAGCCATATATATATATATATATATACCTCTGCATGCTTCTCCACATAATTCTAAATCTTCTAAAAGATTCTTGCATATTGAGGGAAACTTTTCTTCAATCAGTGCACATATGAAATGTAATAAAGTAGTATTATTACTAGAGGCTCGGGTATCTACTAGCTTATTGATACTACTGATTCGGATACCAAATGCACCACCTTGAAAATTAGTACCATTTAAAAAGTTACCTACCATCAGAATTATCTATATGAAAAAGATAAAATAAATATTAAATAACAGTAGATATATATATATTTATATGAGGGTTTTCTTTTTTTTTTTTTTTTTTTTTTTTTTTTTTTTTTTTTTTTTTTTTTTTTTTTTTTTTACACTAAGCAATTCAATAAACGTTTGAGATTCTTTTAATTTAGTAGATGCATCCATTACATAGGTCATATTCCTGCCCAGTTGTGTGATACGCTCATTAAATGTAATGACAAACAACATATTCGATATACGCTCTTTAAATCTATCAATGGATATAATCTAATATTGAAGAAGGAAAGAAATGAGATGAGAATTCATATATGGGATAGATGTACTCTTACTTCAGCACAAAATGCATCTGCTCTTGATAAACTTTGAAGATCTTCCTCTGAAGCAGTTTTGAGAAAGACAGAAAGTCGACCCATTTCATCTGGAGATGGTGTGTTGGCTAATATATTTCTTAACATAATTTCTGTACAGAACTTTTCATCTACTGCCAAAATTTTTTTCTTGAAATCTTTAAAAGATATATTTTTACATTTTGCTAAAATAGCAATACCTATTTTTTTTTTTAAAAAAAGATAAAGAAAAAGAAAGTGAATATATAAATACAGTCCAGGATAAATGTATCCTTTGAATTTACTAATATTGTATGCTTTTCGTGAATCAATAATACATATTTCTTGTCTCTTTTCTTTTTTGACTTGTTTTTTTGGTAGAATAATTTTTTGTGCAAATACTTCTTCTATATGATTAAATATACCCTCTGATTCCATTAACTGTTCAAGTTCTTCATCCTTGTCAGTTGAATTAGCTGTTTTCCATATAGTAGAGTTGATATGATGATAATTTAATTTTTGCCATTGAAGTTGACGTGTTTTTACGTTAGGTAAATGTTTGATCTGCTTTCGAGGAACGAGTGTATTTAGAGTAGCACCTGGAGCATTGGGTGGTGGAGGTGGTATAGCGGGTGGAGGAGGTGGTGGTGGTGGTGGCGGTGGTATATTTGCTGGAGGAGCAATGGCATCATTTATAGATAAAGAAAATGGTATTGAAGAAGAAATAAATGGTGGTGGTGGCGGTGGTGGTGGAGGAGGTGGAGGTGGAGGTGGAGGAGCAGATACTATAGTGTCGTTATTATTGTTATCATTATTTAGTAAAGTTATATTAAAATCGGGGTATTTTTTGTCGTAATTATTATTATTATGTGTAGACAGATGGGTTTTTTCTTCATGAATCAAAGAATTAACAGATGAAATAGCGCTATCTTTATCATTATTATAAGGATCTTCAGAATACAGATGGCTATATTTTCTATTACTGCCATTACTATTAATACTTTTTTGACTCGAAGAACTGGTTCTTCTCGACTTTGTCGTTTCTAATGAATTATTTTGTTTAGATAAATTGTCTCTTTGAATTCTATTTTCATTAGTAAATATAGATGATGCAGTATCTGCTTGTATTTGTCTCCGACGATTATTGGATCGTCTACTAGCTGATCCCATAAGTGGCATCATATCGGCAGAGAAGATAAATTCACCAAGTCCCGTACCTGATTCAAATTGACGAGCTAATTGTTTCTTAAATTCCTCAGATAACCCTAAAGCGACAGATTTACGTTTATTATTATCTGGAAGCCGTTCTTGCTGTAAAGCAGACATAGCTGATAATTCAGATGAAGATAATAACTTGGGTGAATCATCTTTATTTCCTTCTCGTGATTTTTGGGTTCGAATTTTTTCAAATACAGTAACAATATCTTTTCGAGGGATAACTACATCACTATCAATGTTAGATGTATCATCTTCACTTAACAATATAGAAAAATCTCGCAGTTGACGTTCTGATTCTTCTAACCTGGTATTGTAATCACTTTGCAAGTCTTTTAACTTTCGTTGAAGTGTTGAAATAGTGTGTCGAGACATTCTCAAAAGATCTTCTAGAGACATTGTTTTTTCTCTTAATTGAACAATATCCATTGCATCTAAAAAAAAAAAAATAAGAATATAAATACTATTATTATTTATTTATAAAAAAAAAGGGGGGGGATTTACCTTCTTGATTAGACAGTTGTTGACGTAAAATATTACGTTCCCGCTCTAGCTCATCATAACTTTGTTGTAATTCCTTAATATCCTCCAGTGCAGCCTTTAATTGATCTTGATCTGCAAATTTACTAATGAGATGTTCAACAGTAGATGTATAATCAGCAGAGAAATCATCAGCCAATCCTTTATGATCAAGCAAGACCTGCGCTATAAGATTGTCTATAATTTGAAAATATCTTGATTTCAAAGTGGGTTCCTCATAATTGATTAATAGCAAGTGCTGTAGACAACTTAAGAAAAAATCATAACTTCGTGTTCCTTCAACATTAGATAGAATACATTCAAATACATCTCGTGGATCATTTTGATCGCTAAGAATATGTTCGTGATACATTTCCATTACCTCATCTTGATCATTTTCAGCTAAAAGTTTAAATTCTTTAATTTGACGATCCAAGTGTTCATCAGATAATTCCTTCATCCTTTCTACAACTCTTTCTAAACCAGATGCTGTCATTTGGTTTCTTAAATGTATTCTTACTTCAAGATCGTCAACAACGTTAATGAGAGCGTTCACTAATATCATGTTGTATAGCTATTGGAAGGAGAAGATAAGTTTATTTTGTATTCTATATCCATTATGAAATATGTATATGTATTTACCGCATATTCTGTTAATTGATTATCTGGTGAACCATAAGCAGCCATCCTTTTAAAGTCTTCACTTGCACCTACCATACTTCCCATTCTTCCACGACCACCTAATGTGTTTTCAAGTTCTAATAGCCAAGCATCAAATCTACCTAATCCTTTTCGTTTATCTCTTAACTGATCCATGGCTTTTAAAACAAGATCTTGACCCACAGGTACCTCATAGTAACACATAAAAACCAATACTTCACACACTAATCTTCTAGAAATAATAGATGGCGATACAATACAGTACACAATTTGTTCAACACATTGTGGGTGTCTTAATGCCTCTCGTGCCCCTACCTACATTAAAAAAATAAAAAGTTTAATTACCAAAATTAGAAAGCCTCAACATGGAATTCAAAAAGAAAATTACTCTATTGTTCAATAATGCCTTAAAGCATTTTAATATATCCGCTTCTACTGCTAAACTTGATTCTTGTCTAAATCAAAGATATATATATATATATATATATATTTATATATGTATATATGTATGCCACTTTTTGTAATTTACATGTTTTTCGTTTTCCTCAATGTCTTTAATAAGTTTGTAATAATCTGTAAACCTTGCATATCAATAAATTGACGAACCCAACTAAACGTTATACATCCATGTGAATACATCATACATATGTGTTATACTATACTATATACTAAAATATTACCTTAATGGCATAGTTCTTAGACCTACTGCAAGATGTGAAACAATTTTGGTATTCACGCCTTTTGACATATCAGATAATTTTCGAACATAATAATCTGGACCTTTACTTTCAGATTGAAAGTGATCTGACTTTTTATCAGTTCTTCTTGGTAAGCTGGTTAAGTTAGATTCAGACTGTATATCTTGAGATACCATAAGTCTCTTCTTTTCCATTGAAAATGAGGACATTTTCGATCTTGCATTACTGTCATGTATTCCTCTTCTTGTCTATATAAGAAAAAAGAAATAAGTATAACCAGTACCTATTTAATTCCCCCTCTTTTTTTTTCTGTATTTCTATATTTCTTTCTTTCTTTTCTTTTCTTTTCTTTTTTTTTTGGGTAATATATATACTAGCATTCTTTCAAAGGAATCTTCTATCTCAGCATCTGTCATGATATCTACATTGGTATATTCACTATCTGTGCTTGGTATAGACGATGATTGAGAACTTCGAATAGAAGAAGAGCCTCCTTCTGTTAAACGAACTAGTTGCATATATATATAAGATATACATGAATTAATAATAATAGTAAGGTTCATACCTGAAGTAAAATACTCATCGTTAGGATGAACATGATGTGGACTTCTTGGTGATTGGGGAGTCGTTGAGTTGTTACTCACTGTTTTACTTAACGGTGGATCAATGACAATTTTTTTCTTTACTTTAGATCTATTTCGAGCAAAGAGGTCCATTTTTTCTTTTGAGATGAAGTTATGAATGAAATGAGGAAAAGAAGACAAATAATTCAATGTAAAAAAGGAGGGGTAATTATAATCAAGTAAAGATATTTAATATCCGCAATGCACACAATTTCAGGTTCCTGTTTATTTGCTTTGATTCTATTAAAATCTTTCATAACAAACATGTATAATAAATGAAGGTTTTTTTTTTAAAAAAAAAAGAGGCAATGTTATTTATCTTTATTGATATTTCAATACTGAAGTAATTTTGAGATACTTTTAACAATAAACATGTAAGCTTAATTGCGACTATAATAAAATATGCTTAAGAAGGAAAGGAAAAGCGGAGTATAAATGCTATTGTAGTTAAACAGGTGATTCTAAACAAATAAAAGCTTGAAAATGACATTGAAAAAAAAAAAACGTAAATAAGGTAAAAGTATCTCGATTACATTTATTGGTTACTCGATATTTGAAAGCTAAAAAAAAAAATGGATTGCTTTATTTTATTTGTTGTTGAAACGATATTTGTAGTTTAAAAGATTGTACCTGGATTTTTATATATATATATATTTTTTTTTGTTTCTCAATTTATTTTACAAGTACGAAAAAACATTTTTACCGAGAAATATATTATAAAAAAAAAGTGTACCAGTATCTGATATTTACTATTTATTTAATCATTGTCAAGTATTATTATATATTGTCTTTTCTTAAATGTATAGTTATTTGATAGGAGAAGGTTACTAGCAACTTGTAATTAATAACTCTATTGAGCTCAAAAAGATGTTATTATAGAGAAGCATGTCTTGCTCATAAAAAGTAATGATTCAAGTATAGTCATATGTATGTTTAGCAGGAAAACTTCAAAGTACTATAGAACACACAAACACCAATTTTCTCATTTTAGTCGTAATTACATTAAAAATTGAGTAGAGTACATGCCATAAAAGTGGACTTGAATAGCAGTAATAAAAGTCATAAAAGAATCTAGTCGTCCCTAGATTTTGATGAATGAGTTTATTTTAATTACTCGAGAATCCATTTTTATTAATATTAGTTTAATACATCCATTTGTTTATTTTTGTTGTTGAATTTTATCTTGCATAACATTAACAATAGCTTAAATACAAATATTAGCAATGAATATGTCTATAAACAATTTCTTTTCTCTTTACCTCTTAATGAGCCCTGTTTGTCTGTAATCGTCTTTTCTAATGTGCCTAAATTCTTTTTCACATATCCAACCTTGTCCTTGTAGAACTTGGAAGCGTCACTAACAGACTTTTAATAAATAAATAAAAGGTTAGTCTATTTTTATTTTATTCATCATATAAATTACCTTTTCAACATAATAGCCTGTTCCAACATCGACAATGACTTTTTGAACATTACTTAATTTACCTGGAACATAAAGGTATGTATAGGTTAAGGATATTACTATTTTATAACGTAAATCATTATTTTGTATATAAAAAAGGATATAGATGATGTGAGAGGTACAAGGATTGTTTTGTCTAATTAAAAAAAAGTTAAGCGCGTTAGAAATCATAAATATATAGTTATATATTTGTATATACATATATACCATCTGGTTTTTCAACTTTTAAAGCTTCAACACTATCAACACAATCAGAGAATCTTGATTGTACACCTTTAAGTTTACTGTAAGATTGAGTTAAATGACTTAATTCCTATAAATTCAAATACAAGTTCATTCAATTAAAAAAAAAAAAAAAAGTAATGTGTTGAAACTAACTTCTTCTAATTGAGTCTTCACTTGTTGAAGTGCAGGTAAATCGAGATCAGTGATATTCACTTGTTGTTGTGCCATGATGTTTTAGTAGATCTATTAAAAAAAAAAAAAAAAAAAAAAAAAATTGTGTGCTATTATTTCTCTGAAAAAAAAAATGTGTATATAAGAATTCAGTTTCCGTCGTCAACTATAGAGGACAGTCCCTTTTCTTCCTTTAACAACATACAAAAATTCTAAATAAAGTAAATTTTTAAATGCAACTGTTTTCATGGATTCTCCCTTTCTTTCTTTTTTTTTTATTTTTTGATCCAGTTATTATTACTATTTTATGAAATAAAGATTTAACTTCTTCTTTTTATAGAATTGAAAGAAAATAAATAATCTAAAACGTTATATGGCTTTCTTTGTTTCTTTTTTTTTTTTTTTTTTTACAGTAAAATAGAATATAAAATTAATAAGCTGTTTATTAGAATTTGGTGACATAGCCAGTTCCTTTGTAACCTTCTGAAGAAATACCAGTGACAGGATTGGAATTTTGGCTCTTAAGATATTCATTTGTAGCTTCTTGCCATTCTCTGCTAACTGTTTTAGGTGTTTCTTGGGCTAATTTTTACATGAATACAAATTAATATTTTCCCCGCTTTTCCTTGACCCCTCCCCCCCACCAATCCTCTCAGATACAACCCGCTAATTTTTTTTTTATCTCAAATAAATCTACTTACCACCTAGACGAATGAGATAGAAAAGAACTCCAGAAGCAGCAAGAACACCAGTAACACCAGCTAAAACTTTCATACCATGGCCAGGCTTAGTTAAGGGCTCACGAGGACCATGGGCACCAAAGGCAATGTAATCTAATTATTTCAAATAAATAATAACAAAAAAAAATTTAAAATAAAATAAACTAATTGACTTGATCAAAACTCACAAGCAGCTTTCTTTTCATCAAGAGAAAGAGATTTCCAATCACCCTTTTGTGCTTCTTCAAGTTGCTTAGCGATTGTGTTTTGTTCAGCAGTGGAAAGGGTCTTCCAACGAGTTTCGATGTTTTGAATTGCAATATTAGTCGAAGCATTACGACGACCAATAATACGAGTAGCATTAACACGTGTACGAAGAGCAGCAGTACGAAGCATATTAAAATAAATAAATAGAGAGGGGAGAGAGTTTCAAGAGAAAAAGAATATTTCGTTGACGGACAATAATAAATTTATTTACAAAAAAATAAAATAAAATCCAGTCTGGGGGGAGGGGTTAACAGTGTGAAGATATAAAAAAAAAAGCTGGTATACGATCCTTATATGGTAATGATAGAAATGACGCAATAACTGCCCTTGAATCAATACTCAATGTTTTATATCTTCAAAGCTTTTTTTTTTCCATTTCAATTCATGTATATGAATGCATTATAAACATTAAATTATCAAGTTAACTAATTAAAAGCTTATGCACATCTATTTAACATATTTTAAAATAAATGAACATAATGGACAAATAAATCAAACACCAATACAATTTTATAAATATAGTGGGAGCTACTTGAAATATGAAGATGTCTATCATAACCGATAGTTATTCTTATTTTAATACTCGTTATTAATAACCATTTTCTGAAAGACTAATGACTAGCTAATTTAGTTCATTCTATTTACATGCTTTAGTGCTATGGATTAGTATAGTTTTTATTCTGTAACTACAAAATACGACGGCTTCTGGAATACTTCAAATTTTATTGAATATAGGTATACATGTATTAACTTGCGATGGAAGAAATATAAGTACAACTGTTCTATTTTTCAAAGATTATAATTATTAGAACAAAAACGTAGAAAAAAAATATTCCAAGAAGAAGCAAATGTACAATTTTTTTCCTTAAATAAGCCATAACATAATGTATAGTATTAGCTAGAGAAGCTTGATGTTAATCAATTAAAGGAGTCTGTATATTACGTTTACTTGTGATTATGATCAAACATAGCAACTATACATTTGTATCTGTATATACATAAAATAAGGCTTTTTAGACACTCTATTTTTCTTTCTATGGCTTGAGGGCCATAATGATACCAAGGTACATAATATACATTCATATAATATATATATATATATATATAAGGGAGGGGAACGTTTAAAGATTGTTGGTTCTGATATATGATCTGACTATAATAGTATCAGATAATAATAATAACACTGTTCTTCCTGTATCTACTACCGTTGCTTGGTAGAATGTAGTCATAAAACATCATTATTCATGCTACTGCTGCTACTGCTACTACTGTTGCTGTAAAAAGAAAAAAAAAAGGAGTCGCTGGCGTAGTACAAAAAACAAGAATAAATAAAAAAATTAAGGGTTCATTTGATTTGGTGGGGAACCCTTGAAGTGATTCGATTCCACAGCCTAGGCTTGGGCTAAATATGCTGCGAATTCTAGTCACTCTCCAAACACCCGTGTTACTTTCATCAGAAATAGAGGATACACATAGGGCTATATTTACTATAGGCACCCCACTTATACCACCACCACCACTATTTATATTTACAACTACAATCCTACTACCAACACATCCTTACTAATATTAATAATCACTACACAATACCAGTATTATCTACTGCCACTACCACTATCACTACTACTACTACTACTAACTACTTTGACTTGCTTTCGTTTTTTTTTTGTAATACTTATCGTTGGATTATGGAACAGTCTATAATATATATGTATATAAACAGGAAAAAAAAAGGGACTACTTTTCATATTAACATTTACTATTATTATTATAGATAAACTATATTGGAACATCAAATGATATACTTTGTTATATCGCTTTGGTTATAGTATATATAAATCTTTTTATGATAATAAACAGCCATTCGAATTTCTTAATATAAAATGTTACGTATGACTATATGCATAACTCTGTTATTAGCTTATCTACCAAGATACAGTACAAAATACTACTATCAAATTTTCAAAATAGATAAGGTCTAACTTGGTTATTAATTTTAAAGAGATTAGTCTTTCTTCTTCCTTTTATTTATTGTATTTGTAAAATTGTTAACGATCATAATCATCATTTGGCAAAAGATTCAAAAAAAAACAAAAAAATTAACCAAGAAAATCAGTAAAATTTATGACATAGAAAATTCTCGAACAAATCCTCATCGTCCTAACAAGATTATCATCAGAAGAGATTATCACTGCTTTCTTTTATTTGACAAAATTCATCAAGAATATACTATATAAAGTATTTGGTTTGTAAATGTTTCAATTTTACTTTTTTATTTTTTAGACTAAGTTTTACTTATATATAAACATACCCATTGAAAAAAAAAAAAATATGACAATCCAAGTTAGAGAAATAACAGACTCAAGTTATGCTCAAACATTATCAGACTTGGGCAGAAGATTATTTTCTGATACCTTTTCTGATGCTAATACAGCCTCTAATATGCAAGCTTATCTTGATGAAAGTTACACAGTAGAAATTCAAACAAAGGAATTAGCTGATCCCTCCATGTCTACATTCATGGCATATGATACGGAAAATGATTCACCTATAGGTTTTTGTCAATTAAGACAAAACAAGGATGTGTATGACTTTATTCAAGATCCCGATGCTATTGAGCTTCAAAGAATCTATGTGGATAAACGATATATTGGTAAAGGGGTTGGTAAAGCACTTTTGAACTCAAGTCTTGAAAAAGCCCGTCAGTTAGGCAAGCAAACAATGTGGTTAGGTGTTTGGGAGCATAATCCTTCAGCTATTAGCTTTTATACACGTCAAGGTTTCTATAAAGTGGGAAGCCATACATTTAAATTAGGTTCACAAGAAGATACAGATCATATCATGATCAAGAAACTTTAAATATAGACTTATTTTATTCTTTATAAATAAATATTAGATTTTTAATGTACATTAAAATGAATCAGTTCTATTCCAATGATTACAATGGCTGTAAAGGAATCTTATAAAGACTAAAAGGGAGATAAGAAGGATGATATATAACATGTTACTATATACCAAATATAAAGAAGGAAATGTATTTTTATAACAACAAAAAATTTTTTTCTCTTTCAAAGCTCTACCTGTTGCTCAGGAACAGTATAAATATCTCTTTTTGTAATGAAGATATAAATTAGAATAAATTGAATAACTAAAGCCTAGATGAATTTGCATAGTACTCTGCAAGTTTGTCTTTTTGACTATGTAAAGAAATGCAAGCTTGCACAATACAAAGTATAAGACCTCATAATACTACACAAATTAACACTGTGCTAACACTACCAAAATTTACATTTTTGCATAGTAGTAGTCTTTATTTAAAAGTTGAAAAAAAAAAAGACTACATTTATAATGGTTTAGACTTTTATTATTATTATTTTGTATATCATACTTTTACTTTTATGGTTATTTTCATTATTATGTGGAGTAGACGTAGAAGGAATAAAAGTATCATTTGTGATTGTATTAACAGTATAAGTCTCTAAGGAAATTACTGAAAATAGTTGGAGAAGGTGACGGGGAAAAGATATTACCAGTACAGATCTTATTTAATTTCAAAGAATAAAAGTTATTAATCGGCATATATTGCATATCAAATCAAATCAAAATAATCATCATCATGATCACTCATCAAGATTTGGTCAACATCCACTTTTGTTAAATTTTGAATATTATGTTGAAAATCTTCAATATATTTAACGAACAAGTCACGAAAAAATTAATAAATAACATAAATTTCGCAGCCTATTTCTAATCATATTCTTTTTTCTCTCTATCAAGATGGATGAAACAAAGAAAGAACTTCGACGATTAAATAAGCTTGCATGGGCAAGAGGGAAAGAAGGTAATAGCATCATCAGCAATTATCATAAATACAATCATTCATTTTTTTATTTATTTGTTTTATTTAATTTTAGAAACACCTAAAAGTCTTGACAGCAATATTAAGAAGAACACAACATTCATCAAGAAATGTAAAACTTCATTAGGTACAGATATGCGTACCCAACTGCTCAATGATATTAAAAAATTGAGTCTTGAGAAATATATCTCAGAGATTGTTAGTGGTGTTATGGAGGGCATGTTGAAATGTAAATCTAGCAATGATATTGCAGCATGTGTTGAGGTAATTATCATTTGTGTTCGTTTGTTTTTTCTTTTTTTAAAAAAAAGAGAGAGAAATATTAAATTTGTGATTAGGTTGTCTCTGCACTTCATCAAAGATTTCCAGATTCATTTACTCTATTACTATCTTATCAGTTAGCTAAAGTATTGCAAGTACCAACAAAACAATATTTAGCGTCTTTAAGTGCTGAGCAAAAGGAAAAAGAAGAATCAGCTCGAATTATAAAACAGCGTACTTATTTACGTATAATATGTGAGCTCTGGCTTGTTCATGTTTTACGATATGTAGAAGAAGGCGTCCCTACTTTAGCAACTATCAACGTAGGAGGAATTGACACTCATCGAGATGCTGTTGCAGGGCTCTTGGGTGATAGACAGAAGCAAACACAACAACAACAACAACAACAACAGCAGCAGCAGCAACAACAACAACTACAACAGTCAGCTTCAAAAAAATATACAGATCAAGGAGGATTTGTGTACAAGGTATTGAAGGATATGCTTTCAAATGATATGGAGCAACATATCAATATTCCTTTAGTAGCTTCATTTCTTAAGAATTACGGGCAAAGTATATTAAATATTGTACCTCGAAAGCAGCGTGCAGCAGCTGAACAACATAATGAAGCAATACCTATTTTTACAGTTGACCCAGATTCTGTTGTCACACCAGATATTCATGCTATGTTAATGAATCTATTTCAGTCATATTATAAATCTGTTGAAGTTCATCTAGTCAAGATGCATAAAGCAATTCAAAAGATGGAACGACATAATAATGAAGTTTTGTTTTCTCGTGGAGAATTATCAGAAGAAAAGAAACAAAGATTTGAAAAGGCACAGAAGATATATGAAAAGCTATTAAATCATACTCAAACATTATCGGATGCTTTAGATCTTGATATGCCAGATCTTCCTGTAGATGAAGTTCAAACAAAACAATCAATCATAAGTATAAATGCAGGAAATTCCTTCAATGATGGCAAAGAAAATTTGGGTAATGGTATTTGGGAGGATGATGATGCTCGTAAATTTTATGAGGACTTACCTGACCTTCGTGTTCTTGTCCCTGAGGTCTTTTTTGAGTCTCAACCAACTACTAAAAAGGAAACGACGAGTGAAGTAGAGGAGAAGCCAGAAGAGGATGAAGTAGTAGAAGAAGACGAAGAAGAGAATACTAACTCTAGATTAAATGAAGAAGATGAAGATTTGGAGGATCCTGAAAATATCTTAAATGAAGTAATTGAGAATACAACCGCTGAAGATGGAGAGGATTCATCAAAGCCTGCTATGACAACACAGACAATTCAATTAGACAGCTTAATAACCCGTTTATCAACCTGCGGTAATCGTGACTTAATTGATAGTGCTGCTGTCGACTTCTGCTACATGAACAACAAGAATGCTCGAAAGAAGCTTGTAAAAGCGTTACTGAATGTACATAGACAACGTCTTGACCTCTTGCCTTATTATTCTCGATTAATTGCTACACTTAATCAGCATTTCCCAGATGTAGGTGAGATGGCTATTACAGCCTTAACATATGAATTTAAGAGTCTTCAGAGAAGAAAGACACAAGATTTATTGGAGACTCGTATCAAGAATATTCGATTTTTATCTGAGTTAGCCAAATTCCGAGTTACACCTTCACATACTATCTTCCATGTCTTTAAGGTTGCACTGGATGATTTTACAAATCATAACATTGATATTGTCTGTAATTTATTAGAGACATGTGGTCGATTCTTGCTGAGGACACCAGAAACAAATGTACGCATGAGTACTATGTTAGAAACAGTGATGAGAAAGAAAAATGTACAACATTTAGATAGTCGATATGCCTTAATGGTTGAAAATGCTTACTATCAAGCCAATCCACCTGATAAACCAGCTATACAAATCAAAGAGAGATCAACGATGGAACTCTATATTCGTAAACTGATTTATGAAGATCTCTGTAAAAAGACACTTGATAAAGTTTTGAAGCAATTACGCAAGTTACATTGGGAAGATCTACAAGTTCGTGGATGGCTTATTAAAATATTTCAAAAAATCTGGAAAGTTAAATTTGGCAATATTCATTTGATGGCTATTTTAGCTAGTGGTTTAAATAGGTATCATTCAGATTTTGGAGTTCAAGTGGTGGATAGCGTAATAGAAGAGATACGTATAGGATTAGAACAAAATATATTCAAGCATAACCAAAGACGTATCGCAGTAGCAAAATATTTGGGAGAATTGTATAATTATCGTATGATTGAGTCACCTCTTATCTTTGATACTTTGTATTCTATTGTCACTTTTGGTCATGGTAAAGAAAGTTAAAATAATATAATACTATTCTTTTTTTTTTTTTTGTAAGTACAAAGTTTTATTTTATTATAGAATTTGGAAGACCTGCAAGAGAAAGATTTTGTCCTATCGATGCACCCAATGATTTCTTCCGTATTCGTCTCTGTTGTACATTACTTGATACATGTGGTATGTGCTTTGATAGAGGTACTTCTAAAAAGAAGTTGGATAATTTCTTGACCTTTTTCCAGGTAATGACTATCGAGTTATTCTTAGTTTATTTTATTTTATTTTATTTTATTTTATTTTATTTTTTTTTTGCTATTATTAACCAGCTAATGTAGATGTATATTTTGAGTAAAAATAAACCACCCATGGATGTTGATTTTATGATATCAGACACCTTTGAAATGCTACGACCTCAATTAAACTTATTTGGAAACTATGAAGAAGCAAATGAAGCAGTAGATCGTATGCTTTTAGAGCAACTTAAATCAGTTCAAGGCGCTGATGTAAGTGGAAAGGCGTTATTAGAAGATGGATTTGAAGAAAGTGAAGGATCTGATTCATCTTCAAGTGATGAAGAAGAAGATTTAGATTTGTTAGATGAAGCAAACAAAGATGAAAACGAGAATGATAATACGTTAACAGGCAGTGAAGTCAATGCTATAGGTGACGATGAGGAGGAGGATGGTGATGGTGATGATGATGATAATGTAGTCGTATTGAAGACAAAGAAAGAACAGCTCTCAAGAGAAGAAGAAGAAGAATTTGAAAGAGAGTTTAGTAAAATGATGAGTGAAAGTATTGAGTCACGTAAATTTGAAAAGAAGGCAGCCATGTTAGATGTACCTATCCCAATGAATCTTAGAGGATCTCAAGATCGTCGTACGATAGCACAAGATATGAATAAGCCAGCAACAGATAAAATGGCATTTACATTATTAACTAAGAAAGGTAATCGACAACAGACTAAAGTCATGGAAATACCATCCGATTCTGTGTTAGCAGTGAGTACACGAACTAAACAAGAAGCTGAAAGAGAAGAAAAACAACAGCTAAAGAAGCTTGTATTAAATTATGAAGAAAGAGAAGAAGCAGCAGCACGTCAAGGTAAATGAAATACTAAATTAAACAAAGTAACAAACTACTTAAAAAATAAAAATTATATTATCATTAGCTGCTGTAGAGGAAAGATCTAGATTGCGTGGTCATTATCGTGGAAAAAAAGTATTACAAATGGGTGGAGGTGCAGGTCATCATTATGCTACTAATGGAGGCTCTAACTGGTAAAAATAAAGCTTATGCTAAATGTATGCATGTATACACAAATACATTGTATTGTATTGTATTTATTTTATTCTTGTATAAATACTTTCTTCTTACTGGGTGGGGGGGAGGGTAACAAATTAACCTTTATAAATATAAAAATAATTGAGTAACCAAAACTAACATACAAATGTATACATTTAAGCTTCTTACATGCGCAACTATTGCTATTGTTATTGTTATTATTACTTAAATCAACGCCTTGATTACTATTTAAGCCACCTCTTCTACGCGAATTATCAGCTAATTGATCCAGAGGCATGCGCTTTGCAATAGCATTAAATAATTCATTCACATTGTGAGCTGTCTTTGCTGAAGTTTCAAAAAATAATGATCCCACTTCATCAGCATATTCTTGTGCAGTCTATAAATAATGAATAAATAGTTTATTGTCATACCATTCATATACTGCTCTTTTTTTTTTACCTTTGTTTCAATAGCCCTTCTTGCTTCTAAATCAGACTTATTTCCCGCTAAAGCAATAACAATATTAGGGTCAGCTTGACGTTGTAATTCATTTACCCAAGCTTTTGCTTTTTCCAAGGAAGACTAACGAAATATGATTATATCCCTTTTTTTTTTCCTTTTTTTTTTCTTTAATTATTATCCTTACAGCTTGTGTGATATCATAAACTACAATAGCACAATTAGCATTACGATAATACATAGGCGCTAAACTTTTATATCTCTCTTGACCAGCTGTATCCCTAATATACAGCGTTAAAGTAAAGTAAAGAAGAAGAACAGAATATGTATATATATAGATATAGATATAGAGAGAGAGGGATGATTTTTACCAAATTTCAAATTTTACAGTTGTATTATCGTCCAAAGTAACTGTTTGTGCGAGAAAAGCAGCTAAAAATTGCAATGCGAATATAAATATATAACATTGATAAATAGATAGATAGATATTTAGTTAGTTAGAAATACCTCCAATTGTGCTTTCTCGATATTCATCGAAATGATTTTTTACGAAACGCATGACAAGACTGCATAGAAATAAAAAAAAAAAAAAGTGATGAACTATAAACATGAACATCTATTTCTTCTTCTTTATTATTACTATACCTTGACTTTCCAACGGCAGATTCGCCTAATGTAAAGAATGAGTTAATAGTGAAAGATGCTAAAAGAGAAAAACAAAAAAGGGGTTCTGATGATAGTACCTAAAAGAACCAATTTAAACTGGTATGTCTTATTTTGTCCTTGTTGCTGCTGTTGTTGTCTAGAAGTAGCCATATTATTATTATAATAAAGAATTATAGAAGAAGAAAAGAGAGAATAAAAAAAAATAAAATAAAAAAAAGTCCGCTAATTAAAAACGAAATTTACTCTTTTTGTTTTTTGTTTTAATGCATTTATTTGTTGGCATAGGTCAGCAGCCATTGTCATGATAAATAACAGGATTATTTAATCTCTTTCTTTGCATTATTTTAAGCAATAAATGCAAAAAATAAAATAAAATAAAATAGGATGCATATATACAATTTGTCTACTTTTTTTGCTAGAAGGAAAAAAAAAATCACAAATCGAATCTAATTGGCTAATATTTAAACATGAAGTGATATATGTCAGTAATACAGACTTCTTGCTTCGGCTAAATATAATATATAATTTTATTTATGAAAAAAAAAAAAAAAAAAAAAAAAAAAAAAAAAAAAAAAAAAAACTTACCATAGAAATAAAACAGAAAATAGTGTATGTATCCATCTAAAGCAATTGGACTCATATTAGATGAAGTATTAAAGCATGTATGATAACTTGCATTAAATGATAACGAAGGCAAAAAGAAAATAAGGAATTAGTAAAGTGTCCTCTTAGTAGCTGAACAATAGTAATAAATAGTTGAGGAATTTTTAATTGATTTTCTAGGACGTAACTCTCTTCTTTCTTTCTTATTTATTTTTGTCGTTATTGACTACAACTAATTTTAGGAATAGTAAAAGTAAGCAGTATTATCACAATTGAAATAAATCAGGTACAATATCAGACTTATAAAGGGTAAGTATTATACTTAAATAAGCAGCTAAATTTGAATATTATAGAGGATATTCAACTTTTCGTAACTGTATAACTTATTTATAGATTTGATTAGCAATAGAATCTTAGTATCATCAAAATTAACAATAAGGATATAAAAAAGACTTTAAAAGGGCTATGACAAGTAACTCGGTGGGTTTTTTATTGTTTGTAAGGTTATGGATTGGAAGCTATGCGACGTAACATTTAAAGGCTGGATAGTTATCCAACAGATATTCCGTTTGTATTTCTCAGCTTTTAGCTAAACACTATATTACTATAATCCACATGTTTACTGATGCCCTAATAATCACATATACTAGAAACGTTTAAGGAATTGTCTATCTTTACCTCTTTAATTTTGCTTCTTTGTGAGAAGCCTCAATCTACTAGATGTATTGTGCACAAATATATATATGCATAATACAATAGATCATAGTTTGTATCATTTTATCTGAGCTTGACTACCTCTTCTATAATCAACCAATATCTTCAATTCTATTCAAACCTGGACAAAGGCAAGGCTTCTAGATTGACTCCATTCATCTTCTTTCTCCACATAATATAAACTTATACTCTGTAGTTCATACTCTCTCTCTCTCTTTATCTATTATTTTGCTTGATTCAGTCCGGACAAAACTGAAGAGTTAAATCTTATCTTGCGCCCATTTGAGGATTATTGTAGACCTATAAACTAATTCTAAAATACTCATGAAAATTTAAACTTACAGTAGCAAACTTGTCAAATTATTTTGTGAAACAAAAGTATGAAAGACGTGGAGTATTTACAAATATTATTTAGTCTAGAAAATATTGGGTTTAATCTAGATATCCTCAAATAGGTGGGTGATGTTACAACAATATAGTGTAACAATATCTCATATTTAACTCCAACTCTTTTTTTTTCTCTAATCCCCTCTTTCCCTCCCCCTCTCCCTTTCTCTCTCTTATTTTTCTTTCTAAAGAAAAAGGAATAGGAATGGCTCATAATTTTTTATTTATTACTGATTCGAAGGGAAGAAGATTTAATTTGTTAAATGATGACTTTCTTCCACAGTCAATTAAAAGTAAAAACCAAATAGAGATAAACAAACGCAAATACCATTGTACAGAACCAAGCTGTCAAAAAAGCTTTACAACTAGGTATATATATATATGTATATATATATATGTATATTTATTATATGCACATATATTTAACAGAATATTATGCTATATATATAAGTGGTCATCTTGCTAGACATTATAGGATTCATACAGGCGAAAAAAATTACAATTGCCTGCATCCAGGATGCTCAAGTAAATTCTCTCGTCAAGATAATATGATGCAACATTATAGAACACATATAGCATCTCGTTCTCGTTATTATCGTTACCCATCTTATAACTGCTACTACTCATCTTCTAATCCAGCTTATGTTATCAGTGATAGCACAATTCCTTTGTATTCATTTGTAAGAAAACATGATAGTCATCGTCAACAGTCATGGACTTCTTCATTATCATCTCTTTCTACAACAAATACTACTGATAAATACAGTATTTCTGGAAAGTCTGTAAATAATGATCATATAGAAATGTCGCGGTATCATTATTACTGTTAATCAAATATATATATATATATATGTGTGTATACACTTATATGTGCGCAATCAATATTATTTATATGTATATCCTTTATGTGTAAAATATTATGTTATTCTTTCTGTCTTTTATTATATATCAGCTCCTGTTAATAAACTTTTTTTATGTTATATTCCATACAAATTATTATTGTTTACTAGAGTAGCTACTATATCTATGCTACTATACAATTAGTAGTTATATTAGTCTATGACGAAAGTGCTATAGGGTAAGTAGATCTATACTATGGCTGTTACACTAAATAATATCCTCCATTTGAATTGGAGCAAATAAAAATTATTTTTAGTTTAATTTTAGATCGACTTTTAATAACACAGTAGTATAAACTCTTTTTTTGTTGTTGTTGTTGTTGTTAACTATTTAGTTTATATCCTATGGAATAAAATTATTAATGAAAAAAAAAGTTATCCTTAGATATAAGCACATACACTTGAACATAATCTATTGTAACATCCTTTAATACTTTACAAACATGAATATATATAATGGAAAAAAAATACGCAATGTATATGCTATAGTAAGTAAAAAATTATACAGCCATTCTCTTTCTATACTTGGTAACTTAATTGAATTTCGTAGGACAATAAACTAGAGTCTTTATTAATTTTAGTAAGTCTTTTTTTTTAAAAAAAAAGGACTGTATCAATTTCATTTTATTATAGGATACATATGTATACACTTGTATGCTTATAAAGATGACTAGCTATACATACACATAAAAATATGCTTTTAACTTGCAAAAAGCAAATTCTTTTAAACATACCTTTATTAACACATTTATAATTGGTGTTTAAAGGGATAATTTAATAAACAATGGTAAAGTGGTATGTTGTACAAGTCTTTTTAATTAATGAATAGGGTAGCACATTAAGGACAAAAAGATTTAATTTTAACTGTGCGCGTGTTTTTTTTATTATTTTTATTATACAACATAAGGGATAGCAGATATTAAAAGTGACAGATCTAAGTTTACTATAAATAATATTGCTGTTGTACATCAAGCGTAAAAAATGAAAAATAAAAACATGTATTTAGAGATATTCAATACTTAATTTTATTACAAATATATTGCCCTTTTACGTCTTATATATCATTAACACCAATACATTTATCATAATTAATGTCTATCTAAACATAAGATTATAGAACCTTACTTTTAATAAATTCATATATGTGTTTATATATGACATATTGATAAATAAAATTAACTAAATGTACATAATACATTGAATAGTATTCAATCATAAAAAAAAAAGGGAATATTTTCAAGCACATCACATTATCATTACAAGCAATTATATGATATTTTGATTAAGATGTCAGAATACACAATAAAAATAAAATTACAGATATTATATTAAAAGGCTACAATAAGTAAGCGAGATCGAACACTAGGTATGAAAGTCGATTACTTTATTTATGGTGTTAAATAATGAGGATTTATATAAGAATACACGGATATCTTTTATAGAGAAAGGAAACAGAAAAGTATTCGTTTTATTAATAAAAGGTACAATATCTTTAGATTTATAGATCATGAAGAAGTATAATATAAATAACCTAAAATCCCCCCTTTTTTTATATATACTATTATTTGTCTAGGTATTTTAAAACTAGAATTAAATAAAGTGTAATTAACCCTGATTACCTTATTTTGATGATCGTTGAATTATTATAAAAATTTATTTGGTGTTAGATCGTGACAAATAACTTCAAGTTGGTGATAAGCATTTATCAATAACGTAAAATTATAATTCATAATAATTCAAAAGCTAGGAGAAGAAGATAATAAGAGTAAAATGTGTGATCTCACACGTTAGTATGCATTACATGAATAAAAGAAACAAATTAGTGATATTTTTTTTTTCCTGTTCACATACATTTATATATTATAGACTGTTCCATAATCCAACGATAAGTATTACAAAAAAAAACGAAAGCAAGTCAAAGTAGTTAGTAGTAGTAGTAGTAGTGATAGTGGTAGTGGCAGTAGATAATACTGGTATTGTGTAGTGATTATTAATATTAGTAAGGATGTGTTGGTAGTAGGATTGTAGTTGTAAATATAAATAGTGGTGGTGGTGGTATAAGTGGGGTGCCTATAGTAAATATAGCCCTATGTGTATCCTCTATTTCTGATGAAAGTAACACGGGTGTTTGGAGAGTGACTAGAATTCGCAGCATATTTAGCCCAAGCCTAGGCTGTGGAATCGAATCACTTCAAGGGTTCCCCACCAAATCAAATGAACCCTTAATTTTTTTATTTATTCTTGTTTTTTGTACTACGCCAGCGACTCCTTTTTTTTTTTCTTTTTACAGCAACAGTAGTAGCAGTAGCAGCAGTAGCATGAATAATGATGTTTTATGACTACATTCTACCAAGCAACGGTAGTAGATACAGGAAGAACAGTGTTATTATTATTATCTGATACTATTATAGTCAGATCATATATCAGAACCAACAATCTTTAAACGTTCCCCTCCCTTATATATATATATATATATATTATATGAATGTATATTATGTACCTTGGTATCATTATGGCCCTCAAGCCATAGAAAGAAAAATAGAGTGTCTAAAAAGCCTTATTTTATGTATATACAGATACAAATGTATAGTTGCTATGTTTGATCATAATCACAAGTAAACATAATATACAGACTCCTTTAATTGATTAACATCAAGCTTCTCTAGCTAATACTATACATTATGTTATGGCTTATTTAAGAACAAAGACTTAAAAAAAAAAAAAACTCTACCAAGTATATCGTAATAACCACCAATATCTCTCTATAAGCTAGAGCTAGTGTAGAGAAGAATGTTCTCGATTACTTCAAAAAAAGAAGATATTGATAAATAGAACAATTCTGTCACTGTAACAGTAATAAATGCAAAGTATTTCTTTTCTGAGAATATTCAACATTTTTTTTTCTTTGCTCATAGTTTAGGTAAAGAATACATGATAGCAGAAGACTAAGTCAGGGAAAAATAACTACTGGAGTTTGAGGTAAAGAAGGTAAGTAAAACTAATATAAACTTTACTTGTAATATTGTGTAAAAAACTCATAAATGCCCCTTCTCCTCCCTCCCTATTTCTTTTATTTTCATAAAAAAAAAAGATGTATGAATAAACTATATTCATTGATAAACTCGAGTTTAAAAGCAGGATGCACTTGTCTTTTATCACTTTAAGCATTTAATAGTTCTTTAATATTAGTCTTCAATCCTAGTGATAACATAGCATAGCTTTCTTGTCTCTATTTATATATATATGTATATAGTTTAGCTACTCTTTGTGCAGCAAACCAAACCAAACCAAACCAAACCAAAAAAAAAAAAAAAAAAAAAAAAAGAAAAGAAAAATTTTATTTTGAAGGCAGTAAATACGTGCCAAATTTTTCACTCTTTGGTTCAATAAACAAAATTTTTCTTTTTTTCTGAACAATATTTAAACTCTTATTAAACAAAGAGAATAAATAAACATGTCTAATGTTGCCCAAAAACGACCATTTGCAAGCCTTATAGAAGAGGACACGTAAGTCTGTCTCTTTTTTAATATCTATATCCATATTTGTATATATAGATATAGATATAGATATGGATATAGATATAGTGAAAACTTATCCTTTAATCACTCATTAAATGTTATATAGAAATGAAACTAATGAACATAAATCACCATCAGTAATGACACCAGCAGAAAAGAAATGGTGCACTCAAACCATTAAATCACTTAAAAAACATAAAAGAGCCATCGCTTTTCTTGATCCTGTTGATCCAGTCAAGTTTAACATTCCTGATTATTTTGATATCATCAAGTCACCCATGGATTTGGGCACTGTAGAAAAAAAGTTGCAAAAAGATCAATACCTTACCATAGAAGATTTTAAAGCTGATGTTCAACTTATATTTGATAATTGTTATCTATATAATAATCCTGGTGATCCTGTTTGCCAAGATGCAAAAAAGCTACAAGAACATTACACTAAAATATGTAAAAAAGAACCCCTCGCAGAAAATAATGTAAATACAAATGTAAATCAAGTCCTTAATTCAAATCCTCAAATAGATGTTACTACTAATAATGTAATTATAATCATTTTTATGCATTTGTAAGATGAACTTGACGTATTTTTTTTTTTATAAAGTCCTTACAGCAAAGAACAGAGAAAAAGACAGCAACAACCATTACTATTCCTACCCAACCTAAACCTCAAGTCAAATTAACTCTATCGACTACTACTACTACTAATAATAATAATAATAATAATAATGATAATAATGACAATAATATGAATAACGACCCAGCATCAAACTCATCAAAAGAAAAAGTTCAGCTTATGCCAGAAGAACAATTCAAACGTTGTGAAACACTTGTAAAAGAATTAAAGAAGCCTAAATATCAAGGTTTAAGTTGGCCGTTTGCACAACCTGTAGATGCCGATGCATGGGGAGCTACAGATTATTATGACATTATTAAAGAACCTATGGATATGACAACTTATGAAAGAAAATTATATGAATTTCAATACTCTCATGAAGATGAACTGGCAGATGATATCCGCTTAATGTTTCGTAACTGTTATACCTACAATCCTCCAGATCATCTTGTTCATAATTTAGGAAAAGAATTTGAGCAAGTCTTTGAAAAACAATGGGCAAAAATACATGGTAAAAGTAACAAAAGGTCTTCTTCTACTAGTACCAGTCATTCAAAAAGACAACGCCATACATCTTCAAATACTGAAGGTAGTCTTTTTTTTTTTTTTTCACTAGTAGTATTTTATCATTAAAATGATAGTTTGTTTAGTAGATACTATGACAACTACTACTTTACCATCTCAACCATTCAATGATGAAACATCATCCAATGCGGATAGTAGTAACAATGGTATATTAAGAAAAATAGTTATATATGTATTATATGTATAATATTTATGTTTACATGTGCTTTCTAAAGGTCGTTCTACCATTTTACGACTAAAATTATCTGTTAAGCCCAAAAAAGAAGAAGAATCAAAGGTAAAGTATTTACTGTTTAATATTAGATTAGATTATATTCAATTTATTTCGTATTAGCCAAAATCTACTGTAAAGATTCCTGGTTTAGCTTTATCCAAAGAACCTCCTCCATCATCCACTGGGCCTAAATTAGCGATTGGAGACAAACCAATTCAAGATAAAAAAGCAGAACGAACTGTAAGTGTTATGATATATATGCGTGTGTGTGTATATGTAATTAAATAGAAGAGTCATTCTTAATCTATATTAGACACCACTTGTATTACAAAATCATGATAAATGGCTTGCACTTGCCAAAAAATCTGATACAACAACATTACAATCCAAACATCAATTACAACAACATAATACCACACATACACTTAAAAGGCCGATTGCTACTACCTCTACTACCACTACTACTTCCACTACTACCAACACCGCCACCGCCACAGCAACTTCATCAGCTTCCTCTACCACAAATACAAATGTTCCTTCTAAACCTAAAGAATCCTCAACACCAACAGCACCTTCTGCATTATCATTTGATATTAACGAATTATATAATAAAATTCATAATGAAAAGAAATTAAAAGAGCAACAGGTAAAAAAAAAAAAAAAAAAAAAAAAAAAAAAAAAAAAAAAAGTAGAGGAAATAGATCTATAGTTAAAACTTATATAAACAGAGACGTGAAGAACAAGAAAAATGGGAAAGAAATGAAAGAATTCGATTAGAGAAAGAAAGAATAGCAAGTGAAGAAAGATTAAGACAGTTAAGAGAATTCAATCAACATTTGCAAGCTAAGCGTAAACGTGATAAAGAAGATAGAATAAATGAATTGGTAAACAATCATGTGCTTCTATTTCATGTCTTCTTTATTTATTTTGATATGTTTTAGAACTCGCATACAATTGATATCAGCAAACAAAAGTTGAAATTTACTAAATTTGAATCCAATTTTATGGTCCGAGATCAAGATTGGCGTGAAATTTATACTTGGCAACGAGAGACAATTGATTATCGACATATACCAGTCCCTGGCTTTGTAAAGAGAGCTCCTATTAAATTACCTGAACTACGTAAACGATTATTAAGTAAATGTGTACGGTTAGAGAACTCAAAGAACCAAAATGCCATTCTTCAGGATGATGGTGGATCCGACATGGATGTAGAATAGAAACATATTATAATAAAGAAACAAAAAAAAAAAAAAAAAAAAAAAAAAAAAAAAAGAAAAAAGAAAAGAAAAGAAAAGAAAGGATAATGAATGAAGATGATGTATATAAACACACACACATATATATAAAAGAAGAAGAATAGGATTATTACTATCTTTTTATCATATCTCTTCTTCCTTGTTCACTTTTTATCATACAATCTTATTTTTATTATGTGGGTTCTATTATCCAAGTAGTACAACTATCCATCATTTCCCGCCATTTCAAAGCATTTATTTATAAATAATAAAAGGGGGGGAGGGACATGTCTATCATCAAATCTATTCCTTCCTTCAAAGTATATTAGAGTTAAATTACATTCTATTATATGGCTGTGGTTTAAATAATAATAATAATAAAAAAAGCTAGAAGAAGGGACCTTACTGCTACACTACAATGTATAATGTAGTAGCAACACAAACTGACAATTTAACTGGTAGTAAATAGTAAACAAAAAAAAAAGCTCTCTTGTGTGATAAGCATTTGAGATCTTGTTATTGTGCTACATCTTCTTTCAGATGTGTTCTTTACTAGTCATCTCATGTGACTAATAGCATAAACTTCTTGACAGATCCTCCAACTGGAGGGAGGGAAGGAGGGGGGGGAGGTTTAACATATATATATATATATATATATAATAGTATCACACCTTATATATTATATACACATATTCTAATTTACTAACTACTTGTGTACTTGATAGCAAGTAAAAAAGGAAGAAACTATTTTAAGCTGCATATAAAAGAAGAAGATGACTACTACTAGTATAATAATGATCTACTAATAGTAGAGCCTTCTTCATTCATAACCAACAATGCATAACACACTACTTTTTATTAATAATTGTTCTTTTAATAAAATAATAGCTATTTCTTTTTTTTTCTCTTTTGTATTTAAGAATAGCTTGTAAAGTAGTACATTTATATAACTAAATAAAGATTTTTATAGTTTTGTATCCCCCACAAGATTGGCATTTGTTGTTACATGTTTAAATCATTTCATATATGTAAAATACTACTACTACCCCTTATTTGCATCTAATTTATTTGATTTCACATTATACACATTTAAATATTGGAAAAATGGTTATTTTTATTTTATTTTATTTTATTTTTATACAAATATATGTATACATATAATTATATAAAATGCAAAGATACATGTATGTATGTCTGTATGGGTGTGTGCGTATGGGTGTTTGTATATAATATATATATATGTATATAAATATATAAATATATAAATATACATATATATATATGCATGTATAAATACATGTATATATTTTAGTATTGTTGTTGTATAATATAAAAAGCTGTGAAGAAAAAAAAAACTATAACTATAACTTTTTTTTTTAATATATATTTATCTACTATCGATGAAATGAATTAGAATGATGATTACGAGATGATAATTGCAATAAATAAGAATTTGGTTTAGATATAAAATTGACAGTGTTATCATAGTTCATATTAGATAATTGTTGTTGCTGTTGTAAAATATCATAATTCCAATCTATGACATTATGATTCATGAAATTTGGATATCTTGATGATGATTTGTTGTTATAGTATAAAGTAGGGCTAGGATAGATGATATTGTGATAAGAAGAAGAAGGAGATAGTAAATCTTGTGATCGATAAGAAGAAGAAGGAGTTATTGTGCTACTACTACTTTCAGTTAAATAGCTTTGATTACTGTCATCGATACTTTTGATATCTTCGCCATATAATTCTTGTTGTTGTGTAGTTTGTTCAGGATAAACGTTATAAGAGATTGAAGTTTCAGGTATATTATAAAGTAATAGTTGTCGATAAGTAGTAGGAGATCCAGAAGAAGAGGATGATGAAAGATGATCTGATGATGATGATAATACTGTAGTAAGTTCGGATTCCGGAATACAATTACTTTTAGTTGTAGTAGTACGAGAAGAAATCATAGGAGAATAACGTCTTTGTCTTTTTGTTAATGTAGTAGTAGTAGATTGCCTTTTCATGTTATTTAAAGGTCTTTGTAAATTATCGATAAAGAACTGTTCTTTGCCTTTTCTAATTGTCCAGAAACAACCTTTTCTAGGAGGATTTTGAATACTAGTATCACGTTCAATTTTGACAAATGCTTTATGTAAAGATAGATTATGTCTTATAGAGTTCTAACATGTATGAATAGGTAGTTAGTATTTTTATATCTCTCTTTATCCTTCTTCTCTTTTTTTTACCTGCCATCCTTGACTTTCATTTGAATAAAAAGGATAATGTTTGGTTATCCAAATATAAATGTCATGTAAAGTTAATTTTCTGTCTTTACTAGTCAATATAGCGTGTCCTATAATTGTTGCATAAGAATAAGGTGGTTTCTCTGTTCTATTAAGTGGATTCCATGAAGGATATATTTCAATTGGACCAGCTGGATATTCCATTATTTCACTCTCATTCTTTAATCTTTTCCAATTATTATTATTACAATCATTACGTTTACGCCCAATTATTTTATTACTTGAAACGGATTTATCCATTGACATATTTACAAGGTAAAGTTAACAAAAGAAAAAGAAAAAAAAAGGGGGGGAGGAGAGAAAAAGAAAGGGAAATAAGGGCAATACAAATCAAGTTTTTATTATATATGAAAAAAAAAAAAAAGTAAAGAAAAGAAAAAACGGTTCCTCCGGAAATCATATTTCAAGACAAGACAAGACAAATAAAATAAAATAAAATAAAATAAAACAATAAAATAAAGGTCAGGTTTAGTCTTTGTCTATTATACATTTTGTAACTATCTTAACTTGATCGTCCTTTTCTTTTATCAAGTCCTTTTATCGATTTCTATATGACAAATAGTCTTGAACTTCTTCTATCTTTAAGGGAAGGAATGATTGTTCCGAAGTCTTTTTTTTCTAAAAGGTGGTACTACGTGTGAATGGCTTGGGTTGTTTTTTTTTGTGAGAGGTTACATACTTATGATGTTTAGCGTATGTTCACACACACACACACACACATACATACACACTGTTATTTTATACACGCACATACCACATAATCCATTCTCAAACATTTACCTTATTTGTTACAACAATGTTGTCAAAAAGATAACTTATTCTAACATCCCTTTTTTTTATTTTTTTTATTTTTTATTATTATTATTATTATTATTACTACAAAATATGATTTAGTTTGATTTGCTTGCTGTATTAACATTAAGTAACAAGGTATCTGTATCCAACATCACTCTATTATCACTACGTGATAAAATATGAGAGATTTCTCTAGCTGCTTCAATTCTCTTTAATTCCAAGAAACCAGGCTTATCTTTAATGGCTTCACCAATCAATTCGGCTGATTTAGCCTCACCTTGTGCACGAACAATAATAGATTGCTTTTCTTGTCTTGCTTTATCAACTATAAATGCTGCTCTTTGTGCTTCTTGTTGAGCAATTTGTTTAGCTTCAACTGCACTTTCAAAGACAGGTGAAAAGCCAACATGAGTAATGGAAACATCATCCAAAATAATGTTGAATCTTAATGCACGACGTACAAGGTTTTCTCTAACAAGACGTGAGACTCTTTCACGTTGTGTAATAAGTTGAGAAGCTGTAAATTGAGCAACAACTGATTTAAGTACTTCATTGACAATAGAAGGTAAGATACGTTCATCATAGTCTTGTCCCAATGTACGATAGACTGTAGCAAGTTGGTCAGTACGAGGTTTTGAAAGTACACGACATGTAATATTGACCATTTGTAAATCTATTATTGAAAAGAAAAGAAAAAAAAAAGTTACATGATATCTATTTTAGTGTTTAACGTTATATGTATATATATATATGTGTGTGTGTTTGTGAGTGTGTTTTTACCTTTAGTGCCAGTTAATGAAGCAACATTACGAGGCTTTGCACGAACATCATAAATAACGGGTGTTTCAAACCAAGGAATCACAATATGAGTTCCTTCACTATACACTTTATCTTGAACACCAAAAAGACGAGTATATTTAATAGCTCTATGACCACCATCAACTATAATATCAAAATTGTGAATAAATACATCATAATGGTATACTAACCCCCTGGACAAAACTTACCATTAAAGAGAGAAGCATTGACACCATAACCTACAGCACCGAGGGTAGCAAGGGCTGCAATTGCACCTCCAATACCCTTACTAGAGCCTTGAGGGAACATGCCTCCTAATCTTTGGGCTGCTTGCTTTGCTTGTTGAGCCATTTTATTTTAACTAATAAAGAAAAGACAAAAAAAAAAAAAAAAAAAAAAAAAAAAGACAACAACAAAAAAAAAAGATGATTGATCATCAAGCATGGGGGACTGTCAATAAATGGCTGAGTGAAAAAAATCTGTCAATGAACGAAAAGAAACAAGATTTATTTTATTTTATTTTTATTTTCTTCTAAATAAGTTTTTATGAAAGTTAATTTATTTTATAATTTTGAACATTTCTTCATTATTTGACGAACACCAAGATCTAACATGATTTCTAAAATAAAATAAAATGAAATGAAATGAAAAATTTAGAGTGTGAATCATATTACTTTTTCCCTTTTGTCTTCTTTACCTTCAGATCCTCCAGGAATAGCATATGCACGAACTTCACGATATAATCGCTCCACTTTTTCACCTTGACCACCACGAGTATAGGCTAAACCACCAAAGATCTGTGCTGCTTCACGAGCACAATATTCAAATGTTTGTGTACTTTGGGCTTTAAGAAGTGCAATTGGGCCTGCTAACAAAGAAGGTTGTTCTTCTTCAGGTAAGGTCTTGATTTGATACAAGATAGATTCTAACCAAGCATGTGAAGCTTCACATTGACGAATCATATGTCCAAACTTGTTTCGAATGACTGCATGATCAATTAAACGTTGACCAAATGTCTTTCTTTTTAAAGCATACTATAAAAGATAGATACGTTTTTTTTAACTCTTCTCTCTCTCTCTCTTTTTTTTTTTTTTTTTTTTTTTTTTTTTTTTTTTTTTTTTTTTTTTTACCTTTAATGATTCCTCAATACAAACACGAGAAAATCGATTGGCTTGCATGATAATACCTAAACGTTCATGATTGAAATTATGCATAATGTATTTAAAGCCTTGATTCAATTCGCCAATCAAGTGAGACTTGGGTACTTTTACGTCCTCAAACGTAATATAAGAAGTACCAGATCCCCACATGCCTTGACAGTCCATTTTTCTATATACACACACACACATATATATATATATATTAAAATCAGTATTTGATCTATTTTTTTTTTTTTTCAAATCTATATTTATTTATACCTTGCTGATACACCAGGGAAAGTACGCTCAACTAACAAAAGAGATACACCACTCATACCTTCATTACCTGTACGGCAGGCAACTGTATAATAATCAGCAAAGGCACCTTGAGTTATCCATTTCTTTTCACCATTTAGCAAAAAATAGTCGCCCATATCTTTTGCGGTAGTAGTTAAATTAGCAACATCTGAACCTGCAGAAGGTTCAGTAATACACAAAGCAATTACTTTATCTCCTGCAAGACATTCAGGAACAATTCGATTTTTTAATTCGTCGTTAGCAAAATGGATGACAGGAGGAAGTCCCTATATAAAAAGATATATATATATAAATGACTCGCCCGCTTTCATTCAACTAGAAAAAAAAAAGAGATATACATATATACTTTACAATGGCTAATCCACCCTGTAATGCCCAAACAAGACCACCAGATCCACATCGAGCTACTTCATCAACACAAATAAATTCATGAAAGATATCAAATTCTGAAAGAGTGATACCACTTGGTAAGCCATAGGGTAATAAATGAGCCATTTTAGGGTCTGTAGCAGCACCAGAGACAGCTGCAAGAAGACCTACTTTAGCAGCACTCTTCAAAACTGATTTAGGAATTTCTTTATTTTCACTCCATTCATGACAAAAGGGAATCACTTCTTTATCTACCCATTCACGAACTGCATTACGAACTTTGATATGAGACTCATTATAATAAGGACTTTTTTTTTTTTTTTTAAGAATGTTAAATATATAGATCTTTTTTTATTTATTTATTTATTTATTCTTTCCTTTTACCTGTTCCAGTTTTGATACCAAGAAGGATCACCGTATGGATAACCTTCACCAAATTTAGATAGATGCTTGTTCTGTACAACGTCTGTAACTATAGCCCTTTTCTGTTCATGATTTTTGACAGGTAATGATGGAGTCTCTTTTTTAATGACAGGTTGCTCAGTAGACTCAATGACACCAATTTGCATAGGAAGCCCTATACGTTGCATGATAGATGCATTATGGAACGTCTTGAATTGTTTGGATGCGTCCTTTCCTGCCATCTTCAGTATCACCTTCTTTCCTCCAGGGTGTTCATTTAAAAAATGGGTTACATCAAAGACGTTACCTTCTATAATAATCCAACAATCTTTTGCGTTATTATGTAACTTAACTTCTTCAACAGTAAATGTTTTCATGGATAATATAATACGATTTAATAAAAAGAATTAAAGGGAAAAAGAAAAAAGAGAGAAAGAGAGAGAGAGAGTAAAAGAATAATAATAATAAAAAAAAAAGTTTTATCCTGTGGGGTAAATATGCTGAGTAATAAGGAATCATAATAACCTTATTTTTTTTTTTTTTTTTCCTGAAATACAAAAATTGACAGAAGTTTATTTTATTTTTGTAAAACGTTTTTAACTTCATCTACTTTATTACGATGCAACATAAAAGTAGGTGTAATCCAACGACCACAGGAACATTGATCACCTGCCCAATTATAGGAACCCAATTTACAGGAACATTTAGGACAATCAATACGTCCCTGTACATCATCAATCAAACCTTCTAACCATTGCATGGGCTCAATAAAATAAGATGAACATGCATTATTATGAATAGCTAATGATGCTAATAACGGGTTTAGGGATGCATTTACTTTATTGAGTGATGTATTCACTTCTGACTCTGTTGAAGTTGTAGCTGTTGTAGTAATGTTAATATCTGCATTACGTTTATGATAAGAAAATGCCACTTGTCCTTTCCCTGGTTCATGATCAATAACGTGCTCAGAGCCAACCAAAATTCGTCTACATTTTCTGCATCGTAAAGCCTTGAATTTTTTTTTGTTACTTGCTTCTGTTAATGGTGTATATTCTGGATCAGCAGCCAAAGCATTATGTTCTACATGACCATAATCTATCATAATTTTCTATCTATTAGTATCCATCAGATAATTGTATTTTTTTTTCTCTCCCTCTCTCTTTATTTTTACTTTTTTGTTCTTCAGCCATACTGGCTACTAGAAAACGTCTATATTCTACTTTATTTAAATCGACTTCAAATTCTAAATCATAATAAAGATCAAGTTGCTCCATAAATCCTTGATTAGGTGCAATACAGGGACGTTTCTGTTTAATCAATTCTAATGCTTCATCACGTTTTATCTTTTTTGATTTCATTAAACAGGCAGCTAAAATGGTAGGACTTCGGGATACACCTGCTTGACAGTGAATTAAAATTTTTCCTCCTGCTTTATAAGCGATCTGAATAAAATCAATAGCATCGTCAAAATATTGAATTATATTTTGTCCCTCCACATCAAAAATAGGAATATTCTACAAATACATAAATTAGTCTCTCTGTCTTTCTTTCTCCCCCACCTCAAAAAAAAATACTTGCCTTGTATTCAACATCAAGATCGAGATCATTACTAAAATCACCTAGTGACAAAATGTGTGTCATTTTATTTTTGGTGATAATTTCTTTTTTATATGATTCACAATCGCCAAGAAAGATGCGAGGTATAATTTCTTGGAAACTAGGCTCATTAATATCTTTAATTGATGTTACTGACATTTTGACAAAAGTAATGATGCTAACAATAAAAAAAAAAATGTAAATTAACAAATAAATATTTTTTTTGAAAAGCAATATGATTGGATAATATCCAAACTTAATATTTTTGAAAAAATAATAATAAAAAAAAACGCACTTTATCTGATAAATGCATTTGAATAAATCATATACAAATTTATTTTACTCAGTAATACAGTGTATATGCATATAAATATACACATATTTTTTCTTTTTTTTTTTAAAGAAAAAAGAAAATACAACTACAAAATAGGGAGCTATGTTGTATTGTTGTATTTTCCACCATATAAACGAAGAATGAGATAAATAGCACTATCAGGCTTAATATTGTATTCACCAAGTGTCATGTTTTCTTGATTTAATTCATGTCCCGAATAAATCATGCGTTGATGTTCAGCTTGAATACCTTCTTCCTCTTCTATTGTTTTTTTCAAATCAAAGACTGTAGTAGAATGGGAATCAACTTGAAGAGGTCTAATTTTGCCTGACATTGTTTTTACAAAAACAGTCATCATTTTTACCATAATAAATGTAATGTATAATGTAATGTTAAAAGAAAAAATAAAAGAAGTTGTACTAGAAGGAAAAAGCCTTTTTCTTTTTTTCTAATACAATCTTTTGATAAATTAAGTACACAATAAGATAGATTCGCTTACATAAACAAGATATTGTCTTGTGTAGCTTTTTTAATTAAAATTGTTGGGATATTAATTTTTTCTTCTTTTCTTCCCTTTTTTTTTTCTTTAGTTTTCTTATTTAAAGAAATGGTATATAAAACAGAGTAAATAGAATCAATGTTATAATTAAACATGCTTCATTGTTTCAATAGATTCCAAGAGATTCAATGGAGGATGACAGACCTATTGGTTTGAAATTGACTCGAAATAATTTTTTTAATTTTCAAAAATCAAGTCCTTTAAAGCAGCCAGAATTTTTAAAAAGGAAAACAACTTCATTATCACCTACTTTATTACCAAGATCTCCTTTACGAATAAGAGACTCCCAGCAGACTAATAAAATGATTATATCACATGGTATACATGTACACTATATGGAACTCTATTTTTTTTTTCTTTCTTTCTTCTTCCTTTTTCATATCCATATAGGTTTCTCAAAACTTTATATGTATATACATATTTATATAGATTCAAGTATGGATGAACAATCACCCATAACTAAATATTCTTCAATATCTTCTTCTTCTTCTTCTTCAATAACAACGATAGAAGATGATTTAACTCATGAACTTGAAAATATGTGGAAATTTAAATTTACTCAGACAGCACCCTCTTCAACTCTATCCTCATCATTTGATATTGATTCTGAAGATTTACTTTTTCAGTTACTTGTTTCTCAAGCTTTAATTGAAGCTCGTGACTATAAAACTTTATCTTTTGAAGAGTTTGAAACATTAAGACAAGTAAAAAAAAAAAAAGGAAAAAGATGATGTAAATGATTGGATATTTAATTTTATTTTATTTTTCTTAGCATCAAGTACGACTTAAAACAAAACTGAAAGCGACAACACAAAGACTTCAAATTGATAAAATGATTCAAGAAACTTTACAATCTCTTTTAACTCTTTCAAATGATAAGAATCGAGAATCGGTCACGTTATTATTAGATGAAAGCCAAGAGACAGATCGAAAGGTCAAGATTTTGACTCAACGACTTGAAGAACTTGAATCAGAAGAGATTGAAACAGACTATCAAGTATTACAACATACAGCGGGTGTACTCTGTCTTGGATTACAAAAGTTAGAACAATTAGAGTCGTCGACAACAACAACAACAAGTGGGGCGATCTATCTTCACTCTCCTCATCATACAGCTATACACGATATGAAAGCGAAATTAATCGATTTACAATCTGAATTAGATACCACCATCAAGCCTATCTTGAAAAGAATTTTAAAAGCATTTGATATGTCTTCTATAGTCCAACATTCAAATTCACCCATTGAATGGCTTGATTATCTTGAATTCAACTTTGATAGTCAAGTTCAAGAGGATGTGAATCAACTGATTGAATTAAAAAGGACGGTACCTATCATGGAGTCTGAGATGGCAAGGATCCAATCTCTAGTCGCTCTCTATCAAGCACGAGAGAATGAATTAAAGACAGAGATAGAGTATTATCGTGATCAAGTACTGAAATTACGTATTGAAAGAGAGCAAGATCCTATCCCCGATCACAGGAAGGATGATGATGATGATGATGAGCAAAAATTACAAGAAGAACAAGAAGAGTATCAAGCCCAATTAAAGGAACAGGCTGCCCTTTTAGATAAACTTTCACGAGATTGTGAAAATTGGCAAAGGGAACATGATAGATTATTCACTATCTGTCATGATTTACATACGTTGGTAAAGGACAAGGAAAGGATACTGGATATGCGTGATGTTCAAATTCATGAATTAGAGTTAGTCAACAACGCTACTCCTGAAGTCGATTCATTACGAGCTGCGTTCTTGGTCAAGGAGGCAGCTTGGATTGAAAAGAGTGCAGTCATGGAGGCAAACTATGAGGGTATCTTGAAGGAATTTGATCGACTTACGGGGACTGCAATGGAATTTGAAAGGGAGAAAGTGAATTATGAACGACGTCTTGACCAACTCACACAGCAAGTAAAAGAAATCGAAGCTCAATTAATAGAGGAAGGAAAGGGAAGACAATGGAGTAAGACGGATACATTAACGACAGCTTCCTTAAGAAAAGAATTTAAAAAGATGATACATGTGATGAAAGCAGATCATCAAAGAGCGTTAGAAAAGGAGATGGAAGAAAAAAGACATTTAGAAAGACAATTAAAAAATCTTAAACATGAAAGAGAGATGTCAAGATATGAACGTATTAATAAAGGCATTCAAACTCTATCCATATAAATAAATAATAATTATTTATGTATGTGTGTGAGTGAGTGTGTGTGAGCGTGAGTGTGAGTGTGTGTGTGTATATGTGTGTATGTATGTATTTATGTGAATATTTGTATATATATAATAATTCATCTTTTTTTTTTTTTCTCTTTCTCTCTCTTTTGTTTTTATTCGAATTTTACATTAATATTCTATTTGAACTATTATTAGTTGAAGAACTTGTTGTAGTAGGTAAGCTAATAGGATTCTGTGTTGATCGTTCCTCAATAGCATCCCAAGATAATGTCCATTCTCTTTTCACCTTTTGCCATGTTGTAGGGTCAAAAAAGACATACACACCACGATCTAAATTATTAGGTGATGTCCTTCGAAATGCTTGAACAGGTCGACCATTTTCATCTGTTTCTTTTGTTAACCACAATCCTAATTCCTTATGATATCGCCAATTGCGATTATATCTAATAATAATAATAATAAAATAAGTCTTTTTTTTTTCTCGCTTCTCCTAAAAAAAAAGCTAATTATTTTGTTACATACAATTCTTGTGCTGCTGCCTCCTGGGCAATATCCTTTGGCATACAATAAAACACATAAAATAAAATTTCATCTGAAAATGTTCGCATACGTTGATGAGCAGGTGGTGTTGCTTGAACATTACGATAACAAGAAGGCAAATAATAGCCTGGTTCAACATTTAATCCGGGTAAGTTTTGTGTATCTGACCATGGTGATATAAATGTTGAATATATAGAACTATCACACACACACATGCACAAAAATGAATGAATTGTCTATCAATTTTAAACGCGTTCATTTAAAACTTACTCTGATGTATTCAAATCTAAACCGAGTGTAGTTAAATCACTACCTAATGCCAACATACTACGATCAGGATCCGTCATTCTAATCACTCCTAAAAGCCCTAATAATCCATATGGATCCGTTGTTTTTCCATCTGTTGATGTTGTTTCCTCTTGTTTTCTGGATTGTGACTAATGAAGAAAAAAAATTAACACGTGTATTATTTATGAATTGTAAATAATTTACCCAAGAATTTGAAGATTCATTTTTTTGCGAAAATCCTTTTCCTATTCCATCAAAAAATAGTAATATATAAAAATAAATAAGGTAAAAATAAATAAACAAATAAACTGATAAACATATATACATATACACATCATTTCGACTCCATGTTGTCGGAAAGTAATATATATATATATATATATTTATTTATATATATATAAATACATTGTTCTAGTTTATTACCTGACTCTCTATTTGCTCCGTTATCAAAAGTACTACTACTGCGTAGTGCTGGAAATTCATCCATAGAAAACGATCTCAGTGCAAGATTTCGATTAGCATTGTTTGATGAAAGTGGTAAATCACCATTAAAATTGTTATTTCTATTGAACCCTAAAACATTCTTATGTCCAATAAAATCCATGTTGCTTTCCAAGTCTTGTGCATGTTGTTGTTGTTGTTGCTGCTGCTGCTGATGTGGAAATCCATTGCTGCCTGTTGTAGAAGCATAACTAGCACCACCAAGTCGAGTGGCCATGGCTGCTGTTGAATTAGGTACAATTGAAGTTCGGCTTAAGGTTGGCGGTGTCCCTAATGCGGGAAATTCATTCAAATCTGCTGTTGTATTTGGACGGAACATTGGTTTTTTTTTTAATGCACTCTCTTTTTTTTTTTTTTCTTCTTTGTTTTATATATTAAATATGTATTTATTTAATAAAAAAAAAAGTTTTTAATTGAAAGTTCAAACTTTTTTTTTTTTGTGTAGAAAAAAAAATGACGTGAGCTTCGGCGTTTAATTTTATTATATATTTTATTATTATTATTATTATTACTTCCTCTTGTTTGCTTAAAAAAATTAGAAACAAAAGTTTCTCTCTTTTTTTTTTTTTTTTTTTTTTTTTTTACCCCGGAAACAGAGATCATTATGCCATCTACAAATAGTATCTATATTTTTCGACATATTCAAACACAACAGGTGTTGATTAGTCTAAGACAAAGTATGAAGGTAATTAGAATAAACTATCATCCAGTGTCAAAGTATAAATAATATGTGCCCTTTTATATAACAGTCAAGAGTATTAAATCAACTTGGTACAACTGTTCGACCTACTAATTTACGAAAAGACTTGTGGCGTCCTTTAGTAGCTTTGACAGGCTTTCAAACAACTCAAGCAGCACAAGCTGTTACAGATGCTCTCCTTCATCACTCGAAAGATCTCCAACTGAAACAAAAAATGGATAAAGATCATATATTACAACCAAAACGTTTAAGAGTAGTTGAAGAGAAGAATATGGTTGAAAAATCAATTGTAGCGTTACGTAAGGCGCTGGAATCAGTAGCAGCATCTAGAAATGAAACACGTTTATTGGCGCTTTGGGAACAACCTTACTTTATGGAATTAAAAGGTGATAAAGAATGGCCTTCATTTTTAGAGCATGGTCAGTTAGAATTAAGGAATAATCGTTTTGTTAAGGGATCAAAACAGTAAATAATGTATAGAGGAACTAAATTTTTATATTTAACTACAAAAAGAAAATGATAATAATAATAAAAAGAGGGGAAGCATACTCTGTATACATCTGTTATATATAAATACGTATGTATAAATATACATTTCTTGAAAGACGTCTGTATTTACAGGGAGGGGGGGGAGTAAGTTTTTTTTTTTTTGTCAGTAAGAGCATTAATAAATTTAAGCTCCGTATGACCACCTTATCTGACATTTTGTCAAGGGGAATGCAGTTTCTTTTTCTTCTTTTGGACAATTATGGCAAATAATAAAGAACAAACAACTGCTCGTGATTATATTAAATCATTTGTAAAAGATACAAATACAGAGGAATTCTTAAAACAGGAGCAACCACACTATGTTCCTACACAACTTCTTCAATCCCCACCAACACCCATAATTGAACAAGATAAAGCATCCACAAATCCCGTTCCAGCACCTAATCATTACAGTCTACACTCACCAACACAAAACCCGATACCCTCTAATGAACATGATCATCAAGAAAAGGAATCGCAACCTCAAGTTGTGTGGACTTCTCATGATATTAAAGAACAAAGAAACGAAATTCACGAAGCATCTTTAATCCTCTGTGCTGATCTACATGAAGATCTTTTCACTTGTTTTAAGCATGGAAGCTGGTGGGATAAAGCCAAGATGTGTGAAGAACAAAAACAAAAATTTTGGAATTGTTATAATGCTCAAAAGGTAAAATGAAAAAAAAAAATAAAATAAAATAAATCATATATTTATACATGAATATATTTTATTTTATTTTTGTATATCATAGCAATTTTTGAGAGAAGTGAATTATAAAGGTCCTGGAATAACAGATGATGAAAATCAACATATTCTATCAAAAGCTTATCAACTTCGTGATAAAATTGATCAACAACAGCAAACAGCACAACAAAAATAAAAAAAAGGGCGGAATTTTAATAAATACTCCATTCATTTTTTTTTTTTAAAAAAAAAAAGAGAGAAAAAAAAATCTTTTTACAACCAATCAAGTATATAACATCTAAAACATATTTACTTGCTAGGAAGGCAACATAGAGAATTGGGATATGTCAGTCATTTGTATGAATTGTGAATATGAGACTTGAGTTTCCTTGCATGCAACCAGCATATTCTTCAATGAAGAGTAGAAATTTATACAATTTAGGGTTATAAGAGGCCATAAGCAGAGGGTCGATGGTTAGAATGGATTCCACATAAAGTTAAAAAAAAAAAGGATAAAGACCTTAGCGATACGGCTTTGAGTTGATTTACTAGAATTTTGATGTAAGCTATGGAATATTCATTCGTATAAGCTACTGGTTATAGGAATGTGCAGTTTCTATAGTGATTTCTTAGTAAACTTATACTACTGAGGATTGTTTACTGGAGAACCTATGCATATAATGAGAGAGTGTGTTTGAAAAGTAATATATACTCTAACGTATTGCTAGAGTAGAAGATGATCTGCATATAAAGGATAGACTCTCTTGTTTTTGTATGTATAGGCTGCTTAACAAAATGGATAATTTGGAGAAGCCATTACCAAAAAAAAAAAAAAAAAAAAAAAAAAAAAAAAAAATATCAAAGGTAATTGTTATAACTCAAGCCCTATTACTGCTTTGTTAAAGATAAATGATGATAGAGAGGTATTACTACATCTATACTCTAGTTGATGCTTAGCAATTCTTTTTCTTTATCTCACCACTATCCCGTTTTCAGTATTTCCCCTTTTAAATCTGTTCTTTTTTTTTTTGATGAGGCAAAATATGAACTTTAAACAAAGAGCTGAGATTATTCATCTTGTTTATACAATATCTAGATAACGGTTTAGTAAAATAAAGGAAAAAAAAAAGTTATATATTCTCAGAAAAGAAATACTTTGCATTTATTACTGTTACAGTGACAGAATTGTTCTATTTATCAATATCTTCTTTTTTTGAAGTAATCGATAACATTCTTCTTTACACTAGCTCTAGCTTATAGAAAGATATTGGTTGTTATTACGATATACTTGGTAGAGTTTTTTTTTTAGTTTTTATTCTTAAATAAGCCATAACATAATGTATAGTATTAGCTAGAGAAGCTTGATGTTAATCAATTAAAGGAGCCTGTATATTACGTTTACTTGTGATTATGATCAAACATAGCAACTATACATTTGTATCTGTATAGGTATAAAATAAGGCTTTTTAGACACTCTATTCTTCTTTCTATGGCTTGAGGGCCATATTGGTACCAAGGTACATAATATACATTCATATAATATACATATATATATAAGGGAGGGGAACGTTTAAAGATTGTTGGTTCTGATATATGATCTGACTATAATAGTATCAGGTAATAATAATAACACTGTTCTTCCTGTATCTACTACCGTTGCTTGGTAGAATATAGTCATAATACATCATTATTCATGCTACTGCTGCTGTAAAAAGAAAAAAAAAGGAGTCGCTGGCGTAGTACAAAAAACAAGAATAAATAAAAAAATTAAGGGTTCATTTGATTTGGTGGGGAACCCTTGAAGTGATTCGATTCCACAGCCTAGGCTTGGGCTAAATATGCTGCGAATTCTAGTCACTCTCCAAACACCCGTGTTACTTTCATCAGAAATAGAGGATACATATAGGGCTATGTTTACTATAAACACACCACTTATACCACCACCACCACTACTACTACTACTATTACTTTGACTTACTTTTGTTTTTTTTTTTTTCTGTAATACTTATCGTTGGATTATGGAACAGTCTATAATATATATATGTATGTGAACATGAAAAAAAAAGAGAGATAGAGAGACAAAAGAAGCAGATGTTACGTACTAATAGAAGAAATGCATTACATAATAAAGTCTAGATTCGTATAGATTAAGTATTAACTTAAATTAAGATGCGTGTTTAAATGATATTATTTGTATTACGACTTTTGTCAGTGTTTGTACTAAACCAATAATATGTTTGTTTTTATCCGTGATTTAGATTATTCCAAACTATAATAATAAACTATTAAATTCATCAATTATGTGTATGCTATCTCACTTATACATTATTTAAACATACTGGAATCACGATTAATTATATAGTCTATAATACTACAAAGTTCTTTACACACTTTACTATTTGTAATATCATGCTTTATCCATATCCTTTCTTTCCTCCTCCCCAATTCTACACTTTAAAAGGATTACTTTTTGGGTTTTTTCTATCTTTTCGAGTATACTATTTTTTTTTCTTTTAATGTACTTTTTTCTCTCATTTTTATTTCCTTTTATATTTTTAATTAAGTTATGGCGGACAAGAATTTACACCGCAATGATGTAAAAAATGAATAAATTTAAAAAAGAAAAATAATATATTTCTTTCGTTTTTTCTTGTTGAAAAAAAATGGCTTCAAAGATTAAAAGTATTTGTGTATTTTGTGGTTCTTCTAGTGGAGCAGATCCAATTTTTGAGCAAGAAGCTAGAGGTAATAAAAGGAAACACATGTTGTATTTTTATTTTTATTTTTTATTTTTTATATATTACATAATACTAATATCTTGTTGCTATGCAGAACTAGGAAAAGTGTTGGCTGAGAATAATATTACACTAGTTTATGGTAATTTTAGTTAGATATTCCCAGCTAAATATGTATTTATTTTTTTATGTATGCATATATTAGGTGGAGGTTCTATTGGTCTAATGGGCGCAATTGCTAAAGAGGTACTAAATAATGGAGGAAAAGGAATTGCCATTGTCCCTGAACCACTTTATAAATATAGCAGTAAACAGATTTGTGAAACTATCATTGTACCCGATATGCATGCTCGCAAAAAGCGTATGGAAGAAGAATGTGATGCGTTCATTGTTTTGCCTGGTGGTTATGGCACGATGGAAGAAATGTTAGAAATGATTACTTGGTCACAATTAAATATTCATTCAAAACCTATCATTTTATTAAATACTAAAAATTATTTCAAGTTATTTGTTGATTGGATTCAACTCTCTGTCCAAGGTATTCTTCATACAAATTTTTATTGAATTAATGTTCACTTTTTTTATTTTCTACATGTAGAAAACTTTATCCATCCAGAAAATAGAAATATTTTTGTATTATGTGATTCAACAAAGGACATTATAACCAAGCTTGAAGAATATAAAGCGCCTGATTCTCGTTACGGCATTGATTGGTCAAGCAACGATAAGAAAGCCTTAGTTTAAAAAAAAAAAAAAAAAAAAAAAAAAAATAAAATAAAATAAAATAAAATAAAATAAAATAAAATAAAATAAAATAAATAAATCAGAATAAGAATAAGAATAAGAATAAGAATAAAAATAACAAGGGGGCAAAAAAAATTTTTTTTTCTGTTCTTATTCATTTGTATATTTAATGGGTGTAAGTGGATTAACTGGTATTCTTTCTCGTTATGCACCTAATTCAATTCGCATTATAAGTTCAAGTTCACTTACTAGACAAACCATTGCTGTCGATGCCAGTTGTCATTTAAATAAATTCATTTATGGTGATGATCCTCACTATCAACGCCATATCCATGGTTTTTATCAATTAGCACGTTTTTTTGACATGAATAACATAAAACCTATATTTGTCTTTGATGGACCAAGTCGATTAAAAGCAAAACAGTCAGAACATGAAAAACGTGAACAAACAAGAGAGAAAACTAGATATTCACTTTTATTTCAAAAGGAACAATTACTTCGAATGGAGAATTGGATGGAAGTATCTAATCAATGTCACCAAGCTAATTATTCACCAACAAAGGAAAGTATAATAACAATCTTGACTGAATTAGGTGAAAAAGTGGACCAGATAGAATCTCGATTACCATCTGTAGACAATGAAAAGATTGACTCAATAGATAAACAGCAAATAATTGAAAATAAGTTAACTTCAACAGCACAAAAACTCCGATCTGCATTGGAAGCAGTTAAAGATACCAATCATTATACTAAAACTGTACGAGATTTAGCTAAACGTGAGAAATCTTTAATATTAGAAATGCTTCTTAATAGTTCTAGCAGCACACAGTTTTCGTTAGACATGTTAAAAAGAGATAATCAAGCAATGCTTGCTTCTTTAGGTAACATTCCTGATATTTCTTTTTTTTTTTCTAACACACTTTTTAAAGAGAAAAGATCCTATTGTGTTACACAGGGGATGAGGGAGGAGTGTCAAGAATTTTTAAAAGCTTTAGGTTATGTAGCTATTATTTGTAACAACCATGAAGCTGAAGCTATGTGTGCGCATTTAACTAAAGTAGGTAGGGCAACAGCAATTATCTCAGAAGGTAAATCTAAATATAAATATACCATACGATTTACTTTTTAATTCGTTCTTTTTCCTTCTTATAGATTTGGATACACTTGCCTTTGGAGATGCACCTCTACTACGATATTTTTACACACGAAACCGTCCAATACTTTCAATTGATCCTGTTATCGCTAGGAATGATTTAGGAATATCTCGTGAATCCTTTATTGATTTTTGTATTTTATGTGGTACCGACTTTTCAGGAACAATACAAGGAATTGGACCTCGTCGAGCACTTGATGCTATCAAAAAGTATGGATCAATCGAAAATATATTAAAAAATTTAAATCCTAGATACAAGCCTCAGGAGAATTTTGATTATGAACTTGCAAGACAAGTAAGTCTACTCTATATAAATACATACATACATATGTATATACATTATAATAGCAATTTTACTAAAATAATAATTTTATAGGCATTTCGTAATTTGCCTCCTATACCTTTAGATGATCATGTTTATGAGCCATCAATTCCAAGTGAAACACAAATCAATGAGATACTAAGACACTATGATATTGATCCAATTGAAGCTGAAACAAAAGTTAGAACAACTATGATTCAACAAAACATCATTGATCCTTGTACTTGGGGAACTAATCCATTTAGTGCTTCATCCCCTTCCATTTCCATATAAAATTTTGTGTTAAAATATAATACCAAAACCTGAAGGCTCATATCCATTATTTTTTTTTTTCACAAGAATATCCTTGAACGAAATATGTGCATATATTGCCATATTTTATAATAATATATCCTCTTTAAATAAGTATTAAAATGAAGACTTTATAATCAAACTTTCATTTCCTTTTTTTTCAGGTCGTTAAGCTCTAAACTCAACTTTCTAATAAAGAAGAGTAGTTCTTATGTTATAAAGTTGAAATGAGTTATTATTATTAAACCAGTTACACAATAAGCAAAGGCTTTAATTCCTGCATATATTGCAGAAAAGATTAATAGTGCGAATTAGTAAATATATAAGTTTTTACAAAACAATATTATGTGAAAAGGTCTATTTACTCTTCTTTATGTTCATATAACTTAAATACAGTTGAAATATGATACAGTATTACTCAAATTAATATTAGACTTGTTAAAATAATAGATAATAAACAAAGTATTTGTCTGACATAAAATATCTGATGGATCTAAACATGCTTCAACGAAAATTGTATATCGTTGTTATAAGCTATCCTCTATTAATAAGTAACTTGCCACACTTTAAGCTCAATTCTTATTAAAGACAGCCTAACTTCCCTTGTCTAGTTTAGGCTTCATTTTTATATTTCAACAAAATTAACGTCTGTATATTATTTAGTAAGCATAACGATTGCCAGGAAAATTATAGTTATTCCTTGATCTATTTAATTCAAAATAGTCTAATTTCATTGATTGAAAATATTGTCAATATATTAGAATAAACTAAACTAAAGAAGAAATATAAAAAGAACAAATTTCCTTCATAGTATTAACCAAAACATTCAGCAGATCTCAATAATGTGGTTTCTTATGAAAACCTCTGAGTGCAGCTGTTGTATACACTATCGGCTAGATAGTTACCCCATTGGAAAATTAAAATAGATCTATATCATTCCAATGAACGCAATGCAGCTAAGCAACATAGGTATGTGCGTCCTCCTATACATAATTGCTAAAAGACCTCACATAATACTACCAATCCAATTTTATATCTAAGCTGCTTATGTATGAACCGAGATATGATAACACCAGTGCCTTTTTTTTTTATTGTACTATAAATACAAGTTTATACAATATAATTAAGCATTTAATAATAAACCATCTTCTTTTCGAATTATTTTAATGATGCATTGCTTTAGTCAAGGCTATAATTGTATTTTTTTTTTAGTTAACTTTCTACACTTATAAAAAAACATCATCTATCGTAAAGTCTTTCAAATATGTTAAAATAAATAGTTAGTATCAAGTTTGAATATTTATCAGGAATAATATAGAAAAATAGTCAAATAAATACGTGTAAATTAATTTATTAGAATGAATAAAGATAAAATAACACTTAGTCAGATGGATTAATAAAACAATTAAAAGCTAACATTACAGTTACAATTATACTGTTAGTTTAAAAGTATATAGTCTTTCATTATATAAAGAAATTTGATATTTATGTAGAATCAACTTTAAAGCATAATAGAAAAACTTTATACATAATAATTTTTTTTGTTTACTCTTGTGAAAATATTAACTAGTAAGACAATTAAAATGCAGTCTTGCTTGAATCATACTTGGGTAATTTAATATCAGTTGGTAAACCAAATCCAAATGAGCTCCAACTAAGTGTAGAGAAGTAATCTTCTAGTAATTTTTTTCCTTTATCATTACCAGCAGCACCTAAAGCAACATGAAATGGTACAAGATGCTACAAATATACACTTTTAGTTAGTTTTTTTTTTTCAGTCTTTTTCTACTATAATATACCTCAGCTGTAGGATGACATTTTCTAAAGTTAGGATGCTTATTTAATTCACTACTCTTTTCTTTACGTTCTTGGTCTACATAATCACAAGCTATTTTTTCTAATTCATGATCAAAGTCTACTACAAATCTAGGTGAAGGGCCATTACCAAAGGTCCAAAGCTGATTTAAATTATGCACAGCACTTCCACTACCAATAATAACTACACCTTCATCTCTATTATAAAGAAGATGAATACAAATGTCTTGATAATTATATATATATACTTACCTTAAAGGTGCTAGTGCTTCACCCATCTTTATATGCATTTGCATGTTTTCATGAGCTAATGTAGACACTTCCACAATTGGAATATCAGGATTTGATTCCATTGCACGTTTTAAAGGCACCCAGACACCATGGTCGTTACCATATTTTTGTCCTATTGCATTGAATCCAGACTGTAATAGAATATATACAATTATTTTAAATCTCATGATAATATATAAGTATTTATTAATATTACCTTGTTTAATAAATCTATAACACGATTAGCCATAGAAGGTGAACCTTTATGATCCCATTTCTCCTCATAATAACGTCTAGGGAAATTATAAAAGTCATAAATCAACTTTGGCTTTTCAGAAGTATCAACTATATGTGTATATATAAAGTTAAATATTTATACTATATATGTATATTTGTATAGATGTGTATATTTATCTAATTATATATAATGTGAATATATTTTACCAAATACGCCCTCTCTGCCTTCACCTTGCCAGTGTGCACTAATAATAACAATTGCCTTTGGTTTTAGCTCGTTCTTTAAATAATTACCAAGCCAGCTATAAAAATGCCCGGGCCTAGCTTGATCTTCTAAAAGATTAGGTCCTATAATAGATATTAATTTTTTACTGAACATTATTTAAAACCAATAAAATTGCAGTACCTCCATGAGAGATGAAAAAAACAGGAAATTTGGGCATAACTAATAATAATAATAATAATAATAATAATAATAATAATAATAATAATAATAATAATAATAATAATAATAATACACAATAAGTCAACAGTAGAATATGAAGTCAGCTCATTATAAACATTGTTGCTTACAAATATTAGCCTTTAATGATTAATAATCGCTTTATAATAATGTATATAAACAGTCACATAATTTCAATTTACTTTTGAGTATGATTTCAAACTTTTTTTTTGTTCACAAGGATAACAAAAAAAAATAAAATAAAATAAAAAGAAAACAAGTCAAAGTAGTTAGTAGTAGTAGTAGTGATAGTGGTAGTGGCAGTAGATAATACTGGTATTGTGTAGTGATTATTAATATTAGTAAGGATGTGTTGGTAGTAGGATTGTAGTTGTAAATATAAATAGTGGTGGTGGTGGTATAAGTGGGGTGCCTATAGTAAATATAGCCCTATGTGTATCCTCTATTTCTGATGAAAGTAACACGGGTGTTTGGAGAGTGACTAGAATTCGCAGCATATTTAGCCCAAGCCTAGGCTGTGGAATCGAATCACTTCAAGGGTTCCCCACCAAATCAAATGAACCCTTAATTTTTTTATTTATTCTTGTTTTTTGTACTACGCCAGCGACTCCTTTTTTTTTCTTTTTACAGCAGCAGTAGCATGAATAATGATGTATTATGACTATATTCTACCAAGCAACGGTAGTAGATACAGGAAGAACAGTGTTATTATTATTACCTGATACTATTATAGTCAGATCATATATCAGAACCAACAATCTTTAAACGTTCCCCTCCCTTATATATATATGTATATTATATGAATGTATATTATGTACCTTGGTACCAATATGGCCCTCAAGCCATAGAAAGAAGAATAGAGTGTCTAAAAAGCCTTATTTTATGCCTATACAGATACAAATGTATAGTTGCTATGTTTGGTATTGTTTACATTTATAATGCAATTAAATCAACTTCAAATAATTATACATAATATTAAAAATAATTGTACTCAAATACAAATACAAGTGGGTATTTAAAAGACTTATGTTGAACTACAATTTTGTGTTGTGTATTAGGAATTGAAATACTCTATCTATATGATAAACACTAACATTATGATAGTAGTAGGTTTTTTATATATTTCATACATTAGCATCTTTGTTCCTTATAATACTACTCTTAACATTGTAGCTGTTTATTTGTTTTGTCTTTTTTTTTTCTTGTTTGTAATTGTGATAGCGTATATAAAGTTGAAGCCTTTTTTTTATTATTATTATTATACTAAGATTTCTTTCGTAACTACCTCTCTTCCTTAAAATAGGTTGCTTGTTTTATGTTGTATTTTCTTTTCATAATCATTAAATACTAAGGAGAGTATTCCTAGTTTAATTTAAAGTTCTTTGAAACTCTTTTTTTTTATTTTTATTTTTCAATAAAAAGAAAATCAAATTTATAAACATTTGGGCTAAAGAAGATATAACTTAAGAAATAGAAGATGATAAGCAATATAGTGCTGTCATCATTAACTTCATGTTTGTGAAAGGATCTATTATAAAGTTTTGCAATAGTAATTCAATTCTTAATGTAATATATTTTTATATAACTGACCAACTAGGAGATAGCATTTTATTATATTGTCTATAGAAATATTTCCTTACAAAAGGCATTGTCTGTATCTTCTAATATGAATTATTTCATACTGTTTATTAGCCAGAAGTCAGGTTCTATTTATCTATAAAAACTTAAACGTACAGGTAGAGATTGAAAATAATTAGAAATAGCGTGTTATCCTTTACTCTATGCTAAGAGAATTTTATAAATAAATGACTTTATTATTGAGTTCAATAACCATTTATAGGCTTCTTGGGTATCTATCTTTCAAAGCCTTTTATTCTAGATAATTTGAAAACAATAGTCTAAAAACTTCCCTAGCACGTTTTAGGGGAATTGTTCTTATCCAATAGTATTTATTTTATTATACAACGACAGCTTCTTCTTTCAAATAAAATTAATCATCGTCTTCACTTTCACTGCTATTTATATTCTCATATGCTGATAATAGTGAAAGGGAGCTTGTTGAGGCATTATTCTTCTTTTTATTTGATGGATTTGATTTATTTGATGTTTTTACTTTCTTATCTAACGGACTTTTTTCCTTTTGATCTTTATCCTTATTCTTAGTCTTATCTTCTTCCTCGTCACGCGCCCTCTTTTTAACAAATAGTACACCCTTTAGGCCTGTTTTTGAATTTTTATTTGATTTTATAATAGGATGTTTAGTTGTAGCATTAGTCGTTGTGAATGTTGTTTTTGATGTTGTTTCTAAAATAGGCAATTGACTAGTTGTAGAAGCCGTTCTAGAACTTTCAACGGCTTTACGATACTCTTCTAATTCTTGCTGCTCATTAATTTTTCTTTGACGTTCTAATTTCTCTTTTTCGTCAGCTAATATTTTAAAATATTCTGCTTCCTCTTCATCAATGCGTTTAATCTGATTAGCGAAACGCGATTCTTCCAAAAATTTCTCTTCCTTTATAGCTCTTTGTTCTTGAAGGCGCTCATATAGTGTACGTGGATCATACTCCTCCTGAACAACAGCTATCAGATGTGGTCATGAAGGAATTATAAGAAATGATTTAAACCAACATGTGGTCCTTTTTTTTTATATATAGAATTGCTACCTGGCTTCTCACTACTGTTTTCGTTTATTTGTTTTTCTTCATTTGCTTCAACAATAGAACGCGATACAAATGACTTTTTAATATCAAATGACATGGTATTATATAGATGTTAACTAAGGATGCATAAAAAAAAAGTAGCTTGAGAAGTTTAGATTTTTTTTCCCTATACAACTCAAAAAAAAAAAAAGGTTACATTAATTAAAGTAGTCACAGTGACGTAGACTTGTTGTTCTTTCCGAAGCAACATTATAAATGAATTCAAAATTTTCATTATAGAATATAGATAAATTTTCCTTTCTTCTTAAAAAAAAAAAAAGATTCGAGTAATATATACATTTATATAAATATAAATATATTCATACTCTTTAAAACAAATAAAAGAAAGTAAAACATGTCAAACACGAGATTACCAGAAGATCTTGAGGAATTCGTTAGCAAGGAGGTAGCTTCACTGTAAGTTTTATCATGTTATCCCTTCTATGTTTTTTTTTTTCTTTAAAAAAAAATATTAACGTGTTTCTCTCCTTTTTTTTCTTTATCCAATATACAGTTGTGATGCTGATCCTGCAGTTCTAGCACAATACATTGTTGCACTTATTGGAAATGAACCATTGGACGATTCCTTAAAATCTAGCCTTGAAAGTAAACTTAATGAGTTTTTTGACGATCGTAAGTAATAAAAGAGAACAGTTTAGAATAAAGCAACAGATCATAACATAAATTGATTAAATAGAGACACTCCCTTTCATCGATCGATTGTTTGCAAAAATAAAAGGAGATGATTCAAGTAAACAGTCTTCTAACAAAGATGAACATTTCGCTGATTTATCTGATGATGAAGATGACGGTGATCGTAATTTTAAGCATAGACGACAACGAGCTGAATCAAGAGAAGAATGTAGTCGTGGTGGTTCAAGTAAACGTCGCTTAGATGATGAATGTTCAGTTAATAATACTAATACTAACAAATATCAGCGTGCTGATGAAAGAAGAAGTAACATGAATCCTAATAGTATTCCTGTCACTGGCTATGGTGCACCAGCTTATGATAATAATAGAAATGGTAGAGGTGCATCCAGAAGTGTAAGAGGTGGACGTGGAGGCTCAGGAGGAATAGCCCGTAATCAAGGCAATAGACCTCAATGCAGAGATTATAATGGTAAGAATTGAGAAAAAAAAATACATACAATAAGTTTAGTTATTGATGCTTTATATATATGTATGAATGTATGTATGTATAGAAAAGGGATTCTGTATGAGAGGAGATTTATGCCCATATGATCATGGTATTGATAGAATCATTGTTGACGAATCATCTACACCTTTTTCTGCTAATCCTTTCCCTAATAATGGCAATATACCACCTATGGGTCCTGGTGGCCAACCTTTCTTTGCTATGCCTGGTATTGCAGATGCATATGATCCTGAAAGATCTGGCCTAATTCCTACTAATGAGATGGGTCAATTCCTTCCTGTTACAGGCATGTTACCCCCCAACAACGACATAATGGCGATGAATAATATGATGCGTAACAATAATTTATATAAAGGACGTGGAGGACGTGGCACAGGACGAGGAGGAAGAGGAGGACGTGGCGGCTATCAACGTAATCAACAAAGTCAAAACCCACTTAACACAACATTAAATGTTGAGAAGATTCCCTCTGAATTTTGCCAGATTGCTACTGTTAATGAGTTTTTCTCTAAATTTGGTACAATTACTAACATTAGTGTTCAACCACATGCTCATAAAGCTGTTATTCAATATAGTACGCGCGCCGAAGCTGAACGTGCTTATAGTTCACCCGATGCTATCTTTGATAATCGTTTTGTGAAGGTTTATTGGGCTAAAGAAGAAAACCCCACACAAGCTTCTGAAGAAAAACCACCTGTTGTTGAAGCACCTCAACCACCTGCTCCACCTAAAGTGAACGAGCCTGATCCAGAATTGGTTGCCGCTCGTGCTGCTGAATTAGCTCAAGTAAGAGAGGAAAAACAAAAAAGACATCAAGAGCGTATGAAGCAATTACTCGAAATTCAAAAGAGAAGAGAGGCTCAATTGAAGCAACAAATTGACGAACAAAAGAGATTATTGTCTAAACTTGAAAACAGTACAGATATGACACAAGCAGAAAAGGCTGAATTATTGAAGGCACTTAAAAATATTCAAAATGATATCAATGTTTCTAAATCAGCTGCTGCATCTGCTACAGCTGCTTCTGAACATGCAAAGAATGCAAATGTTGATGGAAATGAGGGATCTGAGGCAAATATAACTGAAAGTTCTGAAGAAAAAAATAGCTCAGCAGAGACAACTGAAGAATTAAAAAAGAAACTTGCTCGCTTAGAAGCTGAGGTAAATATAAATAAATATTTAGAAGACTAGAAACAAGTAACATAATTATCATTAATTTTTTTTTTATTTTATTAGGCTGCAGCTTTAGGCGTTTCAGGTTCCGGTTTTCGTGGAGGTCGTGGTGGATATTATGGTAGAGGTCGTGGATGGCCTCGTATGAGAGGCGGAATGACTAGAATGACTTTAGATAATAGACCGACAAAGCTTGTTGCTAGAAATATCCCTCAGGAGTTTACTGAAGCTGATTTGCACCAACATTTTGAGGTAAAAAATAAATATAAGTAAAACATGGATATATTTCTAATCCTTTTTTTTTTTTTTAATAATAGCAATTTGGTAACATAACTACTTTTGAAAAGACTGAAACAGAGTTATATGTTCAATATAGTCAAAGATATGAAGCAGAGAAAGCAATGACTTTAGGGCCTAATTTCACAAAAGGCAAACTTCAATTAGATTGGGTTCCTAATAATACAAGTGCTACCTCTGCCAATCTCACTACAACAGTTGCTTCTAATGCAGATACAAATAGTAATTTAACAGAAGGTGCATAAAAAATGGCTTCGTATAGAATAACAACCTTCTTGTACATAACCTTTTTTTTTAATACTATTATTATTTTTATACATTTTATGAAATACTCTTTTTTTTTTTTTTTTTTTTTTTAATATAAATAAATTGTCCTGTTCATTTATTTAAGCTGAAAATTCTAGTATCTCTTTTGGCTTCATAAATGCTAACCAGTCTGAGGCTGTATTAGGTAATAAACCCATTGTATTGACTTTATACACACCTAAAAGAATTGTTATAATATGAAGACCAATAAATGTTAACTTTGGCATCATTAAATTAGCACCAGGCTGTGATCTAGCTTTTCCTGTTGTTTCAAAACGACTAAATGCTTTTTTTTTTAAAAAAAAACCCCCCAATTAAATAAATAAATAAAAAAGGAGACAGAAAAGGTTTTAATAAAAAATGCATACATGTAATGCTATTTACTTACTTTGCTGAACAGACATTATAGCCTTAATAGGTTGAATAAAAAGCATAGCGGTAACCATAACTGTAAAAATCTGAAGACTAGTTCCTGACATGTAAATCATAATAGCATTCATTGGTATACTTTTAGCTGGTCCCATCGCAACATCCCATGCTCTCTATTTAAGACATCATTTAAAATGTAAAAAAGAAAAAAAAAAAAAAAAAAAAAAAAAAAAAAAAAAAAAAAAAAAAAAAAAAAAAAAAAGGAGAAATTTACTTTAATTTTGAGCGCAACTTGTTGTTCATCTCGATTATCTTGATTTGTTTGACGATGTGATTTCTAAAAAAAACACTATCAATGTTTAATGCGCACATTTTTTTTGAGTGTTTCTTTTCACGTTTCTAACCTCGTTTTTTGTATATTTTTGTAGGGATGATGGTTCAAATCCGATAGGATTAGAAGCTTTTAAACTAATGATAAAATTATTATTGATGTTTAATTTATCTTTATAATTTATAACTCATTTCAAATATGTCTAACCTATTTGATGTATTAAGAGACGCGTAATCAACAGACCAATTTGACATGTTATTTCCTATATTATATACAGTGTATAATTGTTTTATGTGAAGAGGGATTTATATCACCTCAAAGTTCAAGCGGTGAAGTTATCTAAGATTGAGACGATTTTGGATTATTTTTTTTTAGACCAATTAAATTTATTTTGGACGAGTTGTATTTTTTTTTTTTTTTTTTTTTTTTTTTTTGGTGTCCAGATCATGTTTCAACAACCTTTTTAATAATAGAGTCTAAATAACAGATCAAGTACGGACATGATAAGCAACTTGCACATGTTATATCTTACTGATGATGTATTTTATCCTTTATTACATACAGAATACAAGTTGAGATTTTGCGATTGAACTCATCTTGCTTTCTTTTGATTTTAGTTTTCATTAGCTCCAACTTCCTGGCTTCATACAAATTTATTGAAGCCTTGTGCGTTCATGTCGTCTAAAAATATTTGTACACTTCCACATTATGCTTAGAATATCATTTATATTTTGAGCTTTTGGCAAACATAGACTTCTTCATTGCTTGGATCTGATGGTAACATTATAATATACAAGAAGCTAATCAGCTGTGTAGGGGAAACTAAAGAAAAGTGATATTACTGAACATATAAAAATGTATGTATCTATCTATCTATTTATTTATTTTGTTATTTTGGACGAAATGAGTTGTCTCAATTTCAATTTTTGTATGTGTGGCTGTTTACGGGGTCCATGAATACGCTATTTTTATATAGCAAAAATGATTTCGTAGGATTCGTCTTTGTAGCAGATTTCAGTATTTATGCCCTTGATCGCTTTTAGTAATTATTTAGCTTTTTGCTTGCTGTATGGCTGATGGTGGTAGAGCATATGAACCACTTTTTTAATTGAATCTGTCTTTAAATCCAGTTTCTCTGTTAGTAGTAATAGAATTAGAGATAGGTAAGTACCATAGCATTCTATGGTAAATATATGGGGAACTTATTCATTTGCATCAAGTTGCCGTGTTATTCATAATTATCCACTTCTTTTTTTTTCATTTTTCTTACACATTCTACTTCTTTCTCCAAGATAGGATGATATGTATGTCACTTGTAAGAAGTTAGACCGGTTTTGCCTTTATATCCCGATACTTTTTTTTTTCGATATACGTCTATATTATGTATATATATCCCCTTTACCTTTTGTCTTAAAAAGGGTTTTGATTTCTTTTATAGCTACATACTTATTGGACATATTTTTGTAAATAAAATTATTGTTTAATTGTACATGTCAAACATATTCAAAACTAGTCCAAATAGAGTCTTTTTTTGTTCCCCCCCGTCATATATACAGACGATCCATTTTCTACAGTTTGGTTATTAATTATATAGAATACTTTAGATTATAGTCATCTATTAAAATATTACATAAATATAAAATATGTAAAGCAAGTGCTTAAGAAGTAAATTAAAACACATTATATAAAACAATTGTATTGAAACAATTAGTGGCTTAAATATATACATATATGAACGCATCATGAAGTCTTGTAACAATAACACAAAAGATATTTTGTAATTGTAATCTTCTTACATTGAATCCTTATATGTAGATAGTAAATAAAATTTGATTAAAAGATATGACACTTTATTTTATAACTATTATTATTGTTATTACGAACGGATTTATATACATATATGTATATTGATTATAATAATGGTAAAAAAAATTAATATAATATTAGAAAAAAAAAATTAATTATATATTTATATGTATTTATAAAAGTAAATTAATAATAGAAGCCTTGAGCATAAGCAAGACCAACGACAGCTAAACCAAGGCCGTAGAATGTTAAGGCGTACAAGAGACGAAGATAACGATGTTCATAAGAGGCTTCAACTACAAAGTAAATCACGGCAAAGGCTAAGAAGATCCAAGCAATAATCATAACAGCACGAGTTGAAGCACGAGCAAATGTATTTAAAGTTAAAACAGAAAGCAACATAAGAACGAGATCGCGAAGCATATCATGAGCTCTATTTAAACGGTTAAAGATATTGACAGACCAGGCAGGAGCAGAAAGAGGTTGCTTATGAGCTGTATTATTATATCCTGCAGTAGTACCTTGAGCAGTAGTCGTGTTTGCACCAACACCAACACCACCTAATTCTGGGTCAGTTGTCGTGGTCACATTTGGATCATGACCAACCTGTGTGGAGTAATTGGCATTCTGATAATGAGTAGATGCATCACCACCAAAGGCATGGCGACTAAACCAGGCAAGACCCCAAAGAACCCAAAGTGTCATGAAGGCAATCCAAGTGACACGAACATGCCAGTCAACCAAATAGTCTTGAATAGGAAGCATTTTTTATATCTATTTGTATATGTATATTTTATGTTTATATGTATAGCAAAATTCTCTGGACAGAAAAATACAGAATAAGTTTTTTTTTTTTTGTCTAATACTTATGAAAGGATAATGATTTTTATAAACTTACAAAAAAAAAGATAATAGTTGGGAAAAAAGAAAGTTTTTTTTTTGTCAAGTTCTTTTTGTTTATCCTTTTATATGGTTTTCATACCCTTACAATACAATACATATAAACACATTATCATTGGATTTTGATGAAAAATGGAGACATCATTCTGGAACATAAGGCATCTTAAATGCATATATTGCGTGTAAATAATGTGACATAGGCCTTTTTTTTTTTCTTAATACTGACGTGGGTTAAATATCTAGTTATTGGTTATATTTTGGATTATTTGCCTATATTATCTTTTACCTAAACCTGTTATATATTTACAGTATAAAAATAAAAGGAAAATAAATAGTGTTTAGTAAGGATCATATTCATAGAATATACATCATTATTATATCTTTACAAAAAAAAAAAAAAAAAAAAAAAACGATATAAAATATTGACTCTATTCTTCTCAGTAACATCTTTAAATATTTCAATTTTATACTCTATAAACATAATTCATTAAATAACATGCCTATAGCTAATGTAATATAGATTTTTTATAACTATAGCATAAACCCATGTTAGTCTATAAGTCAAAATTGTACGTACAAATCAGCTTCATTAGCCTATTATGTGTGAAACATATTTATGTATACATTTATAAAAAAAGACACATACAAACTCTACAGGATCAAAATATTGTTGATGCAATAATGAGTTATTTGATCTACAAGTTTTTTTTTTTTTTTTTTTTTTTTTTTTTTTTTTTTTTGTGTGTGTCCAGTCGTCCTCTTTTATATTACATTTATTATGCATGTGCACTAAAATTAGATAATATTTACATTGATATAATACAGATTCTAAGGCTCATTATATAAAGATTTCAAAAGGATAAGTGCTCCTTGTTTAGAACAAACTTCATTATATTCAGAACAGAATGTCAAATGTATGCCTATTTTTATTTTATTTTATTTTATTTTTTCAATTAATTCATATATTTGCATGTTATATATTTTAATTCACTTACATGATGGACAACCAAATTCGCAAGGACAATTTTCAATCTGTTTAATACTTAGCTTCAGCAAATCATCAAAAAGTCGATATGCTTGTCTAATGATGCCCATAGGTTGTGTCTCATATAATGTAATTCGTGCAGGTCGTGGACGTGTAGCATGAGGATTCTTACACTCTGTACGAACATCAGTAACTGAAGAATGCGTAAAACGAGGCAATAGCGAAATTAAGCAATGCGCTTAAAAAGGATTAAAAAAAACAAACAAATAGGTAAGTTTTACCAAATCCGATTATTATCTCTCTTTTTTTTTACATATACTTTACATGCAGCATGAATAGCAGCCATTGGATTAATATCTGAAATTTTTAGTTGAGTTAAAGCAGGACCCGGTACATCAACCCATATACCATTTGATTCAGTTATAATAGGGTCCATATAAACATCATGAGAATCTATAATTCGTTTACTTTTATCTATTCTATAATAGCCAAATACAACAGTTGAAACTATATTACATATTAGCACAATAGGTTTTAAAGCAAAAGATAAATAAATAAAAACTATTTACCATTTACACTTCCTAAGGATACAGCATAATTTGTATTCAGAATATATTTCATTTCTTTGGTACTTGTAGCATCTACATCTGTATAATCTCTTTGCGATGTAGTCCAGTTAACTCTAGCAAGGTGAATTTTAGAATATCTTTTATCAATATTACATTCCTCTACAACATAAGTTCGACCTTGATGAATAAATACAGCTCCTTCGTATAATTCAAAGCCAACTCTATGTAGTTCAACTTCCTCTAAAACGACATTCCTATTATCCGTAACATCTACAACTGCAAATAGGTCATCATTTATGTTACGAATCCTAACATATTGGGAAGGATAAGGCCGTAAACGCGGGTCGGGACGATAGAGCTATTATATAAAGTAATTTGTAAATGCATAATCTCATGATTCAATTCATTTAGACTATAGTTACACCATTATCAATTTCTGTAAGAAGTTCCTGACACAAAGTTGGTAAATTGCAACCAAAATAAACTTGATCATTTATAGGATCAATAGGTGCTTCTTCTGCAGCACATTGAAGATGGCCTTCAATTGCTGACATATTTTCAAGGTTAATGGAAAGAGTATCAGCTTTCTTAAGAAATAGTTCCTCAGGATGACGCTATGTATATATATATAAATAAGTTAATTAGTTGATCTTTTTATTATTATATAATACTTACAGCGTAATGTTGGTCCAAGGGATTATTGTCACAGATAACAAGCGATAAAGAATCAGCATTTCTTCTACCAGATCTACCAGACTGTTGCCATAAAGCAGATATTGACCATGGGACTCCAACCATAAGAACAGCATCTAATGACCCAATGTCTATACCCAGTTCTAATGCATTAGTAGCAATAATACCTAACAATTCACCATTGAACATTTGACCTTCAATTTTTCTTCTTGTTTCAACTGTATAACCACCACGATAACTCATCACTTTATTCATCATCTCTTTACGATCTTTCTTTTGCAAGTTTTCTCTTACTTGTTTCATCAATAATTCACAAGATTTCCGCATTTTACAGAATGCAATTGTTCTAATATTATTCAACAGTAAATACTCAAGAATATCTGCTCCCTCTGCGATGGCACCTCTACGTTCTTCTGATTTAGTATCCAATACTGCTGGGTTTATTATAGGTGGATTCCAAATAATAAACTCTTTTTTACCATGAGGAGCACCGTCTATATCGACCAAGTTGATATTATCATTGATACCAAACATGTTCTTCATATGTTCAACAGGATTTGAAATAGTTGCACTGCATGAAATAAACTGTACTTTTGTATTACCAGCTAAATGGCATAATCTTCTTAGTCTACGCATAATGAAAGCAACATGTGTTCCAAATAAGCCATTATAAACATGAAGTTCTAATAATACATAAATACATACATACATACATATCCTTTAAATAAGTATAGAAAAAAAATCTATATATAATATAATATAGTATATATGTATGTATGCATACCATCTACAACTACATATCTCAATTTTAATAAAAAGTGATTCCATAGCTTTGAATTAGGAAGGATAGCATGATGGAGCATGTCTGGGTTTGTAAATATAACATTGGCATGATTCCTTATAGATGAACGTTGTTCTACAGGCGTGTCACCATCAAATGAACAAATCTATTATTTTCTTGTTATTTACTATACATACATGACCATGCATACTTGTATACCTGTATATCGTCTAATTTTAAAGCTACACAACATAAAATATCTTTTAAAGATCTCATTTGATCTTGTGCTAATGCTTTAGTAGGAAATATATACATGGCTGTACTTGACTTGTCTTTTATTAAACTTTCTAGAACTGGTATTTGATAGATTAATGACTTGCCACTGAAACATTGTAGGTTAGTCTATTTTATTTTATTTTATTTTATTTTTTCTTCAATTGAAATACCTTGCAGTGGAAGTAGAGACAATAACGTGTTGCTTTTCGAGTAATAGACTCTTTAAAGCTTCTGTTTGATGTATATATAGGTTATTAATGCCTTTTTCTTTTAATGCTGTCTTTAGTTGATCAGACACTAAATTATGAATGTCACCCAATATTGGCATTTTAGAAGGAAAACTTTTTACTACTGCCACATTATCAAGCTGATCATGATAAAAGGATAAAGACTTGAAACCTTCAATAAGTTGAGATATAGACATATTATCCTTGTTTTCCTCTTTTGAGTTAAATAAGTCATCCTCTTCAATGTACGGCATTGGTATATATTTCTCAAGCTCATATAGTAAATGATCTTTTGTGTTTACAATGTTCTAATAGATGAATGACTTCAGTCTAAGGTCCTGCTATGCATATTTATTTATTTTGAATACCTTTTCTTTGCATTCTTTTATAAACTGGTTTAATGATTTTTTAAATAAAGTATTTTGCTGTTGAATATGCTTCTTAACAGCTTTAGGTTTAATAACGGGTACTGATTTATTAAAATTGAATTCATCATTGTCGAATTTATTTGACACATTATTCTTATTATGGCTAATAGAACTACCAAATTCAATTTCCAAAGTTTCTTTAGAAATAGGATTGAATTTAACAAAATCAGGAATGATGACATTAATAGCAGCCAAATCTTCAATTGTTAAATTAGCTACGGCCTTTTGTAAACTTTGAAAAGTAACGGCCGTTGTGAGACGAGCATCACAAAAAGCACAAAATATATTTATAGCTTCGAACTTTTTTTCGAGATCTTTTAATATATCATTATTTATTCTTCTTTTTTTAGTTGAAACAGCACTTTCTGTATTATTCCTTTCTAGCATGATAAATAAAACAGAAGGCAGCAAGTAGAGTGTTATGAGACAGAGAAAAAAAAAAAAAAAAAAAAAAAAAAAGCAGAAATAAACGAAAGATAGCTTTTGATTGGTGAATAAATCTAAAAAAGGAAATGTAGTATACATGTTCACTGTATTAACTAATATGTTATGTCTAACGATATAGTTTATATGTTTATTCTTCTTATGATTTACTAATGACTACAAGTAATAAACAAAATATTAGACAAGGACATTAAAATAGATAACAGGTTTTTTTTTTAGTAAAAAGAAAAAAAAAAAACGTGGTATAAAATAGACTTCATGTACTACAAAACACAAAAATAAATTCTACTACGTATATGCATCATCTATGCGCACACACCACCCACATATAAAATAAAAATAAAAGTCGCTTCCTTTTTTTTTTTCTTTTCCTTTTTCTTTTTCTTCTTCTTTTATTTAATACTATGCCATCTTACTTGTATAATCATCGTTTTTCTATTCAAATAGTCGATCAAGAAAATAATGACAAGACAGTATTACAACATTTATCTGCTGCTTGTATTGCTCAGTGGGTACAACAAAAACCAAATGCAAAGGCAACTATGACCTTGGATAATGGTGATACTGTTAACTTACCTGTTTATGCTCTCAGACGTCGAAATGCTGTGGTAGCTCAATTACCTGATGCTCCTTCTGTACAAAAAATTACTGTATAACTTTTTATTATTATCATAGATTACTTTTATTATAGATATATAGAAATAAAAAAAATGAGCCCCCCCTCCTCCCCACAAATATAGACATTCATATCAATTTACTTAATCAATAATAAGTGACTCGTTTCCTCCAAATTCATTATATTCATCTCTACGCTCTTTATCCTATGCATTTATAGACATGTTAACATCATAGAGAATAGAATAATATTTCTTCATTATCACCTTCTTCTTCTTCTTTTTCTTTTTATGATCTCCATGGCTATGTCCATCTTCATCATGTTCATGTCCGTGTCGTCTCTTTTTCTTCTATAAATTTCTTTTTTAGTCACTAAAATTACTTTATCCATAAATCAATAAAAACCTTTTTCTTATGTTTTCTTTCACCATTATAATCTAATTCACCTTTTGAAATGTGTGTGTGTTTTTACAAGATAAAATAAGATGATCATTTTATATACATGTATGTATATGCCCATTTTTTTTTCTCTTACCAGCTGTTGCACTATGATAGTCTCCACCCAAATATTGGCCTGAATTAGGAGTGTTATAATCTCCATCTTCATTTCCTAATATAGATGCATCAAACTAGATGGCAAAAAAAAAATGAGAAAAAAAAAAAGCATATAAATTATATAGAAATCGCATTTACACCAGGTATTGGTCCCTCTCTTAAAGTGAACGCGTCCTTAAGTGTATCAGCGTCTAATGGTCGAATATCTGATCCTGTCTCAACTGCCTGTGGATCTCGCAATAGGTTTAATAGATAACCATCAGGTTCCATGTCCATTTTGCCTTTATTTTATTTTATTTTTTTTTTGTATTTTTTTTTTTATTATTTTATTTTATTTTATTTTTTTTGATTTGAGCTTATTTAAATTTGTTCAAATTGATTTTTAGAAAATAAATTTTACCAGGTAAATCCGAAATGTATGAATACAACGTAGGATCTAATTCTGAAGCTCTATTTGGTGGTGGATATGGTTTAACAACTTTATTATATATGGGTATAAGATTAAAATATTTTAATAAATCTTGGCTTCCTGTTAAATAAGGTCGCTTTTTTGTTGATGTTGACATTTTTGTTAAAAAAAAAAAAAAAAAGACGAACGATTTATTTTTATTTTTGTTTTTATTTCATATAATACAATTGGGGCGAATTTAAAAGAGTGCGAATAGGAACATGCCAGTCTGAGAAAAGAATAAAGTCCACTTTTTCAAATTCAGTAGAATCTTCACCACATTGAGCTGCTCTGGTTAGCTCATAAAAGTGAGAACTCTATTCGAAAATTCTTTTTAAAGGACAAAAGGGAAAGAGGTAGATATTACATTAATAGAGTGTTAAGCTAATAACCAATCAAATAACTACCATCTTAATTCATGAAGAAGTAGGGGGAGTATTATGCATTAAACAATCCATCTTTTTGAAGGAGAGTGCAAATAATAGATAGCGTGTTTTGGTGGAAGTATTTCTAGACGAGATAGAGATAATTTAGGTTCTTTGAGTGGATTTCCTATACCCTCCTTTTTTTTTTAATAAGCTAATACTTTTTCAAAGAGGTTTAGGAAAAGTAAATGTAGAGACAGAAACGATGTCTTATGCCCCGCCCCGCCCCTACAAGTCTTAATTATATCTACAGCAAAATAATTGTAATGAATTTTATAATTTATCTATCATTATGAAACAGCCTTTTACTTAACATTCTCATCAACTACATCCATAGTGAATCACCTAAATTCAAAGATGTAGAACACAACTGTAGTCATTTTTAGTGAATTTGACTCATAGCTTTCTCTTTCTCTCTCTTGTTTTTTTTTAACTGACTAGGGCAATATAATATAATAAAATTGCCATGTGCTCATTGGCCATTTTTTATCTTTCTAAATAAAAGTCTCGAAAGTGTCTGAATTTATTTCTAGTCCGGAAAATTATATCCAATGCTCAATTTGGGTTTAAAAAAAAAAAAAAAAGTTATAATTAAATGAATATAATTCCCGTCTCCTGAAGCAGGCTTTAGTTTTCGTTGTTGTTGTTTTTCTTATTAAACAACTAATTGACATTGCTTTTTTTTCTTTTTTTTTCCCTTTTTTTCTTTCTCGCTTATCGGATAAAATGACCATGTCACGTCGAGATGAGATAGTAGCTCGTTTAAAACATTTTAATGGTGGTGAACAGTATGATGTCATTGACATTGTAGGTGAAGGTGCTTATGGTGTTGTTTGGTAAATTTTTTTTTCTTAATAAACAACTTATTTTTGTACTATTTATTCACATTCTTGGGGTTATTTTTTTTTTTTAGCTCTGCTGTTCATAAACCAACAGGTCAAATGGTTGCTATAAAGCGTATTTTACCTTTTGATCATGCCATGTTTTGTCTTCGAACTCTTCGTGAAATTAAACTGTTAAAGTATTTTAATCATGAAAACGTAAATTATTATTGAATACACTTGTATAAAAAATACTCATGTATTTCTTTATAGATAATCTCAATTCTTGATATCATGAAGCCAAAGTCAATTGAAGATTTTACTGAAGTGTAAAGACAGACTAAGAAGACAGGGAGAAAAGCATTAGTATTCACTTTTATATCTATTTTTTTTTTAGGTATCTTATCCAAGAATTAATGGAGACAGATATGCATCGTGTTATTCGTACTCAAGAGCTCTCAGATGATCATTGTCAATATTTTACTTATCAAACGCTGCGTGCTCTAAAGGCTATGCATTCTGCTAATGTTCTTCATCGTGATTTAAAGCCCTCCAATTTATTGCTCAATGCTAACTGTGATTTAAAGGTCAATGAAAGATAGTGAATTCCAAACGATAACACAAAGTACTGATAAGTGTTATAATAGATTTGTGATTTAGGTTTAGCAAGATCGTCTAATTCAGCCGATGAGAACAGTGGATTTATGACAGAATATGTAGCAACACGTTGGTATCGAGCACCGGAAATTATGTTGACGTTTAAGGAATATACCAAGGCAATTGATGTTTGGTCAGTGGGATGTATTTTGGCTGAAATGTTGAGTGGGAAACCATTATTTCCGGGTCGAGACTACCATCATCAATTAACCTTGATCCTTGATGTTCTTGGCACACCTACAATGGATGATTTTTATGGAATTAAAAGCCGTAGAGCTCGTGATTATATTCGTAGTCTACCTTTTAAAAAGAGGATTCCGTTTGCAAAGCTATTTCCAAATGCAAATCCACTTGGTAAAATTCAGTCGGAAACTATAAAATTCTAATTTTAACCTTTTTTTTTTTTAATTTTTTAAATTTTTTAGCCGTGGATTTACTTGAGAAATTATTAACATTTAATCCAGTAAAACGTATTACAGTTGAAGAAGCATTGAAACATCCTTATCTTGAACCTGTAAAAATATAGAAAATAAGCATACACACACATACACATATATTTATATATTTATATACCTTATACTAACTCTTTTTCTTTTCTTTTTTATCATGCTTATGTTTAGTATCATGATCCTGATGATGAGGTAAGTTTCAACAGTTTTGATACATAAATAAATGATAACTGAAAATAATTATATAGCCTGATGCTCCACCAATTCCTGAAAGCTTTTTTGATTTTGATAGATACAAAGATCAACTTACAAAAGAACAACTTAAGCGTAAGTTAAATAATTTAAAAATTAGGAAAGAAGAAGAAGCTTTTCTTTTAACTGACAATTTTTCTCATAGAAATGTTATATGATGAAATTGTTCATTAGAGTTTTAAAAGAAAAGAAAAGAAAAAGACTTGATGTCTACATTATACATGCATAATTCATGTACAATGTATTCATGACACAAATATATACAACTCGACAGATACCTTTTATGTTTGAATGATAAAATAAATATTAAGCTTCTTTTATTTATTTATTTACTAAATTCATACAATATTCTAAGCAATTAATATTATATTTGTATATTATTTTAGATATAAAAGTTTGGGAGTCTTTTTTCTTTTTTTTTTTTTTTTTTTTTTTTACTTTTTTTTTTTTCTCTAAATTATATAAGCAATTCAAGATTTGTTGTTGTTTTTACCATGATTATTTTTCTTTGCAGCTAATGATTTTGCATAACGAAGACCACAAGCATTACATAATTCCTTAGGGCCATTAGGACCCTTTCGCCATTCAGGAGAATCCGTACTTTGACATTGAGCACACATTTTAGGAATATCAGGACTTTCAGAGGAGGCCTTCTTTTTCTTTTGCTATGAATATAGGATAAGGATCTCTATGCGTGTATATCATTCTATTCTATTCGATTCGATTTTTTTTTTGTTACCTTTTTACGTTTAGGATTTGTATAACTTTCAAGTTGCTCTTTTAATTTACGATTTGTTAATTGAAGTTGGTGAAGTTCATATTGCCATGAAGTACCTCTGACAGTCTCCAATTCAGCAAATATATTTTCATTATTATTGTTGTTGTTGTTTATATCAATCGTAGGCACTTCTTTCATGATTGATTCTAAAGCAGGTGTATTGTTTGTGTTACTTTCTTTAGCTCTCATTTGAATAAGGACAAAGGAAGGACGACCGACACCAAATGAGATATCACCAGGATAAAAAGTAGAAAAGATAGAAACATAATCACCCTTATGATTCTGCATTGTGTGGTGTAAATTGACAATTCGACCTTCTTTTACAAGCTCTAAAGCTCGAGTGATATCTCTTACATGATCATCACCTACATATTGATAGAGTGTAGCACCTTGAAGAGTATCTGAATCAAATCCAATGACTTCCTCACTTGTAGGAGTCACATGTAACAAAAGTCCAGTCAAGGTTGACTTTGCCCAAAATTCAGAACCTATGTTGGCTATATCATTGTTGTTGTTGTTGATTGAAGAATGAACGATTTCCTTACGAATTAACTCATACATCGGTCTCTCTCTACCCGCCAAGATAAGACACTTTCGACCTTTACTCAGGTCGATATGAATCTTGCCCTGACATTCCATCCACATGTAACCAGAATATTTACGACGAACACGATAGATAAAACTGACCACTCTATCAGGGTTTCCTGCAGACTCCTTGATTTCTCGCATCACGGGTACAATATCAGAGGGGTGACAGATAGAAGATAAAGGATGTCCTACTAACTCTTCAGGATCATGCTCCAAGATATGAGATGAAGATCGAGAACAATACAAAAAGAATCCCTTTAATGAAAGAACATGAATAAAATCTTCAGTTTGATCCAAAAGAAGTTTATTCCATTCTTGCTGTAACTGTTGTTCATTTTCACCTGAGCAATTGACAAGTTCCAAGATATCGGGTGAAGCTAAAGTGGTAGATGAAGGTGCCGTAGAAGGCAATTCCCGAAAATAATCATCTACAGGTTCCGAACTGAAATCTTTTTTTTTTTTTTTTCATTAGTATTTGTTACACAATTAGACGCAATGTATAAAACTTACGACCACCAGGAATATAAGGTGGAACATTCATTTGTTGATAATTGACCATGTATGTGCCGTCTTTTATAAAAATGTATATATTTATATATAAGAACAAGAAAATGATCATTAATACATGAATTATTATGGGAGTTTTTTTTTTTTTTTTTTGTTAAGAAAAAAAAAAAGACTTACTTTTCATCTTTTCGAGAATAGCATTAGGCTGTTCTACTAAATCAACTTGCAAACCAACAAAAAATGAACCCTTATTATCATCACAACTTATAGGAATAACAGTAACTAAGTTAACAAAAGGCTATTATTACAGAAAAAAAAAAAGAGAGAGAAAGAGAATGAATATATATCTGTCTATATTTTTATGTATGTATGTATACATGCATGCATGTGTTTTTTTTTCTTTTCCTTTTCACTTACTTGTCCTCCTTTTCTATAGTTGATAATACTTGCTTGATGTTCTTTATTTTGTAACATTTGTGCTTTTAAATGATAAACAGCTTGATTATCTGTGTAAGTACGACGAGAACCACAAGTCACTTGACCATCAGGGGCTTGTAAGAAACGACAGTTACGACCCATAATTTCAGTAGCCACATAACCTGTCAAATGTTCAAAGGTAGGAGAACAATATACAATAGGACAATCATATTGTCGAGCATCTGTTACTAAGAATGAACAAGACATATCAATTGGTCCTAAATTAATTTGTGGATTGGGTCTATTCCCAAAAAAAAAAAAAAAAAAAAAAAAAAAAAGCGCATGCATACATAAATAGACAAGCAAGCAAATAAGTTATATATATGGTAACACATACCTATTGACAAGTCTCGATAACACACCAATCATATCAAAACCGGAACTAGAGTATACACCTGTTAAAGGGGCACTTGAAGTTTGCTCTATTTCAATAGGTTGAAGATCAATAGTAGGGTTCTCTGTCATTTGTTGATCATTGACATTAGCCGAAGGATCCAAGTTGGAAAAGTTAAATTGACTTGTGCCTGTCGCTATTTGTGGTTGATTCCACTGTTCATTTTCTTTTTCTTGAAAATGCGACATTGACTGAAGCTACCAAAAAAAAAATTCTTATATGTGTATATTTATATAAATATAAATATATAAAAGAAATAGAATAGAATAGAAGGAAAAAAAAACTTGAGGACACAATCAATTTTGAAAGGTTATTCAAAGTTTATTGGATGAAGAAAAATCATGCTGGACTAATTTGATACAATTTGTCCTGAAAAAAAAAAAAAAAAAAGGTCGGAAATTGAATAATTTAAATGACGCACTCTTTTGTTATTATTTTTTATTTTTAATTTTTTAATTTTTTAAAAAGAGTCTTTATAAATCAAGCTATGTTAAATTAAGTGTTTTATTTTATAAATTTCAATTATTTTCTAGAATAAATACAGATAAAGCCTTTCCTTTAAAGTGCTTCATTAGCTTATGTTTCATTGTTATAGCTATAGATTCTTCTGAAAAGGTGAAAGATAAAAAGTTAGATGGTAATGAACGTTATACTATTGTTTGTTGGTCATAATAAAAGACGATGTATAAATAAAATGAAAACAAACCGTTATCTAAGTGAGACATGCAAATATAAAATGCATACCGTATACTACAGTACAGTTTATTTTATCTATTCTTTCAGTAAAATTAAGCTTAACTTTATCATAAAAATATGATTAATTAACAGATGATAAATCATTGAATATTTCATCAGTATTGTTACTATTGATGGTCATTCTTTAAAGCAGGCCTACATGCATTATGTAGCAGCTGACAGGTTAATTTTATCAGTAACATATTGAATAGTAGAATAAAATAAAATAAAAGCTACAATGAGATATGCTTGATTAGCTTCATTTATATTAAGTTTGAAGGATATTATCTGAAAAGCTGAATGACTCCCACCGACTTTTGTATCTATCCGGATACATCATTCATGTGTGCCCACAAGTCATCTTTAATCAAGAAATACTAACTGATATTTTCTTCTATTATTGAATCAGGCCATGTTTAATTATTATTTATTTAATAAGAACGACTTGGTGAATTATGTATAAAAATCATGTCATTTTTCTAATAGTGATTTAGCGAGGCATAATAAAGAATTCGTACTTTAATACTCAAGTAAACGAATAGTTGTCTCTATCTTATTGACTGATCAGTCCACTTGTAAGTTATATATATATATATATATATATGTATGTATGTATGTATGTATACGTAGATTTGAACTAGTATCAAAGTATGTACTTTGTATATAAATATCCAACTGCTTGAATTACACTTTTATAACTATACTTGTTCTATGTATATTTAATGTTTCTTTATATTAGACTCTATAAATGATAAATATATGAATAAACAAATATGTCTATTCTTATTAATCATTTTTATGCAGCTCCCGTTTTTTTTTTTTTTTTTTTTTTTTTTTTTTTTTTTTTTTTAATTGAAAGCTACGCAGAATGATATAACGGTTATTTTCATTTTATTATTATTATTATTATTATAGTCATGAACACTCGTAAAAGAAGAATGGCTGCAGAACAAATGTTGTACAATTTGCAACAAGGACAAACATATGAGCCGGATGTCTTTGGTACGAAACGTAAAAAGATGATTAGAGACACTAAGGATCAACAAGACGAATTTGAACAAAATGAAGATGTTTTCAAAGACTTAGAATCCGATGCTATTACTACAGCAGAATTTTTAATTAAAAGTAATCCAAAGTCGACTATTCCTATTTGCTTTATACATCAGATATATAGTATTTTACCGAATAATACAATGGTAGATCGAGAATTGGTAATGTGTGTGTGTGTGTATTTTATTTTTGGTCATTCAAGGTATTAATTAAAGTCTTGTATAGCAACAGGCCTTTAAGAAAGGTACTTGGAGAAAGTTTCATGTTATTGGTGCACTTGAAGATGAGTTTGTTTTGTTGAAGACAGAAGATTATTGTCAAATGACTAATCAAGCAAAAGAGGAATGTATTAGAGATCAAGATGGAGATCCAAAAGTATTCGGCAAATGAAAAAAAAGAAAAAAAGAAAAAGAGAAAGAGAGAGAGAGAGTCTATTTTGGAATTATCATGTTCTAATATGAATAAACAGATATATTTCAGGAAATTATAAAAGATGTTAGATATAATGAAGTTTCTATATTTAAAGGAGTTTTAATGAAAGAATTCGGTCTAACAGAAAAGAACATGTCGTAAGTAGAAATTGATTATATTAAAAGAAAAAGAAAGAAATTTATTCTAAACCAGTAATAAAGTCAGCTTGTCACTTATGGATTATTATTACCGCATATCCAAATGGATTTCTATTGGTTTTCAGTTCGTAAACAAGGAAGTTTTATGAGTAATTTAAAGAATGGAAGAATAGAGATATTACGTATACTAAAGAGAAGACATACAAAAGATATAATGGAAAAGGCAAATGCTTTGTTTCATAATGATTGAAATACATATTTATTTTTATTTTTATTAGTTATTAAAGCAAAAGAAGCTTCACAAGTCAGTATTTAATTTTGATTTCTTACTACATGATTTAATAGGTAGTGGAAGAATAGAAAAGTAAGGATAAAATAGAATTAGAATAGAATAGAGAAAATGGGGCGAGGGGGAATAATAAATTTAAATATGATAGGTATTCAACTGCTATGGGGCATTTATTACGTCTTACAAGTAAAGGAGAAAAGAGCATTTAAGAGAGGCTTAGTTTAGATTGTTTCCCAGAGACAAATGGATCATTTCGTTTATAAAGTCTTTGTTTAGTAGTTGTTCTTATGTTTGTATTATTTAAAATAGCTTGTATACGTAAATGATTCGAATCAAGTCTTATTTCTCTGACATGATCAGATGGCACTGTTTTTATAATAACGTTATTATTGTATTGTTGTTGTTTGTTGACAGTCATATGATGGCATCTTTCTTCTTTCTTCTTCATCATCTTTTGTTTTGTAGTATAATAATTTCGTAAATCTCGATAAATATCATCTTCTTTACGAAATGGTGTAGTGAAAGAAGATGGGTCTTGAGAAGATACATTTCGATTCTTTATATTAGTAGTAGTCGTAGTAGTACTCTTAGTGGCAGTGGCAGTAGTAGAAGAGGTTGTTTTTGGTATTAATGAAAGTATCTTTTTAATATGAATTGAATTTGAAAGATTATTGTTAATATTATTAGGTGAATGAATTAGAGAAATTGGATTATTTGTTGTAGAAAAGCGCATATTTCAAAGAAGAAGATTAAAGTGAAATGAAAAGAAAGAGAGGGAATGCAGTTTTTTTTTTATTAATAAATTCTTTCTTTCTTATACACAAATAATTAAATCCTTTCTTGATAATCACATCCTTTTCTTTTTTCTTTTCTTTCCTTTTCTTGTACTTCTATTTTTCTTTCTAAATTTCCACGTCGTCTTTATGACAGACTATTTTCTCGACTAATCTTGCCTTTTTTTTTTCTTTTTTCTATCATAACTTCTTTCCATACAAGACATGATAGTTTATATCATCAAATCTATTTCATAGATACTGTCAGCAGCTAAATTAAAATGAAAGTCATTTGATGAGAATCAGACTTCTAGTCATCTCTCACTAACACTCATCTTGGGTCCTTTCCTCCTTTCCCCTTTTTTTTTTTCTTTATTATTATTAACCATAAATCATAGAGGAAGGTAACTTCACAATCGGACTAATAAAGTACTTGATTGATAACGTCTGATATGTCAGTCAGCCCCCCAAAAAAAGGTGATGTCCTATCATTAATCACATCCATTTTTTATTCATTCAAGATATATTCTCCCTTATTATGGCTATCAAGTAAATAAAAGACACTATCCCAAACAGTGTATCTATTAAAGTTTGACATTTTGACTTCTTCTTTTTATATGTAAATAAAACAATAAGGATAATTATTTGTATATCTATTTCAGATAATGGATTCATCACAGAAAAAAAAAAGCATATAACAACGTATGCTTCATAAAATGGTCATGGTATAATAATAGTCATTGAAGAAGACTATTAATAAACTAGAATTACGTAATCTTATAGATCGATTATTCTCTCTTCTTTTAATTCAAATCATGACTAAAACCGTTATACTTGTGAATTGGTTTGTTTTGTCACTTTATGCAAGTGGTTGTCAAATAACAATCATAATAATTATAAACACATAAAAAAAAAAAGAAAGCGCAATCTATTTAAATTCCCGATGATTGCCCTTTCACTTGACTAGGGGTAGGAAATCTTTATTTTATTTTATTTTATTTTTTTAAGGAAAAAGAAAAATAGATTAAAATAATGGCATTTCGAGCACCACCCATTCAACTTGCAAAACATGTGTCCAATTTGATGAAGGGAAAGTTAATAACCAAAACACCTGTATGGCTTCCTGTCGTTCAGGCCTTCCCTCCTGGACCAAGCATTGTGCGTTCACAAAACTCAGAAGTTAATGTATCAGGTCAAACAGAAATGGAGCAAACTATGTTTGCTAAACCTCAACCTACTCAAAGTCTTCGTCATTCTCAAAAGCATTTACGTACTCGACCTCCTCGACCTCGTGCTATTGTTTATCCTGAAGATAAATTAAGAAAACAATTTTATAAAGATCATCCATTTGAATTGGCTCGACCCAAAGTTTTAGTGGAGCCAGAATTAGGTATCAATCGTACTGACTTTAGTAAACTCATGTTAGACGGCATGCATCCTTCTCAGATTGATGGTGAAGCGTAAGTTGTAGATATGTATATATGAATAGGATCTGATAAAACCTATACTAATATATATATATATATACATGTATTGCTTTTGCTTTTGCTTTTGCTTTTTTTTTGGGGGGCTGGATTCAGTGTCATCAAATATCAACTTTATTTAATGGTCCATGAAAAGATGCCTGAAAGAAAAGCATATGCAAAGGCAACATCAGAATTTTATGAAATTAGAGCAAAACAAGAAGAAGAAGAAAGAGAAGCAAGAGCAAAGATGAGTGACATTTTACAAGTAATTCAAAGTAAGAAATGGACAAAGAAGGGTATTTATTTGGAGGGAGTAGCTTTAAGGAAGGGTTTTGAAGATCAGTTTTAGATATGCTATTGCTATTGCTATTATTATTATTATTATTATTATTATTATAAAATACTTTGTTTGGTTTATTATTATACTACTATTTGATAATATGGAGTGAGGATAGAAAATCCCCGTTTTATCAATTTGTGGGATGATTTCAGTTCTTGTTGGTTTCTGTATATCCTAATTCTTCTGCATAAGTTAAAGCAAAATTTAAACGCATAGCTAATCTATGCTCAAAATCATGTTTGCCATAATCAAGCGCCATCTCCCATGTGTGTCGACTTTTGTTTTTAAGATTTAATTTCCAATAAGAGACTCCTGCTTCCCATAATGCATAAGGGACTGTCCATGTATCTTGTGAAATACAGTCTTTATGATCTAAAATCCAGTTAATATCTAATGTTGCATCTTCTATATGTCCTAATGCATTTAAAATAGATGACTTGATAACCAATAGACACGCACGCTCATTGAAATAATCGGGTAACGGTATCTCAGGTGCCAACTCCCTCATTCTCTCTGTCTGTTCTTGTCTTTCGCATCTTTGAATAGTAGCAAGTGCTAATTGAACATGACTTAATAACGTCCATAATAAATCAGAATTCATACAAGGAAATAAGTTCCAAATACACATAAATTCGAGTAAAGGTGTGAAAAAATTTAGATTTTGATAACCACTCTTTTGAAAGACGGTTACTTTAGAAAGTACATAGCTATCGATTTCTGATAAACGATTTTTTCCTCCTCCTCCTGATAGAAAGCTTTTATTGCCCGTGATAAGTTCGTTTACTTCTGCAAATGCTAGAATCGCCTCTGTACGATCTCCGATCATTTCATAGCATGCAGCTTGTGCGTATCGACAAAATGCTGCTGACCAATAGTGCTGTTGACACAAATAATCAAATGTGTCTGCTGCATGATGCCAGTTACCTGTCATTATATGATTTAAAGCAATTTCAAATCGACACGAGTTTGTCATTGCTATTTCAGCCCATTCACTATGACTCATGTCTGCTGCACAAAGAAATGATTGTGTAGATAAAGGGAAATCAAAGCTATAACGAGCAAGACGTCCAGCAAAGAAAAGATAAATAGCCGAATTAGGATATTGTTTCTGAGCTTCGAGTAAGATCTATACGTACATATGTATGTATATATATTAAAATAAGAGACATACAAGCATGTTTATATGTATTTATATATTTATATATATATACATACATCGAAAGCAGTCGCCTTGTAGGCATCTATCATTATTTGAGGAGCAAAAGACATGGTAGTTATATAATAAGCAAGTAACATAATAGTTACCATAGGTGACCTAACATGTTTGCTTTGTTGACATTGATCTAGTAATAAAAATCCAAATTGTTTATCTGGTTTCCAACCAAAGGCTGCTATTGCTTTTAATATCTTTGCTGGTAGAGCTGATAGGACTAAATGAACAGATCCAATACTATAAAATAATAGAATATTTATAAACAAAAATAGATGTATATATATATGTGTGTGTGTATTGTATATACATATATAATTTCTTATTCATACCCAAATTGCACTGCAGAAATGGTATTAGCATCCATAAAAGCTAAATGATCGGCTCCCATCTTTTGATATTCTTGCCAAACATAATTATAAGAGTTGAAAGCTATAAATTTAATAATATAAGAATGCTCATCCTTTTTCTTCTTTTTAAAAATATATATATATATATATATAGTAAACTATTCTCCAAGTCTATGGTATACCTCTTCTTAAGTTGAAACCACATTTAGTATATCCTATGATAGATTCTTGTAATAATTGTAAGATAGCGATTTGAAGACAACATTCTGCTTTCAAGACATAAGCTCGTAATACACTATTAGGAGGATATTCTGTTGAAGGCTGTATAGGTGTTGTTGGTATTGAACTTGTATTCTCTTTAGTCTTCAAATAATGAAGATAACTAGAAAGATAATTATAGACCTTATTTCTCGATTGCTTGGCCATTTCTAGTTGTGAATTAGCTATATCATACGTTGTATTCAACGCATCCAATGCCATTCGTTGATCTTGATCTGCAGAAGTCTACTGAATCATTATTAATAAGAGTATACATGAGAAATGCAACTTTTTTTTTTTTTTTACCATAATAGCTATTATAAGAAATACAAAAATTAAATTTTTTGTTTAATATGTTAAATAGCATATAAGGAACTAACCTTTTAAAAAAGCCATAAAACTTAAAGCTAAAGCGTGCAATGGATCACTACAGATAAGATAATATCAATCAGACTTACTTGAATACATGTCGTATTTCACTCCCTTCCCTTCCCTTCCCTTCCCTCCTCTTCCCTTCCCTCCTCTTCCCTTCCCTCCTCTTCCCTTTCTTTCATTACCAATTTGCCTTTTCTTCAAACATCATTTTTGCTGCCATAAATTGATTATTAAATAAATGATTTAGGCCTTCAATGATTGATTTATCTGAGTTGAAGTGATTATTATTATTATGATTGCTATAAATTTATTATTATTTTTTTTTTTCTATGAACTAACCTTCTCTTTCTTGTTCTCTAGGACTCAACGTATTTAAGGCTGTAATTTCCTTTTTAATTTGTATAAGGTTTTCACTTGCTCTTTCTAGATCTGTTGTTCTTTTCCTTTTTAAATCTTCATCAGTAGGTATTTTCGGAATAAATTTTCTTTCAAATGATTCACGATTAATAGATGGTAAATTAACATGTTTCAAAACATTTGTGATTTCTTCTATTCGTTGTTCAGTCATGACTAACAAAAAAAAATAAAAACAAAAAAGACGAATATATTGTATATGGAATACAAAAGAAGAGGCAATAAGCTATTATTTAAATAATCTATTATTACATGTGATACAAAGGTCCCACCATCTTATTCTATAAAATGTGCTGAGAATAATAGACTTGTCTTTAAAATAAAGAGTTGTACTATTCATTCACCTACAGTGCTTAGGATGGATCACCTTATAATACATCTTTTAACCTTCTCCTCATGTGTCGCCTTTTTTTTTTTTTCTTCTTTTTCTGCTACTTGAAAATTAACCTGTTAAAGATGAGGTGTGCTATATAAACTTAGAAAAGCTTTAAATATTCATATTTTAATTCTAGTATAGATGAAAGACGTATGTTTGCAACATCCTTAAGGACAAATTAGAAATACATAAAATATTATTAAAAGACGCGTAAGAAAAGATATATTTATTTTATTTTATTTTTCATTTTTATTTCATATATAAAAAAGTGAATCCCCAATTCGTCAACAGTAAAAATAATATTTACTGCAGTCCAAAGGTGGCCGCGTGGAGGCTAGGATTCGTTGCACCTTCTTTGTTCTTGTATTTTTTATTTTTACTAGGAGGTTAGAAAAACCATAGCGATCACAATATGTAACGCCCTCTGAATCAACAAGATACCCTACAATGTCCTCCTAATTCAAGGAGGGCAAGATAGGGTGTCTTCCTCATCAAGAGCCCGGTACATAAGTGGTAACCATGAGAAAAAGAATTTCCTCCTAGGGCAGGGAAGAAGAAGAAGAATAAAATAGTATTATTTAATGATTTACCTATAGAAGAAATAGTAATAATAAAGAAGATAAAGAAGAAAAAATAACTTTGAATATCTACTTTTTTATAAGAATAAGGAGGTCGTTGTTGTAAATTACAGTCACAATCATATGAAATCGATAAGAATATGTGTTACCCCACATTTAATACACACATACACACAGTTACATTATTTAATTTTCTCCCTTTCTTATAAAAAGTAACAATGTGTAAAATAGTAAAATGTTGTCAATTTTATATCTTCTTTATGACTATATGAAATGTATTTATGTTAAAGAAAAGAAAAGTAAGTAAAATAAATGTCTTTTTGTTTTCACTTTTTTGTTTATATTCTCATTAACTTTCTTTTTCCTATTTAGGCAATTAATATGCATCTCATTTGTACAAAATATTACTATTTTCTAACAAGGGGTATTTAGTAAGTCTAGTCTCCCTTATGTCGTACTTAAAATCACTCTTTTACTCTTATTTTGTTGAATGAATCAAAGATAGAATGTATGTAGAAAAAAAGTCAACCTTTGTGTGTGTGTGTTTATCCTTTACTACATTATCTTCTTTAATATTTATGGATTCTATATAAAGTAATAGGGGAGGAGGAGAAGATGTTAGAATAAAGTGATTCTATGTTAAATGAGGAAAATATAGAAAAGACATCTATACTAGACTAGTAGTCTTTTTTTATCATATTTGTTCTTTAACTCACTTTAATAAGTAAGTATAAAAGTAAGAAAAACCTTTCTATCGTAATGACCTTGTCCTTTTAAAGAATCTTGTTGTATTCACTCTGTAAAAGTCTATCGCCCACATATTATTATTATCAACATTGAGAAAAAAAAATAGATATATTTATATAATAAAGAGAAACGCTTGAAAGCCTGAACATAAGTACAGCATATTTTCTTAAATAAGATATACTATTTTACAAGCCAAATAACAAACTATTAACATCTTATTCTTACAAGGGCTTATATGTGTAAGTGATAACTACATTATGTTCTCTTATCGAGTTTATCTAATGATTCTATTTATGTACACATTTATAGTGTCTTTGGTCTAATATATCCATAATAAAGAAGTCTATTGCATTACACTATTTTTTATTGTTCAATATATTGTAAGCAGACTCTCCTCTTTCTCCCGCTGTTTATTTTTGATACCTACAAAAGTAATCATATTAAAGGTCATTAAACCTTTCATGATGACGACGGGTTATGATGAATATAGAACGAATGATGTACGCGTATAAAAAGGTTATTGTTCCAAATAGAGTATAATTGCAGATATAAGAATATGACGCTATCAGTAAGCATACTGCATATTGCAAAATATTATTATAGTCAGTACATTCTGCTTTAAGCATATACATATACAACTATTCATTTATTACACCATCCTACCAAATACATTATTATAAATTCTACAATACAAAGGTTAATATATTATTTGTTGGGTCGTTTTTTTTTTAATAGATAATCATTGAATAAAAAACACTATAATTAAGGGAACCCTTCACCTTTATAAAAAGAATTTATACGTTTCTTTCTTTACAAAAACTCACCCATTGGCACTAGAATGATTATTACTCACCTTTTCTTATTTTTTGTATTATTTTATAAATGTATGTATAGAATGAAATCACAGTACAACTTACGACCAAAATGTCTTACCCTTATTTACCCAATCTTCTTGAATAAAAAATAAAATAAAATAAAATAAAATAGACGTTATTATAAATATTTTTTTTCTTTTTCTTAAAAATAAAAAAAAAAAAGAAAGTTATATACAAACGCATTACTTTCCCTTGCTTTAAATAGTATTATATACATATATATATAAATATATATATGTATATATGTGTGTGTGTGTGCGTGTATGTATGTATGTATGTATGTATGTATATATAAAAGCTGAAAACAAATGAACCATTTTTGTTTTTTTTTTCTTTTCTTTTCTTAAAAAAAATAATAAAAAAAATAAAAGAAAATAAAAGAAAGAATATACACACCAGTAGCATATATGTACAGCATATACGATTGTAAGGGAGGAAGTGGATTAATATCTATCTCTTCTACTCATACGATCTCTAGATCTATCTCTACGACTACCGTATCTATCACCACGTTCTCTATATCCTCTTGGACTTCTGCTTCGTGAGCGCATACGAGATCTTCTTCGATCATCATCTCTTCGACTATAGCCTCCATAACTTCTATGTCCTCGATCACGTTCATGATATCTATCACGACTCGTGTGACGTTCAGAGGAAGACTTTTGCTGTTCTCTACCACCAAGGCCACCACCTAATCTACGAGGTCTCCACCCTTTAACAGTACGAGCACGTTCAACATCAACTAAAATACGACGACCCAATATCTTTAAACCATCTGCATCCTTATATGCCGCTAATATATAAATGAGCCTATGGTTATTTTTATTTAATCTTTACATCGTCACTTACCACGCATATCTTTTTCTCTTTCAAATTCTATAAAAGCATAACAGCGAGACTTTCCTTGTTTATCACGTACAAGACGAATCTACCAAAGAGAGAAAAGAAAAATATGGATTAAAGTTGTCTTTTTTTTTTAAAAAAAAAAACAAGTTATAATAGTACCTTTTTAATTTGTCCATAGATTTCGAATTCTCTGACTAAATCACTTTCCATTAATTCAGGACTTAAATGAGTAACAAAAAGAGTATTGAAAGGATCACCATCAATATTTGAATCCTTTTCAGGATCATCTATATATATGTATGTATATATATATATAAAAAGATTAGAAATAATTTTAATAAATACGTGTACAAGTTACATTCTTTCAAAGCAGCTTGTAATTCTTCATCAGCTTTCTTTTGTTTTGCTTCAGCCTACATGTATATTTAATTTAATTTATAAATAAACTTGTAATAACTTGATATCAGCAAAGTTTTTTTTTTGTTTGTTTGTATACCTTTTCTTTTCGTTTTTCAGATAGTGATTTCCAAGGTACATAATCGGGATCATAATTTTTCAGTTCATCAACTAAAGATGCAACACCAGTAACAATACAACCAACACGTTTCTCTGGATCTTTGTCCAATGGAGGCACATAAGGTAAAGGTGGACGTGGAGCAAATAATTTTAACAAATTAGGAGGAAGTTTATCAGTCATTCTGGGGGTTTTTTCTTTTTTTTTTTTTGTCTTTTTGGTTGTAAGTTTTCCTTAATTATTATTTGAAAGGAAATAAATAAATAAATAAAAAAAAAAGAATATATGAATTTGATATTTTTGAGGTGTGTTTAGTAGTTTTGTTTGTGACTGCCTTTAATTTCAAAAATAAAAAATGGCGACTTATTGTTGTGTATTGACTCTTTTTTATAATAATGAAGGATTGAACAACAGTCTTCTTATAGCAGCTTTCAGATGAAAAGTTTTATTGACTTTATGTTATACTAGTCTATATCGTTCTAAAAGTTGAATGTATAAATATATACATGTATATATATGTGTGTGTATGTGTATGTGTATAGATCTAGTAGATATTAAAAAAGGTTAGAAGATAGTATTTACTTTAAACATACCAAGATAATTTATGAGCTATTTCCACTACCTTCTTATTAGATAATCGCTACTTTATATTGTTGCAACTAGTAGAATAAATTTTAGAACAAATCTAACCTTGCATAAAAAAAAGGTAATTATAAAATAGAAAATATTAAATTACATATTAACTACGCATATTGCAAATGAAGGGGAAAAGTATTCATATTTGACCCTTTATTTTAAATATCTTACTGCCTTTCTTATTCCTTTTTTATTATGAAATTACAGTCTATTAAAACAAGCGTTTTATAGGTGATAATAAATCTATTTTTCAATGTTTATTTTCAAGTGGTAAACGAAGGCAAAACATAATAATAATAAGCCCATTTTAAGTTTAAAGTTGATATAGTATGATTTTTCGATTTTAATTTTACTAAAGAAGTTTAGGGTACATGTCCTAAAGAAAGATCAAACCAAATAAGCTTCATTCTCGTTCATTACCTGAATTTCAAATTTTTGATTAATTTTTTTTTTTTTTTTTTTTTTAAAAAAAACATTTGTCATGAACCTTTTACATAGTGTCGTTCTTTCTATTTATTTTATTTTATTTTATTTTATTTTATTTTATTTTATTTTATTTATTTTATTTTATTTTATTTATTTCATCTTTCATTTATATACACATTTATAATCATGTCACAGCAGCAACCTTATTTAGGTATAACTAAACCACTATCTTTATCAGTACCAACAATACAAGAACTTGAATTGACAAAAGATCTTCAAAAAACTCTTGAAAAATTTGGAATGTATGATAGTAAAGAAAAAACTGCTCAAAGGTATTTTATTTTATTTTTTGATAACCACAATGTTGTGTTTATTCATCAAATATATAGAGAAGCTGCTTTAAAACATTTAGGCGAATTAACACGAGAACTTGTGCAGTCCATCTGTAAAAAAAGAAATATACCAAAAGAGATTGCTGATGCTGCAGGTGGAGCTATCTTTACTTTTGGTAGTTACAGATTGGGTGTAAATTCAGCAGGTATAAAAATAATAATAACATAATACATATAAAAAAAAATTTTTTTTCTTTCTTTTTTGTAACTCCCTTATATACTAATTATCCCTTTTATAGATGCCGATATTGACACTTTATGTGTTTTACCAAATATTGTATTTAGAACAGATTTTTTCGAAATATGGTTCAAATACTAAAAAAGTTCCATGTATTTCTGAAATTACAGTAAGTTTTTTTTTTTTTTTTTTTTTTTTTAATACTATTTTACTTTATTTATTATCTAATCTAATCTATACATCTAGTCTGTACCAGATTCTTTTGTACCTGTTATCAAGTTTAAATATAATGATATTCCTGTAAGTCATTATTATTATTATTTAGATGATTCTCTATTATTTACTCTTATTTTTTTTATTTTAGATTGATTTTGTTTGTGCAAGAGTCAGTCTTCCTCAAGTGACAGAATCAACCAATTTAAAAGACGCATCTATTTTACGCGGCTTAGATGATCGATGTATTCGTAGTATTAACGGCACACGAGTAGCTGATGAAATAATTCGTCTTGTACCCGATATTGAAACATTCCGTATCGCTTTACGGTGTATAAAATTATGGGCCATGAGGAAAGCAGTTTATTCGAATGTTTTAGGTTTCTTTGGTGGTGTCGCTTGGGCTATCTTGGTAGCTCGTGTCTGTCAATTATATCCAAATGCGTGTGCTAGTGTGATTGTCAGTAAATTCTTTAGTCTTTGGAAGAGTTGGAAATGGCCGTTACCTGTCACACTTAAACCTATTGAAGATGGACCACCCCTTAACCCTTCCTTGAGGCCTTGGAGTCCCTCATTAAATATAAATCGTACGCATCGTATGCCTATCATTACACCTTGCTATCCGAGTATGTGTACAACTCATAACGTGACAGCCTCTACACAACGTATCATCTTGGGTGAATTCAATATAGCATCACAGATCACTGAAAAAATCATGCAAGGCACTTTACCTTGGGCTTCCTTGTTTCAATCTCATGATTTCTTTCGTAACTACAAGTACTATCTTCAAGTGATCGTAAGCAGCGATCATCCAGAGAGACAATTGAAATGGTCAGGACTTGTTGAAGCCAAGTTGAGACATCTAGTGACTAAACTTGAGCTTGTTCCTGCCCTTGCCCTTGTACATCCCTATGTAGAAGGATTCAAATATGAATTTACATGTGAGAATTCTGAAGACGTGTATGCAGCTACACATGGACAAATTATACCATCAAGAAGAAACAGTTCAAGAAAGACGATGAAAATTTATACTAAAGTATTTTATTTAGGGCTCTATATTAGGATAAAATCAGGTAATGTATATATATTCATATATGTATATATAAATATATATATATATATATCTATATCTATATCTATAAAGATAGATAAATAAATAAATACAGATATGTATATATATATGTATACATGTATATACGTATACGCATACACACACACATGTATGTATGTATGTATGTGCACGTGTGTGCGTATGTGTATGTGTATGTGTATATATAGTTATTTATTATATATTCCAGTCGTACGTAACTCATACATTTATGTATTCATTTTACCATATACATATATATATATATATATGCATATATATCTTCATATCTTCATATATGTATATTATGAAGGTGAATCAAGGACATTAGATTTAACAGCCCCAATCTATGAATTCATGAATATGGTAAAAAGCTGGTCTGAGTTTAACTCTAAACATATGGGAATAGCTGTAGAAAATGTAAGGCACACCAATTTGCCCGAAGAAGTTCTTCCAAAGAGAGAGATAAAGATGTCAAAAAGGGCGTTATCAAAGGTAAGTAATATATGTATATATACGTATGTAACATTTGCTTATGTACTCTTGTTTCCTTATCTAGTCACCGTCACCTACTCTACAACCTACGATGGTTAATTCCAGTGTAATTGTCAATAAGAAAGTGAAAACAAATACTGATAATACGATACCCCCTCCAACAGACACTGATGTAAAAACAGCATCTGTAGCTGTGTAGCCTATGATTGTATAGAAAAAAAAAGGGAAAGGATAGGTATCATATAAATACAACCAAAAAAAAAAAAAAAAAAAAAATGAAGCTATTTAAATTCTATGAATGTATAGCCCCATATGACAATAAGAGGGAAAAAAAAAAGGTAAGAAAGTTAAAGAGGCTCATTAAAAAAGAAGAAGAAAAAAAAAAGAGAGAAGAAGAGTGTGAAGTCGTTTTTTATTTTCTCTATTTTCTTTTTCTTTTTCTTTTTTTCTTTCTAAAATACAAATCCTCTTTACTTTCTTCATACTATTTACTTATCTCTTTTCTCAACGCTCTTATGTATACAACAATTAAAAGATTCTTAGTTAATTGTTTTTGATTTTTGTATATAGAAAGTATTTTGTACATATAAATATATTTAACATTTGAAAAAAAAAGGGGGGGATTCGTTTATTGCAAAGATTAAGAAAATGATGTCTACTTCTTTATATTCAAAAGCAAACTATCTTTGTGTATGAAATAGAATACTACTACTACATCATCATTGTCCTATAAATAGAAAGGATTCTACAATAAAGTGAAGAACACTACCAACTAAAGTTATTATTTATTTGACACGATTAACTCTAAACAAGCTGTTGTAGCACTTTTTTTGATACTAATTTTACTTTGCCTTGTGCTACCAATAAGAAAAAATAATAATCTATTTTTGTATCCACATTGAGAAAACAGCAGCTGTTTTTTAAAAAAAGATATGACTGACAAGCAAATTTTTTAAACATGTTTGTATGCAAACAATAACAACAACAACAACAACACATGCAAACCTATTATACAATAAACGTCAGATGACGTTCCTTTTTTCTTTAACAGGTTTATTTTGATCAGTAGTAATGAATAATAGCAAGAAGTTGATTTATATCAAATGAGAAGAGGAAAAAAAAAAAAAAAAAAAAAAAACTTTTTTTTCCCTTGATAATAATCATTAATTAAAAAAAAAAAAAAAAATGATATCACTACTATTACGAAAAGAATTAGACAGGAGATTTAAATCCTTTTTAAGTTAAAGACTTTGACATGTTTCAGTCTATATCAAATCATGCAGAAATGAAAATAGGTTGTCTTTAATCTACACTTCTATTTCTGGAGGGGAAAAGGCAGAAATAAATACATGTGTGTGTATGCTACGAAAAAAAAAATAAATAATATCTTTAATTTATGCAACAAAGTATTAAGGCTTATGATCATTTATAATACAATTAATTAAATAATTTTTTGTTACAATTAATAATATATTAGCCACCTTTGAATGAATTTCCTTTTACTTTTCATCTCGAGTCGAATCATTTGACAAGTTCATTTGATTTTTTTTTTATTTTTAGTAATAAGGTCATTTATGATCAATAGAGTGGTGTATGCAGTTTCTTTTTTTTTTTTTTCTTCTTCTTCTTTAAGAATACAGGATTCTCGGTAAAGTCAAGTTTTAGTTATGAATGAATATTGGAGATGATATTATTTCTCATCACTCTCCCTCCAACTTTGTATTGGATTCTAAACATCTTTTTTTTTTACTTCTAACGTCATTTCTAATATTGCTTTTTTTTTCGAGTACCTAAAAGAGATAAGAAAGTCTTTTGTTGTTGAATTTTAAATTTTGTCTTTTTAACCTCACCTTAGACTGGGAGGGGAGAGAGGGAAAAAAAAAAGAGTATCTTGTAAGAATAGAATGGTTAAAACAAATGTGTATTTATAATGACTATGGTAAAATAGAGCAAGTATAAAGCCCTCTGATAAGAAAACAATCGGATGAGGTAAGTAGAGTACAAGTTGATACAATAGTACGATTACTACAAGTTAAGAAGAAATAAACTGCATCTAATAAATGAAGCCCTTTTTTTTAACACTGCTAGATACTACTTTGTTTTAGTTGATAGCGAGGAGGGAAAAGAAAAAAGACACTTCAACTTATTACTATTCAAGTACTATTTTACTAAAGTTGTAGTAATACCTCCTCCCCCTCTACCTCAAAAAAAAACGATGTTTATGTTTAATATCATTTGTATTTTAACTAACTATGGCTTAAGATACTTTGTCTACTATTATTATTATTATTATTACTATTTAATACTAATAACTTTAAACAAATTAGTTTTAAACATTTTTTTCAGTTGGCAATAAATCACACCCGTAACAAATTGAGAAACCGCCTGTTAATAAGAAAGAAAGAAAGAAAGAAAAGAAAAAAAAAAAAAAGCCGCACATTGACATTGCAACTACTACGACTACAACTGCGACTACTACTATTACTACTACTACTACTAACTACTAACTACTACTACTACTACTACTACTAATATGTATTATTTATTTTTATTACATTGGATGGAATATTATGTACAACGAAGAATTTAAAAAAAAAATTAGAGGGTTACATTAAGAACATACAAGTTAAATTGTTGGTATTAATGATAATAAGGATAGTGGTATTATTAGAATTATGTGTACATGTACATATGTTATATATGTTTAAATATATAGTGTTGAATAATAGAGCGTCTTTTTTTTTTTCCAGTTTTAGTTTTAGTTTTAGTTTACATGGTTTCTCTTATTTTTTCTTTGTTGATAAAGAAATAGCTGACGAATTAGATCTTTTACGTTTCCATTCAAATACAACATGCTGACGTACAGGTTCGCAACTATAATCATCTTGACCTATTATTATTTTAAATCGACCCTTTTGAATAACACCTGGTACAGTCAAATTATGATTATTCTTTAAAATGGTATTTGTAGTCTCATCGTAAGAAGGAGTAGAGTGAGTACGTGATAAGACTAGTCTGCTATTACTACAGCAACAACTATTATTACTATTACTACTACTACTACTACTACTACTACTACTTTTAGCCATAACTGGCGTATGAGTCGTGTTACATTTCCAAAAATCGGAATCCCAGATATGGCTTGTTTTTGACGACGAAAATTCAGTAAAATTAGAAATGGATGTCATTTGAGTAGTAGAAGATGTAATAGTCGCAGTCGTAGTAATCATATGTTCATTATTATTATTATTTATATCTTCAATTAATATTTCGTTCATATCATCGTTGTTACTTGAAGAAGATTTAATTTTAATTCCAGTTATCTGAGCAAATTCCTTAGCAGTCAAGTCCTCACATTTTATATATTGTGGTCGTTGCTGTTTATTATCATGACATAAAACTTTTTCAGTAGCAGCAGCAACTGTCATGGGTGAAAATTTTTCTTGATTTCTTTTTTTATTATAATATTTGGATGATAGCAGTGCTAATCCCCTTTTCCATTTTGCAGTAGTAGTAGTAGTTGTTTGTTGTTGAGGTGGGTTGTAATAGAGGGCAACCAATGTCATTAAAAAAAGGATTGTAATAATAATTGTTATTCATAAATTAAAGAGAGAGAAAAAAAAAAAAAAAAAAAAAGGGAGAAAGTGGATTTTTCTTCTTTTTTTATATATTTGTTTATAAATTACAGTTGTAGTCTGCCGTCCGAAATAGCGAATTTCAAAATTTAATCTGCGGATTTTTAAAGCCTAATGATTTATTTATTTTATTTTATTTTATTTTATTTTATTTTATTTTATTTTTTTAAATAGCGTACTTATCAGCCACTTTAAAATTTCCTATCTAAAAATCCAAACAGCAGATTTTTATGATCTATGAATGCCTTAAGAAGTAACTGTTGTTTCTTTTTTTTATCTTGATAAAAAAAAAACCAAAATTCTTTATTTTAAATACTTTAAAATATCAACAAGAATGTTGAATTAAGTTTCTAAATACATCTAGAAAATATACAGTACATTATTGCATGTTACCTCAAAAATTTCTTGTACAAAAATCTTCTTCTTTACCACCAGATTTATTATTATTGCAATATTCAACAACTCAGGGGGGAGGGGTTTACTCTTTATTTGATTTTTTTTGACTCACTAGACCGAATTTTCCAAAAGAATTCAATTCAGGTGATCAAATGAAGCCCTTTTTTTTACTGCTTGAAGTTAACAAATAAGCCTATGATTATGAGTTTTCTTTCTGGGAAAAGAACGGGTGCTGTCTGTCACATTTCGTTTATTTGGTGGGAACTATTCAAATTAGTGTAGGTCAGTCATCTTAAAAAGCACAAGCCTTAAAAAATATACAATGAATAGTTTTTATTTATCTATTTATAATGATAAAAAGAATTAAAAACACGCATACACACACACACACACACACACACACACACACACACACACACACACAGATAGTCAACATGATGACATTATATGTAGTATAGATTACTTCACCCTTTTCATTTTGTTGTAATAATAAAAGATAATAAACTATCTAGAATAAGCTATAAATGTAGACTGATTTTTTTATTGCCTAGAATATAAACATATTATACATTATTTGCCATGAATAAATTGTGAATGTCATGCTTATTTTCTTTTTCTTTTTTTTTTCTTTTGACTGTGCTATCACCTTTTTCCTAACACTTTCAATGCTAGAGTTTTAAATCATATTGATCCTATATATTCATTTGATGTGTCGTAATCTAATAGTATAGGATTGGTTATTATAGCTGAGTACTGAGAATTGGTTAAAAACTCTAAATACGGTTTGTATGATTGTTTAATATCAGTATTCTTTTTTTTTCAACTGACTGTTTATCTAAATGAGTATGTCGAGATTTATCGAGAAAGTTGTGCTCAAGTGATATTTTGACTTATTATCGCAGTATCCTCTTCTCTTATAGATGAGATAACGGGCGCATTAAACGACTATATGCCCATGATGGTTTTTTATTTTCCTCTTATGATATGTCATTTTGAAATTCTCCATTTAGAAGAGTCGTATGTAATGAATATCTTACTCATTAGACGGTTGTCTCAATACCTTCAACTCTTTGCCAATTACTCACACTAGTACTCTTTGGTCAACAATTCTCCTCTTTAGAAAAGACGTATTCCTTTAACTGAATCTGACCAATGTTTTTTTTTTCGAATCCACTTGATCCTAGAAAAAAAAAAAAAAAAAAAAAAAAAAAAACTTTCCGTACTTTACAAGCAATGTAAATTTCGGGAATTTAAAGCTTTTTTTTTTTTTTCCAAGGTATTTCTTCTTCTTAAATAACCAAATGACGACCCGGTCCTATTTGTACCATCTATGGGAATCTTTAATGAAAGAAGAGAGAGGGAGAGCGAGAGAGAGAGAGAGAGAGAGAGAGAGCCAAGAAAAAAAAATATTTAGATAAATAAATTTATGCAAGTCGTTGATATTATCATACAATAATAGCTGTCAAATGTTTACATATTTTTAGCAATTATAGGGCGGCAAGTATTTTTGTATTCCTGACTTTTTCACTTTTGATAACTTCTTGAGTTTGTTCTGACTTTTATTATAACTTATATCCTGCTGTCACGATCAAGATATCATCTTCTCTGTTGAATTTTTTATTTTATTTTATTTTTGTTTCTTTTAAAAAAAGTGATAATAAATTACATAAAGAAAAGAAGACAATATACATGCATATGATACATAATATGCATATACAAAAATATATGTATACATGTATTTATTTATATATCTTTTCATATTCATGGCTTTTATATAACCTAACTCTGTTTATACTCTGACTGTTATTTCTTGTAATAAATATGCATTGATTAACCAATGAGAATTTCGCGTAAAGCTATTTTCAAAATTTTATTTATTTATATTTATATAATATGATCCAGTCAAATACAATGAATATATAATATCTATAAATATATGTCATACATAGAAATGTGCAGATTCGAGAAAAACTAGACAATATCCATTAGTTCTAAATTCAACTCTACTGCATTAATCATATGTACAATTATTATCTTAATGTGTGTGTGTGTGTGTGTGTGTGTGTGGAGGGGGGGGTTTATTTTTACCATTAATTGTGAAATACAAGCCATTCCTTCTCCGTTTTTTTTTTTTTTTTTTTTTTTTTTTCCTGTAAATACTTCTATTTCCCTTTTTTTTTGTTTTGTTTTTTTATTTATGCATACATTTATGCATATACATGTAGATAATGATTGAAACAAAAGTTAAAAGTAACAACAGTGAAAAGCATAACAATAGCATTACTTCACTTGAAAAGGCAAATCTATATAGTGTATTCGATCGTAATTATCCTATCATTTATCCAAAATAATTCCTTTCTCATGTTATTGTTTTTTTCACTTAGATGAAAACGTATTGCCTTCAGTATTACCTATTTATAAAGAACTAAACCAAGTTGACTTGCAAATTCATCATTGGAAAATTGATGACTGGACTGCATTAGACAATCGTAGTCATGGCCCAATTTTTGAAGCAGCAGGATTTCAATGGTATAAAAAGATATCTATTTTATTCATGTATATACGTGTATCAATAATACTCTATATACATTCTATTAAATAGGCGTATCTTGTTATTTCCAAAAGGAAATAGTCAACATGAAATGACTTCCATTTATCTTGAAGTTGTTATGGATACTAAATCAAAAGAATATAATAAAAATTGGTCCGTGTGTGGCCAATTTGCCATTGTCATTTCAAATCCTGACAATCCAAAACATTTCTTTGCTAATCGTAATAACCATTACAGGGTTTATCTTTATATAAAAAAAAAAGAAAATTGGTTTGTACTCACTTTTTTATTTTATAGATGCTCATCATCGTTTTTGTGACGAAGAAATTGACTGGGGCTTTACTCGTTTTCATGATATCAAGTCATTAACGAATGGAAAAGAACCTTTTATTAACAGTCAACATCAAACAACTATTTCTATCTTTTTAAGGGTTGTTAAAGATGAAACAGGTGTCTTGTGGCATAATTTGATAAAGTAACTGAAAAGAAAAAAAAAGAAAAAGAAAAAGAAACATTAAATTCTCTGTTTTTATAGTTATGATTCTCGTAAAGAAACAGGTTATGTGGGTATTCGAAATCAGGGAGCAACTTGTTACATGAATTCATTAATTCAATCATTGTATTTTACCAATATATTTCGAAAAGCAGTTTATAAAATCCCAACTGAGAAAGAAGATCCAACAAATAGCGTCGCCTTAGCTTTACAACGCTGTTTTTATAATTTACAATTTTCAGATGATGCCGTTAGCACAACTGAATTAACAAAATCATTTGGTTGGGATTCACTAGATTCTTTTATGCAACATGACGTACAAGAGTTTAGTAGAGTTTTACAAGATAATTTAGAATTAAAAATGAAGGTTATTTTTTGAGTAATAGACGTACATGAAAATAGGTTCTTATATGTTAATTCTAGGGTACACCAGTAGACGGTGCAGTGACTAATATATTTATGGGGAAAATGAAAAGTTATATAAAATGCATAGATGTTAATTATGAATCCTCTCGTGTGGAAGATTTTTACGGTAATACTAATAACAATCATTGTTCTCTTATTTTTTTATTTTATTTTATTTATATATTTATGTATATCAGATATTCAGTTAAATGTAAAGGGTTGCAAAAATTTAAAAGAATCTTTTGAGAAATATGTAGACGTCGAAGTCATGAATGGAGAGAATAAATATATGGCAGAAGGTTATGGCCTTCAAGATGCGCATAAAGGGGTTTTATTTGAAAGCTTTCCTCCAGTACTTCATCTTCAATTAAAACGATTTGAATATGACATGCAAAGAGATACAATGGTTAAGGTAAATGTTACAAGTATTTTACTTGTCAAAAAAAAACATATTTTAACTCTTCTTTTCTTTTCATATATAGATTAACGACCATCATGTATTCCCAGATCAAATAAATCTTGATGAATTTTGTTCTACACCATGTTTGAAAAAAGAAGAACGTAATTATATTCTTCATGGGTAAATCTATTCTTATTTTCCATCGTATTTTATTAATTATACTTATTTTTTTTTTTTTGGTTAGTGTACTAGTTCATAGCGGTGATATAGATGGTGGTCATTATTTTGCTTTATTAAAACCTGAAAAGAATGGGAAATGGTAAGAAAGAAAAAAAAAACCAGGCATATATGTATATAAATAGATATACTCGATATAGATGTCTCTAATGAATATATCTATTTAAAAGGTTTCGATTTGATGACGATCGTGTTACTCCAGTCACACTAAGAGAGGTATTTGAAGATAACTATGGAGATGATCCTTTACGGCCAGCAAACGAAAATGATGATGATCGTAAATATATAACTGATGATCAAATTCGATGTACAAGTTTAAAGGCCTTGAAGCGATTTACAAATGCTTATATGCTTGTATACTTTCAAGAATCAAAGATAGATGAAATATTAGCACCTATTCCAAATGAAGAGATACCAAAGCATTTAAATCGTTCATTGAAAGACAATGCAAAAGCTTTGAAAGATGAAGTATTAAATAATCTAATATGCTCACAACAAACACATCATCATCATCAACTACTACAACAACAGCAGCAACAACAACAACAGCAGCAGCAGCAGCAGCAGCAGCTATCACCACCATCACAACAGCAACAGCAACAACAACAAAAATCTGGATCACCGCCTAAACAAGCTCAAATTCGGTTGAAGAAAGCTGAAAAACCAACTAATGATAAAAAATGTCATATTATGTAATATATTATATAATGTATTGTTGTTTCTTTCCCTTTTTTTTTATATACATATACGCTATATCATTCTTTTTTATTATCTACATCAACGCTAAAATAAACAGTACTTCCGTATTCTTGACTTTCAGACATAATTGATTTTGCTTCTTCTAGAGTAATTTTGTTTTGTTTATCTTCTCGGATCAATCTTATACCACATTCAGGCACAAGCACCTGTTGAAGAAATTCGACAACTGTCAATGGTGCTGCCTTTTCGTTATTCATATAATCCGTCTGTAAGAATAAACGGTTTAATGTGTCCATCATTTTATCAGATCCCTTATTACCATAGTAACCTGGCTATATCATTATTATCAACGTCAAACGATTCTAATCCACTTGTTTCTATATATACATATCATAGTGTCTTACCAAATACGCTTCAAACGTTTTTAATACTTCATCTGTATTCCTTGCCTTAGTGCCCAGCTTCTCAAATCGTTTTAATGCATTATCCAAAAATGAGCTTGGAAGACTTTTATCAATAATCGATTTTAATTCTCCTTGAAAAGACATGATTCTTTTATCAATTAAATTAAAATCGATATGCTCTGGATATCCCTTTTCTTTAGCCATCGGTTTATATTTTAACTCAATCTTATGAACTCTACAAATATTCTTTTTTTGATTTATGTCTATTTCTAAAGGCTCTGTTAAAAAGGGAAGAGGTGTTTCTCCTTTTTCTTTACATTGAGCAACATAAGATTTGTATTCTTCTTGCTTTTCTTTATCATGTTGAGTCTCTTGATCTTTTAAACTTTTAATCAATTGACCAAGATTGGGTGGATATGGAGGATAAATGATTTTGGCGCAATTTGGACATTCAAAAGCTTTAAAGAAAAAAAAAAAGGGGGGAGGGTGAGAACTTGATTAAATGCTTATACATTGATGAAACATACATTCTTTTTTGATTTCATCAAAGTTATTCATCTTGACATCATCAGGAACAACAGTTTGCCTTTTATTCTGTGTTGGTAAGAAAAATTTTCTTCTTCCCATTGTAAATCCAGTCTGTTTTATTCTTTTATTATTTGAAACTTCATTATCATTTGTCGACGATCGTTTATTATTCATTATAGTTGTCAAAAAAAAAAAAAAAAAAAAAAAATAAAATAAAATAAATAAATAATAATGTGTATATAAAATAACAGCTGAGCTGACTGTTATTATCTGAATTTCCCGCCAGTAGATAGCTTAACTATTAAAGGGCGGTGCAGCTATTACAAATAATTGCAAATACTGTTTATTAGGTGTAGTTATTATGATTCCCCAAAATGAAGCAGAATATAGATTAAATCAATATATAACGAAAATACATTTCTTGACTATTTTCCCAAAAAAAAATAAAATAAAATAAATTAGGATATAATAACTCAAATTAAACGCGACTATTTCTTATAAGTTCATTAATGATACTTCAAGTTATTTATAAGTTTCATTCTCATACATTTGGTTTATTGCTGTAAGTGACAAAAGCTATACTGTAAGACTCCTATTTTTTTTTTTTTTTTTTTTTTTTTTTTTACAATTGAAAGAGATAAACCTAGGACGCTCAATTTCCGCTACGAAATCATCAACAAGTGGATAGAGGCCAGTATTGAGTTCTAGAAAAACTGTGTGTTTATTGATGAAGCTGGCTTTCACTCCCAACTGATGAGAGGGCGTGCATGGTCGAAAGTTGGTACTCCAACAAATGTAAAAGTGCATACACACAAAAAGACGTTAATTTGAGCATGATTGGGTGTATATGTACTAGAGGAATTATAAGCTTTACCAAAGTTATACCTTTGAAAATAGGGGATGCTGAGTTGATAGAGAACAAGTTTCATTCCGAGTTATCAGCTAAAAAAAAAGAAAAGAAAAGAAAAAGAAAGCGCAATATTGAAGAGCCTAAAAAAACAAAAGCCTTTAAAGAAAGGCACTACGGCTTATCATAGAGTCAAATATATAGAATCTGTTATGGATGTACTTGACAGAAATGAGATGAAAGGGTTTTTTATTATCATGGATAATTGTAGAGTACACCACTCTAAATTTGTTCTTGATACCATTGAAAAAAAAAACAATGGGGATACAAAACCATTATTCATGCCATCTTACTCTCCGTTTTTAAATCCCATCGAAGAGTGCTGGTCGAAGATTAAAAAGTGGGATTAGAAGAGACCCCTTGAAGAAAGGTGATGAAATGACACCTCGTATCGCTGAAGCATGCAACACGGTGATTGCAAAAGACTGTTTGCAGTGGTGCAATACACGCTGAATCTTATTGGGAGAGATGCATTCAGAAAGAAAAGGGATTAAAATAACTAATGCCTTGTCCTTTTTATGTGTAAAATGTCTACAAATTATCACTCTTATTTTTTAAATAAAAATCAATTTTTTCAAAAATCTCAAATACACCTTTTTCGGAAAATTTGCGCACTAGAAATGAAAAAATTTGTTCACATGAGAAAAAAAAGTTCGAAACAATTTATTGATATAGAATTTCATACACATATTCGTACACAGTGTTGTATTTATACACAAGATAATAAAACATAAATGTTGAATATTCATTACATAATAATGTTTTATCATGTCAAACATAAATTAGGTAACTATTAAACGTAAAACCTGCAAATGAAGCCCTTATTGAATTAACGATATGTCAAATATAATACCAGATCATGACTGTTGCTAATATCATAAAGAGGTCAATATTTAACACAGCACAACACCAATGAAATAGCATCTACAAATATCATCTAGAACTACCAAGAAAAGCATAAATCGCCAGATAGTTTGTACAAGAAGAATAGTTAGTTAATATATTTTTTTTTCTAATAAAATTTATTCTTACTTGTGCTTGTTTCTCACGATTTGTTTTATCTTCTTAATATTCTTAAATTATACAACAATTTTTCATATGCTGTATTGCCCAAGTCAGTTCTAATAGTATATAAGTAAGGAAAACGCTCTTATGAGACAAAAGGGAAAAGGATAAAAGTATGTTATGATTGTAGTTGTCTTTATAATTAAATTAAGAAAAATAAACCGTCATTCATTACATGATAAAGAGGTTATTCACATAAAACTAGTATTTTGAACTTCACAGCATAATACTCATTCTACACTCAGTTTTAATAACAGTCATTGTGTGGGCATTCGAGCATTATATACATTGTATTATGTATGTAATAGTAAGAATTCAATAGGGTTATTGCTGTTATATTCGATTTCATAATTATTTACACATCATACATATTATATATATATTTATAATATTATGTAATAGCATCTTAGAGGATGATAATAATAATAATAATGGCATATAAATAATTGGTATTATTGTTATAGTGGGAGGATTCACTGTGAATTAATATTAACGCGTTACTTAGCCCAGAAATACTAATTGGGTATACTTTTGGTAACAGCGACAGCTTAGGGAGAATAAAGATAAAAGTATACGTTATTACAAGCAGGATTATTCAGAGACAATATTTACACAATGCTTTATTATAGCAGTATTCACCTGTCCAAATCCAATTTATTTTCGATACTTATGTGAAGTGATAATAAATAAACAAATAAATAAAAAAATTCAATATTTATGCTTTATTTGAAATAAGCTACTTTAATATATTGCATGCATAAAAAAACAATCTTATTAAAGAGGTATAATTTTACATGTATACGGAATAGACCTATTCTCTTTAATATATTAGCAGCATAATTATTCTCTACAAATAGGTTCTTTAATAACAGTATGAGTTCATTTGTCAGCAAAATATCATTTTTCAATTCATGACTAATAAACAGGAATTTTGTCCATGTGATAAATAGAGTAAGGAAAGTATATGAAACACATCAACTCAATTCCATCTTAGAACCCAACTTATTTTAATAAATTAAATTAAGGATTAAACTGTATAATATGGCTGGTCATATAAACTTTACACTTATTATATTAACTCTATAGACTAAAATAACAACATAGATTCTTCCTTATTCGTTATCTGAAGGTAACATCTATGTTTTCGAAAAAAGCCTTGATACTTCATATACCCTTTGCTTTTAAGAGTTATGTAAACATAACAAAAAAGGCTTACTTTTCTCTGAATGAAACGAATAAAATTTAGAGACTGTAAACGGTATGAATATATATATATATATATATATATATATACTTAACAATATCTATGATATGATATATAAAGTATGTATATAGTATAGCTTTAGCTTTAAATTGGGAAAGAAAGGGTGGGGTATTATATAATAATCACTATATTCACTGAATATACTTTTTAAAACTAAAAGAAAAAAAAAGAAGAAGCTATTAACATATAACTCTACATTCAATTATAATATATTATACTTTACTCTAATTTGATAAGATCCTGCCTTCGTCATATATCTCACCCATTTAACAGACTGATATCCGCTCTTTTCAAATACTTTTAAGAATCTTACAAGTAAACCAGAAGAAGTGAACATTAAAACTTGGAAATCCATTGAAATTGGTGGTCTTGACCAAGCACGCTTATGGGTCATTGAAGTCAATATAGCTTCACCACTTAAATTAAATTCAGCTTGGCCTTGGAATCGAGAAATCCTTTTTAAATAATATTAAATAATCAGTAAATAATTTATCTCTCTTTCTCTCTCTCCTTCTTTTGTTATTGGACATAAAACATACTTCCAGATTATACAATTTTCTGAAGGCGCATACTTTGCTTTGCCGCCAGAGCCTACTTTGACTTCTACTTTAGCTGAATTCAAAGGAGTAGGAATTTTTATAATGACATTGTTTGCATAAAGCTTTGGTGAAAAATTCGCTTTGATACTAATATTATACTCTACACGTGTATTTCCAATTTCAGTAACAACAGGGTGAACTCTAAAAGGCAAATTTACATTTTCAGTTGTACGATATCTATACAAAATAGAAGTGAGTAGGCAAATGATAATAATAATAATAATATATGAATATAGTACTTCATCAATTCAAATTCACCATCTGGAGGTACAAAACTAATGGTTCTATCTGTATCAAATTTACCAAGTTTTACACATTGATGAAATTGACAATCATCAATTTCAACTGCATTTGCGCGACGTGATCTATGAATATCGTCAATTAGTTTATTTTATCCTTTTTTTTTCAGTTTGGGGTTACGAAAATAAAGAAAAAAAACTTACGCTGTACGATTAACTGCATCTTTATCAAGTAATAATTTATCATTTAAACCAAATTTACATTCAGGTGTACCAGATAAATAAGCCCTCATTAAAATCTGACCTGCTACATCTGCTCTTAAAATAGTCCCTGTATTGCTCATTAACAAATTGACACTTTCAATAACATCAATAAATGCTTCATTCTTTCTGTATTTTATGTCATTTCTTCTCCAAGAAATAGCCCCTGTAGCTTGAATAGTAATTCGACTCGAGTCTTCTACTGCTCTTTCAGACTTGACTTCCTCTGTTGTTATATACATCTTGAGTGTATCTGTCTCACTATTTTGAGGATAACCAAAATCAAGAATTTCTAAATATTACAATCAAGTAAATATCATGCTGATATTGGCAGGTGAAGGAAGTGAAGAAAATAATTACCATCTAACAATTCATAAATTAATACAAAATTGTTTTTAACAGCCTCTTCATCAAACTTTCCGAAATAGCTTCGACCAATATTAACAACACGATAGCAAAACTCGAAAATTAAAGCTGCATTAGCGTTCCATTTAGTAACTGCAACAATATAGAGGTTTTCATGGCGTACATGAAAGAATGAGGTTGAGCCCAAAGTAACGATGGGAGAACGAACATCTGTATTTGAAATGACTTGAATTCGAAACATGTCTGCAACTGAACGTCTAGTATGTATATAAATATATATATATATATATTTATATATTTGTTAATTATAGTTGAATAAATAAGGATGAAATAGTCCAAAGTGATTTACCTCAAGTCATGTCGGTAGAGTCGAGAGATAAGAACCTCTCCCTTTTGATTATAGATGAAAAATGCACTAATCATGTTTAAAGTTACAGTTAAAAATAAAAATTAAATAAAATAAATATTGTTTTTTTTTCTCCTTTCTTGGGCGGTCTTTGAAGTTAGATTAGCATCGTTCTTTTGATGGATATGCAATTCTCAAAAACTTCTAAATAAAATTGCAGTTTTGGTATTATAATGGTGTCCATTAAAACGGCATATATCATTAAGATATCTGCTCCTGGTTGTTGCAAAAGAAGTCTGTTTAGGTGTTTATTATTTATATACTATTTATATTCGTTGTGAAGCAACAAAAGATGAAAGTGCACAGAGCACGCGTCAAAACGATTTTTTTTTTTTTTGAAATAATTTTAAATGCAGAATATAAACATAAATTCATCTACAGAGGTATATGCCTTTGAGTACATCTTCTAGTTCTCTATCCATTATTCTAACTGTGTAAGCTGCTACTGATGATATTCTTGTCCTTTAGCTCATCTATGCCTCAATCAAAAATGATATTGTCATTGTTACCCACAATAAAGTATTTGTCATCTACTAAAAAAACAATCAAATCTCCCGAGTCAACATTTATACAAATGTAATAATATAAGAGTTGCCTCTTCCAGATCTAGTGGGCAGTTTTGATAATATTCACTGCTTCCTCTTCAAGCTATCCCTTGAAAAAAATGATCTAACATTATCTTCTATTGTACCTTATCATACAGCATTAAAAGCTATAGATTGCCAGATTTGTAATATGTTATAAAAAGATACTACAAAATAGCTTTTCAGATGAGCTTTGTTCCGTTTAATTTATTTTATCGGAAAAAAAATTAGCAATAGTGGATAGCTCATGATTTAAAAATGATGTTTATTATGAGTTGTCGTATTTACAAATAATAATAAAATAAACATATACAAAAACAAAGTTAAAAATTAAACTAAATGTTCATACACAGCACAGTTGTTTACAAATTGGACAAATAAAGCATTAATAAGGCAACCATACAAAATGTATAAATAACAGAATAATTTCCTTTTTCCTCAGTTAGTTTTTGACTAATGTAATAAAAAATAAAAAGTATTAACAAATCTCACGTATTTTACCTCTAGTTTATTTTTATTATTTCAAGTAGTGATGATAACGTATATTACATAGCTTACTGTATAAATAGAGTAGTCTTGTGCTAAAAGCCCTACACTATTTAAATACTGTAGTCACATTTATAAAAAGGAAAAATAAAACTTTAATTAAATACTTTATAATTAGACTGTTTCTTATTATTATACAAGTAAATACTTGAATATACTGTCCTAAAAGGCTGCTAATTATCTGATTTAGTTCAAGATATATTTGATTTATGTATATGAATATATAAATATCTTAATTTTACTGTTGTTAATAATCTAAAAGTTTAAATGTTTGAAATACCTTAAATCCTAAACTAACTAACCCTAAAAAAATAGTTTTACTTTTATACTACCTTTAACCTAACTAGATAGGCATTTAATCCAATAAGTTTTATTTTTTAGGCTCCTCATTGATAATCTTGAGGGACTATTATTCAGGTTCTAACCCTAAACTTCTTTCTGATTATAGGCCGAGCTCGTATGTCGACACCATCATTTTCTAGCTGCCCATACGCCCCATCAGTGAATATAGCTGCACTCTAAACTAATGTTTCAATGAATTGCTAGTTAGTTAAAGAAGTTTAAATTCTGCTCTTACCATCTAATCATGTATTGCACTCAATAGCAATTATTTAAATGTCTTTACATATATAGCGTTGTCTTTAGGTAATGTTCGTTGTTGAAAATCCACTATTGTTGTTTATCTTGAATAACTCTTCCCCCTAGGAAGTCTAATATTATTCAGCTGTATCTGTATAATCCTTTACAGAATAGATAACCTATTTCATGATACGCTCTTACCCTCACCCATTGATCTTAATACTCGACCGGTGAAATGACAGTCTTCGTATTAGCATTAGTATTTTTATCGATTTATGTATTTTTATTTTATTTATTTATTTATTTGCATGCTTTAAAAATTATTTTACATCTTCTTAGGCCAAGAAGATGAAGTTGCTTCAGTAGGAGACAGCATATAGAAAACAAACTTTTTGGTACAAGAAAGAATAACTCATATAAAATATAATGGGCACTGTATGAAATTCTATTAACGGAGATTTATATTTATTTAATGCAGAAAAAATTTAATTATAATAATATGAATGTAGAACGTAGATCATAAGTAGTGATAATCTTGTTAGGCTTTTAAACATATTGTATTTATGTTTACTAAATGAATAGAAATCATATAAAAGAAAAATATTCAATATCTAGACGACCATTTATTTTCTAATTAATAATACATTACATTAATAGTATTGAGCATAAGTTGTAGCCTAAGAATTTTAGAACACTGCTTCATATTAATTGGATCTGTATCTGTAGCTGAAAGCTGTTCTTATATAAATATTTATATTAATTCTTTTGCGAAGCTTTCAATATTTCACAAATTTTAGTAGAGAATCTACTTTTAGGGGTACTTTTTTCCCTATTGATTTCGCAGTTTAAATATTAAAAAAAAAAGAGAGAGAGAGAAACATTTATACTGGATCATCTTGTAAAAACACAATATCTTCCAGAGTATAGGTTTGATAACTTTTGCTCTCTTAATAGTTACTCATGGATCGCTTTGTATACGCAGAAGAAAATATATTATTTTGCATTTCTTAGTCGTGAATTTGTTCTTTTTATATGCTATCTTTTACATTTATATGTTATTTTTTTCCTCCTTTTTATTATATTTATAGAAGTTACAGCGGTATCAAGTACAGCTTATAGTAGAAATAGTGAGACACCATATTATGATATAATTTTCTTGTATGCTAATCTTTGGTGTCCCCCTTTTTTCTGTTAGAGTTTGGATAATTAATTTCAACGTTTTCTCCTTTTTATTCCTCCTCCCTTTTTTTTTTTCTTTCAACTCATAGTGTGGAATAAATATATACACATACTCTTCTTCCAGATAAAAATATTGTAGTTCGCATTATAGCATGCTTTTTATATATGTTTTTTTTTTTTTTTTTTTTTTTTTTTTTTTTTTTTTTGAGAAATAATATGTGTTAAATTACATTGTTCTGGACAAAGGTTTATTTTTTTTGGGGAAACACAAAAATGATCAACAAAAAAAAAAAAAAAAAAAAAAAAGTGGATGATCAGTTCAAAAGCTATTCTGAAAATGGTAAAAATTATAACTTGTAATTAAATAAATAAATGAAAGTTTATTTTATTTCTCCCTTTTGTAAAGTATATTTGAAGTTACTTTATTATATAAAAAGTGTCGTGCTCTTTTTCATAGTTAAAAATAATATTATAGCATGTTATACATTCTCTAATAGTCATATTCCCTCATTTGATAAAACGTTATTTACATGCTTAAATAAACATGTACAAGTTTCAAGTATGTATGCTTCTCCTTTGTTTATATCTGCATGAGGCTTTTCTTCTTTTTCTTCTCATTCTTCTCATTCATTTCGCCTCCTTTTATTCTAGATTCCCCTTTGTAAAAAATAAAAAGAAAAAAAAAAGAATCCATTATAAAAATATACAATTTTTTAATATAATAATTCTTATCAAAGTGTGGAATAAGTAAATAAAATTGTATTATTATTATTGTTATTTTCTCCTTAAAAACAATCGGACTTCCTTCCTCCGAAAGTAGTACAGTACATTGTACAAAAATAAATAAATTATGCATGTGATTCAATGCAATATGAATAACTTGCCTAAATTTACACTATCTCCTTTTAATTAGTATATCCAAGCAAATTCAAATTAATATAAATAGGGGCCTTTTTCTACAATCAAATTTTCTTTTTCTCTTTCATTATTCACACACAAACCCTTCTCTCTTCTTATAATCTACTCTACTCTACTTTTTTATTATCAAAATTTCTGGTGATCTTTGGTGAAAAATATTTAAAAGTTAAGGAACCCTTAAGAGATTTGTGCTGCTGAAGTATGCAAGTTGTATTAAAGATCTGGGGTGAGGACTCGTCCAATGGCAGAAGAAAAGAAGAAAGATGTCAAGACTCCCTTGCGTTTGGAAGACCATGACACAGCCCCCTAGGCCATACTTCAGCAGCAGAGTTTAAATATTCAGCAAGCTCATGAGGTTATTTTTTTTATATAGATACATATAGGACTCATTTTTCTCTGATATTACTTGGTTATGGTGGTGGTGAATAAACAAACCAGCAATAGGTAAATAAACATAATATAAATTATATCTAACATTAAAATTAACTAATACTAATTTTATACTAAAGAATAAAATATAGGTAAGTAAATCTACTAGCCTCAACAGGAGGAAGGTTACTCTTCTGTAATTTTTAATAAATAATAAATTATTTAATTGTCACATATAATATCGTCTTTTTTTTTATTATTATGTTGAATATCATGAGCAATAAATCATAAGCCTTTAATTTCTTATAAATAATAATAATAATACAATCTCAGCATAAGCCTATATTATATTAAAGTATAAGAATGTAAAAGAAAGCAAGCTATTGAGAATGATAATAATATAAATATCAATATAATTAAGCTTAATAAAAAAAAACGCGTTTATAATACGCTTTATAGCATAGAATTAATTATACTAAAATAATTTTCAAGTTTTCAAAATTTGAGCATTTCTATTAAACATCATTATTACGATTATTGACAAAAGATTCCAAAGTAGAAATAAACATTTGGCTTTATATGTGCAAACATCTACTATATTATCTATGTATACATTCTTCTAAAATAATACATGGAATGTATATTCGTATATTTATTTATGTATCTAGAAGGAAGCTTTAGAAAATGTATACAGACTCTATATGCTATATGTAAATTAAATAATGGATATTAGCAAAGGAATTTATAACTAAATTTAACAAGCTAATATATACACGTAATCTAACAGTTCTTAAGAACTTTATTATCTCTTCAGATTAGTAATTTGAGGTATGATGTGCAAAGGTGTGAAATGAGTAAGCTACAAATTAAAATGAACTTCATTGACCCATCTTACTTGAAAGAAAATAAATGTGTTGAATATTCTAAATACAGTTGATAAACCTTATTAAATCAAGTATTCTGAATTGATAGGAATCCATTTTATGGGTTCACTCTTATATTTTACTATTGAACAGGCTGATCAATATTATTGATGTATCCAGGCACCACCAATCCCACCATTGCTTGTTTATGTAATATAGTGTATCATATACGGCTTTACTAAAGTAAACATATCAAACTATTTATTAATAAGAAGACTTTTTAGTCGATATTTTGTACTGCTAGATATTGTAAAATCATTATTTTATAAATATCAGGGCAATTTTTTTTAACTCATTAATAGTGGTACATTGAATCAATAAACCTCTTCAAAGAATAATCCATCTACTAGTAACTCTCAACAGAGTATCTTAATACTTTATCCTTTTCAAATTTTAATACTAGGAAAAATGGGTATATACAATTTCTTGATATCTCGTACTTTTGGTTACAAATAGCCTTATGTACTGTTTTTTTTTATATAAATGCTTTTGTCTGATTCTTTAGTCGTATTAAATAATAACCCCGCTAGACTTGTGACGTGATATTCTTTTCTCCTTTAGTTTTTTTTTTTTTCAATAGAAATAAGCGCGTTGTCATATTTAATTTTGACTCTGAAAGCAATCAGCTAAATTCGATAATGAGCTACGAAAATAGAGGATACAGATCCCATCACGAAGGTACTTTATCTTTTGCTTTTATATAGCTGCGTTACTCATATTTTTTCTAAAAAAATAATAATAATAGGTGGGGGTAATCGTTATAAAGGTAGTGGAGGTGGCCCTTCCCGTTACAGAGGTAAAGAAGAATTGCATAGTAAATGAACATGCAGTTATTTAACTGTTTTATTATTATTATTATTATTTCAAAAATACAGATAATAGAAGAAGTAATTACGGTGGCAATTACCAGCGTCGTCCTTACGATCGTCCTCCTCCTCCTCCTCCTCAAGAAAATAGAGAAGATGAACTCGAAGATATAGAGATTCGTTTAAAAGGTTTGATTATTAAGATCGGTGATAAGGTAAATAATTTAACACATGTTTTTCTTTTAAAAGAATAATAGTAATCAATTTTCTTCATGCATTAATAGATTACACCTGATTTACAAATCAATTTGACAAAAATGAAAAATATTCTGGACAATGACTATTCGAAATATCCAACAACTGTTCAAGATACTTTAACAGCATGGTATATACATATATATATTATAAAAAGTATGCAGAAAGCATCAGTACACTTATTTTATTATAAATAGCATCACAGAACTTCCTTCAAAAGCTCCAGTTTATGGTACTTTATTAGGCTTGTTGAATATTTCAAGTCATGATATTGTCGCCAAATTGATGGCAGAATTCAACAAAACTTTAGAAGAAGCCATCTCGGGATCAAACTGGTTTAAGGTCAAGCAGTTTTTGAGATTTTATGGAGAACTTGTCAATTCAAATGTCATTTTACCTACTATGTATTGTGGTCTTCTTAATGATTTATTAACTGTCTTGGATCAGCCTAATCAACCTCGTCGACGTTTAGATTGTATCGTTTATATTATCTTGACAACTCTTCCTTGGGTAAACAAGAAAGTTTTTTTTTTTTTTTTTTTTTTTTTTTTTTTTTTTTTTTTTTTTTTTTTTACAAATGTGGTTAACATTATCTGCTGTATTATTAGTGTGCAGGCGAAATTAGTGAACGTAATTTTTCTGAATTGGATCAAATCTTGAAAAAAATTGAAATTTATATGCAGCGTAGAGGAAACATCCCTACTTTGAACATTTTGAAACAATACAATGGAACTAAGCTTGATCCTAAGCAAGACGATGTAAATATATATATATATATATATATATGTATATGTATATGTTTGTTATAAGCTTATAACTTTTACCTTTGTTTATGTTAGCGATTATCTCACATTTGGGCACTTATTCAAGAATTAAAGGAAAAGTCTTGGGACGTAAGTATTTATCTATCGGTTTTATTTGATTATTCAAAAAAAAAATTAATTACAAATTTATCATACATAAGCTTCCACTTCTTCCTAAACCTCATCGTTGGTTTGATAAAGAATTTACTTCAGCTCTTCAACATGATTTGCCTCGATTTATTGTACCAGCTCATACTGATAATGTTGTTTATATTGCCCCTATCTCACCCATGAAACTTTTAGTAGATGAAGAGGGGAATTCATTACCTAATATTCCAGATCATAACAGTATTGAATATTTTATTTTACAAGATATTATCTTTGATATTCTGCATCTTTATGAAGTCAATCGTAAAGACTGTGCTCGTTATCTTTTAGCTATTTCTACAAGCTTTGATTCTAACTTTTTCAAGTTGCCACTCCCATCTCCACCTTCTAATGATAGTAAAGCAGAATTTATGGATGAAGACGATGAGCCTGGAAAATGGAATTTATCAAATATTTTAGTCGAGGTAAGTACTCCTTTTAAGATAAACATAAACAAAAGTGAGCTTACATCTGTATTAGGCTATATTTTCTCATTTGTTAGCTCTTCCTAAATCACCTGTTCGTCAAGTATTCTATTCATGTGTTTTCATTGAACTCTGTCGAGCTGAGACTTCCACATTCCCTAAAGCTTTGGGTAGCAGTGTTAAAACACTTTTTAATCGCTTAGCAGATATGGATACAGAATGCGTTTCTCGTCTCTGGAATTGGTTCTCTCATCATTTAAGTAATTTTGGGTTCCAATGGGATTGGAAAGCCTGGATGGATGTATTATCATTAGATCCTAATCATCCTCAAGTATGCTTTATTCGTGAAACTTTAGAAAAGGAAATTCGTCTCAGTTATTATGACCGTATCAAATCTGTTATCCCTGAAGAATTTCATAGTTTAGTTCCTTCCGTAGCACCTGCACCTAACTTTGCATATAGCGATGAAAAGGATCCTTTATATGCTCAAGCTAAAGCTATTATTGATGCACTTCGATCTAAAAAAACAGTAGAAGAAATTCAAACTATGCTTGAAAAATATAAGAATGTAATGAAATCAGATGGTCTTGATGAACAACAACAGAATCAATCAGTTCGACACATATTTGTTCAGTGTTTATTATTAGTAGGTTCCAAGAGTTTCTCTCATATCTTGAATGTGGTTGAAAGATACTTGGATATTTTAAGATTACTGAACTCTACACCTGAAAGTCGTCTTCATACAATCCAAATTGTGGCATCATTTTGGAAAAATAACACACAGGTAAAAGAGAGAGAAAGATAAATAAAACTAACCATGTCAACGCGTATTTAATTTTATTGTTGTTTATAGTTTTTAGGTATTCTTCTAGATAAATTATTAAACTATCGTGTTATTGATCCTACATCAGTCATTACTTGGATATTTGAAGAAGATCAGTTACAATTCTCTGGAAGGTATATATATGCATATGAGGAAAGATAGAAGTATAAATTCAATACTAATTCACTAATACAATATACATATATATAGAGCTTTTATTTGGGAGATTTTAAAGAACACATTAAGTAAAGTTAATTCTCGTGTTGTACAAGTTCGAGCCAAATTAGAGAACTTCCAAGAACTTCATAATGCAAATAAGCTTAAACGTGCTGAATCAGAGAATAATGAATGTAAGATAAATCTGATAAATAATAGATAAATAAATAGAGTTAATTTAATCTTTTGAAATATTTGTAGTGGCAGAAGCAGAAGAACAACAGGAGCTTGATTCACTACGTATCGTTGAGAATTCTCTTTCAACTGTTATGAGAGAACAGAAGGAAGTCTTTATGACTGTCTGTCAAAAGTTTTCTCAAACTCTTGAACATCTTATAAATACAACAATTGATCCCGAATCAAACTGGACTTATAAATGGATAATAGGTTGGTTTAAAGAAATCCTTCGTATGGTAAGTTTTTTTTTTTCTTTTTTTAAAAAAAGTGGATTGAATAATTTGAACAATAACTTGATTTTTTTTTTATGTAGAACTTTAAAGAGTGCGGTAACTTTATGGCAACACTTGAAGCATTGGTGTTTACTCCCGATCTGGATAAACGTATTAATGATGTATTTAATCAAGTTAAGGTTCTTAAACAAGAATATGATGCTTTAGTGTAAAGAAGATATAATTTCTATATATTATAAATTAGTGCCTTAAATAAATAAATATTATTTCTTTTTTTTTGATATTGTTTATTTTTTTTTCAGCCAGTTCGGATGAACATCATGTTACATGAAAAAAAAAAAATTAATTCGTCATGTCTGTACTATGCTGTCAAAAAAAATGACCGCTTTAGTACGGATCTCGGTAAAAAATTTTCCGATCCTTTCTCCTTCTCTATAGTATTATATACACATAGAACTTCTTTATGGCTATTCAGTACTTTTTATTTAATGATAATTATATATGAATATACTTTGTAGTTTTGACTCGTATCCTAAATGTTATTTTATATACATATTTAATATATTGAGGGTAGTACAACTATTTTATTCTTTGTTATTTTTTGACTTGGAATGATGTTTTTGATTTTATCCGATCAAATCTACAGAGAAACAAGTCAAATTAAATGACAGATCTTCTTGTATATAAACAAGCCCATTACACTTTATTTTATTAACTTTAATATATTCATACAATTTTTTTTTTACCACTTTTTATATCATATATGAAACATAAAATAAGCTTGAATTTATTAATAATTGGCTGTTTGTTTACCTCACTAATAGCAGCTCAAAGTAACAAACTTTCCTTAGAACAAACTTATACTAAAAACGGATACAAAAATATTGCATTCGTTGGCATAATGGGTGGCTCATCCCATTACAACTGGGTACTTGATATTAGCGATGAACTTGGTCGCAGAGGTCATAATGTTAGTTTTTTAGCTTCTGTAAGTTATATAAACTCATTTAATTTCACTTTATTTTCTTCTAACTCTGTATATAAATAGGATACAGATACACGTTTTGGTAAGCCTTATTTAAATGTCAAGACTGTTTCTACTGGTCCTTCTGTCTTTATTGATTATAAGAATATTGCAACACTCTTAAAGCAGTTGACAGAGGAAGGCACTGCAAAGCTTATGACCTTTCTTCTAAATACTGTATTTCAGAATTTTGAGAAAGGTATTTACTTAAACAAAGCAAAAAAGTTATCATATAATTCTAAATATTATTTCTAGATTACGAATTTTTAAATAAATACTTTAGAGATAATAATGTAGATCTAGTCTTGTGCGATCATTTTGCTGAAAGTTGTTTAGAAGCAGCTACTTCTTTGAATATTCCTTACATTGTTACTTCTACTTTCGAAATGACGAAAGGTAATTCATGGTTATTAATAGGCATTGCTTTGCATGCATACCTACATACATACATACATACATACATATAAATATTTAGCTAACACAAAAAAAAAAAAAAAAGATTCTAGAGCCCCTTACATCAATAATGATATGGTCTTAATCAGTGATTTTACTACCGAGCATCAAACATTTTATGAACGCTTCATGGACAGAATGGTTCGACCTTATGTCAACCTTTACCAACTATGGCCAACTTTAAAGGATATAAATGATCGAAAGAAGGCTGTCGGCATTCCTGCCAAAATTCAAGATCCCTCAGAACGATGGAAGGACAGTTTGAAGTTAATAAATAGTTTATTTGGGTTTTCGGCACCAAGACCTTTAGGTCCCCTTGTTGAATTTGTAGGTCCTATTTTATCTCAGCATTATACACCTTTAAGTGAGGAACTTGAAAGATACCTTGATGGTCATAAAAATATTGCTTATATTGCATTTGGTCAGCATGCTGCTCCTACCGAAGAACATATTCAACTCATCTTGAGTAGTTTATTAGAAAGTATTGAACATAATACTTTAGATGGTTTTATTTGGTCTACTGTTCATGCTGCGGGGCTCTTCCCTGATTCAATCACAACTTCCTCTAATACTACTTATAACATTCAAGATCTATTTGATGGCAAGAATTCAGATATTCAATTCCCTAAATGGGCTCCACAGGCTGCTATTCTTTTGCATCCCTCTACAAATCTCTTTATATCTCACGGCGGTTTAGGCTCTTGGTATGAATCCATGTATGCTGGCACTCGTATGATCATGTTCCCCTTCTTTGGTGATCAGCCTGCTAACTCTTTGATGATTGAGCGTCATGGATTGGGCGCGATTTTGAAAGCTGATTCTACCACTGAACAAGCTGTTGAATTAATTGAGAGGGTCATGGCGGATAAAGACGGAGAAATTATGAGTAATGTAAATCGTATGCAGGCTCTTGTGCAGATTCGTTCTAAACATAGTGTACTTCGTGGTGCTGATATTGTAGAAGAGGTTGCATATACTCATAAGGATGGTAAACTTCTTTATCGTCAAAGTGCTGATAAGCGTATGTCCTATATAAAAGCTCATAATTTAGATCTTTATGGTGCTTTGGTCTTATTGATAGCATTTGGTTTATCGGTTATTTATTTCATTTCTAAGAAACTATTGGTTTTGATCAGCTTTCTTAATCAATCTCCTTCAACTCAAAAGCTTAAAAAGCTTTAGTTAATCATCTTTTTTTTTATATATATATTAAATGCAGTTTATTAAATATCAAAGTAATCTTATATAGTTCCGGAGGGTAGAACATTTAGATAAAGTGAAGAGAGAGAGAGAGAGAGAGAGGGCTGGGGTGGGGCAGGGGGAATTATAAGTTAATCAAGAAGGTGTATAAAAATCACTATATTTTATATATTAAGTATATTATTTTTAATGTACATTTCGTCCCCTTATAAAAAGGGATATAGTGATATAAAATAGGCAATATGATAACTTTATATATTAATATATACACATATATAAAAGGTTAGTTTCCTTTGTATGACCTTATTTTGTTAATGTATACTGATTCCTTGGTTCAAGTATTGTCAAAAAAAAAAAAAAAAAAAAAAAAAAAAAAAAAAAAAACTACTTAACTACTGAACTTAGATGGCTGCTGAAGATTTAAAGCAAGCATATGTGATGTGTTTGCAAAAACAAGCAGAGCATGCTTTTACAAACAAGGAGAGATACTTTGAGTGCTATGCGCATATGTTAGTTATTATGCAAAAATAATCAGTGTTGTGTACTTTTTTACTAATTTCATATTATGAATACTTCAATAGATTAAAAACCATACAGTATTTACCCTCCTTTTTACTTAACGATAATAATATAAAAAAATATACTGAAAGTGACTTTGTGAATAAACTTTGGACCCCAATATTTGAATTATATTTTTGTGATGCACCAAATGTCATATTGAAGTGGTAAGAATAGTGTTGTAATTTTTTTTTAAAAAAATGTTGTCTTCTTTATTGAACTTTATAGGGGAGAGACAGTGTTGGAGAAGACCCCACTTCTCTACACAGCTTCTACTTTAGCTAAGCAAGCACACACTATCTGTGATAGGATGACCTCTATCGGAGACAAAGTTGATCTCAGAATTATTAGTACAGCAGGTCATGATGTTTTAAATTTTGAATTTGCTAGGTATTCTGAAGACAGAAGAAAGATTCTACGTGAATCTAAAAATAATGGTGATTATGTCTACAGAGCTACCTGTATCAAGAATAAGATGAAGAAAGGATTGAAGAATTTAGGCATACAGGTAGCAGCAACTGAAGGAGAAATTACGGAGACATACTTACAAGATGATGGCCTGTATACAAGCAGAAAAATGGGCTCATTAAGGCTCCCATCTTGTACAGCAGATTTGAAAGTGCTTTGTGTTTTATTTGAACGATTAGACAAAGTAAAAGTAGGTTATTGCAATTGATATTAATCGTTTTTTTTTTTTTTTTTTTTTTTTTTTTTTTTTTTTTTTAGAGAAATGCTGTACATATTAGTAACATTCATGCAATGATCACTAAAGACATGTGTCATGAGCTGACTTATAATGTCATGTTTCTTGATTAAACATGCAGATCATAAATTTATTCAAGGAGTTCTATCTAAATTCTCCTGAAAAACTCTCTTAATCCATTTCATCAAATAATATTAAAACTTTTAACACTTCATTATCTACAACATATCTTATTAAGTCGTAATTAACGCTTTTCTGATTCGTATCTTATCACAGACCTCTTTAACAATTCTTATAGATACTCTATCGATTTAATTCATCAATAGAATGATTAACTTTAGAACCACTGTTCGGTCTCGTTAACTCTTTTGTCTTTATGTTCTTTTTATTTTATAATATTTTTTATTTGATATTATATAAGAAATATCACAACATGGTATTTTACAAGAATAGTATGAACATAAAGCGCATTTGTGACGTTTCTCTCAACAGAAACGATGACAGTAAAGAGTAAAGAGAGAGAAAAGTTGAGGAGTACTCGTATTCAAGTTGGACAAGAGGATCTTGGTTTCCACCAAGCTCATGTAAAGATGTTCCTTTTGCTGGCAATTTGCCGCAATATTTCCCTTTCTCCTCTCCCCATCTTGCTGCATAAGAAATGATTTTTTTTTAATTAATTAATTAATAAAATATTAGTACAAAACATAAAAACAATTTTACAGTATCTTATTGATTATTCAAAATAAACAAATTATATGGGATCATTTGAAGACAATACAAAAAATCGGATTAGACCCTTAACAAAAAAAAAAAAAAAAAAAAAAAGATATGACTGAACAAAAAGTTCAACGTATCTTATTATAAGTTGTAATTTATTCAAGCTTACTTAATACCATATCATCAATGTATTAAATAGACAAGATAACACTGGATCGGTAAAAATAAATAAATAAATAAAAGATAATCCAATACAGAATGTAATAGCGTTGTTCGTTTATAAATTTGTAATTCAAAAAGTAATAAAGACATTGTAGCCCTCCACATTGAGCAGGATTTACCAACTCAGAGCCTGCTACCAATACGCAGTCGTAAGGACTGGAACCTTTTCGAATATCCCGCACCTCTTTGCCACGTAACTCAATCCCCACTTTCCCTTTCACTATGTTTTTTATCTGCTCACATTTGCGCTTACTTTTTTTTTTTTTTTTTTTTTTTTTTTTTTTGAGACACCTGAACAGATTATGTTTTTAGTTGATGATATGTTGAAAATGAATATGACTGTAATGATAATGGTGAAAGTGCATACCCTACTTATCCTGCATAAGTTCGAGAAAAAAAAAGGCACATTTACTTTTTAAAATTCTTTTATTAGTACTATTCAAGTAGGACTTTGAGATACTAGTAGCCCTTCTAGTACTACTGAATGGGCTGGCGGCCCTGTTGATGTAAGTTCATATTGATATTAAGGTAAATATAATGTATTTATAGTAGAATAATTTCTACCATTGTCAAGTCAGTTACTGTTGAGTGTAACCCTGAATACAATAATATACATATAATATACTATAATTTATTACTTGTTTAATTAATAAAATGACTACTGCATCATTTATATTGTATAATTATTTATATAAATAACGGGAAATATAATCTTTTATTCATTCTATGCTAATATTTGACTTAAGATTCCTTTACGATAATAAATAGTGACGATAATATAAATTAAAAATATTTCCTTATGGAATTCTAAAGCTATAGCCATTTTATTAGAGACAATATATAGAAGTAAAGTATGTAAAATAGATAATCAGTACAGATAGATAGCAACAATTTTGTGAATACGTTTATAAAGATTGTTGTGGTGTTGCTGATTTTTCAAACGAGTTTTCAATAATGATAGGATATTCAGACTGGATAGTAGAAGGATTATTTTGATACAATAATTCATTTTCTTGAGGTAAATTTAAAGTGGAAGAATCTTCTGGGGATGTAATAACAGATGAAGAAGCGAGAGATTCTTCTGCTTTGATTGAATCCTCTGTTGCAATAGGGTCAACTGACTGACTTCTTCTTTGACTATTTTCATCCGATGCATTTAAATTATTATTATCATTATTAATATTACTTTTATAAGTCTTCATAGCTTCTTCATATTCCTCCATTTCTTTTTTAAAAGTATCATAATAAATCTTTTTGTTTTTCCAAGCAAGCAAAAAAAAAAAAAGTATAAATATCTGTTAGATAAAGTTTTTTTTTTCTTTTTTACTACTAGAAGTAAGCACTAACCTGTTTATCTTCTTTAGATAAACTTTTCCATTTGAGACTTAAAAGTTTAGTAACATCACCAAGATTCTCTTCAGGATTTTCATCCTTGATTTTCTCTCTTTCCATTCTACAGAAAAGAAAAAAGACGTTACCAGGGCCTTTAGGTGCATTTGGATCTTTCTTCTTTTTAGGAGGCTTAATGATAGTAGTCGCTGTATTATTATTCTTGCCAAAATGATTATTATGTTTATGTTTGTTTGATAAAGTGAAATTATGCTAAAAAAGTAGAATATTTATAAATTTCTAATACACGTGTGCTCTTAGTTATTTCATGATTAATATTATTACCTTCATGTCCATGAAATCATTATTTGTTAATATATCTAAGCTTGTATCAGAATCACTGTGATTATCAGCATGATTATAACCTTTATCTATCCTTTCTAATAAAATACTAACATATATGGTATTTGACAAGTGATAGTTAATATTATGGGGGTCAATAAAATAAAGTAAAATAAATTCTATCCTTACGTTTTTTCCAGTCTAAGTCGTTTAATATTCTTTCTTGCCTGACGCAGTTTTGCCTGAAGAAGTTCATTTTCCTAAATACAGACACTTTTTAATATTTTACTGTTTCTATTATGTAAATTGACTCTATAAATTTTAACCTCTTCCACTTCTCTGTATCTCTTTTTCAACTCATCAAATTTGATTTTTCGCTTAATATCTATAGTAGACAATGACATAAAGAATGAATATTATATAGACATATTATACATATACATATTCATGTCATTACTTTTACCTTCTGCCATAATATCTTTATATCAAAAAAATACAATACAAAAAAATACAAAAAAAAAAGAAGGAAAGAACGATAGAAATAACAAGAGGGAAAAGGGAAAAAAATTTTTTTTTTTGAACAAAAAGAAAGGGAAATAGGAAAAAAAAAAAAGAAACCAGTTGATTTTTTATTTTTATTTTTGTTTCATTCGTTCCCCTTCCAAAAAGATAATTATATGTGGTGGTATAATAATAATATTAGAAGCAGTCATCAAAAGAGAAAGCCTTTTTATTATTCATCCGAAAAAAAAAAAAAAACTTTATCACATTATTGTAACAGTTGGAAAATTTATTATTGTTTTTAAATTCAGACTTTTTTTTTTTTTTTTTTTTTTTTTTTTTTTTTTTTTTTTTTTTTTTTTTTCCTTAAAGACATGTTCATCACATCATTCAACTGAACAATGTTATAAATGGCTTCTCTTCATAATTAACTGATCATTTGAACATGTATTTCATATATTCATCTTTTGATTTACTGTTCATAACTATCATGGACAAAATAGCAGTGATCATTATACACCCCCTTATTCATAGTACACATTCATAAAAGATTCATATTCAAAAGACATACTTGACTATTTTTATATATTCAACTTTAGTCATTTTTCACCGAGCCAATGATTATACATCTGATAAATAGTAGGTTAATAAATTATACAAATTGTCAATTGTATAGATGTGTGCTCTCTTTTTTTTTTTTCTCTGTCTCTCTCTCTTTCTCTTTTAATTTGTTTTATTATTATTGAACATTTGGAAACACTTTGGATTCTTAACTGCTCATGTTTAATTTTAAAAAAATGAAGGCTTTATAATATTAATCAATGAGGCATTCATATCCATTTATATGCATAATAATTAAATTGAAATGAACTTTATCTAAAATCAAAGATGTGTAGGTGCAACATGCATAATAGGGCAAATATCGTATAAAATGAGATTGATTTATGCATGCATGCATACATACATACATGCATGCAAATCTATCTGTAAAGCTTAAGCCTTACGTAATAATATCAATACATATAGAAGTATATTAATTAACTTTAGTCTATGCTTCTTTTCTTTCTTTATTGAATCGTTTATTTTATTTTATTTTATTTTATTTTTCTTGTAAAGAAACAAGTGCATCTGTATGAAATTATAAAATGTAGAATAAAACTGCTTATTTAGCCTCCTTTTCCTGCTCTTGTTCTTCATCACTACTTTCATCTCCCTCAGGCTAAATAAAATTATAATACATACATTAATAAAGCTATATGAATTAGTTTAGTTTAAAACTTACCATATCATCTAAATTAGGTAAGCCGCCATTAGCACCAGCTTGAGCCATCAAGCTTTGGAAGTCTAAACCACCCATGGGATCACCTAATTGACCTTCATCCTCATCTTCATCCTCATCTTTCCACTTTTGGAAATCAACCTTAACAAAATTAAGCTTATTACCTTTTTGAAGCTTAGGCCACCAAGCTTGCTCTTTCTTATAAATAGCCATGGTTAAATTACGGGCTGTTAAATGTTGCTTTGATTTCTATTGATACATAAAAGTGTATTAGTTAATGACCTCTACGCATGTAAATGTACATGTATATATATGTATATGTTTCTCCTTACTTCAACATCAACTGCAGCATAAAACTCAATCTCGGCTTCATATTCATTTTGTTCCTTTTCACCAATACCAGTAAACTTGAGTTTATTTTCAGTTAAATCAATTTTATGATCCTAATAAAATAACAGTATTTACATTTAGTTTTTTTTTTTTTTTTTTCCAGAAAAATCCATAAGCTAGTAGCCTTTCTAGTTTTTTTTTTTCTTTCTTTTTTTTTATACAAATGTATTATAAATAAATCTTACCTTAATGTCAGAAATTTCAACAGTCAAATAAATTAAATCAGCTCTTTGAGCCCAAAGTACAGAAGGATGAAGTGGCATTATGAATTATATTTTTAATAGTGTAATAAAGGAAAAAAGAGATGTTTTCTTTCGACGCGTTATACAAAATTTATATTATATCCGGCCATTTAATTTTTTTTTTTTTTTATGCGTCATCAGCTTTTAAATGGAGAAAAAAAAAATAAATAAATTTTCTTAAAGTTTCGATTTGAATGGGGAAAGGGATTTTTTACATATACACACATATTTATCTTTTATTATGATCATGTAAAATGCCTGCACTATGAAGCTATATGTAGAACTAGAACGTAGTCTATAAATATAATTTTTGCTTGTAGATTTGCTTTTCTCATATTAGCAATCGTCTTTTAAGAGATATCAAAAGTGTATTAAGCTAAATAATAATAATAATAAAAATAGAAAGAGTTTTTAAGAAGCATGAATCATTCTTAAAATAACAGTGTTATATACATTAAGTTTAGAATCAGCAATACTTCCAAGTTTGATGGAAAGTATAAAACATGTAACTATCACTACCTCAGGGTAATAGTTGAAACAAACATTGTTAGTCAATCATTCTCTGGTTATTGTATGAATAGCAATTATGCTTCTTTGAGGGAGGGGAGGAGGGCTCAGTATCGTCGACTGCTTTCATGGATACAAGATATTCTATAGATAACTATAATAGAAACTTTATGAGCATTTACTGTATCCATTCATTTATAATAATACTGAATACAAGATGTTCGGCATTGTATAGGTTTGATATAACGTTATAATCTTTAATCAATAAGGAGATAATAAACAAGTTAGATCATGATAGCTGAATACTATCACGTTATATCGCATTATTTTATTGTCGAAACTTAGGAAGCCTACTTGCAGTAAAAGCATCCGACTTGATCCATTTCTCATCAAAAGCTTCAATAACTTTAAAGAGCATTGAACTTTAGCTAAGCTCAAGGATAAATATCCTATACACTAACTAAGCCTTGAAAAGATGTATATCAGTTATACTTGGATACCATTCAATTTGAAATCGATAATAATTCATAAGACTCTAATGTTTTAAAGTTACATAAACACTCTTCTCATCGCAACCATAATGTATACACTATATACAAAGAAGGATATACGCGTAAAGAGATAATGTTTTTTAGTATGTATGTGTGTGTGTATGTTTAACTTGAAGAGATTTTAGTCCTCTTTTCCTTCGAATTCTAAATAGTATGTACACACAAAGAAGGTAATTAAGTAACAAAAGAAAAAAGGTTAATCATGTCCAATCAAAGAACGTGTCACAGTAGATCAATATTTTTATCTAAATGTTATATCACACAATGCTTATCATATAAATGAATATACATATACATATTTTGATTAATATTAACAATCTTCTTTTAAATATCATTTAATTCCATGATGAGTCTCAAAGATTTTTTATTGGTTTAAAAAAAAAAATCAGTCTAAATTTCAAGCTTCTTTGAAATTTATTTATTTGTTAAGATTTTTTTATTTCAGTAACACATGTGACTGGTATATTCACCATTTAAGCTTTTTATTTTATTTTATTTTATTTTTTTCAACTCCTTTTTTTTTTTTCATTACTCTAATTAACGAACATGGTCAACTCAATCAGTGATGTTAAGATTGCCGTTATCGGTGGTTCAGGCCTTTATAACCTCGAAGGCCTTGAAGTTATCGAGGAAGTCAACCCTGAAACTGTAAGATCATTTAATTATATATATATATGATGCTCGTTTCTCTTACAAGCTAACTCTCTTACTTTATGTAGCCTTGGGGTTATCCTAGTGACAAAATTGTAATCTCCAAGCTTCCCAGTGGTAATAAAATCGCCTTTTTGGCTCGTCATGGCCGAGGACATTACTTGACACCTACTGAAGTACCTGTCCGTGCTAACATTGCTGCACTTAAATCACTGGGTGTTGAAGTGATCATTGCCTTCTCTGCTGTTGGTTCTCTTCGTGAAGAAATTCCACCTTGTGATTTTGTCTTACCTGACCAATTGATTGATCGTACTCGTGGTCTTCGTCCCTCTACCTTCTTTGGTGAAGGTGTTGTAGCTCATGCTGTCTTTGCTGATCCTTTCCATGCTGGACTTGCTGACATTATTGCTAAACATGAAAAGGTCCTTGAATTTGGTGCTAAATTACACCGCAACAAGACGGCTGTTTGTATGGAGGGCCCTGCTTTCTCTACTCGTGCTGAATCACACATGTATCGCTCTTGGGGTGGTGATGTGATCAACATGAGTGCTTTACCAGAGGCCAAATTGGCTCGTGAAGCTGAAATTGCCTATCAAATGATTTGTATGTCTACTGATTATGACTGTTGGAGAGTGAATGAGGAAGTTGTTACAGTTGAGACAGTCATGCAAAATATGGGTAACAATGGTAAGAATGCAAAGAATTTGTTACATGCCATTTTACCTGATCTCGAAGAAGCCGTTCAAAATGATACACTTGAACCTAAATTGAAGGGCTCTATGAAGTTCTCTGGTATGACCGCCAAGGAAAAGAGAAACCCTGAGACTGTTCGTAAATTAGATTATATTTTACCAGGATATTTCTAAGCTTGTTGCTGATTTTTTTTCTATTTTATTTTATTTTAAATTATTATCCTAAATAAACACGCACGCACCCACTCATGTAAATTATAATATATTCATTTTATTTTATTTTTTTTTGTTGAATATAATTTAAACAAAACAAAAGAATTATTTATCATCACTAGATAGATAGATAAAGAGAGAGAGAGAATAAAGTTAAGCAGCTAATAATCTTTTTGAGGAAGTACGTGTGTTAGGTTCTACGGGCATTCTCCAGATGTTATTATATGAAGATGCCCAGGGAAGTGAATGTTCCTGATTAGTTGCCTTATTATTATTGCTACTACTATTATTTGTTGTTGATGATTCATCAAGAGAATAGGGTAGGGGTTGTAACAATAATGGGAACGTATTATTCCAACGTAATTTAGTTGAAGAAGGTGACTTTTGTAAAAAAGTAGTAGCAGCAGCAGCAGCATCATCTATAATGGAGCATTGACTCTGTATATCACGAATTAAAGATGAAATAAGAGGTGAGCTTTCAGATGGGGTAAATGACAAGACATCCTCAGGGTCGTCGTCTTCTTCAACAAACTTCATTCTACTCGTCGTTCTTCTCCCCTTAAAAAATGAAGACATAAAAGAGGTGTTGTTCAAATATTGATCCAAGTCTAATGATGACCTCTGTAAAGGTGGAGATAAAGTGGTTGAAATAATAGATGAAATTTGAGAAGATGAACTATCTGTATCATATTTATCAGGTGAGCATGTATTCATTGAGGCCGTAGTTGAGATTTGAGAAGAAAAAAGTTCTGAGCAATTCCTAAGAGGAGTAGAAGATGTGCTTGAAATAGTAGATGAGAAGGTATCTGAATTATATCCAACCTGGTGAGTTGAACAAGTAGATAGGACAGTAGGATTAAATATAGATGGAATAGCTGCTGAAGCAGTAGCAGCAGCAGCAGTAGTAGTAGTAGTAGTGGTGGTGGTTGTGTTTTGAGATGTTAATAAATGTACAATATCTTTTGGACATTCAATAGAGGCTGTTTGTAGTAATGTCTTCTTTTGACGTTCTGTAAAAGCTGGGCACATAATACCTGCTCTTGTAAGGCGTTCTAATAAAGTGGGATCAATTTGAACATAATCCTTTGCTAAATGTAATTTCAAAGCCTCTAAAGAAGAAAAAAAAAATAGTATAAATACATTACAAGTATATAGTTTTTTTTTCCTGTATGTATAAGTATACCTATAGACAATTTTAACATTTCATAAATATGATCTCTATGCATCACGGAAATGAGATATAATTGATGCCATGGATACTTGGCTATAATACTAATAATATTTTCAAATGGTCTTTCTGCACATTTTCTAGAAAAATGTAACTAACAATTTTATAGATATGAATAACAGAATCGAACAATGAAGAAAAATAAATAAATAAATAAAAAATTACCTTATAGTTTTTACAAACGACTAATAAAGAGTTAATTTCTTCTCGAGTAACAAAAGGAGGAGAACATCCTGAATTTCCGCCACCAGCAGCAGTTGACATTGTTCTTACTACTTTTATTGTAGGAGGAATAGCATAGATACCTTGAAATTGTCCTCTCCATTTGGGGAATATAGTCATTAGCAATTCTTCTTGACTACATTCGGTAACAGATACAATGCGTCCCTTTAGGGGCTTCTGATTCCTAGTTTCAATTGCACGTTGCATATCAAGGACACTTGCAAATTCAACGTAAGCATCTGATAATGTTTTTCCAGTTGTACGATTCATCATAATCTATAATGAAGGGGTTGAAAGGAAAGGGGAAAAAAAAGAAAGAAGGGTTAAACATTATTATTAAACACAGGGGCTACAATAATAAAAGAGGTTTCATACAAAACAAGATAATAAAAAAGAGCAATAAAAAAGAATATGTGTATATATTTATATATATTTATATATATATATATAAAGCGTAGTTTTGCATTTACATGAATAGATTGAATACAAATAGAAGGCGAGGGGCTACGACAATTTCCAAAAAAGTATCGAACGTCATTTTGAGATACATCCCAAGGGATCTATTAAAAATGGTAATAATTATGAAATTAATAAACACTATATAGAATAGTATAATATATATAATTACATTTGATAACTTGATACAAGGATAACTAGAAGGTAAAATAGGTATAAAATTGCGTACAGTATTTGAAGTAGTAATGGGTGTTGAAGGTAAATAAGTTGGAGTATTTTGCTTAGAAAATAATGAAGAATATGTTATGAACAATGAGCTATTTGTGGCACTCGCCTTATATGCATGGATTAGATTTATTATATATATGTATATATATATATAAAAAAAAAAAAAAAAAAAAAAAAGACCCCTTTATTTTACCTGTGTACAAAAGGGGCATTGACCTTGCGTTAGCATGGCTGAGCAAAAATGACAAAAATAATGCTGACCACAGGATGAAGTATACAATCGTGAATATTTATCATGACAAAAAGTACATGCAGAATATCTAATATTAGGTGCTGAGGCGCGTCTCCAGTTATCTAAAGAAACATTATGATCACTCTCTACTTGGATTGAATTCTTATGAGATGGAGTTTTCCAATCCCATAATGAAAAGTCAAAGGTTGATTTATTATTATTAAAAAGTGAATAATTAGTAGTTGATTTAATATTTTTTGAAGGATTGATTGGTGATAATTTTTGAGCTACATGTAACGTACAAAAATTAATACTATGCAATCTACACATTTATGATATAATTTACCAAACACTTCTTCTATCATCTTTGTAAGGATAAAAAATAAAAATAAAAATAAAAAGGACAAAAAAAGAAGGAATAAAGTAAATAGGGGTATTTATAGTCAATAAGTTTTTTCATGGTTAAATATAATCGATACGCATTCATACATAACTATATTTAATATAATTTAGTATATTTACATTTGATTTTTTTTTTCTTTTAGCTTTTATGTTTTCCTCTCTCTCTTTTTTTTTTTCGCTGCATATCTTAGCCCCTCCTCTTTTTTACCCCCTTCATTTTATTTAATTTTTCTGTCAAATGCCCAATTTTAGTATTTACAGAATTTACCTTAAAATTAAGATGATCATGTATTTCTCTCAGACCACTTACACACACACACATATGTATATACATGTTTATATACATTTTTTTTTCGACAAACTAAAGTTCCTAATTTAGATCAATAGAAATTTTATTACACGATTTAGGATACTTCTTATTTAGAATCCAAGATTACAAATGTCTGTTTAATAAGTAATACAGTGCACTACTAAAGCATTAATTAAAAGCCATACAGTCTTTACACTTTGAATTTAGACCCTATCAATTCTTTTTTGGGTGAATCAAAAATGAAATGCAGATGTTATGTTTACTTTTTTTTTTTCCAGAGTAAGGAAGGAATCAAACTATCGACTTCAAATGGCTTGGCGCCAATAATGTTCGGCTATACTAACTCCAATAATTGTTTTATAAAAAATGCTTCTAATTCAACATCAGCGTTGTTTTTGATAACCATCATATAGGTACATATCTCAATGTAATTTTATGCATACATCAAATACTCCTCAAAAAATAAAATAAAATAAAATTACTTGGAACATTTTTTTTTCAATTAATGTGTAGCAGATATTTTATTGTTAGAATACTAAAACTTAAAGAGAAAAAAAAACATACCATCTACGTTGTTGCCTCCTTATAAGTTGTATATAGAGCACCAAACACTTTATAAGCACGATTTGATTTAGGAACAGTTAGGCTGAATCAGTCTTTTATGCAGTTAATACCATCAACATAGAATCTCTGTTGGCTGATAACTGAAAGCAAAAAATAAAATAAAATAAATAAAGGATAATGATATATTCAACCAGTATTTTAGTTTTGTTAGGTATAAGATTTATTCATACTATTTTTGAGCTAATCAAATACTTGTTATATTTAGCTTCTATCCACAGTTTCTTGCTCTACTTTTGAAGTTGGACTGTTATTTGAGATATTTCATATAATAATGGGATGGATTTGTCAGACCTTCCTCGTTCCTCTTTTTTTTTCATTTTCTTCTAAATAGGAGAGTCTATATTACCATAAGGAGAGAGGTAGAGAGAGGGCACATCATTACTATTGAATGATTTATCTGAATTCACATTTGAAAGCTCAGTCTTCAAAGTATAAAACACGTTTCAGACTTTTATATATTGTAGAAGGAGACTCACGCTTACGAAAACATCTTCACTTTCAACTACTTCATAATCTTGTAAAATAGACTACTTTTAAATGCTAGATTGTGTACCTAGAAGTGAGAACTTTCTTTAAGTTATATTAATATTTGCAACATTTTTATCTATATAATCTTTGTTTATTTTTTTATTTTTTATAATAACTTTATTCTATTAGTTAAGAAATGTACGTTACATAATATTTACATTTACTTGCACGATCTTTCTTTTTTTTTATGCTTAAGTTCTGTTAGCAACAAACATTATGTCAAAAAATTTCAAAGTATTATAAAAAAATCATTTTTGTTTTTTTTTTCAGTTATCCTCTCTTAATGAAAGTTGGTTGTAACTAAAAGGTATGGCAAATATCGTGTTGTATGACTAGTTGAACAATTACAGTTTCTAGTTAATTTTTAACAAAATGTTCTGTTACTATTTCTGACTTTAGAAATTATTGTAATCTCACATATCAGCATATAGTCAAGATTTTACAGTCTATACGTACATACTTGTTTAACCAAAGTTTCATATGCATCAATCTTTAGCTTTAGGTCTGAATTAAACGCCTTGTGTTTTCTACAATTGTTGAAGGCTACGTCAAAGCTTTTTTTTTTTTTTTTTTTTTTTTTGTATTCTCCACACTTTTCAGTTCAAAGTGCTTCGAAGTCTCTAAATTGTAACTAGACGCTTCAATAGTAGCCTACAAATGTCTTGATAATGTATATTAAAGTAAATATAATTTAATTTGATGTAACGTAAAAATAAGGCTAAATACAACAACAATTACACATAGAAAACGCGAAAGGTAAAAAAAATAAATAAAATAAAAAAAAATAAAAGAATAGAGACAAAGATACGTGCGGGCTATCTAATCCAATTATATACAAATTATTGGTATATTAATTTAAGGTGATAACGCATCCATTAAGCTCTTTGTCATAGTTTGTAATTTAAACCTTCAGTTTTCTCTAGACCATTTTAGCATTCTCATTCGTTATAAACAGTCAATAGTACATCAAAGAATAATGTTACTATATTCCCCACCTTTTTTTTTCTTTTTTTTTTAAAAAAAAATAATCTTTGTATTACATTGGGTAGAAGCTACCCAGCAAACAAAAACAAAGTTTAAAAATTTGTTTAATTTATGTTGTATTCAGTAATTAACATTATAAATAAAGTATCTTTATACACATTTTTCTTATATTTAAAGACCTTAGTAGTTAACCAATAATATAGGAAAGGATAAAGCTTTTTGACGACGCTTAAATTTCTGTTTACTTTTGCTTTCAGAATATTGGCAGTTTTGTTGCAGCTGACTCCTCTTCTTAGAATAAGCCTAGCTTATACCTTTCTGAATTTGTATAAAGTTAGTATTGACTTTGTGGAGGAAGAGGCTTTTTAGTATGTTAAAGAGAGCCTTCAAGTTTGTGTGTGTGTGTCTTCAGCACTATTTCCAGGTCTCAAAGTTTAAAAACGAATGCTGTTACCCTATTTGCTAGTGAGTTGTAGCTTGATTCTTTGTTGTTTTTTTCCTTTGCGTTAACGACCAATGATAGTATTGTTGATTTATTCTCTTTCTCTATAATTATTGTTTTTTTTTCCTTTTACTAATATTCTCTTTTTTACTTTTCTCCCTTTTTTTTTACCTTTAGTCTTAATTTCATTTGTGCCCAATTAGGGAATTTTTAAAAATAAGAAATAAAAATATAAAAACCATCTTAAGCTAATTCGTCTTAGTTTATTTGTTTATTGGTATGAAATATATTTATATCTAGTGTATTAATTAAAGCAAAAAAAAAAAAAAAAAAAAAAAAAAAAAAAAGTCCTACATATTCCAAATATAATAAAATTTCCTATTTTGTTATAAGAATAATTTGATTATAGCTTGTATATTCCTCTGAATTGCTATATAATACTCTGTTTTAATACTACTACTATTATTAGTAAGCTCATAGATAGTATACACAAATAATCAAATTATCTTGACATAATGAACATTCATCTTATCATTGTTAATAAAGGGGCTTAAGGAGACTTGAAAGATTATCCAATCACACTCAGATCAGCTTTGGTTAACTTGGTAGTTGTCCCATGACTTAACCAATTCTATCATATTGCTTTTTTTCTCCCTCCCCTGGAGATACAGCCTTTGTCTATAAAACGAATTAATAGTAAATTTGTTTTAATAATCTAAAAATTTTCGAGTAGTATTTATCATTGACTGTTAGTGTATAGGAAATAACATTTTTAACAGTGTACACATATAGATTATTTTACATTATTAGTCGTACCTTAAAGTGAATAAGTATTTATAGAGCTTCAAATGCTTAAATTAGACATGCATATATAAAAGGAAACCCTTTCAGTTTGATGAGAAATAACAGAGGATACAGGCTTGCCTATCGTGTCTTCTTAAACTAAATCATTTTGGTCAGTACTAACTTATGATGGCTAAGAATAGAATGAAGCTTAGTTCTGTGGAAAACATTCATCGATCTATTTTGCAAGAATAATATCTGAAGTTTTTTTTTTATACAGAATAATGTTTTTGAATATCACCTGGATACTCATCGTATACATCTGTACATATATTTCCTACAACTATTTAAACAATGAGCTAATATAGTAAATTTGTTTGATGATTTTTTCTTTATAGAACCTTATAAAGTGATAATCATTAAAGCGTGGCTATTAAAAGAAGCTATCCTTTGATAAATAAAAATTGTTATTATTTGCCTTATTAATCTAACAAAAAAATTCGTCAATTGGCGTATTCTTTCTTTTCGTCCCAAAAAAAAAAAAAACTGAGATTCAATCTAAGTGAAAATGCTGTATAAACTTTAATTTATAGCCAATTTTGATTTCACCAATTGACGCTTTCTTAAACATAATAGTTTATATACTCTTTGTACTCACGTGTATTGGATGATATGGTAATTACTTTATGTTGTACATAAAATATTTTTTTTAAGTTCTGGAAAAAAAAAGAGAGAGAAAGAAAGAAGGAAGTACTAATATAATTGTCTTTCTTTTCCTTTTTTTTTTTTTTTTGTTCTTTTGCATTTTTTTTCCCACTTTATTTTATCTTATTGTGCCTGAAAAAAAAACATGCAAGACAATAAATGGACTTCACCCCCAGATACTCCACGTAATTATATGTCACTTCAACCTGGCTATCCTTATAGCAATAATAATGAATATATACATCATACAAATTCAAATTCTACTGTTCTTCCAGGAACGTCTACACAACCTGCTATGCCAAGGTAAGTTATTTTTTTTTTATTCAGGTTTTATCATCAAGTACTCATCTTCATCAAACAAATATATATACATATATAAATATATATTTAAAGTTTGTTAGCAGGTTCCCAGCCCAGTACACCTAGACCTGATATGATTAGCCCGCCTCCTGATAAGCTTGCTGCTATGCCCGACCTTATTCGAAAAAGACCGCCCATACCTTCTCGACCTGCAAGTTTTACAACTACAACTTTCCATTCAAATCCTTACCCCAGTAGTATGTCATTAAGACGTCGTAGAACTGAATCTTCGATGTTTTCTTTTGAAACTGGACCTTCTTTCAGCCCAACAAAACAAGTATTAGATTTATGGAATATTGATCAATCAAATGGGTATATATCCATATATGTATATTTGTGTAATATTTTGTGTTTCATTCAATAATAATAATGTATTTTTTTTTTTTTACTAGTTATCAGATTCAAATAAATGCAAAGATGGATAGAGGCTTTTTTAGAGCAGATCAAGACTGGACTTGCTATCGTCGTAATTATTTTCAAGTCAGTGCTACATTTGATATTCGAGGTTCAAGTTATATTCTGCAAACACCAGAGGTACCATGTCTTGCTAGACTTGAAAATGGAGAGATATATCAAGTGGATTTCTTTTCTATTGGTATTACAGCTCGCGTTTCTGGGAGCGACAAGAAGATTGAGTTAGTTCAACATACACCAAAACGTGATAAGGGTCCGCAAATGGTACCTGAGCCACGAATTGTAAATCCAGGTGGAAATTTACATTTGGCTTCAGTTGGATCAAATCATAATATTGTCACATTTGAGCGAATGCAATTTAAAACAGCAACTGCGAATAATGGTAAACGAAGAGCAGCACAACAATATTATGAAATTGTAGTTGATCTTTATGCAAATACCTCTATTGGTAAACGATTCCAGGCTGCTACTTGTACTTCAGCTCCTCTTGTGGTTCGTGGCAGAAGCCCTGGCCACTATGCTGACTCTCATACACGTTATAGAAGTATGGATGCTGGTGCACCTTCTACTCTACCCACTTCCTTTGGGGCAGTAAGTGGTAATGGTAATGGTGGTGTTGGTGGTCAGAATATTCCTTCCACTGGTAATAATAATCATCCATCGCAGACTTTACCTGGTGTTATAGCAAACACTGGAAATGGTCCTGAAGATTTTCATTATATGCAATCGCCACCTCTTCCTCGTTTTGGTGGCGGTGATGGTCCGTTAAATAATCCTACAGGAAGCAATTCTGATTTTTATACATATCAACAACCATCTGCAAGTTATCATCCTTATCCAATAGGAAGTTATGGATCCATGCTTAACACATCTTCTCTTAATTCTGGAAGAAATGTCGAAGATAGTCATCCTCGTGAACATAGTTATTTGATGCATCCTTATACTGCACATCCACTCTCTTCTCCTGCCAGTACTAACAACAACAATCCATATAATAATAATAATAATAATAGCAATAACAATAACAATAACAATAGCAATAATAATGGACAACCATCGCAAACTATAGAAGGAAATAGCAATAACAACACTGTTTATAGCAATAATCATCTTACATCAGATAATAGTAAGTCTTACTGGGCAGCAGTTAACAATAGAGAAGCGGATAGTCCTTCAGATATTGTTTCACATCATAGTAGATATAATGGTCATGGAGGAGGACATGAGTCAGGATATATCAATTCTGAATTTACTGCAGGATACAGTAATGGTGGTATTCGATCTTCTCAACAGAATGATACTAATAATACAGCAATGTCTTCCTCTTCTTCTATGGAATCAAATTCACTTGATGCTGGACGTTCTTCATTGACATCTGATAATAGGCATTACTTGCAACATTCCTCATCAACACATACTCCACACTAATATGCTTTTAATCCCACAACAAATATGATACAGAAATATATATATATCTATACATATATACATAACAAGACCTTCTTTTTTTTTGAGATAATAACTTATTTTATTATATTGATTATTATTTATTTATTTATTTATTTTTCTTGCGTTCCTTTAACTATATATTATATTATTACCACCTTCTACTACTGTTATTATTATCCCTTATTATATTATATATTACAACCATTTTCTCTAATATCACATGTAAAAAAAAAAAAAAAAAAAAAAAAAAAAAAAAAAAAAGTTTATTTAATTTGTCTAATACATATTTTTTTTTCTTTTTTACTTTATAAATATATGCAACTACGATAATATCCTTTTTATTTTTTTATTTTTATTTTTTTGCAGTTTAGGAAATAACACACATTTCTTTTTTTTGTTTTTTTGTTTGTTTCCACATAATAACGTATATTACCTATTTAGTTCTTTTGCCTCGCTTATAACGTTCTACAAAAGCACCAATCTTCTCGCTCTGGCCCAATTTGTACTCTAGTTCTAAATTGTTACTGTCACACACATTTATGCATTGTTTGCAATAAAAAAAAAAAAAGAGAGAGAAAGAGAGAGATAGCAAGTTCTATTATTATTATTATACAGTGAATATAACTTGTCATATAGTAATAGTGTTATTTGAAAGAAATCAAGTTAGATCAATAACATCTAATGACATTTATACTGCAATTGAGTCTTTTTCCCTTTTTTTTCTTTTTTTTTCCCTCAATTCTTTACATGAAAAAAAAAGAAAGTGGGTAGTAGGATTATAAAATTGGTAAAAACAGATCATTAAGGAAGGTTACATTCCAGGTTTTTGTAAGACATTATGAACGGTTAAACTTTTTATGATAAAAAAAAAAAAGGTGAATACAAAATAGAGTATTTTAGATATATGATTGTCAATCTTCTATTATAAATAATTCAAAATATGTATACATGTATATTTTTTTTTTATTTCGTTGAATATGTATACTATTGTACGTGTTATTTATTAGCCAACGTATTTTGCAGTGTAAAATAATATACATTATTATGTGACTGAATTTACTTTTTTAATAAATTGTCATTTTCTATCAAATCATTTAGTTAAAAATGATAGGTAAAATTCTCAGTTCTCTTCTATTCTTTATCCTTTTTAGATATATATATATATAAATACATATCATGAAAGTATTATTAGAAAAAAAAAAAAAAACTTTTGTTATAAGCCACATCGTGTTAACTATTATCTCTATGATAGCAGTAATATGTATATTTTTTTTTTTACTGGTGCTTATAATAATTTATATACACATATAAAAAAAAATTTTTTTCTTCTTGTTTTATAATAAATGAGAAAAGTTCTTTTCAATATCATGATTACAATTCAATCCTTATTTATGAAATTATCAAGTTAGTTTATTATTATTATTATTTACCACAAGTCGGTGATAAATATGATCTTGAATCATTACTAAATTCAAAGTTAGCAAATGATGGAAGAATCTTTGGACCGGGGGTGCTCTCTGTGCGGCGAGCACCCCCTTACAACTTGTCAGTGTTACTCGCTAATTATCTTATTTGAATTGGTTTTGAGTGTCAAATCAAGTTAAGAAAGAATTTCATGAGAATGTCTTAATGCCTATTTTATTATCTCGTCCTTTTCCCCACTAGGATAGTAGAGGGCTGGTGATTCCAACATCAAATACACATATAATAAAAAATAAAAATTAAAAATTTTTTTTTTCTTCATTAAGTTTTATTTGACAGTTAAACTCCGAATAGATGGATACACATCAGATAATTGCTCGGGTCGGATTATCTATAAAAAGAAAATGTTACTGAAAAAAAAAAAAAGGTGTTGCCATGACACAATAATTGAATGCACAGGTGTGTGAGGGAAATCTTTTTCCTGGTTGTGAAGGTAGATTTTTATGATAGAGAGGGGGAAAAAAAAAGGCAAGCTTATGAAAAGTTGTAGTATTATAGACAATATTATGTTCATCAGGTTTTTAATGTGTTGATCCAAGTAATTATAGATAAAGTAAATATTAGCTTTAGAAAGCCAAAGATGATATTTATTTGGATACCTCGTCTATATATATTTATATACATATATAAAAGCTGAATTTTTATCATCTTTCTTATAATAATAGTCTTTAATCAAATTTAATTTATTACTGTTATATATAAATTGCTTGTTTACTTTTATAATACAAATTGTTATAATTTTTTTTTCCTATTCTGTAATTTAAATGATATTATAATCAATATTATAAGACAGTAGTGACTCTAATTATGATATGTTAGTATAATTTTAAGAGAATTGATGTGTTGTATCGTGGCAGTTAACTGTAATTATGTTTTAATGAATAATTATACAAAAGCAATCTGGGAAAAAAAAATCGAATATCAATTCCACTAACTAATTGAATTCTTATGAATATGTGAATTGTAAATGAAGCATTTGTATCCCGAAAAAAAAAAATGAGGGGAGGGGATCCTCAGAATGTAGAACTTGAGAATACAAGGGGGATTACTTCTTTGCCATTGTTAAGAAAATAATTAAAAGTCGTTTGAGAAAAATGTAATGTTCAGACGTTCGGGATGTGATGGTACGTGATATAATAAAGAAAAAATAAAATAAAAATGAAAATAAAAAAAATTAAAGGTTGAAGATTATTTTGTGTTTACACAACTACTTGTATTTATACTAATGAATCCTGAATCAAAGAAATAAAAATAGCTGTCAAAGAACATGAGTCATGAAACAGTGTTAGTATTCAGATATGTACGTCTTGTTACTTCAAGAATCTGATATCTATGGATTATCTATTGGGTGTTATAATAGTCTGATTTAAGTTTTAAATTATTTGATCTGATTGTATGTTCTTGATGTCTTTTACATTTTTATTTTATCGGATCAATGATGACCTGAATCCTTTGCCAAGGTTATAAAAATAAATATTTAGAAATGATATGATGTCTTATAGTTGATACATCTAGACGATTGGATACCAATGTTTTATATTATTTACAAGATGTTATATACAGTGTTTTATTTTGTATTCAGGCTTATAGTTTATCCTTTATTATGTAATTCATTTACTATAATATTACCTATGCTTATATCCAGAGCTTGTTCTATAACAAAGATAAACTAAATCTGAGCTTGAAAAAAAAAACGAAGTAAACGAAGTGTGTGCCTGAAAAAAAAAACGAGGTAAACTTGCAGGATCCATTTTTTTTTTTCAATTAAAAATGAATGTTTCTCATGATTACGCATTATGCGTTTTATTTGGTCTGGAATTTACAGATAATAATGTCATAACAGCAAGAAGTAAATTAGAAAACTATGGTGACCTGGAAGTCTGTTATGATTTATCAGAAAGAAATCCCATACTGGTTCCAAAGGAAAGAATTAACTATAATCCCTTCACCTACAAAAAGTATCTTTCACCAGCTCGACCAAAAACCAATGAAGCTGAGAGCAATATACTGTTAAGTAAGTACATTAAAAACATGTTAAAAGCATTTCTAATATCTATAATTTAGGGAGTGATTCACAAATTTCACAATTTGTGAATGCAATTTTTTCCCACCTCAAAATGGCTCGCAATGAAAATTGTGGACTAAAAGCTATCTGTGTCGAAGATATCTTTAATACTGTAAAGCTATATACCAACAGATTTGAAACTGAAGCTCAGTTCACTCAATGGACCAAATCCAAAGTATATTACACTCAAGTACCTTTTTCCAGAAAAAGACAACAATCTAGAGCCTCTGCTCGTAAAAGAGAAATATACGTTTTAAAGCCCGAATTTTATATTCTCTATTGTAGAAACAATTGCAAGTAATATTGTATCAAGATTAGCAAACTACCAACAGTATTTACAAAATTTGAAAAAAAGATTTTCTTTTGATTGGATATGCTCGCAAGTCTGTTGGACATGCTAATTATAGAGATAAGAATATTCAAATGATGGTGAATAATCTGTACAATAGATGTAAAGTGGATAAATGCTATGTATCATATTCATCTGAAGCAAGTAGCAGTATCGAATCAAGGGATGTTAAAGACGGCGTTAAAACATTAGCTAAATTAAAAAATGTTCATGGCAATACCCAGGGTATTATATGTATATATTTCCGTGCGAACCTAAAAGTATCAAGTATGTTATTTTTGTAGATTTGATCAATGTTGTATCCTCCACTAGTCAAAGGATACGTTTAGTTATTATCGATTATAGCGGTTTATGCACAAATCATACCAATATCTTCCAATTTGTCAGGTGAGTATTTTTTTTTTTTTTTTTTTTTTTTTTTTTTTTTTAGTAAGTGTGGCTTTTGATGAGTACTGATTACTTTTGTAGGGATAACAAATCAATTGAAAAAATAATAGTGGATTGCTTCCCTTTTGTTTGTGACGTTGTTGTATATAGCCGTAGACAAATTCTCGATGACAATTAACGTACTACTTCCATTTAATTGTCGAGGGTCTCCATGCCAAATATCTAAAGAAGATTAAAAAAAAACACACTTGTTATTCCCTCCCATTCATTGATACACATTGTATTATTGATATTTTTTTTTTATTTTAAAAAATATTTATTTGATTTATATCGCTTGTACGTATGAGGTTCAGCAAAAATTTTAAAAATTGGAACAAGCGCCGGCTTTAATGGACTACTTTGATAACAAATATCTAATTCATTTTTATCAATTATCTTTAGGAGTCTATCGGCATTTTCTTCACTATATTCTTTGCAATAAAGCATGCAAATTGCTTTCTCTCGTGGTATTTCCATGTCATCATTAATCATTAAAATGTAACTAAAACTAATTCTAATGCATTCAGTTTAATTCCTGGTTAGACCTTGTACTAGTCAAGCACTTTACCTTAGAAGCAAACCACTGTTTGCTTTTGAAACAAGAAAAAAACTAAAAACGGCCACCATCTAAAATCCAATTCTACTTTTAAACTTGATTGGGCTAAGTTCAAACCGGCCTTTTATTGAGGCTTAGTTTACCTCGTTTTTTTTCAAGCGTAGGCTTAGTTTACCTCTTTTTTTTTTTTTTTTTTTGTTTCACGTATCTTCCCCTCTTCCGTCTATTGTTTTCGGAAACGGTAAGCTGAACTTAAAACGATACCAGTTCGTAAAGCTGCGTCTTTTACAGGAACCATTTCTGTTATCAAGCAGATAAACTCTTTGATTTGTTCCTGGTTGTACTTTCTGTATTTCAAAGTTTTCTCATTTTCTTTATCGTTGCTGGCAAGTTTCTTAGCAACTTATTCGACAGTGGGCTTTGCTAGTTTATCGTTACTTTCATTCTCATTTTCACTATTATCTTCGTTATAGTTATTCTCTTCTGAGTCAAGAGCTCCCAATTCTTCATTAACTTCTTCATCAAGATCCATAGTGTCTGAGGAAGGCATAGCGGTTACCCATATAGATCTCATCATAGACATCATGCTAACATAAACCTCAATAGTTTATGCCTCTTCCTCTTGTTGGAGGCTCAATTTATTCATTTCAAAATCAATGTTCATTGATATAATACATATTTTTTTTTTTTTAGTATTTTAAAAGGAAGGCTTTCTCAATTTTTTTCTAAGCTTTTACCAATTTTTTTTCTTGGTTGTTATCAATTTAGCTCTCATCTTTTCTCAATTTTAGTGAAAACATTATAATCAAATCTGGCTTTAAATTTATCATTTTATTCCAGAGCCTTTCCCAATTTTACTGAAAAATACAATATTCAAGCATCATTATGTAATACCCAACTATTGCAAATTTTACTATATATTTTAAGTCTTTTTTTTTTTCAAATATTTATTTAAATATTGCTATCATTTATTATTATTATCTTCTTCTTTTCATCTAATTACCCTTTTTTTTTTTTTTCATTAAATGGATTCTATTACTGCCAATTTCAAGTGTAACAACGTCTATTCGAATACAGAGATTTCTCCATACTTTTTAATTGGAGCAGGAAACTATATAACAATGAATTACAACGATAATTACATTAAGAAAGAGGATGAAGAGAGATATTCCTCACCAGATTTAGTGAAGGATAATGCAGTACTTTATTATCCTAATGCATGCTTATTTTGTGGAGTTCCTAATGGATCATTAAAGCAGAAAGAAGATAAGAAATTATGTATTAAAGAAGAACAGTTGATTACTATTACAGCAGCACCTATCATTACTACTCCAGCACTTGACTATAGTAAAGCAAATCAAAATCTACCCTCTCTTAATCCATTATTGACCCTTACCATAAATAAGCAACCTTATTCTCAAAATTATGTCGTTCACAAGCTTACATGTGCTATTAAACGGGCTCATTTTTTATTTGAATATACAAGAAAATTTATAATTAGGAAAAGACTTCATTTCCCCGTCGTTGCTCATAATAGAAAGCGAACAGTGATACCATCATCATTCTATTAACGATTCTATACATTAGTTTAATATTCCCTTCCTTCTGTGTAATAGCAGCCATAGACTACTCTATTCTATCTATAATGTGAATCTCTTAAATCATAGTAATAATAAACAGTTTGTAGAGTTGCATAGATTGAAAATACGAAATGATATAGCTTTATATGTAATTATAGTGACCTTACATATGTACAGAAGTATTATATGAATTGGCAGTATAGCATATACAGTACATAATATAAATATGTAATTCTATATATATATAATCTTCCCCTTTTTTCTTTCTTTCTTTCTTTCTCTTTCTCTTTCTCTTTCTCTTTCTCTTACTCTTACTCTTACTCTTACTCTTATTACTACTTACTTTTAATTATATAAACGAATGATTACTAATATCTCCCGTACTTGGCGTAGAATTTCAATTCAATTTAAATCAAATTTAAATATGAAAAGAAAGTCATTTTCTTCTTCTTCTTCTTCTAGTACAACAAGTTCAACGACCACAGTGATAGAGACAAATAATGATAAAAAGAAAATAAGCAAGACTACAAAATCAGTTCGTTTCTATACCATTGATACTATTTATTATACACATTCATCTGCAGAATATGATCGTTCACCTTCGAGTACTTTATAACTCTAATCATTGGTTGTACATAATTTTATTTCCTTAAATAGTTAATTTATCTTTTTTATGCAGTTGAAATGCATTATTTTATTTTCGCAACTTCTTGGCACATTATATTCATCGTCAGTAAGCATCTATAAAAAAAAATGCTTTATGATAATAATAAATGACTTTATCATTATCATTATTATTATTATTTCTATCCTATATATTAGTCATAGTAAAGAAAACAAAAAAAAAAAAAGAAAAAAGATTTGAACTATATGCATTCTATTTATTTCAAGTCCGACCTTCTTTACATGATAACTGAAAAAAAAAAAAAAAAAAAAAAAAAAAAGATCTCCCAGGATTACCGTCATATGTTTGAACAATAAAAATTTATACAGCGATAAAAGCTTTTCTTCTGTATTGTTGTGTTGTATAATTTATTTTATTTTATTTTATTTTATTTTATTTTTTTCTTTTTTTTAAATTACATTAACGATGAGTACATTACATCACTTATTTACCATAAAAAAAAAGTTGGCTTTCCAGTTTATGGACTTGATTTTACAGCTAATGATGTTTTAATTGCTGGAGGTGGAGGTGGAGCTAATCGTTCGGGTGTAAAGAATAATTTGGTAAACGTTTTTTTATTTTCTCAACTTTGTAGTTATGGACTTATTATTTTGGGCACATAGATTTCACTACAAATTAATGAAAAGAATAAACAACTTGAACAAATTAGTTCTTTACTCTTATCAGATAAAGAAGATTGTCCAATGTCAATTGCTTGTCATCCTAATGTATATATATATATATATTTATTTATTAGAAAATGCTTGAAAATTTATCACTTACGAGTTATATAAAGCTACCCGTATTAATTTCAGGTATTAATAGTTCTGAGGAAAATATCAAACAGGGTATTAATCTAAATTGTCAAATTTTTGATATTGAAAATGGGTAAAAGACAGTATATATATATATGCATACATATAATAACTTGTTCAAATAGTCAAATTCAATTTAAATCCAAGTTCTCTACAAGTACATGTAGGAACCCTGAAGAGTATCAGGTAAATAATTAATTTTGCACCAAAACACACACACAATAGGGATTGATTTACTATGAATTATTTAGAAAATAACTCGTTTTAGTCGTTCAGGAAATTATTTAGTAACAGGGATTAGTGATGGTAGGATTTCTGTATTAAAGAAAACAACCACTTCTACAACACAATGGGAATTATGCTTTCCATCATTACGTTTTATGAATGTACAAGATATTGCTATTGATCATCATGAAGAGCATGTAGCTATAGCAGTTTCATCCGCTTTAATTATCTTATCTATACATGATGGTACAATTGTTCAAGTCATTGATAGCCCTAAATTAAATAAGCATACTACTTGTGAAATTCATGCTTGTCGGTAAGTGATTAGAAGAAGAATAGGAAAAATAGAATTCATATGCATTATATTATTAGATATGGTTATTCTAGTAAAAATCAACAAGAGACATTATATGCTGTCATTAACCCGATATCAACAAGAGGAAAAGGATTTATTTGTGCATGGAAGTTAAGAGAGAGTAGATCATATCCAGTCAATAAAGCAAAAACTGCAGGCATTAGTAGAAAGAGTATAACAACTTTCACTGTCAAGTAAGGAAATCTACTCATAGATAAAAAAGATTTTTTTTTTATATGTTAATAAATATATTTTTTTTTTATCAAGTCCTACAGGTGATATTTTAGCTTATGCATCTACTGATTTAAGTATTGGTTTAGTTGATGCTCAAACGTTAAAAGTAAGTAAACAATAATAAATATCATATATATGTGTAAGACTTATATTCATATGATTCAAAAAAAAAAAAGCCTATTTTGAGAATACCTAAAGCCCATGGATTTGCAATTACAAACTTATGTTTCAATCCATCAGGTAGATACTTGGCGAGTGCTGGTGCAGATAATAATTGTCGTGTCATGATTTTACCAGAAAGTATAAACTTAACTCATAAGAAATATCAAGGTAGAAAGCATATTATCAAAATAGAAAAAAGTACTCACTTATTTATATTAGCCTATTTTATTATTGAATCCATATTTATGATATTGGATATGTTATTATTTGCTCTTTTAGTGCATATCATTGTGCAATGGACTTTATAATCTTATTTATGTACAAAATAGTTAAATAATTGAGTGTGTTATATCCATATTATTTAATTACTCTAGTCAATTCAAGTATAACGGAGAAGGAGGTAACTCTCTTTCTCTCCTCTTTCTCTCTCTCTCTTTCTCCTTTTAAAGGGTAAGAGTGTATGTGTATGTGTATGCGTATGTGTGTCTGTGTCTGTGTTTTAAGTAAACTGCTTGAGATTTGTTTGTTTGTTTGGATACCTGCTGAGTCACTTTTCTTTGGATGTTTATGGAAAGGGGATTTTTAACAGAACAAATCATTCAGTAATATAATATAAATAACAAGACCTTTACCATATAATATGACTGAATGGTATTTTTTTTTTCTATTATTACCAATATTGTCCGAGTATTTGTATTTAATTTTCTATAAAATGCATAGTGAAATCTTAAAATGAGATATTGAAGTTCATAGTGAGTCATTGTACATCTATAAAATCTTAAAGTTCTTTAGCAACTTGTGATTAATGTTACTTGAGTTCAACCATTATAGATCTAAGAGAGTTTTTTATTTTATTTTATTTTTTTTGCTTTTACTATCTTGTAAATTTCATTGTTCATTTTGCATAATAAAATGTATTATACTAAAATGCATAAAAAAGATTATATATTCATCTATTTTTATTTTCAGACATGATGATACCGAAGCATGTCATTATAACAAATGTTCTCTGAAAGATAATAATGCGACATGCTAGAATAAATGAATCTATACAAGCCTTTAATTTATATAATCATTCATTAAATAAACTGAATTGATTCTGCCTCTCTATTTTATGTATTCTCATACATGTATCTTATTTCCATCGTCTTGTCTCTCTTTAAAGTGACTTTATAGTTGATGATATACACTTCACCTTTATCTATTTGTTTTTTTTTCTTGTTGTTTGTCATCATCATTGTTAGAGGAAAAGGAAAGTTAAATAAGCAGCAACATTTTTAGACAAAAAGTTATCCAATCATTTTTTAGTATATGGGAACACATTTAAGTATGCCAAAAAAGCTGGCCAATAATTTATGTATATCATCCCATATTTTTTTTTTTTTTTTTTTTTGAGCTGCTGCTAGTTGCTCTCCTTACACCAATTTTTCTATTTTTCTTTTTCTTTTTCCTTTCTTTTTTTTTTCTGTATCCTCCTTTTTAAACAAAAAAAAAAAATTAAACATTCTCCTTTTTTCTAAGACTACACACAAAAATAGTATATCTATACCTAAAGTAAAAAAAAAAAAAAAAAAAAGAATAGAATACTAGAATAGTAATAAAGACTTACTCATTTCATATATTCATAGCTATTCGAGAAAATGGCACACGGACCAATGAGTGGCAAAAAAATCATTGGTAACCTCCCCTCCCCCCCTCCTCCCCAAATAAATAAATAAATACAATAAAAAAAAAAAAGACATTGGTAGATGAAGACCATTATTTAATATTTACAATAGATGGTAATAGCGACCCAACAAGAATACATGAAGAGAAAGCAAAAGATGGTAAAACAGGAGAAGACATTGTATTTCGATACACAACACATAAAGTTGCTGGCAATGGTTCCTTTGGAGTTGTTTATCAAGCAAAAGTAGTTGGAACAGGTGAAAATGTTGCTATTAAAAAGGTTTTTCAAGACAGACGATTTAAGGTAATTTCAAAGGGAATTATTTGTATGCAATCACTTATATAACATGTTAGAATCGAGAATTGCAAATTATGCGGTGTGTATGGCATCCAAATGTGGTCGCATTGAAAGCTTTCTTTTATAGTCATGATGAAGTTAAGGTAATGTAATGGAAAAAAAAATGCAATAAAATAATGATAATAATGATAATAATATAAAAAAAAAAAAAAAAAAAAAAAAAAAAAAAAAAAAAACTAGCCATAAACAAGATAGCTAATTTTTATAGTAGAAGGATAATATTTATCTTAATTTAGTTTTAGAATATATTCCAGAAACATTATATCGTACTTCGCGTAATTATGCAAAAATGAGACAATCAGTACCTATGCTCTATGTCAAACTCTACACCTATCAATTAATGCGTGCTCTCGCTTATATTCATTCACTTGGTATCTGCCATCGTGATATTAAACCTCAAAACTTGTTAATTGATCCGAATACAGGTGTACTTAAATTATGCGACTTTGGAAGGTAATGATATATAACATGTGTTTGTGCAGTATATATATGTATATATACACATTTATGTAATTTATATTTATTTTAGTGCAAAGGCACTTCATGCAGGAGAACCGAATGTGTCATATATTTGTTCACGCTATTATAGAGCGCCTGAACTTATATTCGGCGCAACGGATTATAGCTGTAGTATTGATGTCTGGTCTGCAGGTTGTGTCATGGCAGAACTAATGCTTTGTCAACCTTTATTCCCTGGCGAAAGTGCTATTGACCAATTAGTTGAAATCATTAAAGTGTTAGGTACTCCTACAAAGGAACAATTATTGGCCATGAATCCATCATACACTGAACATCGTTTCCCTCAAATTAAACCTCATCCTTTTTCTAAGGTTTTCCGTTCTCGTACACCTGAAGATGCTATTTTATTTATTACAAAGACATTACAATATGAACCACTGAAACGATTAACAGCCTTTGAATCATTAGCAGATCCATTTTTTGATGAGCTTCGTGACCCTAATGTAAAAATGCTTGATGGAAAAGATATGCCAAAACTATTTAACTTTAGTCGACATGGTAAAACAGTAGTCTATTATAAGAGTATATGGATAAACTAACTCTTTTCTTCTTTTTTTTTCATAATTTAGAACTATCCATACAACCTGAACTTATTTCAAAGATTGTCCCTGCACATGCTGAAGCTTCATTATTAGCTGATGGAATTGATGTTCATGCATTTGTTCCCATGACAAAAGAGGAAATGAGAAACGACACTATGCCTCATTAATCGAACCCCCCAAAAAAAAAGAAATATATACACATATATATTTATATACATATATATATATATAAAAGATAAATAGAAGTAATTTTTCAATATGATAACATATTGTTTATTACATTCAGATGAATTTATATGAAGTTTAGTTTTTTTTTTCTTTTATCAGATAAAGGAAATAGAGTTAATACGTATGTTAATAAAGAAGAGTGTGAATTATATAACTTTGTCAGCATTAGCTAGTCAAGAGTTTTATCATCAGCCATAGATAGAAGGAGAGGGCCAAGAATTTATTCTTGTTACTATAATAAGCGTTATTTTGGAGGTAGTCGTACTTCTGATCTTCAGCGGCTGTGTCCTAATAAAATTTATGCCACTCTAGATTATCTGAGTGTAAAAATTGAGTATAAACAAATTCATGTAAACTGGTGATGGGTTTGGCTTAGTCTTTTTTAGATCAGTTACAGTACATTATTAAAAGATATCATATAACTTATTTATCAAGATATAACGCAAGTTCCAATTATAGCCTTTGGAAATAGAATGCTTAATAACGATGCTGTCAAGTTTAAAGGAGAATTTGAACAAAAAAAAAGAAAATCATTAATGAATACTAGCAAATAGGATCTCGAAAAGGAAGAATAAATATGTACAAGACCTCTTGGACCAAAAATATAATTCTGAATACAAGATGATAGAAAATATAATCTCTACACATAATAAGGCTGTTTTAAAACTTGGAAAAACTAATACTATGCGATTTATAAAATATTTAAGGGCGGGGTTGTTCAACAAACATGAGGGGGTAGTCGAGCCATTTTTATCCGCTAATAGCGCACTTGAACTCAAGCCGGATATTGTGTTGCAATTATCAAAAGATTTAACAGCTTATGATTTGAATCAATTTATATGTCAAGAACAAAAAAAGAAGAAGAAATGGGAAAAAGAAAAGGCTGAAGAGGAAATCTTGAAGTTAATTATGGGAATCAAACAAGATTGTACGTATTCCCTTAAAATTATAGCAGGGACTAATAGGAACAGAAAAATGATATTACTACCAAATTTCTCTTTGGTATAAACCATCTATCTAGTTTTCATTATTTAATAGTAGAGAATATACCTTATAACCAAAGTAGTATCATGTTCGGTAAAGTCGGTTACCATCAACTGTTGACTGTAAATAGTAATAAGTAACAAAATTATTGTTGTGGCTTATTATATAATATTTTTTTATTAAAAAAATAAATAAAATAATAGTGCATTCATTTATTACTTTATACAGATATAAATATGTCACATTCCTCTGATGAAGAAGATGGTTTTGCTGGTGATTTGTTTGGTGTAAGTGCATAAAGACAAAAAGAAAAGAAAAATTAGGCATTTGATTGTAACATGATGATCCCTTTTTTTCTCAATTTAGGTAGAAGATGAACAAGATGTACCTCAAATTGAGCCTACATTTGAAGTATACAAAAGAGAAACTACATCACAAGGTATGATATAGTTATACCCGGTTTCATTTTATTTTTATTTTAATTTTAACGGTAGATAGTACACCTAAAGAATTGACCATCAAGCTTGTTGGATCTCATCCACTTTGGGCACATCATTTATGGAATGCTTCTAAAGTATTTGCTTCCTTATTTGATACTAATCCACAACTTGTAAAAGGAAAATATGTGTTGGAGTTGGGTGCTGGAGGGGCTTTACCTAGCTTAGTAGCAGCTCTTAATGGAGCCTCTAAAGTCGTTGTGACAGACTATCCTGATAAAGAACTCATTGATAATATCCAATATAATGTAGATCATAACATTCCTCAACTTCACTCAGTAGTGGTAGAAGGTTATGTTTGGGGTACAGCAACTGATAAATTAAAAAGTCATTTACCTACATCACAAAAGACATTTGATGTCTTGATCTTGAGCGATTTAGTGTTTAATCATTCACAACATCACGCTATGCTCAAGACATGTCGAGAATTATTAACACCAAATACAGGTCGTGTCTATGTATTTTATACACACCATCGCCCTCATTTAGCTCATCGAGATTTAGAGTTCTTTGAAATTGCAAAAAGACCTGTACGTGATGATGTAGATCCAGAAGATAGAGAATTATTAGGTTATGGTTTTAAAGTAGATCATTTTATGACACAAAGAATGGGAGTTATGTTTAAAGAAGATCCAGGAGACGAGGAAGTACGGGCGACTGTACATGGTTGGCAATTATGGTTAGAAGAATAATGTTATATAATAAATAGATAGAATAATCATTTCCTCTCCCTCCCTCTCTCTCTCTCTTTTCCTTTTCCCTACTCCCCCTCCCCGCTTTTTTTTTATTTTTTTATGTTTTATATGTTTACAATGATATCCCTTATATAGTAACAGTTCCTGGATTTTTAAGCATTATCAATCTTCTCGTTGTATTTTTCTTTTCCCTTTAAACTAATTTCCAAAATTAGTTACCTGTGTGACGCCCTTATGCTTAACTCTATTTGGAAAAAATCATGCTTTTTTTTTTTATATACAAATATATAATAAACGTAATTCTTATTTCTTTTCCCTTTTCCTTTTATTATTATAAATAACTATTATGGGAAATCATTCTTCAAAACATAGTAGAAAATTAAAAAAGCAACAAGCAACAAGAAATATATCCAATATAAGCGAAAATAATAAAAATGCTACAGCTAGTGTTCCAGACTATAGAAAACCTGTTCTAGAAGATGAAGAAGGCTATTATGAAGAAGAAGAAGAAATTGATGATTATTATGAAACATATAATAATAATGAAATTGATATGAATACAATCGACTCTTGTATTCAAAGATTAATTAAAGTGGGTCAGACTAAACATATTGGAAAATCCTTATGTTTAAGTCAAGAAGAAGTCATTGCTATTTGTCGATATTCTTGTCAACTATTTTTAAATCAGCCTGTAATGACTATTTTTATAAATACTCTATTTATATTTATTTATTTACTTATTTACTTGCTTATTTATAAAGGTTTTATTAGAATTAGATCCTGATTTAAAAGTCGTAGGAGATGTAACCATCATATTATTTAAAGCTCAAAAAAAAAAAAAAAAAAAAAAAAAAAAAAAAAACTTAATAAAACGATTTATTAGATTCATGGGCAATATCATGATTTAATACGTTTATTTTATCAAAGCGGATTTCCGCCTAGCTCAAATTATTTATTTTTAGGCGACTATGTGGATCGTGGTATGTATAGTCTAGAAACTATCTTGTTATTACTTTGTTTCAAGATCAAATATCCTATCAACTTTTTCCTTCTTCGAGGAAACCATGAAAGTGCTGATGTTACACGAGGTAAATAATGATTTAATGAATGATAGACAATGACCACCTGCTAATAATGATGATTACAAAAGTATACGGATTCTATGATGAATGTAAAAGAAGAATGAATAATATCAAGATTTGGAGACATTTTATTGATGTCTTTAATACGATGCCAATAGCAGCTACTATAGGACAAAGGATATTTTGCGTACATGGTGGATTATCACCTTCATTAAGATCAATGGAACAAATCAAGTCAATCCAACGACCTGTAGAGATACCAGAATATGGATTATTAAATGATTTGCTTTGGTCAGATCCAAGTGATGCTTCACCTGATTGGAGCGAGAATGATAGAGGCGTATCTGTTTGTTTTGGCAGAAAGAATATAGATGATTTTTTACATCGATTTGATTTAGACCTAATATGTCGAGCTCATATGGTATAACTTACATAATATAAATAAATAGATAGACAGGCAGGCAGACCCGTTATTCATAAGCATAGCTATTTATATAGGTTGTTGAAGATGGTTATGAATTCTTTAATCAAAGGAAACTAGTTACAGTATTTAGTGCACCCAATTATTGTGGTGAATTTGACAATTATGGTGCTGTATTGACAATATCAAATACATTATTATGTAGCTTTCAACTTATACCACCTGAAGATAAGATTGAAAAGCAAGAAAAGAAGGAAAAAGAAAGGTAAAAATAAAAGCTAATCTAACCTAAAATATGTGCATAGTTCTTAATTGTCTTTATGTATAGGATATCATTACAATTACCACCCATATCATAACGTTGTCTAATTGGCTTTCCTTTCACAACACAACTACTTACTTATAACCTCTATTCTTAATTTATAGAACATCTGTATTATTCTTTTAAACATAAAGTAGTTTGATGTATTTTTCATTACATAACAGCATTTCTTATATATGACATATATTTTGGATATCCTATAAATACATATATGTATAAAAAGAAAGGGATAGCATTTTAGTTATTCATTACAGAAAAATCCTTTTTTTTTCAAATTTCATACTTCATTTTGCGTTTCTGTCAGTTGAATCGTTTCTTCACTAATAAAATCAAGTCTTAAATCAATTGCCGTTTTCCATATTTCTGTTGTAGAATTAGACGTAACTAATGCATCTGAAGAGGTATGATGTAGTAATACAATACAACAATCTAACTTTCTTGATAAAACACGAAGAATTCTAACTAAATGAATCACTTTTGCATAGGGGATATTATTAGTATTAGACTAGATAAGATAGCAAACTATATATATACACTTACCTAAAGAAGATGACCAATCTTGCTCTATTAATTTTGAAGGATCATCAATGATAATTAAACAGGGATATTCTTGATAACTTGATAAAAGTGCTGCCAAATTTTCTAATGATTGTACTAGACTTTGTAAGCTAAAAGTCTGTGTAATTTCAATTTGAATCCATATACTTGATAGATCATAGTGTTCACTCATTGGTTTAGGCTCTAATATGCCTGTACTATTAAATACATAAACACCTTCAATTTGATAAGTTGTTACATAAGAAACAAGTAGACTCGATAAAAGCTTTATTAAATAAGTGTAAATAAATAAAATAAAAAAAAAGACTTATAACTAAAATAAAAAAAAAAAGTGAATACCTTTATTTTCCCTTTAATAGATTCTCCACATAGTTCGATAATCTGTCCAAATTGAAATCCATGCAAAAGCATTTTATCCAAACTATAGACATATCAGGTTAAATTATCTAATACAATCATACTGCAGTACTTCTTTACCTTTCAAGCCCTGTAGGTAAATAGGCTGGAGTTGATTTTTCTTCAGTAACAGATGTTGTATCAATATCATCAAGTTGCTCTTGCTTTACTACATCAACTGCAACTTGTTTCATAAAAGCACGTATAACCTATTCCTTATTAGCTAAACTTAATTTTGGTTTTCAAGTACTTTTTTCTTTACCTGTCTAGGTACTTTGACTATTTTGCATAACGCATTAAAATCCATTTGTAATAATTCGCTATCTTTTTTTTTTTTTTTTTTTTTTCAGACAAATCAATTTTTTTGTTCATGATAAAAAGTAAGATATTTTAATTTACCTGAGGTTATTTTATTACTCAACAGATCTTCTAATGTCACTTTGTAATAAGCTTGTTGACGTTCATTCCAGTTATTATAAAATACTTTTAATTTTGTCATTTTAAATAAATAAGAAGAAAAAAACATTTATAAAAAAAAAGCAACTAGATTTTATATTGCGAAACTGAGTTAATTCCTTTTTTTTTTTCTCAAAACGACTTATTTTAATGCATAATTATAAAACGAGACTAATTAACACTAGTCATTGTCAAATCTTCTATAAGAGCTTATAACCATTCAAAAGAAAAGAATTACATCGAAATATATATAAAAAAAAATTTTTTTTTTAGAAGAACAGAAAAAAGTCTTATATTTACGAAAATCCATTCCATAAAAATTTATCCTTTCTTTTTTCATTGCTTATCTAAATTTTCCCTTCCTCCTTACCTTATCTTGATACCCTCCCTATCTGTTGTACACCCAACCACACACGCTCTCTCTCTCTTAATCCATTTGTTTATATAATGTCAGTAGACATTGACTGGAGTAAACTGGATGCTGAATTGGCTAATCACGTAAAACAATTTTTAAACAAGCATTTCCAAGCTATAACAAAACCTTCTTTTATCGGTGATGTTGAAGTCACTGATTTTCAGTGGGGGTCAGAAGCGCCTCAATTAGAAATTATAAACATTACTGATCCTTTCCCCGAATTTTATGAACAAGTTGAGACTGATGATACAAATGTATCCCATGTTGTAGATAAGGAACCTAATGATAATACTAATAATAATAATAATAATAACTTGGTAATGTCAAGTCAGACATCGACATCAAACATGTCTCTTCAATCACCAACCATGGCACCCACTGAATACTTTTCTGAGGATAGCTATAGTAATATAAATCGATTCAGTCCACAATTATCTCAACAACAACGTTTCAACTTTATGCATTCTTTTCATCGTTCACCCTTTGTTGCCCCTCAACATCCATTCAACACTCAATCCCCAAGCTTTTACTTTTCTTCCTCCCTTGTGATGCCTACAAGTTCGCCCATTTGGGATTCAGTGAATGAAGAGGACTGGATTGATGATGAAGATATTAATCATGTCTCTAATTCATCCACTTCAGTAAGTCAACATATCCCGAGTCCTAGCAAAACAGAAATGGACTTTCAAGTTCACATGTTGATTTCTTATAAGGGAGATATGAGCTTGACTGTGATGACAGAATTAAGAATGAATTATCCTAGTATGATGTTTATGAGTTTACCCATAAACTTGCGTGTTTGTTCAATTGAATTTGAGGCAACAGCTGTGGTTGCTTACATACAAAGTATGAGTAGAGTTTGTGTTTCTATGTTGGAACCTGAAGAAAATACATTACCCATAAATAGTCGAGGAAAAGACGTTGGCATGGACAGGTATATATATATATATAAACAGATTTTATTAAATTATTATACATGTATACAAAGCTAAGCCAACTTTCAAAAAAAAAAAGTTTATTACGAAATGTACAAATTGAGACTATAGTAGGAGATGAACAGAAACAAGGTAATAATAACTTATAAAGGAACGAAAAAAAAAAAAAAAGACAATGACATTAAAGTATTTGCTTTTAGTGCTAAAAAATGTGGGGAAAATTGAGAAATTTGTTGTGGATCAATTACGGAAAATCTTGGATGATGAACTTGTTTTTCCCAGTTATCAGCTAATTCAATTGAACTAGACGAACTTAAATTTCATATAATTGTATTATTATTATAGAATAGAATTTCATACTGCCATATAAATAAATATTCTCTTTTTTTTTTTTTATTTATTTATTGCTTCTAATTTGTTAAGCCTGAATGACGAAGTAAAGGGGTTATATCTACATTAGGTCGACCTCTGAACTTCTCCCATACTTCATTAGGTGCAGTACCACCTCCTAAAGCCAAAATGGTATCTCGGTAATGTTTACCTATGGATTTAATACCTTCTTGTCCATCCTTCATTTTTGCTTCTTCAAATGCTGCATAAGCATCTGCAGAATATGTCTCTGACCATTTATAACTAAAATTTTTTGGCCGTTATTCATAAATTATGGAAGGGGAGGGAGTTTTTTTTTTTGATATATTTCCATTTATTTTCTCTTTACCTATAATAGCCTGCGCTATATCCACCTCCAAAGATATGACTAAAACTACAAAGAAATTTATCTTCAGGCAAACGTGGTGTAAGGACAGTCTGTTTAGCGATTTCAGCATCTTGATCAAATACTGTTGGATCATTGGGTGATGTAGGTGGCTTAAAGCGAGAATGTAATGCTAAATCTATTTTAGCAAAATGTAATTGTCTCAAGGTGGCTAATCCGCTCATGAATTTACGATTTTTTACTAGAGCATTAATCATATCCTTAGGCATGGATGCTCCTGTCTTGTAATGCCCTGAAAGACGATGAATCCAGTCAGGTTCATTACAAAAGTTTTCCATAAATTGAGACGCAACTTCAACAAAATCCCATTCAATACCATTGATACCTGATGCGGGTGCATAATCAACACGTGTCAGCATATGTTGAAGGCAATGGCCAAACTCATGGAAAAGAGTTTCCACATCTCGAAACTTCATAAGAGAAGGTTGATCTGCTGACTGAGGTGGTGGTTGATTACAGATAAGGTAAGCGACAGGTAAAGTAACTTGACCATCTACTGCATGCTTAAATCGAGTAGTCACGACATCCATCCAAGCTCCACTACGCTTTTCAGAGGGTCTTGAATAAAAGTCACCATAAAAGTAGGCCTTCACTTCTCCTTGCTCTATTACTTCAAACACCTTCACATCCTCATGCCAACGTGTGATTCCCTTTTGTTTCATGTCGGAGTCATCTAATTCACGTACCTGAATACCAAGTACTTCATTAGCAACAGCGAATAATCCATCAAGAACCTTTGGGAAAGCAAAATATTCCGATATGGTTTCTTCATCGTACTTGAATAAGTTCTTTCGATATTGCTCTGTTACATAGCTTACATCCCAGGGCTGCAAAGGTATAGGATGATGAAGTTTATCTTTGGCAAATTGCGTCAACTCATCAAACTCAGTTTTAGCATGATTCACAGATGCCTCAAACAGACTGTCTAATAATGATTCTGCAGCAGAAAGTGTTTGTGCCATCTTGACTGAAAGAGATAAGTCAGCAGGTGTCTCATAACCAAGCAATCTGGCTTTTTCTCTTTTCAATGTCAAAATTTCATTGATGATGGGTTCGTTATTAAGAGTTCCCTTTGATGCTTTAGTGATATTCGCTTTATAAATCTATCATATCATATAAATATGGAATGATACTAATAATAATCGTTTATCATTACCTTTTCACGTAATTCTCTATTATTACAGTTCATCATGAAAGGACCATAAATAGGAAAATCAAGTGTAATGCAGTATCCATCTTTTACACCATGACGCTCTGCATTTCGTTTCAAGATCTCCAAAAACATGGGTGAGCACCCATTCAGTTGCTCAGCCTCCATCACAACGTGTTTAAACTCTTTGGTTGCATCTAATACATTATTACCAAAGGCTAATGATAATTGTGACAATCGTTCTGAGATTTCATTAAAACGCTTCTTCTCTACTGATCCCTCCGCAAATCCAACACCAGCATGTTTCATATCTCGAAGAGCATGATCCACAATGCGTTGTTGCACCTTATCTAACTTTTGCCATTCCCCTGATGTATGACGAAGTGCTTCAAGTGCTTTGTACTTGGGTATCGATTGATTCATCATTAAAGAAAGTTTAATAAACTCTGGTTGAATTTTCTCAAGTGTTGAGCGAACCTCTGGTGAATTTTTAACACCATTGAGGTGAGACAAAATACCATATGCTCTCGAAATCTCATCTTCAAGCTCGGTCACTATTATATATAATCCATGTATGATGTATAAAACAAAAATATATATATATATATATATATATATTGTTTAATTCAAGTGTATTCATCAACATTAGAGTACTTACAACGTCCAATCGTGCCTTCCCAGGTAGGTTCAAACCCTTTTTCAATCTCTAGGAATTGCTCTCTTGCAGCTGCAATCAACTTTTCAAATGCAGGAACGGCAATGGCAGGTGATGTTTGGGTAATTAAATATTCAAAGTCGGGAAATAGTTTCCATTTTAAGAAAGGAGTTTGTTTATAAGAGTTATCAACAGTAGTAGTGGCCATACTACGTTGAATGAGTTTAGTGTTAGAATTCACAAATAGCCTTCCTTGCTGTTGCAATGTTGAAGGTGCTTGATAAAATAATAATAACGGTCGTCTTGTTATACTCGGTGTTTCTCTTTTTAAAGTAGTCGCTATAGAACGACGAACTAATCCTTCATAATTTCGAACTTGCTTTACTCTTGTTGTTGTTGTTGTTCTTAAAAGTCTATGCATATTTGACAAATTAAAATTAAAAAAAAAAAAAAAAAAAAAAAATTAAAAATTAAAAATTAAAAATTAAAAAAAATTAACGCCCGGGGTAAAAAAAAAAAAAAAAAAAAAAAAAATAGATACAAACACATATTATATTGAAATTCAACAATTTGCCACCAGCAGACAATTGCCTAAAATTCGATGAATTAAACAAGTAAAGAAAAGTAACGTGAGAGGAGAAAAAATAAATAAATAAATTATTTCGACACTAGAAGAGAAAACTAATCTTATTATATACATGTTTAAATTCATATAGAGTAACATATATGCTATAAAATACTTTCTAAATTCATAGTAGATAGTAAAACAATCGTTATATTCTTTTACAGGAACTCAGTCAGATGAAAGAAGTTGATTCTTCTAAGCTATAAAAGGGGGGATTATATAACTATGATATACAAGCTAACATATTTTTTATGTCAAGAAAAGATATCTTCCTTTATATTATGTAATAATAACTTTATCTTCGATACTGTATTTACCCTTATATCTCTCCTGTTTACATAACTAAAAAGAGTCTTTATTTATTTTCTTAAGCACATGTTTCTCATCTGCTGCTTAACTAGTAGAGATATCTTTCTTGATGGATATTGACTCCTATAAACCACGTACATAGATGCATTATAAAATCAGACAAGTATAGAATAAAAAGTGATGGAAGAAGCAGTCTTGTTTAATATTACGTAAAGTTCAAGAAAATTCAGATTTTAAGAATACTACTATTTTAATAATAATAATAATAATAAAGATCAAGTGTAAGTTGGACAGTTAATAATAGCCAAGTATATATTGTCCACATAGGTAGAATTTACTGCCAAGTTAAATGAATAGTCAATATTAAATCATATAATATTCAGTATTGCACTAGAAAGTAGTATAGTTGATATTTGATAAGCAAAAGTTGGAGAATATATAATTATATAAATATTACTTTACCAGTATGTCATGATAACAAACATAATTTAACTTTAAAGTATTTATACTTGTAAGATTAAATAAGCTATACTTTTGCTACTTTCTTTCAAGTAAAACTAAAAACTTATCTAGTAATAAGGTTCAGCATGGAAAGACCATACGTAATTGATCAACTTTCATCAACAGCAGTAGTACGAAATGCAGCAGAAGATTACTTGTGCCCAGTCAAATAAACTAATGAATGTTAATATAGATTATTTTATTCGTATTCAAAAATGAAAAAAAAAATTGTATATGCTCTAAAATAACGACAGTAATAAACGAAAAAAAAAATAGGATTTTAATCGGTCCACTTTTTTTTTTTCTTCTTTTCTTTTTTTCTTTTGTCAATGTTACAGTGACACATTTGAAATAAAAAGTTAAAATGATCGAACTGTTGCTTCCTATTTGCTTGTATTAAATATGATAGTAACACAGTCTCTACCAGATTTACACAAAATCCCTGTTCTTATGTAACAACGACTTTTGAATATAATAATAAAAAAAAAAAGGATAGAATAGAATAGTTATTAAAAATACTGTTTATTAAATTGTTTACGTATATGGCAAGTATATAATACATATATTTAGTGTGTATAAATAAAATCTATAAAACTTAAAAAATCTACATACATCTAAAAAAAAAAAAAAAAAGGAAAATCTAAACTTGATGAATAATAGAAGAAAATGAAGGCGACCTTGTGAGTTTAACCCCTTGTTTTGTGTCATAACAACTTAAGTCTTTAAAATGTGTAGTTAAGCTGGCTCTTCTTTTAGGCGGAGGAGGTGATAATTGAAAGTTTGTATCATAGGCCATAATTTCAGGCTCATGACGATGATAGGATGGTTTTTCGGGATAACTTATTTTTTGCTCTGTTGCTATCCTTTCTTGCGGATGAGGGGAAGGGGCAATTGGACTTACTGGGCTACTGCATGTAGCAACTGGATGTTGAGGATTTGTCGAAAATAATTTAATGTCTTCTCCACCATAAGTGAAATGTTCAAATAAGAGACCCTCAAGGGATTTTAGTTTTTCTTCTTGTGGTGGTTGCTCCTCATGAGCGTTGTTTATGGATGCAGGTATATTCTTACTTTGGCTACGATTTAAATGAACTGGTATGATTTTTTTTTCAGGACGATTTCTTTTACTGCTTATACTATGACTGCTATTGCTACTCACAACACTGCTATTTGATTTTATAGATGTTAAAGTAACGTTACTACTACTACTATTACTACTTGTCGTTGCACTTTTTCTTAATGCCTCTAAACGAGAACCTGATCTTTCATAGTGTTGTGGAGTATGAGGCTGAGACTGGCTTGAGCTTCGTCGTCTTAGTGATGGTGTATGACTCGTGTTAGTATTAACCGAGGAAAGGTGACGACGATTGTTGACACTGACATGTGAATTTGTCATGATATTATGGGAGGACAAGACACTAGAAGAAAAAGAAGTCTTTGTACGAGAGTGCTGTAATAATGATGACGAACGAGAATTATAATCAGAAGGCAAATTAAGCTTTCTTGGAAGTCTACCTAAAACTTGCGATGAATTAATAGAACCCTGGCCTTGTACAATACGTAAAAACTGTTGTTCATCAAAATATTTGAGTGCTGCCCATGAAGGATTTAAAAAGGAGAATTTTTTCTTGATATTATTTAAATTTTCTATAGCATTGTTATATTATTAGTTTTATAAATATCAATATAAATACATATATATGATATGTATATGCATGTATACATCTGGATAACTACTTACGTTTGCCTATACCACCATGTTCAAGCATACCATGAAGTGGTTTATGTGGTGCGGGTAATGTTCCCTTTGTACCTTGCTTAAGAGGTAATTTACCCTTGACTAATCGGCAAATATTACGAGCAATACAAACACCAGAAATCGTGGCGGCATAACCTGTTTTTTCTTCAACGACATTTGTTACATCACCACCAGCAAAGATATGGTTATACTTGTAATGATCGAGTTGAAGCGTGGGTTTCACCTTAATTCGACCCCAGGCATCAATACAATTATCCAAGGAACTATCTGTTGAACTTGTGAATAAATTATTGTTAGGACGTGTACCAGTGGCAATAAAGACCTTATCAAAGCCATAATAAACACGTCCACTAGACCCAAGATAACTGTTTGCATTTGTAGAATCAAAGTCCAAGATTTTTTCATTACAGATCACTTTAACCCCAAGGTCTTCTAAATATTTACGTGCCACACTTTGTTGACGGACATCACTTCTATTTACTACATTAGAATGAGAATCAACAAGAGTAACCTCCTTTTTAGGATGTGCACCAGGAAATCGATGCTGAGAGATCTCGGAGGCTAGTTCACAACCGACTAAACCACCACCTATATAATTGACATATGATTTTTTTTTTTTTAGTTTACAAAAAAAAAATGATAGAAATTCTTTTTTTTTTTTTTTTCGTTACCAATAATTAAGACAGAACGTGCTTTTAAGAGTTCCAAGTAAGATTCTTCTAAACCAGACATACGATATAAGGATGATGTATCAGTTGATTTCAATTGCGAAGAGTATGCGCTACCAGTAGCTACAACAAGATAATCGAAAGTAATCTATAAATGTATATACACATGTGTATATTAGAATAGAACTATAGAAAGGGGGGAAGGGGGGGCATGGTAACACATGTATATTATAAATGTACTTGATATTAAAAATAAAAACGTACCACTTCTTGATTTACAGTTACAGTTTTTCCTTCGTTGGAAAGATCTTCTGCAAACCCAATGATGACCCTTCCATTTTTTACATATGCATCATGACGGACTCGAAGAGAACTCGTTTGCTCAGGATTAATAATTTTCTTAACGATACCTGGAGTGTATTCAAAAGAATCTATATATATATATATATTAGTACACTGTATTTATAAATAGTATGTCATATATGAACAACCTTTTGTGTCAATTAATGTAACATAAAAACGTGGCATTTGGTCGAGTATTGAGGCAACGGTAAAGCCCTATTTAAAAAAAAAAAGTTAAATGATTTGTTAAAAAACATTTATGTAATTATATAGTATGTTTAAACTTACAGTAAAACCACCGCCAACAATAACAACACTAATTTGCTGATTTTGAATTTTACTAGGACTTACATTTCTATATAATAAAAGTTAAATAATTTTTTTTTTTTTTTTTTTTTTTTTTTTTTTTTTTTTTTTTTTTTTTTTTTTTTTTTTTAGGGGAAAAATAGGATGTAACAATTACCCAGAATGAAGTTCCATAGTTCGTGCAAATTCCGCCAGCTTCACTTTCTATAAAAATAATATAATAGAAAAAAAAAAAAGGGGGACGGAGAAATAAATAAATAAACGGGATAAAAGTGAAAAAAAAAATTTTTTTTTTCTATTAATGTAATACCAGTATGTCAAGTACTTGTGCCTCGGTCTCTTCTAGGATGGTGACAGCATCTACTCGATCAACAATTGCCCATTCTAATGACCGTATATCATCTCTTACTTGATCTTGTGTAGTTACATGGAGTTCTAAAGGTGATCCATGAGCTAAAAATGTTTTATAAATTCTAAAAAGAAAAACAAAAGAAAAGGTTGAATATCAAAAATCCAGGAACAAGAAAAAAAAAAAAAAAAAAAAGAAAAAAAGAAAGAAAAAAAAAGAAACCTTTTATTTATACCTATGGAGTGTTGGTTCAACTGATTTTGGATCTGATTCATGTTTTAATTGTGTAATAGCTTCAATAAATAATAAATTTTCATGAGACCATGTTTGTCGAAGAAAACATTCAAAGGCGCATAGCAATTTTGGATTTGAAAGTACTTGGCTTAATGTAAAGCCTGATGCATTAGCTATTGTATTAGTAGTTGTATTTGTAGTTGTTGTTGATAAATGATCGTCTAATGAACTTGCTGATGAATATGTCGAAGATGAAGATGATAGAGAACCTTGTGATATTAAATCGTCATGTATATAATGTACCATAATTAATAATATAAAATAAAGTAAAAGAAAAAAACAAATAAAGAAAAAGAAAAAAAAAGTAAAAGAAAAATAATAATTAAAAAGATAAAATGTCAAATTTATGTTTATTACTACTATTTTTTTTCTCCTACCCCGCCTCCATTTAATATTTATCTTCCGTATAATAACTCCACATTTTCCTAACATGTGTGGGCTAGGGAGTTTAATGCTGCTTATGAAGACAAATTATAAAATATAGTCTCCTATCTCCTTTTTTTTTTATATGAAAAGATTTGTGTGGTTTAATGGCATGATTATTTCCTCCAATCGGATATAAAGGGAGTATATAATGAGAGCTTTTATTTTTTATTTGTGCAACTTGTACAATGTACAAGGATGTACCGACAATACCCACTTGTCATTACATAAATAAATAAATAAATTTACATATGTCATTTTTAACATGATGTCCGTGTACATTCATCCTTAACTTAATATACAGAAAAAAAAGCGGAATATTTTAATACTAAACTATCTATAGTATATATTAATGTAGTAGGAAAAAAAAAAAAAGATAAATATTTAATCTTCTATACAGTAAAATAATTATATAAAGAGTGTGGATACAAACATATATATTTATATGCTGGGCGTGTGTGTGTGTGTATTAAAAAAAAAAAAAAAAAAAAAAAGAGAGAGAGGGGAAAGGAATTGAAAGAAGATGGAGGAAGAGAAGGGTGGATATTACTGTTTAATCTATAAAGTGATGTATAATAGTGTATTATTTTATATTATAATGATTGGTTACCAAACAGGTCTAGAGTCATGTTTAGCCATGTCAATAATTCTCCAGCCATTAGTAATAGGATTTTGAAGATCTTCAGGCTCTTTAGTTAGTACACATGCATAAGTTACTTGCTCAATAAGATCCTGTATAAAAAATAAATTTAATAAAAGTTTATGTTTTAAATTAATTAATTATATAAATATACCTCTTTCCCGTAGACAATTTCCCCACTCTTTGCATTACGGAAAACAATAATCTCCTGAGTACGGAAAGACAATACTAAAACAGGCACATCATTTTCTAAGATCTTTGCAGCAACTAACTAATTTTAAGCAAGCAATAGAGATAAGTCACATTTTGCAAAACAATATTATTTTCTAATATCTTACCTCAATATCACGCAAGTCCTGAATCTTACAATCACTGATTAATCCTTGTTGCATTTGTGCTTGAATAACAGCAGTTAAAACATTATATGTCTAATAATAGATCATTTTTTTTTCTTAAAAAAAACCCCTTTCTTGATATGCTTTAATACTTTAATTACTTACTGCTTCAGAACACCATAATTTCAATGTTTCAACATCACCCTTTAAATAGGCTTCCATCAATTCAGGGATAATAAATTTGCGAGCATCTGTCATAAACTTATCCATATTAAATCTAGGGTCAATTGATTGGAAGGCACGAATTGCTTGTGCTTGATCTGATTCTTCAAATAAAGAGCCTAAAAAAAAAGAGAGAAAAAAAGAAAAAAAAAAGCTAAGTATGCATTTTTCACTTGTCTTCTTTTTTTTTCTTTTCAAAGCAATACTTACTAAATGCATCCGTAATACGATCAGTGAAAGCACGAGAATATGAAATAAAGATATTGTCAGATTCTTCATAAGACTTTCTCGCACGGAAAATACCTAAATTATTGAAAGTTATATTCATGTTCTGTCTTCATTCATATATCTTCTTACCTTGCATAATAGGACTATCTTCCTTAAATTTATTCCAACTCTCTTTCCATTTAGAATCCTTATGAAGCACCATATGTGCTCCAGCCTCTGGATTTTCATTTACTACCTTTGAAGCCCCATTATTTGCTGAATTCTTTGCTGCTTCTTCACGTAATTTACGTCTTGTCTCCTTATCAACAAACCCACCATATCGACCACTTTCATCTTTTAATACCGTCTTAAACGAGTCTGTGAGCTTACCCACTGCTTCACTATTTTTTATAGGTTCTGCTTTCTTATTAATCGTCTCCGCAGCTTTCTTAATTTTCTCTGAGGTATCCTTAGCAAATTCTGTTTCAGCAGCTTTCTTCAAGGAATCATTCACAGTCGAACCCACTTTTTCCGCAGCCTTTGATAATTTTTCCGTAGCTTGTTTTAAACGTTCTGAGTGAACTGTTTGTTGAGCCTAAATACACCACACACACACAAAAAAAAAAATACAATATTCTGTCAATTATAAACATTGGATGAATTCTTTTTTTTTTATATTTGTCTCTCCCTTTTTCTATTACCTTGAATAATTCTTTTGCTTTCTTAAGTGCTTCACTATCACTTAATCTACCAGACTCGTCTTGAAGTTTTTTTATATCATTTTTGTTTTTTGACATTTGTTCCTTAAAAGTATCCATAAATACTTTAAATGGTGAGCTGTAATGACGAACATTTGTCTTTTGATAACGTATCGTATTGACAAACAAACGAGCTTTTGTATTTGAAACTAATAAGGTTCTATAGGAATACATATTGCAGAAAATATAAATAAAAAAAAAGGGGGGGTAAAAGGTAGAAAAAAAGGAATAGAAAAGAAAAGAAAAGGAAAGAGTTTCCGGAATTAGCTTCGTGAAAGTCGGGTGGGGGTGGCTTGTAAATTCAAAAGGAAAGGGGAGGGACACCCTTGGCCAATATTAACAGTCCGCTTAAAAGATCTATCACTTTATTCATATTCTACTAAAACAAAAAAAAAAAAAAAGAAAAGCCTTCCGTGTTTTATTACGAATATGTATGGAATTATTAACTACTAAATCTCCTTTATATATTTCGATATTCATCAGCCTTATAAAGGTAACTTCAAATAGACGGGCAAGTTAACAAGAAAAAACATGAATTTATCAATAAATAGATTGACTATTCTTTATTTTGAACCAGAGGAAGCATATATTATTTGTGAATTCATTGAGGTATAAAAAAGAGAATTGACTATAAAGTTTTCATTTAGCATAAAATCTTATAGTAAAGATGTATAGCGACAATGGTGAAGAAGTCACTTTTTTTTTTGGGGGGGAGAAAGAGAGAGTTACTGCCCTTTTTTGGAAACACGAAAAAAAAAAGCAAGAACGCGTTAATAATTTTAATTTTATTGTTTTATCTCAAATAATACTAATAATAATAAAAAATGAGTCAAATGGATATTGATGTACCTGTAACTCCAAAAAATAAAGGAAAAGAAAAAGTTTTAAATATAACAGATGAATTAGACAATTTACCTTGGGTAGAAAAATATAGACCACAAACACTTGATGATCTTGTTTCTCATGAAGATATTACATCTACAAGTAATAACTAAAGATATATATATATATATATACATGTATTAAACTAATCTGAATAAAAAATAGTTGAAACATTTATTGACGCTAAGCGACTTCCTCATTTACTATTCTATGGCCCTCCAGGCACAGGCAAGACAACTACTATTCTTGCTTGTGCTCGAAAACTTTATGGAGAAAAGTTTAAAGCTATGATTTTGGAATTGAATGCATCAGATGATCGTGGTATTGATGTTGTTAGAGAACAGATTAAAAACTTTGCAAGCACACGAAATATTTATAGTTCTGGATTCAAGTTGATCATTTTAGATGAAGCAGATGCCATGACCAATCAAGCACAATCAGCACTACGTCGTGTGATTGAAAAGTATACAAAGAATGTTCGCTTTTGTATCATTTGTAATTATGTGAGTAAGATAATTCCAGCTATTCAATCGCGTTGTACTCGTTTTCGTTTTGCACCACTGACTATTGAGCAAGTGGAGTCTAGACTTCAAACCATCATTCATAACGAACATGTTAATTTGACAGAGGATGGTAAAAAGGCTCTACTTCGTCTTTCTAAAGGTGATATGCGTCGTGCTTTAAATATCTTACAAGCTTGTCATGCTGCTTATGATCGAATTGATGAAGCTGCTATTTATAATTGTACTGGACATCCTCAACCTCGAGACATAGAACGTATTGCAAAATGGATGATGACTGAAGATTTTACAACTGCTTATTCAAGTAAGTCATGCTTACATAAGATATATCTATATACGTTTATATATTTATAAATGATATGATGTATAGATATTGAAAAGTTAAAGAAAGAAGCAGGATTGGCATTACAGGATATTGTTAGTGAAGTTTATAATTATGCTCGTCTGGTTGAGTTCCCAGCAAAATCACGGATACTTTTATTACAAAATTTAGCAGATATAGAATATAGATTAGGCGAAGGTGCGAATGAACAGATTCAATTGAGTGCGCTTGTAGGAACATTTAAATTAGCTCAAGAGAATATTGTAGCATAATTTTATTTTATTTTATTTTTTATTATTATTTCATATGCTATAATAAATATGCGTACGACACAATATTAATTTTTGTTATGTTATGCAAATTTCTTAATATGGACGATTGTTTTTCTTTGATACGATCAAAAAAGGGATCAGTGTAGATAATGAGTAGTAGTCCCTATATCAAGTACTTGGTATACAAATATTGTTTTTTTTTTTTTTTTTTTTTGTCTTTTTTGTCTTTTTGGTCTTTTTATATACACATAATAAATAAATAGATATAACATACACAAGTGAGTAAGTGAATATAGAATCCTATTTTAGTATTTATAAATAACACTATGTATTCTAGTACAGGATGAGCACAATAACATTAAGTCAAGAAGATCAAAGAAAGATAAATTCTATCCGAAGAAAAGATAAAATGTGGATATATAAAAATCCAAAAGGTTTATTGTTACTAGAAAATGTACAAGTTGAATAAATAAACGTTATTTGATTTCCTCAAACTAAAAAAAAAAAAAAAAAAAAAAAAAAAAAAAAAAAAAAAAAATTGTCATGTAGGAATTAAATGAAAAGAAAAAGCAAAGGTTTGCTAGACACAGAGCTTGTCTTGTATTATCAAAGTCTACATCCAAAACGATAGATCATCTCGAGAAATCAATAGTCAAAGAAGAGATGAATTCAAAAAATAGACCCAAATTACATCATATACTGGAGCCAAAGAGTTTAAATATTCCCGTCGTAAAGAATGACCGAAAAAAAGAATTTAGCAATGATGAAAAAATCGAAACTAAAAGTTATAAAGAGAAGCAACAATTGCGAGCTTTAGATAATTCAAAGCAAGACAAATCTGCAGACCTGTCATCATCTAAGCAAGCATACGATAAAAGCTCTACTACTGTTGAACATAATTTTTTAATTGAAGCAAAACAAAAGCTATTATCAGCACAAAAGAGAATAGATACAACGAGTAGCGTAAAGAAGGCGAGTATGGAGTTGCCAGTAAAGAAGAAAGGTCTTGTTGTAAGTGTAATTATCAGTATAGATAAGAAGAAGAAGCAGCAGAAGAAGCAAAAAAAAAAAAAAAAAAAAAAAAAAAAAAAAAAAGGATGAATTTAACATATAGAATTTTATACTATAGTCTTCAGTTGTATCCGTTTTCGAAGTCCCCTCAACAAATAATAAAGGTAACCACTATAAAAAATAAATAAATAAATATTATATGTATTTATACATACAAACATACATACATGTATAAATATATAATGCATACTGTTTATACATCTTTTTACTAACATTAGTAAGATAAAAAACTATTAGTAAATGAAATTAAATCACCCATTGTGAGCAAATCTGCTAGCTTAATATCTTCAAAATCAATAGACTCAAATTGTTCTTTAAAACAAACAGAGTATATTGATGTACGATCGCCTGCTTCTACTGCAAGTTCTGTGAGTGAAAATTATATACATATATAAAAATACACATATTTACATGTACTTATATATATTTTGTTACTTTGATGTAGACTGCATTAGTAACTCCATATACTCCCACAACAAAAAATAATGTCTCTTATTTTTCGCTACCTTCTCATCATGAAAAATATCAATCTGATTTCAATGATAAAGTCTTTCAGCAAGAAGTAAACCAGTCTATCATCATTAATACAGTTGATAAAGACCAGGATACTGCTAAAAATGATGCCTCTATTAACATGTATCTTCCACAGTTATCACCTGAAATCTCTTTTTGTAATGATGATACTATTATGTCAGATCTATCTGAATCAGAAGATCATGATACAATCCAACAAAAGCAGGTAACATCTTCTTTCAGGGAGAACAACAAAAAACGATCCCATCTCAAGAAACAGGTCTCCTTTTCAGATCAAATGCTAACATATATTCCAGAACAACAATATGATAATCATTCTCTGTCCTCCTGTAGCAGTTCTTCCTCATCTGCTTCTTCTGTCGATACTCCAGCGGCGTCTACAAGTGAATCTACTATTCTTCCTGTTCCAATCATGCATGATACAGAAGTAAGCTCAAATCGTCTTTTAAATTTTTCTCATACTATTCGCAATGAGTTATCGAATACCAAAGAAGCACTTATTGCAGAAGGGAAAGTAAATGTAACATCTTCTCGAAATAAATTTGTCCCTGTCGCCATTAGAAGCGCTAGTAACAAGCTATTATCAAAAACTGACGGGAATACTAAACAGAATTCAATTGTAAATACAACTCCTCAGCGGTTATCAAACAGATTATTAAATATCTTTCAGTCAAAAGCCTCAAATAATGCTGTAACTCATACTTCATATGTAGCAAGTAATAAGCAGTCTACAAAATTGCACGAGTGTTATCAACAAGCACCACCAGCACAGGAATTAATACATGTAATTGAATTATATAAAATATATCTCTCATACATCACTCATTTATCCTTCTCTTCTTCCTCTTGCCTTTTATTTTTATTATTATCATTATTTAGCTTACAAAAACTAGACCAAGAAAGCCTCCAAGTTTAAGAAAACCCACTTATCCAGCAGCAACAGCTCAACCTAATTGGAGAATAAAAGCTACTAACAAAAAGTACGAATTTGTTCGAACAGTACAATCCTAATTTTCTTGCAAATTAATAATAAAACTGCATCAAAATTATTTTATTATATACAAATTCATTTAGTTTTTTTCAGTCCTTTTTTTAATCTCTGTTAGTTGCCTCATTTGTAGCATCACTCTCTGTTGTCTTAGGGGGCATAGGAACATCACTGAAATCATCTTGTTTAACTGCTAAAAGAGAATATGCATCTACATAAAAATAAAAGGAATTATTATTGCTATCATACTTAAATAAAGGTGAGGAGTAGAGGGAGAAGAAGAAGAAATAAAAAATGGCTAAATAAGACTTACAAACACCTCCAGTAAATGTTAAGAGACCGGCTAAAGTAAGCATGTTACGAACGGCAAATGGCTTACGTGTTCTCTGCAAAGCAGGTGTAAAACCATATCCTTTTGTTGTTGAATAAAGTTTTTCTCGACTGGGCTGATGCTCCATTATAATGTAGTTTATTTAAAGAAAAACAAAACAAAACAAAACAAAAGAACCTGCCCTTGTTTGAAAGCAATAATGCAGTATGATTACGAGCCAATGAAATACAAATAAATTATAGTGACTTAATTTTCTTGTTATTAACAATTTTTTTGTTGGTATCAATATGAACGGAATTAAAACGCGTATTTCCTTTTTTTTTTCAAGAAAAAAAAAAAAAAAATAGACAATTAAATAAACATGGCCTTTTCATTGGGAACAACCAATCCTTCAACTAATACGTTTGGAGGATTCGGTACCACTCAAACATCTACAGCAAATACTGGATTCGGTACTCAAGCTTCAACGGCCCCATCAACTACTGGATTTGGTGGATTTGGCACAACATCAACATCAACACCTGCATTTGGAACTAATACTGCTACTTCTACACCTTTTGGTGCTTCCACTGGGTTTGGTAATGCAACATCAACTGCGCCAAGTACAGGATTTTCTTTTGGAAATACAACCCCATCTGCCCCTGCTACGTCGGGTACTGGGTTCACCATTGGAAATAACTCAACTACTACTACTACTACACCATCCACTGGATTCTCATTTGGAAATAGTTCAACAGCTCTTAATACCTCTAAACCTGCTTTTGGAGGCTTTGGTACAACAACAACAACTTCAGCACCTTCTACGGGTTTATTTGGATCAACTGCTACAACTAATACTGGATTCGGAGGATTTGGAGCTAATAAGACAGGTTTTAATTTAACAACAAATACAGGAGGTAATAATAGTCTTTTTGGAGCCAATAAACCTACCACATCACTTTTTGGCAATACAGGATTTGGATTTCAACAACAGCAACAACAACAAAATAGCAATGTTGTAAATCAACAACGAGCACAACAACTTTACCAAATTTTATCACAAATAGACCAAGAAGAACGAGCCAAGTCCAAGACGACTATTACAAGTGAAGATTATAAGCCTGAACATGTCTGGCATGCTTTAGCATTACTCAAGAGTTGGTGGGATCCTAAATCGCCTCATTGTCGTTTTAAATATTATTTTTATAATGTTGTTTCTCCACAAGAAGTACAACTTTATCAGAGGCCCGCTGACCATGATGAAGCTGCATGGAATGCTGCACAAGCTGCGAATCCAGATCCAAAAACGAGAGTTCCAGCATTGGCTATTGGTTTTGATGATGTGCGTAAACGTATGGAAGAGCAACATAAATTAAATGAAGCGCATAATGCTAAATTAGAAGAAATCAAAACAATCTTGAATAAAATTCAAAAGATGAGTCAATTGGAAACACCAGTTAAATTAGAAGAATATAAACGTAGACACATGCAAACGACACAAAGAGTAATCAAGGTAAAATACACACAAATTTATATACATATACATATTGCTTACAATTATATAGTTTTTAAAATATGCACAAGTTTTACGTAATAAGGGTCTAAGTATAACACCTGATGAAGAAATGATGCGAGCAAGGCTTGAGAATATTCAAGAACAATTACAGCGATCCGACCAATTCCGTAGTAAATTAAGTCAATTATGGGCTCAGTTACAGCTTATTAAAGAATCAGGGAGAAAGTATGGTAAGATTGATGGAGTTGATGAATGGGATGCTGTGAGTGAAGAAAATATGAATGGTATTACAAAGGTAAATAAAGAAGAGCAACTCCCTCCATCTTGTCGAATAGGGTAACTAACTCTAGACAATTTATCTTTTTTTTATTAGATTTTACAAGAGCAAAATAATGGCGTAGAGCATATTATTGAAGTACTTGAAACAGATGCAAAAGAAATTGATAATCTGAATAAAGCTTGGAAGCATCAACAGCATATTAATTACTAAATAAAAATTCTTGCAATAATAATAATAAAAAGGAAAAAAAAATATCCATTTAAAAGAAGCATTTTTATGTAATAAACGTGAAATCCTTCTTTTCTTAAAAATCAATACCTGAAATATTTAGAGGTTTTTTGTGAATACATAAACATTGTTATTTGATCTTCTACTACTACTATAAATAAATAAATAAATAAAAAAAAAAAGAAAACTAAGCGGACATTTAAATTAATTTATGCCTTCAATCATCATCACTTCTTACTACTCCTATTGACTTGAGGTTAAACAGTCAAACGTGGCTTAGGTGTTGCTGTTCCTAATTTTTTCACAAACTGGACTTTTTTATTTTATTTTATTTATTTTTTTTTTGTTTTTGTTTTTTATTGTCATATATTATACTATAATAAAATGCGTCCATTGACAGCTGAAGAAACTACGACACTTTTCGAAAAACTTGCTAAATAGTAAAAGTGGACACTATAAACACATATTTATTTATTTTTTTTCGAAGTATTAATCTTTATTTCATGTGATTAGCATTGGAGCAAACATTAAACATTTGATTGACAGACCTGATGAAACATATTGTTTTCGACTTCAGAAAAACAAAGTCTATTATCTTAGGTACCGATGAGTAGATATATATATACATATACACAAAAGCTCACAGAATGGATAGATTAATAAATGAAGAATTAAAAAAAAATACTAATTTTACAACCTTTCCATTATTAGTGAATCGATGATGCGTATGGCAGTTAGTGTTGGACGTGATCAACTTGGATCAGTTGGAGTTTGTTTTGGTAAATTCACAAAGACTGGAAAATTCAAACTTCATATTACTGCTCTTGATTATTTAGCACAATATGCCAAAGTAAGTTGAAAGAGGAGAGGAAGCCAAAAAAAGAAAGAAATAGAGTTATTTATGGAGTTTTTTTTTTTTTTCTTATCTAGCATAAAATTTGGATCAAGCCAAATGGTGAAATGCCCTTCTTATATGGAAATCATATTGTGAAAGCACATTTAGGTCGAATTACAGACGATACCCCAGAACATACTGGTGTTGTTATCTTTTCCATGACTGATACACCATTGGTAAAATTATATTAGTAAAGAAGAAAAAAAAAGGGGGGGAGAGAGAGAGGGAGGAGGATGTATTATATTGATTTATGTATCATTAGGGCTTTGGTGTCACTGCACGATCAACTATGGATATGAAAAAGCTTCAACCAACAGACATTATTGTGTTCCACCAAGCGGATGTTGGTGAATATCTTCGTGAGGAAGATACTTTATTTTAATAGAGAATAAAATAGTATTGTGTATAGAACATTTGTTTGCCGTCCACTCAAAGGTGTACAAAGTTTAAATTAAAAAGTTTATTATTAAATTTAGTTTGGAATCAACTTAATTCGAACCAGGAATAATGATATTATTATAATATATATATTTATATTTTTTTTTTCATTCTATAAAAATAAAGGCCTTTTAATAAACAAACAGTTATTAATAATCATCCTACACATAAACTAGTTGAAATAAATATTAATTTAATAAATTTCAGTAAAATGGAAAAAAAAAAAAAAAAAAAAAAGTCTAATTTAAGTTTTGACTTATTAACACAATTCCTGAAAGAACTTGTTGTGGTGATCTTTAAAAAAAAAATACAAACGTATCATATTCTCTTTTCCCTCCCTCCCCCCACAAGTGAATTTAATTTTGTTATTGGTTAAAAAAAAAATAGCCCGGTACGCATAACGTCATAATGCTACAATGACATCAGTTTCCTTTTTTTTTTGGGCACTGTACAAGATCAATCATCATCATTATATGGTAATACATTTTTTTTGTATTTTTATTTTATTTTATTTTATTTTATTTTTTGTACCTTTCTTTTCTATTTATCATTTTTTTTTCTTTTAGTAAGTATTATTATAAAAACATAATGAAATAAATAGAAGCTATTAACATTTTATATTCTTTTCTTAAAAAAAAAAAAGGAAAATTTCTTTTTTGATTAAATACAAGTAAGTATAGCATGGCTGAGTATAAAGTAGAAAAGGGCAGGTTTTTATTGAAGAATAGAATTATGTTATTGCTATAGAAAAACAGAAAAAAAAAATATTATTTAATTATTTATATATATCATTTACTTATACTTTTTTTTTAATTATTATTATTTCATTTTATTTCATTTTATATTTTATTTGTATTCAATAGAGAGTCTATTATTTATATATTTATACAACAATGGCTGAATTTGTTAAACTTTCGATCTTTGGTACTATATTTGAAGTAACTACCAGGTAATTTTTTTTTAATTTAAACAAAAACGAGTGATAGTTTATTAAATGTGCTGGATTAGATATGTTGATTTACAACCTGTGGGCATGGGTGCATTTGGTCTGGTTTGGTAAATAAGACTTGGAATGATCATATTCAATAATCATATTTACTTATTTAAGTTTGAATACTACAGTTCGGCTAAAGATCAATTAACCGGTATGAATGTTGCTATTAAAAAGATTATGAAACCCTTTTCGGCCCCAGTATTGGCAAAGAGAACATATCGTGAATTGAAATTACTAAAAGCATTAATGCATGAAAATGTAAGTAGTTATCTACAAGATGACTAATATGTATGTATAATGTATTAATAATTATGTGTATTTATATATGTATATATATGTGCTAGATCATTAGTTTAAGTGATATCTTTATTTCTCCTTTAGAAGACATGTAAGTCACCTATCCCTTTTTTCTTCTTCTTTTTTATTATTATTATTATTATTATTATGTACAATAAGCATTAAACATATTGATCATATTATACTAGTTATTTTGTTACAGAATTACTTGGTACGGATTTACATAGATTGCTTCAATCTCGCCCTTTAGAAAAACAATTTATTCAATATTTCCTGTATCAAATTTTGGTATGTGTGTACAAAGAGTAATGTTGGATATATGTATATTTATATACTTTTTTTTTTCATTATATAGAGAGGCTTAAAGTATGTTCATTCAGCCGGTGTTATTCATAGAGATTTGGTATTATAAAATCTATCTATCTATCTATCTATCTATATCATATAGACTGACATATTATATATATATATAGAAACCTAGTAATATTCTTATCAATGAAAACTGTGACCTAAAGATTTGTGATTTCGGTCTTGCTCGTATTCAAGATCCCCAGATGACAGGTTATGTATCGACTCGATATTATCGTGCTCCTGAAATTATGTTAACATGGCAGAAATATGACGTCGCTGTGGATATCTGGAGTGCAGGTTGTATATTTGCAGAAATGCTTGAAGGAAAGCCTCTTTTCCCTGGCAAAGATCGTAAGTCATCCAAAAAAAAAAAAAAAAAAAAAATATAGTGTCGTTTCAGATTTAAATGAGTCCTCACTTTATAATAATAATAGACGTTCATCAATTTTCAATTATTACTGAACTTCTTGGAACCCCACCTGATGATGTAATTGCTACTATTTGCAGTGAAAATGTAAGTTAAAAATAAATACATGTGTGTGAGTGTGAGTGTGAGTGAACATACATACATACATACATACATACATACACACATATATATACACACATATATATACACATATATTAATCAAATCAATGTATAGACACTTCGTTTTGTTAAAAATCTTCCTAAACGTCAGCCTATCCCATTCAGTCAACGCTTTGCTGGTCAAGATCCTCAAGCAATTGATTTACTAGAAAAGATGTTAACCTTTGATCCTCGTAAGCGTATCACGGCCGAAGAAGCATTGTCTCATCCTTATTTAGCCCCTTATCATGATCCTACAGATGAACCAGTGGCACCAGAGAAGTTTGATTGGTCCTTTAATGAAGCTGATTTACCTGTAGACACATGGAAAGTAATGATGTATTCTGAAATTTTGGATTTCCATAATGTCGATAATGCAGATACAGCTAATTATCTTGGAACACCTATTACAGGAGGCATGTTTGAAAATAATCAGGGCTATATTCAATCCCAACCACAGTAAACAGTATTCCAACTACTCACTCTTACTTACTCTATCCTATCAATTGAAAAGAGAGGAGAAGAAGAAGAAGAACAACAGCATACTATTCACAAAACTATATAAATATATATATTTATAATCTTTTTATATTATAATATTCTTCAATTTTTTGTCCTTTATCCCTCTTTTTTTTTAAAAAAAAACTTAACAATATAATATATAAAGCACTATTACTCTTTTTTTTTTCATTTATTTATTCCAGATACCATTGGATTAATTGAGAACATACAGCCATGTTATTCGAGAAAACATTGAAAAGATATATTAGGAAAGAGAAACAAGTAAGCGGTGAATAATATAGTTTCTCAACGACTCAATTGTAATTAATATCTCTTCTTATTAAGTTTAAAAATGACAGTATATATTTAGAATAGGGTTATTGATTCGATAAAAAAAAAGGGACATTCAGTACCGTATGAGTCAGTTTGTTAATTTAAGACATGGAAGATAATTTTATTTTTTTTAAAAAAAAAATAAAGAGTACAAGTTATCTTTATTTATATAAAAACAACACAGGCCAACGCTACTATTCTTATTATTCACATGTCAGTTTAGAAACAGAAGAAAATCGTTACTATTCCTAAATGATAGACCACAGTTAAGAGTTATTATATTAGACACCTTTTTTTTTTTCCAAGACGTAAAAAATTAAAGTACGACATAATTTCAATTAAAAGTATGTGCTTCTGATTTATAGCGTTATAATAATACTTGAACCGTTTTTTTTATTTATTTTATTTTATTTTATTTTATTTTTTTCGCCTTTATCTTATTCTGTTTACTTTTATATTATTGATGCCAACTACAGTTTCAAACTTCCAAGATGAATTAGAATCTATACCCGAACAATTAAAACTAATTCAGTGTGTTACCATCTTACAGACATCCTCTGATCTCCACAAAAATAAAGAAGCCCTAAAATATTTACGCAAAAGAGCAACCAGTCAACACGATATAGAAGCAAAGGCTAAGCTGAGTATAGTGTATAATGAAGATCATCTTCCTCATCTTGTTCGAGATGCCGCTGAAGCTAATCTGTGGTCTCGCAGCATTTTTGATAAACAACTTTCACAGGCATTAGAAGCATCTGCCTCCATCTTGTCCGAAATTGACACTCTCAGTACGTTGCATTTCCTTCAATCGATTACAAAGACAGAACCGACTGATGATTTGATGGCATGTTATTATTTAACTGGATTATTATATACACAAGATATTGGCCTTGAACAATCGATGGAGACAGGCATTCATCTTTTGAAAATTGCCGCCACAAAGGGGAAGGTGGCAGAGGCTGGATGTGAATTAGGAAGGATATATGGGGATCGATACAAATATTCGTTGAATCAGCCTATAGAATCGATGCATTGGTTTCATCGAGCATTTGAGTGTGGATCAACACAGGCAGTCGTTGATCTCGCCTATGGCTTCTTTGAAGGAAGAAAGGAGATACAAAAGGACGATGCACGCGCTTTAAGGTATGCAAAGGAAGGTACATTATTATTAAATGACAAGTATTGTCAATACATCGTGGGTCATCTTTATTTGAAAGGGAAAGGGGGTAGTGGTGATGCTCAAGAAGCGGTTCGATGGCTTCATGCCTCTGCTCAACAGGGCTTTGCTGTGGCTATTGAAGAGGAAGCATCTGTTTATATGTATGGCCATGGTAATGTAAAACAAGACTATGAAAAGGCATATCAGTGCTGTATAAGCCCCTCTGCTCTTCATATCCCTTTCTGCCAAGCGCGCTTAGGGGACATGTATCGAAATGGATGGGGTGTGGCACGCGATTTTCAAAAGGCATTTGAATATTATCAAAATGCAGCCAGTCAATCCAACTCGCCTTATCCTTATGCTCAACATATGCTTGGTGAAATGTAAGCTTTCATAATCTTCCTCCTCATTATTATAAAAATTTACATTATTATTATTACTATTAAAGGTTTCTGCATGGTGAAGGTGTACCAAACGATTTAGCCGTAGCTAAAGAATGGTTTCAAATTGCTTCAACACAAGGTTATGAGCCTTCACAAATGAAACTTCAACAAATTGAATTACTAGAAAATAATATGATTACATTACAGCAAAAGCAAAAGCAGCAAGAACAACCTCAAGAAAAGAGATCAAGTCGATGGTCTTTAAATTTTTTTAATAAAAAATAAAGAGAGTTATTGTCATTTTTTTTTTCCTTCTGCAATTGTTAATATTATGATTCCAGCCATTGACTAACATCAAGTATATATATATACATCAGAATGATTAAGCTAAATGAATACTTGGTATGATTCTAGATTATGTCTTTTTTTTTTATTTTATTTTCTTCTATATGCATATGATTTATTTTGGTGTATAAAACAGAATAGACTTTTTTTTGACTTTTACAATAATTTTTATATTTTAGGATACTTTAACTCGAAGGTCAAAGAGAGTCTTTTATAGGATTACTGTAAACAAGTTTTTGAAGTTGAGAATAGAGTAACTTTACCAGTAATAAAGTAACCCTTTTAATTTATATTTATTTATTTATACAGTCACTCATTCATTACAAGCAAAGAAGCTTTGGTATATTAAAATGAGGAAGAGTGTATAAAAGGCTTATTTCACTACAATCACCCTCTTAATTATTCTTACAAAAAAAAAAAAAAAAAAAATCACCCAGGTTTATGCCAATTACCGTCTGAAATTAAAATGTTTGCCGTTTACAAAAAAAAAATGAAAAAAAAGAAAAAAAAAAAAAAAAAAAAAAGATTAAAATAGAAGCTGATATAGTGAGGATTTACTGTACACTTCAAGTAAATATAATCTTTTTATATACATTTATATAGAAAAAAAATATAAACTTTATACATTTATTACATAATACTTTATGGACATTAAAAGTTGGTTAAGAACAGTATTACAACATGTAAATTGAAGATTAGTTGATTAAATGATCATTTCATTAATTATTCTTATTTTTTTTTTCTCAGTATCAAGACCCTGATCGAACTTTTCGAGATGTGGATTCTGTACTTCAAACATATTTATCATTAAAACCCAAGATGGATACGTATAGTATGTCTATCAATTTAATATTATATATACATGTATACAGCTTAATGACTTGCCCATTGCTTTATTTCATGTTTAGCATCCAATGATGGAAATACACAATTACTATTATGCTTACATGGTACAGTTCCTATTACATATCGTTCAGTTCCATACAATATACCTGTTGCCTTTTGGATTCCTAAAGAATATCCAAAGGTACCCCCTATTCCGTATGTAAAACCAACAGCCAATATGTTTATTAGAGAAGGTAGACATGTCGACAAAAGTGGTTTATGTTATCATCATTATCGATCATCATGGTCCAATGATCAGGTAAGAGATGAGAAAAAGGGGGTGAAAAAAAAGAAGAAAAAGATTCGAATTTTGCTTATACGAATCGAATATATACATATATAATAGAAACATACATTATTAGAACTTGTTGCTATTTTACAACAAGTCTTTGCTCAAGAACCTCCTGTTTATACCAAACCAACTACAAGCAATTTAGGATCACCACCACCACCACCACCACCACCGCCACAACAACAACAACAACCAAAAGAATCACTTTTAGATAGAGTTTCAATTCAAAGACAATCCATCTCGTCTCTACCCGTTATGGGTAACAATAGTCCAGAGGTATCAAATTGGATGGGAGAAAGTACTGCTTTATATAATATGAATCAAGGTTTAGCAGTAAGTGGATTATATATGTATATGTATACATAAACGAATATACTAATGATTAGAAAAAAAAAAAAGGCCTTGAATTTAAATTCAAATTCAAACGTAAATCTATCAAAATCAACTTCGCTTCCAATAATAGCAACTACAAGCAATATAACATATCCTCAACCACGCTTATCCATGAATTCACCTGTTTTAATGACAAAAGAGGATGATATTCAAAAAGCACTTTATAGAAAAGTAACAGAAAGATTACAACACTATAATGTATCTATTTCAGGCGATATGGATAAACTATTAATTCAGAATCGACAGTTAAATGAAGGGGAACTGTGTATTGAGCAAGAGTTTAGAGCATTAAATGACATTAAGGATCGATTAAAGTATAATAACTCAATATTGGAAAAGGGATTAAAGGAAATTGATCCAATTATTGAAAGAGTCAATTCTATGCCTGATGTACAAGTAGATGAAACTATATGTGGAACGACTGTAGTTGCTAATCAGTAAATAGAACATTAAAATGAAATGAAATGGAATACTACGAGTCTATTAAAACTTCTTTACATATATGTATATAGGTTATTTGAATTAGTAGCTGATGATAATGCAATTTCAGACACAGTGTATTTCTTAGCTAAAGCGCTTAATTCAGAAAGAATTGATTTAGCAACATTTATGAAGGTAATTTTGTTTGTATGCTTGCTTGCTTGCTTGCTTGCTTACTTACTTACTTACTTACTTACTTGTTAATATAACAATTTATGTTTAAATATAAAATAGTATACTCGAATGTTATCAAGGGAACAGTTTATGAAGAGAGCATTGATAAAGAAGATTACTCAAACATGAATATAATACTAAAATAAACCATTCTTCATTTGAATTGTTTAAAGTATCTATTCATGTCATTTAATATGAATAGAAAACTTCCTTTCCTTTTTTTTACTATATACACACACTTTCCAAAAAAAAAATATATACATATACTTCACTCAATGATAGTAGTTTTATTGATAAGGTTTCATAACTACTATTTATTCCTCTTTAGCATCTAAATGTTTCAATACTAATTACAAATCCCTAATAAATCATGTGCAAGTATTATTAATAATAAAGAAAGAAAGAAAGAAAAAGGACACTTCTATTATTAAGTACATGAAAATAGACGCGTTTAGAATTGATTTATATAGATATGAATGTCTTTTTTCACACTTTGTAAATAAGAGATAGAAATTCTATATTTCTTGTGTGTATGTTTTTAAGCTTTAGCACTTATCTAATTCTTTTTCTACGATAATAATTACCCTCCATTATCGGCGATAATTTATTAGGAGATAATAGTAATTATTCATCATCTTCTTTTATTAATCATCACGAAACAAAAAGGAATATGATGTCGAAACCGGGTTTATATGTTCCGTTAAATCTGTTTGGTCAGATTTTTAAAATCCGTGTTATGCATCATAAAACCCCTTTATTCATCTTCTGAAACACGAATCTCTCCTATTGAGGAAAAAAAATCTGATAAAGTTAACTATGCTCTTTTTTGTTTGATTTTAATAGCGACAAAAAATCATATCTTATTTAGATACATATATAAAAAAAAGATAATCAATATGTATAGAGTTTATCTATACTTATCTATCAAACCTATTTATAGTACAAAAATGAAAAAAAGTAAATAAGGATGAATTTTATAATTGCAATACAGGCTTATTTTTTTTTCATAAAGAGGAGAAGGCATGTTTCACTTTATTGAAATATTATGAATAGAATAAGATATTGAATTACTTTCTTTTTTTCCTATAGTTATTCAGCTTATTAATAATTAATTTACATATATTCTTCCCAAGAAGAAAGCAATTCTCTACATTATTTTAACGAATTAAATCCATGTATAAATACAATAAAAAAGAAGAAGAAGAAATACGTGTGCTATTATTTAAATAGAAAGAAATGGAAAAGAAGAAAGCATTTGTAATCTGCGTAGTAGTATTGATTAACAAAACAAAAAAAAAACAAGCGGAGATTTAATCGGTTAAAGCGATCCATTTTTGCATATACACACACATTTATATAAATATAGGATGCATGAAAGCTCGTTTGTTCATCTTTACTTTATATTGATAATAAATAAATTAAAAAAAGGCTCTCTTAATATCATGTCTGAATTTGAAGGTTGCAAGCTCTACTACTTTGAACCCCTCCTCGGTCATCGTAAGTATAATTCATAGTACATAGTTCTTTATCTATTATGAAGACTTAAAATCTTATTCCTTCATCTTTTATAATAGCTACCTATGGACGTGCTGAACCTATTCGACTTTTATTAGAAGATGCTGGTCTCAAATATGAATACATTAGAATCGCCTTTAAAGACTGGCCCAAGACTAAAGAAAACTTGATTGATAATGGTTCTCGTGCCCCTACCTTACCTTATATAACTACAAAGAACGGGAAGCTTTATAATACCATGGTTGCCTCTATGAGAGCTATTGCCAAAACCCTCGGTAGTGAAAAGAAATATTATCCCGAGGATGCTGAAGACCAATACTTGGCTGATGTCTACTGTGATCTTAGTTTGGATTGGATGAATAAACTTTTATCCGTTAAGCTTTTCGGACAAGACGAAGCTGCAAAGAAGGACTATATGGATCAATATGCTCCTAAACAACTTGCTAACTGGAATAATATCCTTAATGATAAAAACGGTCCTTATCTCTTGGGTGACGAAGTATGTATTTCATAAATGAAAAGATAGATAGAAAAAAAAAACGTTATTTATTTATTTATGTTGTTTAGATTTCATACAGTGACTTTTTCCTCTATAACATGTTAGAAAATGAAGGATTTGTTGACAACTTGGATGCTGAAAAGTATCCTCATCTTGTTACTTTTATAGAAACTTTCAAGAATAGACCTAATCTTAAGAAATACCTTGCTGCTTAAACATGACTCATAATTCTTATCAGAAAAGAAAAAAGACGCTTTAATTTTAATATAACTTATTCCATAATAATAATAATAATAATAAAAGGTGGCTTAGTCCTCATTAGTAGAAACAATACATCTATTCTCTTTACTCGCTCTTTTTTTTTTTTTTTTTTTTTTTTTTTTTTTTTTTTGGGACGATCCAAGTTCTTTTCCATGAAGTAACATTTTTGATAAATTCATTATATTCTCCCCCCCCCTTTTTTTTTCCTTTCAGATAATGACAGTTCATGAATGTAAAATTGTTAAAATACTGGATAAAAACATTATATTTAGAAAATGTAAAAGTTGCTCAAAATCAATCGTTCGAAAAAAGACAAATGATAAAAATGTTGATAGTCTGGATGTCTATTATTGTGGACATTGTAAAAAAGATGTTGATGAATTTAAAGTTAACTATAAATTAAATTTGATTTGTATAAATGTTCTTGAAAACACTATGGACGTATTTGATGTTTATGACGAAATAGTTGAGTCAGTAATGGGATGTACAGCAGAAGAACTACTAGAGGTTAGAATCACGTTGAAAATAAAAGAAAAAAAAAAGGAGGAGGGCATATATTGACATTAACTTGGAAAAAAAAAAGTAGTATTTGAAAGAAGATGCAAGATTATTAGATAAAATTGAACAGCAGTTTAAAGGACTCTACTGCACTTTAGAAACGAAGAATCGAAAAAGGGTAAATAAAAAAGAGTAAAGTTAGATGAAAAATTATTCATTTTCCTCTTTTTTTATTTTTCTGTTTTCTAATAAGGATCAAGAAACAAGAGACCAAAAGAAAAGGGTTATCAAGCTTAAGCTCTCTAATGATTTAAAAATGATTGACATTTTAAAAAAATTACAACATGAATATGATTCTTCTCTGAATGCTATTAAGATCAATGACTTGTTTAATAACTGATTAAAACTCTCAATCCTTGATTAAAAAAAGGTTTTTTTTTATTGTTGCAGTAGATATATGAATAAGAAGATTACTCTTGGTAATATTGATTATGAATTTCTAAAAAAAAAAAAGAAATCAAATCATCTTTTGATCAAGCTATTTGGTCCTTCTGTGTTTAAATAAACATCCTATTCTTTTGAATGTTGATATCTGATTATTAGTAAAGATAATCTCTATTTCCTAAAGAAGCACACAGATAATGGCTACTACATATCTATAAAAGTTTTTTTTTATAAATTATCCTTTTTTCAAGTTACCAGTAAATTCCTTTTACACTATAGTTAGCTACAAGTTAGAAAGCTCATTCTTTATATAGACATATATCTTTTATAAAGGTGAGGCTGTCTTCTTTAACAATAGATACAAAAATACAAATCAAACCAAATCAAATCAAAAGTGAATATGCTCAATTCTTTCACCTGTAACATGCATATACTCAATAAATTATGCTATAAAAAGAAAAAATCCTTTATACACCCCAACTTTAGTAAAATATCATCAACTTTTAAAGGTCCGCACTATTTTTATTGGCTTAGAAAGGCTCAGGGTTACAAAAAAAAAAAAAATTTTTTTAATTATATGTCCAAGAAAAAAAGGCGGAATTGAATTAATCCTTCTCTTTCACTATCATTATGGCTGGTATCACTGTTAAGGACGTCAATCCTCATGGTAAGCAAACATTAAACTAATAATTTTTCAATTATCCCTCCTTCCTCTTCCTTTTTTTTTTCTTCACTATTTTTTTTCATACAAAAAGGAAAAAGAGTAAAAGATATATAAGTTCATTATTTTTGTTACAGCAAGAAAAGAGAAAATCATTAGATCAGTTTTAAGACAATTATTGGAATTAGACATTATAAATTCTAATTTGAAGAGAAAGTAATTGAAACTTATGAACTATTCTTTTACTCTTTTCTTTTTGTGTGTTTTTTTGGTTATTTACTTTGATATGAGCTACTTACTGTCCATTTATACATGGTTAAACTCATCTATAAAAAAAAAGGAAGAGTATTTTGGGTGGCTTAGCTCATCTCATTTCAACTTTTTTTTTTTTTTTTTTTTTGCTCGTACAAAATTTTAAATATGACAAACAACTCATTTAAAAACAATATATATAGCTTTTATCAAGGCTTACGCTGCCTATCTTAAGCGTACTGGTAAGCTCGAAGTTCCCAAGTGGGTTGATCTTGTCAAGACCGGTACTTTCAAGGAATTGGCTCCTTATGACCCTGATTGGTATTACATCCGTGCTGGTAAAGTATTTAAAGAGTTATGGGGGAATTAGAAGCACATTATATTAAGCAAGTTTTTGTTTTGTTGAAATAATATATTTATAGCTTCCGTTGCTCGTCACATCTACATTCGTAAGTCTGTTGGTGTTGGTGCTTTGAACAAGGTTCACGGTGGTACTGTTAACCGTGGTTCTCGTCCTTCTCACCACGTTAACGCCTCTGGTTCCGTTAACCGTAAGGTTCTTCAATCTTTGGAAAAGATTGGTGTCCTTGAAAAGGATAAGAAGGGGTAAGTTCAATCCATTCCATTCCTTCAGTCAGTCCTATCTATTCTTACACTTTTTATTTTCTTTCTTTAAAACAAAAATAGTGGCCGTAAGATTACTCAAGATGGTCAACGTGACTTGGATCGTATTGCTATGACCCTCGCTGAAGAATCTGATGAAGAATAAATTTCTTTTTGTTTATGTTTTTTTTTCACTCACTCTCTCTTTCACTTTAATTGAATAAAAGAATAATAATAATCAATAATTTCATGTTACATCGTTTATGTATGTGTTAGGATACATTTTGGATACACAAAATAGTAATTGTAAAGAGAAGAAGAAGAAGAAGATACGGTTGTACAGCACTCATAAGAAGCTGCTTGTTTTATGCATGGTAACTTTCGTTTTATTCTTTTTAATTAATAACACAAGAAATGATATATGTAAAGAGAGAGAGAGAGAGAGAAAAGGAGAAGAGGCAGAGGGTGGGTGGGGGGAATAAAGAAAAAGCAAATGGTTTAAACAATAAATAATAATCAATAATAAGGAGATATGTTGTGGAGAAATAAAAAACTGTCAATTATACAATAAAGTTAATCGAGGGAATCAGGGAATACTTGACATACTAAACGTGCTAAATCTTTTTGCCTTGTGCATCTAAGATTACCGTGTTTGATTTCTGAATTTATTTTCTATTTTTTAAAAAAAAAAGATATGTACATATTAAAGATAAAGTGAAATCCTTAAAAGAAGAAAAAGACTTACTTTTAATACAGCTTGAGGGTATGGACGAATAATACTGTTATGAGTCAACATCCATTGAACTAGTTGAGTCATACTTTTAGAAGGCTTTGTAAAATGAAAATTAGGTGAACCACCATAAATAATTTCAGCATAAATATCACCCGTATCTTCAAGATAATAAAGTGGCGGTACACGGTCCATCATTTCAATCATTGTAACTCCAAGAGACCAGGTATCGACATTTGCTTTATAAGGTTCTTCTAACACAACTTCAGGCGCCATCCACTAATAATATAAATATAGATGTGTTTGAATAAATCTATTTAAATTATATATATCCATTTTTTTTTTGTTTTTTTTACAAACCTTGGCAGTTCCTAAACGTGCTGTATTTTCTCTTTTTGATGGAGTAGCTAAACCGAAATCAGCTATATACATTTTTTTTTTTGAATATCAATAAGCTACCCTTTTTCTTTCTTTCTTTTTTTTTTACTTATTGTTTCACTGTTTTACCTAATTTAACTTGACCATTTCGATTTAAAAGGATATTTTCACATTTAATATCACGATGCATATAATTATTTGAATGTAAATAAATTAAACCTTTTAAGCACTAGATGTACATAATTTCGTTAATGACATCTTCTTTGTTACAAAAAAGAAAATTGATAAGAATAGAAATACCTCTTTAGCAATACGAATTGTATTTCCTTCATTAAGACCAACCGAAGTATGGAATAATAAATTAAAGACAGAACAAGACATGAGTTCCATACACATCCAAAGATGATCACTCCAAAGACAAGCTTCTGTTAATTTAACTAGATTTGGATGTTCTAAACGACCCATGATACGTAATTCTCTAAGAATATAAGCATGATGAGGAATATCATGATCTTCAATATAACAACGTTTAATCGCTACATGTGTTTTATTCGATATTTTGGTTGCACGTATGACAGCACCATTTGCTCTATAATAAAATAAAATAAAATAAATAGGTAACACAACATATAAAAAATCAATTGCTTATTTTTTTACCCACTGCCAACTTGACGAATATTATCAAATTCTTCATTTGGGTCTGTTTCCATAATTTTTGATCCGGGAAGTACCTTCCGAAGTTTAGCATCAAACTCAGCATGTAATTTACGTTTCGCTTTTAAGATAGGAGGAGGCATTGGTAAGATATCTGGCGATTTACCTACTGGAATCCATCGTTTCTAATCATGATTTGAAAGAAAGAATTAAATCTTAATAAAATTGTATGAAATCCTTTTTTTTTCTTGCTTTTTTTTTTTTTTTTTTTTTTTTTTTTTTTTTTTTTTTTTTTTTTTTTTTTTTTTACATGTTATATTTTACTTTAATTTGAAATTGATTTTTATTATCTATTACATCAATCGTTTTCTTTTTTTGTTGTTGTTGTTGTTGTTTATCATTTTGTTTGATTTTATTTTGTCTCTTTTCCCATTCTTCTTTAATAATATCTGGTATTTCAAATTTATTACCAGGTACACGCCATGGTGCCTGAAAAAGATAAAAAAAAATAAAAAATAAAAAATGGGTGAGTTATTTTTTTTTAAGGTACAAAAAAAATAAAATAAAAATACCTTTTTAAGTGTATTTTTATTAGAAAGTTGTTTCTGTTGCTCAGATTGTTTATGAATAATGTTTTTCCTTGTGGGTGTTGTGATGATAGTAGCTGATGAAGAATGATAGTTGGTAGTATTTGCAGATGATTTTATAATAATATGTGGTTGGGTATCCATGATTTTTTGAGGTGGTGTAGCTAGTCTAGTTGAAGCTGAAGAACTTGAAGTATTGAATAAAGTAGGTGATGTACTCATTATGAACTCATTCACTTCTTTTTTGTCTTGAGTGTGATGACGAAAAGTTTATACAAATTTCTTAGTCCCTTTTTATATATACTAATTTTTATTTATTTATTTATTTATATAAATGTGTGTAAAGGGAAAAAAAAAAGAAAAGTATGTGTAAAGGAAAAAAGAAAAAAGAACAAAAAAAAAAAAGGTGTGTGTGTATATAAATACTTGCAAAAAGAGAGAGAAAGAGAGAGAGGTGGGGGCGTTGTATTGTATTGTGTTGTGTTGTGTGTGAAAGGAATCACTAAAGGGGCCGATGAAAGGTTACAAAAAAAATGGGCTTAAAAAAAAAAAAAAAAAAAAAAAAAAAAAAAAAAAAAAAAAAAAAAAGAATAAATACACATTAAGGTTTCATGTTGAAACATGGCAAGCATGAAACTGTTTACTTACATTGTCGAATTATTTACTTTTTCTCTTTTTTTTCTTTCTTTCTTTCTTTCCTTCTTTTTCTTTTTCTTTTCATGATTTTTCTTTTATTTTATTTTACTTTTTTTTTTTCATAAAGAGGATATGTACCCTTTTTTGATTGGTAACACGAATATTTTATTCTTTCGGTATCACCTTCTTTTATACATAATTGGAAAGTTTTAAAAGAAACTAGCAGTTGTCGTCTGTTGTTGTTGTTGTTGCTGCTGTTGTTGTGGAAGAGGTAGAATGGTTTTTGATCTAGTGTTATTCCTTTCAAATAAGAAATCAGTTAAGGGTCGACCCATAATAGACTCTGTCGGAGGCGAATCATGTCGTTTTTGTCGAGGAGAAGGAGGTAATCTATAGGACTGCATAGTAATAGATGAATTATTATTAAGCCAATCGGAAGATGGAGTATTATAGATTGTATTCTCTTCTACTTTCTAATTTGGTATATTATGTAAATATAGAATACTATCTGTGTCAATATTTAATCATATATACCATAGAACGTCTTTGTTGCTCTTGAGCCATGTCAGTATATATCATATATGTAATATATGCATGCATTGCATTTCGTTTTATACGTGGATTTTGTTTCTGTATAAATAGATATATATATACATGGATAGACTATCAATATTTAATAGTAGGATGAGGCTTAATATATCATTACCATGGATAAAAATTGCCATGAAAATGTTGTAGTTGTCTTGTTATGTGAACTCCCTTTAGCCTTTTATATATATGTATATGGATTAGGGTTATATAAATGCAATGTATATCTAATATGTACCCCTTCTACTACTACTACTTCTTCATCTTTTCTTAAAGGTGACCACGTGTTATCTTGTGTTGATATCGAACCTCTCTGATAATAATGACGTTTCTCACTATGTCGACGATGTTGAAAAAGAGATGATTTTGAATTACTATTGACACCATATGTATATGATTTCCTCTTTAAACTGCCTATAATTTTAAAGTTCAATAAAACTGCATATAGGTCCATCTCATAGAATACCTTGTTGTCTACTATTTAATTGAATTTCTCTTCGTTCATAAACTCGACTACCGCCTTTATAATCATCTTTATTATTACTTTCCTTGTCAATAACTGCAGCAGCAGCAGCTAATAACATGATAGGATCTGATTGTAGTTGATAACTATGCTTCTTCACTTTAGCTAAATAAAGTTATATTTAGACTGAAAAATAAAATAAAATAAAATAAAATAAAAATAAAATAGAATAAAATAAAATAATAATAAAAACAATAAAAAATAAACTATTTACTACCTTTATTGTGTATTTTATTTGACATTATCACATTATGAGTGTTATCATTTGTACCTAATAATTATATAAATATGATATGTAAAATAGAATAAATAATAATTATATACCTTGGTTAGCCAAGTCAATAAGAATGCGACTAGCCTCTGCATCTACTTTATTGGTAGATGTGTCTGATTCTTGTTGTAATGAATCTTGAGTTCCTCTTGTTGAAGATGACTTGGGTTGTATTTGTGTTGGATATTCTTGTAACATGAATAATAATAATAATATTAATAAAATGACAAATACTGAGGAAAAAAAAATAAATAAATAAATAAATAAAAACGGAAAAATAAAACTAAAAAAAAAAAAAAAAAAAAAAAAAATAGGCTTTCATAATTTTATTATAAAAAAAAATACACATTTATGTGATGTGTAACTCTAGAATGTATTTTTATAACGTCATTTTAATATTATTTTTTCTTATTAGTTACTATAAATCATGATGAATAGATTAATATTGACTCTTCTTGGTTTATTATTATTATTTAACAACTTACCATTAAACTAGAGTAGATATGGATAGATACATAATTATATGAAAATTAATAGGGATATTACGTAATAAAATCATATTTATTACCTTAAAATGAGCAATGTCTCCATCTTCCATTGTATATTCTTTTCCCTTTTGATAATGTTTACCAGCCGCTTTTACTGCATTCTCTGATCCTAGTTGTTTTAGATCATTAAATTTCATGATATCTGCAGAAATGAAACCTCTTTCAAAATCAGAACTATTTATATAAAGTGAGTAATAAACCTTATTAAGATGCTTCTTCTCTTACTGAATGATTCCTGCTGCTTGAGGCGCCTTTGTATTATTCTTTTATAAAGCAAAAAGGAGAATGAACACGTTAGTTAGCTATCTCAGATGATTTATGTACGTCTATTTCTTACTCTAATCGTCCATGCCCTCACTTCTTGTTCCCCGCAAGTAAAATAGTGAATTAAATCCAATGCTTTATAACCTGCTAAAATAATGTTGGATAACTGTGATTTTCTCTTTTCTTCAGTATGTGTTGACATTACTAATTTGGATTCTAAAGAGACTGAAACTGGAATAATTAAATCTCCTTTATTGTTCTCTTCTATCCATTCTTTAACTTTCGCCATCCATTTATTTTCTTCTCCACTTAAATATTCTTCTTCACTCATATTACAAAGATAAATCATCGGCTTGGCTGTTAATAAATGAAGTCCATTAATGACATTAACTTCGGTTGCTGTCCATTCTCCTTTTCGAACATCTTTATTTCCCTTTGACATAAATTCTGCTACTTTTTCAACAATCTCTAGCTCTTCTTTAATGCTCAACGGTTGATTCCTCTTTAAATCGGAATGCTTGCTAAGTTTAGTTAATTCATTTAAATTACGTTCCAGCATTTCTTCATCCTTAATTCTTAGTTCGTTTTGAATAATATTCAAGTCTCGAATAGGATCCACTTTATTCTCTTCTACATGAGTAATGTCATCGTTTTCAAAGACTCGAACTAAATGGTAAATAGCGTCTACAGAGGACACATTAGAAAGAAAAGCATTACCAAGTCCAGCTCCTTGTGATGCACCACGTACAAGTCCTGCAATATCCACTACTGTCAACTATATAATATTAGTTTTTTTTTTCTTTTTTTGTTTTTTTTTCCTACTATCTCTTTTCTTTCATTTGCATTTATTTATTTATTTACATGGGCAGGTGTGATTTTCTTTGGTTGATATGTTTTCACTAACCAATCAAATCTGTCATCTGGCACTTGTACTCTGGCTTCTGATGGATCAATCGTACAAAATGGATAATTTTCTGCAGGTACACTACTATTTGTAAGTGTATTAAATAAGGTCGATTTCCTATTTTTAATAAGAATAAATAAACAAATAAAACCCCATGTCTCAAAACACACATCATTCATAAAAAAAATAAAATTCTTTTATACCCGATATTTGGTAAACCAACAATACCAACTCGAAGATTATTTGAAGGTCTGCCTAAAATAACTTTATTGGCTGCTTTCTCTATTGTTGATGATGATGATTTTTTATTATTTACTGCTTTCTTTTTCGCATAGTGTATACTACAACTTGTTGAAAAGTTCCTACAACTTGATAATCTCCATTTTGTGATATTCAACATTTTTCTTTTTTTTTTTAATAAAAAAAATGACCCTGTAAAAAAGAAAAAAAAAAGTGAGGGGAAGGAGGTGATTACCAACAGATTCTATACTTTGAATTAAGTTGAACCAAGTAAAATTTAAATTCAGACAAAGGAAAAAAAAAATTGAGACGAAACAATGTTATCTTTTGGACAAAGTAAAAGTATAATCCAGGCATTCACCTGAAAAAAAAATCTATATCCTTTAACGGAAGCCAAAGAAAACTGTGTATAAAACAGAGTTATTGAAACTGAAAAGGTTAAATTCGGCAAGAAAGGCGACAGAAAGGATGGGGAGGTCTAGTGTGTCCATTAAGCATATTTGCAGAAATATCATTGATGTTTTTGGTAGCAGCATTTACATATTGGTTTCATATTATTCCTGCAGCCCTTGACAAGCTACGGCGTTTATTAACTCGATAAATATCATATCTGCTTCTTGTCATTCATGGTACAATGAATTGTAAATGTTAGTAGCTCGCTTTTCTATTTTTTTTTTTTTTTTTTTTTTTTTTTTTTTTTGTTAAGCAATGTCAAGCTATGCAGATTTTTATTTTTTATTTTTTTATTTTGAATCATTGAAGATCATTATTGAATTAACAAAAAGGCTTACTTCCTATTTAATATTGTTATTTCCTCAAATTCTTTACTAATTTGAACAACATCTCTGCATTATTCCCATTAGCACATGGATCAATCACATACAATAGAAGGAGACCAATCTCTTACGATAAAAAGATGGATATTTTAGCAAAAACTTAATGCTAAGGAGTCTTATAGAGATATTTTTAAGACAATGGGCGTGTCAACTAGGACAATTGGTAGAATTGCCAAAGAGAATCAAATTGAGATTAACGTAAAAGAAGGTAGACCAAAGAAGATTAGCCCATTACTTGGAAGATGGATTGCGCGATCTTTTTATACTGGTCATTTTATCACTGCAGTGGACGCTGCCCGGAACTTACATGGTCAAGGGTATGATATTTCCGCGCAAACCATTCGCAGATTCCTAAAATCGTCCGACTTTGATTCGAAGATTAAGAAATCTGCATTACCATTGACGAATGAGCGTGGACGAAACCGTCTAAAATGGGCCAAAACTCATAGAAACTGGACGGGTGAGGATTGGAAAAAGGTCGTCTTTAGTGACGAAACAAAAATCAATCGTTTGGGTTCAGATGGAAAGCATTGGACATGGGCTAAAAAGGGTAAACCTCTAAAAGACCATAATGTCAACTTTAAGTACAAAGGTGGGAGGGGTGGAAGCTCAATGTTATGGAGTTGTTTCACGCAACATGGTCCTGGTTTTATTGCAAAAATTGAGGGTGGGATGGACTCACAATTATATTGTGAAATATTAAAAGGTGACTTTATGGAGACGCTCAAGGATTATGGCCTTTGTAAGAAAGATGTAATTCTTCAACAAGACAATGATCCTGTTATGAGCTGACTTATAATGGCATGTTTTATGATCAAACATGCGGATCATAAATTTATCTAAAAAATTCTATCCGAATTCTCTCTTGATCCGCCCCATTTAATAATATTAAAATCACTAACACTTCATTGTCAACAATTTACCTTGCTCAGTCGTAACTAACACTTTTCTGATTCACATTTCATCCTCAAACTTCTTTAACAATTCTTATAAATACCCCCATCAATTTAAATTCATAAATAAAATAATTGACTTTAGAACTATTGTTCGGTCTCATTGACTCTTTTTGTCTTAATATTATTTTTTATTTTCTAATATTTTTTATTTGATATTTTAAAAAGAAATATCACATATGTTATGTTTTATCATACAGTCAGGTTTATAGTTTATTCTGTGTTATGTAATCTATCTTTTATAATACTACTTATGCTTATATACAGAGCTTGTTTTATAACAACTATAACACTAACATTGTCTGAGTTTAAATTAGAAAGACAAGTTTGAAAATACAAAAAATTGATGCGATATTTTTCTCTCCTTCCAGACTTCTTGATCCATCGGAGATTTAATTTTTAAACTCAGACAATTTTTTAATTTTCATATCAACAGAAGTTGCTTTTTAAATTTGTGATAAAATTTCGTAGTTGTAAGATTTGTAGCTTAATTTAATGAGATAAATAGTTATAATAGAACATATGATACATTTCTATAGTAATCCTATCTATAAACATATTAAGTATATTTACCTTTGTATAGAGAAATAATTAATAGAAGTTGTACATCTAAAAATATATCTTTTTCTATTATTGTTTGTTATGATTGTACTTGTCTTTACAACTGAGTCAATAGAAATAAATCATTATTTATTTAAATAGTAAACAGGGTATTCAAATAAGACTAGTGTATTGTACTTCACAGAATACTATTATTAAATTATGTAATAATAAGATTTAAATAGAATTATGAGTGTTATATTCAATTACATAGTTATTTATATAAGTCATACATATTATCATATTATATATACAGCTATAATGTTGAATACTGTTATGTAATAATATCTCAGAGGATAATAATAACTGTAGCGCATACATAATTAGCATTGTTAGAGGTGGAGTACTCGCTGTAAATTAATATTAACCCAGAAACAATAATTAGGAATATTTTTAGTAATTGCGACAGCTCCGGCAAAAATGTGCATAGTCCATGCAGAATTATTTGGAGACAATATTTGTGTATAAAGTCTTTATTATAGCAGTATTCACTTATTAAAACCATACTTCTATTAATATTACTTACGTTGTAAAAACCATATAAATAGCTCTTGTCATTTTTCCATATTATTTTTCTGGGAACAATTTTTGTATTATTTTTTCTTCTAATAAACTATACAGAGTTTTCATAGACTTGTCTTTTCTATTTTCTCTTTCCTTATCTTTTGCATTTAAAATAGTGTTTTTTCCAGGATCAGATATTATTGAGGAGAGAATGGGATCAAAGTATGTGTTAAAGAGCTCATTTTCCGAGATAGAAGCTGCGTTTTTAATAACATTTGAAGGTAACTTTTCTAATCTATTTATTTGTAAAGTAAGTTAGTGGCATGTAAGTATTGTTTTTTTTTAGATACACTTACGCATTGTTAACACCTTTAATCATTCTTGATAAGTAATAGTTTTGGCTTCTGGCGAAATTCAACAAATCCAATTCCGCATCACTTCTTGTCATTTCATTATCATCTACGGCTTGAATAACTCTTGACATTTTTATTATTATTTCATCAAATTTGTCATTAGTAGTACTTGTCTCTCTTTTGTTATCCTTTATATGGTTTAAAAGGCTTTGATGTAATAGATTAAGAGTATCTACAGAAAAAACCTCTATAAGTAGTTCGCTATGCTGATTAGGTGCTAACAACATTATATTTGTGAGAGAAAGGATTTCATGAAGATGAGTCTCTATTTTCATAAGTCCAACATTTGATGATACTTCGGTTGCTTCGGCTTCATAAATATCAAATAATTCATACATGTTTCTATCTTGTTCAGTTTCAAAACGTGATAAGTATTCGTGGTAATTAAAAATTTTATTAGCTTGTAATTCAGTATAATATTGATTTTTATTGTAAGAAGAAGAATCTAATACTTATTTTTCGCTTGCTTGAGAAGTTTTAGTATTTAATTTTAGTACATTTTCATTTTCGTTGACAACAATATCTGCAACAGCGTGTGTTTTATGTATACCTTTGCATAGTTGATTGATTTTTTTATTTATAATGTTATCAACGTATTCTACTGCGCCTGCGTGAGCTTTTGCCTGTGCTTTCCTTCTTTTTACGCCTGTCCAAAATCTTGCACTATTTTCTGAATGTTTCCAAATATTATATTCTGATAAGAGCCGTTTCTGGTCATCAATAAGATACCTGTTAATAATATTTATGTATTTTGAAGAGGCATAGTGCCGACTCGTTAGCTTATAATGCTCAACAAATTTTTTCAGGGATAGATCTTTTTTGTTATCAAGGCACCACTGAGCTTGAGAACTCAATTGACTTTCTTTTTTCTCTATATCAATATTCTCCATAATGTAATTAATGGTTAATACTAACAAAAAAGAAAAAAAAATACATTTTTTAACCAATTTTGGTTGACAAACGATTATTTTAAACGACATCATCATTTTTTAAGACTCATTTGAAACTCAAATGCTAGCAACGATTACGTATCCAATATTTTTTTTTAACTTTTCTTCTCTACTAATCTTTGGTTTAAAGCGACATAAAAGATGCTTGTAGCTTTTAAAACGAAAAACAGATTGAACGTTCTGGATACTGACTTGCTTTAAATTAACCTCTTTCCATTAAGTAAGTTAAAAACAAACATAGGATTAACTTTATTACTTATTAAAGTCATCCTATCATACATAATGTGTGTTTGCGTAACTAGAGTTAGATAGTGGATGGGGGAGTATTTTGCAGAGTAGTCATGTACAAAAATATTGGTTCATTTAAAAAATAGAAAAATAGAAGTCTGCTCTACTTTTTACTACCCAACTGGTATTGGTAAAGTTTAAATGCTTACATTATCCTCAACTACTACCTACCTAACTCCATTTCCCCACAGAAAATCATCTTTTATTTTAGTTACACAAACAAACACTATCTGTGATAGGATGACATCTTATGAGAGTGACAAAAGCACAATTTTTTTCGCAAATTCAAAAAATACAAATTTTGTCGGCGTTTTAAATTTTAAACACCGAAACGAGGGGGAAACAGTGCATAATGATTCTACCTATTCTCACCACACTAATTACAAAAAGTGAATGATCTCGTTGCGTATGATGGTCTCTTGTTTGGTTACATCTCGGTAAACCCTAAACCCAAACCCTAAATGAAATGAAAAATATCGAAAAATCAATCAAAATGAACTTTTACATGCTCACATGCCACATGCTCACATGCACCTCATATGCACATTGTTGGTAAGGTAAAAATAAAAGAGAAGACAGAATAAATCTATGAAAACTTTGTATAAAACTTTTATTATCAAAAAAAAAAATAAAAAAAAACTTAAAACTTAAAAAACTGAATTTCTCAAAGATAAGTACAAAATAGATCCTTATTTATATCTTGTGGAGAACGGGTTACTTCGCGACAGGAACAGAGTGCAGATATCTTGAAAGAAGAATATTTTCCCATAGAATAATTAAAATTATTGTGTTTGAGCTCTAGTCTTTGCCCTGACTGAGAATTAATCTCAGTTAACTCTAATAAATATTAAATTATTGGTGCTTGATCTAGCCGGTTATTTTTCTTGAAACAAAATAATAAAATATCGTTTGTTCATACTTGTGAATGATATAGGAAAGACACTTTTGATATATAGATTTATATTCTAATCAGCTTCTTTATATTATATTCATTCCTCAATGTACTACTTAAATAAATTTCATTATATTATATGGTGTATTCAATTAGAATAGAGTTCTCATAGATAGTATACGATTATATTTATAAATTAGTATTTTAGACAATATTAAATAATAATGCATATATATATAACTAATAGGTATAATCTATAATTCATATATCTTTATCATTAATAACTCCTTACACTATGTTTTTCTTATCATTATTTTGTAGAGTTAGTATTTATTATAACATTATTTTTTCTCATCACAAGAATGTCTTATAAACTGAAATCAAATAATATTGTATGCATAAAGTGTATAACTAATAACTATAATATCATTCGGTTCTTCATGACTCTGATTTGTATATTATAAGATATTATGTAATACATCATTATATAAACAACAGCTATGCTTATAGTTCAGTTAAGGCAACTCTAGAAAAATTCTTTTTGCACTCAAAGTTTGAAGAAAAAATCGAAGAATGGCGAAAAAGGAGTACTGTTCAAGGGATGATGTTTGATATTTTTGATGGTGAATACTTTCGTCAGTTTAAAAAAGATGGAGAAGATACGCTATTCATTCAAAAAGATGGTTCCCTCATGTTAAGCTTGAATATTGACTGGTTCACACCGACAAAGACCATGAATTATCATGTTGGAGCTATATATTTGGTGATCAACAATCTTCCTAGAAATGAGCGGTTCAAAAAATATAATATGATCCTTGTTGGATTAATGCGTTGGATTAATTCCTGAACCCTCTGAACTTGTTTTATCAAATATAAATCATTTCCTACGACCAATGGTAGATGAATTGTCGGAACTTTATGATGGTATCGTTATACCCACTTTTAATGCTCCTGGAGGAAGAACTATTCGTTGTGCCTTGAGTACTATTAATTGTGACATATCTGCTTTGAAGAAGACTTGTGGATTTACTGCAATTAATTCCTATGCTCCATGTCACAAACGTGTCAATAAGTTTCCTGGACAAGAAGGATAACCAAATCTACGTCGTTTCGATAATGTTGATTGTGAATCATGGACACCTAGAAATAAACAATCAAATTATGAACAAGCATTGAAATGGAGGGACGCTAAAACGGCTGCAGAACGTAAAGCAATTGAAAACAACTATGGAGTAAGATGGAGTGTGTTTTGATTAGCAAAAGATAATGGAAGAAGAATAGACAGAAGACAAGTCTGTGAAAACTTCGTATAGTTTATTAAAGATAATACAAAAATTGTACAACGAAAATTACATGGAAAGATTGAGGGTTATTTATATGTTTTTACAAGGTAAGTGTTATCAATGGAAATATGATTCAGATAAGCAAGTTTTACTATAATAAAGTGTTTTACATAAAACATTGTCTCCGAATAATTCTGCGATCAATAAGATATATCTTTATTCCTTTTTTCTCCCTGAGTTGTCGCTGTTCCTAGAAACCTAACGAATCATTATTATTGGACTGCGACACATCAATATTAATTCTCAATGAATATGTCTAGCTGCAACAATACCAATTATTTATGAGCTACTATCATTATCATTGTATGAGATTTCATTACTTAACAATATTCAATATTATCAATGTATATCTGATATGTATCACTCAAGAACAATTATGTAATTGAATACACCAGTCATAATCCTGTTTGAATTATGTATATAATCATTATTATTGCTCGAACATTCTAACAATGACTATTATTAAAACTGAGTGTAGAATGAATATTATGCTGTGAAGTTCAATATACTAGTTTTATATGAATAACCTCTTTATTATGTAATAAATGATGGTTTATTTCTATTAACTTAGTTATAAGAACGACTACAATCATAACAGAGTGAACTCCATAGATTACGTTATTTGGATCTTGTTCACTGCACTACTATTGATGGATTACATAACCTTTATCTTGGGATAGCAAAGAAAATGATCAATTACTGGAAATCCACCAAAAAAAATTTAAATTTCACAGAAATCTTTTTAAGCAGTAAAGATCTTACAGAAATGATGCAACAGGCAAAAAAGCTCATCGTTCCTCCGCAATTCTCAACATTAAGTACTAAAATCTCTGCCATTTTTTCAAATTTGGAAGGTGATGAATTCCGTTCCTGGTGTTATAGAACAAGCTCTGTATATAAGCATCAGTAGTATTATAATAGACGAATTACATAATAAAGGATAAACTATAAGCCTGGATATATAATAAAACTCTGTATATAACATCCTGTAAATAATATAAAACTTCTTCTTGACATCCAATCGTCTAGATGTATCAATTATAAGACATCATATCATTTCTGAAATACCTACTTTTATAACCTTGACAAAGGATTCAGGTCGTCTTTGATCCAATAAAATAAAGATATAAAAAATATCAGGAACATATACTCAGATTAAACAATAAATTTTTTATTTAAAACTTGATCAGATCATTATAACACCCAATAGATAATCCATAGATCAGTCTCTTGAATCAACAAGATGTATATCCGAATACTAACACTGTTTCATGACTCATGTTCTTTGACAGCTATTTTTATTTCTTTGATTCAGGATTCATTAATATAAATACAAGCAGTTGTTTAGACACAAAATAATCTTTAACTTCTTTCTTTAACTTTCTTTTAACCTTCTTTATTTTTAATTGAATAAAAAACAGTCTCAAACTATACTTCCTTTTGTTCCTTTTCTCTCTCTTCTATTTTCCCTTTTATTTTTTATTTACGTTCCATCACAACAACCATCGCAGTTATTACATAATAATATTCAACATTATAGCTGTATATATAATATGATAATATGTGTGACCTTGTGATATTTCTTTTAAAATATCAAATAAAAAATATTAGAAAATAAAAAATAATATTAAGACAAAAAGAGTCAATGAGACCGAACAATAGTTCTAAAGTAAATTATTTTATTTATAAATTTAATTAATGGGAGTATTTATAAGAATTGTTAAAGAAGTCTGAGATAAGATGTGAATCAGAAAAGTGTTAGTTACGACTGAGCAAGGTATGTTATTGATAATGAAGTGTTAGTGATTTTAATGTTTAATCAAGAAACATGACATTATAAGACAGCACATGGCAGATATGCATACCGATATCCTCGAGAGTGAATATATTTTTCTATATCAGTAGAGCTATGGATAAGAGCATTTTCCATGACAAGATAATATTTATATATTTATGGATACTTGTCCATTTCATCAAGAGTAATCTTTAAAAAGGCTTATATAATATCCTGTTACTGTTCCCTTGTTATAATTGTTAGTTTTATATCCACGTTTTTCTCTTTTTGATACCCTTTGGAACTCTCTAACTAATATCAATTAAGTCAGTGGTAGAGATTGCACATAAAATCGATATTGCATTTGCTCTTGTTGTAAGCACCGTAACTATTGCGGGAGTCCCCCGCCCCCTCCTTGGCCAAGCCATACTTCATTTCAATTAACATGAAAGGCTAATTCATCAAGAAAAACATAATTTGTTGTAAAGTTCAAATCAGTTTACTGTCACTTTTGGACCTAATCGTACTCCTACTGAATCTTTCCCCCATTGTTCCTTTCTATAGGATGGAATTGCGCCTGCTTAATCAACAGATATCGATGAGTTGTCATAAAGTTATAAACAATACTGCGAGGCATCTTATACCATTTTTTTTTCTTTTTTTTTTTACCTCCTTATTCACCTTTTTTTGAACCCAATTGAAGAGTGTTGGTCAAAAATTAAGGATGAAGTACATAAAGTATTTTTTAGGGAAAACAGAATTCCTGCTGATAGGATTGAAGAAGCATTCAAAAAAAAAAAAAATAAAAAAAATAAAAATAAAAATAAAGTTACAGCAAAAGACTGCCAAGATTAGTTACGTTATTCACAAAAGTTTTTTCCTCCAAGTGTTTGAACATGGAAAGAATACATATTTTTCATTGGGGGTTTTATTACAATATTTGTATTGGTGACTAAATCATTTTATTAAACAGCTGAAAAATTTACTGCTCACCCATTAATTTTATTTGGCATAAAATTCTTAGTATATGTTGCATTTCATCTTTCATATAAGAAGAACATGAATACTCTTATTCATAGCCTTTTTTTAAAAAAAAATTGTAACAATTTTGCTAATAAGTGTGTTACATAATAGGATCTAATAATAAAAATGATAAAGTCATCTTTTTTTATTTTTTGATAGTGCTTATATCCAAGTTCTTAGTATTTTATAATTATGCATAATGAATAATAGAGTTACATGATATAATTGACACTTCGATGTCATATGAGGAGATATATACAATATGTGGCAAAAAAAAAAGGGTATTACTAATTGTTTCACAAACAGCTGATACCATCATTTGTGCATAATCAGATATTAAGTTTATTTTTTTACAAAAAGAAATGATTATAAACTTCATTTATTAGGCTTATTAAGAACTGAATACTTTATCTGCATATCTTTTATCATGAATTTTACCATAAATAAGTCTATATAGGCAATAGCAGTAGTAGTAGCAAATAATAATATATTGTTTGTTGTAATAGTGTTAAAGTTAGGTAGGATAGAGTGATTTATTTACAGCTGAGCATTAGAGATAACATGACGTAGAAATGATGAGGGCCTTTTTTTTTCAATAATCCGTTTTCAAAGAAAAGGCAAAGAAAGGTAAAGACATTGTTTTATATCTTAAAGGCTAAAAACTGAAGAAGATACGATATAATCCATAATGAAATTATAATTGGGACAGTCTCAACTTTTAAAAGCTGCATGATCTGCCGATTAGACGAATTTGGTTTAACTATTTCACCCCTTCAATTCCTTTGCTGTCCAAATATAAAAAAGAGCTTGCTGTCTTTGAAAGAAAAGGAACCTGATGAGCTTGATATTACAGAGCTGTTTACATTATCATTTGTTATCTCGTATAATCTGTTAACTCTTACCTCTGTGTATTAGTAAACATCATTGTCCTTGTCTATCCAGTAATAGATCTTTATTCTTCTATAAGACACCTACAAAAAAAAAGAAACCATATTATGTAATCCCAATATATTCAATATGCTGTTGTTTCATTTTGTAGCAGAAAATTATGTTCCTGAAAGAAAAAAAGCCGACTAGCGAATTAGTGTTAAAATACATTCGCATTGATATGGTTATGCTTAATATTGGATAGACAACAACAAGATGGTATACTTTGATTTAATACACAATGTACCGCTAGCTTTTTCTTAAAAAAAAAAAAAAGAAATTGCACATGTTATAATAGACAAGAGTGACTGCCTCTCTGCTAACAACAACAGTCTATAAGGTCCTTCTTCAGGAAACTAAAAGGAATTAATTAAATAAACACTCTTCTTTACGATCAGGTATTTTATTTTAAAGAAAGCCTTTATTTTACATTCCAGATTTTTTATTTTTCGGGTGAAAATAAAAATATCTCAAATATGCCTGGGATTTTTTTAGTTGTTTTAATAAATTTTCTGCATATTAAAAACTAATAAATTCGTTGATTTCTCTTTCTCTCTCTCTTTTTTTTTTTTTTTAAGAAAAAAAAAAAAGGACAAATATATCATGTTATCTGAATCATTAGCAGTTATGTCGAATCATGATGAAGCAGATAATTTATTGAAATCAAAAGGTAGATATAAAAGAAATAAAAACAAAAAGCTTACATTAATCTCTTCGTTTTTTTTTTTTTTTTTTTTTTTTTTTTTTTTTTTTTTTTTTTTTTTTTTTTTTTTTTTGGGGGAAGATTCCTTGTCAACAAAAGAATGGAACACAACTCTCATTCTAAAGCCATATAATGACAGTCAGTTTCAAATTCGAACTTTGGAATTAAAAGAAAAGGTCAAGATTCGCATTGGTCGACAAACATCGTCAAAGACTTTACCTTCACCCTTTAATGGTTTTTTTGATTCAAAGGTTCTATCGAGGCAACATGCAGAAATATGGTGTGATAAGTCTAAAGTAAGAAAAATAGAAAAGAGTATCTTCTTCCTTTAAAATATATATATATATATATATATTTTTAAAAAAAAAAGGTTTACATTAAAGATGTTAAATCAAGTAACGGTACATTTGTTAATGGAGAAAGATTATCAAATGAATGTGAAGAAAGTGAACCAAGAGAACTAAATAATGGAGACGAAATTGAGTTTGGAATTGATATCATTAATGAGAATGGATCAAGTAAGATATGTAACAAAGTAAAAATTATGTAAATATTAACCGAGTATGAGTTTAGTTATGTATCATAAGGTATCTTGTATAGCCTATCTATTCCCTATACCATTATCCCAGGTGGATAATACAATAATTAAAGAGTTATCCAATACAGAAAATTCTCGTGTAAGTTATATAAATACATGTTATATAATATAATTGATCCCATTATTATCTAAATAGTTACTCGTTCGAAAATCTTCAGCATCCACTATTAGTACATCATCTTCTATAAATTCTGATATAGCAAATAGTGCATCATCTATGATGACAGTAGTAACAGGAGAAGCAGTAACAGACAGCGGTGATAGAGGAAAAAGATTGAAAAAAATGGAGACAGTTTTAAACAAATTACAAGTAAAGAAACACATATATACATGCACATGATTTTGAAACTAAAATAGATAAGCTTTTATCAAGTCTGAATTAGAGAAATCAAAAAAGGTCGAAAAAGAATTAAAGACGATAAAGGATGCAGTTGGTTATTTGAATAAAGTATTCAGTCAAGACAAAATAAAACAAAGTGTATAGTATTATTCATAATAATAAAAGTTTCTTTCCAAAACTTATTCATCATCATCATCGTCATTAGGATGAACTTGAAATAAAATTAAATCAAGCTGAAACACAAATCAAAGCATTTGATGAAAAATGGAGACAACAAAATCAAGCTATTCAAACAGCTAAAAACGAATTACATAGATTAGAAAAGGAATTATCGACTTGGAGATTAGAAAAAGAGAATTTAAAACGACAGATAATAATAGAAAGAGAAAAAGTAAAAGATCTTGAAGTTCAATTATTAAAACAAAGCAATAACACAAATAAGGTAAAATCGAAAAACAAAAAAAAAAAAAAAAAATTGAAAGAAGTATTTTATTTACGTTATAAATAGTCTAGAAATACTCAATTAGTAATTGCTCTTTTGATAGCAGTTATATCCATTTTAATATATTTTAGTCTGTAGATAAACTAGAAGAAATCCTTTCTCTGTCCTTTTTTTTTTTTCTTTTTCTTTCTTTCCCCAAGTGTATAAAAAAAAATGCTATTTAATTATATAATGAATTATATTATCAATCAATCCAATTTCCTCTATATCTTCCATAATCATATCCTCCCAACGTATTTGGATAACCATATGGATAAGCTGAACCATGACGAATTCGATTAAATATATTTCGAAGAGTACTATTTTGTTTATAAGGTAAATAACCATATCCATTCCCATATCCAGTTCCATATCCAGTTCCATATCCATTCCCATATCCATTCCCATATCCATTCCCATATGTGCCATTATAATAACTTGAATTAGCACCTAGATATCCTCCTGTAGTAGCAGTGTTAGCAGTGGTGGGATAATAATAATTGCCATAGCTATATGGATTCATATTTGAATAATAATTAGTCATTGCTGTAGGAGGATAATAAGTAGGTGTGTTTGTAAGTAATTGATGTTGTCCATATAACGCTGCTGTATGCGGATATCCATATCCTCCATAATTTATATAAGAAGGATATTGTTGATATGGATTATATGCCACTATAATCAAATTAAAGTAAATATAAAGTAAATACACGGACTTGTTTATTTATTTGATTTACTTTTTATATGTATTTATATCTATTTTGATTCAAGTATAAAACAAGAAAAAAAAAACAAAGAAAAAAAAAAAAAAAAAAAAGAAAAAGAAGAAAGTAAAAAAAAAAAATAAAAAATAAAATAAAATAAAAAAATATGTATTGAGAATACAAGCTAGTACTGCTTTCCTATCTTAATAAGTAGTCTTTGCTGCTGCTGCTGCTGTTAGCTGCTGGCTGCTGTTGTTTGCTCGGAACAAGATCCCTCTTCACAAACCAAATCATATGACATATTTGGAATGTAAATAAATAACCAATGACATGATGATATCTATTTCTATGTCACCCTACTACTACTACTACTACTACTACTACTACTGCTATTATTATTATTATTATTACTATTATTACTACTACTTATGCATATCAACCGGAAATAGAATTTTGTTGTTGTTGAAGGGTTGCTGCTACTAATTATGTTTGGATGAGATTTAGTGCTACCAACAAGACAAATTTGGAAACTCATTTTAAAATAAAATAAGTAATAAAGAATCAATAATGAAAGAATAATTACGATTGACGAATAACTCACCACCAAGTTTGAAGACTGTGGCTGAAAGAATGATTGAGTTATATTATGCTACTATACTATTTAACTTTGAGTTCTTCTTTTATATACAAGTCATTTATTATTATTATCTGCTACAACTATATTTCTCTCCTACAACTAGAATAAAAGGATATTTCCCTAATCATATGCTTTAAAGTATAAAATGACAGCATTAAAATAGACACGGATAAATAAATAAAAATATGAAAAGAGCGCTCAGAATAGATCACACAAGAGTTACACTTTAGAATAGATAGCATCAGCCCAAGAGAAAAGATAAAAAAAAATCGAATAAAATGATACATACCGTTCTATTTGATACTATATAATAGAACAATAAAAATTGTTTCAAAAGAAGAGTTCTTTCTTTCTTGGAAAAAAAAATGAATTTATAATTGATGGTCTCAATAACGGTACACATCAAGGACATTTCTTTAATCGGAGTTTAAGTGTTTGCTGTCTGTAAAGAAGAAATCGGCTTTTACTCAACATATATGTATAATTCAATTAACACGCTTATATGTACTAGAAGTACGAAAAATGGTACAAGTGTTGTTAACTTGATAATCATAATAGCTATTGCTTAAAGAGGAATAAAGAAAAAAAAGAAAGAAAGAGGAGAAAAAGGATCAACTTTCGTAGGAGGGGGGCTATGTTATTCATGAATAAAATCTAGTTCTATTAGAAGAGTGGCTTGTTACTATTACATAATTTACAGAATAATACACATAATACGGGTTCAATCCCTATATTCCGTGCTATAAACCATTCAACATCAATGTAAGAAAAGAAAAAAAAAGGCTTGTTAGAAGAATTAGTATTGTATCCAGAATCTTGGATATGAGCAGTTTAAATTCTTTTATAGTTATGTGTTATGAGACATATTTATTTTATGTTCTATATTTTGTCCAGAATGATAAAACAGAATAGAACTATTTGATATACTCTAATCTTTTTATTATTATTGAATAATTATAGATTTATTCCCTTACAAAAATAGGGCCTATTTTAATGCTGTATAATGAGTCAGCTATACCTAATTATTTCTTTTGATACTCTTTTTTTCTTCTTTTAACATCAATTCTTATGACATTCAGATATGTCGTATTAGGCATCAAAGTAAATAATTTTATCTTACTCTAGAGAACCTTCAGTACCTCTTCTACAAAAGTTTCTTACTGATGTCTTGGATTTTTTTTTTGTATCTTTGATTAAAAATTATGACTTAAAAAACTGTTTAATATTAAATATTTCGAGTAGACCAGTTTAACCAGTAGAGTTTTACTTTCTTTGAATGAACAGTTTTGATATATATATATAGGCAATATCATTTAACTTAATTGGTTTAGACACTCATGGTTTTGAATTCTTCTGAAAGTCGACTTCTCTAGTATGGTAACAGTTTATTACTTAGTAACCTATTAAAACTCCGCTCAAAGCCTCAAAAAATTTTCGTAGGTTATTTTTTTTTTTTCTTACATTACCTCTTGCTCCTTTTTTATATACACATATATTTTTTTTTTTGTATACATAATATATCTTTTATAGAATATAATATACAAAGATGGCTGACAATAAGTTTTTCTGTCGCATGTATGAAAATGAATTCCCTAAGGTTGACGATGTTGTTATGGTCAATGTTCGTCAAATTGCCGACATGGGTGCTTACGTTAAACTTGTAAATTACTTTTTTTTTTTTAAAAAAAAAAAAAAGATCTTAAATGCGTGATTAAATAGTTTAACATTTATTTTATTATAGCTTGAATATGGTGATAGAGAAGGCATGATCTTGCTTTCTGAATTATCTAGAAGACGTATTCGTTCAGTTCAAAAGTTGATTCGTGTTGGTAGAGACGAAGTCGTCGTTGTTTTGAGAGTTGATGAAGAAAAGGGTAAAGAGCAAATACACCGACATGTTTTTTTTTTCATTTAGAACTCATATATATAAATTGTTTTATATACCTTTAGGTTATATTGATTTGTCTAAACGTCGTGTTACTCCTGAAGATATTATCAAGTGTGAAGAAAAATACAACAAGTCCAAAGCTGTTCATTCTATTTTGCGTCATGTTGCTGAAAAGAATGACTTACCTCTTAAAGAATTATATGAAACTATTGGTTGGCCTTTGTATAGAAAATATGGCCATGCTTATGATGCTTTCAAGATGGCTATTGTGTAATATATAGATATAGATATAGAATTTATTTAAAAATTAAGTGTGTATGCATGATGATTAATGTTGAACTTTATAGAGATGCTGATGCTGTTTTCCAAGGCATGAATATTTCTGAAGAAGTTCTCAAGGAATTATTGGCTATTATTAAGCGTAGAATGACTCCTCATCCTGTCAAGATTCGTGCCCGTAAGTTAAAGAGAGAGAGGGAGAGGGAGAGAGAGAGAGTATAAACGTTTAATTTATTCATATTTTATTGTAGAACTTGATATTAGATGTACTGGTATTGATGGTGTTAATGCTATTAAGGCAGCCTTGAAGGCAGGTGAATCAGTTGGTTCAGAAGAAGTGCCTATTAAGATTACATATTTAGCTGCACCTTTCTACGTTGTTACTGTTGATTCTTTAGATAAGAAACTTGGTTTTGAAGTAATTGAAAAGAGTATTGAAGCGATAAAGACAGAATTAGAAAAGCATGCTTGGACTAAATTCAAGGTAGAAAAGGAAGCTAAATTGGTTTCTGATTCTGATGTAAGTCTATTATGAAAATAAGAGAAACTATGCGTCTATTTATTTATTTATCTAATAATTGTAATATAGGATAAAGATTTTGCTGCTTTGTTGGCTCAAGCAGAAAAGGAAAATGAGCTTGTTAGTGGTGATGAAGATGAAGGTGATGCTGTTGCTGCTAGTGATGATGATATGTAAAAGTAATTACACTAATAATAATAATAATAAAGAAGATGATACATATTTTGTTTTAATGTCTATATGCATGTAGTATATAAACTGTGTCCTATTTTAGCCTAATTGTAGAGCAGCATTTTATATAAGCGACCGTGTATTATTAAATCGAGCCAAATCATTTTAATAGTCGTCGTCGTCGTCTGCTTTTATAATTTATTAGAAAATTTTCACGCATGTTTAAATTATCTCCCTTCTCTTTGCTTATTTTAAATAAAAGTTACTGCTAATATCTCGCGATAATTTATTTTTATTTTTATTTTTTTCTTTTATTTTTTATTCTTTTATTAGTAAATCTCGAAAATAAAAATGACGATTTATTATACAACGACCTTCTTTATTCTCATTATTGAGGTAAATAAAAATAGACGTGTTATAACTTTTTTAAACATGCATTCTTATGATTCTTTTTTTTTTTTTTTTTTTTTTTTTTTTTTGTAGATGTTATTATTCTGTATTCTTGTTGTAAATTCAAATAAAGTGTTAACTAAAAAATTTCAAATGTAACTCTATTTTTTTTTTATACATGTATTCATATATGTATATAGATTCCACTTCCTTCTCGTTGGCGTCGAGTCATGTTTAAATTTGCTTCTACTTCACCTATTGTAAGTCTTGATTACTATTATTATAGTTGAAAGATTAAAGTTTCAATATTATGCGTAGGCTCAAAGGGCTATGAATGGTTTAAAGATTATTTTCGGGTAAGTTAATATATCTTGTTTTTATTTTATTTATTTACTGATTTTTTTTTTTATTTTATTTTTTAGCTTCATCTTTGTTTTATTTATCGGTTAGTAGTATTTATAAAAGTGCTAGGGATTTTTGATGTTAAATATGATCTTTATTAGATGCTGTCAATCGTTTACAACGTATTGATCAACATGAACCTGAAGATACCTCTCGTCAATATCATGATTATGGTTATGAAGCAAGTCAAAAGGCTCGTAAATTTTATGCTCAAAGAAATCTTTATTTAACAGGCTTTACCCTCTTTTTATCATTGTAATAATCATGATTTATTTATGAATGTGACTATAAAAATTAAACTTTTTTTTTCTTTTATAGGATTCTTGAACGTACAAGTGCTTTAATTTTTCAAATGTTAAGACATGAAGAAGAATTGGAAAATACAAAAAAGGAACAGCTTTTATCTAAAGAAGATGAACGACGTTTATTGGACATGGAAAAATCATATGAAATTAAAATTAAAGAGCTTACAGAGGAATTAATGGAATTACAAAAAGATGAAAGAGACTTTGAAAACCTTAAAAAACAAATTGAGCAGCAAACAGCTGAATATAATAGGCTCTCGGATGAACGTATCAAATTATCTTCTATCAAAGAATAATCTAACCTTTTCTTTCAATTTAATAAATAAAATATACAAAGGGTAAAATAATAATAATAATGCAAATGACTGGATGAATTTTGTGTATAAAATATGTGATATGTATGTAAATTATTAAGACACAAGAATACTTGAATCTACTTCAAACGTTGTTTCTTCCTCTTCTTCCTCTTCGTCAATAAAATCATCAGGATCATAAATAACTCGAATAATTAACGAGCAAGAAGGACATCGAGCCACATCATCACCTGCTTTAAGATCATCCTATTCAATGTATGTTAGCAAATAAGATCTTTGGGAGAGATTAAATACATGTTGCGTATAATTTACTAAATAGATCTCGAATTTATCACCACAAGGACAAGGATATGTATAAAGTTGCTCTTCTTCGTTAAATTCCATGTCTTCAATTTCAATCTACATTAAAATAATCAACATTCATAATTCTTTAATCCATCAAATCAAGCTTTACCTCATCATAAAACGAAGTCATTTTTTTTTTCTACTCGAAATTAACTTTATTTAATGAATTGCAAAAAACAGAAAAAAAAAAAAAAGATTTTAATTGTCTTACTCTTCCCCCCCTCAATTCTATTCTTTGTTATTGTGTTAAAATTTTAAATTCAGCATCAGCAACATTATTAGAGGAAAAAAAAAAACTTTTCTTATCCAATCATAATCTTGAATCAATGTTAAATTTAGTATGTGATCCAGAATAACATAAACGGTTTTCTTGGTCATAAATTCTTGTAAAAATATTGGATAATGTTGAACCAACTCTCTGCACTTCACATACAATACGAATAATTTCACCTTCAGAGATACCTCTCAAATAGGCGACAGAGAGATCAGTAGAAATGCCTATCAAATTCCATGGTTTATGGCTGGTAGCAACCAAGATGGCATAACTACTGCAAATATCAATCAAAGTAGCTACACACCCTCCATGAAGATTACCTAATCTATACGAATAAATATATTAACAACAACAACTACTACTACGACTACTACTTTATACATATATATTATATACAATGGTTATTTACTGATTACAATGGTTTTCTTTAACTGCGAATTCCCACGTTAACTTGTTAGGTTCAGCAGCTACAATGCTTAGTTCATTGCCAACATTATCTTCCCAAAATAGATGCTGTTTATCATGCTTTCCACCATAATAATTTACTGCTTCCTCAAGCTTGGGATATCTTTTAGCTATTTTTTCGTCAAGTTTCATTAAAATAATAATAAAGTAAAAGAAAAATAGAAAAAAAAAAGCTAATAAATGTATGACAAAAGCAGTTTATTTATTTATTGTTTAATATTATGTAGCACTTTGATGTTTATAAATCTGTTATTATAAAGTCTACTGTTATTCAGCTATTGAATTTACCAAAGAAGATGAATTACCAGCTTGTATAATTTACTTTGCTTTATATATCACAATAAAGGGGATAATGGATACTACTACAACACACATCCATATAATAATATCAAAATGAATTAACAGTCACAATTAAGCTAATGGATCTGTGTTCAAAGGATTTTAAAGCTTCGGGGTCCATCAACATGGAATCCCATTATTTCCTTCTTTTATTATTTTTATTTATTTATTATTTTTTCTTAAGAATTAACCATGTCTCAACCTCAATTCAGTGAAAACGATCAACGTGAACTTGCTCAGGTAATAAGAATAAAAAAAAAAGAAGATATAAATATATATGGTATATTTATAATTGTATATAGTTCCTTCAAGCAGAACAAGCAAAGGCTCGTGTACAAGAAACAGTTCATAGTTTGACAGATAATTGTTGGGTAAAAAAAAAAAAAAATCCTATTTATACGAAAAAAAAAGAAGAAGCTGTTATTTTGTTTTCTTACTTGCATGTTTTTTATTAGGATAAATGTATCTCCAAGGTTAATAATAAATTAGATCGTTCTGAGGAATCATGTCTTGCCAACTGTGTCGATAGATTCTTAGATACCAGTTTATTTATTGTTAAACGTTTAGAAGAATTACGATCAACTGGCATGTAAATAATAGCAAGGATAATATACATAAAATACTGTACTTTTTTTTTATATATATAAATATATCGTTTATTGGTGTTTTGTTATAATAAAACAGGATGTATAATTAACAAATAAGTGAAGCAACACCATGCATTTCTTCTCGAAGTTCATCCCAAACTTCATATGCTTTATCAGTAGCTTCTTTAACACTATTAAATTTCATAAAATAATGAATTATATGATTTACAGCATACTATGGTATAGACATCGTTACCTTTCCTTGTATTCTTTGATCGTTTCATCATAATCTTTATCTGATTCCTTTGCTTGAATCATTAACATTTGAAGTTTTACTGTCTTTCAAAAAGAGAGAGAGGAAAAAAAAAAAGTTAGGCATGATTCTTTATGAATCTAAAGCTCATTATCATTAACCTTACCTTTTCTAATTTCTCTTTTTCAGCTTCTTGTAAACTTCGAATCATACCGGCAATAACTTTGTCAGAGACATTCTTTTCGACATGTTGGATCTCTAAAGATACATCTTGAAATCCTTCAGTCACAATTTTACAAATAGAATGATATTGATCAGCAGGACATTTGCCGTTCATATAATCTTTAAATGCGCTAACAGAAGAAAGGCTCATTAACCTTTTAGATTTATATATTCTTAGGCATAATAATAATTACAGATCAAATTCTTTGTATAATTCTAGACGAGTGTTTTGAGATTTTAATAATTTTTGTAATTCATTGGATAAAATTTCATTCTTTTCCAAGATTTCATTCTTTGGTTGTTGTGCCATAATGTCAATGATAATAATAATAAAAAGGGTAAGATGAAAGAAAAAGAAAAGAAATAAGTTTATTACGTACGATTTAAACGCGGAGTTAAATAAGACATTAGCAGTGTATTAAATCATGATGGATATAAATAATAAAATGAGATATTACAAGACATGTAGAAAAGAAAGTCTACCAGTGATAGCAATAGAAAATAAAGATGAAAAAGACTATGTGAGACTACAAGTTTTTAAAATGGCGTTAATAAGGAGATACCTTTATTGTCAGCTTATACTACTTTTTTTTTTCTTTAACAAAATGCTATAAAACATCATTGACTTTCAATGAATAGAGTATAGTAAATACATATCACTAAAATAACTCTAATTTTATGCTTCATTAGCAGTTAGCTTTCACAACACTACTATCACTTAAATTGTAGCAGATTTTTAGTTTTATCAATGTAATCTTTGATTGCTACAAGTTAAGGTAATTTTATCTTTTTATTATTATAGATACAGCCTTGAATTCCCCGAAACAGATAGTAATAATCAAGGATATTTGTCATCTGAGCAAAGAAAGAAAAAAGTAATTACACTATAGTTTTGAAGAGAAAGAATTGTAGTTATTATTTCATAGGACATATAATAGCATTCATAAATTCAGTTGATATGTGATAAAGATAAAAGAAGAAGAAGATTAAACAAGTTATGTTGTTTTAATTATTGATTATTGCTACTACTTGATATTTGTGAAATAAACGCTTTCTTTCCCTTTTGAATTTGTTTAGGAGGAAGAAAAAAAAATTATCAATGTATGATCAACTTGGTCTTTAGTTATCGTTTACTTATTCTTGTCAGCACTTTTTTTTTTTTTACTTTATTTACCATTAAGGGCATAGAGGCAGAAAATTAAAAGATAAAACAGAAAGGACGAAAAAGCGCTAGTAGTAATTAGGCTGTTGATAAATAATTTCATGTCACATTTGATAAATGTCAGATCGAACATTTGTGTAACTTGTTTACATGCATATGCATATACATCCATTTTTTTTTATGTAAGCTGTTTTAACAACAATGACATTGTGTGTATTATTCTATCCTTTCTATTTTTTTTTATAGAAGTGAAACGAAGACAATAAAAATTTTTTATTTGTTTAACCGAAAAACCAATTCCAAAAAAGGGACCTAGACAGTAACTATACAATTAAAAAAAAAAAAAAAAATTTTTATATATAAATACATACAGTCATACGATTTGAACTATTCATAAAATTTTGAAACCAGTGTATTATTAATACTTATTCTTTTTTTCTTATTTTAAATAAATAAATAAAAAGAAAGAAAAATGGCACCTTCAACAGCAGAGACTAGAGAATCTACTAATACTGATCGTATCGATGTAAAGCGTATTAAAAAGGAACAACAATCTGTTAAGGATAAATTCTATTCTGGTCTCTTTGATCAATCTTCTCGTGATGAAATTCGTAAATCTGTTGAAGCCTCTAAGCCTTATCCTCATTGTAAGATCTCCAAGTTAGTAAATGAAGATTTATTGCGTCGTGTCCACAAAGAAATCTTTAGTCAATTGAACTTTACAACAAAGGAAACTGATATTTACAAAGTGAATCAAACCGGTGACTTGGCCAACATGGATGGTCTTAGTGAAGAAGAACGTAGCAAGCTCTCTGCTCTCTTTGAACTTCGTAATGCTATCTATTCTCAAGAGTTCCGAGATTTCGTCTCTGAGGTCACTGGTTGTGGTCCCTTATCACCTTCCAAGATGGACATGAGTGTGAATACATATACAGCTGGCTGTCATTTATTGAACCATGATGATGTGATCGGTACTCGTCGTGTCTCCTTCATTTTGTATATGCCTGGTGAACCTGATGAAGATTGGGATCCTGCCTTTGGTGGTGCTCTCGAACTCTATCCAGTTGTTGAACGTGATAAGCCTGCAAACGAACCCTCTGTCTCTGTTCCTCCCAAGTGGAACCAATTTGCCATGTTTACTGTCTTGCCTGGTTATTCCTTCCATTCAGTAGAGGAAGTTGTGGTTGAAGATAAGCCTCGTCTTAGTATTCAAGGTTGGTTCCATTTCCCTCAAGAAGGTGAAGTAGGTTATAAGCCAGATGCCGAAAAGAGTGATACCCTTTCTTCTCTTCAACAGATTGAAGCCGCAGTTGAAGCTAAGGAAAGTTTTGAAGAATACAAGTCTGGTGCATTAGATGAATCTGCTACATTAGGTTTGACGGAAGAGGACTTGAAGGAACTTGTGACATGGATCAACCCTGTGTATCTTAATATGGAATTCCTTACACAAGTAACAGAAAAATTTGTTGAAGAATCTGCTATTCAATTAAAGGGCTTCTTAAATGATGAACTCTATGATAAAATCAAGGCTGCTACCTTAAAGGCAGATCAGATGGATAAGTTTACTGAACCTATCATGCCACCTCATGGTACTGGCATCAGAGGTTCTTGGTTCGTTCAAGGTTCCCCCGTATCTCAACGTTTCCTTAAATTGAGTGATGATGATCTTAAAGATGATGAAGAAACCTCTGTCTTATTTGCTGACCTTCGTTCTCGCTTCCAATCTGAAGCCTTCCGTCATTGGTTGGCCGTTGTCTCTCAATTACTCCCTTGTGGTTATCGAGGTCTTGCACGTCGTTTCCGTCCTGGTCATGACTATACCTTAGCTACTACCAACATGCGTGGACAAGCTGTGTTGGATGCCACTCTTTGTTTAGCTACTGCACCCACTGAAAAGGCTGCTGAACAATGGGAATCATGTGAGTATGGTGGATATGAATGCTATATGGCCCCTCATGAAGGTGATGATGATCCAGCTACTTATCGTACCTTTGATGACGATGGTGCTTTATTGACAATTGGTGCTGGCTCTAATGAATTATCACTTGTCTTGAAGGATGAAGGTGTTATGAGATTCATTAAATATATTAGTGCTAGAGCTCCTGGTGCTCGTTGGGATATTTCCTTTGAATATGATTTACCTGAAGAAAAGGAAGAAGAAAGTGCTTAAAAGATATTTTTTTTTTTAAAAAAAAATATATAATTTAATAATATTTGTTGTATGTATATAAAAAATATTTAGACAGGCTTATAAATATATTTTTGTTTTCTTAATGCATAAATACAAAGAATAATAATAACAAAAAAAAAGAAGTAAAATAAAAAAATTCCCAATTTTAGACAAATGATATCTTTTTTTTTTTCTTTGTTTATTCATTTATTCATTTACTTTTTTTTTTTAAACATTAATATGAATTTGTCAAGGACAACATCGAGTATAACAGATGCATCAGGTTTATTATATGCTGGATTTAATCAAGATTATGGCTGTTTTGCAGTAGGACTTGATAATGGATTCCGAATCTATAATTGTGATCCTTTAATTGAACAAGCAAGAGACGGTATATTATAACAAGCATAGTTTACAACTGAACTCATATTTTATCAATAGAATCTAATGAGGGAGGAATTGGCCATGTTGAAATGTTATATCGTACAAATTATCTTGCACTTGTTGGAGGAGGTAGAAATCCAAGATATCCACCTAATAAAGTAATCATATATGACAGTATGAAAGGGAAGCCAGTTTTGGAATTAGAATATAAAAGTGAAGTAAAGAATGTCAAGTTACGAAGAGATAGGTAATACCTGTATATATATATATATATATATATACGTAATTTATGGGCTAATAGTATTAGTTATCAGATTAACTGTAGTTTTACAAAATAAAGTATTTGTATATCAATTCAGTTTACCTCCACAATTATTACATACGTTTGAAACATGTGACAATGATAAAGGTAAAAAAAAAAAAAAAAAAAAAAAAAAAAAAAAAAAAAAAAAAATTGATGTCATCGTATTAATACTTGTCTGAAATAAAATAAAATTCTACTTAGGACTTGCTGCTGTTTCAACTTCTTTAGAGCATGCAATATTAATTATTCCCGGGAAACAGAAAGGCCATCTACAGATTATTGATTTAAATTCACTTGGCTATTATATATCCGTTGGTGAAGAGACAACTTCACCTTTATTTACTTTACCCAATAATTATCATTCTAATAGTAACACACGTAGATCGATGAATGTAAGTATTATAGCAGCTCATTCTAGCAAACTAAGTTGCATAGCATTAAATCAAGATGGATCACGATGTGCAACCACAAGTGATAAAGGGACTTTAATTCGAGTATTTAATACATCTACCGGAACACTATTAAATGAGCTACGACGTGGTATGGATAGAGCAGAAATATATTCGATTGCATTTAATCAAGAGTCGACTCGACTTTGTGTTTCATCTGATAAAGGTACAATACATATCTTTAACTTGGATCCATCTGTGGTTACTCATCTAGATCACAAGCCTCGAGGACCGACCTATGGCGAAGTCGTTGTCTATCCTACACAATCTCCTTCAAATTTTGGTTTAACCACTTCAGGGAATCGTGGAAGTGCATTAAGTTTCATGAAGGATATTTTACCAAAATATTTTAGTTCAGAATGGAGTTTTGCTCATGCAAAGATAGCTACTGAAAGTAGGTGTCTTATTGCCTTTGGAAATCAAAAGAATTCAATTACAGGTAAAAAAAAAAAAAAAAAAAAAAAAAAAAAAAAAAAAAAGAAAGAAAAGAAGATAAATAGGAAAATAATACCTTTATATTTATATTTATATATAAATGAAACTAATGTATAATATTCAAGTTATATGTGCTGATGGTGGCTGTTATAAATTTTATTTTGACCCGAGGAAAGGTGGTGAATGTACAAAAGAGTCATTTGTACGCTTTTTAAAAAGAGAATAGATAATAAAATTCAACAAAATGACTACCAATTTTACAAGTATTTACTCGTCCAGACTCTTATATAATACTGGAGTTTTAAACAGTATATATTAGAAGTCCCTCCCCCCCTTTTTTTTAGTGTGTGTCTTTATGAATAATGAAAAAAAAATTCAACAATAAACTGTCTTTTCTTTGATATTAGTTGACTCAAGGCATAATAAAGAGGATATTGATTTGATTTAATATTTTTGTTAAATACAGTTTAACATTGAGTTGCTTATTCATCAATAGATTATTATACTGCTAGATTCATTCACTTGGGAGATTCTGATTTGTAAGGATATACAAAGATATTTATAACACGTACTATGACACTATTGACAAATGTAAATTATTACATAATCAAACAAATGAGTTTGATAGACCTTATCACAAAAAGAAGATAATTATGTTGCTGACTAATTAAATTTGAGCCCTGTTGTTGTTCATCGATTTCTTTCAGAAGACTTGAATGTATCACTTTACTATTTCATCTAAAACATAAATGATATGATGACTTTCAATATTAAAACAAAAGAAAAGAAAAAATCGAATCCTATAATACTGAATCTTACATACTGATATCTGTAAGAGTCATTCACTATTACAAATAAAGATGATTATATATGAATACATATTTGTCATTCACTAATAAAAAAAAAAGAACCAATTTCCTTTTATCATACTGCTGCATTGAGAAATTAAACATTGTTCACAATAAAAAAAAAAAAAAATTATTTTGAATTTGTAAGCAATTTTTTTTTCTTTATTCTTATTATTAATAAAAATATAAATGATGTTTTATTTTCTATCTTTTCCTTCTTTTTGTATTGTTTATAATAACACTAATAATCATGGAGGCAGCACAAGTAATTCATATTAAAGCTATTATAGATACAGTTTGTCCATGGTAAATAAAACTACTTTCTTTTAAGAAGAAAAATAAAAAATAAACTTGGATAGTAACTGTTAATTTTATAAAGGTGTTTTATTGGCAAACGTAGAATGGAAAAAGCTATACATGAATTTCAATTAAAAAATCCAAATGTGACCTTTTATCTACATTGGTTACCTTATCAACTTGACCCTAATCGTACTCAGTCAACAATCAAGCTCGAAACATATCGTAGAAAGTTTGGAAAGGACGAATTTGATCAACAAATTGCCCCCAAAGTTATTTCAGCTGCTGAATCAGTAGATATTAAGCTCGCATTTGGTGGTGTGATTTCTAACACCTTTGATTCACATCGTCTTATTTGGTGGTCTAAACAGTTTGATAAACAAAACGACATGGTTGAAAGAATATTTGAGTTATATTTTGAACAAAATTTAGATCTTTCAAATCATGAGTTATTAGCTGCTGCTGCTGAAAAGGCTGGATTAGTTAAAGAAAAGGCATTCGAATTTCTCCAAAGTGATGAAGGTACTAAAGAAGTGAAAGAATTACTTCAACTTAATGCGTTTAATCAAGTGAATGGCGTACCACATTACATAATCAATGATAAATATGGTGTTTCAGGCGCTCAAGAACCTGCAACTCTTATTCACGTTTTTGAAAGAATTATCAAGCTTGAATCTGCTGGGTTATAAAAAAAAAAAAGACAAAGATCATAGCAAAGATACATAATACTTAAATTTAGAAATAATATAGCAGCAACTAATAATAATGAGTGATATCACAAATCATAATACTTTGTTAACAATAACATCTTTATTTATATCTTCCTTACCCCTCCTTTTTTTTTTTTTTTTTTTTTTTTTAGTTTTCCACTACTTGTCCAATCAATTTCAATCATAAATCATAAGCCAGGAGGTCAAATTTGTATATAAAAACAATAAAATAATAACAAGTCTTTTGTTTGTTCTTTTTTTTTTTTTTTTTGTAAAAAGAAAAATGTCTGCATTGACATTCTTATTTCCAGGAAATGCGTTAATTAACTCTATTTTGGCTACTTCATATATCTCTATTATACCTAATTTATTTCTTTATTTTATTCCTCCCGATATTAAACCTTGTACTTTGAATACACTTGTCAATTTTGCTGTTGGTAACTATTTGTTTGTTATCTCTTTTTATTATGATTATTATCAAGTATTCACTTTTTATAGGCAGTTTATTAGGTGACGTGTTTTTACATTTATTACCCCATGCTTTTAGTAACCAACATGATCATGATCATCATGCATCTACGCATAATAACGAGCTTAAAAATGTATGGATCGGTGTTGGTGTATTTACTGGTTTATTCTTTTTCTATGCTGCGGATAAGATTTCAAGAGCATTCTTTGAAATAAAGGAACATACACATTCTGAAAAAGATCATACTGAACATTTGGTAAATCAGGTTACTATTAGTGAGTCCACAAGTCATCAAAAGTCAGAATTACGTCAAAGAAATATAAATAGCAACACATCAAGCATAAAAAATTCAAAAGACACTACGATTCAACATGACAAAATGATACGTGCAAGTACTTATTTGAATCTTATAGCTGACTTTACACATAATCTTACAGACGGTATTGCAATGGCTGCTTCCTTTTATGTATCACCTACGATAGGAGCTACAACAGCTATTGCTGTCTTTTTCCACGAAATCCCTCATGAAATTAGTGATTATGCTATTCTTTTAAAATCAGGATTTAGTAAGAAGAAGGCTATGATGGTTCAATTTATGACTGCCATAGGTGCATACATAGGTACATTCATTGGTATATGCATTGAGGAAATGGCCATTCGTTTATCTTCCATCAACACCAAACATCATCATGAACGTGGCCATTTTTTTGGAACACCTATTGCTTGGGGTGATTTTATTATTGCAATGACAGCAGGTGGATTTCTTTATATTGCTACTGTAGGTGTTATCCCCGAGTTACTTGAACAGAATAAAGTGAAGAGTAAACTACATCAGACTATCAAGGAATTACTATTTATGATATTTGGTTTACTATTAATGGGCATTTTAGCCTTAAATGAGACCAAAGGACATCATCATCATCATTAAATTACATGATTAAAATTATCAATGTATCTAAAAATACCCCTCCCTTCCATATAATAAATTATTTATTATTGACTGAAATAAATTTAGTTGATGAACACATGGTATTTTAAGTAATATGTTATATTGTTCTTCTTGACAATTCTAAAATAAATAAATAAATAAAAAAAAGACCCAAGAAAAAGGGCTTTTAAGATAGAAAAGAAAAGAAGGATAAAATAGTTATAGACAATGTCAAAGAAATACTGGTGTACAAGTTATCCATAAAATAAATATTCCATTACGTGAATAACAATAGTAGTAGAGATAATAATAGAACAATAGATTATTTTTAGTAGTAGTAGTAGTAGTCTTCTTGTGGAGTGGAAGCTGATTTCAAAAGTAAGAAAGAAAGAAAGACTTTAACTATTTGTTGTAGAAGACAATGATATACAATATACAAACTAGTCTATTTTTGATCAGAGTTAATTATTGAACGCATTTGGACTAATAATACGTGCACTTTATTTGTATACTTCTTTATGATATATTTATAATAAGAAGAATTAATAACAAGATTATTATAGTAACAAGTAATTTTCGAATACCTCTTTAATCTTCGATGTTTCAATTATAATATTGTAGTTTAAAAATATATATGTATATGCATATATATATATATATACAAATATATGCATATTATTTCGTCTGGCTAGTGTCAAAATAAAGCAAGTAATACCAATTCTATAAAGAAGAAAGCCTGTCTGTTGCATCGTTCAAACTAAGAATATGAAAAAGGACAATTAAAAGCTCGAATATATACTGCTCAGTCAAGTAAAGCGCTTCGATTAGATATTAGTCTATAGCATCCATCTGTTCTAAAATTATCTAAACATAAAAGCCATAAAACCTATTTAGTTTAAAATCACATCAACGGCCTATATTATTTGCTATCAGCGTGTCAAGATTAGATAGCAAGAAGCATATTTATTCATATCTAGTGTAGTTCTTTAATAAGAATAAATAAATAAAAACCTCCCGCATAGCTCTTCTCCTTCCTATTTACATTATGCTAATTCATTGACAGTGTATACATATGTATTTATCAATGTCATTCTTCATTGAGGATTCTTAGCTGTTTTTCTTTTTTTTTTTTTTTTTTGTTAGTAAGACCTTTAATTTCACTTTCTTCAATAAACCTATCTAACTAGCTACTTATTTAACAAATTCAATTATAGACTCTTCGAATCCGTTGTTTATTGACTACTTCTATTCATAAATATATAGAAAGCGTTTCTTTTATCTTCTTCCTTTCTCTCTCTTTTATACCATCCAACAAACAGAATTTGTCCATAGTCCAAGCAGTACAATAATGCATTTTTACATGTATCCGTTTGATGTTCCTTAATCTTATGGGTCATTTTTATACTCCGATCATAGTTGTCGGTAATTTAATATAATCCGGGTGAGAGAGACAGTCGTTCAGGTAAGTGGTATATGGTTATCGGAAGGAGGGGCCAAGTATAGATCCTTCTTTTAGTTATTCAACACAATGGTGCGTACTATGAGGACAAAAGAAGGAAAGGAAAAAGAAAGAATAAGAAAGGATATTCATGAATGTTGACGAATGGAAGAAGAAGAAGAAAAAAAAAGGATACAATAAAAGTCCTTGTTTTCTCTTTAACGAAAGATGGATAGATATGAGATGGATGGATGAATGAATAGATGTACGAAATAGAATAGTTTTAATATTGTAAATATCACAGAAATAAATGGATGGATGGATGGATGGATAAATTATATAAACAGATGGATTATAGAGATTAGTTTATTTTTCTTTCGACTTGCTGCAAAAAAAAGGGGGGAAAAATTCAGTGTCATTTTAAGAATTGTACATTTCTAATTCCATTACAGAATGTCTCATTTTTGTCAACTGATGTCCATTTCAATCCTTTCATACTTTCTTTTTTCTTTTCTAGAATATTTATGCAAATGAACAAAAAAAAAAGGACACAAAACTAAATTTCTTTTTTTGTTTTCTTAGGCCGACGCTTCTACTGTCACCATTCGCACTCGTAAGTTCCTTACCAACCGCTTGCTCCAACGTAAGCAAATGGTCGTCGATGTCATCCATCCCGGTCTTCCTAACGTCTCCAAGGATGAACTCCGTGAAAAGTTGAGCAAGATGTACAAGGCTGACAAGGAAGTTGTCTCTGTCTTTGGTTTCAAGACTCACTTTGGTGGTGGAAAGACCACTGGTTTCGCTTTGATCTACGACTCTGTTGAAGCTCTTAAGAAGTTCGAACCCAAGCACCGTCTTGTTCGTATTGGTCTTGCTGAAGCTCCTAAGGGTGGTCGTAAGCAACGCAAGGAAAAGAAGAACCGTGAGAAGAAGTTCCGTGGTGTCAGAAAGTCCAAGAAGCCCAGAAAGGAATAAGTTACTGGCTTTGTATAAGCAAAACAATAAATTCATTATTATTTGCTTCCTTTATGTAATAAAAAAATAATAATAGTAATAATAACCTTTAATTGTGTATATATATGTATGTATGTGTGTGTGTGTGGTTGGGAGAGAATAAACTATATTATGAATACTTGTAAGACAAATATCTACTTTGTTCAAAAAAAAAAAAAAAAAAAAATTGCAATCGATCACTTTATGTAAATGTCATACATTGTTCAAATAAACTTTTGCTTGAAAATTATTCTGTTATTAGCTTTTAGATATCATTGTCCTCTCTTTTTATATATTAGAATTTTATTTACAATGTTAACAAATCTTGATCATTTACAAACTATACTATACATTATTATTTCCTGCCAACAGCAACTGGATCACTTAATTTATGCTCGTGTTTTAACAACCATCAAGTGACTGCTTTTGGTTTCTATGTGTTTCTGCAATATTTATAATAAAAAAAAAAAAAATAAAAAAACTTTTTCCTTTTTTTTTTTGATCGTTATAAGAATCAAGTAAAATGTCTGAACCCATCTTTGTCGATCTTAGTGAAAGTAAGCCTGCTGAAATTGAAAGTTTATGTATGAAATGTGAACAAATGGTAAGACAATTATACTTTGTATGTGTTTTTTTTTTCCTGTCTGATTTATTCTTGTATAGGGCGTTACCCGAATTCTTCTTTCCAAGATCCCTCATTTCAAGTAAGTGAAAAAAAAAAACAAGGAAAGCTGTGAAAGTTTATTAGTTAATTTTTAATTTTTTCTTTTATAAAAACAAAAAGAGAAGTTATTATTATGGCTTTTGAATGCCCTCATTGTGGTTTCCGTAATAATGAACTTCAAAGTGCAGGTAGTTTTAATGAAAGAGGTCATACCATCACATTGTCAATCTTGAATAAAGAGGTGAATTTTGAAAGGAAAAGTGAATACATTAAGGATGTTTGAATGATGACCGTTTAAATATATAGGATTTAAATCGTCAATTAGTGAAGTCTGATTATTGTTCTGTCAAATTTGTTGAGCTCGATATTGAAATTCCCGCTAACAATAGACGCGGTCTTTTAACAACAGTTGAAGGTTTGGTAAGCAATGCTATCGATGATTTATCTGCTGCACAACCTATTCGTAAAGCCACGGATGAAGCAGTTTACAATAAAATTGAGGAAATTCTTGCTAAAATGAACAGTTATAAAGAAGGTGCTCCTTTCACACTTGTTCTCGATGATCCTTCTGGTAATTCTTATGCTGAAAATAAATGCTTACCAGCTCAAGATCCTCAGATCAAGGTTAGATGGTATATTCGAACTCCTGAACAACAAGAATTCCTTGGCCTTCAACCTAACCAAGAGCAAACACCTGCTGAACAAGCTGCAGACGCACTTCAACATCGTGCTCCTACAGTTTCAGAAATGGTGAATGAAGAAGGCGTTCCTGAAATCATGTCTTTTCCTGCCAACTGTCCAAGCTGCAATGCACCTTGTTCTACTAATATGCATGTTATGGAGATCCCTCACTTCAAGGAAGTTGTCATTATGGCTACTAATTGTGAACATTGTGGATATAAGAGTAATGAAGTCAAGGCAGGTGGTGCAATCTCTGAAAAGGGTAAACGTATTACTCTCAATGTAACTGATCCTGAAGATTTGTCCAGAGATATTCTCAAGTCAGAGACTTGTGGTTTGAGTATTCCGGAAATTAATCTCGAATTAACGCCCGGTACATTGGGTGGTCGTTTCACGACTGTTGAAGGTTTGCTTAGACAAGTACATGATGAATTGCTTGAACGTGCTCCTTTCATTCAAGGTGATTCTGGTACTGAAGAAAGCAAAGAGAAATGGACCAAGTTTTTGAATAATTTGATGGCTGTTGCAGAAGGGAAGATGATGCCTGTTACCCTTATTATTGATGATCCTTTGTCCAATTCATATCTTCAAAACCTTTATGCTCCTGACCCAGACCCAGAAATGACAATTGAAGAATATGAACGTAGCTGGGAAGTCAATGAAGATTTAGGTTTAAATGATATGAAATTGGAAAACTATAATAATGCGTAAAGTTTAGAAAGTAATTTGTTTATATATAATTGTATCCCTAGATAACGAAATAAAAATAATTGTTAATATGTATGTATGTGTGTGTGTGTACACTACAAAAAAAAAAAAAAAAAAAAGAAGGGATTTTACTAATTTATGCTCATCACGTGATAGAATTTTATATTAAATTCTAATGCATCGTGTTAAAGTTAAAATCACGTTGAATATAAACAGGTAAATGATAATTGACATGTATTAATGAGACCCTGGACGATTTTTAAAGAAAAGATAGCACACAAGATATTAATAATGTTTTTTTTAAAAAAAAAAAAGAAGAAGAAGTAGAAGCAAGGTTAAAGATGTTAACAAGTAAAAAAGAAAATAAAATAAAATAAAAAAAAAAGAAAAAATAAAATGAAATTAAAAAAAAAAATAAAAATAAAAATAAAAATAAATAACAAGACACGAGAAATAGTTTGCTATTGCCACATCGTGTTTATTTTATTATATTAAAAATGCACTCTAGAAAAAAGTATACTCAACATCATTATTTGCACAAAAAAAAATAAAATAAAATAAAAGAATAAGGGTCCATCTATAATTTGCATAAAATATATAATAATAAGCTCCTTAAAATTTTGAAAGGGAGGCTGCTATTCTTTGTAGTCAATTTTTTGTTGAACATGTGTATCTTTTTCATTAATTTTAAATAGCCTATTTAAAATAGTCCTTGTTTTCTTTTTACAAATAGACACAAATATTATTTATTTTTTTTTTCAATCTTTTATTATTTGTTTATTTATTTAATTCATATAAATACATATACACGATTACGTATATACTATAGCAATCAGAAACAGGCACATATACAAATATATACATAACATATAATTTAGTTTATTTTTCCTTATTGTTAACATCATGAAAATGAAATAGGGCTCTCCCCCTTCTCCCTTTTATTTTGTAAAGAAGAAAGAAATTCAATTAAATAATGGAATCGAAATCAATGTCAAAAGATCTTAATGAACAACAACAACAACAACCAATTGAACAGTTCCCAAATAGATCCATGTCAAAACCTCGACCTGTTTCATCTCATCTCATCTCACCTGTAAAAACAAATAGAAAACAACCTATTCTAATAGATGATGACGAATTAAATAAAAATATTAGTTCAGAATATCAAGATATACAAATACGTACCTTAACAAAGTGGATAAATGTTCAGCTAAGTCGAGTCGGTGAACATATTACTTTTATTGATAAAGATCTTAAAGATGGCAAAAAGCTTTTGAAACTCTTGTCTGTAGTAGCCAATAATCCTAACTTGAAACCAGAGAAAGGAAGTATGCGAATTCATGAATTATCAAATGTGGCACAGGCATTGAAATTCTTACAAGATAAATGGGGCGCTGATAATCTACCTGCTGTTGCTAGTGAAGCAATTGTGAATGGTGATGTGAAAAGTACTTTGGCTATCACATTTTTCATTATGCTGAAATATCAGATCTATCCAATTTTATCACATAAAGTAAATTTTAGTAGTCTATCCCAAAGCTTCTCTTATTTATTTATTTTTGTGTTTTATAGTTATCAATGATGATTCCCGCCCCTCTACCTAGTATTAGCACAGGTAGCACAAAACCGTTACAAGAGGCTAAATTGGTATTATTATACTGGGCTCGCTCTCAATTAGAGGATTATGTCGCAAATCATGTTTTAACAGCTGTGCAGGACTTTTCAAGATCTTGGCGTTCTGGTTTAGCTTTCTGCTTACTTGTTCATAAACATGATCCGGATCTCATTCCAGCTCTGTTTACAGAATATCTACATTATGCATCTCATAAGGAGACGTGGCATCGACTTTTAACATTAGCCTTTGATATAGCAGAAGAAGAGTTAGATGTTCCAAAATATTTAGAGCCTGCAGATCTACTCGTAGAGTATCCTCATGAACCTTCTGTTATGATGTACGTTAGTGAAATGTATAAAGTAATGTCTAATACACTCCAGCAACAAGAGACAAATGAGAAAAAAGAAAAGAGGCTTCATGATATTGCATTAGTAGTTTCTAATCGCAATCCAATCATTCTAAACAATGTAGTAGAAACCGAGGAGAATGACAAATCCCCTCTAACAGATCAATTCGATAATCCTAATACTACTGTTGAATCTCTTTCTCTTGATGATCAGAGTAATCAATTATCAAAAGTACCACAACCTGAAACATTATCGGATGATGTCTATCAACAGTTAGATATTCTATCATCTTCATTGGATAATGCACATCAGGATGATGATGATGATGAGACGTTGGATGTGGTCATGCTACAGACTTTATTAGAGCGTACATATCATAACATTAATCAACTTGATTCATCTTCTGAAGAAAAAGAAATCCTCTCTAATCGCTATAATCAGTTAAGAGAAAAATGGGAACAACTTACTAAGCGTTGTCTGAACATGGCAGAACATCATTCTATGAGCGAATGCTCTTCTTTGAAATCTCAAATAAAAGAGATAATACCTATAAATAATAATAAGAAACCTTTACATCCGCTGGACGGAACTATTGAAATTGCAGAAGAATTCGAGGCGTCTTTGTCACGAATAACACAATTAGTTGAAATGAGTGATGAAAAAGAGGGATTGAAGACTGAACTGGAAACTATTCAATTATCGTGTCAATTATTTCGGCGAGGCGTCACTTTTTCGCAAATTACAACAGCTATTAATGATGAACTCAATTTCATTCAACAAATGATGACAACAACTGGAATTAGCAATAACACGGTAACGGATGAGCTAATTCAAAATTTAGAAAACCGTATACATGTTGTGTGTACCACAATTCAAGGCGTACGTGACGAATATGAGCATGATCTCTTATGTTATGATTCATCATCAGATGTGTACTATAGTCGCTTTATTGATTGCATCGATAATCTACAAGAACGTTATGAAACTATTCGCGATTGGGTAGATCAAGTACGCGTGTGGTTTTTAGAGGCAGAAAGGATTCGTACATGGATTGATCAACATATACAAATAGTCGAGCAACGGAATGAGACAGACGACAATATTGATCCTGTATCTCGGGAAATTACAATATCAGATGATGGAGCTATTCGACTCCATGAAGAGCATGAACATCTTAAGCAAGAGATTGAACGCTTTGATTCAGATGATATGGATCGATTACGCGCTCATGTAAAGATACTAACTCATAGCTCTGATTCAGATAAAGAATTAACACCAGCTGATACATCCACTATTGAAATCACACTTACAACGTTAAATAAGCTGGGTCATTTGACAAAGTTGATAGATGAGCGTTCACATCGAATAGAGCTATTATTGTTACGAATCAAATGGGAAAATCTGTTTAGTGATGCTGTTCAATGGATTGCAAGTACAGACAAGACGTTAGATGCATTTTTAAGAGGGAAGGCGAGATGGTCTGAAAAAGAAGAATTAAACTATACTTCAAATGCAACTGTTGATTATTTGAGTGATGAAGAAAATACAGATCAAATTAATGACAGAGGTATTGAAGGTGTAATCAAAACGCTTGTTAGCTTAGAACGAAAGATTGTTGACTTTGACCAGGGTCCCTACTCGGACGTGTTGGATGCTTATCAGGGAATGGAAACATTAAGAAACGAGAGTATGCCTGACTATTTAGAGACTCGTCAACTTGGGTTTGAAAGCGCATTCGAGGATTTGATGAAGCGTGTAGCGTTTAGTCGAAAAGTGGTTGAACAATTATTATCAATGATAAGTACGGTAGAGAGGTTTAAAGAATTACGGGATCGGGGAGAGCAGTTACGACAAAGCCTTTTGCAAGATGTCTCATCTGATGATAATGATAATAATAATAATGATGATGATGATATTGGATATGCTGAAAAAATTCAAGCGTTCAAGGAGGAGTCAGCTCGTTTAATTACAAACGCCAATACTTATATTTCTTATCCGACTCCACCTGAAATGTCAACCGCTATGGGGGCTAATGATGCTCGAGATAGTGAAATTACAAATGAGAGTATTAAGAGCGTAATCAGTACCTATAGTATGTCATTAGCTTTAATAGCTGATGGATTAGATCAACTTTTGATGTCTCGCTATCAGGTATTATCATTACAACAACGAGCTGAAGAAGCATATGAAGCGATGACTCGTGTTAGAAACTGGATGGACGAAAGAATCAGGATCTTGAATAAATCTCGTTTAGATATCATACTATATGATCCGTCCATGTCTATATCCTTTGCCCCATCTTTACCTGTGGAAGCGACCACAAAGCATCTAACGCAGAGAATGAATAACGGTTTCTCTAATAATAGTAGCAATCAAACGATGCCAATGGCAGTATTGGACGATGAAAAGTTGTTGTATTTCGAAAAAGAGCGAGATATGATTGCTTCCAAGTTAGATCAGATAGAAAATGATGAATTGGTTAAACTTCTTGAACGTGTTCGTGAATTAGAATATGATGTTGATGCATCAAATGCTGTGTCGATCGATAGAAGTGCTCTAATTAATCATATTGAAAAGTTAGAGGAACGCCATAAAGAGCTGAAGGAGTTGCTTGCCTTAAGAGGAAGCCAATTAGATGCCCTAAAACATCGACTTCAATGGGAAAATCAATGGTCAAAGTCCAACAGTTATCTTCACACAATTGCTCGTAAGATGTGTGACTTTAATATAAAAAAGACACGATATGATCCCTCCAAGGAAAATATTGACAAACCGTCATATCAGGGCGATCATGAAACTGTGCAGGCATTAAATTTCCTTAAAGATAAAGTAACAGAGTTAGGAGAACGGTATTTAATGCCCCTTGCTGAATCTTATTCTGAACTTGTTAATAGCTTTACAAAGCTAACCAATGATAAGCAAGATGTAAATAGCGTGCCTTCTTTGCTAACAGTTCTCCCTGATTTTATTTTAAACAAACAAACTGATCTCAAATTTAAATATGAGGATTTGAAACTCTTGACAGCATACACTTCAGAGCTTGTAACTCAACGTGCAGTTATTACTGAATTTCTTTTACGTGCTCAAGATGCTCATCAAGAGGGTGAAAAAATCAAGGAGGCTATCTTTAAGCGAATACGTCGCATTTTGACCAGTGATGAAATGGATAGCTTTGATCCTCTTGAAGCTCGTATAAAAAAATTGAAAGAAGAAATGAAGAGTATATGGAAAGATTGTGGAGAAAAGATGCCATACCCAGTTTACAATGGTAATTGGTTGAAAACCTTACCACAGTCAGTAAAAAATCAACAACAGACAACAATCTCCTCCGAATCAGAAGATGGTGCAAACTCATCTGTATATCGGTCTCAAGTCAGAGCGCAAATTAAAACACTATTAGATCAGAAAATGGAGGAACTTTCAAGTCTTTCGACCTCCATTGATCAATGTATGCAATCTTATCATGAAGCCGAAAATTCAAAGGCACTTATCAAACAATATGAACAGGATGCATATGAGTTAAAACAATGGATTGATAAGCAAATCGAATCCTTAAAGCACCAGTATATTGATGTATCCGATGAAACCTTTTTAGGCCCTGGATTGACTATATCTGATCTGAAAAAGGCACGTCTTGAGATGTCTATGGAAGTAGATTCATTTGAAAGTAATAAAGTGAAAGTGCTACACGATCATATTGCTCAATTTATGGAGGATTCTGTAGAAAGGCAAAAAAGGAGTCAAACTGTCGATATATCCTCTGTAGCTCATTATTTAGGGGACATAATGGAGCGTTTATCAGATCTCAAACATGGATTATCATATCAAGCCATGATACTTGATGCGGCTACTATGCGTGATGAATGGGAAAATCATTATCAAACAGGCTTAACAAAATTGGAGGAAATGAATGAACAGTTGCGTCAATTTAATATCAAAAAGAATCAATGGATTTCTCAAGAAGAGCATCTCTCTGAACTACAAGTAAAGATGTTAGAACAAGATCTAACAGAACTTATGGATCAGAAAAATAAATTTCAAGAATTTGTTTTACCAGGTATTCAAATGAGTTATGATTCCTTCACGGAATACTTTCCAAAGCTTCCTAAGCCAATTGCTGTTCCCGATTTTTTCGAAGCTCGTATGGAATCACTAAACAGAACTTCGGCTCGTTTACAGGAACATGTTGAAAATCGTACCAGGGAATTAGAATTAATTAAACAACGTGTTCAATGTGAAGACGTTATAAGACAAGCAATCCTATATCTCTCCAAGCATGAAATGCTGATTGAGACCTTTATTGAAGAAAAAGCTAGATGGAATAATGATAACTCTTTAGGGGCTCATGATAATAATGATAATAATGATAATGAAGAGGAGTTTATTCTTCGTACAGAACTGTCCAACTTGTACGTAAAGTTTAAAGATTATGAACAAGATGTAATTATGCCTCTTCAAGAGCGTTTTAATACACTTGTTCAGGAGGTAAATCATCATGATAATAACAGCATGACTCTTTTGACAAATACATTCATGAAGAAAATGGAAGAATTGCAAAAGGCTCAAGATTATGTCAACTATTCTTTGGATTTTTCCAACCAAGTAATAAGTCAACGTTGCTTGATATCAGCTTTTATACTTAGGACAGCACAATTAGAACAGTCAGCAGAATTAATTCGTGAAGAGTTTATGGCAAATACAAATAATAATATTCCTCTTGAAGATCTTCTTGATAAACATAACGAAAGACTTGAAAAGTTTAAAGCTGGTATTGATGATGTACGCAAACATCTAGCGACTACCATTCCTTTTCCAGTTCGTAATTTAGACAATATCTCCACCCAAACTAAGATGAAGGATGAAACTACTAATTCAGTCATTCAAGAAGTAATTGACATTCGTAATTCACGTTTAGAAGACTTGTGGTCCGATTTACAATTATTGCTTGAATCTAAAGAACGTGTCTCTCGTCGAAGATTTTCTTTACATTCCTTCAAGAAGCAAGCTAAACTAGCTGAGACATGGATCAATTCACGTCTTGAACTTCTTGATCAAACCAACTTTTATACTGAATCATCTCTTGGGAAAACAGTTGATATTGAAAGATTAAAGGAGGCTGTGGGTCTGGCTGATAGTGTGGAGCAGGCTATGAATGCCTCTGAAAATGTTTTGGCATTGTTAAATATTGCATATGAAAAATCTCTTGCTGCATTTGAAGACCATTCTATATATGACAAGGAAGATGATGAGCTTTTGGGACAAGATATAAATGATATCGTGAAGCCAACACAAGCAAGAATTACACAAGCCTGGACGGATTTATTATCAAAGGCAACATTTAATAAAAAGGCAAGAACAGCTCTATTGATAGAGACCAAAATACAATCATGGTTAAAATCTTTGGATCATCTCTCAGCTCAAGTTGAAGCCAAGTTATTACCAACAGTTGAACAGTTAACCTTATGGACAAATGAAATTCAACAATTGGAAACAACAAGTTATGAAAGTTTAAAAACAGACTTGGAAGCTAATGAGAAAATAATGGATAAACATGAAATAGCATCTTTAAAAGAATCTTTACTTAATGGGATGGAAACAGCAAAAGCGATTCGAGCTAAACTTGTAGAACTTCAAAGTACCGTGTATCTTGATCAACTGATTAAGAAATATGTGGAAGATACATTTAAACTGCAAGAGCTAATCTCTATTCAGACCAATGAAATGAATAATATTAAAGAAGAGTATCAAGTTATAGCTTACGAGCATACATCAGAATATCGTCGAGATAGATACCATAGTCTTGTATCAAAATATAAGGGCGTTATGGATTGTATTATCAGTTTGAAGGACTCGTTTAGTGATATATCTAGTCAATATTCTGCAATTGAAGCTATAAATCCAAATTATGATAACACAAAATATACAGAAGTGACAGAGGCATTGAAGAAACTCGAAAAACTAGGAAATGATGTATCCACTTTGATAGCTCGTTCTTTCAAATGGAACAAGTATTTCGATACATTACAAAGTGTTCAGAAAGATTTGGAAAATGCACAAAATAGCATGATGAATACTAGTTATGTTGTAGACTATAATAAGATGAACGAAACTTTTGATACAATTGAATCTTTGCTTATCAATGAATTGTCTGATTTATCTGATGATTTATCTGAAGATACAATGAACTCAAACATTTTCAATTCTCAAAAGGCAACTTTAAATAACCTTTTAAACAGTTTGAGATTAAAGTTAAAGGGTCAAATAGTAGAAGCAGAAAGGGTTTCATTAATTCAAATAATAAATGAAACTGTAGATCGCCTATGCAAAGAATGTAATGAACAGTTGACTAAGATTTCCAAACACAACAGCGCAATTGTATTTGATGATATAAAAGATACTCTACATAGTACTATTGATAAGTGCGAAAGTATCATTAAATCTAGTGAAACAGTTTATTCAGCATGCCAAAATGAATTGGAAACGCTTCAGGTTAATCAATATGCAAAATTAGTTTCTATGCTTGATAGTTCAGACGATCAATCCAATCAAATACTGATACCGATTGTATCATCATTAGAAAAGTTAAATGATGTTATACAATCTGAGAAAAACTATTCATCTATTGCAACATTATTGTCCCAATTTATAGACAACCAGATGGTGATGCTCGCTACTATAGATGAAGGTATTAATAAGCTTGGAAATCATGAAAACTTGAATAAAGTGATAGTAGAACTTGAACGACAACTTGAAACGCTAGATGAATCCATATTAGAGAATTCCAAACTTAGTCAATCTATTAAAAGCTTCACTTGTAAAACTCTGTGTCAAACTGATTCATGCGTGGAAACTATTACAGACATAGTAAATAATAGAGATGCTCATCTAAACAAAAAATATTCGGACTTTAAACAGCAATTGCTTCAAGCACAAGAAGCCGTCGGCAATAATAACAAATATCAACAAATCATGATTAAACTTAATGATAATCTTCAATTTATTTTTAACATGACAGAGAGTGTTAAAACATTCCAGTCAAGTGGAACAGGTATTGAGTCGGCAGAACGAGAATTAGAAGACTTTTGTAGCGATTTTTATTCGGCTTTAGATAAGAAGACAAAGGCTGTTGATTCATTAATTGCTGATTATGCAAAGGGTGATGAAAATAACAATGATATTAGTAAACTTCGACAACAAATATCAACTGCTTTAAATCAATTTGATACCCTTGTTAATACCAGAAAGAAGGAAGTGTTAGCTGAAGGAGACCTCTCAGGATTCCTGCGAATTATGGAGGAAATTGATAAACAAATTGCTTCACTTATGGCAGCTACTGAGCAAGCATCTCCTCATCACTCGACCATTATCAACAATAAATTTGTTAAATCTGAATTACAAGCCTTACTCAAGACATTAGTTACGTCTTTTAAGCAACATCAACAAGCTGTTAACGATATTTTAGAAAGAGCTCGTGGTGAGTCCAAGAAAAGACTCTTGGACAATCATGAGCGCGTTCTAGACAGTTTGCAAAAAGCAACAAAACGTTGGGCCCAAGCACAATCAGCTGCGGCTGCTCGAGAAAGAGAACTTCAAGCTTGTATTCATCAGTTAGATCATGAATTCTTTACCAAGCTTGCTATGGCCAAGTCCTTATCCCCAACTCCTCACAAGGCTTTACCTTTGATAAATGCTAAGCGTTATGCTATGCTAAATGATAAAAGCTTTGGTAGAGTATCTCCTTTCCCTGTAAATAATAGACGTGAAGATGCTACAAACGGGAAAAAAGTAATAAATAATATACCAGTTTCAACACATTCTTCAGGAAATAAACCTAGTAACAACTATGTGCCTGATCCTAATAATGAACTTGATATGCAGCTTGGTTATATTGTAAATAGCTCTCCTTATCGAGTTACAGTCAAGGTTGTGCCTGGCCAAGTTGGAAAATATTGGTTTGGAGATTTTAATCCACGATTGGTTTATTGTCGTATTTTACCTAGTCGAATGGTCATGGTTCGTGTTGGTGGTGGTTGGGTTGAACTTTCAAAGTAACTTGTCAAAAAGAAAAAAAATATATATATATAAATATTTAACAAATGTAAACTAATAATTATTTTATTTTATTTATTATAGGTTCTTAAGAGGTATACCTTTTTTTTTAGCATTTAATAATCGTGTATGTCTGTATTAATTATTATAAATATATACAAATATAGATCATAAGCTTACAGAAGGAGTTTATTCAAGACCAGAATCTGCCAATGATAATAGCACAAGTTATCAACTAGAAAATGGACCCTTCCAAGAAGCCTATTTACAATACGTAAGACCCTCATCCCCATCTGGACGTATTACTATTCGTGGCGGAGGCGGTGTCGATAAACATAATAGTAGTCTAGCATCAACACGATCATCTAGCAAATCATCTGGTAGTAGATCAAGATCACCTTTACCTGGATATATCAATGGAGATAAGTACATTAGTATAGACGAAGAAGGCAATCAAATTGTCTTGAAAATGAAAAGAGCTGATGATGATGCAAAAACGCCTATTATTAATAAGAAAAAGTACCAATAATAAGGACTTTAGTAAATTATACTTGTATTTTGCTAATTTCAATGTTAATAATATCATCAAAAATTTACTGTTTTTTTTACAGTATATTGTTATATCATTTATATTCCCTTTGTTTAATATTTTATAACAATTAAAAAATATACGTTATATTTATATTCCCTTATTATATTTACATGTAGAGTACATCAATATAATTATTTTATCACAATGTTTAGCCAACATATACAGCTTTTTTACATGATGATGAAAAAAAAAATGAATTTCTAGTGATGTTACTTGAGAACACCTTTCCCTGATTTTTTATTTATTTATTTATTTTATTTTTTAATATACTTGTTAAGTAGTAGTGTCAAATTATTTATAATAATTATCGATATTATATACAAATAGATAATACTATTTTATTTATCAATACATATAGATATGTATATTTATACAAATATGCATTTATACATATTTAAATACAATGTAGAATTCATTCATGTAATGCTAGTTTTCTTTTTTTTTCCATAAATGGGAATATACACAATAGGCTTGAGCTCTCTGATACTCTTTATAAACAGTTTGTTATTTCGACTTTGCTCGCTATCATCCTCTTTAGAACGACTATTATCTAGATCAGCATAATGAGTCTTCTGCTTTTTATGAGATGAATCTGTCGATGGAGAAATATCTCTAAGTCTGAGGGTGCGTTCAAAAAGGCCTTCTTCCTTTTCTGAGGTTGAAACATTATCCTCTGAAATGCAACTATCTCTTCTCTCCTTGACTGAGCGATAGTCATCATCATCATCATCATCCCTGAATGATCTTTTCCTTTTGCCTATCCTTTTTTCTTCTTTATCGCTTTGATTTTGATGCTCATATGTAGTTTGCTCTTCAACTTGTTCTTCAGACTTATTTTGTATACAAGACTTTTCTTTATTAGCTTCTTTAGACAGAGAGGCTAAATGGTTATATAGTGACTTTTCTACAATAAGATCATCTTCATCATCACTTATCATAAACTCTGCTGCTGACATACGATGTTTGACGCCTTGGCCTGAGGAACTTTCTGGATCTTTGTTAATATCTGAATCTCTATGCACTGTATTTTGTTCTTGAACCGTGCTTTCTGGGGTATTTCTCTTTTCTGATTCCTCTACATTGTCTTTGTTATGTATATTCTCCAAGTGTTGATCAATATCCATTGCAACTGTAGGATGTGTATCTTCTGGTTCTAAACCCATTGCAACTGTAGGATGTGTACCTTCTGGTTCTAAATCCATTGCAACTGTAGGTTGTGTATCTTCTGGTTCTAAACCCATTGCAACTGTAGGATGTGTACCTTCTGGTTCTAAATCCATTGCAACTGTAGGTTGTGTATCTTCTGGTTCTAAATCCATTGCAACTGTAGGTTGTGTATCTTCTGGTTCTAAACCCATTGCAACTGTAGGATGTGTACCTTCTGATTCTAAATCCATCACAACCTCATTTTTCACTTTAGGATCAAATACAACGTTGATATCCTTTTCCACTGGGCTGAAAGAAATAGCTTTCAAACCACTTTCATCGCATTTAAAATTTTCAAGTGCATGAATATAAATTTTAAGCTCTGATGCTTGAGAAGGCTCAAGTGCTCTATTTACCAAAGAAATGTAATCGAACGTATTATGTAGTCCTGATACGCTTTCTTCATATGATGTGCGCGCTTTTCTTTTGCTAATAATGGATGCTTTGTATTCAACATTTGTTTGCAACAAAATCTTGAACTTGTTAATGAGCTTCTTAGGATCTTTACTATCACTATATAATTTACAATTTTCAATAGTCAATGTTTCTAAACTATAGTCCTTCAACGACAATCTTTCTTCTGTTCCGTTTTCTGTTCTGCCAATTCTGCAATTGGAAAGTGTAAGATGAACGATATGAGATATACATGAATGAAGATATGAAATTTCGCTTCCCTTTAAGCAGATAGAATGTAGGGTCAGTTTTTTTAACTTGCAAGCCTCAAACTTGATGCCTTTATGTCTAGCCAAAAGACCTAGGTTATGATTAAAACCTACATCAAGCGCTTCCAAATTAGGGAGAAGCTTTAAAATACGAATGACATCAATCAATTCTCTTGAGGTAGAATGATGGCAGCAAAGGGATTTAAGTGATTTAAATTGGGCTAATTCTCCATAGTCGATATTCTTCCTGGAAATCATGGTTAAATGCTTTAGTGAATTGCTACCTATCTTTAACAAACTGGGTAACACAACTTGAGGATCTGGAATGCCAATTAAAGATAAATGTTCAAGTTCACAATTTGATTTGGCAAGCAGATTCAATATGATGGTCGTGTATGAGCTATGATAATTAATTTCTAGTTTCTTTAGTTGAGAAAGATCTGCTTGACACTTTCTCAAATCTTTTCCATCTTTAGCATCTTTAGGGATATTTTTAATCAGTTGAGTTTCTCTTTCAAATCTGAAAGATTGTAGTGTTTTGCCATAACATTTAAAAATGTGAATAAAAAAATTAACTTCGCTTTCTAACATGGATGGCACTTTGATGTCTATGTGACTGACTTGATTTGGGGTATAATTTTTGCGTGGATTGTTTGTATTAATATAAAATTGATCAAGTTTAATGGAGACTAGATTAGGAAGAACAGTGTGATATAGCTCCAAGTTTTCAAGCAAGATTGTTTGATGCTTCATCTTTTCTTTACAAGCAATAAAGACTAAACATCTTTTGTGAATCGACCTTGGTGAGGAAGTGATCAGTATCATATTTTGTAAACATGGATTTGAAAAAAGGGGTGAGATCCTTTGTTGACAAAGATCGCGTATGATAAGTACTTGCTCTGTTGTTAATTGAGGTAATTGTTGGAGAGTATTCAGGATCATTGCAATTTTATCTCCCCAATCTTTACCATTTTTTGAAGAGTTTTTGGTTACTTTCAAAAGTTTGATGAGATTGGTGGGATGGATGATTTCAATGGAATCGAAAACAGAAGCAATTTCAGGGAAGGATTGTAGTTCGTTACGAATAAACGTATCAAAATGCCCCCCATAAAATTTTGCTGCAACTGGAGAATTCATAAATATATGATTTAAAGCACTCGTTAAACGTTTTTCATCGTTAAACGCGTCAGTATTGATATTCTCTACATGTGTCATGCTATTCTTCATAAACTGAAAATATATGATAAATATAAATCCCTTAAAAAAATAAGAAATAAAATTAAAACTGTGTATAGTTACATGAACAAAAAATAAATAAAAACAAGCAAAATAGGTTTTTTTTTATTGGTCGATTAAAAAAAAAATGAAATACTTAATGACATGTAAGAATCATTTGGACATGTTTTTTTTTTTCATCAAGCACTTAACAATGACATTATAGAAGGGTGTAAGCTACCTTTATAAATTAGAGAAAGCTCTAACATTTCCTTGAAAGAAATTCAGGAGTATTTTTTTTTAAGGTTATATTTCTAAAATACGAAAAGTGAATAAAGTTAGTTAGTTTTATAAATAGAGTTAAAGTACGCATAAAACTAAATCAAAGAGCTTTATTAAATTGACGAAATTCGCTAAAAAAAAACACCATTTAGTAAAGGATACTAATTTTGATAGACGATTGATTGTACTATAGGAGCAATCCTTTGTTTAATTGACATAATTATTCACTTGAACTTTGTAAAAAACAATTATTTCTTCTCAAATCATATCAACAAGCTCTTTAATCATGTTTTTGTTCATCTTGAGCCTATACACAATATTTGTACCTTGTCGTCTTGCAACTAATTATTAATATGCAAAGTAAAAAAAGTAAAAAAAAAAAAAAAAAAAAAAAAAAAAAAAAAAAAAAAAGTCAGCTTTGAGATAAGAAAATAAGTTTTCGGTTTTATATCAAAAATGGAACAACTTGAGAATTTCGGATCCAACTTGGAAAAAAAAAAAAAAAAAAAAAAAGATATGATATTCACTATGGAAACATCACCGAAAAAGAATCAATGTCAAAACAAATACAACGATAAATTAGTATCTAAAAGATTTAAATAATTAAGAAAGTCAAAAAGAAATACATCATTTACAAAATAAAAGTGGTAGTAAATTGCATCTATAAAAAAAAAAAAAAGAGGGAGAGGATAACAGCAAGTTTCTTATCTTTTTTTTTTTTTTTTTTTCAGTGATTATATTTGGCAGATCTTTTATTTTGCCAAGCCTAGAAAAATAACTGTATATATAATATTATAGGTGTAAACCCATTTATTATCAACTATTTCGTATCATTTTGTGCAAATACATGTCGTGATATAATATTTATACAATGTAAAGAATAAGATCATTTCAATTATTACTGTTGCACATTTAGCCTTTGTTTTTCCTTTTTTAGAAAGACGTTGTCTATAGCATCACTGTCTACTAAAGCTTAATTATGACTGGTTTAGCAAAAGAAAAGAAAAAAAAAAGGGAACTAAAAGTACTGTTCCTCCTTCCCCCCCCCACATTTTAGATGATAATACTTTAAAGTTTAAAACTGCATATAAATATATTTTAAAGCTACATTCACTAAAATAAAATAAAATAAAAATCTATGATTGAAACTACTATTACTAACCTTCGAAAACTTTGTTGATTTTAACACTATGTATGCCCCATGTTTTATTAGTTTAAGCGACTTGTTGTCTATCTCCATAGTTACGGAATAGTATTTTACTACTCCGCAGATGAGCAACTAGATGAATTATATGAATACTATTTTGTGCAATGCTACACTTTATATAAAAATAAAATTTAGCATATATATAAATAAATAACATTAAACTATCACTAAAAGATTCGGTGTATCATGTAGAAAATATTTATAAAGATAAAGTCTATCAAGATATCCCTTGACGGGTAAACGAAGTATGTTATTCATCTATTATACAGCAGAACTGTGATCTTGATATAACTACTCAGTAAATTATATTCTTTTCCCAAAAAAAAAAAAAAAGGTTCATGATAATGATAAATGTAAGGGATAAAAGACCCATCTTTTTTTTTCTATTATTACCAATATCGTCCGAGTATTTGTATTTAATTTTCTATAAAATGCATAGTGAAATCTTAAAATGAGATATTAAAGTTCATAGTGAGTCATTGTACATCTATAAAATCTTAAAGTTCTTTAGCAACTTGTGATTAATGTTACTTGAGTTCAACCATTATAGATCTAAGAGAGTTTTTTATTTTATTTTATTTTTTTTGCTTTTACTATCTTGTAAATTTCATTGTTCATTTTGCATAATAAAATGTATTATACTAAAATGCATAAAAAAGATTATATATTCATCTATTTTTATTTTCAGACATGATGATACCGAAGCATGTCATTATAACAAATGTTCTCTGAAAGATAATAATGCGACATGCTAGAATAAATGAATCTATACAAGCCTCTAATTTATATAATCATTCATTAAATAAACTGAATTGATTCCGCCTCTCTATTTTATGTATTCTCATACATGTATCTTATTTCCATCGTCTTGTCTCTCTTTAAAGTGACTTTATAGTTGATGATATACACTTTACCTTTATCTATTTGTTTTTTTTTCCTTGTTGTTTGTCATCATAAGTTGCTGGACACTCATTTGTATAGTACGTCATACAAATAGTAAATAGAAATAATAAAAAGGAACCAATCATGGTAATACCACTAACTGGTATTTTATGATTATACAAAAAAAAAAAGGTTCACAATCTATTTCTGTTTGACAACGTGGCAGCAGCATAAATCATAATTTTACCCCACATTTTTTTTTTTGTTTAATGACTACTAGATTATTATTTTTTTATTATTATTATTTTAACATGGAAAAAAAAAGGAAAAGAAAAAAAAGAAACAAACATAAAAATACAAAAAAAAAAAAAATACATATACATAAATGACATTAAAAGACATAAAATTGATCAGTTCTATAAACAATACCATCACCACGAACTAATAATAAGGGTATCTTCTTTTTTAATACATCTTCATCATCTGCAATAATGGTAGGACTATTCATCAATTCATTTATATCAGGTATTTTACATGTAATGGAATCTCTTGATTTATATTCAGTTTGTGGTGATTTAATATCTCCAAACCAAATATTCAAGTCACGTGTTATGTTTTCTCCTATGAGTGTCAAAGAAGAACGATCCTTATTATCATCCTCTGTCATTGAGATTTCATGTAAAAGTGGGAAAGGTGTAATAGGGGTACTACGGGTATGATGAAATGGCATATTGAAACCATGATGACTCTCATTTGAAGGTGTCCAAAAGGTATAGGTTGCACAATCTGTACCTACAATTGTCCATACTGCTGCATCTGAAACATCTTCTGTCCAACATGCACCTTCTAATCCAGATGTATCCGATAGAGAGCTACTTCGGCGTTCTGATAATAAGCTGCTACGACGTCCTTTAGTTGTTTCTGTAGCACCAGTACTACTACTCATACGACGACGCGCTTTTGTTGTAGGTGTCATTTTAGCATCTATCGTTGTTGATGATGATTGTTGTTGTTGCTGCTGCTGCTGCTGAGAGAGAGGGGTAGAGGAGTGACGATCATATAGGTTTTCATCTTTTGACAGATTCCCTTTCAAAAGAAGATCTGACAATGAAGTTGAATTCATGTCTGGTCTAGGTTGACAAGCGGGTACAAGATGACGATTATAAGCTACCTTATGCATTCCTACCACATCATTTAGACAAGCTAAATAAGTGACAGAATGGTTTGACTGAGGTATTCTATAATGATTCGATGTCGATAATCTTCTATCTTGTTGTTGACTTGATTTAGATGGATGATTCATAGCTAAACTAGGATCTTGGACTATTTGGAAAGCAATTTTATGAAGTTGAGATACTGGATCACCCAGACTTTCATCCCCACATTCACCACCGAGAACTGTCTTGGAGAAGAAATCTTCATTGATCATACCATTGCCTCCTAAAGCCATAGACCCTTTATCGACCTTTCGAATGATCATGACAGGGCTTACGAGACCTGTTGTTACACACTGAAGTACAACAGGTTGATTATAATGAACAGCGATTGGTTGCTGAGCAGTAGAAGGAGTTTGTAATGCAATAGCTGGGGGTGGTGGAAAATGAATATTATTAGGATGATGTTGATGATGAGGCATTGTTGTTGTTTCAGATGAACGACCTGTATCAACAATCCAAATAACAAAAGGATCCCAAGAACCTGTTCTAGCTACAAAGCAAGTACCGTTGTTATCGTTACTAAGACCATTAGATACGCCCAAATATTTTGTTGAAACTGTTTGTGAACGAATACGATTGAATAAAGAGATAGTTGTACCATGATGAATACATACTATATAAAAAAATATAAATAGATACATAAGCATATACATATACATTATTAATATTGAATACTATTTGTATGTATGTATGTAAGAAAACACACACACACACACACACACACACACACACAACTTACATTCCATATTCTTGATGCTTTGCCTCTTCTTACTTGGTTTACTGATGACCTTAATACCTTTACTAGGAAAGGTACCTAATTGTACACCATTTCCTAATTGAATTTTAGCTAAAACCTCAACACGTTTTCTCTTTTCATCAGCATCATTTATATACAATTGTTTTGATACACAACGTCCAGAGCTAACTACAGTAGAAGCATTAGAAGAAGAAGGATCGATAATAGTACCATCTGATGTTTGCCATTCAATAACACCTGTTTGAGTAATTGCTTCACCCGAGATATGAATAGTTAATTTAGGAGGACTTGAAGAAGAAGAAATAGTTGTAGCAGAAGCAGCAGTAGTAGAAGTAGTAAAGAAATTAGATTTTTTTGGATCAGTCATTAATAGATTAGATTTATCTGTTAAATTTCCATGATTATGACTTGTCCACCAGTTTGCACCTTTTAAAATAGTTGTTGGCGGTGGACATAAAAATCTATATTATTTTAATTCCAAAAATATATGTGTGTATATTTATATACATATAAGATAAATTGTTGTTTAAATACAATGACGGCTTTTTTTTTTTTTTTTTTTTTTTTTTTTTTTTACCTCTTTTCAGTTCCATAACTTTTCTGTGCTACTCTACTAGTTAAGACTATAACAGTTCTTTCACCATTATTTTGTACAAGATATTCTTGAATTAAAGGCTTCAAAGAGAAAGCTATTGTTTCTCCTTGAACGATACGAGCAGAAATAAGACTATTTTTATTAAAAGAAGGCTGTTGTTCTCCCCATTCTTGTTGACAAATGAGTTCAAATCCCAAAGAGACCGGCTGCATGGGAGTGATTGGAGGAGAAGGTGACATGGAAGATAAAGATGAAGCCATAGTAGGAGAAATAGGAGAATTTGTACTACTATTACGTCTTTGTCTTTTTTGTTGTTGTTTTTCTTTTTCTTTCTCTTTCTCTTTTACTTCTTGTTGTTCTAATAACCAATCTGCCATTGTGTTAATTTCATTTGTAATAGCAGACGGAGTGATTGTTGACGTAGATGATGAATTAGTAAATTTTAATAAATCATCATTAAAAGTAACATCTGACATAATAGTAGCTGTATCATTATTTTCATTAGCTACAAGAGCATCAAGAAAACTTGAATTAAAGAAATTAGAAGAAGAAGAAGAAGTAGTGGTGATAGTTGACAAAGCAGGTGATAAAAGAGTTGCATAATGAGGATTATCTTCTCTAAGAGATAAAGTACGTTTATGAATAGGTCTATCAATTGTAGTGTTTGATAGAAGATCAGTAAAGCCAGAAGTATTAGTAGAATTCAATAAAACTTGAATATCATCCCAAACTGAATTATTATTTGTTGCTGGTATTATATTTATATCTTGTTTAATAAAGTCAAAAGAATGATAATCCATTTCACCTACAGCTACCGAATGACGACGAGAATTGGATCCTGATTGGTCAAGTTGTTGTTGATCAAATAATGTATCAAAATTAAAATGAAGATTATTTTCAATAGAAGGAGATGAAGGAGAAGAGTAAATAAAATCTGACCAAGAACTAGTTGGCATAGAAGAACTAAGATGATGATCTTGTTTTCTTTTTCTATTGTCTGTCGTAGTAGTAAACATGATTCGTACCAGCGAAAAAAAAAATAAAAGAAAAAAAAAGAAAAGTAAAAAAAAATAAAATAAAATAGAATGAAATAAAATAAAATAAAAAAAAGAGGGCTAAAATAAATAAATGTGGTGGTGATACAAAGTTCAGTACAAAAGTCCTAATTAAGAATATAATTTAACCCCACATTTTTCGTGTAAAACCAATCATTAATTAAAGAATATTATTGAATTAAATCTCCGTTTTATTCCTAATTACCCACATGATCTTTGGTTTTCCCGCCCTTCTCAAATACCATCATAAACAGGGTAACACCATGATGTACATAATCTCACAAATTAGACTAAATAACATTATTATCCAAAAAAAAAGATAAATAATAACATTATTCCTTATTGTCAAGTCATGTTAGTAACTACAACACATGTAATAGGCGCTTTATATATAAGACATGTTGACTGTAATAGTAGTGTATATAGTAAGACGACATCATCCGGAAATACTATAATTCTTAATTTTAAACAAAGTTTGAATTATGCATAAAAATACATTTACTCTTTACTGGCAATAGTTGTATTAATAGTACAGTGGAGTTATTATTAATAGTAGTAGTAGTTGTGTTATGATTTATCAATTTATTTATATTCTTTAAAACATGATATTTTCAAGTAATATATCAATTTACTACATCCAACCCTTTCACGCCCCCCTCTTTCCTGTCTCTAGCTTTTTTTTTTTTTTTTTTTTTTTTAAAAACACACACACACACACACACAATAATAATAATCGATTTATATCATTCTCTTTTTTCTTGGATTCAGTTTTAAAGACATTCAGTAATTTCCAAAATATTTCAATTTAAACTAACATTGGTTTATATATTGTTTCATGTTGACTCAAATTTAGATTGTTAATATGCTATTATAGGCTTACATTGTCATGGATTGTATCTTAACATTCGCTTTCTTTCTTTTTTTTTTATTGAAATGATGATTCAATTTAAGCAAACTAGGAACAAAAAAAAAAAAAAAAAAAAAAAAAAAAAAAACGAAATGAATAACTCTTTCTTTTATCTTATTTTTTTTTGTGAATATAAACCATAATCTTACCTGGACCAAGTAGCTTTCTGCAACAATTCTTGCACGAGTATTTACACTTAACTTCATTTCTGAAATTTCCTTATCCACTTCTTCCATGAAATGAACAATGAAATCAACCAATTTATGCTTATACATTTGTTCCGTATGATTATTCGTAATCAAGAAAGAAATGTCATAGCCCTTTACATACAATTATTAGTTGTTATATATATAATGTCTAACAAGTCAATCTTACATCAATAGGTTTTCTACGTAAAATAACGAAATTTTCAGCTCTCATCATTAAGAAACGAGAGAACTTGTGGCATAATATACGTTCAAGATCATCTGCTTGCTTAATCTTGATACTAACACGAACTGAATTAACAGAAGGTTCAATCAACACTTTCTCATTTTCATTACGACTGATAACTAAAGGGTTCATTAATAATTCTTTTGATTTTCTAACAACAAGACATTAGTTTCCTTTTATATACATATATAAAATAAGAAAAAGAAAGCGTACCCTGATTCAATTTCAGGTGCATTGTGTCTTTCAGCAATTTGAGAAGAAAAGTTTTCTAAACATAATGCAGCGGTCAAAGTTGAACGAACAGCTGTAAGATAGGGACGGAGTGTGTTGGACTAATGAAAATAAAATAAATGAATTAATAAAAAAGAAAAAGAAAAAAAAAGAAAAAAAAAACGCGTATATATTATTTAATTATTGCTTTTCATTTTGTTGTATTTGTTTTCTCGTTCTCAGCTCTAATTTCAATATTTACCATACTGTTAAAATATTATATGTAAGTGTTTAACAAAATAATAATAATAATAAAAAAAAAAAGGGAATTTTGCTGTATGTATTATGTATTTGTGTTTTATTTAAAATAGGAAAAAAAAACGGACTTTAAATAATTTAATTTGCTTCTCTCATTCACTCACTGATTCTTTCCTTGGCAAGTTGTTTATATTAATGAAAAATAATAATATATGATATATATAAAGCAAATACATCATGTTTGATAACGCTGTACTATTTATATACAAATGCATGTATATATATTAGTCAGTAATAAATAAGATTTTTATAAACAACGTAGTGGAGCATATATTATTTTCAGTACTTCAAATAAAACACATAGTTATTGTATTCTACCTTCATCATTTATATAAAGATCATAGCTTACTTTTAAGGAAGAATTAAAAAAAACATAGAGAAAAATGAATAGAGAAAAGTAATAGACTAAAAACGATTTAAACTTACTGTCGTATATTATAATTTAAACCGTTTATTACATTTAGAGAAATGCTTGTCAAATTCCTTCAAATAATAATAAACATGAAAAAAAAAAAATTAAATACACGAAACTAATCCTTGTTATTTTCTTTCTCTTCTTTCCCTTATAATTTATTACTATCATGCGATTTACTCTCGCCTTAATTACTTCTACTCTCTTATCTCAAGCCGTTTATGCTGCCTCTGATAGTGAATCCTATTCTTCGGCAATATCTTATGAATCTGCTTACTGGATTGAAGAAGCCTCTTCTAGTGCAGTTTCTAGTGTGAATGATAATCCATCTTTTGAAAGACATAATCTAAATGATTTCCTTAAAAAACTTATATTCGCTGATGATCATGTATCCAACTCTTTCTCATCAAAGGAGGAGGAAGCTTCATCCATATCACCCAAAGTTGTTGCTTCTTCATTATCCAATGAGGACTCTTACTCTGTAGCTACATCTCATCCTATTATGAGATCTAGATCTAGATCTAGAGAACGTGCTGCTTCTAAACTTAAATTTAAACATGCTCTTCGCAGATATCACCGTCATCTATTCATTTCTGAAAAAAAAGCACATGATGACCATCCTACTCTTAACAAGCGTGTTCATGACGAAGAGGATCTTGTTATTAAAGAAAAAAAGGAGCATCGTACCCATAATTCTGATAATGATAGAGAAAATGAAGAATCCACTATTGCTTCTGAGGATGGCTCTTCTAGTAGACTTGTGTTCGTCCCTATGGTAGAAGAGGAATCAAGTGATAGTATTAATAATAATGATAATTTCATTACAAGTCCGTTTAATGACCTAGACAGCAGTGCTGCTTTTGAAAGTAGCGACCTTTCAGATGAAAGCGATATGTCTCTTTACAGCACAAATTTGCTTGATGACATCACTTATTTAGATAGTAGTAGTAGTAGTAGTAGTAGTATTTCTTTAGATGAAAGTAGTGTCCTTCTTTATGATGTATCTATATTAAATGATGACGATGATGATGATGACGACGATGATGATGACGACGATGAAGACGATGATGACAGCAGAAGCTCTATTGCAGATGGCTCAAATGGTAATGAAGAACTCTTTCAAAATAGAAAGCAGGTTAAAGAAAAGCCTCAAGTATTTATAGATAAGGATGGCTTTTGGATCCCTGATATACATGCTGAAGAAATGTTTAAGGGCTATAATTGGGATAAAAAATAAATAAAGATATAGGAATCATCATTAAGCCTTTTTCTTCTTTTCTCACTCTCTCTCTTTTAAGTATACTATTATTTAATAAAGCATAATAATATATAATATGACAAGAAGGGAAGAGGAACGTTTTATATAACGTTTGTATATAGTTAAAAAAAACACCCTTTATTTATCTTCTTTAATAATTCCTTTTACATGATTGTTCAAAACAATTTAAAATCATTTTCATAGGAAAAAACTTTTGATGAGGGACTTTATGATAGAATAAAACATGCAAGTTATGGTCTAAAATAATGATAGTCCTTTGAATATCATGTGTCTTGGAGTCAATTGATTTATAAGCTCGAGCAATAAGTCTATCAGTACTATCTGAAGCTATTTTAACCATGTCAATACATCCACTCCTTCCCTCGCTACCTACTTTCTCTACTTACCTAAAATAAAAGAGGGTTGAAATGTTAGACTTCCAGCTGACTTCCCAGGAGTCGCATAAACCGAATGTAGTTGAATTCCATCCTGTGTTATTACAATCGGTAAAGCACCATATTGAATTAAATGAGCAGAATTATCTCTATAGATGAAAAAAAGAGAGTTACAAACGATAAATAAGAGTGACATGAAAGTTGCTTACTCTATATGATACAAATCCTTTTTAGATTGTGGTGAGCTATAAGAAGAGGAAGAAGAAAAAGAAAGAGGGTAAGTAGAGCGAGTTAACATTGAAAAGAGATTTCGCCTATTTACAAATTATAACTGCAAAAGAATAAGGCAACATAGTTAAACGAACTATTGCTATTCTTATTAAATACTTGAGATAATTGAAAATCAAAAATTTTCCCAGTTAAAAAGGCAGAACATTGAAAATCAAAAATATTTGATTTTTGCTTATTTGCTATTTTCATCTTTGTTGTGTCTTGGTTTAACTCCTTTTCATCTCGAATTCTTTTTAAATTATTAGTTTGTAGCATGTTTTGTTTAAAAGAAGAAGAAGAAAAGAAGAAGAAATAGTCTATTTTCTATAGATTTTATTATATATTAATCATTTTTTTTATTTTTTCGCATAAAAGACAAATATGATTTAATAATGTATCACGTGTATGTATAAGTTAGTCTAATAAAACAATGTCCTCTTCTTCATCAAGTATAATTATATTATCAACTACTTCAGAAACTATCTTTACTTTCTTATTCATTTCTTTTGGTAAAGCTTCTTCTTCTAATTTACGCTTTCTTGTATTATTTAATATATTAGTCTTGGGGATAGGGTTTAATAGTTCTACTCGTTTTTCACTATAATTTTTTATATGATTTATTATCTATTACATCTATTCTCTTTCTCTTCTTACCTTAAAATAGTTTCTAAAATAAGATCAACATCAGTTTCATCGTCTTGAAAACGTAAAATACTACCAGGATATAATCCAATTTCATGTAATGGCTTATCTGCTAACTGTACTTCTTCTTCAAATGCGTCGTAAATGAGTTTACTTCCTTGTAAAACACTTAATTCATCCTTATTCATCTCTGCGCCCCCCTTTTCTTGTTTTAATAGAATAACTTGATTAATTAAATCGTTTAAGGTTGTTTTCTCAAAGTTAACTAATGCTGTTGAACCTCTAGATTTACATACACCACAGTTTGGATTAGGTTGAACATTTGCTTCTTGAACAAGACGTGAACCAGTTGTAAGATATGTCTATAGATAGAAGAGAAGTTTAAATGATAATACATTTGATAAACTATTTATCTTACTCTAGGAATATCTTTGATATTTCCTCGTAATATACCATATGCTTTCATAATAACAAAGCCAGCAATAACCGCATTTGTAGTAGCAATAGCTGGGATAATATTTCCTGCCATAGCTATTATACAAAGGATTAAAAAAAAACTATCATATTAACTATATCACTTTAGTTACTTACATTTAACATCAAATAAACTCTTTGTTGGTATATGAAAGATATAGGCTCTTAAATTTGAGGCAGCTGTTACAAAATCCATTGCATCGTCATCATCTTTATCGAATGACAAAATAGCATCAGGTTGAACCTCTCTTTCCTTCAAGTAACGCTTCGATAATCGAACTACACTATCATTAAATACTTTAAAGTTTTCATTTAGACTCCATACTTTTTGATCAGCAAGTCCTGTTGATGCTTCATCCTCTGCCATAAGCTTTGTGTTTTTCTCTAATGTATCATAATCAAGTGGTGTAGGCCTTGTTCGATTCTTCCACATAGAATCCATTGATAAGAGTCGTTGAATATCGATATTAAAGACTTTTTCAAATACTTTTCGTGCATAGTCAGAAGACCCTGCTGCTTCTTTTATTGTTTTTAATTCTGCTGTCTCTCTAGCTAATGCCTCTAATTCTTGTGCTATAACATATTATTTCAATAAAATAGAATAAAATAAATATGTATGTATATTCTTTTACCATTGTCTTCAGACTTATCATTGTCAAATACTTCTTCATCTTCTGAATTACCAAATAATTGACTATACAAACAATATAAGCAACATAAGGATTATAATATCTATCAAATTATTTATATAGACTTGCCTAAATAAAAAGCTTTTGGCCCATACAATACAGTGAATAGGAGCACTTGGTGTGCTTCTAATGGTACATACAGGATAGGTTGTAGGTGTAGGTTTAGGTTGACATTCAAAGCATTCGGTCTCGTACTACACACACACACAAAAAGAGGGGGAGAGTGAAAGAGGTTAATATTTTAATATTTGTTACACTTTTATATACCTTACTTTCTTAATCACATAGGCTTGTCCAAGATAACCTTGAGTTCCAGATTCAACAAGTGGAACATCTGCTGCTAAACACATAGTATTAACATGTCTACGGGCATCTATTCAGAAAAAAAAAAATATTAAAATTATATTTCCTTTTATTTTTGACAGTTAATACTATTTAAAGACTTACCCAAATTATCTAAAGCATTTAAAACCATTGTAAATTGTTTAAACCATTGAACATTAAATTGAGGTTCTTTAATATTAGCCTGAAGAGAAACAATATTCGCTGCAGGATTAAATTTGAGTGCTGATTCTCTGGCAACCTAAAACAAGATTATTAATTTTGTTTATGCTAACGTATACTCATATTACAAGGAAAAACAAAAACATACGTGAGCTTTTGCCTTCTTTACATGATGTCTTTGAAATAGAAATTGTCGATTCAAGTTTGAAATATCAATAGTATCCAAATCGATCTATGAATCTAGTTAATCTCACTTGATTGATGTATAGATTTGCGTGATCTTACCACAACAATATCTTTAAAACCTGACATTACAAGATTTTTTAATAATTCACAGCCAATACCACCTGCACCAACTAAAAGAATTTTACTGGAAGCAACTTTATCATAAAGTTCCTGTCCAAGAATTTGCACATTATATGCCTCTCTTTTACTCATTATGCCTATTTTTTTTTTTTTAAAAAAAAAAAAAATATACATGTATAAAGGCGACGGACAAACCTGTAGTCAAAAAAAAAAAAAAAGGTGGAGATTGAATTGCCTGTCTACTACAGTCACAGTAACAACGTATCAATACCACCTTTTTTTTTTTTTTTGTTAAGACAAGCATAAACTCAAGTCTTCAACTAAGTCTTTTATTGTAAGAAATAAATTTATTTAAAATATATGGAGTCGTTTAAAAATCTTTCTATTAAAAACTAATGTTGCTTCATCTAATAATCAAGTATGGACTATCATTTTTGTCCTAATTTTTTATTATTTTTACTTATTGCTTGGTAATACCCATTCTTGCAGTTTTGTGCTGTATAGTTAGCTACTCTACTACTAGACTTCGCAATACTTAAAAAAAAAAAAGGAGGTTTTGTTACTCTATTTTTTGTATTAAGTGTAAATTTGGGTTTTTTTTTTTTTTTTGCTTACTAATTGTCTATGATAACAATAGTCTTCCTTTTGCGTAAGATCAGCAATTTTTAACATTTTTATACTTATAAAGTCTTTCATAATGATTCATTTTTTATTTTAGTACCTTAGAATTACAATAGAAACATTATACGCGAGCAATTACTATTTCTGAATTAAATCAGGTTCAAAGCTTCTTTCCAACAATAGTGTCATATTCTTTTTTTTTTATTTTTCCTTTGAAGAAATCATCAATAAGCATTCATGTTTTATTGTTGAGTTGAATATCTTTTCTTTTGGGATTTTACTTCCCGCCCCTTATTTTTTTTTTTCATAAATACACCCGCTCATCGAGCAGAGAGCAGCAGTAGTGTATTTTTCTGGATTAAGTCAAGTGTGGGGGTGCATACAAGTCACAAAAGTAATTAAAATTCGTATTTTTTTTTAAGAAAAAAAAAAATGTCATTTCCCTTGCCTGTTTTTTCTTTTTTTTTTTTCTTTCTTTCTTTTTTATTAAGTATATAAAAATATATATATATAAGTAACGTCATTACAATATACCTTCTATTTTTATTGTTCATATTTTGATAATAAGAAAAAAAGTATGTATAGAGCGTTTAATTCTACAACTGTACGTCAACTAGGTTTAAAAACAAATGGTTCAGCCATTGCATTTCGACATGTTAGACAACAGCAACAACGTCGTCCTGCAGCTTCCATTCGCCTTGTCCTATTGAACCCTAATGTTTCAACAAAAAGAATGGTTCATATTCAAAGAGGCCTCTTACGTTCAGAGCAACAAAAAATAATGTCCGAAGAAAAGGAGACAATGACTTCACGTGCAGCTGCTCTTGCTAAAGAACAACAAGCTAAAGCAACTTTAAATACAGCAACTACAACTGTAAAACCTAAAAAAACCATTTGGGAAAAAGTAAAAGAAGAAGCTATTCATTATTGGCACGGAACTAAATTGCTAGGACTTGAAGTACGTATTTCTTCAGCACTCACTTGGAAGTTATTAAATGGTGGCAAATTAACTAGAAGAGAACATCGTCAAGTAAAGTATCTCGGTTTTGTTTCTTGATATATTAAACATATAAAAATATTCTAACTCTTCCTCTCTTTCCTCTCCCCCCCTCAACCTACCTTTTATTATCTCACACACAAATATTCTTATTTTCTTGTAGTTACGTCGAACTACCTCTGACCTTATGCGATTAATTCCTTTTGCTTTCTTTATTATTGTCCCTTTTATGGAATTTTTGTTGCCCGTTGCTCTTAAATTATTCCCTAATATGTTACCAAGTACTTATGAAAGTAAATCTCAAGAGGTAAGTATTTATGACTGTCTGTCTATCTATCTATATATACATTGGATATACTAAACTTCATTCATTTATAATGAACAGGAAAAGAAAAAGATGCAATTATTAAAAGTTCGTTTAGAAATGGCTAAATTCTTACAAGAAACTATATCCGAATCGGGCTTCCCCGGATCTGACCATGAAAAAGCCGCATTAGAATTTGCAGACTTTTTTAGAAAGGTATAGCAGCAATCATTATCCCCCTTTTTTACTATATAATTTAGTTTTTATTTTTTATTTTTTTTATTTTATTTATTTATTTAAAAAAAATGTATAAATATGTAGATTCGTATGACAGGCGAACAAGCATCAACAGAAGATTTACTTAATGTTGCAAAGCGTTTCGAAGACGAACTTACGTTAGATAATTTATCGCGACCTCAACTCGTGTCAATGTGTCGTTATATGAATATCAATGCCTTTGGTACTGACAATTTCTTACGTTTCCAGATCCGAAATCGTATGCGTCAAATTAAGGCAGATGATCGAGTCATTCAAGCAGAAGGAATTGAAAGTTTAACGATTCAAGAGCTTCAAAATGCATGTGCCTCTCGTGGTATCCGTGCTATCGGAACCTCACCAGGACGTCTTCGTGATGAATTGGCTCAATGGCTCGATCTTCACTTGAATCATCATGTACCTGGTACTCTTTTAATTCTTTCAAGAGCCTTTAGTTATACGGATCGTGGTATGACTACAGAGGAAGCCTTGAAGGCTACCTTTAATAGTTTACCCGATAATCTTGTAAATGAAGCTGAACTTCAAGTCTTGGAACAAGTGGGTGCAAGTACCTATAAACAAAAATTGGATGTCCTAGAACAACAACAGGAGTTGATTGAGGATGAGTCAGAACAAGAAGAAAAGGAAGAAAAGGCAAGACTGGAGGCGGCTAAGGCGGAAGAAGCTCGTTTAGAAGCTGAAAAGAAGGAGCGTGAAGCTGCAGCAGAAAAGAGAGATGAATTTATTCCCGAGACACCTGTTGTTTCAGACGTACATGTGGTTGAAAGAAAGGAGACTACTACTCCACCTGCCGCTGATACTACTACTACTACTACTGCTAGTACTACTACTGCTAGTACTACGACAGATACAGAAACTCATAAAGCCGATACCGTCGCTCCTCCTGAAGAAACACCTTTGTCTGATGAACAGAAATCTCAACTTGAAGAAGCATTAACAAAATTACGTACAAAGGTGGATCTCTTAGAAGAACGTGCACAATTGAATGATATCAAGATTCAACATGAAGATTATAAAGAGGTAAAATATATATATATATATATATATATATACTGTCTATTTTTATTATTATTTTTCAACTATATATTTATTTATTTATTTATTTAGCTGATTGAAGAGCTCAAGGATGCTACAAAACGTGACGCAGATAAAGCTATCTTACGTATGGGTAAACGATTAGAAAAGATGTTGGCTGCTATTGATAAGGAATTGGATGCCATGGAAAAAGATTTATCAACAAAGAAAGAAGAAACAAAAATAGAAGAATCCACAGACGTTAAAATTGAAGAAGAAAAGAAGAAATAAGATAATATTATATTATATTAAGAAAAAAAAAAAGAAAAGAAGTAGTAGTCGAGTATTTAGAACTATTGAATATATGTGTGTGCATCCTTTTAAAATAAACGTTGTTACATGTATTTTTATTTATTTATCATAAAAAATAATGTCATTTGTTTTTTGTATGTGAGATAAAAAAAAAAAGTAACAGAGTTAAACGCAAAGTTTTTTTTTTTTTTTTTTTTTTTTTATCTTATTACGTGCTCCCTATCAACTTTTTTACAGTCTTTGCTATCTTAATTTGTAGCCTTTGAAATATACCTCTTGTCTTTTTTTTTTCTGGATTTACAGTCATTGATAAATAACGTATCGTGTTTGACAAGCCACTGTTTTCTCAATGGAGAAAGAGAAAGTAACTCACCAGCAGCTTATATAGGTCTAGATGAAGCATTTGAATAAAGGAGCCTTATTCGTCAAGGCTGAAAGACGCTTACAACTCTGAAAGATCTGAGTGTTATAAGCTAACTAATAAACAATATGTTTATATATACATATATATATTCACTCCTCTATATCATTTTATTTTAGGCAAAAAAAAAAAAAAAAAAAAAAAAAAAAAAAAAAAAAAAAAGCAGTAATAATGATCTGCTCAATGATATGGAGTTCCTGCTTTCACAAGATGGAAGATGAGCATTATTATTATTTTATTTTATTTTATTTTTTTGAAGCACTATCTTTATTCTACCATTGTATGTTCTCCATCACGTGGAAAACAAAATATATCTTTTGCTTGCTTGTTGTATTTGTTAAAGATAACCATTTGCTGTTCCTGAACTTTTTTTTTTTTTTTTTTTTTTTTTAAATGAATATGAAACCATAATTAATCTTTGAACCGCGGTTCATGCTATATAAACCATCAAAGAAGCAATAAAATTACACTTGGAGAATCCTTTCTTTTAATGTCTTTGGCTATATGAAATGAATCTCGTTTTCTTATCCGCAACTCCGAGTAAAACTCTAAAAGGGACGGGAAAGCTGTCAACGAATTTTTTTTTTTTAATATAACATACAACCAATATGATAGAGAGTAAATAGATTAGATGCTCAATACTATGTACAGGATTACCATATGAAAGGGTGTAGCACTACTGCTAACATCGTAAAAGTAATTGAATATCTATCTATTATCAAAATAAACAACATACATCTTTAGAGGATGGTTGAACAATATAGACTGAAATTATTTATGATCCTTTTGTTTATAGGAGAAACAAGGTAACCCCATAAGATACCAATAAGATACCAGGGTTATTATTCAGTATATTAGAGAAGAATTGAAGAATTCGCAATTATATATTCAAACTCCTGAAAAAAAATAGTCTGCACCTTTTGCACATATTTTTTTTTTTGTTTTTCTTGGCACACACACTTTATTTTATTGATAACACAAAATTTTTAAGCATAAAGAGTGCCAAAATCAAAGTGAATGTTTGAATCAGAATACCGACAAAAGCCTTGTAAATCACTCAAAAGAACACTGTTGCAAGCATCGGTTATTCTTGAAGTTAGCGTTTCCTTTTCTAAAAGTTTTTTTTTTCTCTTTTCAGTATACTTTTGACAACCGACTAAAATTGTTTGATCGGGTTCAGTTCAGGTGAATAAGGAAGTGAAAGATAAACACAGCCGTATCCGCGGTTGATTCTATAACTTTCGATATCAAGGTTTTTATAGATTGGAACATGATGCATGATAAGGTAAAAGCCCGTGAACGGCTCGTGCTTGTCCAAAATATCAAGAGTTACTAGCAATGAAATTGAAATAAGGGTCAGTAACGGTGCACGTTGTTTTGATTGCAGCAGATCCAGCGGTTTTAGGATGGCGTGCTATGTAATTTTCGTTTCTTTGAGACAGATTATTAAGGTCTTCTTACTTTCACATTTATAATTCCATCGGGCAATATAGCACCTAGAATGGTTGTCGTCTGTGCCCTCGTTGTAAGCGTCTCTACGATGGCTCTTTCTCCTTTTTTTTTTTTTTTTTTTTGATCAACCCATTGTCCTTTTAAGGTTGACATGGAATGCTGCTTCATCATTAAAAACACAATTACTCTGGTAACCTAGATCTGTTTTTGACCAATTAATAACCCGCTCATATCTTTGCTGAATCTTTTCAGGAGAACTTCTCTCCGTGAGGGGGAGGGTAGAAATAAGTTTTTTTGAAAGATAATGCGCATTCATTTACCATGAAGTTACGGACAGTTTTTTTTTTTTTTTTTTTACTGACTTTTTGACTCTCAAATTGATCAGTCAGGCTATCTATAGTTTGATCTATCATTGCTGAAGCATTTTCGCCATATGTTTCCTCGAGATATTCTTTATGATTCGTGTTTAGTAGTGATTTTCGACCTCACTTTTCTGTCAAATTATCATATATCGTCATCGGCCTTTCCCTCTAGTCTATCAACGAGCTTATTTTGGTCATTCTGAAGCCAATTGTAGCCAGTTTTTGCGAGGGATATTCATCAAACTTGCTGCTTCACCTGCAGTCAAGCCTTTCTCATAAATATATACATATATATATATATAAAGAACATCACTTTTGACTCTTTTTTTCGTTTTTTTTTCTTTTAACTGGCATCAGGTTCATATGTGAATCATAATTAGTAATGTCGTCTAGAAGATATGCTTCTTTGTCTACTTTCATTTGTACAGGCTCTAAGTCATCTTCATCTACGGCGTTTTCTTTGCCGTCTTTGAAATAAACTTCAAAAAGACATATTCAATATTACGTATAGAATTAGTTATTTTTTTATGAATAAAAGAGAAGTGTGCCATATTAAATTCTTTCTTTTTGTGCCAACTCAATTTGGATTAGTGTACCATACGTAATTTTTAAGCGTGCCATTTATTTTTGCAAAAAGGTGTAGTACACAACTTACATATATCTTATTATTGGAGCAGTCTTTTTTTTTTTTTTTTTTTTTTTTTTTTTTTTTTTTTCTAGACTCTTTAACAGTAACAGTTCAAAAGACAATTTCACCAAGGACGGAGGGGGGAGGAGGGATAATCTACTTGAAAAGAGACTAACCCTAATTAAAAATATCCCAAGCACATCTAACAAGTCTCATCTATATAGTTTTATAGACTAATTCACACCGAGGATGACAATAAAATATCGTCTTTTGAAGACTTTACAAGTGTCCCAAAAAAAAATCAATTGCTTTGTTGCACAATATAATATTTTTTACCCTTGTATCAAGCATATATTGTTTCGTACTACAACTGCTATAATATGAACTTGTTTATTTTTTTTTATCTCTTTTTCTTCTCTTTTCTTTTCCCTTTTTATATAAATATTTATTTCATTTATTAGCAACTGGATTTGCTATTATTTTATGGTTACTTTTAATAAAATTGTAAAATCCATGGATTGATTATGAATATATATATATAAAAATATACAAAGGATAATAATTCTTTATAAATAGATTCACCGAATTACAGAGACTCGCTGGTCGAAACTGTATATTCTCATGGCTTTAATTCAATGCATCTTTATCGTCACACTGCAAGCTATCATATGTTCACAAAATACTTTTCAAGCAAATCTATTACCAGAGTCTGATTCACATATTCTATCCTCAACCACAACGAAGTCAGATACAATTCCAATAAGAGCTAAAGATAGACTCGATAGAATTAAATGGGAAAATATTGCTTTTATAGGATTTCAAGCATGGTTTTTTGGTATGACTGTAGATGCTGTAAGGATTGTATTGTATTGTGTTGTGTTGTATTGACAATTCGATTATCATCTTTTAATTCATTTATATATATATATATACTTTGAAATTAGACAGTTTATCAAAATACAGCAGAGATTTTAGTATTAGCTGTACTCAATTGTTTATGCGCTATATTAGGTGCTTTAGAGGTTGTAGATGGAATTAAATGGTTAAAGTTATTAAGTCAAACCAGCTATTCTATACAGCCTTTAGCTAGAGCAGAAAAGATGGAAATTGCCCTTTCAATCATCATTCTTGCCTTTGCTATTATTATGTCTTATTTTAGTTATGAAATGTCAAAACAATTTGGATGGAATATATATAAAAAGATTGGTGCAGATGTTCAAATTCAAAGTACACTAATGTATTTACATACGTATATAAAAACTTCTATTCACCTTCTCTTTCTAGAAATGTATCGAATATTTCAATTCTTTGTTTTATGCTTAAAGATCAACATATTCACAGAGTTTTTAATCTCTTTGTTTTATTTAATTCAATTTGCAGTCAAACAGAACGCATCACAATGGGATACATGGATTCAATTAGTTGTTACTATCTTAATACTCCCCATGTTATACTTTGCAAGAACAGCAGGCAGTACAGAGAGTCAAGGTAGAATGATTACCTTTATTACCTTTCAGGCTATTGTCATCATTCATTTTGCATTGATATTAAATCAAACATTTCAACCTCATAATAACTGGTATACTTGGATAACATTTGGTATTGTGTTAATTATTGCTTATAAAAAAGAAAAAAGGATATTTATATCATATTCAAGTTTGGATAGGGGTCGCTATTGATTTAGCTACAATTGTATTAAGTATACTTACTATGAAGAATTTTGGTAAAGGATTAAAACCTTTTGTTCAAAGAGGTGCAAAAGCTAAGGGGAAAATAAATGAACTGGAATTAAGCAAGACACATACAAACTCTACATGGCAAATTGATGATAGCTGAAAGATTTATTTATATTATTTACACATTTATTACCATTTTTTTTTTTTTTTTTTTTAAAAAAAAATTATTCTCTTTCTTAATGTGCAAAGTAAACAAAAAATAGAATATTTATAAATAATTTTTATGCAAAAGGTGGAAATACTTTTGCAGGAATGGGGCCACCATTACTACTTGTTGTCGTGTTATTCATAGAAGTGGATGTAGTAGTAGAATTATTTTCATTAACACCATTAGGAGAAGAAGTAGGGGAATGATTCACATTTGGACTAACAGCACCTTTTAAGGCTAAAAGTTGATTTGAACGAAAGGTTTCATAATGAACCATTGCAGTTGTTTCAATTAAATCTTGTAAATGAGTACGTGTTAAAAAGTTACGTAAATGAATAAATTCACAGTGATTTTCATCTTCAACTATAATAGTTCCCCACTTTGTTTTACGTCCAATGACTGATTTTCCATCTACAATCACTTGTTTTTCTGATCCAACAATAGCAAAAGGAAGAAGTTCCTAATCAAGAAAGGGTTAGAAGTGAACTCTTTTTATATATAATAAAAAACTTACTCTAATACTTGTATTCAACATACGTTCTTCTTCATCATAATCTTCCATGTTATCATAAGGATATAATTGAATATTATGAAAAGCTAATTCTGCATTAATCTGCTTTTATATTTAGTAATTAAACTCTTATTTTTGTTCTTATTTAACTTACTTTTTGTTTAAATAAAATACGTTCTTCCATTGTAAGTGAATCAGCTTTTGCGATAACAGGTACTACATTAACGACTTCAACCAGTTTCTTTAAAACAATAACATCTATAGGCTTTAAACTACATAAATTATTTGAGTAAAAGAAAAAAAAAACTGATTTCATTCAAAAAAATAATAATCTTACGAATGACCAGAAGGAGCAATAAAATAAAGACAACAATGAACTCTATTGTCTTGAATAAACTTTTCACGTTGAGCTGTTAATTCTTTACGAAGATAAGTAGAATGCTGATCTTTAATATATTTAATGATGGGTTCCCAACTAATAAAAACATTAACCAGTTAATTTCTTGATCTTTTTTTTTTTTCAATGACTGAATTTACCAATCTTCATTATTAACTTGATCGCCATAACCTGGAGTGTCAACAATATTTAATCTCAGAACAACACCATTTTCCTCAATAACTATTATGAAAAAGTTAGAAAGAAAGAAGAACACACACATAATCTTCTTTTTCTTTTATCTACCATGAGACATAGATTCTATTTTGGTTGTCTGTTTCTTCAAATCTTCTGCATTTTTACGTCCTTTAGAATCAATTAGATGAGAAGCAAATAAAGTATTAATAAGTGTCGATTTTCCTAAGCCAGTTTGACCTAATTTAAAAGAAAAAAAATAGGGTTTAAACTAGACATATTCTGCATAAAATTTAAAACTTTACCAACTACCATAACATTAAATTGAAATCCTCTTTTAAGTGATTTCCTTTCAATTTGTTGAGTGATGGTATCAAAACCCACATAAGCATTTAAAGGTGTTTTCTAACAAATATATAAAAAAAATAAATCAATACTTCGATAAATATATGATAAACAAAAAAAAAAAACGGAGATGTACCTTTTGTGTTAATGTAGACATTGAATCAAGTAAAAAGAGAAATAGTAAAAGAAGAAGTAGGGAAAAAAAAAAGGGTAATACACCTTTTTTTTCCGTGTGCTTTTTACTTTCAATTTGCGCTCTCCCAATTAAATTTCTTAATTACAGCCAAACCTATGGAATTTGGCGTTTTCTCCAAATAAATATTAAAAGACAAAAATAAATGTCGGACTTAAGAAAATGAATATTATGCTTTTAAATTGTTTTTTTGTCACTCTGTTTAAAACAATCGTCAGAACTAGCTAACTAAAATTGGCAGGAAGATTGTGCCTAATTGTCGCGTATTTTAATAAAAAATACAACATAATGATGAATAGTTTTTTTTATGAAGAAGAAGAAGAAGAAAAAGTTTACGATCAGATGGAGTATGTGTTAACACATGTCTATAGTTCTTGAAACAATAACTAGTCAACAAACTTACTTGAGCGTTAAACGCCCCCGAAATAATTATTTGAAGAATCCTCAGTTAGAAAATAGTTGAGACCTAGTAATTTGAAGCCACTAGCGAATTTATACAACAGTTACAGCGACTTCACCAGAGAAACGTTTATAGACCGTGTGCTCGAAAATCCTTAAGAGCGTGGACTAGTGGCCAAGGTTGCAAGAGATTTGAATATTAATTACCACACTGCGCTAAGATGATGGAATGGTTACAAAGCGACAGAAGAGGTTGCGTCTAGAAAGACTAAACAGAACAGCGGTTCAAAAAAAAAAACTCATTTACAACCTAGCATAACGAGTATATAAAAGAGCTACTTGATAATGACCCCCCTCCCCCAGTTATATTCAGACGACATAATAAATAGTTTGGCTGAGGGATTTGAAGACTTTACTATATCAAGGTCGCATCTTAATAACCATTCACAAAACACAATGCTCATCATTATGAAAAAAAAAAATCAATGTTTGAACCTGAAATCAGAAACTCAGTGAGAAACCTACAGACGAGAATTGAGTGGTTTATGGAATGGAAAGATTCTGATTTGGATTTCACAAAGAGTTGTATTTGCGTTGATGAGGTCAGGTTTCATGTTAATATGAGAAAATAATTAGACTAGATCAAAAAGTGGCAGCACTTCTATAGGTAAACAGCCAAAAAACTAGAGCGCAATTCTATACCGTTATTGGTGCTATTCACTTGTATAGCATTGTTCTTGTTGTCATAAGAAAATCTTCAACAGGAAAAGAAACACAGGCTGCTAAAAAAAAAGAAGAGAACCACAGTCGAGATTAATACATAGGATCCAGAGGTTGACGACGATCCTGCCGATAACAAGCCAGCGCTAAAAGGTACGACTACTGTTTATTTTGTCAAGTTTATGAATGAGCTTCTTAGTGTAATGGATATTGATGAAACTTTTAAGGGAAGTTACATCGTTATAGATAATGCTTCTATTCGTAAATTGAAATCGATGTTACGAAAAATTGAAAGTAAAGGCTATAAACTCATTTATCTACCTTCTTATGCACCTGAATCGAGCCCTATTGAACAACTGTCGGTTATTATTAGTGCCTGAATGATTGACATTTTCGTAAAATCACATTGTCAGTTTTTATCACAATAGTTTTTATTGATAGAAATGGGAATTTTTTTTTATATAAGGCATAGTGTAAAGAAAGGGATGGATACGCACATAGTGAAAAGCTTTTATGAAAAAGATGTGTATCATATTATGAATAATTTAGAAAAACTTCTTAGTCAATCTCTCTTTTACCGTTTCATTCGCAGTACATAAGGAGGAGCTCATTGATTGAGTAATTGATCGGAGATGTTTGTCCAGATCCTTGTTATCAATTATGGCGATACATTCATTTTTGCCAAGGAGTTTTAACATTTCTTTAACTGTAGCTGCAAGTTGTCCTCCTTTATCTTGAAAATTATCCAATGTTTTCTTTTCGATAAAAGGATTAACAAGATTTTTAGATGATTCAAGTATATTCAATGTAATTTCCTGGAATAACAAAGAACAAAGTTTAGCTTGTGAATCAATTGTTTGCGCAGAATCATAGTCGTATAGTGTCCAAATGGTATATGGTTGATATATATGGCTTAGCGTATATGTTGAGCTACATCAACAACTGGAATACGTCTCTAATCTGTAGAACTTTGATCTCACTTGTTTGCATTGATTCAGTATATTATGAGAGTAAAGTTGAGAGCAACCGTTATCATTGAATAGTTTGTCTGCCATTTCTACATATTTTTCATGAAGGAATATTTTTGTATTCTTTGAAGGAGTGAAGCTATTGGTAGATGGACCGACGTAAATCACAGGATATTTTGAGAGCGTACAACTAGATGTAATAAGTAGGTTACAGCTAAAGAGTCTAATTACGAGCTTACTTGAGTTGTCCGATTCAAAAAGTTTGACACAGGCTTGCTTGTAATGGTAGCTCAAATCTGGGATTGATGAATTGAGATCTTCCTTTGAATATCGTTCGTAATGGGGATCAATTGACTTTTTTTCTTCCGTAAGACTCGACACAGTTGATTATGATAGCTTTTGTTCCATCCAAGAGTATACATCCAGCAAACATTTGAGATACTGCATATCTTGCTTGTGGATTTGTTAGCCAATCATAGTTTGCCTTCTTCAGATGATTAGTGTTCAATTCAGTATAGTTTCCATTCTTTAACAAGGACGCCATGGAACTGTTATTTATTAAGAACGTAAGCAAAGTGTAGTCAGCCTTGTGATTTTTTGGTAGGCTACTGGGATCAGGTGGAATAGAGAAAATAACCTCTGGCTGTTGTTCATGTAATTCTTGGGCATCAGGCGCGTTATCAAGTAAATAATATGATCGTGGTTCTGATAACAATGCAATCGGGGTCAAGTTTGTTATATCAGTAAGAGTCAGGGTTTTTTGTTGGCTTTGTTATGATTGTAGTTATCTATATAACTAAGTTAAGAGAAATAAACCATCATTTATTACATGATAAAAAGGTTATTCACACAAAACTAGTATATTAAACTTCACAGCATAATATTCATTCTACAACATTCAGTTTTAATAACGGGTCATTGTTAGAATGTCCGAGCACTAATAATAATTATATACATAATTCAGACAGGATTATGACTAGTATATTCAATTACATAATTATCTATGGGCCATACATATCATATTATACATTGATAATGTCGAATATTGTTATGTAATAAGATCTTATACAATGATAACCCATAAATAATTGGTATTGTTGCAGCTGTGCAATTTTTGTATTATCCTCAATAAATTATATAAAGTTTTTACAGACTTGTCTTCTGTTCATTTTTCTTTCTTTAGCTTTTGCTAATCAAAACAGGTCTTCTATATTATATTCCAATCCACCAACAGCAGCAAGTGTCGCGATAGGTTTGGTCAGTGTATTCATATCATTTGATGTGCTTTGAGCAGTTTTGATATCGCTTTTACTGTAAGTTCTGGGTAGTTTGGTTTTGCGTGGCGAAATCTCATGGTTCTCATTCCTTTTTTTTTTTCCTTTCCCAGTCTTTGGTGATCTATTGTGCCATTGTATTATGTGCCTTAAAGATTGAAGTTGACTTTGAATTACTATTGCATCTTGGACAAATAAAACCATTCGCAGTTTTATTGATAGCGTATGAGGCTAGAAATTGTCTTAATTTTTAAAAGAATGAAATATATTTTAGAGACTTACAATTTTGAATGTAAACTGTTACTTGTGAAGTATGATCATCGTGATTATGTTTATTAAGTCGCATTTTTGTGTCGAAAGTTTGTGTGCAATTGACTTTCTTACAAGAGAAAGACATTTTGTTGAAGATTCGTTTCTCCAAGCTTTAATGAAATAATAATAATAAAAAAAAAGCACAGATTGAAATCAATGATTACAGAGTTCCACTCGTGGCAGCGATTCCAAGTGGAATCACAGAGTGGAGTTTTCATTGAAAACATTTTCATGTCTATCTTCATGAAAACATGTATTTATCATTATGTTATGTTTAAATCAGGAAGAGATGCAGAGATGACATTTGAAAACTATATTTCTTATTCTTTTTATGTGGAATATGCTGTTAATCCTTTCACATGGTACATTTATTTTACCAGCATCTCCATTTCATCAGGTTTTGTTGTGCTATATCACAATCTATCTCCTATTGACTGTCAGTGTTCTCACACTGCCATCTATTTACTTTTTCACGAACACTCATAATTACACTCTCTCAATTTAGTCATTTCCTTGTTCATCATTATAACTACTGCTAATATAAATGTTCACCACTTACAAATCCTTAATAAGCCTTCCTATTCTTGTTAAGACTTTCAAAGAACCTACAACATTTTTTAATTCAATAATATAATTCAGAATAAACACAGGTGCAATCTTCCTTCCAATTTCAGTTAGTTAGTTCTGACAATTGTTTTTAAACAGAGTGACAAAAAAACAATTTAAAAACATGACATTAATTTTCTTTTTTAGCTTCTTTTTATACTTTATGATCTAACCAGGGCAAATAATACTGCAAATGTGGCAAGACACTTATGCGCTGAATTCGGTCATTCAATTTAATTTAAATTTTTCCATTTTTGTATCCTCTTTACATATGTAAAGGAAATCTTTCAAGCAAGCCACCACCAACAACAAAAAAAGATATATATTTGTGTATTTACATATTTGTATATTATACATTTTGCAATACAGAGGATTTACCTAAAGAAGGTAAATACTTTTTTTTTTGAATAAACAAACAATATCAATGGCATTTTCCGTCAACTAATAACGTATCTGCTGGCAAACCTTTCTTCCTACCGAATCAGTAACTTTTTTAAAGGGGGAAAACTTAGCCATTTATAATTGCTCGAATAATCAATGTAAATACATTCATATACATGTGTATATTTATTAATTTCTGACATTAGGATTAGGCTTCTGCGTATTCGGATTCGTTAGGATATCAAGGATGACAAATATCACCTTTATCTATCCAAACTATAGGGTTATTACCATTCTCAAAAATAAAATAAAAAGAATAAAAAAACAGCATTCATCATTAAAAAAAAAAAAAAAAGAATGCAAATTGGGCTCAAGGAGTTTGCTTTTCTTTCAATAATTATAACTATTTTTCCGGCTTAAATTTATTTATGTTTGAATGTATTTGATATTAATTTTGGTATTGGTCCAACTAAATTACAAAAAAAAAAAAAAAAAAAAAAAAAAAAAAAAAAAAAGTTAGAAGGAAGCTTCTTTAAGGTTATACATATTCTTTTTTTTTTTTGTTTACCATTAAAGTCATTGTTTTACTGGAATTAATTTCTTGATCACGATAAATACCAACTAAACTCTGCGCCTTTTCATATAATCGATGCTTAAGCGAAATAACAATAAATTGAAAGTTGGGTGTAGCATGCTCGCGAATATAGGTAGCTACAGTGGTTACGTTTGTATTATCAAGTGCTGCATCAACTTCATCCAATACAAAGAAGGGTGAAGGCTTATAACTATGAATAGCAAACAATAATGCTAAGGCCGCCACACTCTTTTCTCCCCCTGATAATTGCTCCATATCTCTAAATCGTTTCATAGGTGGCATAGCATGATATTTTATACCTTCAAGATAAGGCTCATCAGAATCTTCCATACTTAAATAAGCTGTACCGCCTAAGGGGAATGTGGGATTCTTTGTTAAATCTTTATAAACAGTATCAATCTTTTCAGAGATATGACTAAATGCATCATAGAATAAAGAGTATCTATTGTCATGTGTTAGTCAAACTGTTACTTTACTTTCTATTTCGGTCATCGCTTTTTACCTCTTTTGCTTAATTGCATTGAATTGTTCTTTAGCTGTTTTAGCAATGGCTCTAGCACTATTAAACTCTTGCTCTGCAACTTTCAGCCTTTCTGTAACTCCCTCTAATCGATCAATAGCTTTCATATTAGGTGCCATCTGCTCAATTTCATCTGTATATTGCTTAATCTTATCTTGGAATTGACGATCCATGGCTGGACTATCATCTTCACGTTGATTGTCTCCTACTTGTGAGAAATCAACTTCAACTTCCCAATCAGTGGATTGAATAGAAAGTTGGGATGTAGGTGCATCAAGATCCATATCAGAACTACTTGTATATTCCATTGAATTATGATCATCTGTCACAGACGAAGTCTCTGAGACAGATGATGCATCTGTATCCATATTTGCATTTGCTATAGCATCTCCTCTTGTATCTTCAATAATAATATCATCCATAGAACCACGACTCAAAGGTAAATGGATACCTTCTAACTTGCATTTTCTAAAAATTGCAATACGCTCAGCTTGTACCTTGTTAATCTCACTTTCAATCGCTCGATACTCTCTCAAAATTTCATCTACATTTCTACCCTTAGCTTCTAAAGCACGACTTATGTCATTAATATCAACCTGCTTCTTTTCTTCCAATTTAGTTTGTTTCTCTAAATCAACTTGATAGGATTGCAATTTAGTTTTTAAATTCTCTGTCTTTCCAGCCATTCCAGCCAAGTCGGCTTCAAGTTTAGACTTGGCATTCTTGTCAGCTTCCAAACTAGCTTCTAATTTTCTTAAACGTTCCACTAATTCACCTAGTTGCTCCTTTTCAAATGTAAGTTGTGTATCAAGACGGGATCGTTGTGTTGTAAATTGTGCACGACGTTCTGTGACTTCATCAGAAACACCGAATTGTGAAGCTTCATATTCACGAATGTTAATAACGTTAATTTGTGCACAAAAATCTTCAAAGATATGATCTTCTACTTGATGAATTTGTGCTTCAATCGTCTTTATGTTAGCTTCTAATTGATCTAATGTTGCTTTTGATTGCTCATAGGGTTGGATAGCTTCAGTTAGCTTTCTACGAGTATCTTCAATGGTGCCCTGAAGACCTTCAATTCTTCTTGTGAGGGTAGTCTATAAATAAAGATATTAAAATTTGTATTGCTATATTATTAAAGATAAAAGTAAATAAGTTTTCTTACAAGTTCTTCATTTAATGTATTCAATTGACTGGCAAAGCTAGAGCAGTCATTTCTAGCAGAATCCTCAGCACTACCCATACGTTTATTTTTACTGATATTATTTAACTCTGTCAAATACTTGTTTCTTTCACGCATTAATTCTACAAGAAAAAAAAAGATGATTATATATTTTTGCTTACTCGGCTTTATATATTTGTATACATATTTATTATTATTATTTTTACCATCAATTTCACTTTGTTGCCATTTCTTTGTTGATTGCACACTACTCTGACCACCTGTCATTAAACCATTTTGATGAATAACTGCGCCATCCAAAGTAACAGCTATATTTCAGAAAAAAATAAGTCATTTTTTGTTGTTGTTTTTTTGTTCCTTAATAAGATGTTATTAGTTGTACCTCTAACATTTTCATTCATTTCATAACAAATATGCTTTGCAATGTTAAGATTATCACAGATCAGGGTACTACCACATGCATATTGAACCACATTCTCATATTGTTTATCAAACTTCATTACATCAAATGCTAAACGAGAACCTTTAACCAAATTACGATAACGATCATTGATAGGAGGTAATGATAAAGAATGCATAGGTAAAAAGGTAGCTGTACCAATATGTTGCTCTCTCATGTATTGAATACATTCAGTAGCAGTTTGCTCATCTTCAACAACAATCGCATCCATATTTCTACCCAATACAGTCGCAACAGCTGTGTCATACTTACGTTGATTAGGTCTACATAAATCAGATAATTTGCCATGAACATCTAGTTAGCGAAAAAAGAAAAGAATGAGTATAAGGTTGGAAATGCATTTATAATCTCGGATTTTTTACTTGGATAAATTTGCTTTAATACAGTAACACTTTCATTGAATTTGATATCTTTTTCTGATTCTTGTTGAGTAACACTAGCTTCCATCAATTTATTTAAAACTACTTGAAGCTTTTCGTTTAATTCAACCTCACGTTGATGAATAGCAATACGTTCAAGTTCAAGTTTTTTCAACTCTGCTTGACGTACATTTAATTGCTCACTAAGGCTTTCAGCATCTAATGTTAACGCTGACTTTTCCTCATTGGCTTGACGCAAGTCATCAAGTGCCTTTGATTCAGCTTCTCGAAGTTGATCCATTTTAGACTTCTTGTCGTCCATACGTTGTTTTTCAGTACGATGTTGACGTTGAAGTTGTTGCAATTGATGCTGTTCCTCAACTGCCTTTATGCTTACTTCTTGCTTTCTTCTCTCATAATCCATCAGTTGTGCACCGGTTAAAGTAGGTCCATTTGTTAAACCTGAAGTAGGAATAGAGTTATTAAATTGTTGCTCAGCATAATCCAATAATTGTAAATCCTTTTCAAGTGAACTAACAACTTGTTCTTGTTGCTGGCCATCACGTTTAACTCGTTCAATACTTTGTTCAGTATGTTTTATTTTCTTTTCCAAATGACTTATCTTTTCCTTGTAACTAATAGAGGTAGGAAGCTAAAGATAAAATAATATAAGAAATAAGTCACTTCCTCTCTCCCCTCCCCTCCGCCACTTTATATCCAAAAAAAAATGTACCTGTTCATCTATTTCACGATTAATTTTACGAATATGTAATTCACATTTAATCTTTTCTCTGTGAATAAGTGCTTTATCCTCTCTAGCCTTCTTGAAACTATTTTCCAATTCAGCTACTTCGTATTGAAGATTATCTTTATTCATGTTCTTTGTCGTGCCTTCTTCTTCTAATGTCTTTGATTTCTGTTCAATATGATAAAGTTTCCAAAGCAAATACTGAATCAGCAAGTTGCGTTTATTAGCCACAAGTTCTTCAAATTTTTCAGCTTCTGCCTTTTGTTCTTCATATTGTTTAATCTCAGAGGCTACACTACGCTTTCTATTAAATGTATGAGCACTATTCTCTATAGCTTCTTCCATTTTCTGCTTCAACTCATCGTATTCATCTCTATATTCCCATGAACTAATTCATGTACAAGATTAGTAGATGAATATAATAATAATAATAAAATCATTTGGAACATGGCACGTTACCCACTAATTTGTTCAATCAGTCGAGTCAAATCTTTAGGATTTTGACTAGCTACAGATTCAACATCACCTTGAAAGACCAAAAAATTCTTTGCTTTTACAAGAATATTCTCCTTTTCAAGTTCTGCATTATATTGACTGTATTGAACCACTTTATCATTAATACGATACTCAGAAAGTCCATTATGATTAATTGTACGAATGAATCGAACCTCACGACCTTGATTATTTTCATAAACAGCTGTTACTGAAGCCTTTCGAGGGGAACGAGTTGTGTGAGTTGTTGAATGTACATCATCGTCTTGGCGTAATGCTTCAGAACGATAAATCATATCCTTTAAGTTTTGAGAACGTAGATGGCTTGAATGAACACCAAGTACAAATGAAATGGCATCCATAAGATTTGATTTACCTTATTCGTTTATATGAGTGTAAGGAGAAAAGAAAAATAAAAAAAATGTAAATAATTGTAAGGCATACGAATGGAATTATACATGTTTATCTATTTTTTAAATATTTTACCAGAACCATTAGGACCAATGACACTTGTAAATTGATGAAAAGGACCAATGGTTTGATGACCCTTGTATGATTTGAAGTTTTCAACTTCGATACGAACAAGTCTACCCATATCTAGTAAAGAAAACAAAAAAAAATATATAAAATAAAAAATAAAAAACAAAATCCACGTATATTATTTTTCTGTACTTTCAATAAACGCGTCGCGTATGTAGAGAAGAAAAAAAAAGGGGGGAGGACAAACATAAGATAAAATGATTGGCTGAGTTAATTTATTATTCAAGAATACTACCATTATTATTTTATTTATTACTTTTCAATGTGCTCCATAATAGCTTTTATTTTATTTTATTTGCTATTTTTCAATGTGTTTTTATAATAGCATGTATTTTATGTTGTCAACTATTAAACTATTGTGTACTAAATTTAGAATATAAAAAAGATAGAGGATAAACTACAAACTAAAATGTCTTCTATATACGTGTTTATTTATTTTAATTTCTTCAAATACATGTTCAGCTGTTGTCATTACAAATATACAACAATTCATTTTATTAATAATAATACTGAAAATACAGAGGAATTGAAGTCCATAAAAGTCTTTTTAATTTGAGAGATCTGAATCCAAATATTTAATAATAAAACTGCTTTCGGGATTTTTATTGATAACATTATTATATTTAATGAAAGGAGGGAGAAAGTTTATTTTGATTGAGTTTATGAGATAACCGTTTCTTTTTTTTTCTTTTTTTATTATTTTATTTTCCGTCAACCAAGACTTACTATAACCGTTTGTCGGGAATACATGCATAATACAGTTAACAAATACGTATTATGTAATAAGTAATATTTTATTCTAATTACGCGACTAATATGTGTGTAATTTTTGATTCTACGCCACGAATGGGTTTTTTTTATCCATGAAACTGGCTCCTTTTGGAAATCAATAAATGATGAATATAGCCCTTTTTTTTAATTTTTTTTTTTTTAAAACAAGAAACGTTACCAATTAATAAAAAAAAAAAAAAACGTTGTCTTCATATGTATTTGATTTATATTATTTCAATTCAATTCAATTCATTTTATTTTATTTTACTTTATTTTATTTTACTTTGTTTTATTTGATTTATTTATTTTTTTGAGGAAAAAAAAAAAAAGAGGGCCCTGGAATGCTATTTTTTTCCAGCTAATGAAAAATTGATTATTAAAAAAGTTAAAATGGTTGATTTTGTTATATATATAAAAATGCTAAGCAAATAAATACTGGGTATTTTTTTTTTTACCAATTAAATGATCTGCATTTCTTTTTAAAACCTATATTTTTTTTCTACCAAGAAATGAAATACATGTGATTTTTAAAGCAGCGCGAGATAATTAAGATATAAAAAAAAAAAAAAAAAAAAAAAAAAAAAGTTTTTTTTTCTTGTATCACATTTATAAATGTGTATGTGATTTCAAGTTATTACATATCTAAAACAGAGTACAACAGGAACTTACAGTGAAAAAAAAATAAAAAATAGAGAGGAAAATAGCCTTTTGTTAATTGTGTACTAAAATACAATGAATCATTCTTATTCAGCATCATGTTTGCTACAAACATCACCAGACACGAGTCACTTTCAACCTCAAGCAGAAGACATTTTGACAGATGAAGATTTACTCGAATTATTTAGAATAGTGAAACAAATTATTCGAAAGAAGCCTGATACAGAAAGAATTGCTAAACTCTACTTTTGTGTTGTCTACGCCATGGGCAATTTATATCCTTTCTATAAACCTATTCATAGTGATTATTTAACATTTCGTGATGATTCAAATATGACTCCTGTGGTGGCTAATGTTCAACTGCCTATTTTTACTTCTTGTTGTCATACAGATCAATCTAATTGGAAAGAAACAACTCCAATAACAACTTCTTCTACTTTAACAACTTCTTCAACTTCAACAACGCCTACCGTAACACCTGCCGTACCTCAACGAACACTTTCTGTTTCTTATATAACAAACCCTTTACCCTCCAACAAACAAAGTCCTCAATTACCTCAGACGTTACAGCAGCAGCAGCAACAACAGCAATCATCCGATGAAGTAACTACGGATGACTATTCCTTAGGACCTTATACAAATATTAGACCTACTTATCCCTCATCTGATTATCCTTTACCATCTTCATGGCCTTCTCCTATTAATGAACAATTATCTCATTATCATCATCGTTATACAGGAAATCAGGTTTTAAATCGATATCCACATCTAAATACCCTCATCAATGGCGCTGGAACGGAAGTATTAATGGAACCAAAACAACGAGGTTTTTATTATCAAGACAATAAAACTACAAGAGAGCCAGCTTTATTACAACGCTACGCTAAGCAAGACGTACTAATTCAAACTTCTTTAATGCGTAAGAGAAAAAAGACTTTTAGTAACGATCCTGATTTCTCTTATGATCTTTCAACAATACCTGCTCCAATTAAAAAACCAAAAATTCCTCATCGACATGGTGAATTTAATCAAAGGCGTAAGTTTTTTTTTTTTTTGTCTTGAATATATATCTATATTATCATTGTTTTTTGCTAACTTGTATTACAATTAATAAAGGTGATGATATCATTAGTAGAATGAGAACAATTATGATGGCAGATCTCGAACAAAAAGCACAACGATTACCGAGTAATTTTACATTGAGAATCGAAAAAGCCACATTAGCATCTAATGTTCATGCAAATAATCTAAGCATAGAAGAAGCTGGTAAACTATTAATGCCCGCATTACGTATCCTGACAGAACATTCAAATATGAAACCTCATTTGGATAATGGTATGAATCAGAATGGCATTTATTATAATGATGATTATTTTCGACTTTATTTGGCCTTTGTACAATTTCAAAATATATTTGCTGAGTTGTTTCCTAACGAAGTTGTAAAGACAAATGCGTCATCTACCTCTGTGGATGATATAAACAATATACCTTCACCAAGTTCGACAGTAGAAAGAGACAGAGATAGAGAGCGTAATGCAAAAATGAAAGCATATCGTAGTTGGATTGAGCCTTATTTAACAGAAACGAATTGGGCTGCATTCCGAAGAAATATCATGGTTGGCGAACGTATCATGCAGCTTACGCAAGTTGTTGGAGAAGGAATATTATTGATGACAAAAGAATTGAGTGGTTCCAAGTTACATTTAACATTTACGAATAATGAGTGGGATGAGTTTATTCAAGGACTTGATCAAGGCTTGTGGGATGATACTATCGACTGGAGTCATGATGAAGATGATCTAAACGAAGAGGCTCGAAAGCAAGCAGCTGGCAATGGCTCAATATTGGTGAATGAGTTAAGACTCAAATTTGCTTCTCATTTTTGGTTTACAGAAAATGGAAGACTCGTACCTTCATCCGAAAGAAAAGCACTTAGAGCAAAAGAACGCCATAATAATAGCAACTTGGGCAAATAATTCCTTCTTTCATCGTCTGTTTTGCATATTTTGTATAATTTCATTGTAATTATAATTTCCTTTTCTTTTTCTTTTTCTTTTTTTTTTTTTTACTTTCTTTACTTTTTTTTTACTTTTCTTCTTTTCTATATGTACATATAAATGGTTAACTTGTGTTTGGTTTTCTTATTTCACATATAAATCAAAGATTTTTGGTGTTGTAAAATTTGTCTTGTACTATAGACGTGTCATTATTATTATTAGAGCTTTTTTAATTGTAAAGCCTTTTTTTTCTAGATTTCTTAATAAACTTGTTAAATATTATTTGCTATGTTTAGAATAACTAGTTATTATGGCAATCAAAACTACTTTTATTTATGTATATGAAACTACTATGATGAGAGTTACATCATCAGCTTATAGAAGGCTTATTTATTGAACAAATGCATCGTTTATTCCACTCCAGTTATATTTTAATAAATAATATATTCATGTTCTTTATTTTCTCTCTCTTTCTCTCTCTCTCTCTTTTTTTTTTTTTGCCTTGCATTTATAGGAATGCTTCAACAGCTTCCACTTGAAATAGTAACCTATATTGCAAGCTTTGTTTCATTAAAAAGATAAAAGTGAATTTGCAAGTACTTGCCACAAGTGTTATTTTGCAGTTTTACCTCATATTTGGCCTTATCCCTCACTCAATAACACAAAAGAACTTGATTTAATTGTGAAACATTTAAATGCTAATACTATATGGACTCAAAGAACAATTCAATTTTTACGTGATGTATCGTTAATATCTGATGATGGCAAACCCCAATTTTCTTCTACTTCTTTAGCTGCCTCTCTAATTTGGTATAGTCAGTACTCCAATGGATCAAGAAAAAGAAGAGCTTGAAAGCCAATATAGTATAATAACACCTTATGAACAAATAGGCTGTTTCAGATATTTCCACATCTTTCAAATCCTGTCTTTGATTTTATGCAGGCTATCAAAAACTTTTATTTTGTTTCGAATTCTAATAATAAAAATGAAGACAATAATAGAACACTTCCATTTTCTGGCTCTATTTCTCTTGTAAATTATAAAACAGATCATTCACAGTTTATGCATTATTTGCTAGCGCCCTTTAGAAAGACAGATCATTTAAAGATACAAGCGCTACCTGTTTATTCTCTTTGTGATGACATTGATGAATCAATTTTAGCCAATGATGATATCAAATATTTAGCGTCATTAGGACTTACACATCTTAGACGGTTAGAACTATCTTATTTAGATTCAGTTGTTTGTCTGGATACAATAAAGACATGAATAATAAGCTTACCACATTTAATCGATTTAACACTAGAATGGATTTTCTCTCTAAACAAGGATAACTATCTCAAGTTATGCGAAATGCTTCAACACAATGGACTACTTTATCCAGAGAAAATAGACCCTAAAGATAATATTTTACAAGTTCGTTTTACTGTTCAAATAAAACCTACTCTATTAAACAAATATATCACTCATACCTGTTATAAATACATATTTCTTTTCTTTTTTTTTTCCTTTCTTCATACTGAATTCAATCAAGGTATTTAAAGATAAATAAAACGGTAAATTTAATTTATTATTGTTATTATATGCATAATGCATTCAAGAATTAAACAAGTACAATAGCTCATTTTAGGTAAACTTGACATAATAGTATTTTAAAAAAAGGAAATAGAGCTAAAGAGAAATAAAACTACTATACGCACACACACACACACACACACACACACACTTTGTTTTATTCCAGCTCTTTTTCTTCTTCTTTCGTAATAAACATGTCCCATAGAGTATTATACATATACTCTTTATATCTTTTATAGGGATTATCATTTTTATACATACATATTCTAATATCTCCTTTTTTGATTTTCATCATTCTTTGAACTCCGTCTATTGGATCATAATAACATTAAATAAGGGACACATTTACACTGCATATAAACAAATATGCAAAATAAGGCACAACAGAAAGCAGCAACAGCAGCAGCACGTTATAAATTGAAGTTTTTTTTTCTTTTTTTTTTTTTGTTTTCTTGAATTTTTCTTTTTTCTTTTCTCATACTACACATAATGGAAGATATTCAATTCTTTAATTCAACGATTATTTACACAAGAGTAGCCGTACTGACATTATCTGTATGCATTGTAGTGATATCACTTGTAAAATATAACTTCAGTACTTGTCCTATTTTGTCCTTATTTGATAATGTGAAAAGTCATCAGTTCATTTACGATATGATTGAAGATAGAAATTTGATTGCAACCTTGATAGCAGCACAGGCGTCCATCTTTTGTCCTTTATTTTTACTTATGAGTTCACCTGTATCCACCTATTATGAATATTCAACACGAATATCGTTCTCTACAGCTGATATCTGTCGTATCATGATAGAACATCTCTGTCAGTTTTTGATGCCATTTGGTTTATCTATGAGCTGGCTCTTTTGTATTACCTTTGATAAAAGAACAAAGTCTGCTTTATTGACTATGATAGACCAAGACCTGATCTCCTCTACCCTTGACGAGCACAATTACTATAATACTTATGTTACTTTAATGACATTTGCATTAAAATATATTATTATTTTGGTTTTATTAATTGAGGTTGTGGCCGTTTCATGCTCTTTTATTAAACATACTTCATTCTTATTCATGGCAAAGCAGCAATCTACTATTCATTTAACCTACAATCATGAAAAGGAGGAGGTTATTAAAGACAATGACTTTACAGGATATGAAAATGAACAAGATATAGAGGGACAAATCCTTTTTGTATAGATTTCAACTTACTAATTATTATTAATAAACACATAATCATTTACTAGCTTTTATACATCTCATTTTAAAGAAAAAGAATTGTATATGTATATGTAAATATCTATTTATCCTAACTTCTTCATGCTCTCTTTTTTCTCTCTCACTTTCTCTCTATCTTCCACACTTCAAAGTTATACATATTGGTTAGCATATGACAGACTATCCATATAATATTACAACTAGCTGATCAACACATAATAATAATAATAAAAAGGCTTTGAAGATATGAAAGGCCATGAGTTATGCTGTATATGAAATTCACACTTGATACACCATTTGACCTTGAATGCTGATCTTTTATTATTATTATTTTCTTTGCTTTGCTTTGCTTTCTTTCAAATAAAAATAAAAATTTACATATAAGTTTATATTATCCATCCTTTTTTTTGTAGTGCTTTAAGAAGCAGAATATAATAGCATAATATTAATTCTATTTCTTGCCGAAATTGTATTTATTCTTTCCCCCCCTCTCTCCCCCTTTTAATTTTTCTTAATATAGAAATTGTAGTTACTCTGTCAGCCAATTACTTTAAAAAATAATAAACGAATATTGCAAATAGTATATTGTTCTTTAATATGACCAAGTACTCTCTTTAGTGAATTCGCAAATTGTATGTAATAAAACCGGAGCATGTGTAAACACACTTGAAATAGTATTTATCAAAGCCTTGAAAGTGCTGTAAAACAATCAAGATTGAGCCACTCAAAGATAGTATTCTAGTGTTGTACATAAAATAATTTCTACCATTCTCTATAACCCAATGATACAAGTTAAAAAAGAATGAAAACAGTTATAAAAAAACATGGTTTGAAATTAGTTGATGTATATATGCACGTTTAAACAATAATACTATTTGTAATGAATTTCTTCTAATTTGGCTGCAGTCAAAGAGTATGATTACATTCGGTTATATATAAATATATAAAGGAAAATAGAAAATGATGATTTGGATGTATCCTTTTGAAATTTTCACTCAACAAAGATACTAGTTACTTATGAAGGTTATACTACTATTGATTTTTATGTTTGTAAAGTAGTCAACAAATTTTTATTGGATCTACTATTACTCACAGTTAGTGGCAAGGTTTGAATGATTAATTACATAACCAGGCATGTTTATTAGAAAATAATACGGTCATTGATAAACTAGAGTATTCAAATATACTGGGATGAATACCAAGTAAGTATTATTCACTTTGAGAATTGATACTTGGCAAAAAAAAAAAAAAACGACTTCTTTATAAGTCCAGGCCTAAAATCTCCATATAAAACTGAACTCTTATCTTAATATTGGGACATATGTTTATAAAATAACCACAAAAAAAAAGATGTCGTTGTATTATTAAAGATAATTGTAGAATTATTATCGAAAAAGTGGATTCCTTCTAGTAGGGGTGGAGGTATTTGCAATATAGCTTTACTAGGAGAAATGCTTCCATTACTACAGTCTGTTGCACATTAAGAGAAGCTTTTTTTTATAAGTTTGTCATCTTTGTTATGCTCCAGCTATTTCACTAGCTTTAATTACAATTCTATACATTTCTTTTTAGGTATTGATATAAATGATATAATCTTTCTTTTTTTTTCAATTTGTTCTCATCATAAACATTATGTCAACATAAACCTCAGTTATCTACTTTTTAAATTTATACAAAAACCCCTCTCATTCTAAAACCAGTAGTCATGTAAAAAAAAAGAAGGGAAAAATTGATCCTGTCTTTCTCAATTCAGCTCTAATCTATTAATCATTTTAGTCTTTAAGGGACCTTTGCTTACTACTGGGTTTTGAATAAATATTTGGACACAAATTTATTTTTTTCTGAGACGATTTTTGATAAAGACAGAGACAAAATGAAAAAGTACGCTGATAACAAAAATCAGCCAACGAGACACTAATTCTTTTTACTGAGATAATTTCCACAAGGGATGAGACAAATCAGGACTAAAATGAAATACAGTTAATTGAGAACGTTGTTTGAGACGAATTTTTGAATAAAAAGATGATATGCTATATCTTATTTATGAAAGTTTTTTTTTTCCTTCTTTCAGGCACCATTCCCGAAAAGTGTCTGCGTACTTAATCCAGCCAATACAGTCTTTTATTGTAAAGTATCAGACTTATTGAGTTCGCATGCTTGGCTGGAGGATGACAGTGTTAGGTCAGATAAAACATGGTTGACATGGGAATTATATGTACAATAGGATACTATGAATACCAAACACTGTAGATCTTAATTTAGTAGCTAGTGATACTTGCTTAGTGGATGCTAACACAGCTAAAGGCACCAAAAATCAACAGAGGAAACTACACACAGCAGAGGATATACGTACCCTGCAAGAGAATACATACCCTGCAGAGATACATGCGTTCACTATTTCACACACACACACACACACACACACAAACCTCATATACAACGATAGCATCACTTAATATTAACGATAGTCAAATGTGTAATAAAAATTTTATTGAAGAAAAAAAGAAAAAAAAAATAAAAAAAAAGGCAGAGGGCAGAACCAAAAAGTTAGTTCTTGTTATTAGACTTTACACATACTTACACTTGATATGATAGGTGACCTTTAAAGTATTTGCGTCTTTGTATTTTTTAAAATAGCCATTGGCTCGTCCTTCATCATAGCACTCTCGCCAGTTCATACGCTTGTGGGTTTTCATGTATTTAGTGACGAATTCAGTTACCACATCTAAGTCATGCTCCCGCTTCTCTGGCTCAATTATAGAAAAAACTTCGACTTCTTGTCTTCCAACTAAAGTGTTGGGCTAACGTCTTCTGGTAGATCTAAAGGCTGCTTCATGAGTGATTCAGAAGAAGAACATTGTCGTTTATATTTGTGAAGGCAGGTCTCTGTATACATGATGCCCACACTTACATACTCACGTGCCCGCGCAGAGGATGGCCCATCTTCGTCGATTGCTTCCAGAATTCTTTTGAACTGCTTTTGCATTTTTGTGCGCAGACATCAGTTAGCACATCAATAATTGCTTCATGGGGACGGACTTCTCGGTCAAGTACTTCTTTAGCTACCAAATATAGCAGCTTGACTGTCGTATCGTCATTTCTTAATTCCAGGCCAAGAAGAGAGCATTTTTGCTTCATAAAAACATATTCTAACGCAACTAGAGGATCAAGAGGTTCGTTTAAATGACCATCTACAGTGGAAGGTGTCATAATCAAATGTTGACTTGTCCAGTAGTCACTTCACTTGGTAACTTCTTCATAAATGGGCCCTTGTCAGTGTTTTGAAAATCCTTAGCCATCTCTGTCCTTGCCATTTTTATGCAGAAAGTCAATACAATTGGTTCAATGTTGTTGTGTTGTAGTTTTCATAAATGTGGTTACAATACTTTTGTAAGCGATGGATGAAAGGCTTGTCAACAACATTTTGAATCTCCACGATTATGGGTGGAAGATAATTTGGACAGCGGTCATGATTGGTACATAGAGAACATCTAAGCGACAACCGTCTACCCACTCACCGCTATGCGATGCATATTGGTCTTTAGCGTGGTCACCTAGATACTTTTATTATTAATGACACAAACTTTGGCTTTTTCAGTTTAAGCAACATCTACAACTTACCAATAACTCTTGAAACAATGAGGTTTATTACACGCTTGTCTTGAAGTATTGCTTTTGACATGAGATCTGTTCCCGGCTTATGTTCTGATGGTATTGTAACACTTAAAAGATCATAGTCTCTAAAAAAAATATAAGAGTTAATTTATCTTAAAAAAGATTAAAATTTGTTTTATTACCAGCAGCAATATAAGATATAACAAGTAAGATTTGAGATTGATGTTTAAAAAACGGGAGGGTTGAAAAGAAAAATCGTTAAGGTTGAAAAGAAAAAAGGTAAGATTATCTTAAAAATTGTTAAGGAGACATTAAAAATTGTTAAGATTGAATCGTTAAGGTTACCTTAAAGATCGGTAAGATTGAATCGTTAAGATTACCTTAAAAATCGTTAAGATTGAATCGTTAAGGAGACATTAAAGATCGTTGAGATTGAATCGTTAAGGTAATTTTAACGATTTTTCTCTTTAATCTTACCGATTTTTAATGTCTCCTTAACGATTCAATCTCAACGATCTTTAATGTCTCCTTAACGATTCAATCTTAACGATTTTTAAGGTAATCTTAACGATTCAATCTTACCGATCTTTAAGGTAACCTTAACGATTCAATCTTACCGATCTTTAAGGTAACCTTAACGATTCAATCTTAACAATTTTTAATGTCTCCTTAACAATTTTTAAGATAATCTTACCTTTTTTCTTTTCAACCTTAACGATTTTTCTTTTCAACCCTCCCGTTTTTTAAACATCAATCTCAAATCTTACTTGTTATATCTTATATTGCTGCTGGTAATAAAACAAATTTTAATCTTTTTTAAGATAAATTAACTCTTATATTTTTTTTAGAGACTATGATCTTTTAAGTGTTACAATACCATCAGAACATAAGCCGGGAACAGATCTCATGTCAAAAGCAATACTTCAAGACAAGCGTGTAATAAACCTCATTGTTTCAAGAGTTATTGGTAAGTTGTAGATGTTGCTTAAACTGAAAAAGCCAAAGTTTGTGTCATTAATAATAAAAGTATCTAGGTGACCACGCTAAAGACCAATATGCATCGCATAGCGGTGAGTGGGTAGACGGTTGTCGCTTAGATGTTCTCTATGTACCAATCATGACCGCTGTCCAAATTATCTTCCACCCATAATCGTGGAGATTCAAAATGTTGTTGACAAGCCTTTCATCCATCGCTTACAAAAGTATTGTAACCACATTTATGAAAACTACAACACAACAACATTGAACCAATTGTATTGACTTTCTGCATAAAAATGGCAAGGACAGAGATGGCTAAGGATTTTCAAAACACTGACAAGGGCCCATTTATGAAGAAGTTACCAAGTGAAGTGACTACTGGACAAGTCAACATTTGATTATGACACCTTCCACTGTAGATGGTCATTTAAACGAACCTCTTGATCCTCTAGTTGCGTTAGAATATGTTTTTATGAAGCAAAAATGCTCTCTTCTTGGCCTGGAATTAAGAAATGACGATACGACAGTCAAGCTGCTATATTTGGTAGCTAAAGAAGTACTTGACCGAGAAGTCCGTCCCCATGAAGCAATTATTGATGTGCTAACTGATGTCTGCGCACAAAAATGCAAAAGCAGTTCAAAAGAATTCTGGAAGCAATCGACGAAGATGGGCCATCCTCTGCGCGGGCACGTGAGTATGTAAGTGTGGGCATCATGTATACAGAGACCTGCCTTCACAAATATAAACGACAATGTTCTTCTTCTGAATCACTCATGAAGCAGCCTTTAGATCTACCAGAAGACGTTAGCCCAACACTTTAGTTGGAAGACAAGAAGTCGAAGTTTTTTCTATAATTGAGCCAGAGAAGCGGGAGCATGACTTAGATGTGGTAACTGAATTCGTCACTAAATACATGAAAACCCACAAGCGTATGAACTGGCGAGAGTGCTATGATGAAGGACGAGCCAATGGCTATTTTAAAAAATACAAAGACGCAAATACTTTAAAGGTCACCTATCATATCAAGTGTAAGTATGTGTAAAGTCTAATAACAAGAACTAACTTTTTGGTTCTGCCCTCTGCCTTTTTTTTTATTTTTTTTTTCTTTTTTTCTTCAATAAAATTTTTATTACACATTTGACTATCGTTAATATTAAGTGATGCTATCGTTGTATATGAGGTTTGTGTGTGTGTGTGTGTGTGTGTGTGAAATAGTGAACGCATGTATCTCTGCAGGGTATGTATTCTCTTGCAGGGTACGTATATCCTCTGCTGTGTGTAGTTTCCTCTGTTGATTTTTGGTGCCTTTAGCTGTGTTAGCATCCACTAAGCAAGTATCACTAGCTACTAAATTAAGATCTACAGTGTTTGGTATTCATAGTATCCTATTGTACATATAATTCCCATGTCAACCATGTTTTATCTGACCTAACACTGTCATCCTCCAGCCAAGCATGCGAACTCAATAAGTCTGATACTTTACAATAAAAGACTGTATTGGCTGGATTAAGTACGCAGACACTTTTCGGGAATGGTGCCTGAAAGAAGGAAAAAAAAAACTTTCATAAATAAGATATAGCATATCATCTTTTTATTCAAAAATTCGTCTCAAACAACGTTCTCAATTAACTGTATTTCATTTTAGTCCTGATTTGTCTCATCCCTTGTGGAAATTATCTCAGTAAAAAGAATTAGTGTCTCGTTGGCTGATTTTTGTTATCAGCGTACTTTTTCATTTTGTCTCTGTCTTTATCAAAAATCGTCTCAGAAAAAAATAAATTTGTGTCCAAATATTTATTCAAAACCCAGTACTACTTTCTGTTAATCAACTGTCACTTTAATCGTCACGTTTTTTTTTCTGCACAAATTTTTAACAAGATTTTTATTTTTTTGTATCATCATATTAACTTACCGCATAGTATACCTTTCATTATTATTATTATTATTATTTTTTTTTTTATTTTTTTTTTTAAAAAAATATATAATTCATCGATCATCTCCTTTAACACCATGGAAGTTCATCGTTGTCGATTTGTAGAATACCAGCCAGCAGCTATTAACACACTTGATTTTACTCCAGCAACAGTCAAGGAGACTCGATTAGCAGTGGGTCGTGCCAACGGTAACATTGAGATTTGGGATCCAACTCATAATTATCGACTTGTTAAAACCCTACCAGGTGGTGAAGATCTTTCAGTTGAAAGTGTTGTTTGGGCTCATCAAAATGTCATTGCCAATCCTGATCCCGAAGACGATCCTGAAGATCTTGCTAAGGAGTTGGAAATCTTATTGGCACAACCTCCTCGTCTCTTTTCTTCTGGATTAAACCCTTATATCATGGAATGGGATACAACAACAATGACTGTTAAAGTAAGTACAATTATCTTTATTTATTTATTTATTTATTTAGTTTTTGATTTTTTTTTTGATAGAAATCTTGTGATACAAATGGTGGTGCTGTTTGGTGCTTGGCTGTTAATAGTAAAGGCACTCGACTAGCCGCAGGTTGTGAAGATGGTTGTGTTCGATTATTCGATATTGCAGATGGGAACCTTGAATATATTCGTACCTTTGAACCTCAAAAAGGTCGTGTATTATCAGTTGCTTGGGCTCCTAATGATGAATTTATTGTTTCTGGTGGATCAGATTCAGCTATACGTACTTGGAATCCTCATACTGGACGTACAATTCAACGAATGACAGTAACTAAAAAACGTAAAGAACAAACATTAGTATGGGCAGTTGCAGCACTTCAGTAAGTAATCACAACCTATCTATTTATAAATATACAAATTTATAATTCAGATCATAATACCTCTTCCTCTCCTTTTTTTTTCTTTCTTTCTTTGCCTCTCTCTTTCTTCATAGAAATAATACAATTGTTTCTGGAGATTCACTTGGTACCATTACATTCTGGGATGTTACTATGGGTACAGCAAAACAAACGTTTCGTGCTCATGGTGCTGATGTTCTTTGTCTTGCTGCCTCCAAAGATGGCAATCAAGTATTTTCTGCAGGTGTAGATCGTAAAATAACATGCTTCCGACGTATAACAAAAAAGAAAACGGGTGATATAGTTAATGACTGGATTAATGTGGGTAGCCGTCGATACCATTGGCATGATATTAGAGCACTTGCATTAGATGAAAGGCCCAAGATTAACTCGATTGTATCTGGTGGTGTTGATGTTGAACTAATTGCTTGTCCTGCAGTGGAGTTCCCTAAACTTATTCAAAACAGATTACCTCCTTTCCCTCATAAATATATTGTATCCATGTCCAAATCTCATAAATTAATTATGGCCACTTTCTTTAATTCTATTTCACTTTGGAGATTAGGTAAAGCTACTAATGTAGACCTTTCAGCTAAACAACCTGCTTTACCCGAGATGGTTGAACCTCATCAATTAGCTTTGGAACTTAAATTAAAACCTGATTGTAATATTACTTCAAGTGCTTTATCTGAGGATGCAAATTGGATTGCTGTTGCTGATATTGAAAATGTTAGACTCTTTAGAGTGAGTCAAGGTGTAAGTGTTTTCTTTCATTAAATATTTATGTATATACAAAAATTACTCATACACATGTATATAGTCTGAACCTGGACAATTAGAAGTAAAGAAACAAAGATCATTTGATAGAGAATTAAATAATTATTTAGCAACACAGAATGCTGCACCTGGAGGACATCATGTCTTATTTACACCTGGGTCTGATAAATTAATTATTATTACCCCTGAATCACGTATTCTTATTGTAGACCTTACAAAATGGGAAGAAGGTGCATTTGAAGTTTTACGAGAATTTGGTCATCATCGTGGTTTAGATAGCGAAGGAAATAGTTCAGACGATCAAGCAATTGCTACTGTTACATCATTATGTGTGAGTTCTGACGGACAATGGTTAGCAACAGGTGATGATGAAAATCGTATTCATGTGTTTAATTTGGATAATTTAAAGGTAAAAAAAAAAAAAGAAAAAGAAACCTATTTGACCTTTATTTGCTCACAGTATTATTATTATTAGCATCATCTTCAACTGCCTCGAGGATCTATTCCTCATACAACTTTATCTTTTAATGATTTCAGACCTAATGAACTTCTTGTTGCTTTAGCTACAAACGCATTTTATATTTATGACGTTGAACATAAACGATTAACAAACTGGTCCAATTTACATCAGGATATGTCTAAATCACGACTTTTAGAACAAAGAGATCGTATTCGTAATGTCATGTATAATCCAGCAGATAAAAATAAAATGATCTTATATGGAAGTGGATATATGTGTCTTGTAGATATTGAAGATAAACCTGTTGAAAAACAATTGGGAAAGCGAAAGAATAGTACAAGTAATGAAATAAAATCTCAACCCAATAATCAAGATTTACCAGTTATTTCAATTTCGTATCAATATCAACAAATCCTTTATGCTGGATTCATTGGTGAAAATCAAATGGTGATGATTGAAAGACCCAAGTTCAGTGTTCTTGAAAATTTACCTCCTTCTTTCTACAAAGCTCATTTTGGTGCAGCATAATAATAGAAGAGGGGACTTCTTTTTTTTTTGTTCTTTCTCTTTTCTTTCATACTTTTTTTTTTTTAATAATAAAAATTATATTATAGATAAAAGTTGTTCTCTAAAGGATGGATCAGCCTGCTCAAAGGCAGTCTTACCTTCAGAATCAATTAATGATTTATCACAATGATGTTGAATTAATAGTTTAGCAATATCTAAATGCTCTGATATACAAGCTATCATTTATTGATCAGTTATCTATACCTCATTTTATTCACAAGTTTATTCAATCTTACCTAAATGAAGTGCACTATCTTGATCATCTGTTTGTAAATTAACATCTGCTCCAAAATCAATTAGAGCTTTAGCAACCTCTGTATAGCCCCTATCAGCAGCGATATGAAGAGCAGTCAAACCTTCTTCTTTTGTATTAATCACTTGAGGGTTACTTTCTAACAATTTGATTAATTTATCTACATTATTGAGTCGTGTAAAGCCAAATAGATCCTCTGATTCCCTAATATCATATATATAAAAATTAAGAATTTAAATTATATATAACAAGACTCATTTTTTTTAAAAGCATTACTGTTCTTCTTCAAACGCCATTGAGCTCACAGAGTTACCACCTGCCATACCTTCTGCATTCTGTTATATATATAATAAATAAAACGAAAAAAAAAAAATAGAAATCCTCTCGGGATTGTCCTGTGTCAGTGATAGTTTACCTTGATTTCTTCTTCTGAAGGAATGTATTCATATTCTCCTTGACGTGACCACCCCACATTTAGATTCTCAACAGCTTCAATGTACAAATTTCTTGCTTCTCGAAATCCAAGACCTTTAAAACCGTTCCAAGCATCATATTTTGCACGTGCAACAAAATCGAATAAACTTGGTTTTTCAATATTACAATCACCTATAGTAGCTTGTTTAAAAAGTCCATAAAACTTTTTTTTAAGGGGGGGAGGGGGAATGAGAGAAAGAATCATTATGAATTTATTTGTGATTACAGATCATACATATAATTTTTTATCATTAGATAAAGGAATATCATGTTCATTCATGTAAGTGAAAGCTTGTTCAAACCATTGATCATCTTGACAAATCTCGTCCATCTTGATATATTTATAAAGATTTTTATTTTAAAATAAAAATAAAATAAAATAAAAATAAAAGGACAGGTATAATAATTTATTTATTTAATTATTGAGTGTCAGAAAGTTTCTTTTACACATCATATATCTAGTTTTTTTCTTATTTTGCAAGCCAATTCAAAGTAGTTATTGTCATTTTTATATGTAAAAGAAAAAAAAGAATACACTCTAGCTTTATGTTGTATTCAACAACGAAATAATCAAACTATAGTTTTGTTCTTTGTCATGTATTGTCATCTAACAGCAAAAAAAAAATAAAAAAAAAAAAGGATAAGAATTTATTTTAAAGATTACCTAATATGTAAAAGTAACTTGATATACTACTCGCTTACTTTTTATTACTTGTTTAAAAAAGAAACGAGCAGAGAAATGAAGATGATAATTTTTTTAATCTCGTGATGTGAACAAGCAGCAACAATATAGACGTTCCACTGGTTCGGTTGTTATGGAAATAAGATCCGAAAGTGCTACTAAAGGAGACGATAACAATAGTGCATCAATTTGTTCACATGTGTCATTGATAAGAAGATGTCCTTTTTTTTGTGAAATTATTTTTATTAAAGACAATGCAGCTATAAGAACAGAGTGTAATAACAGGTAAGAAGTCAAAAATTAGCAAAGTACATTCGATTCATAGTCCAATTCCATATGTTCGAATAAGAGTAATGATAAAAGATGAAGCGTATTGCTATTTTTAAAAAAAAAAGAACATTTTTCATATGATATATAAATAATCTTGGATTATTGCTGCATCTATCATCTGATATTAAAACAAGCAAGTAAAGACATATATAAATCACATTACAGTGTAGTACATATAAATAACTTGTTAACTCCCTTACCTCCTTCTCTCTCTCTTTCTTTCTTTCTTTTCTCTCTCTCCTAATATTATAATACGAACTTATTAATCAATATATTTATATATTTATTCGTATTTCATGTTTAATTCTTCTCAGTCCTTTTTTAATATTAATAAAAAGAAAACAACAAGCGCAGCAAGTATTAAGAGTACTGCTGCTTTTAGTATGGCAAGACAAAAGAGAATTCGTTTAATGATGAAGCAACATAATTTACCTGATTTCGAAACAAAAGTATTTTGTGAGTACTGTGAAAAATATATTGAAACCAGAATTAGATATCGAAATGGGAGTATGGTTTGGTTAACATCATTCATATTGTATGTAATGACATGTAATAATAGAAAGTATACTATTTATGTAATATTACGTAATTTTTATAGATTACTATGTACAATCATATTATTTTGGGTGCCTTTTTATGTTAAATATTTTAAAGGTACATTCACAATCATTTTTTTTTTAAAGAAAGAAAGAAAAGTTAACCTATAAAAATATATTAGATGTGGCCCATTATTGCCCTGGGTGTGGTAAAAGACTTGGTGTATTTTATAGAATATAATAATTACTTGTAAATATAATAATAATAATAATTCCTTTCGTTTGTAAAGGCCAATGACATAGAACTATCATTATTTGTGCCACTTTCATTTTATATATAGGACGTCATAATTTATATATAAAATTTATTTCTCATTTTACACGTGTTAAAAAAAAAAAAGATCGTCGTTTTTTTTTTTTGGAGGAAGGGGGAAGGGAGAAGAACATAGCTTAAGCTATAATAATTAGTATTATTTTTATTCGGAGTTGAAAGCATAATTTTATTATTATCTGTGTACACATATAATATTGCTATAATATAAATATGTCTATTTCTTTCTTTTCTTTTCCTTTTCTTTTCTTTTTCTCCTTTCTTTAGTCTATTTCTTAAAATATTATGGTTACTGTCAAGAACATTTGTTGTGTTGGTGCTGGTTATGTTGGTAAGTTTATAATTTTAAAGTATTTTTTATTTTGGATAGTAACAATACATATACATATAAAAAAAAAAAAATTAAAAATAAAATAGGTGGTCCCACTTGTGCTGTCATTGCTTATAAATGTCATCACATTAAGGTAACCATTGTCGATTTAAATCAAGCTCGTATAGACGCTTGGAATTCGGATAAACTTCCTATTTATGAACCTGGTTTAGAAGAAATCGTATTCGAACGTCGCGGTAAAAACTTGTTTTTTAGTACAAATATTGATGCTGCTATTCAAGAAGCTGATTTGATCTTTGTCTCTGTAAATACTCCTACAAAGAAAACGGGTTTAGGCGCTGGTATGGCTGCTGACCTTGCGTAAGTTTGATTTCATTTATAACGTATATATATATATATTGATATACTTTATAGTTATATTGAAGGTGCAACTCGTCGTATTGCTGAAGTAGCAAAGAGCTCAAAAATTGTAGTAGAGAAATCAACTGTCCCATGTCGTACTGCAGAAAGTATGCGTACAATTCTCGAAGCAAATTCTACTCATGATCTTCGCTTTGATATCTTATCTAATCCTGAATTCTTGGCTGAAGGTACTGCTATTAAGGATCTTCTTCATCCTGATCGTGTCTTAATTGGTGCTCTTCAAACCCCTGAAGGTATTGCTGCTCAACAAGCCTTAGCTGAAGTTTATACCAATTGGGTTCCTAAGGATCGTGTTATTACTACTAATCTTTGGTCTTCTGAACTTTCAAAGTTGGTAAGTTGTTTGACTTGGAGAATTTAAATAATAGCCTTATCATTGATGTATCTTGTTTTTCATAGGCTGCTAATGCTATGCTTGCTCAACGTATTTCGTCTATTAACGCTCTTTCTGCTATCTGTGAAGCTACAGGGGCTGATGTGGATGAAGTCGCTTATGCATGTGGTCGTGATAGTCGTTTAGGTTCCAAATTCTTAAAGGCCTCTGTTGGCTTTGGTGGCTCATGCTTTCAAAAGGATATCCTTAACTTGGTTTATCTTTCTACACAACTTAACTTGCCTGAGGTAGCTGAATACTGGAAGCAAGTTTATACCTTGAATGAATACCAAAAGAAACGTTTTGTTAAAAAGATTATTTCAACCCTTTTTAATACTATTACTAATAAGCGTATTGCTGTCCTTGGTTTTGCTTTTAAAAAAGATACTGGAGATACCCGTGAATCAGCTGCGATTACACTAATCAAGGACTTCATTCAAGAGAATGCTCATGTTGCTATTTATGATCCTAAGGTTGAACACGAACAAATCTATATGGATTTAACTGAACCTGGTATTGTTGATACTCGTAAACAATTAGAAAAGAGTATTACTATTTGTTCAAGTGCTTATGAAGCTACAAAAGGTGCAGATGCTGTTGTTATTGTTACTGAATGGGATGAATTTAAATCTGATGTGCTTGATTATCAAAAAATTTATGACAATATGAATAAGCCTGCTTTCTTATTTGATGGTCGTTTAATGTTAAATGCTGCTGAACTTCGTAAAATTGGTTTCAAGGTTCATATTATTGGTAAAACTGAGCTTGCTGGAACTGCTTAAGTCTTTATTTTTATCTTTAATTTTCTATTTCTCTTGTGCATAACATTTCCAAAAAGAAAAGAAAAGGAGGTATATGTATATACATATTGTATGCATGTATGTGTGTGTATGTGTATATGTATATCTATATTTTTTTTTCCTTACAAAAGAATAAACTTTATCATTCATGTAAACTACTGTAGCTTGGCTCACGCATTTTTTTTTTTAGCCATTTATTATGAAATGATTGTCATTTTCGAAAAAAAAAAAAAAAAAAAAAAGAAAGAAAGAAAGCGAATTTAGTTCATTGGAAAGTGAGCTTTGGAGATGAAGCCACTGTATCTACATCAGTTATTTAGAGAAAAATCAGATGGGGGAAGAGTCAAATTAATGCATCATATCCAATTCAATAAAACACACACTAATGTGTTAATAAAACTTAGGGTTGTATATACTATCCACTATGATATTAATTCCATTATCTTTAGAGCTTATGATCAATCATTTTATGATGGCCACGGAATCAAGTATTACTTGTTCATTGGGTTACTATAATAACTAAATGCTGACGTCACTTTTTTTTTTTTTTTTTTGCATAGATTACGCACTTCTCTTGTTTTTGCATTCCTTTTCTCTTTTTTTTTTCTACTTCCATACATTTTTTTTTGTTGTCTCATCTCTCTGACAACATCTATACAGTAGTAGAATCAAGCAAGTTTTATGTAAGTTATTCCTTATAAGAAAAAAAAATAAAGGCCATCAACTAATAGCATAATCTATATTATGACGAGCAAATGTACTCAAATTTTGTAGCAAACAGATTGAACTGAAACTATCTAAGCTATTGGCATCGCCAAAATCGGACTTGACGGCGTGGCTATTTTATTAGCTGCAACGTGACACCTACCGCGAGCATAGTTGAAGGGCAAAGAAAGGTTATGAAACCGGTAGTCCGTAACAATCCCAGGAGCTAGAGTGCTGCCCTTGCATCGACCCCCCCATGCAGTCAATTGTGTTGGTGCCATATTATTACGGTGCTGCCTCTGGATTGCTGCGAATGGGATTGTGAGATGCCAGATGAAGAACGGACTTGACGGCGTGGCTATTTTGTTAGCTGCAACGTGACACCTACCGCGAGCATAGTTGAAGGGCAAAGAAAGGTTATGAAACCGGTAGTCCGTAACAATTCTAGGAGCTAGGGTGCTGCCCTTGCATCGACCCCCCCATGCGGTCAATTGTGTTGGTGCCGTATTACTACGGTGCTGCCTCTGGATTGCTGCGAATGGAATTGTTTTTGCTTCATCATCTTTAAGCTTATATACTTTAAAGTTCTAAATTGATTCAAGACTCAGAAGAAAGACCAATAATTACATTAAACTAAACTTCAACATGGCCTTGTATATGAGATTATCTGAGTACCTATTTGATATAACATACTAAAGTTCAGATACAGACCGCCTTGGTTCAATAAACTGTATTATTTGTTTTGAAATCAATCTTAAACGGTTTTAACAAGCTCAAAAAGCAGCCAAACTTAGATCTTTTAAACGCTGCACAATAACTTGAGACAACCAACCTTTTAAATTAAAAACACCAATATGAATAAAATACCCTTTATATCATGTGCGTTCCCTTTAAAGCTATCTAAGGGATAAAAACTGTATATACTTTTAGTTTCTTTTTTTTTCTCTCTTTCTATGTGTTTTTACTATAAAGTCAATTAGTCTTTTTTAAGTTTACAAATCGTGTACCAGTCTTTCGTTTCTCGTTTTTTCTTCTTTATATGCTTGAAAGCTTTGGCTAAGAGATGTTTAATTTACAATGAAACATAGCATATTCATTGATACTCATCCTCTATTTGAGGTCATGGATAATACATGTATCTCATGTATGTACAAAAGTCTATAATGAATCTCTATAGCACTGAATGAATCTCTATAGCAATGGGAAGTTAGCCTCAAATCATACCACGCGCTTTGTACAAATACACACTCTATTTTATCTCATTCCCAACTATACGGCGATGTTTAACTCTTTACCTGAAATCTCTCTCTCTCTCTCTCTTTCTGTGTGTGTGTGTGTGTTGCGTGCAGTTGCTGTATCCTATGAACCTTAAGGATACAACTCAAATAGTGTATTCAAGAAGTCCCCTTTTGGAGTAGTTTATATCTTCCAGTGTTGTATGACTTACTTCTAAAGGCTATGTCGTGATTAAAGCTGATTCGACAGTATGTATGGACTCAGATCATGGCAGAACAGAAGGTACTTTATTAGACAGGATCTACTAGATTGTTCCAAAATTAATTGCCGATCTTTATTTCCTCCTTCTCCTTTTAAAACATTCCTTACACTAAGATTATCAAATGATTATTTAAGAATTACATGTCATTCGAAAGCAAATTATTTACTCTTTTTCATTTTAATAAAAGTTTTATACAGACTTATTCTGTCTTTTTATATCTACCTTATTAACATAGACCGATCGTATACGTGATATATGTGCTTCCTTCCTTAACGCTTCTCGCTTCCCTCGAATCGCTTATCGTAATTTAGTTCCACACAAACATCATGATGGAATAGGAGTTCTGGATCCAATGGTCCAACAAATAAAACTGCGGTGGCGTTGGTTGGCAGTTCTCATTGTTTCACCAACCATCCTACAACAACCACAATATATAAGTAAAATATTTTTACGCACCAGTGTTCCGTATATCAAATACGGTTTATCTCTTATCGCTACTAAGGGCTACTCGTCTTATTTATGGCCTCTATTATTTCCTACAAGAAGAAAGGGATTTAATCATTTAAACTGTTTTTTTTTCCTTACAAGACTCATCGCCACCAAGTAATATCGATCAGACCAATCTGTCATTAGATACTATGTTAGATCTGGATTTAGCTTCCATTATTACTTCAACTTCCCAGACTCCATTCATTTTACAAAATGAGTTGCTGATGTCTACGATATTCGCTAGAAATATCACGGGTATGTCCAAAGTAATAGCTAAGGATTTCTTTATTATTGACTTGGGAACTGGTTTGCTTCGACAACATACTGATTGTGAAACAAGGTATCCCAGATTACTCCGTAAATTTCGTATCGCTTTTGGCTCAAATTACATTCGACTTTTTGCACAATTTTTTTTGTTACATGAATGTTGTACTTCCTGCCCCTAATCTTCAAGACGCTGACTTATTCCCTATTGTTGAAACTCAAATGCCCTTTTTTATTCATTTATTCGAATCTCCTAAACATCTTGGTTTTTTAATACATGACACTCTGTTTCCTCCTCAAGCAACTACGAAACTTAATCCTTCTCATTGGAATAAACTTTGGCGTACATCTCTTCCTCCAGCAGCCCATACAGTGTAGTTTCGAACAGTTCACGGTAAGATCCCCACCAAAAGACTACTTAATTATCTAATTCCAGATACTTATCCATCACCTGCATTCATTCATTGTCATCATTCTGGGGACACTTTCAAGCATCTTATCTATGAATGCCCTGTCAAACGGAATATCTGGAATACAACTATTACTACTTTTTTACCCCCAAAGTACAAACTAATTCTCAACAGCTATTGTCTTTTTTGTTCTCTTTAGATTATAGGGGATTCAAATATTTGACCTCTCCTGTGGCTTCTTCTGTTTCCTGTTTGTCTGTTGTTGGTTGTATTTTATTCAGTCTATGAAAAAATCATTGGCGATCGATTTTCGATGATCAACCTTTTAGTTCTAATATCCCTTCTTCCTCTTTGCTCGGCCATCATTTGGCAATTACACTTTCAAAATAATGTCGACATATAATCTCACCACTACATTCTTTTTGAAGAGCTCAACATTACTAACGAAGTTACTTTCTTATTTTTTTTTCTCTCCTTTTTAAAACGAATTCTCAACAAAATTTTTTATTTTATTTTCATTCATATATTTTTTTAGTCCCATTGGGACGTTAAATATAATTTTGAAACAGCTTTGCTGTCTTCCCCTACAAAAATCAAATTAACTGGGGATACTATAGGCTACTCCAAGATTTTATCCTCAAGAACTCATCTTCATTCTTTATAAAATTGTTTCTTGAAAGGGCACTAGCAAAAAGACCAGTCGAGCCATTTGAGATTCTGACTGTTTGAATATTCGATTACATCGTAGACATACTACCAAAGTATAGACCATGTTCTTGCCAGCGTTCATTTCTATCAAGGACTCCAAAATAAGTATTGGGTAAATATTCTTGAGGTAGAATATCACTGGTTTGGATTTTAACTTGAGTATCCAGTTTGTCAGCTTTAATACTCTCAGCATCATCTTCATAGTTAAAGCTGTTATAGAACAAGCTCTGGATATAAGCATAAGTATTATTATAATAGATGAATTACATAATAAAGGATAAACTATAAGCCTGAATATAAAATAAAACTCTGTAGATAACATCTTGTAAATAATATAAAACTTCTTATTGACATCCAATCGTCTAGATGGATCAATTATAAGACATCGTATTATTTCTGAAATATTTATTTTTATAACCTTGACAAAGGATTCAAGTCGTCTTTGATCCACTTAAATAGACACCAGGAACCTAAGCTCAGATCAAACAATAAATTTTTTATTTAAAACGTAATCAGATCATTATAACACCCAATAGATAATCCATATAAATCAGATTCTTGAAGCAACAAGACGTATATATCTGAATAATAACACTGTTTCATGACTTATCTTTTTTATTTCTTTGATTCAGGATTTATTAATATAAATACAAACAGTTGTGTAGACATAAAATAATCTTTAACTTTCAATTCTTATTTTTTTATTTTACTTTTCTTTATTGAATAAAACATAGTCTCAAACTATACTTCCTTTTGTTCCCTTTCTTTCTTCTTTTTCTTTTTATTTTCTTTTACTTTAAAATATTACATTCCATCGTAAAAGCCCCAAAAACTAGTGATGCTACTAATTGGAGATAAGTAACTGTCACTGTCACTGTCACTGTCACTGTCACTTGTTTCTTCTAATCGTTCTTGTTGTGAACACAAGTTTTCAAAGAACTCAAGTTTATTCTTAAAGTCCTCATTAGGATAGCAGGCTAATGGTACAGAAGATGAAGCAATTACAACATCAACAGCAGCAGTGACTATAGTCGTTGGTGTTGAATCAATTGCTATGCTTTCAAAAAAAGTTAATACGCTGCATAAATTGACTAGCAACTGAATCATTATTCTGTTCAGCTTGGTTTACTTCATTCTTCTCTTCAGGAGGAGGAGCCACCTCAGTCTTCTCGGGATAGACAGTTTCATTCGTCTTAGTTTGAGTATCTTCATTCATAGTATTACCTTTTTCTAGATCAATGTTTGATTGCTGGTCAAAATTATCATCCTTGAGATTGGCAATATTGCAATTTTTTTCAATATCATCATAGCTAAAGTGATCTTCGTTTTCCTTGTTAAAGTGCTTTTTATGACGAACAGTTCGTACCAAAAAGAAGAGACCAACAAAAAAATATGGAAAAATGACAAGGGCTATTTATATGTTTTTGGAAGGTAAGTGATATTAATAGAAGTATGATTTGGACAAGCGGATATTGCTACAATAAAGCATTATGTGTAAATATTGTCTCTGAGTAATTCTGCATGCAATATGCATATTTCTCCCTGAGCTGTCGCTGTTACTAACAATATACCCAATGGTTATTTCTGGGGTAAGTGCCACGTTGATATTAATTCACAGTGAATATGCCATTATTACTATTATCATCCTCTAAGATGTTATTACATAACAATATTTAATATTATAGATGTATATTGTATATATAATATGTATGATTTATGTAAGTGATTATGTAACTACATATAACAGTCATAATCCTATTGAATTCTTATTATTATATAATACAATGTATATGATTATTTTTAACAATGACCTGTTATTAAAACTGAATGTTATAGAATGAATATTATGCTGTAAAGTACAAATACACTAGTTTTATTTGAATAACCTCTTTATTGTGTAAACAAATGATGGTTTATTTCTATTAACTTAGTTGTAAGGACGACTACAATCGTAACATAGTCAATCCAATCTAGTCAATCCGGTCAGTCCAATCAATCTAGTTTGGTCATTACGGTTAATCCAGTTTGGTCAGTCTGTGATATTTCTTGATAAAAAAACATCATAATAAAAAGACAAAAAAAGTTAACGAGACCAAAGAATCATTCAAAAGTCAATGATTTTATTTATTAATTTAAATTGATAGGGTATTTATAAGACTCGTTAAAGAAGTCTGAGATAAGATGCGAATCGGAAAATTGTTAGTTAACGATTGAATAAGTTATGTTATAGACAATGAAGTGCTAGAAGTTTTTAATATTATTTGATAAAGTGGATCAAGAGAGATTCAGGGGGGAATTTAGATAGAATTCCTTGATCCGCATGTTTAATCAAGAAACATGATATTATAAGTCAGTTCCTGATATTTATCCTGTTTTTCTCTTTTCCTTTATTCATTCATACATTGAATAAACTACTTCACTGATAAAGGATAGTCTGATATTTGAATATCTTGCAACTAGATTTAGCCGTTAAAGCGGTATACAAATTATTTATAATTCTATAAGAGGCAACTAATAATAATAAAGAAAAAAGGAGAGTGAGAGAGGAAAGATCTATCCGAAGTGTAACAAAGACAAATAGGTTCAATTATGCTCTTCCATGGAAAGCATTGCACCTATTAGACCGTTTGTTTATGTGAAAAAAAAAAATTTTTTTTTCCTTCTCCTATTTTTATTTCACACTCTCGTTTTTGTTTTTTCTTTTTTTTTTTCTTCTTCTTCTTTTTTGTTAAAGTGAAGTTTTGAAGATATTGGTCACGTTAAATCAACAATCTTTAGTGAAGTTTAAAGACATAGGTCACTTTAAATAAAAACAATCTTTAGTGAAGTTCTAATGATGATGGTCACTTTAAATAAACATTCATTAATATCGTTGTGAGGATAATAGTCATTTCTATTGTCCAATATCGAGAGTATGTTTCATTTGTAGTTTTCGCGTCTCTCGTTAAATAAGACTGTGAAAGGAAGCACATAATGATCAACCTCCACGATTGGTTGCTTCTGGAAACAGTAGCCTTTTTTTATTATATAATGAAGCTACTGGCTAATTGGATCATTACCCCTTTTTTATTATTATTAATTAAAAATGAAAAAACACACATATTATCAATAAATAAATATCTATTTTTAAAATTTTTGTATAATAATGAATCTAATTATTGATGACTTGTAGAAGAAGAGTCGTCTAATGATGTTTAGAATAGAGTCAAAATGAGCTCTGTAGCTGTTTATGTTCTTTATTTATTGTCCTTTTTATTTGGTTAATGAGTTTACAGAAAGGTATGATTATGAAGCATATTTTGCTTTCTTACCTTAAAAAAAAAAAAGTTGTTATTGACTGATATCATAATTTACACAGTAAGGTTATTTTCCAGCTTTTTTCCTTCCTTTCTCTCCTTGAATAGTAGCCGTGACTTCTTCATGTTTACTACCACTATTAAAATAATCAAGTAGTTTAATGATATCCGGGAATACTTGTTTTTCAAGATGAGTAGCCCACAAGAAATCCATATGCTCCCATCCATGAATATTTTTAACATAAGCTAATGGAGGTAAATCAGTTTGAAGTATATCGATATCAACTAGAGTATCACCCGATCCATAAAAGATAGCGATAGGTGTCTTGATTTGTTTTGTAGGAAACTTTGCAGGTAAATGATCAATAACAGAATTGATTGTACTATAAGGTAAAATACTAGGTGTTTCATCATACATTTGAAATCTACCAGAACTAATAATTTGAAACCAATGCTTTTCATATTATATATAACAATATTATTCATTATTCTATTCTATTCTATTCTATTTATTTATTTATTTAATAACTAACTTACTTACCACAATCGACTTTACACTCGTCATACTGAATAAATGCTGATAACTCACTAATTTTTGATCCTCTGTCATATTTTTACAATGCCAGCCAAATAAGAAACAGACAGCTCCATCAATTAATTTTACAAAGAGAGGAGGGCTAATGACGCGTTGCCAAAACACGACAGATTTTAAAAATATCTTACGACCTAATAAACTATAAATAATAGAAGGAGCTGCTTTTACAAAACCATCTATAAGAGGATGAGAAAATCCTTTAGGTGAAGCAGCTGGTGCAAGTGCAATAAATAAGTTTACTTTCTCATTTAAATCTGGATCAATAGAAAGAGCTGCAAATGCTTGAGCTGTTCCTTGAGAGAATCCAATATAAGTTAAACTAGGTGCACCTGTTTGTTTTAAAATATACTATAGGAAAATGTTAGTTTTTTTTTCTTTCTTTCTGTTTAGCAGCAACAAATTACAGGAAAAGATTTTTTTTTATATATATGTATTTACTTACATTGATTGTATCCGGCATATCAAACATAGCAAATTCATTTATAGAAAATTCCCAGAAATCATCATTTTTTGGATTTCTTGTTAAATGAGATTGACTATACTTATTTCCACGAGCGTTCCCCATCCATACATCATAACCATGCTCAACAAGATATAAAGCTAAATTACGTTGTTCTTTAATATTTGAAATCCAAACCTCTGAAGTTAATGTTAATCCATGATACAGCAAAACAACAGGTTTCCCTTTTCGATATCTTTTCGTCTTGTTAAACTTGTTCAAGCGATCAATAATGGTTGCCCCCTTTTCCAAGATGGTTGTATCAAAATGGTGTGCATGTTTAGGCTCTTTAATACGGTGAAGACATAAAAGATATTGATCTTGGGTTCGAACATAATGTTCCTCATAGTTATAATTCCAAAATTGAATCATTTCTTCAAATGTGTTTGCATGTTCTAATGGACTCACATGAGGTTCTTTGACTGATTCAGAAAACTGTGGAAATATACTATAGCCAGCGAATTCATGTTAACAAAACACTGGGCTATTATTCTCGCTCTCTTTTTTTTTTTTAACTTTACTCTATTACCTTTTCACTATGGAATCTGCGAAAAGAATAATAAATTTTGGGGTGAATGTTACAATAAGACGAATAAAGAATTCAGCCCAAAATATAATAAAAGTTATAATCAAGCTAGGTATAGATGTGAATGGCCGAACAAACATAATTTAAAAAAAAAAAAAAAAGGATTTGTGTTATATCCATTTATTGGTATTGAAACCAATTCTTATTGTTCATATTTAATATAAAAAAAATGTTTCATAAATGATAGTTAGCACACCTACAAAAAAAGCGTGTATCCAATTAGAATTCATGATTCTTCGGTAGAATTGACAGCTTTACAATAACAACAACCGTGTTATCTAGCTTTCTCTTCTTTCTACTAGCCAAAGTTTGTGTCAGATCTTATATGAAATAAGCTCAAAAGTGGGCACGTATAATTCTATTCTGTAATTTAAATAATTGTCTACTACTACTACTACTTTATTTCTTTCAAAGCATATCTATGTTTCATTACTGAAGCATAGGATGATATTTAAACATGTTCATTTTTAATTAGATATACTATTTTACGTAATATCTTTATTTAAACATATCCTACTATTCAAATGTGGTATATTTTAAATATCCTTTTTTGCTTCGTTGGAAGAAGACAATTCCTTTTCTAATTGATTGAATTCATCAGCCAAACGATTATATTCTTTAGCTTGTTGATCAGCTTGTTTCTTTAATGTTTCATAGTCAAGCTTTTGTCTTTTTAATTCTTTGATTTGTTCAGTCAAATTAGCAACCTTATTTTTATATTCTTCTTCCATTTCGATTAATTTTTGTTGGTCTTTAGTTGATTCAAGGTTCTAAATGAAAAAAAAAAAAAAAAAAAAAAAAAAAAAAAAAAAAAAAGAGAGAGAGAGAAAGAGAAAGTTAAAGCTTATAACTACGTGTTGATTTAAATTAATAATAATTTACCTCATTCTTAGCCTTCTTTAATTCTTCTTCTCTTTGTAATAAGTTTAAAACTAATGTACTCGTTCTTTCCAAAATTCTACACAATTATAGCAAATAACATGTGAATTATTAATATTAAAAAAAAAAAAATTAATATCGTAAACTTCCTTACAAGGACAAGAAGAGAGTAAATCCAGTCAAATAAAGATTTCTTTGTGTATAAAACTTTTTAGCCTTAACACTAGTTTCATAGCCATAATCATGATGATGTTGTTTATCCTCTTCTGCTTCAGTATCAATACGCTGAAGACGGTTCACAGTATCTAATATTCATCTTAATATACATGTATATATGTATTGGTTATGTGTTTCATAAATTTAATTACCAATAAAAAGTACAAAGATAAATCTATTGATAAATATGATATTAGCAAATACATACACACACACACACACACACACACACACATATATATATATATATATATATTTATATGAACATTTGTTTATACTTGCCCAAAGATAATCTTGAGGAGATGTAATCCCTTTACCATCTATACATACAAATTAAATTTAACGTTAATTATTCCATTATATATAAATATGTATATTGTCATTATAATAGAATAAAATATATATAAATATGTAATTTACAACTGGAGATGTCGAAGCAAACTTAAGCATGGCACGACGCCAACGAGAAGGTAAAGGAAGCTATTTTACATAATTAAAATGAAAAAAAAATTAATTAATTTTCTCGAGATTGATGACCGAGATTTCTTCTCTTCATTTGTATATTATAACTTACAACGAGAAGACCAAAAAGAATCATCTAGATTACATTTATAAATAAATGGAAAGTTTTTATTATTTTCAATCTTTAAAAAAGAATGTGATGTATATACCTCAGTAACTAATATGCCAAAGGTAAGTGTATAATAAATGGTCATCTTTTATAAAGGTAATAATAATAAATAAAATAAAAAGAAAAAGAAAAAAAAAGTTAAAAGTATCTTGGCATAGTCATGAATAAGTAGTATGATTTTTATTATTATATTCAAACTCCACAGTCATTTTATTATTATTATTTATTCAATATGAATTTCTTGTTTGGCTTGATCTTGTTGTGTGGGCTTTGGAATGGTCACCTTAAGAATACCATTTTCAAATGAAGCCTTGATTGTATCTGCTTGAATAGGTGTAGGGAAATCAAATGATCTAGAAAATGAACCAGTAACAACACGCTCTTTAACCCACCATTGAGGAGAAGAAGCACGATCAGTTGTTGTTGCTGCAGCAGTCTGTTCAGTTTCCTTCTTGTTGTCTACTTTCTCATTATTTTCTTTTACTTCTTCTTCTATAGTAGTAACAGTTGACTTTGATTCTTGATGTTGTTCGTTGTTAACAGAACCACTCAAGACAAGAGTCTGATCGTCTGCTAATTCAATTTTAATATTCTTTTTATCAAAACCAGGTAATTCAGCACTTAATTCATAAGAATCAGCTGTCTCGACCATATCAGTGGGTGGATAATAGTGGCTACCAAAGAAATGAGAATAACCAGCGCTTCTTGATGGACTGCTACTTATCAAGATAGAAGGGCTACCTAATAATGAGCGACGAGTCGTATTAAAAAAGGGATGGTCAAATACAGCCATAGCACGTTGCATATCACGGAAGGCATCTGAGAACAAGCGTTGACTAATAAACGACATTTTTTTTTTAAAGAAAATAAAAGAATAACAAAGATGAATTCTATTTTTTTTTGGAATCGACTTGATACTTGAGCTTTTTATATCTTTACTTGCTCGCTTATTCTACCAACTTCTACTTTAATGTAGAATTTGCTCGAATTTTTTTTTTTGTTACTAATACTAGAATGATTGATTGGATATTATGAATCTTGTTCCTCCACATTTTGACGCATAATTTTTCCGAAACAAAAAAAAAAAAAAAATAAAAAAATAAAAAAATAAAAATAAAAATAAATCCATAACAACACCAACTGCTGCTGCGAACGAGTAGTAGGTTGAATTTTACTATTCATTGTAAATATCATAGACAATCTACACAGTCGGTTGGTATATGAAAAGTGATTTACCTTACTTAAGTGTTGACGAAATTATATTCTTGTGGTTTTTATTTGCGTAGCCAACAAGGATATTGAAAGTTTTTTCTTATTTCCGTAGTTGAGAACAAATTTATTTTCTCGTCCTTAGCTTACTTTCAAAATTAAAGCAATTTCGTAGCAGTATAATAGAATGGACATCATTACTGCTGCTGCTGCTGCTGCGAAAGAGATTAATATAGAGAAATAAAATACAAACCAAAAATAAGTATCATAAAGAGTTAGAGGTGAAACAAAAAAAAATAAAATAAATAAATGGGTAAAGAGGAGGAGTGACTGAAGAAAGTTTCTTGTTAAGATTAATGTTGAAGGCGGATAACTATTTGAACAGAATGTATATGCATATGCTCTAATCATATACAACATTAACTCGCTTTCATTCAAACAATAATAAATATAATCATAAGGGCTCTTGGCCAATAGACGGTAATAAACTAGAGAATAACTTGATCTAATATAGACAATTATTTGCAAAGAAGAAGAAGAAAAAAAGAAACATTCAATCAAAAGACTGTATTCTAAAATTCAATATTTTAGTAGAATGCATATAATAAAAAGGACACAGAGTTGCACTGTCACTATTATTTACTCATGAAGGGATGCTTGACACAAATCATAGAAATGTGCATAAAAAGTGTATACTGCTTGCAATAATGTGTGTGGAAGAATGTGAAAGGAAAGTTATTCATGATAAACATACATTAATAATACATTTTGATTTTAGATTACTTTTCCTTATGAGAACAACTGACTTGACAAAGAGAACTCGATTAAATACACAGTCAAGCTATGAAATTACATTGGCATTAAATATTACATAATAACACTAGACATACCTAATTTTCAAATATGTATGATTTTTTTTTTAGCTTGAATTTATAGTAAAAATGTCATATATTCAAGGGGTAAATAATATACACCTTTGATCACTCTATCAGAGGCATCGAACAGTAGTGGAGATTGACTATTGTTTGTCTGTTACTGGGTTTGAAAAGAAGAGAAGAGGGAAAGAGTATGGGGTATATGAAACATGTATATAACGCGGACTGTCAAGATGATTTTAAAAGAAAAGAGCCAACGGTATACATACTTGTATCTAATTTGCTCTTATTGCACTTTTTCAAAATATTCATTGCTCTCCTTTTTGTATCTCTAATGATTCATCAAAGGAAGATGTCCTCTTACATAAATGCAAAATATATTTATACAGAAATAGGATCCTTTACATGCAAGGACATTTATCATGTTTGCCGATCCTTCTTCATATCTTCAATTATTGCTGAATACATAATCATTGTATCTATAGATCACTATTGCAAGACTTATTTTATTACCTCTCTACTCTGTTTAAATGGAAAGATACGGCTCCCTTGATAGAGGCTCATTTAGTAAAAAGAAACAATTGTCTTGAAGAAATTAAAAAAAAAGAAAGAAAAAGAGATATTTCCTTAATTGTAATTATGAAGGTTCCAAAACTGACATAATTAACTCATATAGCGTACATCTTTATGGACAATGAACAAATTGGTCTCAGACACTGTTGTACACCATTCAACTTAGTAAAGATATTTTTTATCTCAGGTTGCAAAAGAAAGGGCAAATTATCAATTCCCTCCTTTTTTTTCTTTTTTTTTTAATTTCATCATTTATGAACACGGTAAAGTTTTTTTCTTTGATTTCTTTTCAAAAATGCTATTGTTAGAATTTTGATTCGTCTCCGAAAAGATCTTTTGTCAAAAAAGAAAATAAAATAAAAAAATAAACTCATACTAAAACCAAAGTAAGCAATTTTATTTGTGGAGAAGATAAGCAGTGTAATAAATAGGATGCATCTATTCATATGATAATGATAAGGCGATGCATGTATACAAACAAGAAGTTTGAAAATAGTGTAACAGCAATTCTGATAACATGTTATCTTTTTAAATAATGTGTATATATAATTTTTTTCTTTTTTTTTTCTTTTTTTTTTTTTTTTTTTTTTTTTTTTTTTTTTTTTTTAAAAAAAAAAAAAAGAAAAAATTAGATGAGTGCCACTACTTTTATCATATGTCAAAATAAAAGAGAATCTCCGAATGTATGTTTGAAGTTTGTCATAATAATAAAGTAGAATTCAATTCTAAAAATATTTACTTCATATTTGTTTATCCATTTTTTTCGTTTTGCTTGTTTGCTTTTTTTTGTCTTTTATTTGAAAAAAGTAAACAATAAAATGTTGTAGTTTATAACATGAATGTATTCTAGTTGATATATCTTTATCATTACTCTTTAGATTCAAGTGTTTACTTATTTTGATTAAAGAAAGGGATAACGTCAAAATAAACGTAAATAAGAGAAAATTGAATAAATAAATTTTCACATGTTAATGACTTCATGCTAACTAACTGAGACCAAAAAAAAAAAAGAAAAAAAAAGTTGTTATTATAAAAATACATGCGAAATCAACTTTTTTTTTCCCTTTCTTCTTCTTCTTCATCATTATCATTTAATAAGAAAAAAAAAACAATGACCAAAAAAACGAATAGCCGTAATAATAATGTAAACGAACTTAACAAGGATGAAACAAATCATACCTTGCCTGTTCTTGAAAAGGCCGCTCCAATTCCTACAAGTAATCCAAATGATGTACTTGAAAATGATGTAGAAGTACCAGGTAAAAAAAGAGAAAAGACAGATAGAAAGAGTGTGTGTGTGTGTGAGAGTGAGTGAGTGAGTGAGTGAGTGACAAGAGGAGGAAAGGACCAAGTATATAATCTAACGTATTTATTTTTATTAGATCATTCTGTTGTTCAGCCTTCTGAAGCAAATAAGAAACCTGATGAATTTTCTTTCTTTAAACGTCTTATGTCTCTTCCCTTGATTCGCGATGGTTCTTCTATGGTTCAATACTATGCTAACAAGAATACACTGAGTCGCTATGCTTTAGATAGATTGGAGTCCTCCTTTACTTATGCTGTTACTATGGTTTCTCCTTATACTGAAAAGTATAAAACTCAACTTTTAAAAGTAGACCATCTAGGTTGTCAATCTCTTGATTTAGTCCAGAACAAACTTCCCATTGTCACACAAACTTCAACTGAAATCTTGACGACCGTGAAGGAATCTCCACACAAGGTCTATACTGAAATTAAGGATGGTATCAGTCATGCGGCCTCTATTCCTGTTACTCGTACAACCCATTGTCTTCAAACCTTGATTGACTATTATCTTCCTCCTATCAACAAAGATGAAAATAATAAAGTAGAAGGTGACGCAGCCACAAAAAAGGGTAAAAAAGGAAAGAAAGAAGAAGAAGATCATGATGACGAAAGGAATGTTAGCTTAACTCTTTTAGCTAATGAAGTCAAGGACAGGTTGCTATCACGGTTCAATTATATCGCTGCTGCATAAAAAATAAGAGCAGTTCTATAAACCACTAATACACATTTATCTATCTAATATCACTCCTACGTAACTTCCCCTCACTCATTCTTTTCTCTATCTTTCCTCCCTCCCTTCCCCCCAAGAAAAAAAAGAAATTAAAAAAAAAAGTTATTACCATCATCATCAGATTTTATCTTGTACATGTATAAAAATATATGATATTATATACAAATATGTATATAATAAAGAGACAAAAAATAAAATAAAATAAAAAGATAAACGTTTAAATTAAAATGGTATCCGTCATATTTAGTATTATTACATTCTTCTTGTCATTTATTTAATAAACAAAACTATAAAATGGTGTACTATATTCCCTTATAAAATAGGGAAAGATACGATCTATATCTATTCGTGGTTATTATTTGTTGCCATTTATCTCGAATAAAAAAAAAAAGGGTTATATTCATTACACATGTTTATTATTATTATACAATAGAATTTACAAAGGTTCATTTTCTTTTTATTTCATTAGTGAAGTAAAGGATACTACTATTAAAAAAAAAAAAATTGAATTATGATTATTATGAAACTTTAGCTTTTGCAGTAGTAAACTGATGGACTTATTCCTGTTCATTACAGAAACAATGAATTTGAAATAAGCCACGAAAGGTGGATATATGTGACTAGCTTGTGACTAGATTTATCTTGCAAGTAATTTTCATTGAACCTTAAAAGTCCTCATACATCTTTTAATTTTTATTTTTATTTTATTTTATTTTTTTTTTGAATTAACCATTTCGTTTTAATTACTCGAAAAAAAAAAAGATGGGATATAAAGCAAAGCACAAGCAACCTGATCCTGAACCATTAGAAAAAAAGCAAAAGAATGGCCTTTCAAGACGAGCAAAGGCCAAACTTAATAAGAAAGCTGCTGTAGAGAAAAAGACAAATAAACGTCAACATGTCGATGAACCACCACAGAAAAATAAAAAAGTAAAGACAACAAAAGCCGTTAAAGAACCTGAAGAAGATCTTTGGGATAATCTTGAAATTGCTTCTGATGATGATGACGATGTAATTGATGATGAATTTGACATGGACGAGTTCGAAAACTCTAATGATGAGGAAATGAATGAACAAGTAGAGAATTCAGAGGAAGAACTTGAAGAGGAGAGTGAAGAGGAAGAAGAGGAACAAAACCTTTTCCCCAAGGCTGAAGGTAATTTCCTTGGTTCTGATTCTGAAGAAGGAGAAGAGGAAGAGGAGGAAGAAGAAGAAGAAGAAGAAGAAGAAGAAAATGATGAATTCGACCAAGATGAATTTGATAGTGATGATTTAGTTGAAGTATGTATCTATTATATACATAGACATGTATTTTTGTAATCAAAAATATTAAACTCTATTATCTATTTATTTAAGGGTGAGGGCCTTGACGAACGCAAATCTCGTATGATTGAAGCTCGTGCTGCTCGTATTGCCGCAGAGGCTGAAGCAGAATTAAAAGAACAAGCTAATCAAGAAAGTGAACTTGAAGAAGATGAACGTTATGCCTTGCCTGAAGGGGATGAAAATGAATTGATAGCTGATGTTACAGTGGTTAGTCAACGTATGAAGGATATTGTTCATGTACTTAACGACTTTAAGCGACTTCGTGATCCCAAGAGCAGTCGTCAAGATTACGTAGATCGTTTAATTAAAGATATTGCAAGTTATTATGGTTATTCAGAATTCTTGGCTGAGAAACTCTTTCATCTTTTCCCCGTCTCTGAGGCAATTGAATTCTTTGAGGCAAATGAAGTACCTCGTCCTGTGACGATTCGTACAAATACTTTAAAGACACGTCGTCGTGATCTTGCACAAGCATTAATTAATCGTGGTGTCAATTTAGAACCTATTGGTAAATGGAGTAAAGTGGGACTTCAGGTGTTTGATTCACAAGTACCCATTGGTGCTACCCCTGAATACCTTGCAGGACATTATATGCTTCAAGCTGCTTCTTCTTTCTTACCTGTCATGGCATTAGCACCACAACCTAATGAACGTGTACTCGATATGGCCTCTGCACCTGGTGGTAAGACGACGTACATTGCAGCCTTACAAAAGAATACAGGTATGGTGTTTGCCAATGATGCCACTAAAGATCGTTTAAAGAGTTTAATTGCTAATATTCATCGTTTGGGTGTCAAGAACGCTGTTGTGTGTAATTATGATGGTCGAGAATTCCCTAAAGTCATTGGTGGTTTTGATCGTGTCTTACTTGATGCACCCTGTTCTGGTACAGGTGTTATCTCTAAAGATCCAGGTGTTAAGTTGAATAAGACTGAAAAAGATTTCATTGATATCCCATTCCTTCAAAAGCAACTTATTTTATCTGCTATCGATTCTGTTGATGCCAAATCAAAGACAGGTGGTTATATTGTTTATTCTACATGTTCAGTAACGGTAGAAGAGAATGAAGCTGTCGTTAATTATGCATTATCAAAGCGACCTAATGTTAAATTGGTTTCAACTACACTTGATTTCGGTCGAGAAGGATTCGTTTCATACCGCGGAAAGAATTTCCATCCTAGTCTTAAATTAACACGTCGTTTCTATCCTCATGTACATAACATGGATGGTTTCTATGTTGCCAAGTTCAAAAAATTAGATAATAAATACGATAATGTGAAGGACGATGATTCCACAAACAAGAAGAATGATAATAAGGAAGATAAAGAAGAAGAAGCATCTTTAGCATTCAACGAAGAAGAAGATGCTAAATATATTGAAGGTAAAAAAAAAAATAATAATAATAATAATCATAATCTACAATTGTGTTATTCACATTTATTTATTTATTAGAAACCAAATTGAAGCAAAAGAAGAAGAAGGGCTTCAAGAAATAAATATACACAGCGATTATAAACACCAATATTATATATATATATATTTTAATGCATTTTATTTGCTTTCTTTTTTTTTATATAAGTAAACTTAGTTTCATATTTAGATTTTATTATTATTGCTATTAAAACAAAAAAAAAAAAAAAAAAGTGAATATAAAAGGGAATGATGTCTTGACATGTAAATTGTTATTAACTTGGGCATTTTAAATAAAAATAACAGTACAAAAAAAAAACCAGCCCTACCTTCAAATTTTTACAAAGACAAAAGGATCCTTGAACAGAGTAACTGGGGAATTCTACCCTTTTCTCTCAACAACATAGAGATCAAGGATATTGAAGTACTGGTATTTATTAATTCAATTCTACTTTAATTATTGCAGTTGCAGCTTTCTAAATAACAAGGAACAACATGAGATATTTGCTATAGCTCCCAACTAACCTTTTCTCAACTATTGACTGTTCCTACATTATGTCTCAATTCATAATACTGCCCTTCTACTTTTATTTAAAGAAGGGCATCTACGATTTTTTCCATTTGTAGGAAAAAATCGATATGCATTTTTATAACGATCTGTAGCCATTTCAGGTCCATGTCTTTGTCAGCATTCATTACTTTCATCTAAAAAAAAAAAAAAAAAAAAAAAAAAAAAAAGAATATTAGTATTCGATTTACTTTATTTAATAATGAAAACTTACATAATTATAGCGCATGCTGACATATACTTGTTGAAAAAATGGTTCATTTTCTTTTATTATTACTTTGCCCTGCTTAATCATCTCTTCCTTGATCATTTTAATGATAAGCTTTTATAGCAAAAAAAAAAAATAGATTAGAACTACAAATAAATAATATTATGAATTACTTACATTCTTTCTTTCATTATAAATTTCTCGAGTAATTGGCAAACAATTATTTTTTTCTTCTGGTTCATTTACAGAGGACAATAGTGGTTCTATGGAAGATACTTCTGCTACTGTCGCTGAAGAAGGAGATGGATGTTTTGCTTCATGTGGGGGTATATATTTTGATGATAGTAAAGAAGTAGGACATGAATCTTGGGATGAAGAAGGGTGCACTTTTGAAGAGGATCTTTGTTTTGATGGTAGTGACTTTATGGATCTATGACTTTCATCAGTCACCTGGCTTGGATTTATTTTGCTATCAGTTGTAGTCATTTGTGACGGTTCAGTTGGAAAGAGGGAGGGAAACTGAAGACGCGTACTATTTTGTCTAGACATCGTTTTACGTCTTTTTGATGCGTTTTTAGCTTCTGATATCAAATCACGTTTTTGACCTACACTTCCTTCACCAATACTTTCAAAAAGATCAATATCTTTAATTTTATTATAAGGAGGCAAGATTTCAGCAGAAGAAGCCATGTATTTTGGAATTCGAATGCAATTATCAGGACCCAAGATATCAAATAGAGCGTCTTCTTCTTTGTCTCTATTAGGATAGTCATCAAACCTAGCCATTTCATAAGCAGTGAAATGATCAAAATCATGAAGCATAAAATGAGCATATATTTGGATTTCGCTTTCCTTATTATCACCATAAACGATTAAAGGAAGAGGTTTTTTTATAGGATGATCTTCTGTACCTAATAATTTAAGTATTAATTAAATAAAAAATAGGAGTTTCCCATTAGGGGATACTTACGATTTACAGGGCAAACTTCAAAAAACAAAGCCTTTTTTGTTTGACCGCTAGGATTAAACTAAAGTAAAAATAAGCAATTATGATATGCATTTATAATTTAATTTTTTTTTTACCCCTTCATTAAATAAAGTTGAAAAAAAGTTCAACGTATCAATATCCTCATCAAGCTGAGTACTATTTATAAAAGCATTAAAAAAGAAAAGAAGAGAAGAAAAGAAAAGAAAAGAATTAAAAGCAAAAAAGAAGGACAACATACACTTTCCAACGGTTATGATCAACATTAAAAAGTCTAGTTGACTCAATATTTATGAGTGACTCATATTTAAATTTAACTTCATACACTTCCTCAGAAATATCAGGACAAGCAGGGCTTATGCAAATATCTTGATTAAAAAAAATAGTTAATAACACATATATTATTAAAGCATTAAAATTATACCTTTAAATAATTTTTCTTCATACATTTTACATTCTATAATGCAATTGATGAATTAAAAAAAAAGAAAAAAAAAAGGGGAAAACAATGTTTAATTATGAAATTAACATCTCTTACTTTCTTGTAAAATAAGTGGACCAAAGAAGTTACAGTCTTGAAGCATTTTTGTTATTTAGTTAATAAATTTAATAAATAGATAAAGTGTATAAGTTGGTTTTTTTTTTTTTTTTTTTTTTTTTCTTTTCATTCTTTAATACTTTTTGTAATAAATCACATGAAAAAAATGTTGTTACAACAGTCACTTTTGTAAATAACTTAATTCATGACATTTCATATAAACTACAGCTTCCATATAAGAAAGAAGATAACAGTAAACATTGATTTGCTTTCCTTACATATAAGAAATATCAGGAAATAGTTATTTTATAAAGATAGAATCATTATGAGTTCAATATTCATTATTTTGAAAGTAATAATAATGTTGTATAGGGCAGTTTTTTTTTTTTCTTTTGTGTAAAGAAAAGTAATTCGAATGCATCGCTTCTTGCCAAATAAAGACAACTCATAAAGTTAACTACGATTAAACATTTCTATTTTTTATTATTTATTTTTTATAAAGCGAACCTATGAGCACATCAATATCTTTGTTATATTGGATTGCCCAGGTCAGTTCAGATTATGCGAAAAAAAAAAGTTATCTAAAAACCCTCTTACGGGACAAGAGGTAAAAAAAAGGTAAAGGAAAGGAAGAAGAAGAGAAGATGAGAAAGAAAGGGGAAATATTGCTAACAAGTTTAAAGGGACAACCTAGTTGATCTACAGTATTTTAACTTGAAATTGAGAACGATTTTGTGTTATTTTTTAGATTAAATGATCTTTTCAATTTAGACAAATGTATTTTCTTTAGATGTATCATTATTTATTTAGACAAGTGAGCAATTTATTGAGATCTCTTTTGTCTAAATTCTAAAATCAAATGAACTTTATTCACTACAACCCTACTGAGGAGTCTTTCTTAGACTAGATTTAGTATGGCAATATTGAATTGATCGGCGAGTTCAACATTATTGTCGAGGATGAGACACAATCAGTGACGATGGAAGAAGTAGTAGACAGTCTTGTTGAGGTTTTCAAAGAGGTTGCCATCATAATATCTCAGAGATACAAAAAATATGGAGAGGGCCAGGTTGACCATTTCATTAATTTAGTTCAAGAGTTTAGCTTATTAATACCGAAAGAAGCAGAGCAATGTGGTATACCTTGTAGCTATGCTGAAGCTTTCAAGTAGAGTACTGTCCCTACTTGTCAAGATTGGATACGGCATGCTGAGATGATTTATTGGGACAGACGTTTGGAAAGAGAGGTTGGCTTAAAATAGTTTATTTTGTTTCAATAAATTGCTCATTTGTCTAAAAAAAAAAGGTTACCCTGATTTATAAAGACAAAAATGTTGATGCTCTACTACCTTGTTCATGCCTTCCAACAATGAACGTATTTCTTCTAATAAAGCAACATCTTTTTTGTTGCCTTCACTTGTAATTTCTGCCCATTCGTCATCAGTAAAAAGGCTTTTTACTTTTGAGTCAGATATATCAAAAATGAACGAATGTATAGCACTACTCAAGTAAAAGATTTTAATGAGTAAAAACCTTGTGCTAAATTGAATGAATTACTTTACTTTTCTCGTTCTAAATCAGATCCATAGGAATAAAGGATATCTTCAACTACTTTTTCAGAGCGTAATTTCCATTTCTTATCTTCTTTCATTTTTTTAAAACAGTTATCGAAGATATCAAAGGAGCTATTCGTTAATAGCTTAATCCTCTCTGAAGATCCAGAAGAAACATTAACTGCATCCGAGGAGTTATCAGAAGTTTCCATGTCCTGAAAATAGAAAAAAAAAATTACTAAATTGAAGATCAACATATCGATCATCAGGTCTATACCTTTACTTGGCTTGATGATGGCTCACTTATGCTAGTTAGATTTTCCGTATCTTCTGGATTTTCATGAATGCTCGCTTGTACATTGCTTGTGTCTTTGCAATTATTTCTTCAATAGTGACGACGAAAACCGTTGGTTGTTTCAAATTGTTTATTACAAAAACATAAACATTTTGAATTACTCTGTCTATAAATGATTCTCGTTTCACCTGTAATAATGCTAGATTCATTTTCAATAAAGTCTATAGATTAATATACCACTAGGAAGAACAATCCTCAATGATGAAGAATGATGATCTCTATTATGAGTATTAAGAGTGTTTTGATTTGTAAAAGATATGCTACAGATGTTACAGTAAAACATGTGAAGAACGATTAAGTGTGTTATGATTGAAGTTGTATTAAAAACTAAGTTAATAGAAATAGAAAATCATTTATTAAATAGTAAAGAGTGCATTACACGCCACAGCATAATATTCATTATATAACATTCAGTTTTAATAGCGGTCATTATTAGAGTATTCGAGTATTAAAATAATAATTATGTTCGTTGTATTATGTGATAATGAGAATTCAATATGATTATGATTGCTATATTCGATTACATAATTATTTATATATGCATCTATAATATTAAATATCGTTATGTAATAACATCTTAGAGGATGATGATAATAATAGTGGCATATTCACTGTGAATTAATATTAACGCGTTGCTTACCCCAGAAATAATAATTGGGTCTATTTTTTAGTAACAGCGACAGCTCAGAGAGAATAAAGATAAAAATAAATCTTATTACAAGCAGAATTGTTTGGAAGAGAAATCTATTCCGACAGAGGCCCAAATATAATTTATGGATATATCAAAAGCATCTTACGAGCTTCAAATGAAGAAGAGGCCAAAAGCAACGAAACAGAAGCAAAAAGGCTACTCAAAAAAGACAATACTAATTACAAACTTAAAAAAAAAAATGTTTGCGCTTGAGTTTTGCATATGCCAATAATAAACTACTTTTGCTTTCCTACAGGAAATGGATTACTTACTACACGACAAACAATTCCCCTCTCCACTTCTTGACCCAGGCAGGAAATGACTCAACCAGGTTGTCCCTTTAAACTTGTTAGCAATATTTCCCCTTTCTTTCTCATCTTTTCTTCTTCTTCCTTTCCTTTACCTATTTACCTCTTGTCGCATAAGAGGGTTTTTAGATACTTTTTTTTTCCACATAATCTGAGCTGACCTGGGCAATACAATATAACAAAGATATTGATGCGCCCATAGGTTCGTTTTATAATAATAATAATAAAAATCAAAATGTTTAATTATAGAATAGTCCGATGAAAATAACCAAGATATAGTCTTGAATTATTGAAAGGAAATGACTAACAGGTTTTATTTTATTTTTAAGTAAGTCGTTTTATTAGATGATTTGATAGTCTTAGTTCATGAATAATTGTATTATTTCATAAAGAATTATCTAATGTCCATCTCACAAAACTGTGTTTAGTTTAACCTCATAATACAGTTGTCGACCATCGTCATTAGAATAATCAGGGCCTCCTCTTTTATTTAACCTCAGAAGATTGACTGAATTTCAATTAATTGAATTTGTATTTACTGCTCATCCATTCCAAGGAGAACATTGCAACAAACATTTCATGATACTGGTAATTGTTGTCAACCGTTTCAAGTTTTATATTTGGAGAAAAAAAAAATTGAAAACGGACGTTTAAATTATTACATAATATTTTATATTACATATTTTTTTCATAATGTGGCCAATAATAATATGCTTCTCTTTTTTTTTTATTTTAAATGGATTTCCAACTTACTCAATCTATCCAAGACTCAATCAGATTAGCCTTAAAGAAACCTGATTTTCCTATCAAATATAAAGAGGAAGCCGAGCGATTAAAGGACTTGAAACTTGATGCACAAGAAAAGTATCCTGTTTCTATAGATTTAGTTGAACATGTATCAAAATCACTAGGTTATATACATATATAAACTGAAACTTCTATACAAACATTTTATAACTAATCTATTATTGAATACATGATATAGATATTTATTTTCATGAATTAATTATTGGTAGTGGTCTTTATTTTCCACCAAAACAAGTTAAAAAACAGGAAAGTAACATTTGCAAGTTGACTTGAAATGAATGTCTCGTTAATTTTTTTTTTTTAAAAAAAACAGGACCCTAAATTCCTGGCATATATGGAAAAACTGCGTGCTGAACAACAGGAACGAGAATATAAAGAAATGGTAGCAAACGTTGTCTCTTCAGACGATCAAAGATTTAATTTAGGAATCAAGCCTAATGAATTGAAAGAAATCAACAGTCATATTGCAACGATCTTTAATATTTTATTTTCAATGATTGCTGTTTATGCAGCCGTATATAAAGTATCAAAATCAATCGTAAATGATTTTGGTTTGGTAATAACAAACAAACAAAAGTGAAGTGCTGGATTGATTGAAATTTGATTCCCCTTTTTTCTTTTTAGCAAGTATTGTTTGGTTTAGGTGGTGCTTTTATAATAGGAATAGTTGAGGTCATTCTGTATGTTAAATATGTATCTACTGCTACTTTTAAAAAGAAAAAGACAAAAAAGGAAAAAATGACGAGTATCTAAAATGGGTTGCTACTAGAAGAAGAGATAGAGATATGCTTATGTAATACGACTGAACATCCTTATCTATTTTATCACAATGATATCATTTTTATAAGATTAAATATTTCATCCACCAAATGAAAAAAAAAATTAGTGTAATTATTATATAAACCAAGATACAATAAAACTATGCTATCCTTTTCCCTCTTTTAATCATTTATAAACAAAACAACATGCAAGCCTCAAGTTCTTTCTTACCTATGGAAAACCCAACAAGTGGATCTACAGTAACTGATCCAGGCAAACCATTTCAATCCCATCCTAAACAAGAGGAAGAAATAAACGCTGCCATGGGTTCTGATAATGCAGCTGACACGTCTACTCTTCAAAGCATTAAAGATAGTTTACATGATATAAAAGAGAATGTCAAGGAAACTCTTCAACGAGATCATCCTCGTGGTCAAGAATATAAAAAGAAGCCACAAGATGGAATGACGAATCCAATGGAATAGATTATTAGTTTAAATTGTATATTTTCTTATAAAATTAAAATAAATAATATTCATATCAGGAACTCTTTTTTTTTAAAAAAAAACAAAAAAAAAGTGACTCGTAATTTTACCTTTTTTTTTTTTTTTATCCTTCATTATAAGCAAAAACTTTTTTTATTATTACTACTTGTGTTAGAAACAAGTTGGGGGGTCATTAAAGAATAAAATGGATGAAGCACGCGATGTAACAATGTCTGATGTTCCTAATGGAGAAGAGGCACCTTTTGGTTTATCTTCAAATGAATGGAAATTCTATCAGTATGTTCGTAACTCTCCAAAGGTAAAAAAAAAAAAAAAAAAAAAAGTGTTTTCTAAGTTAAGGATATTTTATTAAATTTATAATTATGTAAGGGCGTTAAATTTACAGATCGTCCTGATGGCATGGATGTTCAAGAAGCTTACTTAGCAATGAATGCTTTATTAAAAAAAGTAAGTTGTATAATTTTTATTAAAAAAAAATTAATATATACCAAGTTATATGTGTTTTATATTGAAAAAAAAAAAAAGAATACTTTGGAAGTTATTGTCCTTAATGGGGAAAATATGTTAAAGGCCATCGATCTAAGAGATGCAGAAAAGTAAGCATAAGCTTTTAAAGGAGAAAGGGGATGTATACAATTACTGACGTTATATATATTTATATATAGAGCGAGTAAATTAAATGACGATGCACGTTTAGTTTATAATGCCATTCGAGCTGCTGGAAATACTGGTATTTGGACAAAAGATTTGAAAAAGAAAACAAATCTTCATACTATCGTCTTGAACCGTACACTCAAGTCTCTGGAACAAAAGCATGAAATTAAAGCTGTTAAACATGTCAAATATCCTACTCGTAAGATTTACATGTTATTTAACGTGACTCCATCAAGCGAAGTTACAGGTGGTGCTTGGTACACAGATCAAGAATTAGATGTTGATTTTATTGAAAGTTTGAAAACTGCTTGTTTAAAATATATCATGTCAAGAGTAAGTTGTTGTTGTAAATAGCGAACCTAAAAAAAAAAAAAAAAAAAAAAAATTATAACATTTTTATTTTATTTTATTTCTTAAAAAAAAGAGCTTTCCTCGTATTGAAGGTGTACCTGACGCTGTGTTTGGTGCTGATCACGAACATTATCCTACAGCTGCAGAAGTTAGACGGTTTATTACAGAATCTCGTATTTCATCCATTGATTTATCTGTTAAAGATATCACGAGTCTCTTGGATGTTTTGGTTTATGATGGCGTAGTTGAAAAAAAGCTGCCTTTTATGGTAGGCATGGATGATTTCAGTGATGATGAAGATGAGGGTGATGATGCTTCTATTCAATGGTCATATAAAGCAGTTAGAAAAGCAGCTACTCGTTTGCCCATTGAAGCATTAACAGAAACTCCCTGTGGTAAATGCCCTGTATTTAGCTTTTGTGTTGAAGATGGTCCAATCAGTCCAATTACTTGTGAATATTTTAATACTTGGCTAGACTGGTAGTGCTTTTTTTTTTCTTTCTTTCTTTCTTCAAAAGCTTTATATATAAATATTTGTAAATAGTATATACAATTTTTTTATTATTATTTAGAATCAGTATAACACGATAACAAAATAAAATAAAATAAAATAAAAAGTTGCAACTAATAGAAGGTGACCCCTCTTTCTCTCTCTCTTTTTATCTCTCTCTTTCTTTTTTTTTCATGTATATCTATTATTTTATTCTATTAAGGAGGATAGATGATTATTTATATGTGTATGTTGCGTATTGTACGTTTAGGAATTAACAAAGAGTGTTTGTAGCAAGAAAGGAGATCAAGATGATTCATATCGATTCCAATCCTTTGTTGCTGCTTTAAAAACATGTTGCCCCATTAACCTCGCAACTATATCACCCATGGCCTCTTGTTCAACCACAACTTCAACAGACCCAGCTGCATACGTATGCCAAAATACTTGATGTTCTGCACTTTGTCGATTAGCTACCGATTTGGCACTCAACTTACAAAGCTCCTCATAGTTCCTCTTCCATCCTGCTGTCTGTTTTGTTTGAAGCATACGTCTTGCCATTTCAGCTGATGGTAGAGAAGCAGGTAAAGAAGATTTCGTACGTAACGAACATGCCAAGGTAAACAAATAAAGGTGAACAGCAGCTGCCATCTCCTTACGATACGAGTTGATAGGCGTCATGATCGTCCGTCGTACACTCTCGGTGATAAACGATTGTGCCTTTTGAATATGTTGAATCCAATAGAGAATAATTCGCTCGTGGTCCAAGATCTCCCTGTATTCCTTGATAGGGAAGGGTCCCTTTGTTAAGCGTGGCTCTGTACTAGCGAGGACCAACATTTCCTGGATCACGTGTAGTTGATTCATGAGTAACCCCTGATCTCTTTGGCATTCTTCAAATGTAGATCGATAACGGTAGGAGTTTGTGTTCTCTTGGCATACCAGTGACACAACACGCGAGTATTGAATACCTGTTGCAATCAAGAGATCAGCAAGACTTTTCCTTAACCGCTTTCTTGCCCATACCGGCCATACCAGTTGATCCACCAACATGACGACAATAATAGCGAAAAGGGCGGTAACGGTTCTTTTCCAGACAGGACTAAAGATGGATTCCTTGTAAAAATCAGTGTAGCCTGTGTTCGTGATCACGGCCAAGGTCAAGATAGAGATGAAGCCAATACGCGGGTAAGGTGTATTAAACAGGAAATACCACATTGGGATTTGAAAGACGAGAACAAGGACGGCAACGACGTAAGGATTTTCATTTCGATGACCGGCCAGGAGAGCAAGATAACCACAGACGGCACCAATTATTGTGGCCACCACTCGATAAAAGCACTGGATCGCAGTAGAGCCTACCGTGTAGTTAAAGACAACCATGGCTGACAAAAGAGCCCATTGACCATGATTGTTATTATAAAAATCGTTCAGACCCTCTATCGGTAAAAAGGCCATTAAAGCTAAAAGTTCAGTTGTAATCGTAAATTTAAGCGCATACCGTGTAGGTGGATATTGAAACCATTTAGAAAGATGATAGAGCCATCGGTTCCAAATATGTTTCCCCTGCGCATGTTGTAAAGGCTCTAATTCGTTGTTTTCCATTTCAAATTGCTCTTCATGATTGTTTTCTTGGTGTTCATTTTGTTCAAACTGATAAGGATTTACTTCGATTCTGGATACAATACGACTTATATGGCGAGATATTGGAATACCTCCATTATCATCATTATCATCATCATCAGCATCTGAACACTTATTCTTATTTATTATATCAGTAGAGCGACAGGGTGTGGATCTTTGACGACCATTCCCATGTTGTTGCATGTCTTGCAGTTGAAGCCTTTCTTGATTATCTAAAACGACTTTTTCTGAAAGTGATTGTGCAGCTTTATTTTCAGAGGAGCCTTTACTGAGCCATCTTCGTAAGGGGACTCTTGGGAAATAAATTCGATTTATCCACCATCTCTTGGAATTAGTCTGTAGTACTAATTCATCTGCATATGTCTGAAGTTGAATTAATTCTTTACCAAATTCAATCAACGTAAAGATAACTGTAAAGACCAAAAAATGGTCTTCACTAGGGACGCTATCGGATTGATCATACTCTTGTTGAAGTAAAAGCTCAGTTTCCTTAAAATCATTTAAAGCAGCCCTCAAATCAATTCTTGTTTTACTGCTATGAATAAGATGATTCTTTGTAGATGTGTTCATGGAGATAGCCTTATGTTCGACAAGTTGGTTTTCAATTTGTTCTAGTGTAATGGTACAGGCATCCAGGAATCGCTTTAGAGCGGGTTGAATGGTGGATTGTAAACGATCAATGATTTTGTATTCACGACCTTGTAAGACAAGAGTATCCCCTGATAAGATACTGGCTTGAAATAAATCCTGACTTGCAGGTAAAGTTGTTGATGATGATGACGTTGTTGTTGTTGGTAAGATGGGTTTAGATAGTTGATGATAATAATAATGGTTGGCTGTCGAAATCGTTTGTTTCTCATACTCATCATCATTCATGATGACGGATCGTTTCCTTAAATGATTTAAATGAGCGTTCACCTTCTTTTCCAACATGATCCTCACTTCTCGTTTGATAGCCAATGAAAACCCTTGCAAGTTTTCAGAGAGATGATTTAATGAGTTGACTAAAGGTCGATAACTCTCTGGTGGATAATAAGAGACAATGATTTCATATTTCGCATCCTGTCGAGCAGAGATCATTTGAGCAATATCTTTTTGAAGTTTATTATTTAAATTTTGTAATTTTGTACTTGATGCAATATCGCCTGCCATAACACCCGAATCATCATTTTTTAATAAATCCTCTTGTACAAATGATAAAACATCTTTGATTGAATTAATTGTCTGTCCAATTGATTTTCTAAAAAAAAAAAATATACAAGTATATAAAATTAGTAATACAATTATATTTTTTCGGTTCTCCCTACACTTTACTCTGCTTTTTTCGCAGCTGTCTCTGGCCAAAGCACCAAGTTCACTATCAATGCAACGGCTCCACCAATTAAAACAGGATATAATGTTTGTATGGCAAAAGCAGCTTGATAATGTCTATCAAAGATCCCACCTGTGATAATAAAGAAGGGCATTGTAAAACCTTGTAAAGCTGGTATATAAAGTCGAGGGTATCGAAGTCGAAAATAAGCCATCATAAAGACACAGATACCAAAACCAATTGCACCAATTGCGCCCGCACCATATTTATACAATCCTATTGATTGTTGCTGTTCTACATAATAAACTTGATTGTTATAAAGTGAACATAGATAAGCTACAAATCCACTCCAGATAGCACAAGGGATCATTGTCAGAATATTCAAAAGCATACCAGCTATTTGACTTCCGGCTGTCCCGCTTGCATTAAAAAATAAGGTACCAAGTGGTACAAGATATGGCGGTTTTCCAGCATGTTTATAGACTGCAGGAATTAGAACAAGAATGGTGCCTATTTCATAAGCTACTGTACATTTAATGATTGTTTTCCATAATTCTTTTTTATTTTTAAAAAAGTTTAAAATTGATTTCATTTTTTTTTTAAAAAAAAAAGAATAAATGAATAATAGGAATAGTAATTAAAAAAAAAAAAAAAAAAGAGGAAAGGAAGGGAAAGGGAAAGAAAGAGACAAAAGAAAAATAATTGACATACTGTCTATACTCTTAGCGGAAAAATAGTTTCTCCACCAATCACGGCTCGCGCCGAAGAATTTGCTATTTAATACTAAAACATACATTATATATTCTATTCTGATCTATATAACATAATAATTACTGCAAGATATATAATTTTTTTTTCTTTTGTCTTTTAATATTAAGTTGTGCATTTATAAATAGAAGAGCTCAGTTTTTAGAAATTAAAATTAAATATATTATGCATACATGTATTAAGTGTTATTTATGATGTATACGCGTATAAATAAATAAATAAATAAATAAATAATTTATTCTTGTTTAGCTGGAACAAAGCTTACATCACCTTTATGCACTTCAGCATAATAAGATGGATATCCATCTACAGAAGATTTTTGAGCATATCCTGGATGTTGCTTTTTCTTGGTAGTAATCTGACTAATTGTGTCTGAAGGAGGAGCAGGGAACATATCAATAGTTTGTTGATCAAATATTTGACGAGCAGAATCATTTATAGAAGTCAAAGCATTCATTCTATAATAATAATAAGGTGAGTGATTTATATACACAGTAATAATTACATAATTTACAATCTAGATGTTTCAAATCGAGGCTCAACCCGAGAAGCTAAATAAAAGTCACCAGGACCTTTTAATTTAACAAAATCCTAGTAGATATATACATAAAATTTAAGCTTATTTTTCTTCTATTTTCTAAATATCCTTCACACAACTTACAGGTGTTCCCAAAATAAGATTAAAAATATATCTGGAAAGTCGTTGTACATATTGTAATTTTGGTTGAAGTGAAGGGCTATCAACAATGTTTCTAAATACTTCATATTTTCTCAAATGAGATCGAGGTGAAGGTACAATAGATTGCTTTGAATGTAATTGAGTTGGATTTGTACGTTTATCCCACATAATTAAATTACGAGGATTAGCCTTATACTCTTCCCCTGCTGCAAGTGAAATACGATAAATGCCGCCATAATGACTAATAGCTAATGTACCTGGTCCACTCACAGTATGAACTAGTTTATTTATTAAACCCTAACCATAAAATATATCTTTTATCAGTTACTATTTTTTTTGAAGTGTTACTTGATAGTACAAATATATTTACATTTTCACTAGAATTTATGCCTAAATCCATAGTAACTTTGTTTGTTTTTGCCAAAAATGCATCACGTCTTAAGATATATTTTGAACTGTTTTTTAATTCAATTATAGCAATCTCTCCTAAACGCTGAGGTGTCAATAATAGATCTCCTGGAGCATTTTTGGTATAATGCTAACAAAAAATCAATAAGAAAAAAAAATTTTTTTTGGTCATATAAACATACTATATAACATTTTGACATACTTTTTGATAAAACATAGCATCGCCAACCAGCTTTTTGCCAATAGATTTAGTAATGTTTTTATCAAGTGTCAATTTAGAATTGACTCGGTTCGAAGATCCAATAGCTGATCCAGTAGTTGTAATAATTTCTGTATCTGCAGGTAACTATAAAGGAAAAACACATATACATATATATATAATCTGAATTACTTTAACAATATTGGTGATCATTCCTACCTTAATCAAAAGTGCTGATCCTATATTTTATTATTATAGTTAGTTCACAATTTAAAAACTACATCATTACAACTTACCAACGCCAGAAGATATAATTTCAAAAATAGGCTCCTTTTCATTTTCCGTATGAACATCTGTTACTTTTTTTTTTCAGTTTATGTTATCAGTTATAGAATAGATAGTATTACCTTTGCCAATTTCTGAAATAGTTTCTGTGGGTCCATTCACGACATGTTGAAATGGTTTCAAAGAACGATCAATCGCTTGTTGCTGTTTTTGTTCATTAAATGCCAATCCAACATAGTTACGACGATAAGTTGGTTTTAAATTATTGAATAAAACACGTCTATACATTTTATAAATTTAAACAAAAAAAAAAAAAGAAAAAAAAAACATAGCCATATAGTGATGCCTTTTTAACCCCGGTGCATTATTTTTTTTTTTTTATAGCGCAATTTCAATTTTATTTTTATTTTTATTTTTTCTATTCTTTAATTACACAAATCTATAAAATAAAATAAAATGGCTAATGTAAAGTTTTCAAATGTACTTACTTTCTCGTTTACATTAAATTAAATAAAATAATACAAAATAGCATCAACAATCTATGGATAAAATCAAACAATTAATGGATTTCTCTCAATTAAGGTAAAATAAAATATACAAACGTCTCCATCAAGTAACTCAGTCTATTTTAGTGAAAGAGAATGCATAAAGATACTAAAATCATCTAACTGGGATGTCAATCTGGCTCTAAATAATATCTATGAACAACAGCAAACAAAAAACAATAAACCAACCAAAGCTTACACTCAAATTTTGAATAGATTATTTGATAAATATGAAGGTAAAAAAAAAAAAAAAAAAAAGAAAAGAAAAAAAACAAAAAATTGTAATCACGTTATTAACTTTCAATATATAGATGACCAAAAAAAAGACTCGATCAACGTGGATGGTACTATGGAATTATGTCAAGATCTCGGTATTGAGCCAACACAACTTGAATTTTTATTACTGTCACATCAATTAGGATCTGAAAGAATGGGTGAATTTACGCGTGAAGGATTCATCAAAGGATTCTTTCAATTAAAAGTGGATTCTATCGAAAAATTAAAAAGAGCCTTGAACACAACTTTGAAAGAACAATTTCAAACAGAACAAGGTTTTAGAAAGGTTTATAATTATGCCTTCTTATTTGGTAGACAAACAGGACAAAAAAATTTATGTAAGTATAAAACTAAAGCATAATAATCTATTTATTTATTTATTTTTTATTAGCTTTAGAAGCAGCGATTGAATTATGGAGATTGTTATTAAGTAGTCATAGATTTAGTTTATTAGAAGAATGGATAAAATTTTTAGAAGTATAGAATTTTGTAAACAAAAATACAAGCTAGCTTATTGACACCTTTTTTTTTCTAGGAAAAACATGGCAAAGCAATTTCTCGCGATACATGGTATTTGGTAAGTAGAATTGGTCCATTTATATACAAGTATTATTCACATTACATAGTTTCTTGATTTTGCAAGCCAAGAAGATTTGGATATTCAGAACTATGATTCTGAAGGAGCTTGGCCAATTTTGATTGATGAGGTAATATAAGGAAAAAAAATAGAGAGAGAGAGACAATAGAATTATTATTATTTACCTTTATATACATTAGTTTGTAGAATATATGCAGCAACAGCAGCAAACATGTTAGACATACTTCTGTTACATTTGAAATTGATGAATTAGATATAAACAGTATATCAAAATTATCAGATATAAATATACGTATTTCTAGATAAAAGAGGCATGTCATATAGAGTGGTTATAAAAGAAAAAAAATAATGTATTATCTAAATTAACTTTATATCGCTATCTACAAATATGATAGACATAATAAAAAATGTAATTTATAACATAAGCTGTGATGTTAAAGAAGAAACATAGTTATTATAAAATACCTTATTATAGTTGTATCCTAGTCTGGCTGTCATTCACCTTTTTTTCGTCGACAGAATTCGGTCAAATTTTATGTTTTTTTTTTCTATTCTTAGTAATCACAACTTAATAGAAATACCCAACTTAAAGTTATATGCATTTATGAAACTGTAAGTTTATTTATATTAACTATGCTAATCAAGTATTCTTGTAAAAAGATACAATATTTTATTAGAGGTCATTGCGAAAAAAAAAATACGATAAGGAACTTCTAATACGTTATTTAGATGACACGATATGGAAGGTATCCAGTCAGATACGCCTAGGGATTCAAATACTTATGCCTATTCATTAAAGATGAAATTAACTAAATTGTAACCAACTTCCGCATTATTAGTACTGTGCCAAAGAAGAAGGTTTGAAGCAATTTATCTCACTAAAATAAGATCGAACAATAGTCAAGCATTTTATTTTAAATTAAAAGGTATCTGTGATTAAGTATAAGTCGCAAAAAAGTGTCATTTACAGCCAAATATGATTATTTGTTTGTATATAATGAACTAAATATTGTTCGTAATTAATGACTACTCTTATTATCAATAAATATTCTATGAGCCTGTGTTACCTTCCATCAGCCATGGGAGGCACTATACAGACGGGGCGATTTTCAGTGCTATTCATAGCCCGGCCTAAAACAGGCTCCCCACATTTCTAAAAAAAAAAAAAAAAAAAAAAAAAAGGAAAAAAAAGAAAAAAAGAAGGAAATTAAACATGCATGCCTTTTTATATCTTTTCATAATGAAATGTTACACGAGTGGCTACTACTTGCATCTTTAATATTATAAATGAATATTACACCTAAACATTTGCTAATATTTTATTTTATATGTTTTATTAGATAGATTTTCGACTTTGCTTTGAGATAGGTTAATGATACTTTTTACTTATTGACCGACTAGGACAATACAGCATATTCTAGCACTATGTATTCAAGCAGTTGCTATTAATCTTTATTTTTTTTTTTTATGAATCAAAGGTCTAGTTTAACTGCTGTCTATATGTGTTATCAAAATTTCTATTTGAGTCAAGTTTTTCTATGTCAGGCATATTGTGAAAATAAGACTGCCTAATGCATTTTATTAATTTTTATTTGCTTCAAATTTGGTTTTATAAATCAATGTAAAAATAAACAGAAACTTTATGATTTAAGAAACTAAGAATAGGCATCATGAAGAATGTAAATGAGAAAAGTGATCATAAATCGGCAAGTTAATAGCTATTCAATGGTGAACATTTATTTTGATAAATGTTTAGTAAATAACTCTTTTGTCGTTTTGTTTGCGTTGGAGATGCAGGCTGTCATGGTATCAGCTAATTTTTATAATCTTTGGCTAAGCTTGGTATTGTTGATTATGAATATTGATTCACCTTGTTCCAGATCTAAAATCGGTTTGATTGTATTTTTTATGTAATTCTCATTCAATTGGCTGTATAGATTTTTGAAAGTATTCATTTCTAGACGAACAGCAGCACCATCTACCATCACAGAAAGAGCGATACGTTGGAACATCAGTGATAACTTTTGTGATTGTGATTCCAAACTCTGGTTTGAGTCATAATAATACAGAAACCATATGGTATATGGCTGGAAAGTGATATCAGTAGAAATTGAATTAAAAGACCTACAAAGGGTGTACGTTGACAAACAGTGGAACTTACTGCGTATCTGACGTAACTGCACCAGGTAGTTCCACGAATTGATCAACGTTGTTGCCTTGTTTTTGATCATAATCTTGGCAAGCTTTATAGATTCTTCATTCAAATAAATCGAAACGATATCCTTAGGAAAGAAATTATTGGTATTCGGGCCTAATTCCACCACTCCGTTTGTTGTTACCGCATGACTATCAATTCGTAAACTGGAAGTAACTAACAAATTACATATCAAAAGACCTATTTTCACTTTAGTTGTATTATCATTTTCAACAGCAACGGTTGTAATCCACCCATATTTGTTTTCTTTTCTAGGGAATGACGACTGATGTAATGTTGATTTGGTTCTTCTTTCAAAATGAGCAGAACAGTTCGTAACCTGCCATAGGGCTCTAAGCCATTTAACAACAGCGCTGCAGATCCATCCATAATCACTGTTTTAGAAAAAAGTTGTGGAATGGCATACCTGAGTTGTGGAAATTGGATCCAGTCTTTACCTATCACATTGGTAATGGGTTTAGACAGTTCAACATGTTTTGCATCTGATAAATGCATGTGAAATGGTGATGTCTTGATGATGTGGTGTTGTGATTTACAGGTAAGAATATAATAAAATAAAAGAATAAAAAGGGAAATAAAAGAAAATAGACAGAAGAAGTACGTTGAGACTTGTCAATAAGTTTTATTAAGATAAAAATGAATTAATTCAAGTATGTTCCATGTTTCAATTATGTTCAAATTATACAAAATAAGGGTTAATAATGTAAGAGTATTTATATATTTTGTGGAATAATAATATGATAAATTCTATTTGATGACGTAATCATGGAAGAGAATGATTATTTAATTGTTATAGATGTATATTCATGTCTTTAGTATACATTTATTTTTATAGCTAATATGTGTACTTTGAGTGAAATCAATTATTACGCGTATTTGTGTTGTTCTTAGTTTATCCACAGCTTGACTTGTAAAGTTAGATGTAAGACTTTTATTAATTATTTTTCTATACAAGAGTAAATATACCTAATATGTGTAGAGACAGAAGTGCACTATATGTTCTATTATGACTATTTATCTTGTTGTATTAAGTTACAAATCTTACAACCATGACATCAGGTCCTTTTTGTGTGTAGTTTTCACTGTTATCGGGTTCATATTATATGTTTTTCAATGTAATTGTCATCAGCTGACTTATAATGTCATGTTTCTTGATTAAACATGCAAATGAAGGAATTCTATCTAAATTCTCCTGAAACTCTCTTGATCCACTTTATCAAATATTATTGAAATTTCTAACATTTCATTATCTATAATATATCTTATTAGGTCGTAACTAGCACTTTTCTGACTCACATCTTATCTCAAACTTCTTTAACAATTCTTATAAATACCCCCATCAATTTAAATTCATAAATAAAGTGATTGACTTTAGAACTATTGTTCGGTCTCGTTGACGTTTTTTTGTCTTTTTATTATAATATACATATATTTTTTTTTGGAAATTTTACTAGTAATATCACACGGCTCCAGTCCTTCATTATCCCAATCTTCAACAGCCATTTTACATTGCTACTAACGCTGTTCTATATCAGGTCATTGACTACCAAACAAGATATATTGGTTTCATGGCTCGTTCACTTTCTGCTTCTGAAAGAAATTATTCAACTACCAAAAAGAGAATTACTTGGTATCATATTCGCTTTAAAGAAGTTTCATCCATTCTTATGGGGGAAATCCTTCTGCCTTATATACAGATCATAAAGCTCTTACTTTCCTCCATACTCAACCCACTGCCAATTCTATGATGATCAATTGGCTTGATACCATCTTGGATTATGACTTTAAAATTATTCACAGACCTGGTATTTACAATATACTTCCAGATTCTTTTATCGCGTCTTTTCGAACCTGAAAAAAAATGCTAGTGGAGGATAAAACTCCTAAAACCATTATTACTTTACAAATTGTCAACGACGATGGATCTATTCTTACATCTCGTGTGATGATGCCCTGCTGATTTAATAACACCAGCACTGGAAGAAGGATTAAATCTACTGATAAAAACTCATTTAGAAGGACATCGTGATGCTCAAGCTATGGTAACAGCTTTACATAGTGAATGAATTCATTGAACAAAGCTTAAAGAAGATACTCTTGACACAGTAAAAAACTGTCCCGATTGTCAAAACATGGATATCATCCATTAAAATCAATTTATGCTAATGCTCCATAGGATCACATTTATATTGACACCGCTGGACCCTATAACAATATCTTTACAAGGAAATAACTACATCCTTCTAGTTGTTGGTGTATTTACTAGATTTTGTGTACTTGGGGCAATCCCTGATAAATTATCCTTAACAATAGCACTTACGAAAAGAAATACACTATCTATCTCTAATGGGAAGACCTAAAATCATCCAAAGCAATAATGGTACAGAATACGTAAATAAAATAGTACGACTTTATATTGAACACTCTGGTATCAACTATCGGCTTGTAACAAGCTATCATCCTCGTGCAAATAGTATAGTCGAACACTGGGTGTCTAAAAAACAAAGTCCATCATCTATAAACGTTTATACTGTCAAAAGAAAAACTCAAGGTGGAAGCAATGTATTGGTTGATGGTACAGGTCCACTCTTACCAAGAGACGTACCTCCTTCCCATATTAAAGTGATATCGCGTAAAGTTAAATTGGCCAATACTGAAACTGATACTTATGAAGTTGAGGTAGTAATCAACCATAAGGATACTCCTGGTAATTACTTATACCAAGTCAGATGGAAAAGGTTATGGTGAAAGCGATGATTACTTGGGAGTCTGCTAGTAATTTCCATGACTACTCTCTCTCTCCTATTAGAAAATATTGGGCACGTCGTAATGAACAAACGCCTTCAAATGAAGCTAGCCTTGTATCTACTAATGACAGACCTAATAATAATGATAACAATAAACAAAAGTGTCGTTGTAACAATGCTAGTTACAAATCTAAAAGAATCAAATAAAGTATATATGTATATACTACTCTATCCTACCCAAGTATAATATTATTGTAGCCATCAACAAGTTAAATGTTATTCAGAAACTAGACAAGAGCATTTATTATGAAAATATGCAAATAAACAATTTTATGCATATTAAAAAAAATATAAATGAATATCTTTCCTCAATTTTCCCAAATAACTTGATAACTTCATTTTTTAGTGAGCGCAGTCACGTTCTTATTATCAATAAACATTCTATGAGCCTGTGTTACCTTCCATCAGCCATGGGAGGCACTATACAGACGGGGCGATTTTCAGTGCTATTCATAGCCCGGCCTAAAACAGGCTCCCCACATTTCTGAAAAAAAAAAGGAAAAAAAAGAAAAAAAAGAGGGCAATTAAACATTCGTGCCTTTTATATTGTTTTATAATGAAATGTTACACGAGTGACTACTATTGGCATCTTTAATATTATAATAATTATTGTATTTTTCAGCAAATAAGAGAAAATTTCAGAAAAAATAAGAGAAAATTATTGGACAAATAAGAGAAAATTATTGGATAAAATAAGAGAAAATTATTGAACAAATAAGAGAAAATTTTAGGTCAATTAAGAGAAAGTCCAAGAAAAATTAAGAGAAAAAAAATGGCAATTAGTAGAAAGCACTTTTCTCACTATTATTAACAAAAAATGGATATTGACTTTGATATGAACGAAATTTCTCTACGCGACGATGACATTGAAGCTGTACCTGAAATCATTGTCAGCGTAATGTCAATGATGAGAAAGAAGTGGGAGTACAACATCACTGCATCAGCCATGGAGTTAGATGAAGATGCGACGATGGAGCTGAAGGAAGGGTACGAGGGTGATGAGGCCAGCAATAGCTCGGATAAGGAGGAAAATGAAGCTGATGTACAGGGTAGTGAGAGCGATTTGAAAGAAGAGAAGCCTCTCAGAGATCTGGCCGAAAAAAAAGACGCCGCTAGCAATGCTAGACGTGTGTACACTCAGCAAGATATCAACAAGCTTATTTCCCTGTTAATTGAACAGGTTCCTGTAAAAGATGCAGCTTTAAAAACAGGAATAAATGAGAAATCAGCTTACCGTTTCAAATCGCAATGGCAGAAAACAGGGGAAATACCTCAACAGAAAAAAAGAGGGCGCAAAATGGGAACTGTCTCTGAGCTTACTGAAAAACACACAAAGTTTATTACCGACATTGTTGATGAGTGTTCAACTGCAACTGTAGCTGGAATACACGAGTTGTTGCTCAAAGAATTTCCAAGTCTCTCCGTGAGCCCATCCGCAGTATACAGACATCTTAGAACCAGCTGTGCACTATCTATGAAGAAGTTGGAGAAAATTTCATCTGCTAGAAACTCGGAAGAAACTCTTAAGAAGAGAAAGGAGACCATCCTTCAATGGCTAGCTGATAAAAATATGGACTTTGAGAATAATTGCGTTTTTTTGGATGAAGTAGGGTTCAATTTACACATGACACGCACTCGTGGCTGGTCCAAGATAGGAGAACCTGCTAAAACAACTGTCCCTGCTTCAAAAGGCACCACAATAACCATTCTTGGTGCCATCTCTAGCGCCGGCATTATTGACATCTCTTTGAGAAAGCCAATATTAGTTTCGGGAGCTAAGAAGAGAAGAATAGATGGGAAGATTGTTACAACGACAGCTAAGGTTGGAACTAGGACTGAGCACTATTTAAATTACTTGAGTAATGTGATGGATGTTCTTGACCGAAATAATATGAAGGGCTTTTACTTGGTAATGGATAATGCTCCCATACATAAGCCAGCTACAGTAAGAAACTTAATAGAAAGCAGAGGCTATAAGTGTGCATATCTTCCGCCGTACTCACCATTCCTAAACCCAATTGAGCTATTCTGGTCGAAGGTGAAGTATGGCGTCAAAAGAAGCCCTTTCGAAACTGGTGAGACACTCACACCCAGAATAATGGATGCCTGCTCCAAAGTAACTAAGAAAGACTGCCAGGGCTGGATTCGCCATTCTCTCAGATTCTTTGAAAAGTGTTTAGCCCTGGAGAAAAACTTATGAGATTTAAGTATAAGTAAATTTTTTGCTAATTGCCATTTTTTTTTCTCTTAATTGACCTAAAATTTTCTCTTATTTGTTCAATAATTTTCTCTTATTTTATCCAATAATTTTCTCTTATTTGTCCAATAATTTTCTCTTATTTTTTCTGAAATTTTCTCTTATTTGCTGAAAAATACAATATAATAATAAAAAGACTAGTAAATTCAATGAGACTGAACATAAATAAGCTGAAATCCCTTTTTTTATATTTTGTCCAGGTACTTTAAATTTAGAGTAATTAACCCTGTTTACCTTATTTTGAATATCGTCGAATTATTATAAAATTTTACTTCATTTTACATGGTGACATTGCCCCCTTTCCAGGTGGGAGTTATGCTTTTCTGTGAAGATTATAATGGGCATGTTGAAATGAGCAATGTACTTTATGTAAGCTAAGCATCATATGATTATGTTGCGATATATAGAGTGATAATGTAAAGTCATATATCATATGAAATGAAAAAGTTGCGGTTATATAAAATATACTATACTAGGAAGAATGAAATAAGCAATATACAAATAAAATAAATTATGGTATATAGTTGCTATAATGTAACTTATCTGTAGTGTGGCTGCGTTCACTAAAAGTGAAGCTATAAAGTTATTTGAAGAAAATGAGGAAAGAGAGAATCTTGTTTGTTTGTTCATTCATTGATTATGTATATTCTTCTTCCTATTTCTGTATGACTTTTAACTTGTTGATGACTACTATAATATTAATAGAAATATTGCACATGCTTTGATGACAATCAGCTTCAAGGCGTTGAAATCAGAAAGTCGACTTATCATCATATCATTGCTCACAAACTTTAGGATGAAATAAAATTATTTAGAACAGAAGGAGGAAGATGGTAACACATTCTTTGCTAGTATTATATTGCCTTAATGATTGTTTCCTGATAAAGTATTAGTTTTTAAGTAATTTAAAAAAAAACTATGATATACTAGGTATCATTCTAATTTTGTTCGGCTAATCGTTTATATGTTTGTTTATTTACAAGTCATTGTCTGTTAAACATCAACTGTATATCTCCTTTCATTTTGTATCATTGTATGGTCATTTAGACAACAAGCAGTAGTGTATTCTGTGTTTGCCTCAAAATATAAAATGAGCATGGTTATTAGGAGCATAATAAAGAGGCGGATGTATGTATATGTATATACATATATATATAAAAGATATGAATGATAAAGCTTTACATAATACAGTTAGATTTTACGAGATGGATCTTTGTTAACCTTTGCTATTAAATACATTTAGATATTTTATTCTGCTTCGTTTCAAGTTCGCATAATAAATATTATTTTGTTGCTGTTGTTTGTATCCCTTGTCACAGTCATGTAAACACCAATACTTCCAACATTTGCAGCAATATAATGAACGTGAAGTTCAAAACCATAAACTAGTATATTCTTGCTATTATCTTTTGTGACTAGTTTGTTACATATAGAAGCACGATTTACTGATCGATTAGTCTCAAACACTTTAGTAATTATCTTTCTTAATAAAGCTAATACTTCTGTATGATTTAAGGAAACAGAACAATTGTTTTGTCTGGTAGGTTTGAACTATGATGATCTTTTTTTTTGCTGTTTCTCAATTTACGTTCTACTTTAAATAAAACCATTGCTAGCTTTGAATTTAGTAAACACTTTGTATGCTACACTATGCAGAATCATGCAGCTACAGGAACTGTTACTCCTTTTTTCCTGCAAAAATTTCAATATAGCGGTGGATTTGCTCAGGGTCGTGTTTATTCTTCTTTTCTCTTGTTATCAGAGAACAGAAATCACGCTCAAAACATTAGTAAGCACCTCCTAACTTTTTTCCAAGTTTTCCTTCAAGTTCTCTTTCATATGAATGTCATGAACCAGAAGAGGGAAAGTCGAAATCAGTCAATGTAGTGATTTTGCTATGTTCGTAAGCTAATCCCATGACTTTTGTTTGACTTTCAGGATAATAATAGTCCATATTTAGTGCAGTCCATTTATGGCTTGAAATATATACACATATACATATATACTGAAGTCTCGTAATAATCTCTTGAAAAGTGTCTAACAATGGTTTTTAAAATATCCTCCAACATTTTCTCTTTTTTTCCGCAATGACCTCTAATTCGTCCAATAAAATTTTCCAATTATCTTTGAAAATTTTTGCAACCAGCTCTTCGTAAGTTAAAATCCTGTACAACATTAACAAAGGGCTATTTTTTTTTTTTCTTTCTTTCTCAATCTTTCTTTTCCATCATCTTTGTCAATTAAAATGGGCTCTCCTAGTATTCTTACCAATCCCATGTTCAACATGGGCTTCCTTTTGGTTTCTATGCAATTAGCTAAAAAGGTTGATTGGAACGACCCCAATGTTGTAACTTATGCCAGAATGGGTTATTATGGTGCCCAAGTGCTTGTTGTTATAATGGCATACGGTTTGATTACCCTTATTAAGAAAAAGAATGGTAAGTGATATTATTTATTTTTTTGAAAAAAAACACGTAAAAAAAAAAAAAAAGAGAGAGAGAGAGAGAGAGAGGTAGGAAGAGAGAGCGGGGGGATTGGGAATATAGAATAGTGCATGAAATGATTGAGTACATGTAAATTGATGATGAATTATATAATAGACACTACTGTCTTGACATATAATGCTCCTCAAAGGCCCAGTATGTCTGGTGATTCATCTGCTCCTCAAACCATTACTACAACCGTTAGAGATTATGATGTTGAACAAGTTAAACAATTCATTCAATCTACCTTAACTTCTATTGTCATCATCTCTGTGATGCATTTCCAATTCAAGTTTACTCAACCTCTTTTAATGCAATCTATTATGCCTATTAAAAACTTGTTGACTCATAAGGAATCTTTGATCCATCTTTGGGGTGATGCTCCTGAAGGTAATCTTGCTAGACCTTTTGTTGCCGAGAATCCTCTTGGTGCTCTTACTAATATGTTTGGTGGCGGAAATAATAACGCTGCTGCTCCTGCTGCTAACACTACCACTGCTTCTACCAATAATGAACACTCTCATCAAGAATAAATAATACTCCAAAGTGTTTTTATAAAAAAAAAGAAAAAGAAAAAAGAAAAAATAAATATATTAATTTAGATGTTTTATTAAAAAAATAGTTATTGCATTTTTATCAGCCTACTTTTTTTTTTTTTTTTTTTTTTTTTTACATAATGTCTCCCAATAGAGTACAAGACATGTTTAAATGCATCAGTTTTGCTCGAGCTGTAATCAAGCGATATAAAAATTAAGGAGACTTAAAGATTATAATATGAAAGAATAAATATTTACAGTTTAATTTATTATTACATAATCAAATAGAATAGAATAGAATATGAATTATTTACAATGAAAGATATTAGAACAAAAAAGTAGGAGGGGAGTTTTTTTTTTTAGCAAGCTTTTTCTAATGGATCTGTGATTTTTGTATCATTTTGATAAGGAGTTGATATTTCTTCCTTCAAATCATTCTCTTCTACTATCAGAGAGATGTTGGTATCTTTAATCTTATTTGCTACTAGGAAAATAAATGGAAACGAGATAAAGACAAGGATCCAACAAATCAGACACTCCCAACGAAGACGAACAGAGGATGCATCAATGCCAAAGGCTATCGCTGCACCCGCTGACTGTACAGCCTTATAAAATCCAGCATAACGAGCCAAGAGAGCAGGGTCATTGGACATGGCCCCCATTAACCAATATAAATAAGTTTGATAGATGGAATCCGAGAACCCGTAAAAGATGAATAACACAAAGGGTCCTCCAAAACGATGACTCGTCCAGTGAATAGGGTCAGAATAAGTCGAAGCATCAAACGTTAATTGGAAAGCGAAACCACCTGCCCATACTATATTTAAGACTAAAAATAAAATACAGAGAGCTATTAAGCCACGTGTACGACGTTTAAGTGATTGAAGATCTAGTAAATAACCAAGCAAGCCAGATCCAGTCACTTGCATAGCCCAGTAGAGAAGATCGTTCAGGGCTCTTGTTGAAGGATCAAAATAAATTGAATTGATTTTGAATTGATAAGCATAAAACCAATTGGAAGCCAAGAAAGCAGGGACTAAAGCAAGCATACGCCATTCCTTCCATACCTTCACAACACCTTTAACTTCAGTTCTCCAATCAGCAGATTTCGAAACAACAACACGTGTACCATCAGATCGAATCACTTTAGAGGGATTTGCTAATGTGAATGAAAATAAGACACCTGCCAACATAATAATGACAAATGCCGTATAGGTGCCAGTAGAGACACCTCCTTTATTTGTATTCTTTAGATTCATTCCAAGTGTAATCAAGGATCCAATGATACCACCACAATTAAAGAGAGCCCAAAATATAGCTACAGATTTACCTTTATTCTTTTCTTCAGGATAGGACATCATGATCGCGCCTTGAGCAGACCAGAAGATGGCTGCTAAACATCCAAGGATAGCACCAGCTGCTACGACAAATCCAGAAACATGTTTACGATCATAAACCCAGAATGCAGCTGAATAAATGGCATAGCCAATTGATCCGATCTATATAAGATAATGAATAACAGAAAAAAAAAGAAATAAACAATAAACAAGTATATACAATAGGGAATACTTACTGTCAATGTATATTTGACACCAAGCGTATTTGTAATTGAACCAGCAAAGAACCCTACAATTGCAAAACAACCATAAAGCGCACCATTAGCAGCATCTGTTAGACCCACATCCGAACTCATAGATCCACCTGCACCCAGACCTGATAAGGCATTAAACATACCAGGACAACATAGACAAACAAAGCCCAATAATATGACTTGCACAACAGGTGTATTAAAATGATCATGTATAAGCATTTTTTTTTTTTTACAAAGAGAAATAAAAAAAAAGTAATAATAGTAAAAAAAAAAAAAAAAAAAAAAAAAATGTATTGATTTATTTTTATATTATTTTCAAAAAACGATATGAAACTAACGTTTTGTACTTTTCTAGGGATGTATTTTTTTTTAACCTCTTCGATAACCGCGGAAGATTATTTGTAAAAGCTAATAAATCACTTTATATGTAAAAGAAACAAACTATTATACGATTAATGATTAACGCATAATAATGGAAGAGGAAGAAATGACTGCATTTGTGGAACAATTGTCATAATAAAGCTACAATGAAGAAGAGCAGTAGTTAATCTCTTACTGCTGGCTATTATTGATTAATTCTTCCGATTTTGGTAATCAAACATATAAATTTCTATAGCACTGTTTCGAATTTTTTTTTTTTTTTTTGCAATTCATATTAATGAAAGCCTACTGTGTTTTTTTTCGTAATTTTCTCGCTTATAATTAATAAATATTCATTGTATATTAATTTTAGTTTGAGAATATATAAGACAAAAAAAAAAAGGAACTGAGTTTTTTTTTTTTTTTTTATAAATATAAACTTTCTTAAATCAAAATAAGGGTCAATACAAAATTTGATAATTATTAGGGACGTTTTTTGTTTCTAAATTTAGTAACCTCTTATCCGAGCGATCAAACTAGTATTGTTGATTGATTCCGCGGAATAAAAAATGAGTTTAATGATTTCCATAACAACAGCGAATTCTACATTATGCTTAAAATAGTAAATATTTAATTTTATTTAAGAAAGTAACTTGTTGCAAAATTTAATATATAATAGAAGAGAGAGAGAGAGAGAGAGGCTTTTTTTTTCCTGTCAATATTGATATGGAATGTTAAAGATGACCTTCATCCATTTTAGATATGATTTGATAAAAATCAACTTCTTTAATCACAGGACCGTTGTAAGTACATCTTGCTAATTTCTTTATAGCTTGACAAAGCTCATCTCTAGTAAATTTATGAAACTGGCCATGTTGATTTAAAGCATACCAAATTTCAGTTGATGTTAATAATCGTTGGCTTTTATTCTTCTTTTCGATATTTATCATTAAGCCTTCATTATCATTACTATTAAACAATAAACGATCGATTAGAGTATGATTGTCATCATTAAGACTATCTTTGTTTTCTTCTTTACTCAAGAATGGCTGAAGGGGGTCATGTTGTGTTGGAATTGATTTATTTAACTTTCCCTTTTGATCTGATAATGGATCCAATTGACCCCCACAGACTTCATATCGTAATTTTTCACAAAACAAATGCCGTTCTATATCAATATGACAATCTAACATGCTTGATTCAAGTTGTTGCATTCCTTTATATTGTGAATGCGTTGTGAAGTTATCATGATTGATACTACTTGTATTATCCTGCAGAATTATATTATTAGAAGAGGATGCTATGTTGGTGGTAAACATTTGATTATCATTCATATTATGAATTTTATCTGCTTCTTTATTATGATTCATAACTTCCTTTTTTGTACCATTAGTTATTGAAACTGTTTTGTTTGGTAATGACTTTTTCATGACTGTTGCATTATCATTATTATTTCCTTTTCTTCTAGACTTGATACTCTGTAGAGATTCATTTGGAGGATATAATTGAACAAGTTTTATAGGCTCTGATGGTTGTTTTGTTGCTTTTGATCTTTCAGTAGGCCTCAAAGAGGCAGGAGTAGAAATTGAAAATGTATACTCTAATGGTTGATTTGTAGTAGTAGTAGTAGCGGTAGAAGAAGAAGAAGATGGTTTTGATAGTATCTTTTTTACTGGTAGACTAGTTGGTAATGATTTAGTTATAGAGGAAGATAGGTCATGGTCTTTATTCTGCATATGAATAGATGATGAAATAGAAGAATAGGGCTGTAAAGGATCATTACTAGCTAATGTTTTTATAGAATTACTTGATAGAGTAGAAGAAGCTGTTGTTGATAAAAGACAAAAAGGTAAAGAAGCAATGGATGATGGATGATTTGTAATAGATAAAAGAGGGTTCATATTTGGAAATTGACTCGAGATATTCTCATTGAACGGATAAGAAGAAGAGACTGGAATACTTCCTTTTAATACACAGTTTTCTGCATCCAATCTTTGTATAACATCCCGGAGTTGTTGATTTTCCTGTACAAGTTCAGTTGTAACAATTAAATAGGTATCTTGAACTTGTTTTAATCTTGCTTCAAGCTCTTTAACATAACGCTCCTTTCTTTCCCTAAATGCTCTCTGTGCTGCTCTATTTTGAGCCTTTCTTTTAATTTTTGGATCTTGATCTAACTATACATAAGGTGCAAAACAAAATGTTTATTTATACATATATCTGTATACATATTTATATATGTATGTTTCAACTTTTATTATCCAAGAAAAAAAGATCTGTACACTTACGTCTGAAAGACTTTCTTCATTAGACATTGGCTTCCTACCTGGCTTTTTAGTATAAATACTAATAAAATCGTCACTGTCTAATAATTATTATAAAAATTAATAATTTTTTTTCTTTATAAAAAGTATCAAATTTCTATAATACCTTGCTGACTGCTGTCTTCTTCTTCTTCATGTGATAACTTTGGTAAAGTAAATTCTTCTTTCTGTAAAGTAACATTTGTTTCACCATCATTATCTTCTACAATGTACATAAAGCGTGAGTAAAAAAAATAAATAAATAAATAAATAAATAAATAAAATAAAATAAAATAAAATAAAATAAAATAAAATAAAATAAGCTTCTCTCCCAAATAGAGTCTATTCTAAATACAAATAAATAGTTACTTGCTGCTTTAACAATATTTCCTGTTAATTGCTTTTTCTCTGCAACTGTAAACGAATCATCCCATTTCCTTTTATCATGAAAAAATGGGTTCAAATCTAACATTGTATTCTCAATGCTATTTAACGAGCTGAGTTTAGTAGTAGTAGCAGCAGCAGCAGCAACAGTAATAGTTGAACCTAATAAGGCCCTTTCTACTGTAGTTGATACATTATCTATCTCATAAGCTTGGCTTATTGTATTATTTAATACTTCCTTCATAATGTTTACATAGGATAAACACGTACATACATACACAAAAGAGAGAGAAAGAAAAAAAAGAAATAAAGTTGGTTAAGTTTTATTAGATTAAAAGAAGAAAAAAAAGCATATCATACAAAAAAAGACCGTCATGTGTAATACGTTTGATATTCAAAAGTTAAAGTTTATATCACATCTCTTTTTTTTTTTTTTTAATAAAAGTCTATATAGACTTTGTTTTATAAATAAAGAAAAAAGAATATATGTATATAGATTTATTTATATGAATAACATTTGGTTAATTGCTGTTAAAGTATTCATTCTACCGTTCTTTAAAGTAGATTATTTTCGACACTTATTATTTACTGTAACATCTCTTTTATAAACAACTAAAATTTGTACTTTTAACCATTCCAAATTTAGGAACTGTGTATAAACTGACAGAAATTATTGGAAAGGGAAAAAAAAGGGGGAGGAATTATTATTTTAACAATTAGGATATGAATGTACTACATATGATGAGCTACATCATATTATATAGATGTGAGTATACACAAGATGCAATATGTTAATACTCCTGTATAAATATATTTGTATATGGAAAGGAAAAATAATATCATGTGCCCTTTTATATATGTATCTACATGTATGTATTTAGGAGTTCTACAATTCTATAATGTTGTAGTCATACTTCCTTACCGAAATTTAACAGAGCTATTCTTTATTTTCGGTAGGGATTTTCTTTTCTTTAGTTTAACAGTTAAAGTTTTATAAAACTTGGTAGTCATCTTGGCTTATCATGATAGGGCACGCAAAATTAATTTGGCCTAAGGAAAAGAAAAAAAAAGTGATTCTTTTGATACATGTTGTTGGAAACATAGATCATATTGTGACTGATTCAATTTGGTTAGTTTATAAAAAAAAAGTTTTAAATCAGGGCCAGTTTACTTATTTCAGATTAAACCGTTTTAAATGACTTGTCTTCTTCTTCTTTTATTATTATTATTATTATTATTATTATTATTATTATTGTTTTATTATTTTTTAAAGAGCTTTACAAGTTTTTAGTGGACATTCAAGATTTTTGAACAAAACCTAAAGGGGGTCTTCTCGACTTAGCTTCTAAGATAAAACGTCCTAAAAAAAAGTAAAGAGAAAGAGAACAAGATGGATATCAATTGCGTTACTGGACACGGAGGAAATGCGGACTAGAAGGCTTTCCAACAAAGCATTAAACAAACCTATTGAGGTAAGCAGAGCTATTGATATTTGCACAAAATTTATCATTCTCTGTGTTACTTGCTTGTGTCCTGAAGAGGGGAGAGGGTGGAGGAGGGATACTGCCACTATTGTATGAATGCCTTCTACGAAGCGCGTCATAATAGTACTATATAACTCATATTACTTGAAAATTAATTTGGGTGGTATGATTATTACAAACAGTTTGCAAGTGCGATCAACAACAATAAACGTCAGCAAAATGGTAAAGATGTTACGGTCAAGAAAAAAAAAAAAAAAAAAACTCCCCACCATGAATTTTTCTGTTATAGGGTTTTCGAGGTACACATACACATACTAAAGATAAAACTACCATAAATATATAGGCTCATTTCTACTGAGTATATTCCATCAGCAAAATAAATGTGACAATAACCTAAGGCACTTTTTAACAAATAAAGTCTTAACAGGTCAATATAATTGACATTGCTATCATGCATCAAAGATTGATAAAAGTCATTAAAGTAATAAAATTCCAATATTTTAACTAAATAATACAACGACATATGCGCATATATGTGTACATATATAATATATTATGTAGAAACAATATATTGCTTGTTTGCATTAGCCTCGAAATATTTAGCATAGGTGTAGTCCTTTATTTTTCATTTGTTAATGTTGTTGTATCAATTTAGTAAGAGGTTCCATCTAGAAGGAAGTCTCGAAAGCGTAAGAAGCTAATAACAACCCAAGAAAATCTCTTGACTGTTACCACCATTTTAGTACACCTTTATTGCACGCTAGAACTAGTTTACACAATTTTAATTAGAATTGAAATGATGCTGTATAGTGATTTGCGTTTGAAATTTAAGATTCTGGATAATAAAATTCAAATTTTTAGCCAGCCAATCAAGTATTTTTTTAGTGCATTCAAAATTTCCTGTTACCATTCAAGTATTTTTTTTTTTCTATTGATGGAAAATAATAATAATAATAAATGTTGAAGGTGAAGCTGTGAGTAGAGGGACAAACTTCTGACAAATGATTATTACTGAGGTTGATTCATCCAGCTGTACTGATATAATCAAAGTATGAATGCTTATTACTAGCTTCTTTCTATCTTCTGTATTTAAGGTCAACGATCAAACTTATTGTTATCGGTATCTTATTTTCTTTTCTTTTCTTTTTATTCCATTGCTAAATCTTAAGCTACCTTTCGTTGAACCTGTGGGGTCTTCCATCACTAGAATCACCAGGACAAACAAGCTAAAATTCCCTTGCTCATTGACTAACATCGCTGTGGATTTTATTCTATTTCTGAAAGCTACTTGGAAAGGAAGAGAGTTTATAAAACAAACAGTCGAAGCTCTAAATAATCAAAAGCGAAACGCTGTTCAACTCGTTGAAAACACTTCATTACCTTGTTCATTTGTACGCAATTAATAGTATCAATCTATTCGATTTGATCATTTTATTCCTTATTATTATATGCATATAATCTTTCGCGATAATTAATATCTTATAATAATAGAGTTAATAGTTATTCAGAATTAAAGTACAATATTGTTTATTTTTATTATTATTTTACATAGAATAAATGATACAAAATAATCATATACAAAACTAAAAAAAAGACAAAGAAAAAGAAAAGACTCTCTTTGTTTTAATACGAAAAGCTTTTACTTACAGAAATAACCACAAGATGAATGATCAACGAGTTTACTTTTCAACAAAGGAGGATAGTGGAGATGTACAAGACAAGCTTCCGATATTAAATAAAAAAGCCTTCTCACCCTCCCAAATCAGCTTTTTGCATCAATGTATAATTGACCTTATTGATGAGAGTCTGATAAACAATACAGTGAGAACCTACAACCGCATAGAATTTGTGGACGATCATTTTCAGAAAGTAATAACAAATCATTGCCACCAACATACGAAAAAATAATAAATTTTCAGATATAAAACGACCAAATTCACTTGAATACCTAGGGCTCTTTTCTCTCCCCTCCCCTCCAACTTCGACTTAAAAAAAAAAAAAAAAACCAAAGGAGAATGAATCACATTACGTATGGAGGTTTTTCTTACTACAGAGAATCTATTGACTTCCAAGACTAACATCAACTTTATTACCGGAGGAAGGATGCAAAGCTTGATTATTATTTTTTTTTAATGCATGGTAATACAGTGATAAAACATCGACTCTCTTCATTTATTGATCCTTAAGTAACAAAAGAAAATTTGATACAAATATCATCTTACTTAAAGTAGCACAGCATCACTACTAACTACTACTAAGATTATTATTGTTCAATTTTTTTTCTGCAGCAGAACCTTCTGTCAAAATTAAAAAAAAAAAAGTGACTCCGCCAAATAATTTGGCAAAAAAATTCAGTAATAGAGTGTGCTATGACTACTTTCGTGACTAGTCTTTTTGGAAAAAAATTTTTTTTTTCCTTCTTTACTGCTATTGTTGTGATTTTCAATCTCGAGATAAATAACGAGTTTATTTTCATTTCCTTCCTCTTCTTTTTCTCTCTTTGTTTTTTTTTCTTTACTCTTTTATACATATTTAAACATGTAAAAAAGGTAAATATAATTCCAATTAGGGAAATAAAATAAAAAAAAAGTGTTTATACTGATGAATGTAATTTGCGTCTGATAACTCATGAGGGCTCAACGTCGGTACCACGGTGCTTGTCACTCGTGGAGGACCCACCGACGTCCTCGTGGATGAAGTCAACTTGCCTACGTCTGAATTATACTTTTTTTTTTATTATTATTACTATTATTAAAATAAGTTTTACATGAATGCTAATTTATTATATTATTTAGGTTATGAAATATATCGTATGTGCTATATATGTATTTTTGTATCCTTTATATGTGTTTTCCCTTTTTTTTCCCTTTTTCTTTTTGTTTATATTTTTAATAAAAAAAATTTTTTTTTTTTTGGTTAAACAATCGTATTTTTTTTTTAATGAATAGCTCAACTAATTATGATTGACAGCTTTATGAATATTAAATGAATCAGGTTGATTTCTGTAACCGGTTAAATTAGTTAATTATAGATCAAATCAACTTTTATAGCCTTATAATCAAAGTAACTTTAGTATTATTATGTTATGTCGTTGTTTCATCCTTATACCTTTGATAGTTTATTAGTATTATTGAGTATTTTTTTTTTGATATTTTAACCTCAATGATAAAAATAACTTTATTACGATACTTATTGCATGTACACTCTAATTAAACGAATATTCTAATGAATAATAATAATAATAATAATAAAAGAAGGTTTATTTTCCAGTCATTAGTATATTAAGAAGAAAAAGAAGATGAAGATGAGTGGGGAGGTGTAGGATGTTGATGACTATTAGTAGAGGGAGTAATAGATAATTGTTCAAACATTGTATGATGCCTAGGTGATAATGATAATTGATCATAAGAGGGAAGTGAATTTGATAAAGGTACAGCTTCTTGTAATGCTGCAGTACGATAAGATGGAACACGAGATAGATCTTGACCATTCCACCATAGGGGGTCTCCTCTATCAGATGATGTAAAGGAAGGTCTATTATTAGATGGAAGCTCCATAGTGGACCTATTATGATTATTATGATTATGATGATTATTATTATTAGTAGTAGTATTATTATTATTAAAGTGTTCTGATGATGAGGGTTGTGGTATATCGATCGCTGGAGTCGTTGTTAAACCTTCGACACAAAGTGTAGTTTGCCATGCTTGTTCATATGCTGGTAGGGTATTGATTTCAGTTTGTTCTGAAAAGGAGGAAATAATGATGATGGGTACTGAGCAACGTAATTCAGAGAGATGGCCATCTGCATTGATAAGACAGATGAAAAACTTGAGTTTATGTCGAATACGAATCATTTCATTATCAGCATCACAAAAGGCAAGATGAGATGATAAAGGTGGAATCTCCAAGACCAATTCTTTTGTCCAAATGATCGATATCGGATTATGCTCTGTCAAGACAGGACAATTGACAAAGGGATCCTCTACACGTACTTGTCTTACAATTCGATTGTCTGTCTTTGAACTTTCACTTGTTGAATAAGTACAATATTCTTTTAAGGTACAAGTCAGTGAACGAACTCGTAATTGAGTAGCGAGTGGGGTGATGTTGAAGTTGACAGGTAAACGTTGTCCTCGTGCATATACTTTAGAAGGTAACAAAATATTATAAGCGATCTTCTCTGCCCAAGTATTATGGATCTCCATACTTTGCATTAATTCAAATTCAGAGGGTAACATACAACGTATGATCTTGACTGTTTGCTTTTTCACTATATTTTGTACAAATGCTGTACGTTCAACGACGGCCTTTAAACGATATACTACCTGTCCACCTTCTGCTTCTAAGGATTGTGGTAAATTTCCAGGTAAAAAATGTTCAAAATTCCATTTGTGTTCACCAGCTGCTAAAGTAAATACTGTCTTTTTGCTAGTAGTAAGTTGATGATCTGTGACAATAGGTATAAATTGCCACTTGTGTTCAATAATTTCTTTTTCTTGTTTATGATAGTGTTGATGATGTCCAATTCCTAAACAGACAGACACACACACATATATATGTATTAGGGTAAATAGAAATACTGACATTATTCATTTGTTTCCAAGTAAAATTTTATTTTTACCTTCAGACCAAGATACTTTCATTTTACCCGTAAATACTAACGTAACTGAACGTACTTTGGTAGGCTCTGACAAGAACAAAGTGATGGTTCCTTTTAATAATTTTCCTGCTGATTCAGAAGCGTTCCCCAGCAATATTATTTCATTATCTTCCAAGTCTATTTTTAATTCACTTGTTTTATTTCTCATTGTATCTAAATACATTATATAGTAACTAGTCCATATATAAATTCTTGATTTCAAAGCCCTTTTGAAAAAATAATAATAATAATAATAATAATAATAAAAAAAGAGAACAAAAAAAAAAAAAAAAAAATATGGTTGAATTTAAAAAAAAAAAAAAAAAATTTCTTTTTCATTACAACTGAAACCAGTAACGTAGTAACAAAAAAAAAAAAAAACTTAAACCTATTTCTGTTTCTATTAACTAACTAACTATTATTATAATTACTACTGACTGGACGAATTAAAACGGCTGCGCAAAATAATGAAATTTATTTGCATAGTCTGTATGAGCACCAATATAAAAACCACCTAATGATTTACTAACGTCCATGGATCGAACACTGGGATCAAGCCAATCTTGAACAAATCCTATTTGCTCCGGTAATCCGATTTCACCGATAGCCTGTTCGCCCATTAAAAGTGTTCGCAATAAAATACCTAAAGTGATATCCTTTTTTGAATAGTAAATCAGTGTCTTTTTTTGTCCTAATAATAATCCATGTGTTGTCCCCTTTTTAATATGATCTACAATATCTCGTGCTACCAAAGCTGGCGCACACAAATGAATTGAATCTGGCCTGATTATTTCTACTTTTAGCTATTTTTTTTATTTTAGTTAGACACCATAATTACCTTTCTTCAAAATTCATTAATGAACATGCTTCTACAATATGTCTACAGCCCAAGGAATGACCTACTACTCTTAAATAATCATGTTTTCTACGTAAATCTAATAATCGCCAAGCCAACATTTCTGCTCTTTCATGACTTTCTTTGGTTGCTATATTAAATTGATAGGCTAAACGTGTTGCATGAAGCCCTATATCGAGTGCAATAGCACCTGCAATGGATGTTGGCGTTGGCAACTTGAAATTTTTAAGTTGTTTAAAGTTCTTTAAAAGTAAATAAGCTGATGATCCAACTGAAGCAATGGGTATAGGAATATTAGAATTAGAATTTCCTGATGGCCAAGAGTAACTTTCCTCCCCCCCGTCAATGTTAATACACAAGTAAACAAATATATATACGTATTCAAAAAAATTACCCTAATGCTTTTGAAGACCATTGATGAGTTGGACTTAAAACAAGTAAACGATGTGAATGCATCCAATCTTCAAAATTATCTGGTGAATCACCTTCAGCTAAAAAGCCTTTTACATAAACGGTTACTTCAGATCGTTCATGACTAGGTCGTGATAATACTTTTAATGAAGGTAATTCTGTAAAATATTTCTTTCTATTCTTGATGACATTAACTGCAATTTTATTTGACATTTTTTTTTTAAGAAAAAAAAAATAGAAAAGTAAAGGAAAAAAAAAGACATATATTTATTATTATTATTATTATGAACAAGGGATATTATATTTACAAACTATATGTCTTCTTTTCTTTTTTTTTTTTTCTTTTTTTTTTCTTTTTTTTTTCTTTTTTTTTTTCTTTTGTGTGTGTGTGTGTGTGTGCGGGTGGTGGTGGTGGTGGTATATATTAGCTTGTTGGACAAGATAAATCATAATAGGGTATATGCCTTCTAGTTGTCCAAGCAAATCCAGAAATTTGAATTGCAATATGAATTGTAATATTTAATACATCTTGTTTATTGTCAAAGGGCATATTGGACGTCACTTGTACACCACAAGCATTATATAAATCTTGAAACGTTGTATCATTAGCTATATCTGAAGCATAATAAATTGACATGGGAATTGTAATAAATGATTTCTTTTTTGCTGGTAAAACGAGAAAACCAGAGGTGCCAGTACCAAAACTTGCATCTGTATTATCATCTGAAATGGTCATGTCAATATATTGAATACGTGTAGGGACCCAATTGTTTGTATTATCCGCTGTCATATTCATTAGCCAATTTGCTGATAAACTCTTCTTTGTGCTATTCGTAATTACTTGAATGGAACCAATGTTGTCAACGTCATTTAAAGACAAAACGGGAATACGTGGCCATACAAAATACCATACGATAATAACGACTACAAATAATAAAAATAAAATAGAAGCTGCTGTACGATAACGCAATCCACAAATTCGCTTCCTTTTCCTTCTTCTTTTATCAATATCAGGTAAATTCATCATTTTATCTGTAAATTCTAGATCATTTCCTTGTTGAGAGGCCTGGTTATTGAGTGAGTCTGGTGGCATACCATCATGTAACATGGATCCTATACCTAGTGTAGTAGACGCTGGTGCTGCATATTCTTCAATATAAATTGGCTCACTTTTTTGATTAGGATCTCTTGCATGATGTGAATAAGGTAAATATGAATTAGCTCTATCATTATTTACCGTTCTCCATTTCTTGTGTTGAGTTTTTGCATAAGGGTCTTCATATTTATTAGATGTTGAAAAAGGGATCGCATTTGCATATAATCTACTTGTACTACTATCTGATGCTGTTCTAGAATGTATGACATCAGAAACTGTACCATCAGAGAAAGAATCTAAAAGAAAAGAAAAGAAAAGAAAATAGTTTTAATATTTACTATATAAAAAGGTACATATTGAGCATTACTATTACAATTACCTAAATGTTGATTTTTTTTAGCTATTCTATAAGGGTCATTATCTTCATAAACAGTTTGTAAAGAAGACTGTCGAATATGATAATTTTCAGGCTGTGTTGGTGGAGACTGACTCATGTACAAAAAAAAAAAAAAGAATAACAGGTATAAAAAAAATAAAAAAAGACAGAAAATAAAGAGGGGTTTCTTTTCTTTTCTTTTTCTTTTTACGTTAGAAAAATTCTGTAAAAAAAAAAATGTACATCTCCTTATATGGAATAAAAATTTAAAACAAAAATAAATCATGATTGGCTAGTGTAACCATACATGTCAACATTGATTATAGAACAGGTTCATATGAAGTTTGATATTTATCTTTTATCTCGTTGTTTCTTTTACGATTAAAGAAGAATTTTATTTTAAAAGAAAAATTAAAAAATGACCAATGAGCACATAGCATTTATATATGCTGTTTTGCCCTGGTCAGATCGCTATGGAAAAAAAAAGGAAAAGAAAACCCCTTTTGGGATATAAAAGGGAAAATATTAAAGTATATGTATAAATGATGATGATTAACTATGAGAAAATCATTGTTGTATTGGAAGAAGATGATGGTCAGAAGGTTCAGGGATTTGGGAGTGATGCTAGATAGCCCATCTCCAAGCAGAATTGTACATTTAGAAGGCGTTGTTTCTTATATAGTATTTCTACTTTAAATTCAGACGATGTTAGTTTTTTTTCTGGACGAATCAAAATTAACTTTCAAATATTTAGCTTACCTTTTTTAGACAACCGAAGAAGTGAGATTAGTTTTTAAACAAAGTAAACATAATTTTCAGACACTTACCTATAAAGCATCTAAACATTGATCCGATACTCTGGTTACCCATGACACACAGTGAGCGTAGTCGAACTATTCGATGGCGTCTTAGTTGGTTACTCGGAGGAATACCTAAAGCCTGCCCATATCATCCTCATGTACACTTTTAGTCGGTCACACGCCACTGAATGCTTGCACATGCACACCCGTTTATTCTTGCCACGATCAATTGCAGATCCCCTTTCCTTTCTTTTAAATCATCTCCCTCAGCATAAGTACCAAAATTCTCAGAATGTTTCTGACTGGCTCTATCGTTGGTCAGTTATGTGTACCATTCTACAGGAAATGGATTAATTACTACACGACAAACTACACCCCCCCCTCCACTTCTTGACCCAGGCAGGAAATTTCTCAACTGATTGTCCCTTTAAACTTGTTAGCAATATTCCTCCTTTTTTTTCTCACCTTCTCTTTTTCCTTTCCTTTACCTTTTTAACCTCTTTTCCCATAAGAGGGTTTTTAGATACTTTTTTTTTCCACATAATTTGAACTGACCTGAGCAATCCAATATAATAAAGATATTGATGCGCCCATAGGTTCGTTTTATAATAATAGTAATAAAAATAATAAAAAATGTTTAATTGTAATAGAAGCATGATCTTTAAAATCAAGAACAATTGCGGAATATTAATTTATTGAATTTTATTTCTATTCGTTTTTTTTTTTCCTTTGATCATTCAATCATGCTCAATGTAATCATCTTTAGTCTAACATTTATAATTCTATTTCTATTAAGACTCTGGCTCATTCTTCCAAAACAAAGTAAATATAATATTCAAAAAAGACGCACAAAAGCATGTAAGACGTGTATTTTTCTAGGTTCAGGTATAAACGAGAGTGATGTATAGATGATATATGCAAACTAAAATAAACTAATTTTATATTAGGTGGACATACAGCAGAAATGTTACAGCTTGTCAAATCCCTTCATCCAATAACATATTCACCAAGATCTTATATTATAACCAACACGGATATCTTGAGTAAAGAGAAAGCAATTGAACATGAAAATAGTCTAAAAAAGGTAAATTTCTATTTTTTTTTTTCCTATTTATTTAAAAAAAAAAAATAGGGGAAATTTGACATATATACGATACCCAGAGCTAGAGAAGTTGGACAATCATGGTTAACTGTGCCCAAGACAGTGATAGTTGCATTGTTAGCTTCCATAAGAGTGATGCTTTTATCATGGCCAGACCTGGTAATTATATTATTGGCATTGTAAAATAATAGTAATTACTCATGCTATCGATTAGATTATTTGTAATGGACCTGGTAGTTGTATACCTATTTGTATGTTGGCCTATCTACCAAGAGTAAGTATGAAATCAAAAAGAATAAAAAAAAAAAAAGAATAAATATTTATTTCTGAGGCTTGATAGATGTTAGGCATTAAAAAAATTGAAATTATCTATGTGGAATCATTTGCTCGAGTACATACTCTTTCTTTAACTGGTAAATTATTATATCTTTTTGTAGATCGGTTTTTAGTTCAATGGCCAGAACTGAGTCATCGTTTTAATAAAGCTGAATATAAAGGTATCCTTGTTTGATAAATTGCATCGTATATAGATTTATCGAACTTTTTATTATGTAACACTACTGTATAAATATCTGAATTTATAAATATTTGCATTTTTTTTTTTTTTTTTTTTTTTTTTGTTTGATTTACTACATTTAAAATTCTTTTGCGCAGCTTTTTTTTTTTTTTTCCTTATTATTAAAAAAAAAAAAAATGAAAAATATGGCAAAGTTACGTTCTCGAATAGCAACATCCAAAGCGAAAGAAGCTACAAAAATTGAAAAACATTCTATAAAGAAAAGAGTGACAAAGAATAGTACTCAAAAAGCAATTATACAAACGTTTGAAGCAAATGATGAAGATATTAAAAGTATATAAAAATATAATAAAGTATAGGAGAGAAAAGGAACATTAATAAAAAAAAACTTTCTTTATAGCTGTTCATCCATATCCAAGGACTCAAAAAGAAAGAAATGGATTCATCAATTCTAAAACGGGTAGAAAAGTGACTGCCTTTCAATTCCAGGTATATGATCTTATTGAACAGATACCAAAAGGTCAAGTTACTTCTTATAAAATCTTGAGTGATGCCTTAAAATCTTCCCCTCGTGCTGTTGGTCAAGCTTTACGTCTCAATCCCTTTTGTCCATTACCTATACCTTGTCATCGAGTCATTGCCTCTGATTATACTCTAGGCGGCTTTGGGGGTGGCTTTGGTGACCATCAATTAACTGCAAATAAAAAGGCTAAATTAGAGGCAGAAGGATGTGTTTTTGGCGATCATTATCTTTATAAAAATGACGCTAATGGATTAAGAACCTTTTTTAGTGATTTTGTAACAAATAAAATCAAATGAATAGTTACATGTGTATATATTAGTTATTAACAAAGAAAGAAGAAGCCTTTTATATATAGATGTAATAATAATAGTAATGATATACACAAATAGATAGTATATATGCATGTTTTATAGTGGTAAATTTAATATCCGTGATGATATATTTTCACGATCCCATCAGCACCTCCACTAATCAACCAAGGATAGGTTGGATGAAATTTAACATTTAATACACCTTCATCACCTTTTCTACGATGTGCTGAAAATTCTTGTACACATGTTTTCTTTGATAAATCCCATAAACGTATAGATGAATCATGACCTATAGTCATATACTTATAATTCTAAACTCCGTCATTATGATCATTTTTTTTTTCTTTTTGCACTTACCACCTGATACCATGTGTGTGCTTGTTGAATCAATATCTAAACTTGTAACTGCATCTAAATGACCTGATACAGTCTCTGTACACTCTCCTATCATATATTCATTTAATCTGTTACAATCACAATCTTATTAAGCCACAAAAAAAAAATTCTCTTTCTCTTTCACTCTCTTTACCTGATCTTATGTCAAAAAATTTTATATATCTATCTTCATGTCCAGTTACAATCATTGGCATAGTTGGGTAAGCGATAATTTTATTGATTTGTGTATTCACTGTATTATCTATTATAATAAATTAGATATACCATCTATCTTGTTATGTAAAAAAAAAAAAAAAAACTCTTACCATATGTGTCATCGCTTCCTTTAAATGTCATAATCACTTGTCCAGTCTCAATATCATATAATCTAATCTTGGCATTAACAAAAGATACAACCAATTTATTTATATCTGTATGACAATAGTCAAGCGATGTAGGTGCAACTAACGAAAAATATTAAAATATATCAGCATATCAAAATCTACCTTTTATATGTGTGTATACATATACCTTTATTTAGTTCAGTATCCTCTGTTAATATACCATCAAATGTCAAAGAACTCTTTAATAAACTTCCAGTTGATTCTGTATCCCAAATTTTAATAGTGCCATCTGCTGAAGCAGAAGCTAATAAAGTTTTCTGATACTTTGTTGATGAAAATTTAAAGTCCCAAATAGCATCTGTATGTCCGATATAGGTCGCCATATTTAATGAAGGATCTAATATAGGTATGAGTATATTTTATTTATCTTTTTTTTTATATATGGATTGATCTCTCTTACCAACAGGTGAAAATAAACCATGATCCTCAGCTGGTAACTTCCAAACACGAATTGTAGAATCTAATGATGCAGAATATACTTTATTCTGTAATTCTGAAATCAAAACTCCTGTAACCGCATTCGTATGACCTCTAAATGTAATACATGGATCCGCTTCTTCTAGTGCTCCTCTATGAAATAAATCAAACAAACAAACACAAAGATTAAAAAAAAATTTCTTTAATTGTTCCAAATTTAATTATATACTTTTTAGGCGCAATTCCATCCTTTCCAGTAGCTCTTTGCAAGTTCCATATTTTAACAGTACCATCGTCTGATCCAGATGCAGCAATCATTTCCTTTGGGTGAAAACATACCGCTCTTACTGAATCTAAATGTCTAATAATCATTTTTAAAATTGAATACATATATTTTTTTCTATAAGAAGCCGTCTTTACGCATCCTCTCCTCACTCACTCACTCTCTCTTTTTTTTTTTTCTTTTTTTTTTACCCTTTTATCGTTATTCTAGGTTTCCAAATCTTTGGTTGATTTTGTTGTTGCTCATTTATGTCCCCAATCTAACACAATTGTAATTTAATATGAAGAAAAGATTCCCCTTAAAATTTAAAACAAACAAACAAACTTACTTGGTTAGGGTCAAAATCTCCCGCTAATAAATGCTCATTATGCTGTAACTTATTTCGATCGTTTTTATTAGCGTGTTTCATTAATTTCATTACTTTCTCCTCTGATAAATGAAATTTTTCTTGAATTTGCATTGACTTTTGTATATAAAAAAATTAATAAATGTAAAAAATATATAAAATGAAACCCTCCTTACCAAAGACTCATTATCCTGTGATGCAGAATATTGTTCCTTTTCCTCCTTAATATTATTAATCATGGCTACCTCATCCACATTTGCAGGCACCTCCATATCTAAATCGTCTTTTAATGGATCTATGATTGGTTTCTTTTGAACTGGGTTTGAAAAATAACTATTTTGCTTTTTGACAGTGAGTTGCTTGTTATTGCGTTGAGAACGTGTTCCTGTAGCTGGTGGATCTGTATCATGACTATTATCCATAGTTGAAGTTTTCCCTACAGCTGTTGTTCTTGTTGCTAATGCATTCGTTAGTGGAAGTCGACTTGGAATTGAAGTTAAATAATTAATTTCTTGAAGACATCTTAAGGAGCCGAGAAAAGAAAAGAAAAGAAAAAAGGAGAAAAGGAGGAAGAAGAAAATTAGACAATTTAAGATGAAATAATTAATAATAATCGACTTACGATTTTAATACTTGTCGACTTTTTTCTTTTAGTTTATTATCCACAGTCGATGATGATGAAGCTAATAGATAAATAAAAAGAATAAACCAGTTACTCGACATTGTTTAATTAAAAGCATATATGTATATTATGTATTTTTTTTTTTTTTTTTTTTTTTTTTTTGTACTTGCGAATCGTATTTCTTATACTAGCTTTGACATTAGGCTGGTCTTCTAATGTTGTTGTTGTTGTCATAGTTATGCCATCATGTCTTTTTCTTTTTATTTTTTTTTTATTAAAAAAATAATAAGTATATATTATGTATTCACGTTAAAATACAAAATACCTTTCTTGTCTTAAAGCATATTCAAGCATTTTAACTCGTTTCATTAATACCAATCTTACATTTTCCATTCCTCTTCTTTCACCTTCTAATAAAGCAATACGAGCCTATTAAATAATTAGTAAATAAACATTTTAAAGCAAGTAAAAATGGCGTATATATAATTTACTTTTAATTCTGCTCTTTCAATAGCCCATTCATTTTTTTCACGTTCAAACTTTCTCCACTCGACTTGTAAAAAGTGTAATACGCCAGGTAAAGTATATTCCATGGTAGATGATAGTTCTGACATGTATTAATTTAGCAAAATGAATTATATTGGCATAAAAAAAAAGAAAGCTTGATTTCCAGTTAATTCAATCCTTTTATATTTTAATAACAACAAAGAGATAAAAAGGAAATATATCTTATAAATTGCCTTTAAATTGTAATATTAAAAAAAAAAGGGGGAGAAAAGTAACCTTGTGACGTAATATAAATAAATCTATTTTGTTATGCAAGTCCTATGTTGCTTATGTAATGTTTGGAAACGAAGAAGGAAAATAGATCTCTTTTTTTTTTTCTTCTTCTTCTTCTTCTTTTATTAACAATAGTTATCTATTATTCATACGAATAATGATTTGTATCTGAATAAAAAATAACTATTATTATAAAAAAAAAGCTGCCATTCTCTCTGCTTGCAAATGACAGAACATCTCTTTTGTATACAATATAACTCATAATATAGAGAGGGATAAAGGAATTTTTTTTTCAACTTATTACTACTGATAATACAGACTATAATAGATATTAATTATTGTTTGTTTATTTGATTGCTTGAGAAATAATGACATGTGTACAATGAGCCCTTTATTTGTTACAGTAAATTAAATATGTATCTAGTTTTTCTTTTTCTTCAATATAAGAAACATGAATTCAAAAGCTAGTATTGGCAATATGACTGTTATCGTGAAAAATTATAAAGATACAATGCTGTTTAATAAAGATGTATGTCAATGTAATTTCATTTTATTTTGCAAAATTCAAAAAAGAAGTATATCATTTTTATAAAAGGGAAAATAACAGTTGTATGTCAGTAAAGTAGTAATAGTAATAGTAGTAATAAGAAGAAGAAATAGTATTGACAAATGGAAAGGAAGGATTGTAACTTTCCAAAAAAAAAGGGAAGCTGTTAAACGATTAACTCCGATAATGATATTATATGCTGCTTTTTTTTTTTTTTTTTTTTCTTTTAAAATTTGCTTTCCCTTTATTTATTTATTTATTTTTTTTTTTTTTTAAACACGAGTCAAAAGTACCTTATACGATGGTAATCTATTGTTAATTATTATTTATGAAAAAAGAAGCATAACATGTAAATTGTAATTATAGTCTGCCATTTTCAATTTTCAATCTTTGCTTTTAGTCATTTTACTTATGATTTGTACATGTACATATATTAAAGCTCAAGCACCATCTTTATTAGACAGAAACAAAACTGGGTAAGTTATTATTTCCCCTCTTTTATATATATTCATATTCATATTTATTGTTTCCTTTTGTTAGTGTACTTGGATTATTTTGGAAAGCAGCACGAATTGGTGAAAGATTAAGCCCATATGTATCACTTGCCTGCATTATAATGGGCATTACTTTAATGAGCTCTTAAATAAAATGTGTGTATTTTTTGTTTGTTTGTTTTATTACCTAACTATGTATGATAGGTAAATGAAATGTATATGCATATATTATAATTATTCAGTAGGGTAGTATTTATGCACTAATTTTACAAATTCTTCATCATGTTCAGCTGAGTCTTTGAAAATAGCCTTCGAGCACATTTCTTCACAAAGAGCATCCATATCAATCTCATTAAATCTTGAGTGTTCTGATAATTTATCCCACACATTTGTAATGCCTTTCACTTCATGTTCTTCTTGTTTAGTTTCCGCTTCAGGTGATGAACTATCTGTAGTTGTAGTATTTGTTGTTGTAATGACTGAATTAGCCGCATTTGCATCATCATCATTATTATTATTAGTGGGATAAAAGAGATCAAATTGAGCTGGATCAGATGCAAAAGAAGATTGGGACTGATTCAGCAGATTTTCTAATTGTATCTGATAGTCGTTCAATTTATTAACATTTAAGCCCAACAGGTCATAATGATCTAACAAAGTATGAGAAGGTAGACTAGTGTTATTGATACCCAAGATATCATCAATCGATAACTGATATTGTGTCTCTGGTGTGTTTAATTGACTCTTGGATGATATTGATTGCTCACTACTAACTGGAGATTCTAAATGATTAACAGGTAAAGTATTCGCATCATTAGCGGAACGAATAATCTTTTGTGGTCTTTCTTCTGAATCTATGGATACAGACGATAACGGGAAATCAAATGAAGAAACGATCGCTGAGTTAAGCAAAGCAGCATTTTCATTCTGTAAACGTGCAATCATTTCCTTTAATTGTTTATTTTCTAACAATAGATCAACATTTTTATTCAAATTTTGTTTTTCTAATTCCTTTACTCTTTCTTCCAAGAGTCGAATGTGATTCTCTTTTCTTTCTCTGAATGCTCTTTGTGCAGCTCGATTTTGTGCTTTTCTTTTTGATTTTGGATCATCTGACTAACATAACGAGAAAGATTAAAATTCACCGTCTATATTTATTTATTTATTTATTTTTTCCCTTGGACTTACATCTTCATCTTCACTTGTTACTGGTTTCCTGCCTACTTTTTTTGATGAACTATTATTCATTTCTATCCAAAATGAAAAAAAAAAAGTCGTATTAATAAAACTAAATATATAAATAATCCTATTTGTTTTTGTTACTTCTTTTAAGTCCTAAATCGTCATGTTTCATTGTAGAAGCATTTGCCGGATCCATATTTGAACTAAAATCTGAGGGAAGACTTGAAGCTGAAGAAGAAGAAGTTGGAGTTTGATCATTGTTTTGGGAATTGTCATTTGTAGATTGATTATTATTATTATTATTAGATAAAAGAGCTAAAAGAAGCATTAATTGCGCTTCTGGATTATCTTTTAAAAATGAAATATCAGGTTTATTTCCTTGAGCTTTAATTTTTGATACAATTTCTGCTAATGTAATATTCATATTGGTTTTTTTTTTTTTTTTCAAAAAGAATAAGAGAGATAAAGAGTGATAAAATCTAATTGGATGATTACTAAATAAATGGATAAACTGACAACTAGAAGTAGTCACACTTTATGATTTTCTTTCCAACAAAAAAATAAAGCGTTATTATGCAATCAAACGAAAGTTGAAATGGAATAAATGACATGTTATTTTATTACTATCTATGTTAAAGTTTGAGAAGATGTATTTTGTGTTGTATCTTTATTAGAATCTTGATCAAACTCATTTGTGTTCGCAGTCATCTCATTATTGCTTTCATTAGAGTCATTATTGTTTAATTTTGGTTCATTGGCTCCTTCCACATTTAGAGTTGTTCCTGATTGCTTCTGTCGTTTTCTTCTTTGAATAAAGATTTCATAATTAACAATGGGTATTGTAATATCATTCATAATTGAATCTATTTTTGTACTTGTTGAATCTTCATTTTTTTGTCTCGAAATATCATTTTCAGCTGACATGAGTTTTTTAAGATTCTCCTCAACTGTACGTGATTGTTCTGAATTCAATTCTCGTACCTTTTGTGGATCATCAGGTCTAGAAATGTAAACCTAGATTAAAATAAGCAAATAAATAAACTAGCAACATTACGTAATTATTTCCAACTTACAGGTGTTTTTCTAAATGAATGTTTGCTTGGAAAAGTAGGTAAATGACGAGGAACATAAGAAGGCAAGCCTCCTTCTGTTACCTCTTCATCCGATTCTTCGTCATCTGAAGGTAAGAATGCTGGTAGTTTTTCTACTGTTGTATCTTTTGACTGAGTCTTGAAATATGTATTTAAACTTTTAGCTATTATATATATATATATATGTTAGATAAGGTATCTATATTTTAAAAAAAAATAAAGTAAAATAAAACCTGCTTGAGTATCATTCACAGTAGTAGTTAAATAATGTTTAAACGTTGATGCTTCGACGCCTGCAATTTCTAATGATCGGGTAATGTCGTATATATTAGGTTTTGCTCTATTGCCTAACTCAGCAAGTCGATGAGCAGAGGTAAACATATTATCGAGATCTATAATAATAATAATAATAATAAAGTAAGCACAAAATGACAAAACCAATTGAGTAATTTAATTACATGCGTTTATTAGATTTGAAAAATAATCAAGAGCTTGTAATTGAATTCCATCAAATCCAGTTTCTTTTGCTATAATGGAAATAACCTTTTCAATTGTTTCCAAGACATAGGCATCTCCAAGAGTTCGTTTGCTTTGCATTTATAAAAGAAAAAGTATATACATAAACAAAAGAAAAGAAAATTAAGAAAAAAAAAAAAAAAAAAAAAAAAAACTCTGTAAATTTCATAATTTTTAAATAACCGCTGTCCAAGTAAAATAATGGTATATCCCGCATAAATCATAATATTCATGTTGCTTATTTTAAGCTAACCTAGACGAATCATATGAAGGCACAATGATTTCATTTAATAAGTTGTGTTTAAATATAGAGAGTTTATCTTCTCTCTCTCTTTCTCTTAATACCTACTGTATTTTTCTATATAAAAAAAAAACGGCATATATAATGGTATATATTGAGGCGTTAATTTTCCTTTCTACTTACTATTCTTTCTTCTACGTTCAGTTATTATCTTATACTTTATTTATCATAGAACTGTGAGCTACTTTTTTATATCTTTTTATACTGTAGTAATAATAAATAAATAAATAAATAAATAAATAAATAAATAAAAGCTCGCTACAAATTATTTATTAATGACAGCAAACCAGAGGGCTAAAGGATGAGCATTTTATGTGAAATAGCAAAAGAGAGAGAGGGAGAGAGAGAAAGCAAATACTGTAAAATTCATGCAAAAAAAAAGTCTGCATTCATCAAGATATACAAATTTAAGCATTCATGATTGCTGAAGCTACAATTATTACCCGACACTAGACAACTTTATCCCTCCCTCCCCCCCCACAGACACACACATATTCTGTTGTGACTGTGCAGATGGATGATGACGAAAAATCATAACAAGTCTATTTTTTTGTGGCATTTATACAAATGCATTTTTTTTTTTAATTGAATTGTATTTATTTATTTTATTTTCGTTTATAAAAAAAAATGGGGTTTTTGATACATGCTATCTTCAGGGCAAATAATTATAGATCTGCACAATATATAATACGTCGATCCTATTCGAATACATCTGATATTATCGCAAGCGCCATGGTATATTCTGACTATGGGCAACCTTCTCAAGTATTAAGGTTAATATTTATACATATATACATATTTATACATAAAGAGAGAGAGAGAGATACATGCAGAGGATACATAAAATAATTCGTTATATGTATATATATATATATAGATTACATTCTTATCGGCTTCCTGCCTTGACTCCAGATAGTGTTCACGTTAAATTTCTTGCTTCACCTATTAACCCCGCGGACGTCAATATGATTCAGGGAGCTTATCCTATTAAACCAAAATTCCAAACACTCGGAGAAAAAGACGAGCTATTGGCTGTAGGTGGTAATGAAGGCTTGGCTGAAGTCATTTCAGTAGGTGAAAATGTCAGTTCACTTAAGGTAGGAGATCAGGTTGTGATGGCCAAATCAGGATATGGTACATGGCGTACGCATGCTGCAGGTACTGCTTCCGATTTTCAATTATTACCTAATGTAGGTGATAATGTATCTATCATTCAAAAAGCAACTATGACTGTTAATCCCTGTACTGCTTATCGGATGCTAAAAGATTTTGTTAATTTAAAACAAGGTATTTATATGTATTGTATATACGTATATTATAGTTACTTATATGTAAATTAGGTGACTATGTTATTCAAAATGGTGGAAATAGTGCTGTTGGTCAAGCTGTCATTCAGATTGCAAAAGCATGGGGTTTGAAAACTATTAACGTTGTGCGAAATAGGTTAGTATAATACATTATATAAATATAAACATATATATATATGAATATACATCTATATACCCACACATTAAATGACTTGTATGCATATTTTAAGACCTGATATTGATACACTTCGTCAAGAACTTATTGAGCTTGGAGCTACACATGTTGTAGTAGATGAGACTCTTGGCAACTTTGAAACTAAAAAAGAAATCAAGAGTTGGTTTGGTCAACATCCTCCACTTTTAGGCTTAAATTGTGTTGGAGGAAAAAATGCAACTGAAATGGCAAAATATCTCGGGTAATATTACAATAAATATTAAAAAGACGACATTCATGTATATTAACCTTATATAACAGAATGAATGGTCATTATGTTACTTATGGAGCTATGTCTAAAAAGCCACTTTCATTAGCTGCCTCTTTATTAATTTTCAAGAATATATCTTTCCATGGATTTTGGGTATCTAAATGGTGTGATATTCATACACAAGAAGAACGATATGCAATGTTTGAAGATCTTTTAAAGTTAATGAATGAAGGTAAACTACGTGAGCCTAAATGGACCCAAGTAAAATGGGACGAAGAAAGCATGAAGCAGTCTGTTGAACAAGGAATTTCTGGATTTGCTGCTGGTAAACAGGTGGTTTTATTTTAATACTCTATCTGTGCCACCATCCAAATTGTAAGAAATAAATAAATAAATAAATAGATAAAATAAAGAGATAAAATAAAAAGATAAAGTTTTTTTTCTTTTTCTTTTCTTTTTCTTTTTATTCATTTCATTACATTACATTTTCTTTCTCTGTAAATAATGAATGTAATTATTGCACCTTGCCCAAAAAAGCCGTCTTCTACAAAAAGAAAAGATTATGAAACATTATTGAAAGAAAATATCGATTTTGAAGACATAAATGAAGCTTATCAAGAATTACAACAAATTTTGGAATATCAGCAAACAAAGGCTAACAACTATGATAATTTCATCATCACACGTACAGAGAATCCTCTCATTCAAGATTCAAGCTTTATTCCTTCAATCCAAACTTTTTCGCAGCCAAATGTAATGAAGCGTATTAGATCTTATAGTGTTGATGATTCTCGTAATAATAATAATATTGCTCAACTTTATTCTTGCAAGCCTGTTTATTAATCTTTGTACATAAAAATGACCCTATCTATACATATTATATTTTACTACTATATATTTATACTGTTCTTGTATATCTTTGCTTTTTTTTTTCACGATAAAACATAACATATATCATTCCCTCCTCTCTTTTTTCCCTTTCCCTGTTATTATTATTTATTTATTTTTTTATTTAAAAACTCTTTCATATTTATATATTCATATATGATTTGAAGATGGATTCAATATATAATTAATCAACTTGTTAATATCTGTTATATCTATTATAGATGCTGGTATGTATATTCTGTAAATATTATATTTTATATAATACATGAATCATAATAAACTAGTATTATATGAGGTACAGACTAAGTTGAACATTCGCACTATTCGAAGTATATCTAGAAAAAAAAATGGGCCAAAATAAAATACTGTACATGATAATAATGATAAAAAAAAAAAAAGTTGGAATAGATCTCGTTGCAAAGATTTTTTTTTTGTTTGTTTGGTTAAAATATATTAGATGCTTATCTGTCAATAGAATTAGTTCTACCTCATAATAGTAATAAGCTGATGTCACTTTCCTCATATAAAAATATAAATAATGATAAGAGTTCTTTGTTACCAAGAAGTATTATTAGTGTAAAAGGATGTACAATGTTTATTTAATTGAATTGACTATATCTGTCCTTATGATACTTTATACGTATATAATTTATATAAAAGTTTTTTTTTTTTTGGTAAAAATTAAATAAATAAATGACTATAGATATGCTTATAATAATAAAAGTGAGAGAAAGGGGAAGTTGAGGGGAGGGGAGGGGAGGGGAAAGAGAGAGTGAAAGTGAGAGTGAGAGTGATATGCATGTAAAATTGTAACAGCATTAAAAGTTCATACAGTCAGGCTTATTGAAATTGGCATTTTCTCAAAAATAATTGGCCTAAAGCCAGAAATAAATTTCCGCTTTAGAAAAATAAATGTCACAAGCTTAGATTATTTTTATCACAATTTACCAATCAAAATTAGCCCAGATATTATACATAATTAGTACATCTTTTTGGATTCACTGTATATTCTATTTCATCAAGAAAAGAAAAGTGACAAATAAGTTACCATTTTCACTTTGCGAACTAACTGAAGATTTTTATACATGTGACGAAGTTAAATCCAATCAAATGCAGAAATAAGCTTTTTTACTAAAATACAGTCCGGCTGGTGGATATTGTCGGTTACAAGAAATATAACTGGATTTAATTAATATAAAAAACAAGTGTCGGTCAAAGACGAACAAAATATAATAAGAGGAAAAGATGCTGCTAGGCTTAACTCATAGTGCTTAGCCATGATTTAACTAATAGAATCATACAGTCTTTCGGTTTTCGCTAAAATTAATAGATATTTATTCAATTACAAGCTTAAGTCTGTAATTTCTGTCAAGACACACACCTCTTCAACTGAATTCAGAAAAATAAATAAAAAATTTAAGCCATAACTTATGATTATCATTGCAAAAAGTTATATAATAAACCCAAGTACAAACTGTTTGGGCGTGAAATGTCACAAAGATCTATGGTCGCTTACAAATGAACGTTTTTGATAATTTTATATGCTATTTTTATAGATGCTATACAACTGTGGCCATGGAGAAAATTCATAGCGTGTCTTTCCAATGCTTTAATGTTTTACCATACATAAAATGGGAAGTTTCAAAAGTCCAGAATTTCTTTTTTACAGTAGTGTCCATACTTAATATATTAGGCACAACATCTCATTGCTAAATTATTTCAGGGGTCAAGAATGAGTGCAGAGAAATGAATAGTAAAATTTATTTTATAATCCTTAGGCTAGTCTTTTAATTATTTCTTTAGATCCATTTTTTACATTTTACGCCCAAACAGTTTGTACTTGGGTTTATTATATAACTTTTTGCAATGATAATCATAAGTTATGGCTTAAATTTTTTATTTATTTTTCTGAATTCAGTTGAAGAGGTGTGTGTCTTGACAGAAATTACAGACTTAAGCTTGTAATTGAATAAATATCTATTAATTTTAGCGAAAACCGAAAGACTGTATGATTCTATTAGTTAAATCATGGCTAAGCACTATGAGTTAAGCCTAGCAGCATCTTTTCCTCTTATTATATTTTGTTCGTCTTTGACCGACACTTGTTTTTTATATTAATTAAATCCAGTTATATTTCTTGTAACCGACAATATCCACCAGCCGGACTGTATTATACAATAATATATTGAAATCCATACACATGATTTTCATTTGATAATATATACATTTATATTCTTGTTTTAATTGTATTGTCTATATTCATTTAAAAGGGAAAACTAATGCATCTTTATATTTTATACATAATGATTATAGCTATATACATCAACTGAGGATTGTATAAGGAGACAGAAAGGAGGAGAGCATATAAAACAATAGATTTTTTTTTTTGCATGTATAAATATATTCTCCTTTTGTAGGTACTTTTTATAGTTTTATTAATTTTTTTTTCTTTTTTTATAAATACTTGTATTACGCTAGATTGTAACTTTATATGAGAACAAGTTCTGTAATGTTATCTAAATATTACCTTATGATATCCAAGCTTTATATATCTATTTGAAAGGGAACAATCTATAATATACCCTTTTGATCTGTTTTTCTTTTCTTTTTTTTTTCTTACTCCTTAAATGGAACAAAAGCCATCTCTCTCTGTCTCTCTCTTTTTTTTCTTTTTGTATAAGAAAGGTGTCTGTGCATAAATAAAATCAAGTATTAATTTATTATGTATACAAGACGTACATATATTATATAAATTTATGTATGTTGATGCTTATAAAAAAAAAAAAAAAAAAAAAAAAAAAAAAAAAAAAAGAGAGAATTATTACATCTTTCTTTCTTCCTCTCTCTCTCTCTCTCTTTCTTTCTTTTCTTTTTTTTATTACATATATCTTTCTTTTACTATTATTACTCATTACTTTCCTTTTCTTTTTGTCTTTTTCCTCTTATTTTTTATTTTTCGTGTGTGTGTGTGTGTGTGTAGCGTATGATGAACTATTACCTTCCTTCTCCTCCTCAATCTCCAGTATTGACGAGTACAATTGAAAAAGCGATGTGTGGCTCCTGTGATAAAGTATTATCCTCTGATTGGTTTTGTTCAGATTGTCATTCTAAATGTGATTTCTGTAATCGATTTCTTACTGATTCAGACGACTATTGTACTCGTTGTTGGTATTTGGATAATGAAAAGCATTGTTTAATTCGAAAGCAACAGCAGCAACTCTATACGAATAGTCGCCATCAACAACTTTATCTTTACTTCATCTTCCTTCAACAGCAAAATGGTAGTTACTATTAACTCTGCTTATGTATTATTATTCTATTTTATTTTTTTTTGAAAAGGAAGAGAAGCACGAAATATATACATAAATGTATATATTGTCAAAGACTCCTACTCAAACTGTTTATATGATGGTTTTATTTACCATTGATTTTCTTATCCTTTCCTTTCCTTTCCCTTCCTTTTATTTTATTTATTTTATTTTATTTTATTTACTCTTATAATAAAAAAAAATAATGTACAGATTTCCTATATACATATTTTAAAGTATTATTATAACATATTTCTTAACAACGTCTAGAAAAAAAAAAAAAAAAAAAAAAAAAAAAAAAAAAAAAAAAAACTTATAAATTACATTATTTCTTTATTCTAATAAAAAGGGCATACAATAACAATAAAAACAATAATAACAAATATATGTATTAAATAAAATAGATATACTTAAATAATTAAAAAGAATCTACTACTTGGATATATATAAAAAAATTTTTTTCTTTCTTTCTTTCTTTTTAAATAGTCCATAATATTAAATTCTTTTCTTTCTGGTGATGGCTTGCAGTGGCAATTAAACCCCCTACTGAACTACAGGCAATGTTGACTACCATGCCTGGCTGGAATCCTGCTTGTTGTGGCTGAGCACCAGGCACACCAAACTCCCATAAAAACACCTCTTGATATCCACCAAATAATAAGGATGGCTTCTCACGACCATTTTTAACAAATGCACAACCAGATACCTTAGATTGTGGTATTTGACTGGCTACACATTTCCAATGTGCACTTTCATATACACAAATCTTATCCTCTGAGGAAGCAACAAGAAAGTTACCATCTACTGACCAATCAAAGCAACATACATTCTTACTATGATCAGTCGTGATCGTACGAATACCACTTGAAGATCCAGTTTGAGCAGAGGTAAGATCAACAATGAAAATTTGATTCCCAACTGCACAAGCAAGGATGGACGCATTCTTAGGATGGAACCGCATAGGGTTGGGTGAAAAACCGGACTTGGATTGTGTTAACTTGATCGATTTTTCACAGGCACCATTATTCAAGTCCCACACGTTCAATTCTCCTTCTGCATCAAGAGAACAAATAATACCAGGTCTTCCTGGTGCAAAATCAACAGCAGTGACTTGAGCACGACAATCAAATTTCAAGATTTGCTTAGGAATAGGAATAGCACTTTCATTTTCTGCTTCCTCTTCTTTACTTTCTTTATCTGCACTTGCAGCAATAGCTGACCCTATATCCCAAATACGTAATGTTTTATCATAGGATGATGTTGCTAAAAGATGACGGCCATCATTACTCCATCTGGCACAAGTAATATTAGAAGTATGACCATCTAAAGAATAAATCACTTTTTTCTCTTGAACGTTCCAAATCATCACTTTACGATCATGTCCAGCACTAGCTAACCATTTACCATCCATAGAAAATGAGACTGTAGATACCTTATTCGTATGCCCAGTAAGTTCAGAGTAAAGATGTAATAAAGAGGGTTGCTGATTATTCATATTCATTAACCCTTGTTGTCCGCTACCAATCATTGCATTTTCAAGATCAAGACCGCCACCCATACTTGCAAGGAAACTACCTCCAAATGAATCAAGGTCACCATTATCTCCTCCCATCAATAAGTTTTGTTCTGCTCCATCGTCACCAGAAGCAAACATCTCACCAAAATCTCCACTATCACCCATCATAAAGCGTTCAAGATCAAAAGAAAGCACGTTATTGGCTGCTGCTGCTGCTGCTGCTGCTGCCATACTGCTTGGATTGTTCACTGATGTTGGCTGTTGAGAATCATTATTCATAGGTGAACCCATATCATTAGTAGTGGTAGTCCATGTCATATTAGGTTGTTGTTGCTGAGGGGTATTACTACTTACATTATTATTACGATTTATCTGAGGCGAATTCATTTGTTGTTGTTGTTGTTGAGCTGCTAATCTTTGAGGCATAGTCATCATGGATGATTCATCATTAAGATTTTGTTGTTGAGCATGAGGACTAGCTTTATGCTTTAATTGTGGAGAAGGAGGTGCTTGTTGAGGTGTGACTGGGTTATTACCACCATTATTTGTCCTCTGTCTCTTTTGAGCTTGTGTTGTTTGAGCTTGTGTTGGTGTTGATGTTGTTGTTTGAGTTTGTTGTTGCTGAACTTGCTGCTGAGCTTGCTGCATAACATGATGTGCTTGTCGACGTTGGTAAAGAGCAACTGCAATATTTTTCTTTTTATCTGTTCCTTCAGGAGATTCATTACCAGTAGATATACTAGCATTATTTGGACTCACTGTCGTAGGATTTATATTAGGTGATGTGTTACTGCCCTGATTATTCATGTTTTGTGACGGCAATTGCTGAGATTTTTGTTGAGGTGTTGCCTGAGGATGTTGAGGTTGATTTTGTGCTTGAGCTTGAGCTTGGGCTTGAACTTGAGCCTGAGCCTGTGCTTGAGCTTGAGCTTGAGCCTGAGCCTTAGCTGCATGTGCTTGTGCTTGTGCTTGTGCTTGTGCTTGTGCTTGTTGTGCTTGCTGCTGCATCAAACGACGTTGATTCATCATTCTTTGTTGTTGAGTAGCTAAAAACTTGTTAAAAAAAAATATAGCGTTAATATATATGTGTTCAATATAATTTAATCAAGCTGATATTTTACTTGTTGTTGCTGTTGAGGAGATAATCCAGGTGGTATTTGCCCTTTATTCATCATATGTTGAGCAAGCATAAGATTTACTATAAAATAAATTTAGATAAAGAAATTTTGAACGCATATAAAATCAAATTATTTTTTTTTTATTTTTTTTTTTTTTACCATCACCGTTAAAAGGCATACCACCACTCATCATATTAGGGCTTTGCATATTTGGATTCATAGCTATTTGACCGCCTGGGCCAATCATATGAGGCCGGGCTTGTCCAGTAACTAAAAAAAATGATGAATATATTGTAAAAAAGAAAAAAAAATATATACAAAAGATACCTACGATTACCAGGTCCAGCTGTTGGACCAATTCCACGTTGAGATAAATCTACCTGTGGGCTTTGATTCATTGGATGTTGTTGCAAATTAAGAGATTGTTGATTTAAATGTGCTTGCTGTTGTTGAGGAGTAGTTTGAGGTAACTGCTGTCTTTGCTGCTGAGGAGTAGCAGCTTGAGCATGTTGCTGTTGAGCTATTTGTTGTTGTTGCTGTTGTTGCTGTTGTTGTTGCTGTTGCTGTTGTTGAGCCAACTGCTGTTGCTGGGCTAATTGTTGCTGTTGAATCATTGCTTGTTGATGCTGTTGCTGTTGAAACATTGCTTGTTGATGCATTTGAAGACGAGCTTGCGCTTGTGGATTATTTGCTAACATATTACTAAAAAGAAAATATATTTTTGAATTAATTATAGATCAGGTTTCTTTTTTTTTATTATTGTAAAAAAAAAATATAATTTTTACGGATTATTTCTCATGATATTAGCTTGTTGAGCCATTTGATATCTTCTTATTTGCATTTGAACAATAGCCTATTAAACGAATTAGTTCATAGGAACAAAAAAAAAGAAATATTACTTTATAAGGGAATACCTTTTCTTCTGGAGTTAAAGTTTGTTGATCACGACCTCCAAGACCTACTGCATTCATAGCGGCTATTACGAGAGCATTCTGTTGTTGTTGTTGTTGTTGAGCTCTTTGAGCATTTAACATATTTTGTTGTTGAATAGATAATTGATGGCCAGCCATAGGAGATGACATCATACCTTCAGGATGAGGGCCAGCTTGTTGTTGTATTTGTTGACGAGGTGAAAAAGAAGGTGAAGTCCCAGCAGCCATCCTATGCTGTTGATTTAAGTTAGCAGGCATGCTTTGAGGTGTATTTACGATTGTATTATTATGTGGAGGTGGTGGCATCCCACTATTATTAGGTAATGATGCAGCACTATTAGCGGGAGATGGGCGACTGCCCTGTTGTTCATAATATATTTGCTGTTGTTGTTGTTGATGGAAAGGTATTTGTGGAGATTGATTTACTCTTTGTAATGAAGCTCTACGCTGCTGAGCTTGAGCTTGTGCTTGCGCCTGTGCTTGCGCCTGTGCTTGTGCTTGAGCTTGAGCTTGAGCTTGTGCCTGTGCCTGTGCCTGTGCTTGGGCTTGAGCTTGAGCTTGTTGTTGGGCTTGTTGCTGAGCTTGTTGCTGAGCTTGCTGTTCAGCTAATTGTTGGGCTTGCTGTTCGGCCAACTGTTGGGCTTGATGAATATTATAAGCTCTTTGTTTTTCTAATGCTTCTTCCCGTTTAATTCTTATTTGGGTATGACGCTAGAAAATTTTATATGTTTATATAAAGGGAAAGTTTTAAAATATGTTATAAATAAACAAATATGTGGAATGTTTTTTAAATTTTTATTACCTCATCATAAGCAACAGCTTCCTTACTTGCTTCAGCATCCTTTTTCTTAGCCATATAAAGGTCGTTTAATATACACCACCAGTCTTGTAAGAAAGGAGTTTCAGTATCATTAGGAATGGGTTCATCAATGGGAACATTAGCTTCAGTTGAAAATGCTTGTGCAGTTTGATGAAACTTCTTTTTTTTACAATAATCATAAATGTATAAATTTAAAAGTTCAGTAGATCTTAAATCCATATTACGCGTATTTTGTCTAAATTGAACCATAATAAATATTATTAAAAAAGATACTGGGTAGGAAGAAGCAATAGAAAGATTATATAAATTGTATTAAAAAAGAAAAGAAAAAGAATATTTTAAATTCTCCTTTTTTTTACAAAAAAAAAAAAAAAAAAAAATAAAGTAGTATTCACGTTGAAAAGCAGCCAATTTTCGGGGATTAAAATGTGCTTGCAGTAGTGGTAGTTTCTCAATTTTGATTTCAGACGATTTGCTTTTTTTATTGGGCAAAAATTATTTTTAATATCAGACGATTTCTTATGAGTTCCCAATTTTTTTTTTTTCAACCTGTCCATTTTTCTCTAATAATATCAACCCTAATCAACGTAGGTTGCTAACTAATGACCAAGAATATAACCAGAGAACAGGCAATATTTATTTATTTTTTTGCCATAAATACACCGAATCTAACGTGAAAAAGTTTTTGAAAAGAATGGAAAGTTTTGAAGATGTCGACGTTTGCTACGACAATAATCCCATGCAGCCTATGTTACTTTGTAACGAAAGGATTGATTCTGAGCCTTTAAAATACAAGAGATATAGTATTAGCCCAGTTTTGATAGAAAACTCTTTAATTCAATAAATAAAAGTATGGATTTATTGACACGGAGAGTCGTCATCATGACTTTAAAATCAGTAAAGTCGCCTATTTGCTTCATTGTTTGTAATTAAGACGACAGTTGAATAATTGCAAGTCTTTCGCATTATTCAACAATTACTCCCTGTCAAAAACTTTGAAATGATTTCCGTAGAAATACAAGTCAATGATAATTTTTTGTAATTTGGGATTGTTTCTACAAGATTGTTTGTTCAGTTTTTTTTTTTTTTTTTTTTTTTTTTTTTTTTTGTAGACTTCATATTATTTGTTTACTCGTCTTCAAATCACTCATATTGGTCGTAAATCCTGCATAATCTAATACCATCACCACACAAGCTTTATCATTTTCTTGAATAAAAGTTAAAAAGTCTACAGAATAATTGCTTTTCCAAAATTTGATTGATCCTATATTATTTAGTTTTTTACCCTGAGTGTTTCCAACAACTTGGCCTAATTCCGATAATTAAGTATTTTGTGTGATGATATGATTTAAAGAAGAAGAAAGGAAAGAGAACAAAAGGAAGTATAGTTTGAAACTGTTTACTCAATGTAAAAAGAATGATATAAAGACTATTTCGTGTCTAAACAACTACTTGTATTTATGCTAATGAATCGTGAATCAAAGAGATAGAAATAACAAGAAAAAAAAAGGATAAGTCATGAAACAGTGTTAGTATTTAGATATACATTGTGTTGATTCAAGCTACTGATTTCTATGGATTATCTATTGCGCGTTATAATAATCTGATTTAAGATTTAAATTGTTTGATCTGAGCATGCATAGGTTCCTGATGTCTTTTATATTTTTATTATATTGGATCGAAGACGACCTGAATCCTTTATTAAGCTTATAAAAATAAATATTCAAAACTGACGCGATATCTTATTTAGTTGACGCGTTTAGTTGATTAGATGTCAATAGCGTTTATATTATATTATTTATAAGGTGTTACATACAGTAAGATATGATATCTTTTATTCTATACTCAGGCTTATAGTTTATCTTGAATTATGTAATTTATCTTTTATAATATTACTTATGCTTATATCCAGAGCTTGTTCTATAACATTTTGATCATAAAAAGCCTTTCTTTACGTTGCTGTAAGGTGATATGAAAACTTTTTCAACAAGTGACTTTTAACATAATATATTCACCATTCTTTGTAATAGAGTTGCTCTATTGCTACTTGGTGTTTTTGACTTTCTGCAATAACCAACAATTTGATATCCATCATTCTTCAATTGGTTTATGAAGTCATGATGTCTTGGTATTATATTTACAATGTTTTTTTTTTTTTTTTTTTTTTTTTTTTTTTTTTTTTTTTTTTTTTTTTTTTTTTTTTTACAAGATCAACTACAGAATTAGAGTTAATTTATTTCGATTATCTTGCATTACCATTTACAAGCTTTACCATAATATCCGCTACTCAAAACATCTAAGTAACGTCTTCTGACCTTTTCGGTTTTCTGTGTTTCTTTTTACAACTTTACGTTCTGATTCGTCTGATAAAAAAAAAAAAAAATTGACGTTTTGCTTTGTTCAACTATTGGCTAAATGCCAAAGGTGTACTTTTGTCAAATTTTTCCGTAAAAGTCCAAACAGCCTCCTAGAATCATGCACATAGTCTAATTCGTACGGGGAGTCAGACGAAAATTCTATTTCCGGTCGATATACATAGTTTTATGAAATTTACAATTTGTGCGTCATTGCCTATATTATAATATTGTTAGCAATGATTTAGTTTATCGAATTTATTTTTACTTACAGAACAAGACATCTCTCTTTGCATTTTTGATATTTCCAATTTCTTCTTTTGATTTATACAAGCTGAATAAACTTGGGGCACCAAATATTCGTGCTTCACAAACAATCTCTGGTTCATTTGGATTACTTCTGTAACAAATTTCAGCTTCCTTCATCTTTGCTATTCTTTCAGAACAGATTTTAACATTCTCTTCATTATTTTTTTTTTTTTTTTTTTTTTTTTACAATAAAAAATGCAGCTTGCTTCTTCACGAGAGATAGTATCCATTTTAGACTGTGAATAAAAGCAGTGAAATGGACCAGTTGAAATTTTTTCTTTTTTTCTAAGCAGTGTGCTATGATTGTAGCCATCTTTACAACTAAGTTAATAGAAATAAACGATTATTTATTACATAATAAAGAGGTTATTCAAATAAAACTAGTGTATTGTACTTTACAGCGTAATATTCATTCTATAACATTCAGTTTTAACAACAATCATTGTTAGAATGTTCAAGCACTAGTAATAATTCAATACAGAATTCAAACAGGATTATGACTGTTATATCTAATTACATTTATAATATTATGTAATAACATCTTAGGGGATGATAATAATAATAGTGGCATATAAATAACCGGTATTATTGTTATAGCTGGAGTATTCACTGTGAATTAATATTAACGCGTTGCTTACCCCGGAAATCATAATTTGTAACTGTGGCGGCTCAGGGAGAATAGAGAATAAAAATATATCTTATTTCAAGCAGAATTATTCGAATACAATATTGACACATAATGCTTTATTATATCAGTATTCACTTATCCAAATCACACTTCTATTAATATCACTTACCTTACAAAGAATATATATATATATATTTTTATAAATATATATATAAATAGCCCTTGTCATTTTTCCATAATATTTTTTTCTTGGTACAATTTTTGTATTATTTTTCTTTTAATATACAGAGTTTTCACAGACTTGTCTTTTCTGTTTCCTCTTTTCCTATCTTTTGCATTTAAAACAAACGCCTATATGCTAAATAGTACTACAGATAATCTTTCTACTGATAGAAATATAGTAACATGTTTTTTTCCCTCCCTATTATTTGCTAAATCCAACTGTAGTTTTCGTTATTATATTCCTATACAAAATAAACAAATATTAATAAATGCCTATACAAGTTCAATGTACGCATCTTGTTCTATTTTTATTTCTTCTGTAATAAGCTTGGCTTTTTTTTTAATTCGTCCTTACTCTCTTGAGATAAGCATATTCAACAACGCCAAGTTTATGAACTATCAACTATTATAAATAATATAGTGATCTATATGAATACGATAAACGAATTTTAATCATAAAAAAAAAGAAAGAAAGAAAGCATAACTGATCAGATATACCTGGCGTAAATGAATGGTTTATTACAAAAAAATCTGAGAGCATTAGAACTTACAAGAGGCTACTCAAATTAGTTTTATGAAAAAAAAAAGGCTTTGATTCTATTAGTACCTCACAAAATTGTTGCAAAGAAGACACTCATATTTAAAAAATAATTGCTAATAGATGTGGTTGCTGATTACTGAATTTAATAAACACATAATCAGGCTATAAAACACGTATATAAAAATGTTATGTATTTATGTTTGAATTAAGAATTTTGTTTCTATAAAAAAAAGTGTCCATTTACAGTGTTAATTGTGTCTCTTGTTATGATCACTATGAATATGAGCAAACTGAAAGTTTTTTTTTTTTTTTTTTTATCTTCAGGGTAAGTATCATATTGGTAAAACTCTTGGGGGTTGATTTATTGAAGTTATAATGTTCCTTATTTTATTTTATTTTTTTCTTTTAGGAGCCATTTAAAAAATATGGGGTAAAATTTACCTAACATGATCATGGAATAGAGAATGTAACTCATAGAAGATATAGTTTAATAAAAATATATAATACTTTAACTTGGATAATGGAATTTATTTTTGATAAAAAAAAAAAAAAGATATCAACTCAAGTTTTAATTGCCTGCAATAAATAAGTAAACTAGTAGACCAACCACAAAATTATATATCAAGACTTATTCCTTTAAACTTGATAAACTCTAATCCTATTCTGTTTGTAAAAGGTGGTTTCTACCGTATCTCCCGTTGAAATTTGCCTGTTCATAGCATATTGTTTTGAATTCAAATTTATACTAAGATTGGTTATAATTAAATAAAAAGAAAAAAGAAAAGGCTATTTGGTAATATGCATGTATCTTTCAATGAATGATGATATTAATGATTTAAAAGAAAAAATTTATAAATAAATATATATAAAAATAGAACTAGAGGTGATAGTGGCAGTAGTATGTTATATATATATATATATACGTGCGCACATAGGAGAATACTATTGACCAAAACCATTAGTGTCAACAGCACGTCTATGTTCGATTTGATGCTCTGGAGTATAATCTAAATGAACAAAGGCTCTTTCAACGTTATCTAACATTTCAAATGCATTTTGTAAAGCTTCTCCTACGTCATGGGCATCTTGTAATTTACATTCTGGTGGTAATATGATATCGACTTCTACTAATAAGCGATCACCGACATAATAGGCTCTTACCTAAAATTATAACGTAAGTACATTATTTTTATTATTCTTATGTAGAATAATTACTTACAGTTTCTATAGAAATAATTTTACTAGAAAATCTATATGCCATATATGTTAATTGTTTGATATCATCAGCACATGCAGCTTGACCTGTCAATCTACGAATATTTTCAAATAATACAATCATCCATTCATAGATGATATAAACTGATAGTAAAATAGCCCCGACTGCATCTAGCCAAGGCAATTTAATCCAAACAGCTAATATGTATAAATATATATAAAAATATATATAAAGAAAAGTATTAGAAATAGTATGATATAATAAAGAATAAAGCTTTTTTTTTTTTTTTACCAAGAACAGGAAATATGGTGCTTGCAATATTAAATACAACATCATTTTCATGATCTTGAGCTAAGGCTTGAACACTAGAGCTTCCTTTAATTGTTAAACACCAAATCCATAAAAGACCTTTAATAAGAATATTAGCACCTAATAACGCCAGCGCTACAGGGCTTAAATCAATAGGAGGTATATTTGTACTTTCTTCTGTTAAACGTTCAAGGGATGAAACCAATACTTGTGAGAAGGAAGTTGTAATAACCACTGCAAATACAATGATTCCTAGTGGTTCCATTCTTGACTATATATATATATATATATATATATTAGTGTAAATACATCATTATTACGTATAGGGCGGTCATACCTTTCCTACAGGATAAGCATATATATTTTTTTGTCTAATTAAACGCATTGTAATAAAGATAATTGCGTTACTTAAGATATCCAGGAAACTTTCAAATGCAGAAGCCAAAATGGCCATTGATCCTGAAACAATAGCCAGTAATACTTTTGTTAAAAATAATGCAATATTAGCAACCAAGGAGAGATTGATAGCTAAATGAATGATCCAAGTAGGAGAGGTAGTTACTTTTGAATTCGTTGTTGATAGTTTTGTCAATAATGGGACACCCACATTCATTTCCTCATCTATCATATTTTTGTTCTGTTCTAAATTAGTCTCTGTCAAACTACTATCAGTAGACATCGATCCATAACAACTAGGTTTCTGGATTTCTTCAATCACTCTATCAACAGCTTCGAATCGATCAATAATTTCATTTTGATTCTAATATGTATATTTGTAATCAATTATTATTATTATTAGACAGGGCAGGTTACACCTCAAAAAAAAAGGTGTGTTACCTTATAAAACTCGCGAATAGCTTTATTCTTAATTTGATTAATTTGTTCATCTGGGATTCGAAGCGCATAAAAATGAGCAGGTGGTGATTTTATACTGTTTGCTAAAGTGGAAGTTGAAAGCCTTCTCTTTAAAGATGGTCTTTCCAAATCCTCTTCATGCTGTTGATTAGTGTCCATGATAGTATAGGAGTAGATATATAAATATATATGTTTTATATATATAGGTATATAGATATATAGATATATAAATATATAGATATGTAGATATATAGATATTAGAAAAAAAAAAAGGAGAATATTTCTTTCTTTTTTTTTTTTTTTTTTAAAAAAAACAATAAAATGTCTATAAAAAGTAAAACTATCTATTTGTTTCAAGTGAAGGAAATGAAACACCGGGGGGCGTATTATAAGGGGATTTGCGGAAGCTAATTACTAAACAATATCTGCCCAATGCATGCTTTTCTATTATTTTAATATTTGCTGGCGGACCTATAAAGCAGTTGTAAATTATGATGTATTTGTGCGTAAAAAAAATGAAATTAAATCAAGTAAAAAAAATATCTGTCAATACAATAACAAACATTCTTCTAAAAGTAGAAAATTCTCTTATCATATTGTACTAAACAGTATATTAAACACACACACACATACACACAAAACTTCTTATGGCATACCTCAATATATTGGATTTTATTAGTAATTGAATCTTTTTTTTTTCTTTTGAGAAAAAAAGAAATACAAGACACAATTATATACTTTAAACAAGCATTGTAACAAAACTAGTAGCACAAATAATAACCAAGGCAGAAAATAAATAGATCATAGATTTATCAATTGGCATCAATGTGTTTGCAGCATTATGATTAGCAGCTGCGGTACTTGTTTGAGCAATAGAGGAAGCTGATCTCAAGGAGCTCAAAACATTAGAATTAGACTGCATGGCACTGCTGGCAGAGCTTTGAGCACTGGTAATGCTACTGATTTGACCAGTAGAAGTGGCAGCAAGTTCAGCAGAAATACGACTATAAGCAGAACTAGCAGAGTTCATCAGAGTAGACTTGGCGGGACCATCAGACATGGAAGCTGAAATGGATGCAAGCCTAAAAAAAGTAAATTGTTTAATTATGCGTTGATTTATATGTATACATATATAATCTTACTTGCTACTAAGAGAGGAAAGTGCAGGAGCTGCAAAAAAAAAAAAAAAAAAAAAAAGAATAAGGTTCTTTCATTGGAGAAAGCAAAGTAAAAATGATAGATGGTATACCTTGTGTAACAACACTGCCAAGAATAGAAAGAATGACAGCAAAGATAGCGGCAAATTTAAAATTCATTATAATGATTAAACAATAGAAAAAAGATATGAATATGCATTATTATTTTCTTGTATCTTTATATACTACATCAAATCCTTTTTTTTTTTTTTCTAATCTGATACCTTTCACTAAGGATTCGAACAATTTCATATATTTTTTCTTGGAGGCTTTTTTCTTCTCATCATACATTTACCACACCCATGTTTTTTTCATGTTGTTCTTTTGATTTGAGACAAACAAAACGTGATGGCAGCAGTTTTTTATTTTATTTTTTTTTCTTAGAAACACAAAAAAGTAATCCAATAAAAATGCGTGGCTTAGTAAATAAGGACTAAATAGAAAAAAAGCTTAGAATCTATAAAATCTATGACAATGTGATGGCGGAGTAGGAAATAATGAAGCTGAAGAAAAAAAAAAAGAAATGAATAGCTGTTACTTGGGCCTTTTTTTTTAAAAAAAATATAATTATTTCATCTAAAATTAATCAAGATGCTTCACAAGAATCATCAAAATAATCATCGTCCTACAAAATCGTCTCTTACCATTGTCCTCAAGATTGGTACCTCTTCCATCTGTAATGAAGTTACACATTTTCCTTTATTATCAAACCTTTCAGCTTTAGTAGAAAGCGTTCTGAATTTAAGAAGTTATGGTCATCGAGTAATTCTTGTTACAAGTGCTGCAGTTGGTACCGGTTTACGTAGATTAAATATGGCCGAAAAGCCTTCTAAGCTAGCTGCTCGACAGGTAAAAAAAAACAAACCAATTATATATATATATATATGAATGTATGTATATGTATTACTATTTTGATGTATTTAAAGTATTTAATCATTTATTTATATATGCGTAGGCTGTTGCTGCTGTTGGTCAAGGCCGTTTAATGGCTTTATATGATGATTTATTTGGTCAATTTCATCAACCTGTTGCACAAATTCTTCTAACAAAAAATGACCTTGCTGATGTAAGTCCTTTCTTAACTGTATACACATATACATGTATATATATATATATATATATTTTTTATTTGATTTTATTTACTAATATATATATTATCATTAAGCGTTCTCAATATCTTAATGCGGTTAATTGTGTAGAAGAGTTGTTAGATATGGGTGTTGTACCAATTGTAAATGAAAATGATACTATTTCAACCCAAGGTATTCGTTTTGGTGACAATGATACTTTATCGGCTATTATAGCAGGTATGGTCAAAGCCGATTATTTATTTTTGTTAACAGACGTGGACTGCCTTTATACCGATAATCCTCGCACAAATCCTAATGCAAAGCCTGTAACAGTGTGTGAAGATATGCTCAAATTAAAAGAACAAGGTAATAAAAAAAAAAAAGAGAGAATGAAATATCCTGCATGCATGCATCATTAATTAACTAAAAAAAAAAAATGGTTGTTATAGTTTCAGTTGCTTCTATGGGTTCGGCCCTTGGTACAGGTGGTATGGCAACAAAATTAGTTGCTGCAGAACTTGCTACTGCTGCTGGTGTAACAACAATTATAACAAATGGTTCAAAACCTAACAATATTATCAACATCATTAAAGCCGATAGAAAAACATCGGACGAATTTACAGAGGAACATCCACTTCACACTCGATTTATTGCTAAAAATAATCCAATGTTAGATCGTAAATGGTGGATTCAATATGGATTGCATACAGCAGGAGTTATTTATGTGGATGAAGGTGCGGCTACTGCTATATTAAAGCCTCGTTTAAAAAGTAGTTTGTTTGCCGCTGGTATTGTAGATGTTGAAGGTAATTTTGTTGCTCAACAAGCAGTTAATATTGTGCTTCGTGAAAAGACCAAAGAAGGTGAAACAAAAGATATTATTATCGGTAAAGGCCTTGTTAATTATCCAAGTATCGAAATTAATCGTATTAAGCATTGTCGCAGTACGGAGATTGCTTCTATCTTGGGTTATGTTGATTCTGAATGTGTCATTCATCGTGATAATCTTGTTCGATTGCAGGACGAAATTTAGAAACACATATACACATACACAAGCGAAAAAAAAAAAAAAAAAAAAGGGAAAAGATATGCTCATAAATTTTCCTATTATTTCATGCATTATGTTTATTATGTTAAAAACTCATCAATTTCTTTTTCAACTCATATAATTTTCTATGCAGCTCTTCTTTTTCATTTTCGCTCTGTGCATATCGAATCTTAAAATCAATTAAACTAGTCTCCATCTTCTGTAATTGGTCTTCTAGAGCTGAGTTCTTTCCTATTAAACTAGCATTTTCCTCGCAAAGATTTTCAAAGTCATCCTTTGTTTTTGATTCAATCTTTTCTGGTAACGTATTTACTGCATTTTGTAATGTTAATACTAATGTACGAAGTGAATTACCTTCTTCTTTCATAAGATTTAATTGATTTAATGTCTCACTAAGTTGTCCATTTATATCTTGGTGTTCTTGTTTCAATGTGCTTACATTCGTCTCGAGTGATTTGAGTTGTTTTTCAAGTTTGATATTTGATTTTTGTAGTTCATCTATTAACTGAGCATCTACTAATTCCTTTTGTAATTGTAATTTGTGTTCCTTTTCTAATTGAGTTAATCTTTTAAGGGGAATTTCTAACTCACAGGCATCATGGACGAACCGTCGATCATCATCCTATAGTAATAGATCTGTTGTTAGTACTTTATACTACTTTGCATGTGTGTGTGTGTGTGTATTGACTACCTTGTATTCTTTAAAAAGTCCATTTTTCAAGAAATCCAATAAATGTTCAAAATCAAACCCAAGGATCGCAGTCTGATTTCGTTTCAATAAAGCCAAAGCGAATTTAAATATGGAGCTAATACCTTCAGTAAAGATAACATCATAAATACGGAAAACTAGATCCAAGGGAAATTTGTAGGCAAATAAAGTCATAAACCATTGTGAAGCATACATTGTTGAATTGATGCCCTGTTCTTTTAAATGTCGTGAGATATGTGGAAGGTATTCTTGTAATAGATTGTCAAATTGATAAAGTCGTAGCTGTAATCCATCCATCTCTGGTGTAAAATGACCTCGAATACCGTATTTGTTATTCATTAACTGTACAAGTAAACAAAAAGCATCTTCATCAGGCATCTTTTATATATAAAAAAATTATTATTATATGTGTAACGAAAAGATTAAAATTTCTTAATGCAAACTTACATTTAGCAACATAGGTCCAACAATAAATGCTAATCCTTGACAATATCCTACTTCATTATCATATAAACTGTAAGCACGAACTACGTTATAAAGGCCTCCTTGCCCTTGTCCATCTGTCTCCTTAAAATAAGTATGACCAGGAAAAGTGCGTGCTAAATCTCGCTGAATCATTTTATCATATGGACTTTGAAGTTTTAACAATTCCATGTATTTTAAAACTAGGTCTTCATTCTTTGATTTAGTTAATAGCTGCCAAACCATACCACGAATAGAAGGAGGTATGCCAAATCGAATCTGTTTAATCAAGTCCTTATTCACTTTATTCAAATTTTGATAATCGCACATTATGCCTGCCCAAAAATCTTTAAAGAGAAAATAAATAAATAAATGCGCATATTGTATTATAGGATAGAATAGAAATAGAATAAACATTTACCCCAATCATACTCATCACCTTTATTTTGTGATACAAGGCTTTGTTTTATAGATTGTCGCTTTAGATTCTTCATCGCTTTCGATTTAGGATCGTTGGTATTTTCTGTATTTAATTGCTCCATTTGTGCTAATAAAGCCTCCTGAAATCCTGGTAAAGGAGATATAATGCTTGTTGGTCTAGACAATCGTTTCTGTCGAGCAGCAAATGAAGCAGAAGGTCTAGAAGATATACTTTTAATACTTGAAGAAGTCGAATTTTGTTTTGTGGAAGGTCGCCTTGATGAAATCAATGATGTGCTATTTGTTGTAAAAGAAGAACGAAAGGGTGACCAAAGTGCAAAAACAGATTTAGCTGTAGATATACTTGAAATCGATTCATTATCTACACTCTCACGAACATGATGTGTTGTAGTTGTACCAGGAGACACTGTAGTTTCGTAGATAGCATCTCTTGTATTGTTTATTCTTGTTGGTATAGGTACCGGATTGACTTCAGGTTTTTTACCTGATACAAGAGCAGATGTAATGATCTTTAAAGGATTATGACTTTCATTATCTTTGTTTTTTACTTCTTGTTCTTCCGATATTGAAGGTGTTGTCGAAATTGTATCTTGTGAAAGTGTACGCAAAGGCTTTTCAAAATAAGATGCTGATTCATTGAATGAAGATAAAGATGATGATAAATCTACATACTCAATATGTTCGTTATCATCACTTGATTCTATATAATGGGCATTAATTATTATTATTATTATTATTATTTTAAAAAAAGAAAGAAAGAAAGAAAGGACATTATTCTATCAAGTTACTTCTATTGTGATTTGATTCGTTGTTTGACATGTCTTTACAATCAGTTGATCTAGATGTTAATGAGTCATTATCTAAATCTAGCACTGTATTTTGAGAATGGTCTTCTCCAAGTGGTGGTATAATAGCATCTGATTCAATGCTTGGCATTATAAATTAGATTATAAATAAAGGTAATAAAAGAAGATATTTACAAAGAAGGTTGTACGTGTAGTTTAATTATGATTTTGTATTTTATGTTCCGCATTAAAAAACAATATTATCGAACAGTTTTTCTTTTTTTAGCATTTACATGTATACATGTACATTGCTGCTTTCACTCAGAAATTGTCTATATTAATTTTTTTTCCATCTACATATAGCCTCCTGTTATTGGATATATCAATATATAAGTTGATAGACACGTATATATACTATATGTATTCATCTGTTGAGCTTGAGGATGTTAATTATGAAATCTTTTCAAGTAACAATCTGAGCAATATCTTAAACTCTACTCGGTTATTCATCGTTAATAATGACATTCTTTTTGTATGTATTTACTATTTAAAGACGTTTAGTTTTATAAAGTGAATTCATTATAAACATAATTTGATTTTTATCATTTTCCAAGTGATCAAAAAAAAAATCCATTTATGATAGCTTTGATTATATTACATAATATATAAATGATATCTGATAACTTGACTCATATTTGGAAGAGAGTTATATTTAAAAAAAAAAGGCAAAGGGTAGCAAGTCCTATTATAGAATAAATGACCAGTCTACTCGCCATTATTTTTATTTTATTTTATGTAAACATGCATTGAATACACTATTTACCTTTTTTTTTTTTTTGAATAATCTTTTTTTTTTTTCTTTTTCATTTCCCTTTTTTTTTTTAGTAACAATGATTAATTATAACATTGTGATCAGTACACTCTTTGTTTACTTGATTAAAGTAATACCCATTGAAGCAGCAGAGATAAAAATGTTTTGTAAATGCTTTTGTGGTTCCAACTCAACTATATTCGAACTCCCAACGACCGATTTAAAGCCCTGTGGTAATTGTACAAAGCAATTCTGTTTAGATAATGTGAAAGATGGCATGTGTGATGGTATTGCTGATGAAACATGCCCTAGTAATGACTTTAAAACGGCTTGTTTTGGTAATTTATTAATGATACAACAGGTTTTGGTTATTGATGTGAGGAGGGCAATTAACTAACCATCTATTAAAACGAAATAGCCCGCGATTCATATAAAGATGAAGTTATTGTTCGTTCATTTTTGATCATTACTATTTGTTTAATATTATTCTCCTTAGTTAGACCCTACATTGTCAAATGGCAAAAGGTAACTTTAACGTGTAACTCTATCCCATATAATAATAATATCAATAGAAACGAGCAATAAGAGTGCAATATCAAACTGTACCAAACGATGAGCAATAGATTATTATTATGTATGAATAAACTCTGTATATACAACTTCTTGCATTTACAAATATAAACAAATTATTTATTTAAAAGAAGATACATTTGCATAGTAATAAACACATATTCACGCTTAATTCTCTTTTGAATCTTTATTTTATTTCTTAAAAAAAAAAAAAAAGGAATAAGAGGGTAGGGTAGTTTGGGGGGATAATTTTAATTATGCTACATAGCTGTACATGTCTTTTTGATTTTCAACACGTTCAATATATTCTTTCTCCTATAGTGTAAGTCCAGTTAAATACACACACACATACACATACACACACTTTTTTTTCATTTTTAGAGTCTTTTTAACTTACCAATAAAACATCAATACACTTCTTGATAGCAGGCACACGAGGTTTAAATCTTGATTGTAATTGAGTAATCACTTCTTCTATAAGAGCTACGTGTTTCATCACTTTACGTGTCTTCATGATTCTTACAATAGCTGCTTGCATAACAAACATTCTATCTTCTTCAATTGTTTTATGTGTTTCATCTGCTTCTGCCTTTTGTTCTGTCTTCATTTGCATATTCAGGTTGATACGAATTTTTTTACTCTTAAATTCATGATTCAACACATAACGTGAATCTGCATCACCCACATTGTCTGCATCACGTAATAAAAGAACTTTAGCCTTTACGAGAATACCAAGTGCTGGATTTAAGGCTTCAGGAGATAAAGCAGTGCTCTTTTGTAACTCTTTATATGTACAACTATCAGTTGTATTGAATTGAAGTAAAATACCCATTTGGTAAGCAGACACCATGAATGTATAGCCGACTTTACTTCCCTTAAGATAATGTGTTTTAAGTTCAGCCTTTGAAAGCTGGAATAACCAATTCAGTTTACGGCCTGAATGCTTATTCTGATAGAATTTTTGAAAGCGGTCATAGATCTTTACAACATCATCAGGAAGATTAAATGATGTAGAAGGAGTTGAAAGTGGCCAGGAACCAGTACCAAGTACAAGAATATTGAAATCAACTAATTATAATAATAATAAAAAGTCAATATGAATATACATATATAATCATCTCCATATTATATACCTCCTGAGGAACCTTCAGGGTTTTGTTGAATTAAATCCTTAAATTGATCATTTAACTCTTTACTAAGTGACATATCAGTTAACATACGTTGAAGTTTAGAGGTATATTCGAAACCACAAGCTTCTTTCAATTTAGAGATCATGGAACCTTCAGCATCATCAGAAGCAGAAGTACCATTCACTAAACGTTTAGCTAACATCTTACTATAGAATTTCTGGAATACATCCTTATCCTCTACATATTTGAATACAGTCATAACATCATTTAAAACATCCTCCAATTCATCTTCTTCAGGATTTTTAGCACTCTTCTTGAGAAGTTGATCACAGAAACGAGCCAGTAATTCGGGTGATTTACTAGAAGAAGATTTACATACCTTATTACGGTTTACGAATTCGCCACATGCTTTATCAAGAGCAGCGACAAATCCAGCTTCCCCATTAAATGCAGTTTGAACAAGATCATTGTATTTCTTATGTACTTCTAAAAGTGTATCCACATAACTCTTAGGATCGATAGCCTCGGATTCATTTTGTGAAATACGTTCAATCGCACTAAGACCTGCTTTCTTCACATGTGCTTCAAAGTTAACTCTTAATGGATTTAAACCATCCGGAATACGAGCTAAAAGCATATACATACGATGAAGGTCTAATTCAAACAATAGATTAATAAATAAAAAAAAAGGGGAGGAGAATTACACACTAATCAGTTGAAAACTTTATATACCATCTTGTTTATCTGCATTAAGCAAACTTTGGAAACCATCCCAAAGGCTTTCTTCTTGATTTTTGACAAGAACAGTTTCACAAATAGGAATTAGAGTTTTATGGGTCGTAGGATGAAGATACATTTGAACACGACTCTCTTCCTCATTCAATCGGCCCTCTGCCTTCTTCATGTATTCAGGAATACTATTTTCGCTAATGAATTTTTCAGATTCTGTCTTGTAATACACTTCAGTTGCTTCAAGGAAAGCCTTTTCGAAATAATCTTTATAAACATCCAAATTTGATTTTGATGAATCGTTATGATCAAGTCCAAGAGAAACTAAGCAAATAAGGTAAATATAAAGCTGTACCTTTACGAGTTTATAAAACGACCTTATAGTTTACCTAATGAATCTACAACATTTTTAATAAGACCTGTTTCGATTACTTCCCCATTTCGTTGTTTAGTAATTAACTTTAATACAGCAGCAATGATATTATGATGCGTATATTCAAACATATATTTCTTCCAACTAACGAGTGTTAGCTAATAAACAAAAAAGAAAAAAAAAGGATTACTACATAAAAAAAAAAGACTCTAAAAATAAGAATAAAGCTTACAGTGAATACATCATATACATCACTTTTCCTGTCTTCATCAATCTCACGCTTAACCCAATAACGATTTAAATACATAAAAATATTATTGACAACGCGTGCAGCAGCAGTATATCTTGTCCATTGTTTAGTATAATATTGTAATAGTGATTCGTCCATGTACTGTTCAGATTCCTTTCTAATCTTTCCAAGATGAGCTTCAAGATAATGACAAAGATTAAGATAAACTTCTCCACCAATTAAAGGAGGTGCAGGTGCAGCTATAATGTAAACACATTAGTTAATATATATATGCACATTTATAAAAAAAAACACACATATATATATATTTATATATATTACGTCTTCGAGTATTAGGTCCACTAGCAATTGAAGTAGAGGTTTGCATGTTAGAATCACTTCGAGCACAATAATTATGCACAGCACTAGATGTAATAATAAAGTTAGTCGTGTATGTATATGCATTAAACATTAAAAATACCTATAAAGAATAGAATAACGTGTTCGATCTAAACCTTCCTCAAAACGACACATGATTTGATCAAGGCCTTCTTCTAAAAAAGCCCAAGTAGCTTTAAAATCATTACCAGGAGGTAACTGCATTGATGACATGTTGTTGTTAATTTAATAATTTATATTTATTTTTTATACTGTATAAATATTAAAAAAAGAAAAAGAAGAGAGAGAGAGAGAGAGAGAAAAGGAGGAGAAGGATAATATCAAAAGAAGGGAATAAAAAAATAAAAAAAAAAATAAAAAAAAATAAAAAATTGTGTGTATTACGTATCTTTAAGCAAATACAGTGACAATATATTTTCTTCTTCACTAAATAGAAATTTGAAACTTTTAAATGAAAAAAAAGAAAAAAATATTTTATTGGCTAAATAGAAAACTGCTATAAAAATTTTGAAAATGATAATTTCTCCCTACTATTACTATAAAGAAGTATACAAGTACAGAAGAATAAATTTATATTAATAATGAGGAGTAACCAACTATTTATACCATATACTGAAGCCTATACAAAAAGAAAGGGGGAAGCTAATATTCTTCTATTGTGCATATTTGTAAATAAATACCTGGTTATAAAGGAGGTTTTTTTTAACTAAATGAGAATGTTAAAGTCTAAAGACTACTATCTTCTGCTAAAAAATAAAATAAAAAAAAAAAACACCAGGTAATGATTGATAGTATGTTATTAGAAGATAGTCTAAACATTTCACCTGCAAAGTATTTATATAACAGCAATAGTGAGAGGTCAATAAATACCTGCACTCACATCCTTTTGGTCTCTGCTTTGATTGATTTCAAATTTAATTGTATTATTGTATGTGTAACTGATATCGTCATACGCTTTGAAAGCTCAAAAGAATAATGTACTACCTATACATCAAATTAATATTTACACACTACATAAATGTCTTTTTTTGCTTAATGAATGATAAGCAAATCTAAAGTAACTCTCATATTTATATATATATTGGCTGACAATTACTGCTAGAAATTAATAGTAAACAGAACGAACATGAAGGTAGTAAGTTCACAGAGTCAGAGTCTGATGATTAATTCAAAGATCTTAGGGTAGCGTTCTCTTAGTTTAAAGTAGAGCCTTTAAAGTTCTTTATAATAATACATGTCTTGTGAAAGAGAATAGTTTACTATAATCTATAATTTCTGTTATATTTAAAAGTATATGTTTATGTAGATGTATACATTTATTTTAATCATGTTTCAGTGATATATTTTTATATTTAAATGAACGTTTGTTTATTCAGTTGTCTGTCAATGTACAAAATATACTTTATGCATATCATTCTTCTTCTGAAGCAGAACCAGCATCATCAAATTCATCGTCATTTGCAATGTCAGAATCATCCTAATGAATAAATAAATAAAAACCATGTCAAATGTTAAAATAATAATAAAAAGAAGCTCCCTTCCCGAACTTACCATATTATATGAAACACTTGCTTCCTCTAATTTTGCTTTGATATCTTGATATTTAGGGTTAACCAACATAATAGGGGTTAACTTGTTACGATTTTCAATTCTATTTTTATATCTGTCAATACAATTTTTATATTTATTTAACTCGCACAAACTTACTGTGGATTAGCACCAGCTGCTAACAATAATTCAACCATGGCAGCCGCCATTTCATGGTCTTCATTAGCATATTGAACTGCAATGTGTAAAGGTGTTTCTCCTTCTAGTAAGTTTTTCATATCCAGGTCAATATCATCGTAATTAACAAGAACTTCAAGACAGCCAATTGAGCCAGACTTGGCACTACATACATTTACTTTATTTATATACATTCTAAATAACACACACACACTTCATTATCCAGAAACTTACGCATAATGAGCTGCTGTATTTCCTGCTCCATCTCTAAAAGAGATATCGCATTGACCTTCATCTAATAATTTTTCTAAATCTTCTTCTTGGTCATTTCGACATAAAGCCAACATGAGTTCATCTTGGTTAATATTTTTTCGTTACTATCTAGTTTTTCTTTCGATAAAAATATATATATTTTTTTAATAAAAAAAAATCAAGAACTTACTGGAAGAAGCACCTTGGTCCTCAGTCATTATTAAACAGACAAAAATGAAAAGTAAAGAAGAAGAAAAAAAAAAAAGAAAAAGAAAATGGGCTTGATTTTAATAAAATTCTGGGCTTTATATTATTTTTAATGACACATTTATTTAATTTTCAGTCATACTTACTGGAATCAAGTAGTCTGCACAACAACATTCAAAGCCAAAAATGAACATGACAGAATTTTATGCTTTTTTTTTTTGACTTGCATGTAATAAGTATATTGAATACAACGTGATAATTTTATAACAAAAGTAAAAAGAAATCACGCTACCGCAACAGATTATAAAGCATAAATATTGAATTAAATAAGAAAATAAAGACAAGACGCGCTTTGACATAAAATAGGACTAAAAGTACTTTTAGTTACATTTAATTATTGTTAATTTCTAATTTGTCCTTCTTCCTTATCTTATATACCTGATAATTTATGATAGATAATATAAGTAGAGTGTATACGTTTTATGATTATGATGTTCTCTATAAACAGAAGCAATATAATATACACCATCGAGATATAGCAGTTTTCTGCTTTATATATAAATAAATAGAATGGGTGGCGTGTAGTAGTTAAAGTAATAACGATAAGTATTTTATGATATATCTTTACATATTTTTTGTAATTGCTCTCTTCATATGCATGTGTCTTGAAGTTTGACATCTTGAGTAATATTACATTGTGCTATCTAATTAGTAGTTTTTTTTTTCTTTACTGCTATCAAGCTTATTACCTATATTCTCAAGTCCCTTCTTAACTACTTTTCCCCTCTATACTTCTTAATCTCATATATTAATATGCCTTATTTTTATCTTTTCTCCTTTTCTTTTTTTTTATTCAGATTTATCTAAACATAAGACAGTACATTGTTTCATTTCTATTATTTGTCTTCAACTATTAGAAAATTTATATGATGCTTAATAGATCATAGTCGTATAAGCTATAAGGAGTAGGCGCTGTTTATGTATTCATGTATTTTATACTGTTTATCCTATAGCTTCGGTCATGTGTTATTAACATCTAGAGCATATAAGAATACATAATGGTCAGTTGTAAACATAGTATATTGCACTCTTAACAGATATTATATCAAATCTTCTTGCTATTGTTCATTGAGGGCTTCTATCCTCTGTTAGAAAAAGGTAGTGTATCGTCGTAACAGCATAAGCATTTGTGTTTATACTTTCTTCAAACAAACAAATAAAAAAAAATCGACATAAATCTTTATCAAAAAAAAAAGAGAGAAGGAGTATAATGGTGATGGAGACAAATACATACATTTTTTTTCTTGCATGTGCATTGGTTGTTGTTTATAATTACTGGGTTTTAAATAAATATTTAGACGTGAGGGGTAAATTTTTCAGTGAGACGATTTTGAATTAATTTGAGACGAATAAAAAATTGGTTAGAACAGGCACAAGACAGATTAGTAAAATATCAAGACTACATTTTAAAGACATTTGAATCACTTGGCTAATCTTTCATCAAACAGCCAATAGTGATCATTAAACAGCCAATAGAAATCACTTGATAGTTTACGAAAACAGATATAGTAAGTAACTAGTACACGCTTGGCAAATGACTTGGAAAAAACTTTTAGTTTTTTTTTTCTATTTACTTCAATGAGTATTGCATTTTTATGAAATTGACTTTTATCAAAACATATGTATTTTGTGATTCTTCGTCGAATGGTATAAGTTATGGAGTATATTATCTAAAAACAAGCGATTTATGATGCGTTTTTTAGAATTCTGTTATTCGTACTTAACTGAACATATGCTCAACAAAATAAAATAATTGATGATTCATTCTATTGTTACATTATATATAAGCAATATTTGTTATCGTGGAAAGTCATAATCCCCTTTCGTTGCTTTGGTATATTAATTTATTTCATTTTTTGATTTTTGTAGAGGGTGTAGTACCCTTTTTCGCAGGAAAAAAAAATCGTGTTGAAAGGAACTTGACTGTCCAGTAGTTTGACTTTTTTAAAATGTTTGTAAACAAGTAAATCAGGTTTTAGGGTTTCACTGGATGGCATTATTATACATTGAGTTTGTAATATCGTTAGACCATTTTAAATTACGCATCATCACCCCCTTTTTTTTTCAAAAAAAAAAAAAGGGAAAACATGACAGGTCTAATCTAGTGATTTCTATTTGCTGTTTAATGATCTCTATTGGCTGTTCGATGAAAGATTAGCCAAGTGATTCAAATGTTTTTAAAGTGTAGTCTTGATATTTTACTAATCTGTCCTAAAACATTCCAAAGACTTTTTTAAATTGTCCCAGCCTATTTTTTATTCATCCCACCCAGTATTAAATGAATAAATGAAAAATAGCAGTCAATTGTGACTGTTTTAACTTGTCTTCTTTCAGTTAAAAAAATTATTTTCCTAATGTCCTCCTTTAACACCCAAAAAAAAAAGAACACCTATAAAAGATGGCACTTACTGAAGCTCAAAAGATTTGTAAACAAGTTAATTTTTATTTCTCTGATTCTAATTTGCCCTATGACAAGTTCTTATGGACTCTTCGTTCCAATTCTCCTAATGGCTGTAAGTTTTTTTTTTCTTTTGGACTTTCCATTGAAAAAATAATAATAATAATTTAACATAATGTAGGGATCCCCATTGAAACTATTGCTAATTTCAAGAAAATGAAGATGATTACTGAAGATTTGGATACCGTTGTGAAGGCTCTTAAAGAAAATGAAAGCGATATTTATGAAGTTGACGAAGAAGGAAAGAATATTAGAAGAAAGACCGAAGTTGTTCAACAAGATCATATTTCACGTTCTATTTATATCAAGGGATTACCTTTAGTGGATGTTGATACCGAAGATCCTATTGCTGAGACCTTCAAATTACAAGATCAAGTTGATGAATTCTTTAGTGAAAAGGCTAAAGTCCTTTGTGTTCGTTTAAAGAAAACTCATGAACGTCCTTATCAACTTAAGGTAATATATATATATACATGCAATATCACTTTTTTTCCCTCCATAGATACATGTTCTCTTTTTTTTTCTTACATACTTTAATTGAATAATAGGGTAGTGCTTATGTTGAATTTGAGACTCCTGAAGACGCACAAAAGATTGCTGATTTGAAGGAAGTTGAGATGGATGGTCATAAACTTGAATTAATGTATAGACCAAAGTATATTGAAATGAAGTCCGAGCAATTCAAGAATGCCCCTCCTCCAAAAAAGAGATTCCGTACTTTCAATGCTTTTTATGTTAATAACAACAGTAATAATGTAAATAATAAGAGAAAGGCTGATAATGGTTTCGCCAAAAACGGTAATGATAAGAAACAAAAGACAAAGAATGAAGAAGTGAAGGAAAAAGAAGAATCTTCTTAAAAACTACAACAAAATAGCATCTTTTTATTTTTATTTTATTTTATTTTTTTATTTTTACTTTTTTTTTTTTTTAAGAGAGAAAAGAAAAAAAAAACTTCCCCGCCTCCCATATTATTTTATAGGCAATAAATAATGTTGCACACACCATTATATCTCCTTCATATATCTTCATTTATTATATGATTCATTCTTGAGGAGCAGTAATAAGCCACCTTTGTATAATTCGTTGTACTACAGCCCCTCCATTTGGATCTAATTTTTCTAGGTACCTGATGACAATAGGATGTGAATGAATTGATTGACCAAAGACAAGACATGTTTTTGAGTCAGGAGGGGACACTTTCATCTTCAAAACCTCCCTTTGTTGATCAGCAGTATACCATTCGTTTACAACTTCAAATGTTGCATTTATTAAATCCTTTTTATGAAGCTCAATTGTAGTTTGTTCACACTCATTTTTACATAAACGAACAGATAAATAACGATCAAGCATAGTAATACCACAATTTGGATGAATAAATTCTATTTGGTTCGCAAATTCGATAGATAAAGTAGGTAAAGGTATACCAGCAGGACTATAAAGGGATAAGGGCTTTGGTGGATCTTGCGGTGGTTGTACCTGTGGCTGTAATGAGGGTGATGTTTGATTTGATGATGTATTATCTATTATATTTAACTGTTCTTTGGATTTTGGTATTGTCTCCTTATTACTCTTTTTTTTACCCTCTGAAGAATGTGTTGAGGACTCCACTTCAGGTATTATAGTGCCCTTTTTACCTTGGTGTCGATACTTTTGTTGTAGTAATTGAACAGCGAAACGACCCAAATCTTGTACTTGATAGCTAGTCTCTTGACGTGCATTTTTCTTTTGGTGTCGCTTTGTTTCATGCTCCGTTTTTTCTAGCTCTGCTAATTCTGCTGCTCTTTCACGTTCCTTTTTCTCCTTTATTATACGCCTTTCCTCTTTCATACTGATTACAGGTGCATCTATCAAAATCTCTCCTTGTTTCCATTGAATACCGCAACTATTACAAAGAGTACCATGACCTGCAGGTCCTGATCTCCACATAGTCGTGTATTTTGTACTGCAATATGCACATTTGAATAGAGTATCCTCTTTCACATTTATATATTTATTCTTGGGTACTAATAACAAATGTCATTACATAGAGGGCCAAACAAGAATATGAATAAACTTACATTCCGACTCAAATTTCTCATCTCTTTCTCGTTTGCCTAGCTTAATTGCATTCAGAATCTCGTTACGTTTCTTTTCTGCTTGAATGGGTCCAGTCGTTAGATCCGGTACTGTGGTTGCCTTTTTAACTAATTCTTGAATTTTATTACTATGACTAAGGTCATCAGATAAATCAAATTTTATATAACTCTTTTTTCCTTGTGCATGCTTTAACTATTTTTTTTTTTTTTGATTTTCCTTTTCGTTAGCCAATCTAACATGTATATTTATTATATCGACTTACTTTATCTTTCATGCTTCTTCTAACATCTTGCATTTTGTATACATAATTTTCAAGAGCTTCTACAAGCGATAGATCCGCTTTGGTCATTCGAATATTTACAGGCTGATAATTTCTTTCCTTTTCTATCTCTTTACTTTTTTTCTTATCATCCTTATTTAGTTTGATAAATTCCTGAATACAAGACAATTGACTTGATTCCCCATATTTTAGTATTTTATCCTTTGGTGACATGAAAAATTCGTCTGCTACGTTTTCATCAAGAGGTAATATGAATGATGCATGGATCTATGATAATAATAAATAAATAAATACATATCAATACAACTTTTGTTTATCTATGTATATATCCAATTTCGGTTCATTACTGTTTTATAGGCTTCTCCACTTATGGGTATAATCTCTAATATGGTATCTTTAGGGAAAATAAAACGTTCATTTGGAACATCCTTTAATTCAAATACAATATCTACAAATGTCAATGTTTCCTCCTTTTGTTCTAATTGTGCCGTCTCTTCTTCAGGAACATTTAAGCCTTGACTTTTAGCAATGGATCCCCAACTTTCACATCGTATTGCTTTATAAAATGGTGTATTCATAAATACATGAGCACCGAGTTCCAAATTACAAGTGCTTATATATTTCATGTTGGGCCATTTTTTACGTGAATGAGTCGTTCTTTTTGGTTGTTGAACTGGATCAAGTTTATATTTTGAGAATACAGAGCTTGTCCAGTTAAGTCGAGACTGAAATAATGAAAGAAAGAGTATACCACTTTTTATTTTATTTTATTGGAAAAAAAAAAAAGAAAAGAAAAAAGGGAGAAGGGAAGAAGAAGAGAGATTATTCCCATTTGTATAAATGTATATACATATATATATATAAAAAAAGGGATTTGTCAGTTTTGCCTTTTTTTTTATGAAAAAAAAAATAAAATAAAATAAGGAAAAAAGCTGGTATTTTACTTTTGATAAGAATCAACATCTGTTGGGGTAGATTCAATTGGTATTTCGTATTTTCGAGCTGCATTTTCGATTCTTTTTTTAGCAGCAATCAGTCCTGATGTTGACATTATATAATAGAACTACTACTGTTATTGCAAAAAAAAAAAAAAAAAAAAAAAAAAAAAAAAAAAAAAAAAAATGTTTATTTGTATAAATTTATAAGCGATGAATGGACAATGTTTGTAGTAGGCATTATGAATTCAATGACAAAGGATGTGACTTTGTCTAGTCCACCAGTTAAAAAAAAAAGGGGGGGATTAGTCTATTATATCATTATTATTTGCGGGTCGGACAAAGTGAATACTATTCCCTCCAAATGGCACACCCCATCTATGCCCTCCAATTGATGAATCCGGAGTGTTTGTTAGTGTATTCAAGTTGAATAAGTAAATAAAGGCTGAATCTTTCTCTTTATCGTTTGAACGGAAGGACAATATGGTTAGCAGAGTAAGATATCCTACATCATTTAATAACAGCATAAAACAAAACAAAAAAAGAAAGGAGGGAATAGGATGAAAATAATAAAGATGGATGCACAACATGTTGGAAATCATATTATACAGCTTGAATAGACTTAACAAAAGACAAATTAATAATATGCAATATTTATGGTTTATCTATACATATACATATATATATATATTGCGATGGATGGATGATTAAGTAGCTAGATATGGATGGATTTATAGTTACTACATTTCTTGATTATAATTTAGCATTTGTTCACAATTTCAACATTCATGTTAAAATGGAACATTTGAATTTTTAAATTGTACAACGATTTGAAAACAGTCATAAATGAAGACATTCAACATAGTTTTTAATGTGCATGTTCCACTTTTCATTCCTCACTCCTTTAATTTTAATGTTTTATGCTGGAATCAAATAATTCATTTTTCAATAACTAATAATTCATTTTTCTTATTTCTTTTTTTAAAAAAAAAACTTACAGTTAAACGAATATCAGGTAAAAAAAAAATCCCCAATAACATGAAAATACAACAGTAGAAATAATATCGAGAATATGAAAGAGAAGAGTCATATGCTGACAGTATATTCAATGATATTAGGTGATTGGCCGTAAGCTCCCTTCAGCTCAGGAGCCTACTCCCAAGCTTTTCCGTATGAGAATCTTTGCCCCTAATGACGTTGTTGCCAAGTCTCGTTTCTGGTACTTCTTGAAGAAGCTCCGTAAGGTTAAGAAGGCTGCTGGTGAAATTGTTTCTTTGAACAAGGTAAAAAGAAAAAAAGTTGAATTTATGCTGCTGTCTTTTTTTTTTGTTTATTTTTTATTAAATTAATGTGTATAAATAAATAGATCTCCGAGAAGCGTCCTGAACAAATCAAGAACTTTGGTATCTGGATCCGTTATGATTCTCGCTCCGGTACTCACAACATGTACAAGGAATACCGTGCCTTGCGTCGTGTTGATGCTGTTGAACAATGCTGTAAGTATTAAGATGAGATACTAACAACTTCAGAAGAGAAACTAAGTATTATTCCTTTCCCCCCTTCCCCGTCTCCCCCTTATTTTTATAGATCAAGATATGGCTGCTCGTCACCGCGCTCGTTTCAGATCTGTTCAAATCATTCGTGTTGCTGAAATTAAGGATGCTGATGTTCGTCGTCAATACATTAAGCAACTCTTGACTCCTAAGCTTTCTTTCCCCTTGCCTCACCGTCTTGCCAACGTCGACAAGAAGCATCGTGCTCTCTTCATTGCCAAGAGACCCACTACCTTCTATTAAAAATAGTGCATATTCTCTCTTTATTTTCTTAATATAAAGAAAAACACTAGTTTCTTTTGAAAAAAAAACAAAGAGCAAATATTGTATGTTTTAGGTTTTAATTATGGGGTTACATTATTAAAAAAAACTGAGGAGGGAGAATATTATATGAAATGGCTTTTTATTATGACTATAAAAAAGAATCCATTCTACTATACATAGTATACGCGTGTGTTTTCTAAAGTTGTTTATGCGATTTTTTTTTTTTGGGGAGGGATTTTTGTGTAGTTAGTAAGGCTTTTAAAGGGGTTTGGTTTGTAAATCAAATAGTTTTACTAGAGCATTGTTTAACTGGATCGCTCAGATCAAGAAATTAATAGTTCGGAGTATTTAGTCAAAAAAAAAATGTTTAATTGTATGCAAGCTATTATAGTTCTTTGGACTTATTTTAAGGATAGAATGCATGTGTTTACATATTAAAAAAAATAAATAGTATGAGAAGAATTACTTTAAAGATAAAAATAGTAAAGCACTTGTTGTAAATTACATTACACAATTAAACCTTTTTATTCAATGATAGACATTGTTACCCTATTTCAAGAATTGCTAAGCATGTAACATTACCCCTCCCCTCCCTCCCTTCTTTTTTTCTTCTTCTTAACACACATAGATATATATTTATTTCTTCAATCAAAAGAGTAATGTACATCATTTATTATGCTTTGCAGCCCACGTTTATGTATTTAGATATTTATTACTGGTGTTATGTTATAAAAGTAATTATAGGGCAATTATTAGCATTATAAATAGTCATGTTTTCAGGGGGCATGTATATACTTTATAATAGTACCAGAGAAATAAACTTTTCTTGTGAATCATAAAAATAATTTTATTGACACTGCTGCGTGATTTTGACTCATATTTACTCGCACTATCATCCTCATTGAAATACCCTAATTGTATTCTTTATTGTCTATAAATAGTTTTTAGTCATTTTGGCTGTGTAGATTGTTCATCTCTACTAACTCCCTGTAGATTATTATGAAGAGAATGGTCATCTCTTTTCCCCTGTTTGTTTATTAAGAAAATAGAGTTGGTCATTTCCTCTATTTTCATTAAAATTGCTGTCATGTTTTAATACTCATAATATGAATGCTATTCATTAAGCACTCCTTTCAATTCAATTTATTGACATTATTTGCTTCAATAATTCGACTCTTTTTTTTTTTGGATAAGGACTAAAAGATTCAAAGAAAAGAAAAAAACAAAAACAGGTTTAACATAGATATTAAGCAGATATTTGAGCTTGTAGTAGTAGTAGGACAAAATATGCAATTTGTTTATTAAAAGTGGCTATTATTAAAAAAAAAATAACGGCCCCAAAAGTCCTTCAAACTTTATTTATCTGTAAGACATATCATATTTAATGTGTTTAGAAAAGAAAAAAAAAATCATGATTTAAAAGACCTCATTTTATTTCTGTCAGTGATATGATTTTTTTTTTTTCTTTTATATAAAGGAGAAAAAATAAACATCCTTCTAGTAAAATTATGCATTATAAAAATACCATTTTTTTTTTTAAAAAAAAATGATGGCTAAACCAAGTTTAAACCCTTTTATAAGTAAAATCTTGTAAATTCAAACCAAGAATTTTTTTTGTATGTGTGTGACGATCATACGAATGATAGTTTTATAATTAAAATGTTCTTTATGAATCATAGAAAAGTGTTAGAAGTAGACATCAATTTTAATAAGCTGCTTCATATCTATTTCTAATTTGATTCCATCACATGGTAGTGGACTCTCTTCATGCTCCTTTTTGATTTTTTTGGAGATTGTTACAGAAACCAAATCAATCATTTTTTTTTTGGCAGATATTCTACATATCTATTGCAATAAACCTTAACCTTGATAAATAATAATAGTGATGAAACGCATTTTGTAGTCTTTATTTTTTTTTTTTTTTGATTACTTTTGTTTAATAACTGAGGATAGTATAAATAACGTGTAAGATGCAATGTTTAATATCCGGATGTATGCAAGAAGAGTAATTTAGGCAGGTTAGTATTTATTTCTAGTGAATACTCAAAGTAGTGGTAAATAAATTTCACATGTCTTTTTATCAATTGTCTTGATTTATACTGGTTATGTAAAAGATTCGACAGTCTTTCTTTAGGTATAAATAATCATGCATAGAGAATTTTTGTTTAAGCGAGGTAAATTAAATAAACATTATCTATATGCTTTTTGTTCTTTTTTTTTTTTTTTTTTTTTTAAAGAAAAAAATATAATTGTAATGATTAATTACAGATAGTTTTGATAATCATGAAAAGCTAATTTTAGAATTAAAATATGCATCATGAAAGGCTTATATTATTTAATTAAAATATGTAAAGTTAACCTGCTCCCATTACATTCCTCCTCTTTTAATTAATTTTACTATGCTAAAAAGACTAGTTTGAAACTAGAACATTCATTTTAAAGGGATCCTTCTTGTTTGTTTCTTTATGCAGCAAGTTAAAATTCCAGAAATTCTAAATGCAAAGAGTGGCTTTATTAAATTAAGGTTTGCATATCATTTAAGCCACTCTATTTCTAGCATTGTAAAAAAAAAATGCCCCTTACTCTTTTGTTGTTGCTGAGCTGTTTACTATTTATAAACTTTTGTATTACATTTTTATGATATAGTCGTATCCCACATGTTCGTTTCTTTTGTGTGATGATTTTATAATAAACATGCCATAATCGTTATTGCCATCTTTCTCCTTTCTTCTTGTAGCGTAACATTAAACTTTCCTTTTTAAATTGTACCCGCATGGTGTCAAGTGTTTATTTTTATATCCTTCTGATTGGATAGTTTTCTTTTTTATATATAAAAAGCATTCTTATTTCTTTTCTTTTTCTTTTTTTTTTTTCTTTCTTTCTTCATCATTCCTATTTATTTTATTTTATTTAATTCTTTCTTTCCTTCCTTCCTTTTATTTCGATAAGGCATGTTTCATTCCAATCACACTCAAACAAAGAATGACGATTATTCAGTACTATCCAACGATTCATCTTCATTGAAATCTTTATGGCATAAACTATCACATTTATTACATAGTCGTACTAGTTCAGAAGATGGCTATAGTAGTAGAAGTAGTAGTAGAAGTAGCAGTAGCAGTAGCAGTAGTAGAAGCAGTAGAAGTAGTAATGATAATCGACGTTATTCATCTATGTCAGCTGAAAATAATATATCATCATCGATGCATAAAGAGCGCTTATTTTTCAGATCATCCTCTGATTCTAATTGTCACAAAAAGAGAAATTATAAAAAAAAGTTATTAGTAACAGATAATCATCCACAACAACTCATTATTCCACCTTTTAGTCCAACCTATTGTAGACCAAACGAATTTCCATATTCAAATTTTTATGTTAAACTACCCAATGGGAAATGGATGGTACGTTATAGATCTGGGAATCGAGATATCCTTGGAACTGATGAATTTGAAGGATATATGATATAGCGACACATAATAGATTTTCTCCTTTTTTTCTGGGGAGGAGAGAGAGAAAGAGAGGAGGAGGAGGAGGAAATAACCACAATACAAAGGATTGAAAGAGAGAGAGAGAGAGTATGTTCCCTTTCCCCCTCCCCTCCCCTTTTTGTGTAAAAAAGAAGAAGAAAGGAAGCCCCTATCTTTCTTATTATTTCTATTCTACTCCACTCCTTCTTTTTGATACAACATGTACTATTCATCCCCCTCTTTTTCTCCTTTCCTTCAGCAAGCATCTTTTTTTCTTTTTTGTTCTTTATTTATTTAGTCATATTACTTACATAAATTATTATCATGTAATTCCTCTGCATTTAAACTTATACCAGTAATTAATATTAAAATAAACATTATTACCTAATAATATAGAGCTATTATTGTGTATATAGAAAAATTTGAAACAAATAACACCATCACATTCATATTAACCTAAATTGTATTATCATTAACATAGTACAACATGAATCAATTGATACCATGTGTATCTCTATTATGTGGACCCTTTATTTATTCAATCCTCCACTCCCCCCAGCCCCAGCCCCCACTCTCTCTTTTTTTAACACACCGTGTGTGTGTGTAAAAAAAATGACATTTACATGGTTACAAAAATTTAATTTCATTTATTTTATTTAAACAGGCTTTTGTCCACAAAGAGCCCACATTTTCACTTTCCAACCAGCTTGTGTTATTCCTTCTATATAATTATCAACAATTGTTTTATACTTTTCATTATCTGCATTCAATCGTTGAGCGAGTATTGGTTTTATTGATAACATGGCACCTTTCCAATTAATTAACATTTCCTTTGCAACTGGATCCAACGGTAAACCTATAAAGATGTGTAAGTAAGTAAGTGAGTGAGTATGTGTGGTATTATTATTATTGACTGTGTCATATGAATACTACTGTACTATAATCTAAATATTTTTGATTAATCTCTATCACATCAAAATTAGTTTCAGTCAAAAGGTTTTCTAATTTTGAGCCTATCCAGGGATCTAATCCTAATTCTACTAAAGCTTTCCTAACTAACAAATATCAACATTTCTTTTTTTTTTTTTTTCTCTTCAAGATATATATAATTTACATACATTCAGTGTTAAATATTTCAACTGTTTGAATATCTGCTTTTTCCTATATAGTTTTTTTTTAAGATATATTTATATATATATAAAGATAAATAACAGTAGTAGTAGTAGTAGTAGTAGTAGTAGTAGTAGTAGTATGATAGCATGTAACTTACAGTGAAATCTGATTCCACTAGTTGTACAACTCCACCTGGTTTTAATACCCGATATATTTCGGCAATCGTCTTTGGCCAATCCTCTGATCGAAGACCAGTGATCAATAAACGCATATGAATATAATCAAAGGAATTATCAGGATAAGGTAATCCATTTAGAATATTGTATAATTCAAATTTCACATTTTCAGGTCGAATCGTAGTTGGAAACATATCTGCTACATCAATACCAATAATTTGATAATCTGAGTGTTCTACTGCCATTTCCTATGTAAACCAGTTTGTGTTATCATAATTCATCTTAATAATATGTATTCACTTTATTTATTTATTTTTTATATATATATTTTATATTTTTTTATATTATTATTATCATTATTTTACCATCACCCAACATCCCGAACCACAGCCTAAATCTAATACTTTTGCATTTGCTGGTAATAATTTTTTCACTGATGGTAGGATATTACTATAAAAAAAAATATGGTAAATAACTGGAGAGATTTATATATATATATATATATATATATATATTCTGTATAAATAAAATAGGTTACCCTTCATATAATGCTTTTAACGAAAAATGTTGCTTTTATATAAATATATGTAATTCGGATTAGTCATTTATCTTTCTCTCTCTCTTTCTCTATTTCATTTACATACAGAATTAAGTCTGTCTTGTTCTAGTTCATCTCTTGGTAAAATGGAAGTATTATTTTCATCATAATAATAATGTCGACCATCGATAATGATTGAATTGACTGATCGAGAACGAATTGAATTCATAGTTAATGTTTGCTGTGTAGCTGTACTTTCTCTTCTATAAGTTTCATTGGATACTAAATTTTGTCGAGATTGTTTTATACCCATATTATTTTATATATATTCTGAATATCGTTATGTTCCTTTTATATATATATATGTATATATATATATGTGTGAGTGTGTGTGTTAATAATATAAATAGGCTAATTAGATAAGCATTTACTTTAGTAAAGAAAAGCAATAACAAGAAAAAGAAAAAAAAAAGAAAACAGAAATAAGAGAAAGAAAGAAAGAAAGAATAAAAAAGAAATCAAGTTAATAATTTGTGCTTAATGATTCTCGATATTGAATTTTAGTGATACGTTGTGCAAAAGTGCATTGTTTGACAGTATAAAAAAAATTAAATTTTTTCCATATCATCTGTGTGTTCGTTGTAAAACATTTTTAAATACAGCGATTGGAAATATGAATAAGGTGTATGTGTGTGTGTGTGTGTGTGTGTGTGGAGGGGGGGGAGGAGAAAGAGAATTAATTTCTGGGTTAATTACTCAAACTAAATAGTCATCAAAAACTCAGTTGAAAATCTTCTTTATTGTTGTTGAATATACTAAAAATAAAAATAATGGTGGAGAAAAAGAAAAAAAAAACTATTACATACACTACGCGATAATAAGTCTTGTTGTTGGCTATAAAAATAATCATATTACAATCAGCAGATTTATTTTTGTATTCCCTCCTTATCATCCAAAAATTAAAATTGCGGCTTTTTTTATATCCAATAAAGTAATAGCTTTCTTGGTTTGAGAACAATGCTGATAACAAATCTCGGTTTTTCTCAGGTACAATTTTTAAGTCTCTTTAAGGAAAATTGTAGTAAAAATGATAGTATAGACTAGAATGAATTCAATGTAATTGTGGAATTTACACTGAATGAAAAAAAAAAATAGGGGATTTTGTACACTTTATATCTTTTATTCCCTAGAATAAAATTTTGCTTTTTTTTTTTTTTTTTTTTTTTTTTTTTTTTTTTTTTTTAAATTTAACAAAAGATGCATTAGAAATTATATATCAAGCAATTCATAGTAATCTTTTTTTCTCTAGCTTCATGTATACTAAATAATTAATCTTTATGATTTTTATACACTATAACCCTTTTTTATATTTTGCACATGTTTTATAAAATGATTTTTATGTTTCATTTATTTAATGTGTTTGGCATACACTCTTGCATTTGTAGTAAGTAAAATCGATTTTTTTTTAAGGGCGATCAAAGTTAAGGAATAGAAGAAGAAAAAGAGAAAAAAAAAGGAGCAAAAGTATATAAAATGTCTTTATTATATTTGTCTACCTAGTAATTTAGGATATCGCGCGTTATTCATATGTACATTGTTATCCTTGTCTATATATACATATATTTATATATGTATATATTTTGGTAAGGGGGTGGTGGAGGAGGATTAATAAATCTTGCATTTACTTTTGAATTTTATTATCAGAGATTACTGGAAGTGTTATACAATCATCCTGGTTTTTATTTTTCTATTCACTGTATACATTAGCATGATACATTTTTAATATATTGAATGATTTAATGTCTTTTTTTTTCTCTGCTCAATAAACTACTATCTTTTCCATCTAAACTATTTAGTTTATAAATGATGAGACCCAATCTTGGAGATTATCATCTGTTTATTTCAATAAAATTTCTTATTATCATTGAGGTACTCCTTTTATTTTATTTATTTCAAAGAGGAGGGAGGGAGGGAAAGAGAAGTTCTTGGTTTCTTCTCTTCTCTCCTTCCTTTTTTTTTTCTTAAATCTAATAGGAATGGTGTAGTGTTATTTAAGACATTGGATAAAAGTTGGCATATCCTGATCCTATTTACTACTATTGCTCATACATAAAAAAAATGGATTACTTTTTACTTTTGAATTTTGATAAATGGAGAGGAGGGGATATCCTACGAGCGAAACTATGACATAGAATAGATAGTTTCTTGATTTGTTATATATATATAAAGGAAAGAAATAAGGCTCTCTTTGTGATTCATTTCCCAGAGTTTGGAGGGAAAGGAGAGCTAGCAAGCTCATATGATTTTTATTATCCCTATTTATTCTATATCTTTCAGTTCTAATCATAATCATAATACATGTATATACTTCTTAATGATGATACTATGTGTATTTTATTTTATTTTCTTTTTTTTTTGTACAGCTTGCTCAATTTTAGTATTCATTACCTACATTAATAATGCTTCTATTGATGTGCATAACACGAAAATTTATTAAGAAAAAAAAAAGGCAATTTCATCTTAAGCTTTTAAATCCTATAATGCTTGCTGATTACAACGCCTTTGGCCTTAACTCGATTATGTTATCAAAAGTAAGCATTATCAGTAACAATTCATTATTGTTGCACTTTTATTAAAATTTTATTAATGTTTACATTTTTAAATTTAAAATGAAATAATTATTGTTTTCTTTTATTATTTTATGTATAATTTGATTATGATTTTTTTTTTCTTTTTTTGTCAGTGTATAATACTTCATTGTATTTAGTACAGAAGTCCTGAAGAATCAACAATGAATTTATTGAAGTAATAATAACAACAATAAAAAGGAAGGTTAGTTACATGTATTGCTTTCTTTCTTTTTTTTTTTTTTTTTTTTTTTTTTTTTTTTTTTTTTTTGGTAGAAACTTCTAGGTGGATTAGATATATATATATCTTATCGCAAAATACATACACATATTTCGGGATTACATTTTTTCTATAATGACTATTGAACCTGGATAATACCAGGATAGCATAGATTTGTTACAAAAATATATTGATTTAAGATATTATAATCTAGTCTTTTTAGAAAAAAAAAATATGCCAAGACACTGTTACCTATAGCAGCTAACAATGAGCCACGAGTCTCGCTTCAAAGCATCATTTCTGGTTGTGTTTATATCAAGAAATTGGAATGTGAATAGTAGCTTATTATAATACTAACGATAAATAATGACCATGAATACGTTTATCATTAAGTATGAATTGTTGCAGTAGAGTCAAAGATAACTAAACCTTTCTAATCTTTAATTAAATACGTACTCATCATCGTCTCCACTCATTGTGGTAGGAGCTTTTTAGAATAAAGATATTTATGGTGATTAATTCAATAGACATCATGCTCGATCAAAAAAAAAATAAAATAAAATAAAATAAAATAAAATAAAATAAAATAAAATAAATAAATAAAAATTTTTTTTTTTTTTTTTTTTTTTTTTTTGCTAGACACAGCAGAATTTCATTGCCACAGGAAAAACAGTTGTTCCTTTATTATTCGTTTTAAGAAAATCTTATTACCAGTGCTAACTTATTCCGTTTTTTTTTTTTTTTTTTTTTATAACTTTATTTTACTATGGTCTGAAAAATAATTTCTTTCGTTTACAACCAACAGTTTTTTCCGTCATTAGCCTGCAAATGTCTCATTTTAGGTTAAAATCCTATGGTAGCCATACACAATCTGTCGGAAGTTTTGATATATGATAATACCCTTTTTTCGTGTAACCAAGGCAATACTAATAACAAAAAAAAAAAAAAAAAAAAGAATGCCTATAAACAGTAACCATAACGATAAAAGAGGAAACTGTTGTATCATATTGTTGTTGATAATAAAAAAAAAAAAAAGGTTATATAATAAAATGATATCATGCTGCTGTCTAATATATTTTAATGAGAGACGAATCATTAATTGTATTAATTATTTATAGAAAAAAAAAGTTTATAATTAGTAGCATAAACCGGAATTATATATTCATATATGTATAAAAAAAAAAAAAAAAAAAATACATATATGAATATATAAATAAATAAATAAATAATTTTATTGATTGTAGCAATACTAGATTCATTTTCTTCCTTCTTCCTCCCCCTTTATTATTATTATTTTCTCTCTTTCTCATTTTACTTATTTTAATATATGCACGATAATATTCAAATGTCAGAATCATCAAAATTAAAACGGTTATGGAGAAAGAGAATAAGTCAACAATTGGGTGGACTCCATTTGTTAAATACTTGTATATCATCTCTGACAGTTGATAGTCAAGAAACAGATGATGATGATGATGAGCGACAGCCATTAAAGCATTCTATTCAACAATCAACAGAACCTATTAAAAAGTTATGGAGAAAACCATTACCGAATGATTGTCCTCAATTCGATTTTTCAATAAGTGAAAAGACGTTATTTACCGAAATAACTGACTTTGATAATGTCTCATTCAACAATGATAATAGCACAATACCGCCTGTCGTCATTAGTCATAGATCTAACCATTTACCAATGATACCACCACCCATAAGATCATCATCATCATTAATAGAGAAAACTGAAATACCAACAAGATATGAAAGTAGACATTATAAAAATGTACCCTCTATTGAAGCTAGATTAGAGAATGTATGTAAAAATGAAAAGGCAATTCTACTAACTAAACTACTTGAAAAGCAACGTCATAAACAGCTTGCAGTCTCTATTTTGTAATATAACAATTGCTAATTATCATCATCATCTCTCTCTCTCTCTTATTTTTATTTTTTTGTTTATATATCAAGATTCCAATTATACATATAACTATCCCCTCTTCTTTTTTTTTCCTTTTACAAATTGTACAATGAATACCTATATATTATTATAAAATAAATATAACATGTATATATAAAATTAAAAATGTAATTAGACTTACTTTATAGCCAAGTTATTTATTTTTTTTTATAAAAAAAAACATAACTCTTGCCAGATCTCTTCAATTTACAGGTTTCATGCTCGGTTCATGTCTAACGAAGTAAATAACTTTTAGTCTAGTAGCAGGACTGATATACTGAATTAATAGAGAATTTAAAATAAGATTGATTTCCCCTGCTTATATGTTTTCTATTTCCTTCTTTTTTTTTCTTCCTAATCTACTACTAATCTATCCTATCCTATCCATTCATACCAAAATCAAAGCTAATTTTATACATTACTTTTAATTGTTTTCCTTCTTTTGATATTGAGTTATTGGTATTCTTTGTCTACAGTTGATTTTAGAATGATGAATATTATAAAAATAAAAAAATAAGATTATTATTTATGATAATAATAAAAAAAAAGGAGAAAGTATATTTCGGTTTCTATGTAGAGGTGTTATACTTGGAGACAGATAATCCAAACATAATTTTGAAAAAAAAAAAAATGGAAACTGACTCTGATGACCTTTATTGTTGATAATCAATGAAATATTAATGTTAAATTGTGCGCAATATCAAAGAGCATTAGATACATACATATATGTATATATTTGTCTTTAAACTAAACGGTGAATCTTCTTATTTTTTCTATAAAGCAATATATTATCAATTATTTGGAGAATAACATTGCTATGTTTATTTATCTTGATTAAAATTAGAATTTCAATGTATATTAGTAAATGAACAAGAAGTGATAGAATAGAAATATATAATTATATATAAATATATATAGTTCATAACTTGGCTCTTTTCTAAAGTAACACTATTACAGTCGAAAAAAAAAAAAAAAGCAACACTATTATAAAATATGTCTAAATGTCAATAATTATACATTGTAAATAATAGGTGAAACACACTCTATATATGTATAGGTTTATAATCATTTCTTCTGTATTCCTGGGTTTTATCTGAAACAAGCCCTGAAATGTACAACTTTAAGATTCATAAATGCTAATATCTTGTTTCTTTCTTTTCTGTAAGCTTGTAGCAGCACACAAAGAGTGTTTATTGTAATTTCAATTCCTTTTTTTTTTTTTTTTTACTTTTATACGCACAATTACATTAAACACACCTGTTATTGTACATACTTTGTTGAAGTATTGAACAGATTTTTTTTTATTGATGTATTAAAAAAAAAAAAAAAAGCTTATCAAATAATAACACCGACAATTACATTATTTGGCAGTAAATTAATACTAATTCCTTTTTTAGCAGTAAGAATTTACTTGATAAGTTTTAATATTATTTGCTACTCTCTCACTCACTTATCAGGTGAATTATAGCGACAACAACTGTCCTCTTTCATTGATGCTCAGAAATGATTCTTTCTCAAAAAACACACACACACACACATACGTATAGTACTATTATTATGTCATATAATGATGTCCTATATTGATTTTTTTTTCTTTAAAAAAAAAAAGAAATTATTTTGCTTATGTATTTTTATTCATTTATTTATTTATTTTGACCAAATGAGCACATAGCAATTTTCATCTGCTGTATTGCCCGTAGTCAGCTCTAATAGTATACAAGTAAGAAAAGCTATCTTAAGAGACAAAAGGGAAAAAGGATAAAAATACATTTGTTAAAAAAAATATAAAATAAATATAATGAGTTGAAGGGGGGGAACAAAGTAGTTGAGAAAAAGACCAGTAAGATAAAAATTTAGGGTATGAACACTTTTAATTGAGTAACCATTTCACCAGTAGTGCACCGGGATCTGGATGTAGCTTTTTTTTTCATGAAAGAGGTAATCCATTTTATGTAGGGTGATACAAATAGATGACCAACGGATTGTCTAGGGAGTCACATCCTGTGAGCGTTTTAGCTTTTTAGTTGGTTGGTTGGTTCAGCAGGAAGGAGAGTGGGTCTCTGTGACCGTTCTTGGCATTTGGAGTCGATGGTGCATATGTAGATAGACACTCAATGGAATGAGTACGACTAAACGTTTTGAGAAGGGTAATGGTAGGGGACATGGACGAGGTATACCAACCAGGTAGCCAACCGAGGCGCCAGCGGAGGGCTTGACTTCTTTCCGTATTCGTCATGGGCAGTCAAAGAATTGGATCGATGATCATATTAGGACGACATGCACGAAGAAGCTTGGAATTTAAACCCTGACAGAGGTGTTCATATTGATTTTTTTTTGGGTCATTACCATTTTCACTCAGTTTTTCTATTTCAGCAATCATGAAAAAAAAGGGGGGAGGAGCTTTAAAGCCGCAGAACATGGTTTTTGTAAGATTGTACATGTTTGCAAAGGAAGCTCCACACTCTTACAGCAAGATATTAACATTACTGAAAAAAAAAAGTGATATATAGGCATTGTCATATCAGCATGAAAATCAAGATAGTACGCCATTTTTTTTTGTATATTGTCTTAGGTATTATTTACAGGCAAAAGATTTGGCTCGTGTGTAAAATCAAGACAATTTGGACACTACTAATATATTTGTCTAAAAAAAAAAAGAAAAGAAAAAGCAATTCCAGAGTGTCTAGATTTCTTTCCATGACATCTAAAAATAAAAATCTTAAACGTCTGATTTTTTTTGACAATAGTCTTAATCTCAAGTAGTAGTAGTAATAAACAAACGAATTAAAAAAAAAAAATAGCAATACAATGAAAAATAGTCCCTAGATTTAATTTGATTGGAAGAAAATAAAAAAGGCTTTTTTTGCGTAACCTTTTTTTTTTTTTTTTTTTTGATAAATTGTTGTTGTTCCTGATAAATTATTATTTCCAGTAATGACAAATTAGATGCAATACTTGTATATCCAAATTTATCAAAGATAGTGCATAGACTATTTCCTTCCTTCTTTCTCTCTTTCACTCTTTTTTTTTTTTTTTGAGGTGAATGCCTTATAAAGATAAATAATATTAAACAATAAGGGAAGAAGACTTTTTAGATGTAATCATAGAGAAACATAAAGAAAAAGGCAGTAGTAGCATTCATGCTATATATTCTTTATAATACTCTTCCTCTTGATTCTATAGTAATCAATTAAATATATTGCTTTTATTTTATTTTTCAAGAGTTACTACTAATTTATTTACATGAACTTGTTCTCTTTTATTGTTCATTTTTTTTGTGCTGTTTCATCACTTTTTTTTTTTTTTTTTTTTTTACGTAATAACATATTGGATCTCTACTAATAATAAATGAATTCAATAGGGGATAAATACAAACTCAGTCAGTACCAAAAAAAAAAAAAAAAAAAGGCAAATTTTTCATAATGAAAGATGATAGAGATGATTGCAAGAATTATATTTAAGGGAATAATAACAATAATAATAATAATAATAATAATAAACTATGATTAAATGGGTGGTTGTCCTTGTTGTAGAAATTGTTGCTGTGATTGTTGTTGTTGTTGTTGTTGTTGTTGTTGTTGCGTTAATTGTTGTTCGTCTCGTCTTAATCTTCCTCTCTTAAAGGGAGGCTCATGCCATGATTCCATATTCACAGATCTTCCCATAAATGACAATTCATTGGGTATCATTCTTCTCTTAAAGCCGTCATTCACTGCTGTTGTAGCTGCTTGATCCCATAAGCCGTCCATGGTTCGAGGAATGTCATGAGTAAAAGTGAATTGAGAATGAGGATCAATTTGAAAGGGATTCGCTGTATTTAATTTTTGTAATTGTTCTTGATTATTTGGACGAGAGGGAGGATTCATCATATTATTATTTAAAGAAGTTGCATTTGACGTTGTTGTATGTGATGGAATACCCATTTCAGCTGTTAACTGGTTATTCTTCTGACGAGCAAACGCTAAAACATCTTGGACAGGAATAAAGCCATTCTCTGGTTGTGTACTTATGAATTCATAAAGATCTTGAAGTGCTTGTTGATATCCAGAGGCAAATGCTTTTCGATTCTGAACAAGTGAATCTTTATAAAGTGTTGTAACTTTTAATGCTGCTGCTTTGAATGAATCCATTAAAGCATTTTCTGTTGATTCATAGGAATCGAGAATATTATTTTGTTGTGATCCTTCCATGTTTATAAAGTTACGAGCATGAAAAAAAAAAAGTTTAATAAAAAGAAGAGAGAGAGAGAGAGAAATCTAAATATTAAAGTTTTTTTTTTTTTTTTTTTTTTTTTTTTTAAATTTTGTGTGTCACTAAATCTCCTTGAAATCAACTACGTGAAAATGCTAAATTTTACAAATAATAAATCAGCTAATTATGTCTGCAATAGGTATGAAAGATACATATTTATATATGTTATTTTTTTTCTTGGTTTGTTAAATTCTTATATAAATGCAATTATATAGTTAAAAAAAATGATGATGATGATTTTTACGTGTATATTATCTTTAATTTCATTATAAAAAGTAGTAATAATAATAACAGGGAAGGAAGAAAGAAAACATACGCACACACACACACAGAGAGAGAAAGAGAAAGAGAAAGAAAGAAACAGGAAAAGAAAAGGCCATTCATAGTAGGAGGAGGAAAGAAGGTTACGAATTAAAAATGATAAATAACAACTAAAAAAACCAAGATTTGTTCTTTTTGATAAAGGATTGAGAATGAGTTATAGGAGTAGAAGCAGTATCGGTATTTGCTTTCCTTTGAGCCTTTTTATACTTGATCCATTTTTGAAGTCTTGTATGAGAAAATAAAGGGGATGAACGTCCTGAGGGAGTTGGAGTGACGATGACTTCCTTTGGAGGTACAGGTGGTGGTGGTGGTTGTGTATCATCCAGACTTAATTCATGGATAGCTGTCTTTGTTTCTGATGTGCACATCCAAGATGGCATATCTTCATTTGCAACCATATGAAGAGGTGTAGATGTTTGTCTTCCTGATGGTCTCTCTGGAGAAGATAAAGAGTTTAAAGAATCCTTTATTGTCTTTGGCTTCACAGTTGGAATCGTCTTACCAGGATCGATCACGGTAGGAAGGCGAGATGGTGATGATGAGCAGAAGAAGGAGGAGGAAGAGGAAGGGGAAATGGTGGTGGTTTGTTTAGAGAGTGTATGATGATAGCAATCATGATCGTTATATTCTCGTTTATGCATTGCCTTTTGCTTTAACAATTCCCTCATGGCAAATAAACCAATTGTTTTAACACAAGTCGAAGCCACAGGATCCATGAGTGGTATAGAACGCATCAAGGTACACCAATGCGTATATTGTGTGTCTAAAATATCCAACTTATTGGCTTGACAGACCCTTGAGTGAGTGGACTGAAATGGTTCAATAGGACGTGGCCAAGGCACACCATCAGCAGAAGAAACTCGAATAGTAGAGGAGCAACATTGATTAGGACATTTTTGAAGACATTCAATCTCTTCTATCTTTTGTAAGAGAGCACCATAAGATTGAGGTACATAAGAAGCCCAAGGGTCAATGATGATCTGAACAGAGGGTGACGGTGACTTTTTTTCCATTGGATGACGAGATTCTAGATTAGGTTGAGGTAAAGGAATCTCCTGTTGATTTAATGTTGTATTACTATCCGTTTTTGTACGATTTGAATCATCTTTCCGATTATTTTCAAGGTCATCAATTTGAACAGATAATCTTTTAACTAATAAAGCTAAATCTTCAAGGGACATATTTCTATTTGAAAGATCAAATCTTGATCGTTTCTTTTTACTTGAAAGATTTAATTTTCGAAAAGAATGGGTATTTGATAGCATAGACGTAACTTAAAGGAAAGGAAAGGAATGGAATGGAATGGAAGAGAATAGAATAGAATAGAAAAAAAAATAAAACTAAAAATTATATGTATATAGAAAAGAAATGAAATAAAAACAAGAAAGAAAAGTAGAAATAGAAATATATATAGTGAGAGATAGAGATTATTACGACTTGAACTAAAAAAAAAAAAAGAAAAAAAAAAAGAGTACGATATAAATTTAAATATTATTATTATTATTATAAGCATGCAGCAATAGTAAATATTTATTACATATAATAAGACAACAATGATAATAATAATAATAATAACAATAATATGCAGAAGTTTATACCACTTCTACTGATAAGTATTATGTATAAATCTCTGCATTTTTTTTTTTTAACGATAAAGATACATATTCTATTTTAATACATAAATTAATATACGGCAATGTACTTTAAATAACTCTATTTAATTTTAAATATAGTAGAAAAGTAACAAATGATTTATTTTTTAAGAGATACGAATTATGTATAAAAGGAATGGAGAGATATAATTTACAAAAAAAAGGAATGAATATAAATACTATGTACAGAGATCATGTTTAAGATAGAGGTGGTGTGTATGTATGTATGTATGTACGTATGTATATGGGCTCAATTATTAAAAGCAAGATCTTCATAAATTCCTCTTGCCAATTCATATACACGATTGTATAATTCTGATTGAAGACTTGAGATTAATTCATCGAGGTATATGTTTAAAAATCCTTCTTCTTGAACCTCTTCACTATTTGAATTCATATCATCAGTCAGGGTTTGTTTATAAGCTTCAAGAAGAACCAATAAGACTTTATCTGTGAAAGAAGACTTGATTTGTTGACCATCTTGTTCTAAATTGAATACAGATTGACATTGTTGAAGTGACTTCTTGATTCTAGAGAGTAGATCAAACCTATCTACAATGGCTATTAAACCATCAGCAATATCCGTATTGGCCATTTCTAAAGAATCAATAAGTTCATCAATGACTTGAGTTTCTTCTCCATTACTCTTGTGGATTGAATTAATAATAAATTGTCGATATTCCAAATCAGTCTTTGTCCAGAACTTATTAGTAATTTGATCAATACTTGAATATAATACATTATTTAGTTCATGAATTTGATTAGCAATCATGCCTGGCATTTGTGCAACACAAGTATCTAATAGAGTCACGTACGCACACACAAAGAAAAAGAAAAAAAAAAAGAATGAGTGGTTACACATACACAAAAAAATACAACATTGTAATTTACCTTCAATTGGTGATCTAATTAGGTGCTCGGCTTGAGGTCTTAGAGCATGAATAGTATCAAAAGGATCTTTAATCACAATTGATAATTCGGTAAGTAGGCCTTCATTGTGTTGACTAAGGACGTTATCAATAATAGATTCATAGTGTGCTTGTGCAGTGTCTCTAGTAATCACGACTTTTGAACTTGATAAAATAGGTCTAAAATGAATTGGTAATCCTTGTACTGCAAAAGAACAGACAAAATAGATAATAAAATAAATACAAGTAGTTATCATCATTTTAAAAGGAGAAAAAAAATCAATTGACCAGCAATTGTGTAAATAAATAATACAAAGGAAAAAAAAAAAAATAAAAAAATAAAAGAAAAAAAAGAAAATTAGATTCCTTTTTATATAAAATTCCTTTCTTTCCCTCACCCCTTCTTTTTTTTTTTTTTTTTTTTTTTTTTTTTTTTTTTTTTTGAATCAATTAAATGTTGTGTATTCTAAACACAGAGATGATCGCGTGACAAAAATAGTTGCACAATCTTAACTAATTAGTTGCTATAGTTACTTTAATTTGTTTTGTTTTCAGCATAAATGAGCGGGTTCTTGTTATATTTGTAAAAAAATAAATTAAAGAATTTCGTGTATTTTTTTTATAAAAAAAAAAAGAAAAAAAAATATCCCCCTGAAAAAAAAACAGTTTTTGCTAGATTTTGAACACTTTGTGGAAAACAAGTCAATGAAAAAAAGAAAAGAGAATGTGAATTTGTCTCCTTTCTTTTAACCCACATTCAAGGTTGTTGTTGTTTTCCGAAGACTCTTAATGATTTAATAGCCATAAAAGGATAAAATTAATATTTTTTTTTTTTTTTTCAAATAGCTATAAAATAACTGTTTTTTAAATAATTTAAAGATGACATATCCATGTTTAATTAATTCTGTATCGAAAAAAGGAAAAAATCTGTTTCATTAAAAAAATTAAAATAAATGAATGACAATAGAAGAGATGTCAGTTTGTTGTTGTGGGGTTGCTACCTATTCATTGTTGTACACTAATAACGGTCAAAGTCGGAAATTGAAATAGGTTGTCGGTTGCGTTTTTTTTTTCTTCTAAAATACTGGTGGTGTGTGTGTATATGTTTTTTTTCTACTTTTTAGTGCAAATCATAATATAATCTTTTTTTTTTTTTTTTTTTTTTTTTTTTTTTTTTATTTTCTTGTAAACAAAAATGGACGAAGGTAAAAACTATTGTTGAAGTTACTAACTTGAATAAAATAACCATATTTTTTTTTTAAAAAAAAATAGAGGCTTCTTTAAAACAACGTTTATCTTTGGATGAAAGACACGTTAAATTACTAGAAAAAAAGTTTATAATATTTTTACAAAATCTGTATAATGAACCAGTAGAATCAGCGTTAGTATATTCCATCTTGAATCATACAAAACTCATGTATTTTAACTATCAATTATAGACAACTTCAATTAGAAAATCTGTTGATTCTATTATTAAATTACCAAACAAGTCTTGAACGTCATCCTCTTACAATCAATGCAAATAATAAAGAAATTGAACAATATAAAAGCCTAGGCGAACAAACAGGTAATGCATTTATATATGAACATATATGTATATACTCACTATATATTCGACATTAGACGTGATTAAAGAACAAGCAGGAGGCGATATAGAATCTTTAAGAGAACAATTAATTAAAGAACAGAAAAAGCGAAATCAGAAATTAGAATATGATCGTGTTGCAAGAGAGATTCTCAAATATGACACAAGAGATGCATATATAGCGTAAGTAAAGCAAAGCTTTATAAACTATTTTGAAGAAAAACAAAACCGTATCTTACATTTTTTATAAATTCAGATCTATTGATAAGCTTCAAAGAGATATTGATTTATTAGAGAGAGAAAAAAAACGAAAATTGGAAGCTTTTGAACGCCGTAAAAGGAATTTAACCACACTTGTTACTAATCTTAAGGAATTACAAAAATCAGTGGATGATGAGCGTAGTATAATAGTAAATAGAGCCTTTTTTTTCTCCTGGCTTTTTTTTTTTAGTAACTAATATATATCCATATATAGACAGAAGATCAGCAAAGATTTGTGGATATGGAAAGAGGATATGTTTCCTCAGATAACGACGATGATATTGGATTATCAGATAATGAATCAGAAAATGAAAGTGAGAACCAACCTACTCATTCTACATACAATAGATTCCAAGAACGCGGTGATGATGATGAGGACGATGATGATGATGAGGAAGAAGGAATTGTAGTTGAAATGCCTACAACTGTAAATGAACAAGTTACTGAATAGCTCATTGTATATACATATACATTCTCTATATATATTAAAGCAATTAATAATAACAAGTGTTAAAAATGACTCCTTAAATGCATTTTGTCAACGAGTTTATGTTGAGTTAAATTTAAAGATGTAGCATGGCTAGTACACATGTAGAATGAAATTAGACTATTGTATTATAATTAGTAGTCATAGGACGACTATTATTAGTCTTATACAAAATAGAGTTCATATATAGCTACTCTGTATTTATAAGAACTAGAAGGGATAATATGACCATGCCTGCATTTATAAGAACTAGAAGGAATAAATGACCATGCCTGCATTTATAAGAACTAGAAGTGATAAATGACCATGCTTGTGCTTTATTATTATTATTAAACAATGTCTTCAAATCCTTGTATTATCGTCTTGTTGTCGTCCATCATCAAATATGTGTTGTTCATCCTCTTCGAAACCTTCATCGTCATATCTTTCATAGAGTTCTTCATTTTCTGAATCTGAAAGGTCATCAGAATCAGCATCCTCTCCTTCTTCATCACTAAGTCCATCATCATCTGGACGTGGTTGACGTGTCTCAGGATCTAATTGTAAACTATTCATCGTCATTGCTAAATCATCTGCCAAGTTATCTACTGTAGCATTTCTTACTGATTCCATTCTCTTTTTCATATTAGCCAATTTAATATCCTTTTGTTGTGCTTCTTGTAGATGCATAGATTCATCTAAACTCATCATGCGGGCAGATCTTGACTATTTGTTTATTAATACAACATGTATTATTATTATTTTTTCAAACACAAATAAAAACTTACTGTATTTTGCTCCGTTTTTGAATCCAATGAATGGGCTTTTAAAAGTTTAGTAGAATGTACTTGAGGTGAAATGTTATTGGAACGGTCAATTGTCTCTTGGCGCACGTTAATTTTATCATCAAGTGATAATTCTGACACTTTATTGGCAATAGCGTTTTGGTCATCCAATAGACATTTAATCTGTTCAAGTTTTGCTTTTAATTTAGCACCTCCATCTGGTAATTTAAGAGAGCTATTATAAATGAAGGAAGGGGTATTTTATTAAGCCAAAAAAAAAAGAAAAGTAATGAGAAAATGAATTTTTAATTACTTGTTATTCAACATGTTTTTTATTTTTTCATATTGAGCTTCAAGTTCTTTTTGGTCCATTGAATCTAATAATGACGATGGTCGACGATCATCAGCTTGTCTTATACCATTTGACCCTAATCTATTCTTTTTATTGCTTTTAAATTGTATGCTCATCGTGTTATATGTATGTATTTAAGAAGTAAAAATAAATAGAAAAAACAAAAAACCAACAATTTTATCTAGCATATGCGGTTTCTCAAAATCATTTTTTCTATTGTTTAAAAAAAAAAAATAATCATTTGAATACATTCATTTAATAAACAAAGCTTATCAAAAAGATCTACATTTTAATAATAAATGGAAACTCATCGTGATTTTCTTTCTTTATTATGCTATGTTTATTTAAAATAACAATAATTTTAAGCTTCAGCTATATAAAAAAAAAAAAAAAATAAATAAATAAAAAAATAAAAAAAAAATCAATATATTCAAAAGAAACAAAAAAGTTTTTTTTTTTTTTTTTTTTTTTTTTTTTTTTTTTTTTTTTTTTTTTTTTTTTTTCATTTATTAAATTGCTTTCAATTCATCCAAAGTAGATTGTTTCCATGACATCCGATATGGATAGTACACAAGAAGATGTTAACTATAGAGTTTTAAGTATTCAGTCACACATGGTACATTTACAGAATTAACTATACAGAATTGATTCAAAATGTCAAAAAATATATTGATTGAATACTTTTGCCTTTAGGTTTCCGGCTACTGTGGTATGTTTATTATTATTTCCAAAAATAGGGGTTTCTAAACTTTATTTAATAAAGGCAATAAGGCAGCCGTATTCCCACTTCAAACATTAGGGTTTGATGTTGATATATTAAATACCGTTCAATTCTCGAACCATACAGGTAATAAGTTGGGTCATATGTATTCCATTTTATCTAGAGAAATAAATAAATAATTTCTGTATTACCCATCATATATGTATATAGGGTATCCTTCTTGGACTGGAGGTCGTTTGACAGCAGATGATGTCCAAGAATTATTCGATGGATTAGAAAAAAATAAATTGACAAATGAATATACACATGTTTTAACTGGTAAGGTCTTTATTTAATGAATTCTATTGTCGGCTTTTTTTTTAAATTGTTTTCTTTTCTTTTTTTTTATTTTAAGGATATATTGGGAATTATGCCATTTTGGAAAAGATAGAGAAAATGGTGAAAAAGTTAAAAGAACAGAATCCAAATCTAATTTACGGTAATAAATATAAAAAGATATACATATACATATATAAAAGTAGTTTTATTCTAAAGAAAGATCAATATTGTATTCTAGTTTGCGACACAGTTATGGGAGATGGTGGATCATTGTATGTTGCGCCAGAAATAGTTCCGTTATATAGAAATATTATGAAATCTGTAGTAGACGTGATTACACCCAATCAATTTGAAGCAGAGTTAAATAAGGGATAGCATTACATAATACTCAAATTAACCCCCTTTTTTTTTTTTTTTTTTTTTTTTTTTTTTTTTTTATACACATATATCATATATATACATATAAAACAGGATTTTATCAGAAATGAAAATTAAAACATTAGAGGATGCACGTCAAGTAGCTAAAAAACTTCATCAAATGGGAGCACGTAACGTAGTTATTACAACTTTATCCTTACCATTACACGAAGTGCCTTCAGAGGTACATCTTGAGACAAGCTCTGATGATTCACTTTATTGCTTCACAAGTCAACAACTGTATTCAGCAGAAGAAGAAGATGGACAGATAGATCAACATTTAATTGCTTTCCCTACTTATCCAGGTTATTTCACAGGTACTGGAGATCTATTCTCTGCATTGGTCGTAGCTCGCTTACAGGAGTCTATGAATCAAAATAAGCCACTTATTGATGCAATTTATCGAGTTGTATGTAGTGTCAATGCTATTGCGAAAAAGACGTGGTTATATCAACGAAAGACGATTCAAATTGAAAGTCGAGGTGAAGCAGATTTAATTGAGACAAAGCCAAATGCTTCTAAACTAGTTCATAGTTGTGAATTACGTTTAATTCAAGGTAAAAAAGAAATTGAAAGTCCAGAAGACTATATTACAAAAGATACAATTAAGTTTATTCAAATTTAAATAAAAAAAAAAATTCTATCCATTACTAAAAATGGCAATAAAACTATTTACCCATAAATTAATAATTTTATTGTTAAAAGAGTTATTTTTTTTTTTCATTTTATTATTATTATTATTTTAAACTATCGAATTCTATGAGTCATTTAACTTTACCTTTCACAGTTCAAGATGATCTTGAAGCAAAAGAAAAAAAAGATGCGATACAACAACAAAAAAGAAATAAAAAATGTAGACAATGCAATTCACGACGTGTTCGCATCTGGACATTGATGATTACTGCTTTTCTTATAACATTATTCATAGTCAACAAATACGGTGATACTCTTTATTATCGTTTTTTTGATGAAAATGATTTAATAATAGAAGAAAACATGATTATGCCAGAGGAGAAGAATAAAGAATTAACTTTAAAGGAAGAAATATTAAAGCGAATTCATACTAATCCTATAGTTATGTTTTCTAAAACTTATTGCCCGTAAAGTATTATAAAAAAAATTACCAAATATGTATACGTGTGTGTGGGTGTGTGGGTGTGTATAAATATATAAAGTGGGTAGGGTTCAAAAGGGTGCAAAATAAAAAGTTTTATGACTTAAATACTTACATTTGATTTGTGCTTTATGACTTCATTTAGATACTCTAAAAAAGCCAAGAGAATTTTAAATGAATATAACTTAAAAAAACAAGCTTTAGATATAGTTGAAGTTAATTTAAGAGGTAAAATACCAATTAAAATAAAAGGAATATTTTTTCCCTTTAGAGTTTTGCACTATGTATTAACGTCATCATTTTAATAGATGATGATTTCCAAGTAAAAATGGTATTAAAAGAGATATCGGGTATAGATACATTTCCTAATATCTTCTTGAATGGAGATAGTTTAGGTGGCTCTGACGACCTTGAAATATTGCATGAAAGTGGGCAACTTAAAGAATTGTTAGATAAGAACCAATTACTATCAAACTTGAATGATTATTAATAGTCTTGTGAACCCCTTTTTTTTAATTATTTAAACTCAGAATAATAATAATAAAATAAGATTTATGCTAAATAGTAGGTCTATTATTCCATCATTTATAAATACGAACTCTCCCTCTTTTTTTTTTTTTTGTTTTGTTTTGTTTGCTACTTTTGTTTTTCCATACTTTTTAAATACAGTTATTTTTTTTTACTTGTTAAAATAATAATGTGGCCACGTAGATCTTCAATATCACAGATGATTTCTATTCAATTATTAGAACCAATTATATTTATTGGATCTAATCTTGAGACATCACCTGTTTTACGAGGTGCAGTGGATGTCAAGTTTGAAAAGACATGCATGATACAGAAATTAGATCTTACCTTTGAAGGGACTATGAAGATTAAATGGAATGAAACAAGTAAGTCCTTCTTCTTTTATTACTCAGTTATTTCCCCCTAACTAACTAACTAACAAATAACTATTTTTAATTAGATAATAAAACTAAAATGAACAGGGAACTTATTTCCTCCAATCATCTTCAACTCTATCCTTCATCATCATTACCACCTCTTTTGATCAATCCTAGTTCTTCTACTCGATTTTCTTTTGAATTACCTTTACCTTCTGGAATACCAGAAACAATTCATTGTCCACAAATTGAAGTCGATTATCATCTAATTGTCTCTTTAAAATATAAAATGATATCATCAAAGATAAGCGAGGAAGAAAGGGCTGAAAGACAAGTTATCTTAGCCCGTTTACCAGACAATGAGAGCATGTTGGGCGGAGAGAATTATTATCCAGCAACGATTGATTCTCATAAGCATTTTTCAAATTATTGCCAATATCGAATTACAATCGATAAAAAGTCAGCTCCTTTAGGCTCTAAATTACCTATCAAGATAGAAATAGCTCCGACTATCAAAGATCTAAGGATTAAACATCTCTTCTTACAACTTGTTGAAAGACGTATTGTCTTTGTTGGAGAAGAAGAAAGGATGTCTCAATCCGTTCATTATTTATACCCTGTTAAAAATACGGCTGTCCATTTACCTTTGGGTCCATTAAATAGGAATTGGGAAGGAAATTATTTATATCAAATTCCTGATGAACGTCTCTTGTCCCATTCTACTCAATCTTATTCTCAATTTCATGTTCAACATATCTTACTTGTTTCACTCTTAGTCTCTATTCCAGCAGCAGAAGTAAATAGTAGTAGCAGTAACAGTAGATATGTCACTAGAACGATATCATTTCAAACAAATTTTGATCTGTTAGATAGTCATTTATTGAATGAACGTGAATATAGTAAATTACCCTCTTATAATTCGCCTATTTCAACAAAAGAAATTGAAACTCTTTATCAACATGGACTTTGTATGAAGAACCCTCCATCTTATGAAGAATCCCTGACTGTACTATAAATAGAAATCATGTATATTTATTTATTTATTTATTTATTTTTGTATATAATTTTATTCCCGTATACTACTACTATTACTACTACTACTACTATTTATATAAATATATACATGTATGTGTGTCATCCTAACTTTGCCTTGATTGTTATTTTCTATATAAATAAATACAATCATTTTTTAGTTAGTTAGCTAGTTAGTCATGTTTATTTATATAGCATGCACTTCTTTACTACCTCATTACAATAAGGACACTTTCCAAATAAAATGTTAAAGCTTTGTACAGTTGCTGGGTTACCACGTAGCCACTGTAGAATAATAATAAACAAAAAAAAAAAAATTAGGTTAAATCGGGAAAAGATGGTAAAATACATGATTTTACCTCATATAAACATGGATAATGAAAACCACGATTACATAATAAATTGTCACAAATAATATCAGGTGTATCCTTATCATTCAATTTATAAGAATAACAAATACCACATTCAATATCTCCTGTCATTGTATAATCTTCTTGTAAATCCTTATTTTCACTATTCGATACAAGTTGAAAACTATTCAATAAATTTTGATAAATGGGTCTATTTTTATCCCTATGTAAGATAGATATGTATAAATAGATATATACATGTATAAATATATTTAGTATGTCTCTTCTCGCTCCTTTTTCTTTTTTACATTTATATAATGGATAGATACCATTTGAATTCATTCCATTTATTCTTTAAATCATTGACTCTATTTAAACTACCAAAGAAACGTACTTTGGGTTTTGAATCCATGGGTGATTCTGGATTTAATTCAATCTCCAAAGAACAATGATGTCCCAAGGCAATCCTTCTCCAAATATCATTTCGTTTAGGTTGTTCTGGTTCTAGTATACGCATGTGTGTATCGAGTTCATCGAGACAGTTGAATAAAGTCTGGTATTTTTCAATAAGGATTTGATGTTGTTTGATTAAAATGGATAACTCTGAAGAAGTGGCTTCTATAGGACTAGGTAATTCGGATATAACTTGAGGTAATGCAAATGGATAATGAATAGGCAATATTACTTTTAATAAATGCTGTCTATTGGCTTGATCTCTAAAACAAATAAACAAAAAAAAAAAAGAAAAAGATAGAATGTAAATATATGTTACATGTATAAAGAATATATATAGAATTACATTGTTTGAAATATAATATGATTCATGGCATCGCCTACTTGGTAAACTTTATCAAATCCAATCCCTCGAAGCTCCTTATAGATATACGTATATCGATCATGATCATAACGAAAGGGCTTTTTTGTTAATTCTGGATTTCTTTCTTCCTGATATCAAAAGGAATTAAATAAGAAAAAAAAAAAAGGAAAAAGAGAGAGAGGTGAAATAGGGAATAGGCTCATCTTACAAGTAATTCTTTTAATTCAGTCAAGTAGGACATGATTTCATCTGCTCTTTTTAATTTGGTATATATTCTATCTTTTTGCTCATTAATCAAATAAAGTAATTTTTGTTCACCATTTATATATCCATTTGGCCCAAGTTTAAGTTCCAAGTAATATTCAATGTTCTAAATTAAGAATTATAAGATGCAATGAACAGAGAGAAAAAAAAATAAACATTTTCGTCCTCTATTTACATGAATAGGTAAATATCCTTGATATATTTTATTTTCATCGTCAACTGGAATAATCAAAGGAAACGGTACTATATCCATGTCTACATAAGAAAATAAAAGGGGTCTAAACTTTTTACTAAAAACACGTAAAATTATGATCGCGTTTTAATACGTGACTTTCTGCCCTTTTTTTTTTTTTTTTTTTTTTTCTCTCTTTTCTTTTTCTTTTTCTTCCCTCTTTCCTTTCTTCATTATATACACATATAGACAAATTATAGATTAATAACATGTCAGCCAAACCACGTAGTATGACAGCAGGTGCACGTAATGTGCTTCGTTCGAATGATTCAGCTAGTCTTTGGAATTGTACCTTATCACCCGGCTGGACGGACGAAGAATCAGAAATTTTACGAAAGGCTTTAATGAAGTTTGGTATTGGTAACTGGGCAAAGATCATTGAAAGCGGTTGTTTGCCTGGTAAAACAAATGCACAAATGAATCTTCAATTACAACGATTACTTGGACAACAAAGTACAGCAGGTAATTGAATCATTGTGAGTTAAACTCTATTTCTTTATATGTATATATGTATATATATATGTATATGTATGTATATATAATGTTGACTCTATATTAAGCCACATTTCTTTAGAATTTGCCGGCTTACATATTGATCCTAAAGTCATTGGTGCTAAGAACTCCTTGGTTCAAGGAAGCCATATTAAGCGTAAAAATAACTGTATTGTTAATACCGGTGGTAAACTTTCTCGAGAAGAGTTAAAAAAGAAAGTGATTGCAAATAAGGCAGCGTAAGTTAGCATATCCACCTTATTTATTTTTGATTGACATGTGAAATAATAGTTATGAGTTACCGGAATCAGAATGGAAAAATATTGAACTACCAAAGATTGAGGATGTAAGTTTTTATAGATATAGTTATATGCGTATATATATACAAATGGAGGATATTTATCGAATTTCATGTAATAGCCTCTGTTGATCCTTGGACAAAAGAAACAAGAATTAGAGCAATTAAAACTTGAACTTGAAAAAGTACAGCAAAGTATATTAAAGATGAAAGCATCTCATCCTGATCGAATGGAAAAATTAAAGGTAATTGTAAAATGAATTCTATAATTGGAAAACTAAATTTACCTTGTAAAAAAAAATATCATATCTTGTAGGCAGAAGCTATCAGATCCCCAACACCATCTACACCATCTACACCAAGTACGATAGGCACAAGAGAAGAAGAGGAAGAGAAAAAGGAGAGTGATACAGTAGATACACCTAATACTGATAATGATTTAGCCATGGCAAGAGCTTTACAAGCTGAAGAAGATGAATTATATGGAAATGCGATGAGTGAAGATGACGATGATGATGAAGATTTTTCATTTTCAAAGAAAAGAAAAGTTACACGTATTTAGAAGGGAAAAAAAATAGATAACAATTACGAAAATAAAAAGTAAATAAGCTGCATATCATTCATATTTCCTCCAAGATAAAATAGTTTGAATATTTTAGCAAAACTACAACATAGGATAAATCTTATTTATTTATTTATTTATTTATTTATTTTTTTTTGTAATAAGAGTAACAGAAAAACTGTAATCTTTCATTATTGTATATCCTCTCTGCTATTGGATATGATAAGTCTATCTGTAAAGCTGAAATACACACACACACACACACACACACATACATATATATATTTATATTTGCATATATGTATAAAGAATGAATGAAAGATAGTTTTATATTCTTGAGGTACAAAAGCAGCTTAAACATATCAATAAATAAGTCACAGTTAATGACACCAAAGGTAATAGTAAAAAAGCAGGAAAAATATCATCACTATTAACTTTTATTCGTATATTTATTAATATCTAAATTTGACATAAATTTTATTCTTATTAGTCATTTTATATTTATCCTTCTTCAAAATTGTATTAGTACACTGTTGCTTGTAAAAATAGACTTCGTTGCTGCATAAATTTATTGAAGTGTGACCGTTTTTTTCATGTTTTTTTTTCTGAAGAAAATGAAAACTTTGATATATCTACTTTTTTTTTTTTTTTTCCTTTTCAAAAGTCCCTATAAGAAGAATGAATAAACTTGCTAGTAAAATCAAATTAAGGTAAACAAACAAATAAAGCTTCTTTTTTTTTGGAAATATCATTTATGCTATCCTAGCTGTCAAGACATTACCAAAATGAGGGTTGATGCTATTGGTAAAAAAAAAAAAAAATGCATTGAATAGACTTTATTTAAAAGAAAAAATGACATATTCTTCTTTTAGTGAATGCTGCTAATAATTCTTTACTTGGTGGTGGTGGAGGTAACAAAAGTATATTTAATGAATGAATGGAGTATAAACTAAAAGTTTTTATTTTATATATTCATAAAAAAAACAGTGGATGGAGCTATTCATAGGTAAAAAGAGAGATAAAGAATATACATCATATTATTATCTTTTTTTTTTTGACTATAAAATAATGACAGTGCTGCAGGACCAGAACTGTTAAAAGAATGTCGTACATTGGGTGGTTGTCCAGATGGAGCAAGTATCATTATTAGATAAAATTACATAATATGACAGTTGTTTAATTTATTCAATATAAATGTATACATAGGAAGCCAAAATAACAAAAGGTAAGTTACTTGACGTCGACATATTATGTTGCTTTCAATTTTCTTTTAACTTGTTTAAAACTTGTAGGTTATCGTTTGCCTTCAAAATGTAAGTGTAATAAGGATCATAGAGTTGAACAAGGAAAAAAAAAAACGAATCATATAATCTATCTGCATAGATGTCATTCATACTGTAGGACCTCAAACTGAAAAACCTGATATACTTTCGAATTGTTATAAAAATTCTCTTCGAATCTTGTCTGAAAATAACTTGCGTTCAATTGCCTTTCCTTGTATTGCAACTGGTGTTTATGGTTATGATAATGAAAGAGCTGCTAATGTAGCTTTAAAAACTGTTCTTTCCTATTTATCAAAGGAAGAGGTAAATGTCACCAACTCATATTTATTTATTTATTTATTTTTTTTTTATTTTTTTATTTATTTGATTTTTTATTTTCTATAGCAACAAATTGATGAAGTCATTTTTGTCTTGTTTAATGAAAAAGATAGAAAGATTTATAAAGGTAATAATACATGATGAAATGTTGCTGCTGTATTTAATAGTCTTCCCCTCTCCCCCCCCTTTTTTTTTGTTTTTTTTTTTTAGATTTAGTCCCCAAGTATTTTCCAGATGCCTCTGTTGAATTTCAAACATTTTAAAAATTATAATGATAATAATAATAAAAGATGAAATATTTTTTAGCCAATCAAATATTAGAGATAATAATGATTCACAATTAATAAAGAAATATAAGCAATCCATCATATTGAAAATATAAATATTCAATTCTTTTCAATATCTCTCTCTTTTCTCTTTGATCCTTAATATAGATGTCAATTAGATCATTGTGTAAATCATTAGTGGTAAGTGTGTAAATAAATTAAATGTATGACCATGTATACATTGTTAACCTTTTTTGAGTAATGGGTAGCAACAGACAAGAAATAAGGTGTATTTTGTGCAACATCAACAACGAGTTGCTATACAACCGCAACAATGTCGTTTCTATACACCACTAAGCACCTCTGCCCTGGCCTTTAAAGATAGCAAAGAAATGAATGACGATGATCATGTGCCTATTTCTTTAGTAACTCAGAAACGAACAGCAGAAGATGCTGTCCGTATTATTTTACAGAATACACCTAAATCAACAAAAGATCAACAACAACAACAACAACAACAAAAAAGACATGTATTAAATCTTTTAGTTCAAAATGAACCTGGTGTGTTGAGTAAACTATCAGGTATCTTGGCGGGTAGAAATTTCAATATTGAATCTTTAGTTGTGGCTAGTACTGAGGTACCTGATTTAAGTCGAATGTCAATTGTTTTTAAAGGAAAGAGTAATCAAATAGAGCAAGCAAGAAAGCAATTTGAAGATTTGGTAATTATCATATTAATATATATAAAGAAGACGTGTGTTCCAAATATGTATATTTATATATTTTATATTTACAATATGATTAGGTACCTGTTTGGGCTGCATTAGATTATACAAATATGAACATAATTGAACGTGAATTATTGCTAATCAAACTTTCTACTTTGGGGCCAGAAAATGTACATAGACAGTTACATATGACTGCCTCCAAGTCAGTGAACGAGGTAATTATTATATATGGAGTATATATTCATATATTTGTATATATTTATATAAAGTCACCTTCTATTGCTTTACAGAATAATACAACAAATCATTTACAAAATATAACTGAATTAACACGTTTATTTAATGGTAAAATCGTTGATGTTTCAACTAATTCTGTTGTAGTTGAAGTATGTGCAAAGCCTAATCGTATTACCTCCTTTATGAAACTTTGTGCACCTTTTGGTATCATTGAAGCATCCAGAACAGGTAACATATATATAACATAATATGTATATAAATATATGTGTATATAATTTCAATGTTATATAGGCACTATGGCTATGCCTCGTTCGCCAGTATATAATCATAATGATGATGATGATAATGACCCTCAAATTGAGGATAATACCAATAATGCCGTCGATCCTACTACTCTCCCTCCTGGATAATAATAAATGCGCCCTTTTTTTTTTTTTTTTTTTTTTTAATCTTAAATAAATATTCACGTGCGCTTAATTCTTATTGGCTAATATAAAATAAGCTCACCGCACATCATTTATTCTGTTATCTATGCCGCACACTCAAAAAAAAAAAGTTACTTTTTTTTCTTCTTTTTTTTTTAATAACAATTGTTAATTTTTTTTCTGTTAAATGACTATAGCATTAGACGAATACACATCAGCAAATTTAAACTTAAATTCTACTCCTGAATTTACTGATTTAAATAATTGGCGTCTGAAAGTTGATCAAGGTGCTCAGACATGGCACTATTTGACAACAGATGAAGAACGTAAAGCTTGGCCACAAACCCTTTGGGATAGATATCACTTGGGTCTTCCTCTTGTAAATATATTCAAACACAAGCATTAGCCATTTACACACTCTTTTTTTTTTTTTTTTTTTTTTTTTTTTTTTTTTTTTTTTTTGCTTTCTCACATTCTAACCATATGTCCATGTTATTTTCATGTAGGATGTGCCAGAACTTGAAAAACCAAAGACTCCACTTGAGGCAGCTCGAAATGGGTTTGAATTCTATCGTCGACTTCAAACAGAAGATGGTCATTGGGGAGGAGAATATGGAGGGCCCATGTAAGCAAAAAGTGTATATAAGCGGCATGATTGTTTTGATAACTAACTAGTATTTATTAGGTTTTTGATTCCTGGTTTGATTATTACTTATTATATTACAAGAACACCTGTACCAGAGCCTATGCGTTTAGAATTGATTCGATATTTATTAAACAGAGCTCATCCAGAGAATGGTGGCTGGGGTATTCATATTGAAGGTGTTTCGACCATCTTTGGTACTGGTTTAAATTATGTAGCCTTGCGTATTTTGGGTTTAGGTCCAGATCATCCTGCGATGGTAAAAGCACGTAATCATCTTCATAGTCTAGGTGGTGTTACAGGTATTCCTGCTTGGGGCAAGTTTTGGTTAGCTGCTTTGGGTGTCTATGATTGGAAAGGTGTTAACCCTATACCTCCCGAGTTATGGTAATATATATATATATATATGTTATGAGTAATCCATATTTATTTATTTATGGAATTGGAATATAGGATGTTACCAGATTGGGTTCCGGTTTGTCCAGGTAACTGGTGGGTCCATACACGTTTAGTTTATTTACCAATGGGCTATATTTATGCTCGTCGGTTAAGTGCACCCCTGACTACCTTTACACAATCCCTTCGTGAAGAGCTTTATGTTGAACCTTACGAAAGCATTAATTGGGATAAGCAAAGAAACAACGTAAATCCCGTTGATTTATATACCCCTCATTCAAAAATTATGGATGTTCTCAATTATGGTTTGACGTACTATGAATCATTTGCTTCAAAGCTGCCTTGGCTTCGAGATTATGCTCTTAAATTAACAGTGAATCAAATTAAAATGGAAGATGAAAATTCGTTTTATTTAGATATTGGTCCAGTTAACAAAGCCATGAATTGGCTTGTAGTCTATTATCATTATGGTAAAGATTCATATGAATTTAAAGAACACGTCAAGAGAAATGCAGATTTTATGTGGATGGGACCAGAAGGTATGATGATGAATGGTACAAATGGTAGTCAACTTTGGGATGCTGCCTTTATTGCTCAAGCTTGTGTTGAAGCTCGATTAGCTGATAATATGAAGTATCGTGAAAATATGATTAAAACACTTGAATTTCTTGATATAACTCAGGTAATAAAAAAGAATTATATAAAATAGATAAATATAGGCGTCATTTAAATAGGCTATTTTCTTCTTCTTCTTTCTTTTTAGATTCGTCGTAATCCACCTAATATGAAAGAAAGTTATCGTCAAGCATCAAAAGGTGCTTGGCCATTCAGCACAAGAGATCAAGGTTATACTGTATCCGATTGTACAGCGGAAGGTATGAAAGCAACTATTGCACTACAAAAGACACCTGGTATACCTTCCTTGATTAATATCACGCGTCTTCGTCAAGCAGTAGATGTCTTACTCACTATGCAAAATGCAAATAATGGATTTGCTTCATATGAAACAATTCGTGCTACACATCTTTTAGAACTTTTAAATCCTGCAGAGGTATTTGGAAATATCATGACAGAATACAGTTATCCTGAATGTACAACAGCTGTCTTGATGGGTCTTCGTAGTTTTATCAAGATAGATCCTGATTATCGTCGTGCTGAAATTGATGAAACCTGTCGTCGTTCCTTGCTTTACATTAAGGATGTTCAAAATGAAGATGGTTCATGGTACGGTGCTTGGGCTATCTGCTACACATATGCTGCCATGTTCGCATTACAAAGTTTAGCTAGTGTAGATGAATACTATGAGACATCTGAATATGCAAGACGTGGCTGTGACTTTTTAATCCAACATCAAGAGGAAGATGGAGGTTGGGGGGAGACTTATAAATCATGTGAACTACATGTGTATTCTCATAATGAAAAATCACAGGTAGTGAATACAGCCTTTGCTGTCATGGCTTTATTAGAAGCCAAATATCCTCATAAAGAACCTATTCGTCGTGGTATTGAATTTATCATGAAACGACAACAACCCAATGGTGAATGGTTACAAGAAAGTATTGAAGGCGTCTTTAATAAGAATTGTATGATATCCTATCCAAATTATAAATTCGCCTTTACTATTTGGGCTCTTGGTAAATATGCCAACGTGTATGGCGATACTATTGATAAATAAAATAGATCACGTTTTTTTCTATTTTTTTTTTTTTTTTTTTTTTTTAAAAAAAAAGGGCCTGCTTTTATTTATAAAATCTACATCATTTTTAAATTCTATACATATAAAATATTTAAAAAGTTAGTCTTGTTCTTTGCTTTTTTTTTTTTTTTTAATACTACTACTCACTTTTTAACAATTTGAACTACATCTTCGTCCATAAGAACATGTTCCTTGCCGACCTTTTGAGGATTATGTTTAACTGAAGCGCCCCAAACATAGGCACATTTAAATTGTTCTATAATGGACTTGTGAATATTATTACAAAAGTCTTCAATAGTACATTTATCGCTTGTCAAAACAACAGGTTGTTCATAATCAGGTAATTGTCCTTTAGGTTTAGTATAGATTCTAACAAGATTTAATTTTTCCCACATGAATTCTAATAATTCATCAAAATTCCATTCATGATTAGAAGAAATAGGAACTGCATTAGGAATCTTGTAAATTAAATCTAACTCTTCAATTGAAATTTGATCAATCTTGTTTAATACATAAACTGCTGGGATATAAATACTGTTTACATATATAAAAAAAAAGGTTAACATCATTTGACCAGCAACAAAATTATAACTTCGATTTACCGATTGCCTTCAACAACATCAATAAGATCATCAATTGTACAATCTTCTTTGAATGAAACATCTGCATTATGTATACGATATTCACTCAAAACAGCCTTAACTTCATCAAATGTGATTTTGGTCAAAGGGACTGTATTCGACATGTTGATACCACCCTTTTCTTTCTTTTTGAATATAATAGCAGGTGGCTTCTTATTTAATCGGATACCGAAGCCTTCTAATTCCTTTTCAATAATTCGTTTGTGAGTCATAGGCTTTAACACATCAAGAACAATAAAAATAAGTGAACAAGTACGTGCAACTATAAATTTGGTTATAAGTTCAAGAACCAAGAGATAAATATAAAAAGGGAAAAGGAGAATTTTTTTTTACATTTACTTACCAGCAATGACTTGTCGACCACGACCTTTACCATCCTTTGCACCTTCAATAATACCAGGAAGATCAAGAATCTATTACAAAATTAATTATAAACCACACACACATATATATATACGCATGCCTATTTCTTGTACTTACTTGAAGTTTAGCGCCTTTATATTGAATAACACCTGGAACAGTTGTAAGTGTTGTGAATTCATATGCACCAATTTCAGAGGTTGTTCCAGTAAGTTTAGACATTAAAGTTGATTTACCCACAGAAGGAAAACCTAATGAAAAAAAAAAATAGATCAGTATGACATCTTTTATATTGACTGACTGAACATACCAACAAAACCAATACGAGCAACACCCGTTTTAGCAACATCAAAACCAACTATTGAAAATAAAGTTAATTATAAAACTCACAAACATATAAAATAATAATAAAGTAGCCCATTTTAAATGACTTACTACCAGGTCCACCACCTCCACCACCAGATGGTGTAACTAATTCACGTCTAAGTTTTGCAAGTTTGGCTTTCAATTGACCCAAATGAAAAGAAGTGGCCTTATTCTTTTGGGTCTTGGCCATTTCATTCTATCATAAAATAAAAGAAATTAGTTGATTGTTGTGGCTGTGTTAGATTAATTGAGAACATACTTCAATTTCCTAATTATAATATAAAATGAAAGTTAGTTTTTGTTTTGTTTTGTTTTTTGTTTATTTTTTTTTTTCATTTTCGGCCTAATGACAAACACATTGTTTAAATTACCTTAATTTTTTCCACCAAAGACATTTTTAATAAGTTAAAGGGAAAACTAAAGAACAATTTTTTTTTTGGTGTATCCGCTTATAGTCAAGTCAGAAAAAAAAAAATTAAAAGCCACAAGGTAAATTACGCTGATTTAATTGGGCAGGAGTGTAATGCATAGCATCTTTATAATTTTCGTTTTTTTTATAAAGTAAGAATGAGCACTTCTAATGCTTTTAAATAAAGTTGCCGTATGTAGAAAAAAAAAAAAAAAAAAAAAAAAAAAAAAAAAAAAAAAGTACAAGGACCTTGCTTTTAAAATAGAATTATTAGACCGCACAGTGTTGAAAAAAGATATCTAAAAAATGACATAAATTATTATCTTCAGTTTGTTGTATTTGGGCTAATAATATTAAAAGAAAAATACATGCAATACATACATATAAAGCAGTAGTAATATGGAACTTTAAAGAAGTGAAATTATTATATATGCTCTTATATACTAATATAACAATTTATTTAACAAATGAAAAATAGATGAAATAAAAGGGGGAAAAAAAAAGAATAGGATGATACATGCAAATTTTTAAATTAAAACAATTTAGTTCTTGCTAGAAAGAGCAGTGACACCAGGGAGTTCCTTACCCTCGAGGAGTTCGAGAGAGGCACCACCACCAGTGGAGATGTGAGAGACCTTATCACCAGCACCCCACTTGAGAGCAGCAGTAGCGGTATCACCACCACCAATGATAGTGGTAGCACCTTCCTTGGTGGCATCAATGACAGCGCTAAGGACGTTCTTGGTACCGTTAGCGAAGGCATCGAATTCAAAGACACCAGAAGGACCGTTCCAGACGATGGTCTTGGCCTTCAAGATTTCTTCACGGAAGAGCTTGCTGGATTCAGCACCACAGTCAAGACCCATCCAGTCATCAGGGATACCAGTGGCATCAGTAGCATAACCAGTCTTGGCATCGGGGGCGAACTTGTCAGCAGTGACGAAATCGATGGGGAAGAGCATCTTGACATTCTTTTCTTGAGCCTTCTTAACGAGGTTTTCAACCAACTTGGAACCATCTTCATCGAAAAGGGAAGTACCAATCTATATAGTATTATTAAAAAAAAAAGAAAAAAAGAAGATTAGCGGAGGTTGAAATTAAACTAACTCGTTTCGGGAAAGTGTTTCCTTTTAAACACGCGTTTCTTTTTTTTTTGAAGAATTGAAACCCATGAAAGAATATATTTGTATATAATTCTTTTTTCAACACTATTCCCTCTCGCCCACCCCCCAAAAAAAATAATAATTAAAATTTTAAAAAAAACGAAAAGAATACTTACGTTGACATTGTTAAGGATCTTCTTGAAGGTGAAAGCCATACCACCACAGACGATCAAAGCGTTAACCTTGTCAAGCATGTTTTCAATCAATTGGATCTTATCAGAGACCTTAGCACCACCGAGGATGGCAAGGAAAGGACGAGCAGGGTTTTCAAGAGCCTTAGCAAAGTATTCGAGTTCCTTTTGCATAAGGAAACCAGCAGCACGTTGAGGGAGTTCAACACCAACCATGGAGGAGTGAGCACGGTGAGCGGTACCGAAGGCATCGTTAATGTAAACATCGGCAAGAGAGGTCAAAGAAGCACGGAAGGCCTTGACCTTTTCAGCATCAGCCTTGATCTTCTTACCATCAACCTTGGCAGAACCTTCTTCTTCAATGTGATAACGGAGGTTTTCCAAGAGGATGACCTTACCACCAGTGGCAGCTTGGCAGACCTTTTCAACTTCGGGACCAACACAGTCGTTAAGGAATTCAACAGGCTTACCCAAGAGCTTTTCAACTTCAGCAGCAACAGGCTTCAAGGAGTACTTGGGAACAGCTTCACCATTAGGACGACCAAGGTGAGACATCAAGATGACAGCAGCAGCACCTTGTTCAAGAGCATACTTGACAGTGGGGAGAGCTTGAACAATACGGTTGTTGTTGGTGATTTCACCATCCTTCAAGGGAACGTTGAAGTCAACACTATTAATTTATATAAACATATTTATAACATTAGCATAAAAAAAAATCCAATCATCACTATTGTGTATTTCTTTTAACGTGTTATTTACCGAATGAGGACACGCTTATCCTTGAGGTCGACGTCACGAATGGAAAGCTTGTTAGACAAAGACATGATGAATTAATTTATATTAAAGAAAAAAAAAAAGAAAAAAAGAAGAAAAGAAAAAAAAAGAAGTATAAAAGAGATACGTAATGCTGATAACTTATATATCTTTTTTTTTTTTTTTTTTCGTAATAGGCCTGACTTCCAAAAATTTTTTAGCTTTCCAGAAGCGAAATCCGATCTCCTCTTAATAATCTGGAATTATCCATTGGACGATTATCTTGATAAATTTCGGATTCACACGTTTATTCCTAAACATTTTTTTTTTATTTCAAGACGCGTTAATAAGCATCTTTATAAAACAAACAAGAAATAAATAAATAAAAAAAATAAAAAAAATGGAATGAACATAAGCAATGCTAACATAAATGTTTTCATAAGCCAGTACTATTATTTGCATTTTAAAAAATAGTTACACATATTCGAACCCGAAAAAAAGAAGAAAAGTACTGGACTCGAAAGTGTCATATGAGTATACAAATTATTCATAAATGATAAATGCTTTGATTAGCATGATGATATCATAGATTAGATTATAATTAGGTTCAATTAAATACTCTACTTTTATTTATTTATTAAAGAAAAGTAAAAGAACAGAGTGTAAGCATACTGAGAATGATTATTAGAAGAGAATCATGATGATGCTTTTCTTTTTTTTTCCAAGGCCTTTTTTTTCGTGACATTCTCATAAAAAATATATAAATATTTATATCTATTTACAATAGAAAATTGATTCAGTTCAAAGATAAGTGGAATTAAATTCTGCATATAAAAAGAAAGAAAAAAGTCAGTCAGGAGACTATAATAACTGATTGAGTTTAAAGATTTAAAAGGGAACTTTTTATTATTATAATGAGCATTAGAATAGAAGTTGTGTATTTAAGATAACTTGTTCAGGTACTTTGAACCACTTAACACTAAATTTCTCACTCTGCTACTACCGTTAAAATTTGTATGCTCTAAACTATCAAAAGCCACAACACCTGTCAATCAAAGAGTGCAAACAATTTCAAGTATGAACAAATATAATATCTGCAATTTTTAGTCTGTGTACTACAATCAATTAAAGCTGTAGATTATTCAACATGAAAAGATAAATATATTACTTTTTTTTTAAAAAAAAAAAAAAAAGAAAGGATCCTATTTTACTATCACTCGAGGACTTGCTTGCTGATGATAAAGTCGCGAGTTTTAAGCTAAATTTAAAATGATTTTTCGATCAATACTTTATAGTTTAGATAGTATTCCCTAGCTTCTCTTCTGAATACATGAATTAGTAGAATACATTCTTTTGTTCATCGTAGCCCTTTTATTTTAAAAAAAAAAAGAAAAGAAAAGGCTAACTCCGCAAATTGGTTTAGGATATTCAGCTTAAGGAACAGCATACTAGTAGTTCTCCATAACAATATATAATGTCTTTACTCCAAAATTAAAAAAAGCGTTGATTTATTCTGTGAATACTGCTAAATATCTACCTAGGTTTAACAGTCATAAGTTAGTTCAATACTATTTTAGGTAATCCATAGCCCATTATTGCTAATTACACTATTTGTGCTTTACTTATAATTTACTCGACTATGCTAAATATTTGAATTTAATACTGACGAAGAATATATCACTAAACTCACCACAATAACCTGTCAATTATCCAAAGACAAACAAATTAATTAAATAAATCAAAGATGTATCTGCATATTATATTTAAGCTGGAGAATATTTCTTTTCTAACAATGATGTCGTAAATTAATAAAAATATGTTATGTGTTGAAGGCACGATAAATGCTCATACATTTTAACTTTTTTAATAATAGGACCAAGTACAAGAAATATGCATATTTGAGTTGATGATATCAGACCAAGTTATTTGTATGTTGCCCACAGTTTGTTTGGTATCTTTTGTAAATAAATTTCAATCTTTTCCTCTCCTTCTTTCTTTTTAGCTAAAGTATAAGCACTTGCTATTACTCTCGTCACTTGATACATATAGACCTCCACTTTATTATTCAAACTTCAATTTTACCGAATACCTTTTTTTTTTTTTTTTTTTTTTTTTTTTTTTTTTTTTTGCAAATTAGATACAACTTATACTGGTGGATATTTGCTTGATTCAAAAGATTTTCGACAGAATTATACAGCTAGAAATCACATTATATGAATGGTTTTTAAAACTCTATATAATTATTTAGACGCAAAATAGAACTTCTTACTTGGTTTATTGGGAAGGAAACTTTTCTTTCATTCTTTCCTTCCCCTTTTTTTTTTTTAATAATGAAACACATACGTTTATTTAATTTTTACGCGCATTTGGGTTTATATAAAAAATAATATTTAGCACTTTTATCGTATAAAAACGTGTATAATGAGTACAGTTATATAAATATTGTTATGAATCAAATAGTCCTTTATTAGTTTCTATTGGGGCTCAGACTTCTATCACGTCTACCACGTCTATCATTAACCACTGATGGGCCTTTAATAAAGGCGTAATCAACTTTAATAGTTTCTCCAATGAATTTTGTACCATTAGCATCCATAATAGCTTCTTCTGCTTCTTTACGAGCCTCATATTCAATAAATGCATAACCCTATTATATACATTAGACAATCTGCACAAGTGTTTTTCATTACATCTATATATATTACCTTAACATAACCTGTACGTCTATCTAAGTTTAAGTGAATATTTTTAATTGATCCATATTCCATAAATTTCTCTGCCAATGTTTCCTCGTCAGTTTCTTCATGAAGTCCACGTACAATAATAATCCATCCTTCTATGGCTTTTATATATGAATATATGTATATATATATATATATATATATATATAAAGTAAAATAAAAAAAAATTAAATTCTCTTAATGCTCATGTATAACTCATTAAATACTTACAACGAACAGGCTCTGAATCTTCATCCATAGTATCTCTACCAGAACGTCGTGCTGTTTAAACACGTTAATATCCATACATGATAAATAATGGTTTATATACTACGTACTATCATTATTTGAAATTCCTCGACCTCTAATTCTGAATTCTATTAAATAAATTTACGTTTAGTTACTCATTATATTTATTTATTTATTTACTTATTTATTTTTTTTTTTTGAGTAAATTAAAAACCTTCGTCAATATTCATTCGTTCAGGTGATCTAGACATGTTTACTATTTATTATTATTATTAAAGATGTTATATGCTGTCAAGATGAATTAAAAAAATAAAAAAAATAATAAAAAAAAAAGAATAAATAAATAAAAAACAGTCTGCCAGTCACAAATGGTCTAATTATCATTATTTTTTTTTCTACAAAAAAAAAAAAAAAGATTGATACACCTACACACAAGCTTTTTTTTTTCTTTTATTGACATTTGACAAATAAAATTAAATCAATAATGGCAACCAATGTAAAGACCGAAGGTAGAAAGCCTTCAAGCAGGCTTCTAGGAATGAAGGTGAATTACAACATTCACAAATAAAAAACAAGTATTAATAATTACGTAGTTCATGCAACGATCTATGGAGAAAGAAGCTCAAGAGCAATTAGAAAAAGAGCGTAAACGTGTTGTATCAGAAGCAGAATGGGTTCTGGATACAAAGCAAACAGAAGCACAAAAACCGTAAAGTCTTGTATAAAGTAATCATTATAAGGTTTTTATTAAAATAATATTCTCTGTCTATGTATGTATAGTAAAATACAAATCCAATATCAACCAAGCTATTTACCTTTTACAATGGATACAATATCAGGTAGACAATCATTTAAGAGTTTTAATAAGCAAATAGAGGTAAAAAAAAAATTTTTTTTTCTTCTATTTCTATTTCTCCTTTAGTATGAAAATAATACATTCAATGTATTTTAATAGGCTATTACAGCAGAAGAAGAAAAGAAGCAACGTTTGGAACGTGAAGAAACAGTAGAAAAACAAAATCAAACAACGGATAAGGAATTCAGTCAGCAAATGCTTACGATTAGAGAAGTGTCAAAGAAAAAGTCAAAAAAGAGAAAAGGGGAAAATGAATTGAATGTAACCAAAAAGGCTAAAACTGCAGCGGCGGCGACATTTATCAAGCCAGAATAATACAATTAATAGAGTAAAATCTATATGGATATAGATCTTCTTTAATGGTTTATATGTATATAGTCTCCAAGTCATGTAATAATCAATAAAGGAAAAAGTCATTTTTTTTTATTTGTTTATTTAAAGAATCTTCTGTAAGTATTGGAAAGAAGAAGAAGCTATACTATTTATAAGCATAAAAAAAAAGACATTAGAAAGTCTAGATACAAAACCAAATGTTGCAAATAGAGAAAATAAACTGTCTTTTTTGCCTACTTGCATAAATTTTTAAGAAGCTGAAGAGTTATGTCGATTTTTTTTTTCAAGCATTTTGTGCCTTTAAAAAGAGTCACGTGCATTTTTCCATTATTGTAAAACCTTTGAATAAATCTCTCTCTTTTTTTTCTTTTCTTTTTTTTTTTTTTTAAATAGTCATCTCAAAAACATTTTTTTTAAAAAAAAAAAAAACTAATGGATTTAATTGCACGAAAAAAGTTAAACCTAGACGTTTTAAAAAAACACGATCCTAATATATGCGACATTCTAGACCAATCTGCGCATGCTGTAGTTTATAAATTTGACACCGAAAAAACAAGTTGGGTAAAATGCTTTAATGTTTAAAGCTAGTATAGCAATGATTAAATGAAAGCATATTATAGGAAAAACTTGGTTATGAAGGTGTCATATTTTTGACACAAGGGTAAAAAAAAAAATAAAGAGTATATAAAATTATTTATATTCAATTTCACTAATTATACATTACTTACGAATAACTTGACAGAAAAAGCGCTCCTTACTTTAGTTTATACCTTCTTAACAGATTATCTATAGAAAACTTTTCTCTACAATTAACAGATTTTGAAGAAATTAATCTAACAGATGAGTTTATTATTTATAAAACAAGTGAAGGTATTGCAGACCTGGGGAGGTATTTAACAAAGACTTATGCAATATAATAGGTGAAGCATGCGCATTATGGTTATATGAAAAAAAAGATCGTGAACGTATACTAGCAAAGATAATGAAGTAAACTTTTATTATTATTATTATTATTTTTTTTTTTGAAGAAGAAGAAGGGAAATGTATAAGAGAAATTAGATATATTAAACTATAATTTATACAGGCTACATGAAGGCATGAAGACTTTACCTTCTGCTCAACCAAAACCTGTTGAATCAAAAGTGGATATTTTACAAATGCTAAAAAATGCTACAACAGCTCCAAAGGTAGCACCATCACCAAATCATCCAACTTTACAAAACGCTGGAAATGATTTATTACGTGTATTGACAGGAAATAATCAACCACAATCATCACCAACTAATCATAATGGCAGTACCAGTCAGCCAATAATGATGACACCCTATAACAATAATAGTAATAATAGTAATAATATGCATTTAATGCAGCAACAGCAGCAGCCCGAAAATATGCTTAGTAATAAACTAAAAAACCTTTTCATTGATGATATGACTGGATCAAATACTGAAAATAACAATCACATACCTCCTAACACACGACGAATTATCGCCAATGGTGAATTAACAAAACCTTTTTATCCTCCTTTTATGTCATCACCTGTAGCTTCACCTAATAATCAGCGAAACCCTAATACATTATTACAAGCACTTCACGGAGGTCTTCCTCCACCTCTACCTCCTTTACCTCAACCTCTTGTAGGCATGCCCTTATTACCTCAGCAAGCTATTGGTTTAATGGGCCCTGAAATAAGCAGACGATTTGCTAATAGACCTTTATTATCAAAGCCGGAATTTATTCAGCAATTATTAAATATGATTCAGGTAATGGTATACAATTTTTTATTTAACTTTATTTGTATATTTAACTTTGTGTGTGTACTCTACTCTAGTGTGATCCAACTTTTTTTGACGTACTTTATAAAAATTATGAAAGTCAAATGGGTTCTTCTACTAATCATCCAACTCTTTAAGCGATTCGTTTTGTGTGTGTGTGTGTGTGTGTTTGTTTGTTTTTATTAACAATGAAAGTGAAATGATTGTATTATCATTTGTGGAAACAATATATAAATAAATAAATAAATAAAAAGCATTATCATACTATGGATATGATATTGCTTTTTTTTTTGTATCTTTCTATTGTAGTTGTGTGACTGTTTCTTATAAATGTCAAAATTCCTTTTTTTTTTTTTAACTGTGAAAGAAAGAAACACCTATTTCTTGTACTATATCACAAAGCCTTTTTTATTTTATTTTATATATACAAATACACATATATTTTTATTTTATTAGAGTTATTATTAATATATTATTATGGACATCTCAGGCTCATATGGACTTAGTGGCCCTAACATCACCATTCGAGAGCTTACGAAAGACCGTATTAATTTTGTTCTAAGTGATACCGACTTGAGGTATAATCAATTGTATACAATATAGAAATATGTATAAATTTATATAAACAATTAACTTTTAAATAGTGTTGCCAATGCCCTACGTCGAGTTATGATTGCTGAAGTTCCTACAGTTGGTAGTTATAAATAAATATATACATATATATATATAATCAGTAAAGATGTAATTTATTAATAATTTTATAAAGCTATTGACATGGTCGAAATCGAGACAAATACAACTGTTTTAGCAGACGAATTTATAGCTCATCGTCTTGGTATGGTTCCTATTGATAGTAAATATGTTGATAAATTACGTTATACAAGAGTAAGGATTAGAAATACATGTTTAAGACTATCTTGACTAATTGATTTGGGTCTTAGGATTGTACATGTTCTCAATATTGTCCAGAATGTTCAGTAGAATTAACACTTCATGTAAAATGTACAGAGGATAGAACTAAAGATGTTACAACAAGAGAACTAATTTCATCAAATCCTTCATTTATGCCTGTATTTCAAGGTATATATATATACATATTAGAAAGAAAGAAAGATGAAAATACTAAAAATACGTGTTAATTAGATAAGGAAGATTCTGGTATCCTTTTAGTAAAGTTACGTAAAGGTCATGAGTTAAAGTTAAAATGTATCGCTAAAAAGGTAAAATAAATAGCCCCTCACAAATAGAGTGTAAATAATAACGTGTCCTATGTAGGGTGTGGCAAAAGAACATGCTAAATGGAGTCCTGTAAGTGGTGTTGCCTTTGAATACGACCCTTATAATAAATTAAGACATACTACATATTGGTTTGAAGAGAGTGAAGATGAATGGTAAAGTTTTGATAGTTGATACAATTTTTTTTTTTTTTTAATTTGTAAAGTTAACGTGATAAAATAACTTGTATAGGCCTTTGGGCAAAAATGCACAATTCGAGACGCCCCCAGATAAAAATGCCCGTATGTTGATATAAGATTTTAAATATGGATAAAAGAAAAAAAAAACTTTATTAACCCTTTTATTTATTTAGCCTTTGATTATAATGCTAAGCCAGATAAGTTTTATTTTGAAGCAGAGGTAAAAAAAAAAAAAATGAATTTAAATAGCAGGTCTTTATATAACTTTTTGCATAAAATGATTAGTCCGTTGGATCTTTACCACCAGAGGAAATAGTTACAATGGCAATGAAAACTTTAGTTGATAAACTTGCATATGTTCAAATGCAAATTCAAGAAGAAGTTGATACTAAAGAACAGGGCAATGCTAACGCTTGGAGTAATTATTAAAAGTATAATAAATTTATTTTTTATTTGAATGATGAGCTTCATAATCAGCTACACTGATTTTGATACCTTCATCAAGACCTATTTTAGGCTCATAACCCAAGATAGTTTTCGCCTTATTAATATTAAAGTAACGAGAGGACATGGCCTGCTTAATTCGAGCACGGGACATGCCTTCTTTAAGTTGACTTCTATCCCAAAATAATTCCTTAAAACTAAAGATTGTTTCGCTAATGAGAGCAATGAACATACTGGCGTTATAAGATAAAATGATCTTTTTGTTATTAGGCATGTAATATCCATGTTCTGCCCAGACACGAGATGCAAAATCCCAAAAGGGGACAGGTGTACCATTGGTCAAATTGAAAGCTTGACCTGCTGCACCAGAGTCAGGGATAGACAATTTTTCAGCAGCAAGTACATGTGCATAAGCAACGTTACCAACATAAGTGAAATCCATCAAGGATTGATTATTACCAATCTGGAAGCGATGTTGACCTCGTTCACACACTTCAATCATACCAGGAATAAGTTGTCTATCTCCTGGACCAAAAATAGCCGAAGGACGAATAGTACAAGTTAATAATCCACCTTGTCCATTTGCCTTTAGGACCACCTTTTCACATTCCATCTGATAATAGGTTTAATATGAGTAAGTAAGCAAAGTTCTATTTATTATTATTTCATTTTTTTTTCTACCTTAGATTCTGTGTATACATCAATGGCTTTGGGAGGATAAGGTGTCGATTCATCAATATTCACCATAGGCTCACCTGTAGAAATAACACTACCAGAACTGGTAACTACCAAAACCTTAATCTTTCTCTCTTGACAAGCTTTGATGATGTTCAAAGTACCATCGACATTAATACCAAAATAAAGATCTCGAGGTGGATTACTTGTATTTACATGAGGTGGAGATGCAGTATGGATGACAGCTGTAATGCCTTCAAGTGCATTATAAACATCGTCGAATTTACGTAAATCACCTGTAAAATACTTCACATCTGGTTTAGGCTCCTTAGGTTCAGATATATCAAAGACAGCAATAGTGGAACCATCATTACGAAGTCGAATCTGTTCCTGAACGTGTTGGCCTAAGAAACCATGACCACCAATAACAAGATAGCTATGCATTTTTATTATTTAAGGAAAAAATAAATAATAATAATAATAAAAAAAAAAAAAGGCGCGCACTTATTGTTACAATTATTGTCCATCTATTGTTCTACTACACTTTACGGCGATACTTTACGACTCTTTTTTTTTTCGGAATTTAATCTTACAAGAATTGTTTAAAAGATTAAAGCTCAGCAACCTCTCTTCGACACTAAACAACAACATTAAGCTACAATTGCAACTTGAGATTGATATTATATTCAATTAGATTTTATTTAGTTTTAGACGTTGGATGAATAAAGTCGAGTTTGTAGGTAGAACTGTTATATAATATACGTTAAAAATAACCTGCAACAACTTAAAAAGTCAGTCATTTATCAGGTACACTGGATGCCTTTATTTACCTCTAAATAGTCACTCGTATGAGTTTAATCCTTATTTAGCTGGAAGAAGCAAAAGGGCTCTCACGAGTACGTTTCGTAAAGCATAAAAGCATTCTTTCATAAATGTATCAGCCATTATATATATATATATATTCTGTAGCCATTATTCTCTATTGCAAACGCCTTTCTTTATAAGCAAGCTTTTTCCTACTGATACCAATAAATTGATTCTATTCTCCATAAATATAATTATTCGTCAAAGACTTATAATACTTTTTCATGCTTTTTTTTATATATAGTATAGAATACTTTGTTATTTACTTGACAGTGATAGCAAAAATCTTTGTCAAAAAAAAATTGATATAAGCATTAAAATCATCTGGAAGCGAGTATTAAGAAATAAACAATGATTATCCATGATATATATGAGGATGCCCCAAGGTAAGGAAACTCTATGTTTTAGTAAGGTAAACAGTGTTAATTACTCTAGATTTAAAGTACTTGGATAAACAAAATATAAAAGAAGGGATTTCAACTTATTCATGTATACTTATTCGTGAGTTATAAACTTAAGGACGTTAAATATTATTCTTTGATCTCACATATTCTTATGTTATAAATAGTCCACTATTTAAAGTAATCAACTTCTAGAACTATTGTTCGGTCTCGTTGACTTATTGTGACCTTATTCTATTTATGATTTTAAATGATAGATATAAACTATACAACATCCATAACTCATAAAGAAGTATTCACAAAAAGCTTAAAGAAAAAATATCTACTTTGATAGTGTTTGTTCAAATGTTGTTATTAACCTGCCGTTAAATAAAGGGCTATTAACTCGAAGTAACTTGTTTTAATAATCATTGAATTATTATTTGAAAGAAAAAAAATTAATGAAAAAAGAAGAAGAAAATAGAGTATCTTTGGAAGTAGTATTAATATTATCTATCGATAACTGACTGATCGAAAGAAAAAAAAAAGCTGCTTAATGCTAAACAGTCGCTTGACTATAGCAGCAGGATATGGGGCTCTGTATTCAATACCCACTGACTGGGATAATGTTGTATTAAATTTCATTTACACTACATTTCTGTATCAAAACTCATATATTGATTTGAATAAAGTATACGCATAATTGCATAAAGACATGATATAACAAATTTTGATAGTGAGATATGCCCCTAGTATTTTAGAGTGATGGACGGAACTTTATTATGAGTTTTATAGCTATTGCTTTGATATTACATGTAGTACTAAGTGTATCTGAATAAATAGTTTAATTTAGAGAGAAAAAGGAAAAGGACGCTTTCATTTTATAAGTCTAAAAGCAATCGCTATGAATAGACAACGTATATTAATTATGCCTTTAAAAATAGAATTATTTCATTAAAAGACTGTATAACGAACATCTAAATACATATTTTAGCTTTGTGGACAGTACAATATTGTCTTCTTTATCACTTGTAATATTAATTGACGAAAATTTGTAGTAGATATTCGAAAGGTATATCAGTATCCTACATAGAATGTAATTTTTCTTTTTCTTTTTTTCCTTCTTAAATTAAGCTTCTTATTCTTTATTTATTTCGAATATTATGTATATTTATATGTATATTATATTCACATTTTTCATATAATCATTCATTCAGTTAATTTATGCATGATCCTCATCACTTTCATCACTTTCCTCGGTTCGTGACATTTTTGAAGGGTTTTCATTTTCATTTTCTGCTGCAGTTCTCTTTCCTAATGTAGTCTCATTTTTATCCTTATATGTCCTTAATCTATATGTGCCATCTAATTTAGCAACTGCATCTGATTTTGTCTTTGCATATTCGATTTTCTAATTATACAAGTAAGTATTCAGCATTCACATTATAGCTATATAATCTTACAAGTGGTTTGTTGAAAAAGGTGAATCCATTTAAACTTCTTTTGGCTGTAGTTGCAGAAGCAACGTTACTGTATACAACAAAGGCTTGTTCACGCATCTTTTCTGTTTTTTTAGCTGTAATATCTAGAATAGGTCCATAAGTAGAAAATAAATCATACAGAGAATGTTTAAGCTCTAAAGAAGTTCCATGTTAAAAATTTAAACGCGTAAAGTATAAATGCATCAAAGAATACCTTCAATGTTAATACGTCCGTTAATATTAGTAACGTATAAAGTTTGACTAGGATCAATTGAAGTCATTGCGATGTAACTTGAAAAAAGAAAAAAAAAAAAAGAAGATGTGTGTGAATACGTTTAGGCAACTTTTGGGCAAATTTTTGTGATTAAATATCTACGTGGTAGTAATTGTAACTAACAGTTAAATCTCAGTTTTATTTCTCGAGTTAAAAGCCACAATAGTTCATTATAAAAATAAATAAATAATAAATATTTATAAAGATACATTGATATTCTTATATTGTAATTATGATAGGGATGGTATATACATAGTTTGTAATGTTATTAATTATATATACAAAGACATGATAAAATGATACTAAGCAGTATGATAGAATCTATCAAAAAAAAAAAAAAGAAAAGAATTAGTTTTGATTTCAGTTAATTTAGCAAAAAAAAAAAAAAAAAAAAAAAAAAAAAAAAAAAAAACTTACTTTTTGTTAATCAAGTAGATCAAAAGGTTAACATTGACAGTAGCCATTCCATCTAATACTTTCATTGTCTGTACACCTTCGTATTGTGTATGTAATAAGTCCTCATATTGAACGTCTACATGCAAATCCTGTGTATTGGCTAATGGGAAATAGCCTTCAAAGGTAATGATACCTGCACGATCCATAGATAAAATAATTGTGATTCGAGAATAAAGTTTCTTAGACACGCCTGAAATATCAATAATAATGCCTCGATCATATAGCGTTTTTGCAGAATATTTGAAAGATCCAAACTTAGGCACTAATCCCTTTTTTTGCAAACTTTTCATATGGAAATACTGTCTTGTAAAAGGAAATACAAACTTTTGTTTTTTGCCTCTTCTTTCTGCCATGTTTTTCATACAACCATCCAGATATTCTTTATAACTGGTACCTTGGCTAATTAAATATTGACGTTTTTCTTCCAAATGAGCCAAGATAGTTTGAAGCTTTTTGATTTCAGTATTACGTAATTTTCGACGCTCGCCTTTCTTGGTAATATCCAAGGCAATCATATTAATAATACTTTGATAGCCTTGACTCTCAGGAATAATACCATGTTTCATCAGATGGTTATGCAGACTATAAGCAAATGATTTTAATTTGGCGAAACTCAAGCTAAAAAAAAAATTAAACCGATTAATTTCATATATCCTATGCAATGTATATTACAACTTTACCTCTTTACATCCATAGCAGCATTCTCATAACCAAATTTAAAATATCTTTCACGATTAGCCATTTCAATCTCTTGTTCAGTTCCTTCAGATGGGAAAGCCTGCTCTTGTACAACCTCCCAAATGGCTTCATGCTCCTCTGTTACAGGTTCCTTAAAGATAGTCTCTAAATCAGGACCTGACTGTACTTGAATAACTAAGATAACTAACCGCTTTGTATCCAGTAATAGTTTTTGAATATTTCCTCCAGTTTCAGTAGGAATACCATCTCTTCGATCACTCAGTTCAAGACGAATTACATGTAATGGACCAGATCCAGCAATATTCGTGGGAGCAGAACCTAAATCGGACAAAATTGAATGAAGGATACCATTATTTTGACGTTCAATAAAATCTACGTTTTCTTCTAAAAGCTGATGAATATGATAGAGTTCAGAAGGATGCACATAAACTGTTGGCTTTTTAGTATTGGTGTAGTCAGTCAAATGGTCCATACCGAAATGTTGTTCAGGTTCATTGACGTCCGTCAAATCCAAAAACCAGTTTGTAAATTTTTGTGCTGATTGAGTAATAAAATCATTCAAGATATTGACTTGAATATGATGGCTATCCATTGTTTTCCCGTTGGATATTTGTTGCAGCATTTTTGAAATTTCAGCCAGATTCCTTCTTTGCAGTGAAGAGATTTCCTGACGAATGGTAATGTATTGTTCAGGTGCTGTAATGACAGGACTTAAATAGCGGTAATAAATAAAATTACTTAAAATCTTGACAATTTCTTCAGGTGCCTCCTCTGGGAAGTTTTCTTCCATCACCAAACGTAATTCTCTTGCAATGACTCGCATACCATAAGGCATCGTGTTCACTGTACTAATGATAGAATCTAAGAATTCTTGAGTTATTTTTTGTAGCATTTGTAAATGTTCAAAGAAAAGATGCTGAACATCAGGCAACTGAAGTGCCTGGGCTTGAGTGATATCGTATGGACGTTTGGAAGGTTGTCCTGTAGCAGATTCTTCTTGACTAATACATTTTTTGTAGATTACCATTGGGTTTGTTTCGAGATCCAAGTTATTATCGTCCAAGACTTTATTGATCAATGGTTCAAATAAAGTTGAAAAGAATTCCTTTTCTTTAGCACCACGGTTAACTTGAACAACCAGCTTCATGAATGTATAGTTCCCTCTCATGAACTCTTGAGGGCTCTTGACCTGTTTCATTTCTTGGACAATACAGGCTTTACATAAATTGATCAAGAGATATTCTTCACGTGCGTTTGTACCATAACCAAATAGACCTAATACAGTAGCCTCAATTTTATGTTGGCCCTTTCTCTCGCCATGTACTTGACCTCCAGTGATGGACATAAGACGTGCAAGATAGTTTGGTTCAGTTTGTAAGAGATAGACCAATTGTTGATACAATTCGAGTCTATCGCGATGGCTTTTGTCAACACCACGTAAATCGTAGGGGCTATTCATCGAGGTAGATGAAACCAGTTCAGAAAATCGTTGTTGTTGAATCTTTTTACGATTTGGATTAAAAAATGCATTACTAAGCTTAACGACCTCATCCAATGTGACAGCATTTTTGAGTAAAAGTGCAATTTGGATATCAATCATACTGGCTTGAGTATCTAATTGATTATTTTCACGAATAGACTCAATGACCTTTTGACGAAGTTCTTCAATAATTAAATCCTCTCTAAAGTCAATATCGCTGTTACTAAGCATATGTAATACACTCTTGACAACACCAATGGAGGGATTCTTTTCTGTCTTTAGTTTTTGATAGGCCTTTTCGTGATATTGCGCTGTAAATTTGCCTTCTGTTCGTAATCTTCCAGACTGTAATTGGTATTCAAGGATTCGATGTTGTTGTTCTCCAAGCTGTTTCATAGCCAAGAATCGTCGAATCATAGACTGTAAGGCAGTAACCCATTCTTCGGGACCTGAAAAATACTCGAGTCGTTTTTCACCAAATTGACGATGAATAGATTGCGAATAAACTCGAGATTGTTTGCTTCGGATTGTGCCATGAACAGATTGATGACGATGTTGGTCTTTAATCTTTTGGAATTGATTGCGTGCTATATGTGCACGAATATTTCCCTGTATGGTTATGAGGGCTTGTTTATTTTCAGGTGCTGAAAAATGACCGTCCAAAGAATCCAGCCTTTCTTCGATCTTTTCCAGTTCGAATTCAGACACATTGTCTTCTACTTCAGATTCTGAACTACTAGAATACAAATCCTGAGCAACATCTACAAAAAAAAAAAAAAAAAAAAAAAAAAAAAAAAAAAAAAAAGGAACGGAGTTTAATACTTGTTTTAAAAGAGGAATTAACATTTTTACAAAGTATATACCCATAAACTGCAAGCGCTGCATAGTAGGTAAAGGAGGGCTTTCTTGCTCATCACTAGATGAAGCCCTTGATTCTGTATCAGAATCATATAAATCAGTAATTAATAAATCTGGTGCTTTATCGTTAAAATGATGAATTTTTGGTAAAATATACTGATGATCGTCGTTTAATAAAGGTTCTTCAATAGGCTTGAATGTGTAGATAGGTTGCTGTTGTTTACGTGCACTTCCATTTAATTCCTTTTGTAATGAAGAGCCGAGATTACTAAAGTTTGGTATAATTGCACCTGATTTCTCCAAGTTACGTTGAGTTGCTACTAAAACATCTTCAGAAAAATTAAATTCACCATTTAAATTTTTCATTTTGGGTGCAGAATCATTTGAATGTAGTAAGTGACTATTATAATTCTTTATTTAGTATATGGCATTTCTAAACAAATATATACATATATATATAGTATACATTAGTACCTGAGAGCATGAATACAGTAAATCACTTTAGGCATGTTTTTTCCATCATATAAATCAACAAATTCAAACCAAAAAATAGAAGGTAATCCAACTTCCTTCAGGACGGTAAAGAATGCATTGATATTATTAGATCTTAAAAATTTAAATTTAGTATCACTAGAGATGATACTTTGAATGACACCAGGATGAATTCGTCTGGCTAACTTGGCCAAGACTACACCATCATGCAATGTCTTTTCTAACTGCACAATCGATGCTTCTTTATTATCATGATCATCAATTCTTTCGCCTAAAAAGCTTTCCATCCATCTGTAGTTACACAATTAGTTACTAAATTTAGTAGATTGTTATTGTTTGCACTCACTCGATAGCTTCACCAATATGACAAAGGTATTCATGAATTTGAACTAGATTTCTCATTTTATCTGCCCATTTCCAGTCGTTTTTTGTTTCTTCGGCTTTAAGAAGACGTATACGATCTATATATTTAAATCAGTTAACTTGTTCAAAGAGAAAAATGCGAGTTTTTAGTTTTTATTTTACTTGTTCCTATTTAAAAGAATAAAGTGTTAAAAATGTATATAAAAAAATGTAAATTTATATATATTATTTGAAGAATTATTCTATCTAACCTGCAACTGCATCGTCTTCAGATAATGTAATATTAGGTAATACTGCTGTACGTTGCATATTATTTTATATGAATGAAGAAAGAAAAAGAAAAAATAAATAAAGAAAAGGATAAGAAATGAGAGAAAAAAGAAGGGTAAACAGAACAACATGTATTTTTTTTTATAAATGATAACAACAGTATTAAAAATATGCCAATTTTGGATTGTTTTTGTGCAAATAAGTAATTTTACTGTTTTTGTATACAATTTGATTAATTTGGAATAGAAAACATATTGAATTTTGCAGTCAGATTTCTTTTTCTTTTTTTTTTTCTTTTTATTAAAATACTTAAATTAAATTCCGGTGACTTAATCACCATATTCGTGTAAACCAGCCTACGGTCTCAAGTGACGGATTAAAAAAAAAAAATGCCAATCAACTTGCTAGAGATTTTCAATTAGCAGTTTTTGTACAATTTTTGAAGATAAAGTTTTTCTCAGCTGCAAAGTCTGGAAAGTTGGCTGGTGTTTTTGAACGAACTGCTCAGACCTGGGCCAAAAGAATGGAGACTGAACCTGAATGGAACATTTATGAGAGGAAGACCAACACTGCTAGTTGTCCTTGAAGCCAACTTCAAGAGGAACAGAAATGCCACATATTCAAACTGTATGAAGAAAAGCCTTTTGTAACAACGGACAAAGATGTCGAATGCCTAACCGGAGAGTTTGATGGCTTTAGTTTGGAGAGAAGCAGAGTCAGCAGCTTTATCTTGCATGAGTGTTGTCTCTTCAGTGAAGAAGCTATTCTGCTAATCCTTAGCTCGTAATGATATTGATCGCATCAACATGAGATATGATTGAGTCTTGAAGTGGACAGTCACAGATATGGACTTTGTGCGAAACTGCATTTTCATTGATGAATCCGCATTTGATATCAACATGAGGTCCTCTTATGGTAGATTGATTCGTAATACACCCACTATAGCAAAGACTCCGTCTACCAGAGCCGAGTCTCATACTGACTGTTCTAGGCGCAATTTCATCAGTAGAAGTTGTCAACATAGACGTCAGAGTTGCTTAAATGAGAAAAAAAAAGATTAAGAGTTTTATATAGATGAATTATTTGTTTCATTTTTATCTTTATTTTTTGGCTTATGCTTCTCCTTTGAAGATGAATCTATCCATCAATTAAATTTATTAGATTGCTTGTAAAAGACTCCCGGCTGTAATTTTTTTTAAGAAAAAAAAATAGCTAAAAGTCATTGTTTGTTTTAAATGTTAGTTATCTTTCTCCTTATTTGATTTTTTCATTATTTAGTATCAGGGTACGAGTGGCGTTTCTATTATATCTCTACGGTGTTGCAGAGACCCAATTCCAGTTTATTAATTATATCTATAATCTCTACTTGGTTGAGAATCATCGAACATATTAAAGTTATGAAGATATTCGAGAAGAATTTAAAAATTTATTTCATGTTGAGATAATATAGATAAAAGGAACAAAAGGCTAAAATGGCATCTAATTTCATCCAAACGGTAAATAAAGGCGAAGAAAGCTTCCACATTTATGTGTCCAATAAAGTTTTAACATTGGATACTTTATAGCAAATTAGAACTCATTGACTTGATACATAACATAAAATGATTATTGAGCCATCATCATTACTATCAACATTATTTGTGAATTTGACTTTCAAACAATGGATAACGTAAACGCATTAAATCTGATAAATATATACATATACAAAATATAAATATATACTCCCCTCCTTTTTTTTTTCATCCACGTTTTCTCTTGTGTCCAGAAGAGTTTTATTTATATTGTATACATATTGAGCTGGTTTGGATGAATTTGGTGAATAAATTACTTTAACTTTATTTGAACACATAGTAAATAATAGTAAAGACAATTGATGCAAAGGTTTAACTTACAGCCTCCCCCTCCTACCCTCGTCCCCTTATTTTATTTATGATAACGGAGAATTCTAATGTTACGTGCTGTTTATTACTGAACAAAAAAATCAATCGAAGATCTAGTTGTAATTTAAGTAAGAAACAAAAAAAAAAAAAAAAAACTATATCGTACATAATTATATTTAAATCGATCCTTGAAGTCATGATAATGATTACTATTGTTCTATGCATTATTTAAATGTAAGAAGAGCTAATTTATGCAATGACCAAATCATGTATTGGTAGTAGTATTCTATAAAGGAATTAATTCCGAGGTAGATTACATGACATAAACTAGAATTATATTATTTCTGATACTCCTCTTTTACATTTGTGACTGTAATGACAATGTTTATATAAAAAAGTCCATTCACCTACCCCTGTACACGCTATTTATTTTTTCCTTTTCCTTTTCCTTTTCCTTTTTTTTTTTATTAGAAATGGATTGCCATATTGATCATTTAGCTATTAACACTATTCGTTGCCTTGCTGCTGATGTAGTTAAGGGAGCTAACTCAGGTCATCCTGGTAAACGCATTAAAAATTTATTGCTATGTTTTCTCTCTGCTAATTTTTTTTTAAAGGCGCTCCAATGGGTTGTGCTCCAATAGCACACGTCTTATTCACCAAGTTTTTAAATTTTAATCCTAAAAATCCAAAGTTCATTAATCGAGATCGCTTTGTGCTTTCTAATGGTCATGCATGTGCTCTTCATTATATCATGCTTCATTTATCTGGTTATGATCTTTCAATGGATGATTTAAAGCAGTTTCGTCAACTTGGTTCCAAGTAAGTTAGTTATAAATGTAGACAAAAAAAAAAAAAAAAAAATTAGGGCGCAATATTATTGGTTTAAAAGAATATAGATCTGATAAGACTCTAATAAAGACAGATATACTAATCGCTTTCTCTTTTTTTTTTCTTCTATTATTATAAAGAACACCCGGTCATCCTGAAGTAAGTGATACTCCTGGTATTGAAGTAACAACTGGTCCCTTAGGTCAAGGTAATAATAAAATTTTATATCAAATAGATAGAAACATGACAACTTTAATCTTTTTTTTTCTTATTATTCATAGGTATTGCTAATGCTGTTGGTTTAGCTGCAGCCGAAGCCCATTTAGCAGCTACGTATAATCGTCCAGGATTTAAACTCTTTAACCGTCATGTTTATGCTATTTTTGGTGATGGCTGTTATCAAGAAGGTATCTCACATGAAGCATTTTCTCTTGCAGGGTAAAGTAGATAACGATCATATTTATAATTTTTTATTTCTCATTATTATTATTTTTTTTCTTTTAACTAGTCACTGGAAACTTGGTCAATTGATCGCAATTTATGATTACAATAAAATCACTATTGATGGTCCTACCGATATTTCCTCCTCAGAGGATGTTATCCAACGTTTCCAATCTTATGGTTGGCATGTACTTGTTGTTGAAAATGGAGATGAAGACCTTGCTGCCATTGAAAGGGCTATTGAAGAGGCTAAGGCTGTTACTGATAAGCCTACACTTATTAAAGTCAATACGACAATTGGTAAAAAAAAAAAAAAAAATATAATCCATAGCTAATATTGTTGTTTAGGTTTTGGATCTTTAAATCAAGGTAAAGAAAATGTTCACGGTGCTCCTCTTTCAGGTATTTTTTTTTTCAGAAAAAAAAAGCATTTAATATTGAGTAATATAATTTATAGATAATGATATCAAGCAGTTGAAAAAAAAATTTGGCTTCAGTGAAGAAAAAAAATACATTGTTCCTCAAGAGGTTGAAAAAGCATGATTATTATTATTACAGAATTCATTTATACTTAATATTATGTTTATAGGTCTATAATTTATATAAAGCTCGTGCGGAATATGGAGCTCAGGTTGAAGCAAAATGGAACGCCTTGTTTGCAGAGTACAAGATTCGATTCCCAAAAGAAGGAACTGAGCTTGAACGTCGCTTTTCTGGTCAATTACCTGTAGGCTGGGAAGCTGCTCTTCCTCGTTTTACTCCCTCAGATCCTGCTATCGCCACTCGAAAGTTATCTGAAGGTGTCTTAACTGCGCTTTCAACTGTTATTCCTGAATTATTGGGTGGTTCTGCTGATCTAACAAGCTCGAACTTGACGCGTTGGAAGAACGCAATTGATTTCCAACATGTAAGAGAGAGAGAGAGGAGTATGATAAAAGAAATTGATCTAATTGAATTTTAAATTAGCCATCCACTCAACTTGGTGATTATTCGGGCCGCTACTTCCGCTATGGTGTTCGTGAACATGGTATGTTTGCCATTATGAATGGTTTAACTGCTTTTGGAGGTAATATTCCTTACGGTGGCACATTTTTAAATTTCCTTACGTATGTATAAATAAAACATGAATATACATTTTTTTTTTTTTTTTTTTTTTACTAATGCAGTATATATTTTTGTAATATTTATACACAAATAGATATGGATGGGGAGCTGCTCGTCTTTCAGCTTTATCGCATTTCCGAGTTCTCTATGTTATGACACATGATTCAATTGGTCTTGGTGAAGATGGCTCTACTCATCAGCCTATTGAGACTTTGGTCTTGACTCGTGCTACACCCAACATGCTTACCTTCCGTCCTGCTGATGGTAATGAAGTTTCTGGTACCTATTTAGTTGCTCTTAAAAATCAACATCGACCCTCTGTGATTGCACTTAGTCGTCAAAACCTACCTCAATTAGAAGGAACCTCTGTTGAAGCTATACAACGTGGAGGATACGTCCTTCAGGATACTCAAGACCTTCCTCAATTAATCTTAATTGCTACAGGTTCTGAAGTCTCCTTAGCTGTAGATGCTGCCAAGGAACTTAATAATGAAGGAATTCAGACCCGCGTTGTCTCCATGCCTTGTACTGAACTCTTTGATGAACAGTCCGATGAATACAAGAAGAGTGTTCTCTTGAATGGTGTTCCCATTATTTCTATTGAAGCCCTTAGTGTGACTGGATGGGAGAAATATGCTCATGCACATATTGGTATGAAATCATTCGGAGCCTCTGCTCCTATTAACGCCTTATATGAAACATTTGGTATCACTGTAGATGCAACTGTAGCTAAAGCAAAGAAGGTTATTAAATATTATCAAAAGATGGGTTATGTTCCTGAAGTTGGACTTGATTTTTAAATAAATAATTTTTTTTTTCCTTTTCTTTCCTTTTCTTTCCTTTTTCTTCCAACTTATTGTTTCTAAGATAAAACTCAGTACATTGTTACTGAGAATAAAATATTTATAAAATTTGCCAAAATATTATCAGATTGATTAGTAAGACGCGAATGCTACTTTGTTTATAATAGTATTTACATGCTTATATCAACTTAATTTTTTTGTTGTTGTTGTTGTTGTTGTTTTTTTTACTTGAATAAATATTGAAAATAAAAAAAATATTATAATGAGTTTATATAAGTATATACTTGTTTGTTAAATAATTTATATTATCGTTTTGCTGTTTATCTTGGATTTATTATTTATATAATTTTCTATTTTTCGTATAATTCTCCGCAGTCGATAAGAAAAAAAAAAAAAAAAAAAAAAACATATAAATTCGTTATTCGTGTTCCAACTCGTTTTTTTTTACTATCTTTATTTTATTTTATTTTATTTTTATTTTTTTTATAATAAATTTCGAATAATAATTATAATCATGGTAAGTGAATATATAACTTGAGAGAGAGAAAAAAAAATGGAGGGCGAGGAGTGAGAATATCTTTTGTTCACCTAGAAATGTGATTATAGACTATCTCTGTTGGTGACTCTCTTCCTGATGTTAATCTTACCTATGTTCCTTATGAACCTAACCGTGACCCTATGGCTTGTCCTATTCCTATCAAGTACAACCTTCATAAAGAGCTTAAGGGTAAGAAAGCTGTTATCTTTGCCATCCCTGGTGCTTTCACACCTCTTTGTTCTGAACAACATGTCCCTGCCTTTTTACAAAAGTATGATGAATTGAAGAAGAAGTCTGTTGATGTTGTTATTTGCACAGCAGCCAATGATGGTTTCGTCATGTATGCCTTTGGACAACATATGGGAACTCAAGATAAGATCATCATGACCTCTGAAGGTGGTTCTGGATTTTTTGAAAAGATGGGTTTGACATTGGATTTGACAGCTATGGGATTAGGTATTCGTTCTCAACGATTTGCAATGATTGTGGATGATCTTAAAGTTACTTATCTTGGTGTTGATCCCTCTGGTCTTGAAAAATCTGGACCTGATGCTGTTCTTGAGAATTTGTAAAAAAAAAAAAGAAAAATAAAAAAATAAAAAAGAGAGAAAAAATATTCTAAATTAGCTAATAATAAAGTAGCATTATAGTTCTTTTTTTATATATTAATAAAGTAAAATTCTTTTCTAAAGTCAATAAACATTATCCTATTTTTATTAGATATTTTGGCGCACTTTGTTTGTATATTGCTAAAATGTCTTTAAAAAAAATATTTATTTTTATTTTTATTTTATTTTTTTAAAAAAAGTAGTAATACCTGTTACGGGCATAATGTCGGTATATTAATTTCGCATTAAAAAAAAGAAAAAAGAGTGATTATTAATACATCTAAAATATGATTTACTACCTTGGTCATTTTGCAGTAAAGAGGGAACTGTATGTATCTGTGTGTGTGTGTGTGTGTGTGTGTGTGTGTGTGTTTAATTTGATATTTCAACTTTTTCAGTAGAATAGTCTTGCTCTTTTGTTGTATCGATTCTTAGATGGTCATTATCAATATGAGTGAACGAGCATTGTTCAAATCTTTTCTTAAAATCCCATACACTTTGATTACAATCATTTTTAACATTATTTCTTATTTCTAATCTATGACTACTACTAGCGTTATTAGTGAATGGAATATAGAGTGAGTCTTCATTCATAAAAGTAGTAGACTGAGAAGAGATTTCAAGTTTCTGTTGCTTCGTAAAGATCCTTTGTCTCCAGTCTGTTAGACTCTTTTTAACGATATTGTATACACTCTGTTTCTTGTAGCTAATACTGGATTGATCCATATGAGTTGCAGCCACTACGTTGTTGTTGTTGTTATTATTCATAAATCTTTGCTGTTGCAAGCATAGCGAAGGAGAATAACATCGATTTACATTGTAATCTCGTACTACTCTTCTTCTATTATCCAATTTCAAATCATCTTGTTGTGTATAATTCATCGATAATGGATGAACCAAGTCTATAGGTATTTCCGCCACAACCTCTTTTAGTCTATAAATATACCAAAATATATAAATATATATTAGAATAGTTTATTATCTTCTGATCATGCATATTAGATGACCTCTTTGAAAAATAGATCATAACTCGTATTAAGAATGAAACATGAATTAGATTTTGTTGACTATGGATAGTGGCTTGATTAGGCTATAATAGAAATATGCCATTAAATACATAGACATACGCACACACACACACACACACACACACTTATATATATATGTATATATAATTATAGAAAAATAAAAATAAAACATACGGGTGCCTCAATGACTGTCGTCCTATTATCTCTCTTATTTGCCTTCAATGGCTTCCACTGATTCATTTTAACCAATGAAACAGATGAAATAACTTCAGAAAATGATGAATCCATCAAATAAGGAGAGGTTAAACAAAATATGTCTTGCTTGCGTACTAGTTCCAATTTTATATCATGAATCTACACAAGTATTTAATAAAATGAAATAATGAGTGTGGTGTCTATACACACTCTATAAAACCTTCCCTTCCTCCTCCTCACACTCTCGAGTCTTATTCACTTTTTACTGACTGTAGTTTTATGGGTATGATTCTCTACTTGAATCATAAGATATATAGGGCTACCCGAGATCCAAATAGTACGATGCATAGATATATGAATCTTTACTTGACCTCCCTTTTTATCCTGTATTTGTTTGTAGCATATAAAAGGTGATGATAGTTCTCTTAAATACGTTGCTATTAACATATTAGGATAAACAATGACAGGTTGTTTTGTGATGAATGGCTCTTCTTTCGATCCTTGATTATAAAGCTCGCTTTTCAAAAAGTATTGAATAGATCCTTTTTTATCATTCAAAGTTCCATTTAATTTCGATGGCAATACTATTGAAAAAGGTACATTGATAGTAGTAGTAAATGATTGTGACATGATCATTTTAGCTAGACTAACAATTTCAATTTTTATGAATTGAAAGGTCTTTCTATCATGAGAACTACATGTAATTACTATCATCGTAGAATATCATTAAACAAGATTATGTATATATATATATATATATATATATTGAATAAACAGTACCTTCTTGACCAATAAAATAAAGCCTAAATTCCACAGAATAATTATTGGGTACTGCTGAACAATCATCATTTAATCGAACCTCTACTGTACCTGCAAGTTCACTATTTGCTAAAATATATGGAGAATTCAAGTGAATATAAACTTGTTTCTTTGATAATGTCCATGCTGTGTGTTTATTTATGTTGTATAGACTGGATATGATATCTCTTTGTATTCCATTACATTTCGTTAATAAGTCATCTTCTGGACATAAACGACAAGAGACTTCAGTTTTAATCATATCCTCTTTTTGTTCTTGTCTTAAAAGTGAAGTCATTTTATTATTTTTGATAGGTACAATCGCAAGTTGTAAAGCAGAGCACCATGGAGATATTTTTTTTGATTGAGAACGTGATTTTCTACTACTTATGTTTCTCTGGTTGTTTGTTTGTAATAGCATATTTTAGTGTATTTATTATAACAGAAGAGAAAGAGAGAGAGAGAGAGAGAGAACGTAGGCTATCATCTTGAACTTCCCCCCTTTTTTTATATAAATATGTATATTATTTATTTATTTTGCCGTATTCATTTATTTATTTATTTTGTTCGCTATTTTTAAGCACATACAAAGCAAAATGTAAATGCACATACAAGTATGCAGCATCTAATTTTCATTAGGACTGTAGTTAGAAAAAAATAAAAAATAAAAAAAGATCTCTAATTATACATAAAAAAAAAAAACTTCTTTTTCACTTTTTCTTTTATTTTTTTTCCTTCTTATTTTTTTTTTCTTTAAATATATAAAACGTCTATATAATGTATTTAAACCGAATTATATCAAGTTTGCAATGTATTCGCTTATTGATATTGGTAACAGCAGTCATGATTGTCTTTGGTTCACTTAGCTTTTATAGTTCGAATTCTATTTCTCTACCTATGGCAGCCATAGAGAATAAGATGGAGGACGTTCATACATGGATGATTCAGACAATATCAGATCGTCGACTTATCTCAACCCTTGTCGCTTCACAGGCGTCTATATTTTATCCATTCTTTATTTTATTCAATCCTATTCAAAAGATATCTTTCATTGAATTAGTTTGCCAGCTTTTAATGTCCTGTGGTTTGAGCTTTAGTTGGTTATTTTCAATCTTATTTGATTTAAAATCAACTGATTTAGTCTTGGATAACCTATGTTTATCACAAGCAAATTGTGAATTATTCATCTTTGTCTATGGGCTTAAGTTTGTGATTGTAGGACTATTGATCATCGAAACAAGTTTAGTTCTGGCTCAGTTACTGTTAACAATGACAACTGATAACAGTAGGATTCAATTACCGTTAGATAGTGATAATAATGAAAAATAGCATAATAATTATAATAAAAAAAAGAAATTTATCTGTAAGAATTCTACACATTTAATTTATCATTTGTCTTTACTACTACTACTAATACTTCTTCTTCTTCTCTCTCTTATTCTTTTTTACTGAATGCATGTATAAAACAGCAAGTGTATATATTAACTGATCCTATATCTTTATCCTTGCGCATGTATATACGTTACTTGAATAGAGCAGCCTTTTGTCTTTTCTTTTCTTTTTTGAGATTCTTACTCTTCTCCAATTAAACAGTTAACTTTTTCTTTTTAATAGTCACCTTTTTTTTCCCCCAATTACCATGGATATGGTTACTTTGTGTGTTTATTTTTTTTTTTTTTTATTTGTTTATTTACATAAATTTTATGTAATAAACGCAACAGTAGTCGTCTGTCAAAAATCTATTTTGTATATAAAAAGTAAAAAAAAAAAAAAAAAAAAAAAAAAAAAAAAAAAAAAAAAAAAAAAAAAAAAAAAAAAATCAATAAACAATAATAATAAAAAGTTAAATAATTTTATTTTTTAGACACTATTTTATGCATACTCTATTTTTTTTTCTTTTTTTTTTTTTTTTTTTTTTTTTTTTTTTTTTGATTATAATACAATTGCTTTACTTTTTACAAAGCTTATATTTTTACTAGTTTCAAAGCAAATAAAAAGCTTTATTTTTTTTGCATCTAATATTTTAAAGTCAGTCACGAGTAAAAAAAAAAAAAATTCATAGATACAGAGGAGAATCATGTTTTTTTTTTCTTAAACCTTCTTTTATCTTATTAGTCATTTATTCTTTATTTCTTTCTTTATATTATATATACATATACATATATATATTTATTTATTTAGAGAATAAAGAAAAATGAGTGCAGGAACACGTCAAAATCAATCAAGATATTGGTGCCATGTATGTAATGAAGAAGTGCCCATTTATATGGCACCAGACCCAACTTGTCAACGATGTAATGAACAGTTTATTGAAGAAGTAAGTAACAATTAAAAAATATGTCATGTACACATGTATATATATATGAGTGTATGTATTTATATATATATTAATATTTTGGGGGAGAATAGCTCAACAATGAAGATGATCCTCGAGAATTTCTTGTAGGGGCTGATAATACAACAAATGAAGAAAATAGAGGTGGACAAACTATTCACTTTGGAGATGGTATTGGCTCAGCACATTTTTTTACTTACTCACCTTCTACGGGTAGACTTAATAATCTAAATAATAATAATAATAATAATAATAATAATAATAATACTACGAATGGAGGTGAAGTTGGAGATGATATATTTCAGTTCTTTACACCACCAAGGCCTCGTTCATCTTCTACTGATGAAGACAATAACACGAATAGAAATACCAATAATCCACTAGGAAATTTGGTTCAAAATGTATTAAATAGTATGTTGGGTTCAGCAAATATCGATATTACACCAGAACAAAATCAAAATGAAGATCCAAATCGACCTATCATTTTCTTTGGCAATATGGTAGATGGAAATATGCGTTTCCAACCTATGCCAGGTGGTATGCCTACTACTACCAATAATAACACCAACACGAATGAAGAAGGAGGAAATAATAATAATAATAATAATAATAATGAAAGAAATGAAGAAAATAGAGGAAATAACATTGCAAGGTAAATGAATATATAGCATGAGTATACATATACATATACATTTACATACACATATACATATATCCATAGTATATTGCAATTGTTATCAGCTATGACGGGTGGAGCTATTGATGGTGGATTAGTGGGTAATCCAAATGATTATGTATTTTCACAGACTGCCTTGGACAATATTATTACCCAATTAATGGAACAAACTGGAGGGTAATAAAATTGGTATTTCTAATCTATAAATACATGTTGTAATAATGTAATGTATTATTATTAGAGCATCAGCACCTCCGCCTGCACCTGACCATGTTATTGAATCACTTACAAAGAGACATTTAAATGAAAAAGAAAAGAGTAATTTAAAAGAAAAAAAAAACTGAATCGTAATTTTCTTATTTATATTTTATGGATAGGCCAAGAAACTGACTGCGCTGTATGTAAAGACCAATTTGGAGTAGAAGAAGAAGTGATTGAACTTCCTTGTGATCATATATTTCACGATGAATGTATTAAACCATGGTTAAAATTGAATAGTACCTGTCCTGTATGGTAAAGTGTGTGAATGAATTGATATGTATACACATTTATATATATATATATTTTTAATGTTTATGTTTCTTTTTTTTTTTGCTGTTAGTCGACATTCTGTGTTATCTGATCAACAGCAACAAGAATCAAGTAATGAGACTAATAGACAGCAAAATAGCAATGAATCCACTACTAATCCTAATCCACAAAATACTTCACAAGAACAAACTGCTGATAATAATCCAAATGTTAGAACGTTTTCCTTTAATAGTGGAAACGGTAATAATGTTTCAGGCGTTGTTATTGGATCATATCAACATTCACCATCTGATTCACAGCAACAACAAACCAATCCTACTAGCTCATGGCCTTTAAATTTATCTGCTGCATTTCCTTGGATTAATAATTTAACAAGACAACAAGGATCTAACACTACTACTACTACTACTACCACTGCAGAGGATGAACATAACACGAATATAGAGTCAACATCAACTGAAGAAAGGGCTGGACATAATACAGAATCATCATCATCATCAACAACAACAACAGCAGAAGGATCTTCTTGTAATGATAATAATCAAACGACTACAGTTAACAAAGACAACAATGCAACTGAATCTTCCACTAGTCATAATAACATCAATACCAACTCTAATAATACTGAATCCTTTCATTTAGACGATGATCTTGATCTTGATTAAATAGTAGTAGTAGTAGTTATATATATGTATTATACACTTATATATGTAGCAGTATTTAGCTCCTCTGTTTTGAACTTGTGACAGCAGATATATTCTATATACATATAAAAAAGAATAAAATAAAAGACATATATTCCACTTTTTATATCTGTATATGTATATGTGTATATAAAAAAGTGGGGTAGGGGGAAGGGGAAAAAAAAGGGTATGTATATGTATTTGTACATAATATATCTATGCTTAATGTTGACTACGACGAGTATTAGACAATGTTTTGAATTTTGATTTAAGGGATGAAATGACAAGATAGGTAGATGTAAGAAGAATGAAAAGACTTGTCATAATTGAGTATATACAACCATATTTAATATTTCTTGAAGCATTTAAAACTGTCTAATAAAAATATGAATATAAATAAATACACAAGACCTGGGTTTTTTATTTTTATTCAATTTAACTCGACTTACTGTAAAAGAGGCACCATAATGAGATGAAATGACCCAAATTATCTTTAGCCAGCCTTTTATTTGAGGTAGCTCACTGAAACCTTCAAAAGAGATTATCATCCAGCAAATGTGCATTAAAGAGAAAAAAGTAGTTGTTATAGCAGACATAAAATAGATGGTTATTTCAGGACAAGAAGGACACATGATGACGCCAGGTCCTATTGATTCCACAAGTAAAGATATATAACTAATCAAGGAAGTCATCAAAGCATATCCAAATCCAGAAACTAAAAAAAAAAAAAAAAAAAAGATCAGTATTTACAATTCTAGAGTATAACCTAATGGGTCATTACCAAAGGCAAAAGTGGTTCGATTAAAAGGTGATTTCGGATTAGATGATATTGTATTTAATCCAGATTCTGCACGACGTAACAATAAATAAAAACCCCATCTACAAAGTTCTTGAATAGCTATACTATATGTAATGCTCACAAAATGAATAGTTTGTGCTCCTTTTGCAAGATACCAGATAATGCTTGATAAGAGTAATGCTATTAAGCAAAAGAAAGCACTAAAGTTGATTAATTGATTAGTCTACTTGTTATCATGTAAGTTTAATCTACATGAACCTGGCTACTGTTAATAATACATATTGCGCATTAGGAGCAATATACAAGAAAAAGATGGATAGAAGAGGACCATAAGCTAAAAACAGACATCCAAAAAATGTGTAGAGTGACATTGAATAATATAAAAAGTAAAATGGTAACTATTTTTATTCATTTTTTTTTTTAGGTAAAAAAAAAAAAAAATAAAATAAAAAATAAAATAAAGTAATATAAAACAAAATAAAAATAAAACGCATTACATAAGCAATAGCTTATTTGTTTGGATAATTCCCACATACTACATTTAGAATAATAGTATAAGAAACGTATAATGAAAATAGATAGTAGTGGTAAAACACGTCTTTCTATTTACTCTATAGAAACTAAATAAGCCAATAACAGAAACAGTCTACATCTTCTATCAATAAAAGTAGTAACACTAACTATGTATGTCTTTTCTTTTATTTAACTAATTTTTTTTTTATTATCCAATCAGAAATAAAACTCATAATTGACTATCTTTTAAGCGGTTACGCGAGCAAAAAAAAAAAAAAAAAAAAAAAAAAAGAAAAAGAAAAAGAAAATATTTTTTTATTTTTTTTCCTTTTTATTTAAAGTTGAAAATAAAATAAACATGGATCGTAATAATCGTTTTCCACCCTATGATAGAACACCTCCAAGACAACAACAACAACAGCCACTTTATGGAGGAATTCCACAACAACAGCCACAAAACTTTCGTCGTGATGAATATGATGGTGGTAATCAAAGTGGAAACATGAGTCGTAATAGAGGAGGAGGGGGTGCTATGAGAGATCATAGAGGAAGGCGAGGTAATAATGACAATAAGCCATACAATAAAAGAGGACACCGTTCTGGTAACTTTAAAGGAAAAAATGAGTATCAAGATGAAGCTGATCAATATGGTAAGCCCTTTTTTTATTCTTAATGAGTTCACATTCATGTTGAGAACTTTTCTTGATGATGAGAGAAAAAGTTTCAAGTCTTTTCCTATCCCTTTTTTTATTTTATTATAAAACATCTTACAACTATTTTCAGGATATGATGATGATAATTCACGTTTACCTCCTCATATTGAATCAAGAGTAGCCCGAGAAAAGCCTTGTAGAACATTATTCGTAAGAAATGTTCAGGTAAATAATTTATCACAGCTCCCTTTATTTTTTTAAGAAGATGAAAATAATTCATGTCAAACTTAGTATAATACTCCTGAGAATGAGATTAGAGCTTTGTTTGAAAAATATGGTGAAGTGAAAGATGTATTTAATTTAATTGAAAATAGAGGCATGATTTTTATTACCTATGTAAGTTTTATTCAATTCATTTTTATACTTTAATCCCTAGTCTTTATTGATTTATTTCCCTTCTTTCTTAGTATGATGTTCGTGCTGCTGAGGATGCTAAGAAAGCAATGCAGGGAGTATATTTAAGTGATAGAAAAATTGATGTACATTATTCTTTACCAAAAGAAGAGGAGGAAAAAGCAAGATGTGATAGAACTAAGAATCAGGTATATATATCGATATACGCACATATAATTTTTAATGTTTATTTGAGAGATCATAAGTGTGAACATTTTTTTTTTTGTTTGTATGTGCAAAAAAAAAAAAAAAAAAAAAAAAAATACATATATTAGGGTACTTTACTTTATACTCTTAAGAATTCAAGTACTGAGTTAGATGATAATGAGTTACATACATTTTTCTCTCAATTTGGTGAAGTTAAGGCTATTCGTGTACCCCATTTCAAAAAAAGTACAGCTCATCATTATAACCCAAGTGAAAGGTATATGAAGGAAAATGTTATTTATTGAAAAAATGTATTTTAAGTGTAGTCTTTTAGAAATCAGCAACGATTAGTTGAGTTTTATGATTCAAGAGCTTGTGTTGATGCATATGATGCAACTTATGATAAAGAATATAAGGGCGGTAAATGGGATGTTGCATTCTTTTGGGATCATCCATATAAGGAACGTGCTAATGCCCATATGAGAAGGGAAAAAAATCAAGATAGAGGAGATGATGGTAGAGGTAGAAAGCGTAATAATAATGAGCCTCCAATGAGACATAGTAGTCGTGACAATTATAACATGTATCGTAATGAAGATAATAGTCGTTATCCTCCTCCTCCTCCTCTTCCTCCCATTTCCTCGCATTATAGTAACCTAGATCCTAGATTACAATATAATCCATCACTTTCGCAACAACAACCATCTAATTTTGCTGGACCGTCAACTATTATGCCTGATGGACAGAGACTTGAACAAGCGCAGAAAGCGCAACAAATATTATCAATGTTAGCTCAAACACAGCAACAACAACAACCACAACATGCTCTACAGCAGCCAGTAGCTACTTCACTCACATCTCCTTTCCAACCCACAAATATTCAATCACCTCCTGTTCAACAACAAGCGCCTTCAATAGCTTCATTTGTTCAACCCGTTCCTCCTACAGAGGACCAAGCTTCTCAAGTTCAACAGTTGCTAGGTTTATTGGTAAGAAGAAAAAAAAAAAGCATGATGTATGTATATAAGCAATTCTATTTTATACTCATTTTTTTTTTAAAAAAAATTATAGAATCAAGCTGCTCAGCAACAGCAACAGCAACAGCAGCAGCAACAACAACAGCCACCACCAGTACAGCCACAAGCTGTTATGCCATCTAACGTAGCTCCTATCCCTGGTATGGATCCTGCAACTGCTTTGTCTCAATTAGCTGCATTGATTCAACAGCAACAACAACACCAAAACCAATAAGATATATATATCTGTGTGTGTATTTATTCTATAGCTTTTAGTTACAAGTTAACATTAGTTATAGTTTTAAGCCTATATAAAAAAAATGTATTATATAAGCAAACTATGTATTTTTTTTTTCAGCGCAACCCGCAATCTAGATGAATGGATACTTGTGTGATAAAAATAGTTACAAAATATTTTTGACGTTTTTTTTTAGTAGTAGTTTGGGCTTAAAAAAAAAAAAAAAAAAAAAAAAAAAAAAAAAAAAAAAAAAAAAAAAAAAAAAAAAAAAAAAGAAACCCTCCAAAAATAGATTAAGCGTGTAAATCCTCTTTTATGACATCTAGTCTTCTATAAGTATTCTTTCCCTTTTCTTTCTTTCTCTCTCTCTCTCTTTTTATTTTCATTTCTTTTAAATAATGAACACTATTTATTCCCAACAACAACTTTATAACACAGATAAGAATCCTGCTTTGAATAAAACATCGTCTTCTTATTCACAACAGCAAACATCCTATATGAAACATAAACGTCCTTCTATCAAAGATCAATTATTAGATGATGATGATTCTTTAGCTAGTTCTAGTAGTGATGAATCTATTATAGACGAACCTCCAACAACGAACCATGTCGATTGTTATCATGTCAGTACTGAGCATAAATTCTGGCAAGCACATTCCAGTATGACTATCATTGCACCGCCTATGGTATCATCTAATAGCTATCATAGGTCATCTTTTCCTATGAAGAAGAAGCAACCTACCTTAGCTGTGCAAGTCAAGCAGATCTTGGGAACTACTTTTGATGAAACTGATTCAGAAATTGAAGCAGAATGGAATAAAAGTAGAACTAAATTAAGTAGTGTCTTGAACAATTGATTGTAAATGTACCATAATAATATGTATTTAAACTATTAAGTGTAACCATTAATATTGCCTAAATAAATTTTTTACTATATTAAAATCCAGGAGTAAGTCATTATTATTATTATAATATTGAAATCCTAAATAAGCTACTAGTAACCTTTCTTTATTATTACGTACCTGACTCAATATAATAACCCTATTCTATCCTTTCTTGTCATAGAGACAAAAAAAAAAAAAAAAAGGGGGCGGGTCGTTGTTTTAACATTTGATCTACCGCATTACAGACCGTGTTCACGTTGTCAATTTTACGGCAGAGATGATATAAATCGACAAAGGACGTATTTTAATGGTGTGTATATAAGTGTGCATGTATGTTTTTTTTTTTTTTTTTTTTTTTTTTTTTTTTTTTTTTTTTTTTTTTGCCCATCATTCTTTACTTTCTACTCTAGATTCAAATAGCTGCATGAATGATGCACTATTTCTTTTTTTTTTTCTTCTTGTATAAATAAAATCATGACTAGCTTAAACAAAATGTATCCATATCCCTCCTCTTCTTCTTCTTTTTTTTTTAAACAGATAAAAGACTATAATAAAGTTATTTTGCTTTTCACGTGTATGTTTTGTTTTATTTTAAGCTTAAAAAAAAATGAAAAAAATAAAAATAAAAGTATTAGATAAAATGATATATTTTAGATAGAAAACAACAAGATAATCAACTTTAAGCTTGCTTTTCAGCTGTAAACTCTCCTAAACTTATAAGCCATATTATCCAAGTAGAAATTAGATACACTATCTTTAGGCTTAGCTATACATCATCAGCTACTACAAATAAATGAGTCTTTAAGGGGGGGGAAGTGGAGGATAAACGTAAATTGTTAATGAAATGTTAGACAAGAATATGCAATCAATTATAGCAACACAACTATTAATATATCCTTTAACTATTTCTTAATTCCAGAATACTTTTTGAAGTCTATAATAACTTTTTCCCTTCCCTACTGTTATCATTTGATTTGATTTAGTGGATTCTTAAATTTTGTTACTAAGAATATCTTTGAAACAATAAAGATTTTTTTTTTTTTTTTAATGATGACGATGTGAACACTATCAATATCTCTGCATACTTATTTATGTGTTCCAAGTACCAAAAAAAAATAAAAATCGGCACGTAAACTTTTTACCCTTTACTTGCTTCTTTAAACATGAACAATCATGTTGACTTACAAACACTACACAATACCTAAATACTGTTGAACTCAAAAAAAAAAAAATGCCTGCACAATCAAATGAAAATAAGTCTAAATATGAAAACACCACATATACTAATATGATTTAATAGAAGGATTAATTTTGTAAGGGCGTTAAATATTTATCCAAGTCATTCACCAAAAAACTAATAAGCTCAGAATCTTCTTTCGAATCCAGTACACAATGATTGCATGACTGACTTTGATTAACGACAGGTAAATTGTTCTCTAAAACAAACGACGGTTTTATTTCTGTTGGTGAATTTTCTGCTAAACTATTTTCAAGTTGTAGTGTTGATAAAGCTGGGCTTTCTGATGGTGATCTAGTATCGTCTTCATAAACCTCTTGTAAATGACTTGCAACACATGAACAACTTTTAATAACTTCACAAAGACAGCCATTAATGGGATTGGGTGCTAAAAAAAATATATATAAATATAAACCATAGATAAATGTATACATCTATATACAACTTACTCCTTGCAATAGCACATGTGCATTTAACATGAGTGCGATTTGTTTTCCTCAAGTCTCGACAATGATTACATTGGCTTACTTGTCTACCTCTCTTTACTATCTGTATTAATTTTCGATCATTATGATTACATTTCTTTACACGATGACCCCTTATACATGAACCACTAAAATGTTAAGAATTAGATGATTTATAATGTGTTATTTGGTGTAATGTAGTTACCAAGCATATTTTACATTATTAATTATTATAGCCATTTTATGAAAAGCTTTATTTTGTTTTTATTTGTTGATAAATGAAAAAAAAAAAAAAATAAAAAAAATAAAGTGTGTTTCACTCTTTTTTTTTTTTAAAAAAAAAAATATATCATTGTCCATACAAGTCAAATTTCTTATTTGATAACATGTTGTTTTCTTTCTTTCTTTCTAATAAATAGGTGTACAATTTGAAACAAGCTAGCAAGAGAGGTCATCTTCATGACAAGTAAGGAAATACAAAGTCCGTAGTAACAAAAATCTTATTCTTTAACATTGGCAAAACAATATAAGCGATACAATTTAAAGAAATTTACAACTTACTAGCTAACGAACGAACTAACAAAAAAAAAAAAAAAAAAAAAGGGATATTGAACTGTACATCAGGAAGCTTATTAGAAATAATAATAATGTTGTATTTTGAAGACAGTAGATAATATACTGCTTCGTGAACAGTGGTACAGTAGGATGCTTAGGACACCAAAGTTGAATAAATCCCAGCTAGTCCATCCAAGATGCTAACAAATACATCGATTATATTCATGGGGATAGCCAAAGAATGAGACCTACTCATATAGTCAGTCAAGCATTCTATCAATAATTCCTGCGCTTCAGAAAAAGAATTTAGTTATATTCCAACCATTTGAATGAGTAGAATCAAGGCTACAGGAGCTTATTCGAATCCTTTACTACTATTACTGCTACTACTACCATCATCATCAATAGTAGAAAGTTTGATTCATTGTTGGTAGGGATTCAGTGGTATTATAGGAAAGAGACTTTATGTTATCTATAGAATCACTTGGACTGAATGGTATCACAAAATAAGAAAAAAAAAGAAATTGGCCTTTTGAACTGGAAGACTATGTATATATTCAGCTAGTTGAAACTATCTATTGTGTACATCATATACATATATACTTTCTTTTTATACAGTTCTTGTAATCTATCTTGTTTATCTGCATAGAGCAATAAGATCAACAGAGAAAAAAAAAAGGTGTCTTATTCAATCCCGCAGCGGAAAATGAATGTTGAATTCACCGCAAACGTCTCCTCTACCACCCTGGCTTCCCTTCCACCTTTTTTTTTTTTTTTTTTTTTTTTTTTTTTTTTTTTTCTAATTTCATAACTAAATTAAAATGTTTGGTGTCATTAGATCAATTCCAAGAGGAGCTAGTCGTTTACCGTTAACAGCAAAGAAAGGGCATAACTTTTATAAAGGTATTTCATAATAAAATTTTGGGAAGCAATTCATTAATTATTATTTTCTTTCTTATTAGGTACTGGTTCGGGTGCCATGGGTCGACACACAAAACATGGAGGATATATGATTGATTGGAATAAAGTTCGAACATTTGTTGTGCCAGATCTTGAGAATTTCAATGTAACAATATTAATATAAAATTTGACATTTTTTTTTTCAACTTAACGTGCTTTCTTCTGACCTCTCTTTCTTTTCTACATAGCTTGGTCCTTATGTTTCTCGTAAAACACCTTATTTAGCAAAAAAGCCAACTAATGTGAATACCGATTAGAAAAAAAAGAAAAGAAAAAAAAACTGTACAAAATATATTTATATTATACTTGAAATTTTATTTTATTTATATAAACATGAAAAGATTAGTTCGGACGCTTAACGTCCTTGTATTACTTAGTAGAACAGATCAATAGCAAATGAATAGAAGCTAAAGAAATATTTTTTTTGAGGGGCAATAGAGGAGAAAGTATGAATGGAGCTAGAGAGAGAGAGAGAGGAAATAAATAGTAAATTAAAGGGCCTTTTTTATTATTATCGATAAAGAAGCTGTCAATTTCAAGTTATAAATACAATATTTATGGAGAAAATTATCAAATAAACTAACAGGAAGAGTCGATTCGAAAAAAAAAAGACGCAAAACTTCTTCAAGTAGTTACTAGTATTCTACTAAGTTCTGAATAAGTTAAAAGCATATGTTTTGCAATAGTAATTCGGAAAATGTAGGTTTTTTTTTTTTTTTTAAAAAAAAACATTAGCAGAGTGATGTATATATGAATTAGTGTATGTGTGTGCGTATTGTTAGTGAAAATGAGTCAATGGAAAGGCACTAAGTTTTTAAAGAAGCAGACACTATCATAATTAGTTTATTTAAATACAATATGAATTTGAGTGTAAGGACATGTGTACACGCAAACATTGACATATCTTCTTTTCTGTATTCAAATAAAATACAAAATTAATATTAAGGAACAAGTCTTTTATTTTATTTTATTTTTTTTTTGACTTCAATTATGTCTTCTTCTTTTTCAATGAATTGTTAAAAATTAAGATATCAATAGAGTTATGTAAATCATTAAAGGAAGAAGAAAAAAAGAAGTTTTATTGAGTATAAACTAGAGTGTGGTATCCATAGCGGTAGATACGTTTTTATTCTTTTGCTCAGCTTTCCATCTCATAATCTTTTCTTTCAATTCAGTTGCTATTATAATAATATTAATTATATCTTTGAATTAAAGAAAAAAAAAAAGAAGAGTAATTTACCTGGTTGAACCATATCCATTGTTAATGGCATACGATTGAAAGGATCGCGCGTATCACCAAGTAAATGAGCACGAATAGTGCTGCGATCGACAATAACATTGGATGTAGGTAGTAAAACAGGATCTTCCATCAATGTGAAAAAAATAGGATCTACAAAAAAAAAAAAAAAAAAAAAAAAAAAAATTAAATTTACATAACATGGTAAAAAACTATTGCATACCTAAGAATTCGTCAGGGACTTCGCCTAATTCTTCTTCTTCCTCTACTCCACTTTGTACAGCTATTTCAACACGATTTACAAATGATTCAAGTGCAGAAATATCATCCATAGATTTCAAGGCATGCTTTTGTAAAATAGAGGCAGCCTTTGAGAAATACTCTTTACGATAGGATCGACCATCTCGAGCGACTGCCTCTACAAATGTTTGAGAATTCAAATTAAGATAAATATCAATAATTTCAGACAAAAGTTTACGAGGTTGAAAGTAATATTTTTCAGGATTAGCTACTTTAAGGTCAGTGCATTTAGGGCCCACTAACTGTACTAGATTATAATCTAACATGGCTGCTAAACGATCTACAATTTCATTCACTAAGAAAGGTTTGGTAACTTCTGCTGTCATATACTTGAGCATATGAACGGTTTCGTTACCGAGAGCAACGTAGGATTGAGCTTGTCTTTCTAAAGAGTAGAGATTGCCTTCGCGTTCTTGACGGTATTGCTAAAAAAAATCAATCGAGAATGAGTTACAAAGAGATAATAATACAAAGAACTGAATCAATTATACATACAGGTGTTTTTGCTTCCCAAGAAGCTTTATCACTCATTTCTAATTGAATTTGATGAATTTCAGATAGTTTACTCAAACTCTCATCCATAAGGTAAGTAACGTCACTCATTAACATATTAACAAAGCGAGTGAAAGTTTCAGAATTCCTATAAAAAGTTATTAGGTCATTTTATATATATACACATATACATATATAGATATTTAATTATTATTGATAAACTCACTGGCTTTCTTCTCTTAATTTGGCACGATGTGCTGGATGGTTCCAAATAGTCTTCATGATATGACTAATATTATAACGAATATTGAATTTATCATAAAACTGTGAACTAGCTCCAGTTTGCTCAACCTCTATAATGAGAATTAGCAAAAAGATAAAGTATAAAAAAAAATGATTTTAGACACTTACCCACATAAAAGTTCATTAATGAAGGTACCAAATGATCTAAAGCCAATGGATGTGAGTTAAGGATAGCTTCTAATTCTCCAGGAACCCCTCTAGCAATAGGGTATGTAAAGAAGAACAAGACTTCTACTAATTTGGCTTTTAAATAAGGATTCTTTACATACTTTGAGTTTCTCAAGAAAGTTATAATAAAAGTAACTAGTTCATCATGAGGGCATTGCATCATCACACGGGTCTCATATCCATATCTAAAAAAAAAAAAAAAAAAAAAAAAAAAAAAATTATTATCATTTTGCTTAAATAAATAAAAATAACTTACTTTCCAATAAATATATATAATTCAACAATATCTTCAATAATCCACTCAGGAAGCATAGCAAAAGTCTCGGGTACAGCATCTGGAAGTGGTAATTTAATCTTTTCCCAAGGATGCTTATGTTGAGGATCAGCAATACGTATGATCCAAGCCATTACTAAATCATAAAATCGTAAAGCTTCGGCCAAAAAGATTGGATCTAAAACCATTGTTTCATAGGCTAAACGAAACATAGTCATTTGATCGTATTTTGCTTTCAATCTCTTTGCAACAAAATCACTCATCATGCCTTGAGGTGTCTATATTTAAAAAAAAAAATAAAAAAATGAAAATTAGCATAGTTACTATGGATGATAGATGAATATATACATTAGCAGTACGAAGTGCGTCTTGCTGTGCTTTGTCTGCTTGCTTTTTAACTTCATTATATTCTCGAATAAATTCATTGAAATTGACAAAAGCTCGAATGGGACCATAATGCATGAACGAAAGTGTTAAAAAGAAAATTTCCGTAATAAAATTGTGATCTATGAATAATATGTTATATATAAACTATAATATAATATACACATATATATAGTGAGTTAATTACTTTTTAACTCTTGTACTTGTCTATAATAAGCGTCTGATTGTTCTTTCGTAGCATTAATTTTTGTTTCCTCTGCTACATCTAATCTCTTACTAGTCCTGAAATATGAAGAATCAATCTTGTCAATTTTAGACGCACGAATGTCTAAAAATGGATCACAAAAGGCTAATAGAACAGCAGCAATATTATGCATAAATCCATCTGAAGAAATAGTTTGAGGATCAACCTGAATTTGTGCTCTTTTTTCATTTAAGCGAACTATATGTCCAAAATATTCTAATAGCTGATTTCTTGATTCTGCGTTGGCTCTGACTATAGAATTACAAATAGAAAACATGAATTTCTAACGTAAATACTATTAGTATGAATTTATTAGTTATAACTTGTAAAACTTACTTGGATATTTTGAACACTACCACGAAGACCATTTTTACATGAAAGAAGATCTGCAGCATTTCTTGTTTCAGTATTTTGGAAATAAGATTCAGCTACTTTTGGCTATAAATACATGTGTCAATAAAATAAAATAAAATAAAATAAAATATAAAAATAAAAACTTACTGCTGCATCTGGATATGCACTTAATTTGAAAAATGGACCTAACAGTGATATATCTTCTATGTTATTTGCTAAAGCATTAGATGGATTAAATTCAGAAAGGCTCGATACCATAGCTGCAACAGATTTATTTTCACATAAAAAGGATATAGCTTGCATACTACTCTTATTATCACTTAGTATGTTCCCCATACGAATTTCATTAGAAATTTCGACAAATACAGGACCTAAAATCTATAAATTCATTAGTCGTATTTTTTGATAAATTGAATAAACAATTTACCATATCAAGTCCGTCTTCATCAAAACGTTGAATTAACTGGGTTAAAAATTCAGTTGGTAATCCTTGTGGTGTATCAGGTAATGATTTCAATCGAGGAACAAGCTGCTGTTCTGGACCCAAATGCTCACTAAAGATAAATAGAGAAATTAATTAACTTGAAATAAATAATATACCTTCATAAATGTACTACCTTTGAAATTGGGGAAACATATCAGGCATTTGAAGTACAAGACCTGAATAAGAAATAACTAATTTTTCAATATTATCCAATATATCTAATCTTTGCTGCAAAACAGACTTTTCTAAATTTCTGCCTTTTTGTAACATATTCTTATGAATTTCATGAGACCTTTTCCAACAAGCTAAAAGATAGTCGAAATGAAGTATGTTAAGAGGTGGTTCCAGAGAGAGTCGGGCAACAATGGCACGATCCAAATATTGCTGAGAAAGTCTATTCGGGTTAAGTTCTATAGTGTTTTCGAAAGATTAAGTAAAATAAAGAAAAAAAAGAAACATTATGCATGTATATTTTGTTTTTGAATTTTACCATTTTCGTCTACAAGTTCTTTAACCAGTTCTTCTAGATAAATGTAATTACTTTGTTTTTCGGGCTATACATTAAGCAAATAGATTAATATAATTCTTTACTTTTTAGTTTATTTGTTTATTAGATCACTATACATTCAAAGTAACTTGTAAGATGCGAGAAATTACATCATCTTGCCATTCTTCAAAACTTTTTGCTGGTTTTATAATAGTCTGTGGTTGAGATGAAGTCTTTGTGGTTTGAATCGAGTTTTGCTTCTTCATATAATAAGGTTAGAATTAGGAAACTTTGACTTTAAGATAAAATTTGATTTTTTTTTTTTTACCTCGATAGGTGTTGTAAGTGCTTTTTTAGGAGTAGGTTTTTTTAAAGGTATTGTTTCATCCAATGTAGGAAGTGCCGATTTATTAGAAATGTTTGGTTTCTCTTCATTTGAATTTAATTGCTGTTGCTGCTGTTGCTGCTGTTGTTGCTGTTGTTGCAACTTTGCTAAACGCTTAAGACGAATCTATATATGATAATTGAAAGTTAAAAGAACACATCAGTTTTTAAGAATACTGCAAACAATACTTGATCAGCTTCTGACATAAATTGAGCTTAATATACTTGTCTTAAAAAAAAAAAAAGAAAAGAAAAAAAAAGTGAAAAAGTGAAAAAGCGAAAAAGCGAAAAAGCGAAAAAAAAAATAGACACATTTATTACGCGAAACTATGCCGCGCGTTACATGCGGGGTTCGCATTTATCGTATAACAGCCAATGTGATTTATTTTATTTTATTTAAATGATACAATGAGCGGATAAAGATATATACAGAAAAAAGCTATTTTATTATATATTGTCATTATTTTATTTATTTATTTTTAAGCAACATGGTCTTTACTTCGTTTACCGCCACTAACCTATTCATATACAGAGTTTTTAATATGAATTATATCATGTGTATATCATTTACCTGAACTATTTTAGATATAAATTTATCAATTGCACCTCGGTCATTTTCACACCATTCAACGCTCCATTGCTCTCCATCTACAAAATTATCCATTTCCATCCAACTCCCAAAGACAGGTCGATTATCTAAAGGAATCTTTCTTCCGGAAGCCGTCGTGATTGAAACGATCTTTCGAGTTCTGAAGGTTGCTATTACATGAATTTTTTCAGCCAATGATAAACCTGTTTCAGAAGGTAAAATATCTATCCAGGCACGGTGTTCTGCGTTAATTGATTGTACTGTGATCTGACGGACTTTTTCTAGAGCAAAATAAAGCATAAAACATGAGAGAATAATTTTTATTTTATTTTATTTTTCACTAACTTACTCTCTATCTTTTTTTTTTCTTTTTTTGTAACTGGTTTTGATGGGCTTCCAGAAATAGTGTTTGACTGCTGTGAAGGATACTTTTGTTGACTAGTAGCATGTGATGGTAATAAAGGGGGAGGAAGAGGAGGAGCAGAGCTATATGTAGGCTGTTCGTTATATACAGGGTACTGGTTATAATTGTAATCTATAGATGGTTGGTATCCATTATTACCTTCGAAAGGCATTGCTTGAGTATATGGTGAATCCATATTATATGATGAATAGTTATTCGTTTGCGAGATTGTGTGTGGTTGTTGCAGAGGTGTTGTATTAAGATGAAAAGGCCCTGGGGCCATATAATATTCTTCACCTACAGAAATATTTGGGGCAATAGAATAATGTTCATAAGGCCTTAATGGTTCCTGGGGTAAAGGCTTCATTTGCCAAGATGGATTTAACATTGTTGTAGAGGTTGAGGGTAGATCATCGTTTTGATGAGGTTGAGCATGATGAGGCTTGGTAGACATTTTCCATCCTTCTTTTTTACTCTTACATGTTTTCCAATTCTCATTACTTGATGTCGATGAATTAGAAGTTGTTTTCCAATGCTCTTTAGTACGTGAAGTATATTTTGGAACATTAATTTTTGAAGACATCATTGTTGGTTGATCATAAAGCATGTTAGACTATAAGAAAAAATAATAATAATAATAAAACTTGTTGATTTTAGTCTTTACTGAAGAAAAGAAGAAAAGAAAAAAAAAATAATAATAATAAAATTTTTGCTGTATTTATGTACCTGGTAAAAGGGAGATTCATTTTGTTGATCTACGTTGTTATAATTCATTTGAAGATTTAAAAAAAAAAAATATGGATTATTTTTTTTTCTTACTTGAAATAGTATAAATAACAATCTACCTAAAAAGCAAACGATAATAAATTTGGTAATTTAACCGCATTTTTATTTGTTCAGGTAGAAAGTTATAATGTTTAGCCTTGAACAAATAAAAAAAAAGTGGGAAATTTTGCACTTTTTTCCCTTAAACAAAAGTCTTTAAAGAAGAAACCTGTTGCACACAACTTTATTAATAGAATGTGTATATAATATTGAGGGAAAAAAAATAAAAAAAAAAGAGAGAGAGATTTTAACTTTTCTCTTTCTTTCTTTTTTTTTTTTCTGTCATGTCAAATTTTAAAAAATCTATTTCTCTAAACAAAGCTTCAAAAGCAGGCTCGAATAATAATTTAACTTTTCGAACAATAGGTCAAATAGGAAAATCCATGTCATCTACAATGATAAGCAAAGCAAAAAGTAAGGATGACGACAATTCTACTTCACCATCTAGCAGCATAGTTATGACGAGTGAGCAACTAAAAACAGCTGAAGAGAATCTATTGAGTGATATTACAGAAGTTCGTTATGTAATGGACTTATTCTTGAACTCTCGTATCCCTGAAGCAGAAAAAATTTTGGAGCCAAAACGTAATTCGACCTTATATCATTCTCTTGGATATTCTTTTATCTTATTTTTAAGAAGCATAATGACATTTCAGCAAAGTGATATTCAAGATGCTATCACAGCACTTAAAAATACAATCCAGATGGCAGATTCTATGCGTAAAAAGGAAACTGGTTGGTTCAGTAACATGACCGTTTGGATAAAAGGCGGTCTTCATGTTCAAGATATTTGTAATATGTCTCGCTTACAACGTCACGCTGTAAGCAGATAATAATTATAAATTACGCAGTATATATATATATATATATATGCATATAGATATATACATGCTAATACTGTTACATAGGAATTAGTACATGCTGAGTGCTTCATGTTAAAGGCATTGCTTTGTATCGTTCATGAAGAAAGCTTTGTTGCCTTTTTAAGAGAGGCACTTAATGTAAAATCAAGCTATAATGTATACAAGGCGCTTCAAAAATATTTAAATCACATAAAACAAGAGATAATTCAGGGGAAAGACATTGAATCATATGCATTAGATGATCATTTTACTTCGGGAGTGTCTCTTGGGATTGGTTTATTCAATGTAATTATCTCATTATTTCCCAACACTATTTTGAAATTTGTGGAATTTGTTGGATTTTCAAGTGATCGAGTTTATGGTATGGAACAGTTAGAAATGACAGGAGGTTGGGAACAATACGCAGGTTTACCACCTGATGAATTACCACCACCTCAAGATCCTAATGAAGGTTTACGTAGACAATTTTGTGATATGGTTTTATTACTCTATAACATCATATTATCCAAACTTATTCCACTCTCTGATGTGAATGAAGAGTTATCAAATCGTATTTTGGCTTATAATCTAAAGGTGTATCCTGATGGTGTCTTTTTCCTGTATTTTTCAGGTCGACAATTGAGTTCTCAAAGACAATTAAAAGAAGCAAAAGCTCAGTATCAAAGAGCTATTCAAATTCAAAAGGACTGGAAACAGCTTCATCACATATGTTATTGGGAATTAGGGTTAATTCACCTAACACAGCAAGATTGGCAAGAAGCCGTCAAGTGTTATTCAATACTTCAAAAGGAAAGCAATTGGTCAAAGGCAGTTTACTATTATATGCAGGCTATATCCTTATACAATTTTAGTCAATTAGAAGAAGCGAGTGAGATGATGCATAAGGTATCTGGGGCAAAGCAAAAGTTTGTAGGTAAATCTATCCCTCTTGAAAAATTTGTTGCACGAAAGGCAAGGAAATTTATTTCACAAGGCAATCGATTGTTGTTCCCTGACTTGGAGATATTAGTTGCATTTAGTGCCTTTGATTTTATGTCTTTTGATGAGCTGTACAAAAATTTAAAACGTACAAATGATGAAATCAATCGCTTAACACATGAAGAGAGACATAAGGAAGCGCTTAATTATTATGATGATCTATGTCTTGCTCATTATTTACGTGCTATCACACTTCGGCTTTTGTTGGAACAAAAAGAAATGAGTGAATGGAAACAATTATTTGAAGAATCTGTTACAAATGTGAAAAAAAATGCTGATAAATTACAACTTGATCATTATATTTATTACTTTACAAGATATGAAGAAGGGCTTATGATGATTATGGATAAAAAATACGATGAAGCTAAGGAGATAATACAATCGATTATCAAAATAAGTGAAAAGGGGCAATACAGCATTGGTGTTGGATCACATTCAAAGAATAAATACAGTTTAGAGAATACGCTTATATTCAAATGTCATAACTGTATTACTAAAATTCAGACAATGGCAAAGAAGAATAAAAGTATATAATGTGGAGATTTAATAATAAACAAACCTTTTATTAAATTTCAGTAAAAGCTTTAGTAATATGCCTTTTTTTTTTTTTTTTTTTTTTTTTTCGTTCGTTCGTAGAATATATTTATATACATTATACTTTTACCAATACGTATATCCACTATTGAATGAATAAAAGCACACGTTCATTTATAATAGTATATCATAATATTAAATAAAATATCATATAAATTTAGAATATAAAAATTGCTTTCCAAACTATTAAGCATTACAGTATTTTAATTATGTGGCTGCTCTAATTATTATAAAGTAAATTGAACATAAAATTAATTGTAACAACAGAGAGTGTATTCAAGTTATTTGAAATTTTTAACGTCTTTTTTTTTTCTTTTTTTTCTTTTTTTTCTTTTTTTTTGTGGGGGAAGGGTATTAAGTAAAAAGAAAGGAGGATTGTCAATTGTTCAAGATATTTAAAATCGTCGGTGCGTATATAGACAGTGAATATAGTGAGAAATATCGAATAATTGATAAGGATAAACAGTATAGGGTATAGTTGTATTAAAATAGAATAGTGGCTAGTAAAATATACGTTTATGGATCCCGTCTGTGTCCTAGTTTGCAGCTATGGTCCTTACAAAGGTTTAGTAAGGCGGAAACTTTAAAGATCAAGACTATGCTATCCACATAAAGTAAACAAGATAATTTAAATGGTCAGAGTAGATAGATTGTAGGCAAACGGTTATCCCTATTTCCTGCAAGCTGAGGCCCCTTATATACATAGGCCAAAATACTTTTGTGTCTTATTAAATACTTAAATGATTTCATCTAAATAATAAATTAAGATCAAGAAGTGCATTTTAGTCTATCCAAGTATGATTTAAATATGAAACATAACTGACGCTTCAACTATATAAAGAATACTATTTGGTTAAAAGAAAACTGTCTATACTTTCTCTATTACAAATTACTATATTAATGTCTATAAAAGAGGTGCTTGAAGGCGAAATATTTATTCACCCATTGTTAGTAAAATTATAATATCAGAAAGTTTAATGAAACTAGCTTCTTCTTTGGAACCAGGAATAGAAGTAATAAATATATCTTTTGGGTACTATCTTATTTCTCATGGTTATTATTATGGTTTTCATAATTTTTTTTTCTAATATCACGTACAAATTACCATTCAATAAAGCGTTTATAAACGAAAAATAAGGAATGGCGATAGTAATCATTTCCTTTCAGATAAATAAAATTTTGTTCAAGTTGTTAACATATGTAGTCATCTATCTCTTTAAAAATGGTTATATTTGTTCAATAACAGCAAAATAATAAAGGAAGAACTGAAAGCTAAAACGAGAGTCATAATAACAAATTGCATCTATCAGTTTCCAGTTTTTTTTGGAAGATATGTAATAAAAATAATAAATAATCATAATACATGAACAAAGTTAAAGCGAAATGACTATTTGTGTACTTTATTTATTAAATATACATCTAAATTGAAAGTGTGTATTTTAATCATCAAATCCGTTCTGACTATTTCAACATGTATAAAGTATGAAGCTATCTTCCTCCCCTTTTGACACAAGAGAAAATAAAGAGAAGTATATATCATTGTCTCTAATGTGTTTATAACCATTGAATGAAGGGCAAATTCAAAAACAAAAAATTGCATTATTTAGTTCATAAGAATTTGTACATGCTAGCTAGCGAAGTTTAGTTAGAATTTTTTTTGTACAAATAGATGTATGATAACCAGTGTAAAGGGGTAGATCAGTTTTCATATAACATGTGTTACATTAAAACTGAACTTTTGTATATATTTTTTTTTTAATGATAGCTAAGCTGTTTTTGGATATAAGCCCGGAAGTAAAGATAACCATTAATGGAATATTAGACTTCAAGGTGAGTCATTGTACACTTATAGAAGGAATTAAAAGTTTTTTTTTTTTTTTTTTTTTTTTTTTTTTTTTTTTTTAAGACTTGCAATAGGTTTTGGAGGTATTACTCAGATCTATCAAACAAGATCAAACTTTGAAGAATCCACAAAAGTTTACTCAACTTTAGTGATTTTCCCCAGTTTTCATCTCTTGTAAAGTTTCTTGGTAGTTTCCTTGATTTATTATGAACCTTTTTTTTTTCGCGTAATAAGTATATCATTAAAGCTTTACACTAAAACACATGAAAAAAATTTGATTACTCAAAATGACGTAAATACATTTACATTGCATAAAATACATAATTGCAACGACTTTGATCAAGTCACTAGAAGATAAAAAGAACCTCTAAAATAAATTTAATGATTAGTTACTAAAGTACAAATTAGGATATTCGAAATAATTATGAAAACAAGCTAAAGGCTTTATTTATATAATCATTAGAACTGTAACGAAGAAAAAAAAACTGATTGTAATATTCTATTAATGCTTTTTTATACGTGTTATAAAAACATTTTAACTACTCACTTCCCTTTGAGTCTTTTTGTTTAATATTATTAGTTTTCATTTTTTTTTTTTTTTTTTTTTAGTTTTATTATCTCTTTCCCTCTGAAGTAGCTTCATATTATAATCTATAATACCATTCATTATTTACTTTTATTTACTAGCGTCATGTTTAGAAGAAAAGATAGGTCTTCTGAACAGCAATAACAATAACAGTTTGATGAATACTTTGTTAAAAGGTTAGTCACTGATTCTTTGGTTATGTGTGACACATTTTATTTTTGAAGTGCGCCGTTTTTTTTTTTTTTTTTTTTTTTTTTTTTGTAAAAAAAAAAAGAAAGCGCCTTAGTAGAAAAAAAAAAGCTATAATAATAATAACAATTAAATAAAGAGTATACTTTTATGCACATTATTTAAGGGTAAATATCATTTCTTTTTATTATTTTAATCTCCAAATTCAATTTTTTCCCCCTCTTTCGTTCCTTGATAGGACTTTTTTTTTCATATTGTTGTATATTAACTCAGATGCAGTCTAATAAAAAAGAAAAATATTAATATTCTGTTACAAGCCTTAATTGAATTGTTGCAAACTAATAAACTAAGAACGAGGATAGTATTGTAGCTTCGAACACGCGAAATAAAATTTTTTCTTTATAGTAAAGTCTATATTAAATTGTGTAAAATACTTTATAAATGAAATTCTATAAATATACTCTACTATTGACAATTATTTCTTTTTACTTTTTACGCCGAGCTGAGATTTGAATCAATTATATTGCATGCTCTTGCCCAAAAGTTACACAGATCTAACTTAACTTAATTTTACAGGATCAATGAATTTTAGAGTTTATCCAGAACCCAATTAGCTGCTAAGCTACACGCTACACAAGCTTATTCTTTTTAAAGTATACAAAATAAGGTATTATTTGTTAAATGTCATAAAATTTTTTTTTATTGTTCCTTTTTTATTCTATTATGGATTTTCCAACAATTAATAGAACAGAGACTTTATCAAGAGTATGCGACAATGGCATATGTCATTGTGATTGGCGACTGACATTACAAGATTGTATCGAAAGTAAAGCAATGACGATAATTCATGGTATAAATATTGGATTATGTGGAATGGCGGTTATAATTGGTATATACAAAATAAGAATACATATCAATTATTATTTAACATGTTAAAGTTTATTATTATTAGGAAGCATATTATTATTTCATAGAATATTCATAAAAGGTCATAAATTATTTGATTTAAATATCTCCAGAGGATGCTTTCGACCAAAGCCTATTGATTGCATGTTATTATTTCTTATTATTTTTAATTTTTGTATGTATATCAAACTTCTATTATAAATTTTTTAAAAAAAAAAACTAATTATGATATATAGTGAGATTATTATCAAGTACAATACTTATTGCTGATATATGTCCTGATTTTATCTCTAGAGCTTGTATTGTATTACATACAAATTAATATAAATATTTTATATACTGACATTTATAGTACATAGTTATGTTTGAATTCCCCTGGCAATTTGGATATGGCGCCTTTGCTCTTTATCTGATTGGAATTGCACAAACATTAGCTGATGTAATAATCTATCTGTCTATATCACATAATAAAATAAATAAATACTAATTACTTTTATATAGAGTCATAAAGTGATTGCTAATAATTGGTTGCCTTCACCAAGACTTGTCGACATTATCGGCTGTACAATCTTTTTAGCACCCTTTATTATTAATAATGTTATGTCTTTAGCAGCAGGCATCTTGGCTCAAAAAGATTTAAAATTAGCTAAAGTATTTACACGTCTTTTATATATCTTTTGGTTTATTCATTGTTTTTGTCTTGCCGTCTCTGTTGTCTTTTCTGGTTTTCGACTGACTCGCATTTTGAAAAATCATTTGAACAAATTCAACACAACAGGTCCTCGCTATGTTTCCGTGAAAACGGGTATTTTTAAGATCAGAGCTGTCATGAGTATTATTGGTGTTTGTTTGATCATGTTTGCTGTCTTCTTGCTAATGTTTGGTATTTTAAGAGAAAAAATTATTGTTAATCTATTAGGATCAATTATTTTGGGTGCCTTTTGGAACTTTTTAGGTGTCGTTACTACCTTGGGTGTAGAGCTTGCCATTATTTTCAAGTAATTATAAGCTTCTTTTTCTATACATATTCATATTCATATTCATATTCATATCCATAATAATAATAGTCCTAAAATTGATGACAATACATCGTTTGGATTGAAAGCCAACAATAATAATCCCAGTACGTCAGAAAAAATTTCTGATAACGAAATAGTCGGCCAATATGTCACTTACTCAAACATCACCACAAGTCAAGAATATTCACCAAGTAATAATAAACATCAAGATATATCAAATAATAGCACTTTTGATGAATTAAAACTACAACAACTTCAATATCAGGGAGTATTTCAAAAGTATAGTCAACTCCAAACATGCCATAATGAATTAAAGCCTAATTATGTTAATAATTCAATCAGTCTAGCTCATTCTGATGCGAGGCAAATGAAAGTCTCTGCTGATAGTGCCCCTTTACAAGTTGATGAGTATCATCCTGGTCTCAAGAAATTCAACAACAACGAAAAAATTACATTTCCTAGTCATTCTCCACAACTTTTTGCTCACCTTGAAGAGGAAAATATTTTAGACGACGGTGAACACTCTCAAATGAATTTGGTAGAATACATGACAAAAAGTTAGATTTATTTACATGTTAATACTTAATATACAAATTATACCATTTGCTTCTTTTATCATTAAAAAAAAAATGAATGAAAAGAATTAGAATAATGCTTAAATATATTATACTTAAAAAGGAAAGTAATAATTTCTGCTTATTATAAAAACAAAACAAAAAAAAAAACACAGTGACGCAAACCTATTATTTTTTTTTTTCTGCCTAATATCACCTTAAGGAACAAAAATCGATCAAATAATATATTCTTTTTTTTTTTATCATTATTATTTTCTATAATTTTTTTGACAGAATTTCGAAAAAGATTGTAAATGGATCTTTGATTTTAAACTGATGCTTACAGATTCAAGTTTAACAAATATATTAGTTGTGGTAACATGCACACAATTACATCGCCATAGCAGGACTAATGTTGTATATTTATTAGAGTGGTGTTTCACAAATAAGATATAGAGTATACAATCAACAATGTAGTAGATCAAATCTTGTCAATTACTTGAGAAATTCATCCGAAAATGACTGTATTACTTTATTAAAAGCTCATCATGATTTAATATCTTTGCATATACCTACAGTATGGTATGTAAAAGAAAATTCGGAAAGTGATCTTGTATTAGAACTTTGGGTATTTTGGTTCGATGAAAGACATACTGGAAAAATAGACGCGAACAATGATCTATACGCGCTTGAAGGTAGTTTTGATGTATATGTATATCTTTTTTTTTTCGTCAAATTTTGTCTAACAATGTATATAGAAACTAAGGTAGGATCGTTTACATGGGAGAATGCTTATTCAAAAATTCAATCACCTACTGCATCGCCTACTACAACTTCAACGCAATCAAATATACCTGTTACAGTCTCTGAGGAATACAAATGGTTTATTAAATCCGTTAGAAACTTAGTTCATGCGTAAGATACATACAATATGTTTAATAATTTTATTAAACCAACATTCTTTATAGACAAATGAAACTCAAAGGAGCTATACCTCTGGGAGAATTTTATGTTTTTCCAAATATTGATCAAAACGACGTTATTGAAGATTCTAGATCAAACTTACTAAAATTACCAAACTCTATGCTTTGTTATTCCTATAATATATATATTGCAAGTACAAACTTGATATTTCAGCCAAATGCCCGGCGAATAAGACTAAAGCCTGTTACTTTACAAACAATTTGCACACGAGGAAAGAAAGGTAATAAATATATATATTTTTATATTATACTTATAAAGAAGTATTTATTTATTGTGGTTATAGTTATTTTGAGTCCTTCTGGAGAAACAGCTCTTATAGCTTCTAACAATCATCACTCAATTGCACAACAAACTGAGCAACTTATTCTCAAAACATGGTCAACACTATTAGAGATACCCTTCCATCATTTAATTCAATCGCATGGACCACGAAAAGAAAATTTACCAAATTTAGTAGCTATTAAAAGTTTAACTAATGAAGATACGTTTTATTATCCAACATGCTTAGTTTTTGTCTCTTCATCCTCAGCAGTTTCACCAACCGCCATGGCAGGCTTTAATGGGCTTTTTGGTTTCAATCAGGGGTTTTCTGAAGATTTGGGAGATAAATGGCATAGGTGGGCATGGAATGAGGGTATCACAAATTATTGGGAATTTACCTGTCCAATAAACACAACAATTACAACTGTTTTAGATGCTCTGGCGTCTCAGCAAGATCAGAGCCCTGGCAACATAGGTCTCTTGCAAAAGGCAATTAATGAACCTGTGACTGCTAGTCCACTAATGGCAACCAAATCTGTTGCTAACATTCAAAAAAACGAGACAACCACATCAACACCAACCTCTACTCTTTCTTTCGATGAGCAATCATCATTACATTATCAATTACAGGACCGCAACAAGATAAAAAGTCAACCTAGATTATCTCTAGCTGAATTTGCTATGGCTAATTTTGTAATTCCAAATAGTAAAGATGATTTAATAGAGTATCCTATCATGAATAACGATCTACAGCAACAGTATCAGCATCAGCATCAGCATCAGCATCAGCCGCATCAGCAACAACAACAACAACAACAACAACAGCAGCAACTACCGCAACAAGAGCCTGAACCTGATCAACTGAATTTAACTCATAATATAATTACTTCTCATGATGTAACAGCAATAAATACAACCAATACATCAGCTTATCAATCACCTCAAATGACTAACCTTGAATTAAGTAGTTTTGGTATTAATATGGATGTTGATAATATGGTACTTGATATATCTGATAGATGGAATAACGATGGTATAGATGATTTGGATAATTTTGACTTTGGTGTAACCGAAGAAGATTTTGACTTCTTCGAGTCTTCAGAGCCCACTACTGTGCCAGCAACTGCACCAACGATGCTACCTCATCAATCAGATGAAACAATGATGGTAGATAACGATACTATTCTAAAACAGGCTTTGACTGATCCTATTCTTTCAGATGATGTTATAAAGCAAGAAAGTATCCCTTTTATAGATACATTTGATGATCAAAAAGCAATGGATTTAGATCAAAAGCACTGCCCAATAAATGCCAATCATACACAAGATATACCAATAGCACCTTTGCAAGTGGCTATATCAAATCATGACTCTGTTAACAATGTTGATGTATTTGATCCACAGCAATATAAGACGGAAGATCCACAGATAACAATGAGGTCACCACAACAACAAACGTTTGTACCACCTGATTTTGCGCCTGTCAAGATGAATTTCATTGTGAACGATGCTAAATATATAAATGGAGGTAAATTTACATATGCACCAGCCGATGGCGATATGATAAAGTCCAAAAAGAAAAGTGAGGAGTACCGACCTGACTATGTTCCTAGTAATCGACGAAGAAGAAGGAAATCGAGTAAACTATTGCAAGATACGATCAATGAAACTAATAAATCACTTAGCAACAATGGAGCAGATAAAATAGTTGCGCCTAATAAATCAACAAAATTGATTGATGAACCTATGAATGAAATGTGTGATAGTGATAGTGATAGTGCTAGTGATAGTGATAGTGATAGTAGTAGTAGTAGTAGTAGTAGTAGTAGTAGTAGTAGTAGTAATAGCAGCAGCAGTAGCAACAGCAGTAATAGTGATAATAATGAAATGGATTATTCTGATGACAATTCTTATGATTCAGACGATAAACTCATGGACTCTTTAATATCTGTGCAAACTAGGCTTATTGAAAAGCTACTAAGTTGTACAGTAAAAAAGAAGAAACTAGTTAAACTAGATCAACTTGTCATGGATTATGATAGTCCATTTGCTGGCACAGTTAGTAGCAATATTATTCGTATATCGAATGTCAGAGGTTTGGATGATATTAGTGCTTTGGATTATTTATGCCAGCAGGCTGTTATTGGTGGATATCCATTTTCAGGAGGAATCGAAACCATGTCATCCAGTGGGTTTGTAGCAAATGGTGAATCTGCAAAGATGGTAGCTGCTAGAAGAAGGAACTTATTGCAGAAATTTTATGGAGATGCGATTCATATTCCTTCTACACCACATGATGTTGACTTTATGATACAAGATTTTAAGACAGTACTTGCTGAAATATTTCATCAAAAGACAGAGTCAATAACTGAAGGTATAGGTGACATGTGTTTAGATCAATTGCCTTTACCTACTTCAGTTACCGTCAAAGGCCCTCTAAATGTACAACAATACTATGATCTTTCAGGTATATATATATATATATATATTTATATAATTTATCTCCTTAAAATATTAACCTAATACATGGATAGAAACGACACAAGCCCATTCTAAATATGGTAAATATCAAGTTAAGAAGCGACGTCCTGCAGAACCTAATTTTGATATCTTACAACCACCTACCATTACTGTCTGTCGTCAGGATGATTTACTAGAAGGTACAACAAATTTGATTATGTTTTGGGAGAAGCTAAGATTAGAGCCCTATTCTTCTAAAAAGCACATCAGCTATTTTGTTGTTTACCCAAAAAATGATTCCATCGAACATGATGTGTCTAATTTTTTTAAAGGCTTAAGTACATTATATGAAACTTGTCAATTAGGTGCACATCACCCAGGAAATGTAGGTCCTTATCGTAAGGGGCTTGTACCAGTACCACTTTTACGTAAGCTTACTAAAAAAAAGAAAAAAAAGAAAGGAAAACACGTTTTATTTTACAATTATCTTATATTTTTATTTTATATTTAGCTCAACTGGCAAATGAATCTTTTGAGGAAAGACAAATGCGAAGTTATTTCGAAGAATGCCAAAATTTAGGATCTGCTTTAGGCAGTGCAATGACTGATCATAGTGTTCATATCGTTATTTATATGATTAATCCAGCTTCATATTTATCATCCAATTTTGATTTAAGTCGTTGTTTTAGTAAATTAGTAAGAAATTATCAAAAAGCAGTTAATGATAAAACCAAAGCAAGGATTGTATTACAGTTGATGCCAATCGAACACGTATTACGGTCAACATCTTTTGGTGGCTGTCTAAAATTTGGTCTTAAAGAAATTGCCTTTGCAGTCTACAACAAATGCCATACAGTTACTCATCGCAATCAAGCTACACAAGACATTTATGCACCAGCTTTTATCTTATCCAAACCAATACCATCACAAATTCAATTCAAGTTGAAGAACTCAATTAGTGCATTTCCTACAGTTTTGGAACAAAATAGTGTCTTGCACATGGGCTATACGTTTAGTTTTGATAAACACTGGATGATTATCGTCTGGACAGATAATCACGGTGAAATGATTGAATTTACTCTTTTAGATAATCGACGTCCACGTCTAGTGGTGTTTAAAGAAGCATGGCATCGTACTTTAAAGATATCAAAACGGACTGGATTTGAATGGACTTTTGTAATAGCTAAACTTGGGCTCATATTTCAAAAGGAACTTCGAGCCTGGATTGATTGTTTACCGACAGAAAAAAAGATTGCAATTGTAGGGTTAGATATTGAATCCACTTTTTATGTGGGTCCAAATAATGATACTGATATTCCAAATGGGGATGTGCTAATGAGTCGTACTTCAAGCACTACTAGTGATTCATTAAATACTACACTTGATCCTTCATCAGGAAATTTGATGAATACTGCCAATCATAAAAAGATAATGACGCAAGTTATAGATGATGAACATACAAAAGCGTTATTATTGAATCATCGAGCAGCCTATTCAAACAAAAGAGAGAGCATGTTCTTTGGTATTCTTGACAGCGTAAAAGAAGAAGATTGGATGATACCCCTGGCAAGTGGTTACATGATACATTCATCGTCCACAAGCGAAAATCCTAATCATGAATTATTTAATTGTAACCCACTTATTCTAGAGGTAAGAGAGGGAGAGAGAGAATATGATTACAAATAATTTTTAACCTATCATTTTATTTAGATACACTTGGTTTATAATCAAACAAGCCATTCTGCATATAGTGCCTTAAGAGATATTATCAAAAAGTATCATTCATTGTCCTTTGTAAATGTAATGCCTTCTAGTAGTAATTGTTTCCCTAATCATCTTGCACTAGTTGAAAGACTTTCTCGTCTACTCCTTGTTATTAATAATTAATTAAAATTTCATTAATACTTAAACATGTATATATACAAGAGGTAGTTGTTTAAAATAAATACGAAAAGATATATATGTGCTTGAATATATATAAACTTTGAATTATGTACTGCTAAATTTTAAGTAAGCTATTTTATTTTATTTATCTATTTAGACATAAAGTTTTATTAAAGTATGCTCTATTCTGTGTTCAATCTATGCAGTCTTTGTAAAAAAAAAAAAAGAAAAAAAAAATAGAATCATTAGCTTGATATTTTATCATAAGTAGCATTGACTTTTTTAGTTCTCAGGGAACAATTATCCGCTATTAAATGAATATCTTTAATACAGTCTCTAAAATAAAGAATAACAACAATGAGGAAATCTGAAGCAACAAAAGGGATTGTTCATAGGACCTTTTTTTTTTTACCATAAAAGTATGATTCTCTAAACTTCAAATTGTTAAAAATAAACCATTTTACGAATCATTTCCAATACATTATTTCTTATTACTCAAATTTCTATGTTTAATAAACCGAGATTGAATAGTTGTACTTTGAAAAAAAAAATATTGCATATTAAGAATAAGTCTAGATGAAAGCTTTTCATTTGGAAAAGTGAATACTATTCACATTAACACGGTTTTGTAGAAAGAAAAAAAAAAACCCTCTTTTTCATAAAGTTAGTTGCAGTAAATGTCTCTTCCTCCTCCTCCTCTTTCTCTCATGTAGTAGTAGTAAATAATTCACATTATGACTTTACATGAATAATTCTAATATTCTCTTTTATGCTATATCTACACAATTTTGTTTATTATATAATTCTAGGAGCTAGTGAAACAACTTTCATCCAATTCTTTGTTCTCAATTCAGCAGCAACAACACCCAATATACGTGTACCTAAAGGTTCTTTCTTTTGATTTAACAAGACACATGCATTATCATCAAAGCGAATTGTTCGGCCATCAGGGCGTGTCATTTCTTTCTTTGTACGAACAACGAGTGCATGACGAACATCACCTTTTTTCACTTTTTGTGCTGCTGCTTGGGTACCAGCAATATTTGGATTAATAGGTCTAGCCTTCTTAACTACACAAACAATCTCATCACCTAACGGAAGATTTAGCGATTTATTTTAATATATACATGTATATATATATATATATATATACCTGTTCTAGCAAAACGTGCACCACTCATCACTCGCACGCATTCTGCAATGATGGCTCCTGAGTTGTCAATAACATTTAATGTACCCTTTAATCCAATCATTAGAAGTTTGAAAATATATATGTTTATATGTATGTATGCGGGGGTATTACAGAAGTTCCTGTTTCTTTTTTGGAAATAAAACTCTAGGGTCGAATAAAGATATAGAGTCACATCTATTTAAGTCACAATTTATCTTTTTTTAAATGCTTAATTGAAAAAAAAAAAAAAAAAAAAAAAAAAAAAAAAAAAAAAAAAAAAAAAAAACGAATCTATTATATTCATGACACAATTTGCCTTAGTTGTAGCAGCTACAGAAGAGTTAGGTATTGGTTTACGCAGTAACTTGCCTTGGAGAATTCCAAAGGATATGGCATTTTTCAAGTCTGTTACCTCGCATGTGCCAAGGACATTACAAAACTCCAATGTTCAAAATGTAGTTATTATGGGTCGTGTTACTTGGGAATCTATCCCAGCCAAGTTTCGACCTTTAGATAATCGATTCAATATTATTGTATCTAGAAACTTAAATTATGATTTGTAAGGGGTTATTTTTTTTTCTTTTAGTAACGAATATACATACATTAATCATAGACAAATAGACAATTAACAGATTCAACAGCAAAAGCTAATACTCTACTTGTGAATTCACTGGAGAAAGCTTTTGAAGCAGTTGATCCTTCTAAGCATGCGCGTGTTTTTGTAATTGGTGGAGCACAAATTTATAAATTAGCTATTCAGCATGCAAACTGTTCACACATTGTGTTGACAAGAGTTAAATCAAAAGTTGATTGTGATACATTTTTTCCTACAATTCAAGATACTGACTTTCGTTTAGCCAGTCATCAAGAGTTTGAGGACTATGTGGAGCAACAGGTGCCTGAAGGAGTTCAAAAATACAAGGAACTAGAATACGAATTCACATTATACATTAAAAAAGAAAAAAAATAATCGCTTTATTTTAAACTGGCAATGCAGTCATTTATGACACTGAACAAAGAAGGAGTATATTGCTTAATTAAAACTGATAATAAAATTAGAGCAGTAGGAGGTCCAGCCCATTCAAATAACCAAGTTAATCTTGAAGGCCTTAGCTTTTCAATCATATTTTTCACTTGTATTTCTAGTTGTTGAATATTACTAGAGTTATCAAGGACTATGTCTGCCTTGGCTACTTTTTCTGATATAGGCATTTGTGCTTTAATACGTTGTAATGCTTGTTCTTCAGATAAATTATCTCTTTTTCTTAATCTTTGTAACTGAAGTATATCAGAACTAGTTTACAAAAGTAATAGAAATAAATATATGCAGGAAAAAAAAATAAAATAAAATAAAATAATGAATTAAATATACCAAAATACAACTACATTTGTGTTCATGAAGCGATCAAGTTTACTTTCAATTAATAGAGGTACATCGAATACAACCATATCAGCGCCTTTTAACCAATAAAAAAATGCTTCTTTTAACATTTCTAATCGTACATATGGATGTGTACAATGATTCAAGATTTTCCTTTTTTCTGGATCTTGAAAAATAATTTGTCCCAGTTTGGGTCTATCAATGTGACCATCAGGTAAGAATACATCGTCACCAAAATGTTGACGAATGAGCTGGTTTGCTTTTCTTCCAGGTTCTACTATATCTCTTGCAATCTTGTCAGCATCAATAATGGGTATATTTTGTTCTACTAAAAGTCGAGATACGGTAGATTTGCCTTTATACGTATAAAAATAGGATAAGTAAAATTAATGTTATTCAAATGCATACGGAGTAGACATTACCTGTTGCAATTCCACCTGTTAAGCCTATTAATTTCATTTTATTCGAATGAATAAAAACAAAGAAACTTTTATTTTATTTATTTTTATTTTTATTTTTATTTTTATTTTATTTTATTTTTTTTAACATATAATGAATTTGTTGGTTTAATTCTAATTCTAAAACCAATAGGAATTAAATTTAATGATATTAAGCCTATGCTGGTTTAGTAAATGATGTGAAATATGTATTATACGAAAGTACCTTTTTCTTTTCTTAATGAAATATTAAAAAGAGAGATCGTTATACTAAGATTTTTAGATAAGTAAAAGATCCTTATATTAACTCGTTCTTCTCCAGAAAAGAAAAATGTTCAATTGATAAAAGTTAACCAAGGACAAGACGAAACTGTTATTAACGTACATATATCACGTATGTATAAAACTTTTTTTTTTCTTTCTTACAAGGTAAGTAGTATTAATAATAGGGAATAGGGTCTTGATAATAAAAACTGATATAATAAAGAGCTATAGTATTCTTCCTTGAGCTAAGAATATAATATATTATTATTTCTAACGGGGTAAGCATTTGTGTCAATATCAAATGATACTGAATCTATTTCAGCTCTAATAACAGTATCAGCTATTTATACACTATATCAAGATTCATTATTATTGATTTTTATGTCTAATATTTTTACATAATACAATCTATAATGAGTACTATATGTTTGAATGACCTCTCCATTATGTAATTAATGATGGTTTATTCTTTTTAGCCAAGTTAGAAGGATGGCAGCTTGTTTCATTTAATTTTAGAGTAGTTAGTTTACTTGACTAGTCTTAATCAATAATACATTTAATTACAAAATAAATGAATAATGGACTTTATACTGGTTTCACAAATTAGCCAGATAATATTTGCCACAATTTGCCTTCAACCATTTTCAATGTCAATCTTTCTTTATCACAGCTAATGTGATTACATTTGACTGATTCATTGATGTATTTATATTGACGAAAAGTCATTATGCGACTATTGATTTAGCCACCAATGAATACCTCCCATTATAGTTTGTTTATATAGCGAAAATTACATAACCGTCATTCATTAGCTTATTGATCGAGAATGTAATTCACATTGAGAAAAAAAAAACATTAATCGTGTATGCTATTTAAAATACTTTTTTTTTTTTTTTCAATATAAATGACTTTCGCTTGTAAACATTGCCATAAACTAATGAAATATAAAACAATTAAAAATCAGGCTAGCAAAGATCAAGATAACACGTCTTGTATAAATGATGCTTTTTTTTCAAGTGTTGTTTTAGTAACAAAATATAAAATAAAATATGAAGCCATTCCGAAAATTTTCGCCACTTAATAATAGTGATGGCCCTGCATCAAGAAATCAATAAGTAGATCAATCTTATACCTCTTTTTATGTTATAAAAATGAAAGCTTAATAATTCTTATTCCGTGTATGACAAAAAGCATCATCAAAATATATAGATAAGAAATTCAATACTAAGCCCACTTTCATATTTTAAACACTCAGTCACCCATATCACAACCAACATAAATAGATCCTCTCTTTTCTTTGGTCATTTAACCCTTAAAAAAATCTTCTAATAAATTCAAATGATGTTAAAATAAATTCATTTTGATGGCAATCGAAATTTAATTAATGACGGTCAATAAAAAATAAAAATCCAAATGTTTGTTCGTCCATGATAACTTTTTATTCGATATAAAAAAAAAGTAAATGTCGTTATGTATAAAATGTGTTTAGATTTCGGCTAATTCACGAAGACGACGGACGGTAGAACGAACAGTGGCAGCAGCAGTAGTACTAAATTATGAAAATTGATTAATTATTCCATCTTTTTTTTTTTCCTTTTGAAAAAGACAAAAAAGAAATACTTACGAGACGGTGTAAGCACCACCAGCCATGATCTTCTTGCAACCCTTGCACTTCCAGATACCAACAGCAGAACGCTTAACAGCATCCTTACCACAGAAAGTACAGGTGTAAGTGGAGTGTTGAGTGATTTCCATCTTCTTTACAGTCTTTCTGAGAGAGGCACCATAACGGGTACCGTATTTACCGGTGATTCCGACTAATTACAAAAAAAAAATGTTATTCATGTTTTAATTGTTCATCAAAGGTTAATTAACAACATACCTTTCTTTGTGCGCTTAACCTGTTAATAGATTCAACATAATTTAGTTTAAAAGAAAATAACAACAAGTTAGCATATTATAAGGATAGATGGATAGATGGATGGCTGCCTTACCATTATGAATAAGGATAATAAGAGGGGGAAATCATTTTTGCTTCCTAATTTTGAGTTAATAATTTGTTGACAATCCGAGGTCAAAACATAAAAATTTACTTATAGCGGAGGTTAAATCAGAAGAGACAGACTGTAAATAAGAAATTTAAAAAAAAAATCATGAAATAGATCTTTATAATCTAACTCTACGCTGTGTTATATACATATATAAAATGGATGACTTTGATGACATTCTGCTTGATGACTACAACATCAATGATGATTCCAACGAGCCAAATTCAGTACAAAAATCAGAAACTTTGGAAAATCAACCTGATGAATTACCTTCAAAATCAAATAAAAAACTTAGACTAGATGAAAGCTTGTAATTTGAACTAATAATTTGACTTGATAGAATTAAAAAATTAACTTTTAATGTTAGATTATTAGATACAAAAGGTATACCATTATTAAAGAATGAAAGTATGCATTTAAAGTTTAAAGGAAAAGGATATGAGGTATTATAGTTACAAATAATAATACAAAAGAAAAGGAAAGGAAAGGAAAGGAAATAGCTAACTTCTTTTTCAAAAAGAGTGAAGACTTGAAAAAGCTTATGACTTATTATACTATATGGGCAAATAACCTATATCCTAAATTAAGATTTCGAGATTTTACACGAAGAGTAACAAAGCAAGCATCGAAACCACGTATTAAAGTCATGATAAAAGAATGGCAGCAGGAATATAAGGAAAGAAGACAAGTTCGATTAGATATTGAAAGGGAATTAAATGAGAATGCAGAGAAGTGTAAAATCTACATTTTTTTTTTCATTTACATTTATTAATATTTTACTATTTAGCTAATGAATTTGACAATGAAGAACATAAGTCAAATGAAAACTATGAATCACATGATGACGGTGATGACAATCAACCTCTATTTTATTCATTGCCAACTAACTCAAATTCCACTGCATAATTTTTTATTTTTTTTATTTTTTGTAATTAACTTTATAATTTATGTTCTATACATAAATATATCTTTATATTTATTTTATTTTTTCGTCTAGCTAGCTAGTTATAATAATTTCAATATTCACTTTACTTATAACAATTGGTAATTATTACATTTCAATGTATTTCTCTAAATAAACAAACATAGCTTATTCATAAGCTCAATTTTATGAGGTGTTTATACACCACCACTTTGAACAAAAGTGTGCCCATTCAGGCACCATTTTCGACCAAGAATATGATAGCTGTGACTGTGATCACGAAACATCGCGCCAAATTTCAATTCAAATTTTCGTGATTCCAATAGCAAAAAAAAGCCCCCTTTTTTTAAAAAAAAAAAAAAATAAACATAACATCGTAACAATGATCTTTGACGATGTGCAAGTCATTTACGGATTCCCGGATGGGAAGACAGTAGTCTCATACAAAACAAATGGGAGGTACTTGAAAAAAAAAATAAATCCCGTAAAAAATCACGATCCCTAAAATAATCTATAGTGAAGCAGTAATTGGTGGTGCTGATGGCACAGGTATTAAAGTTTATGATACTAATGCAGATGATCAAGAATACACACACACTGATATTGCTGAACACAGTGAAAGTATTACCTGCGTTGCGACTTCAGTAAGTTTTTCTGTAATACTAAATAACTATACAAGGTGTCTAAAAAAATAAAATAATAGAAAACAGGTGTTTTTGCAAGTGGTAGTGTTGATGGTTTGGTATTATTGTATACCAAAGATGATAAATTTGATAAAATTCTTGTAAGAAGTGTTGCTTCTATTCGTGATCTTGGTTTTCATCCAAATGGTTCTAAACTAGCTATTGCCACGGAGTAAGTAAATATAACAAAAAAAAAAAAAAAAAAAAAAAGGGAGAGAGTATAACAAATATTCTAATTTTATTAACAGTGAACCTACAATTCGTATCGTTCTTACAACTAATAATTCCAAGATTGTGCAACTGGAAGGTCATAATGATTCAGTGAAATCAGTTTCTTATGATCCTTCAGGAAATTATCTTTTATCTTCAGATGTTAAAGGAAATATTCGAATCTGGAATGTTTCAGCTGATGAACCTGTCCCTAGATGTATCAAAATTTTACCTGGATATACTTATAAATCAGATGTAGATTCAGTTTTACAAGCAAAAGTAGCGTGGAATCCAGACAATACTTGTTTTGCTTTTACAGGTACCAATAACAATATTCGAGTCTTTAGAAATGATATTTGGGCACCTTTTTATAGTCTTGATGGCGAACATACCAGGAATGTCATCACTTTTGCTTGGTCTCCTAATGGCTATTATTTAGCTAGTTCTTCAGAAGATAATTCATTTGTCATTTGGGATGTAAAGGAAAAAAAACCTATTGCAAAACATACAACTTCCACTTATATTACTGGTATAGCATGGCATTCTTACGAGAATGAGATTACTTTGGTATGTATACATACATACATACATATATATATATATATATATTAACTATTTTGTTTTGTTTATTTCTAGACGGATGCACATGGGCAAATTAGAATTTGGAAAGAAGTTATCCCAACTGACAATAGCAATTATCCTCATCCTGCTATTTTGCGTAATAAGACTACGCTTGAACCTACATCAGAGCAAGTAGCTCAAAAAGAAAAAACTAAAAATCGTATAAGCAATTCAAGTTTATTTGATGATGATGATGATGATGAAGAAGAAGCGATAGAAGATCAAGAAGAAGGTGATGATGTTGCAATGGTAGATGAAGAAGGCGAAGATATAGAAGATTTTGTTATTGATGATGATGGAGCAGGATATGCTGAAACAGCTGAAGACGCAGAAAAAAATAAACTAAAACTTCAGTCAAGATTAAACTTGGAGAATATTCCAAATAATAAAGGTCTCATTCAACGTCTGAATAAAGTAGAGTCAATGTTTGAACCACCACCCTCATTTCAGCCTGGGGAGACTCCTTATCATAAGCCAGAACCAGGCAAGCCATTTGATCCTCAACAAGGTGAAAGAAGATATATGGCCTATAATTTAATTGGTGCTATCTCAACCGTTTTTGAAGATGGACATTCAGTTATCAATGTTGAATTTCATGATCAGTCTGAATATCGTAACTTTCATTTTACTGATGTTCTGAATTTCAGTATCGGTGCTATTAGTTCTGTAGGTGCAGTATTCGCTGTTGAAGGTAAAGAGTCTGAAGATAAGCCTAAAAAGGAAAATGATGAAGACATTGATGATTTGGACAATGAAGATATCAATGAAGAAGAAGAGAATGAAAATAAACAACTTTATTCAACATTGTATTTTAGACCAAATAAGATGGGAACGAATAAAGATTGGACACATTACATGCTTCCTGGAGAAGATATCATCACTGTTGCAATTAATCAGGTTTCTGTCATTGCAACAACTTCATTAGGTTACGTTCGTATTTTCTCAATTTCAGGCATTCAAAAACATCTATTTTCACTAGAAAACGTTGTGACGATGACTGCCATGACTGACTTGGTGTTTATTGTATATTCTGATGGTCCAGCTTTTGAAAATCAACAAAACCTAAGATATATATTAATGAATACAAATACATATGAAATTCTACAAAAGGATAAGATACAATTGACAACTGAAAGTACTCTTAATTGGGTTGGATTTTCTGAAACCAATCAGGCTTGTACGTATGATTCGCAAGGTATTTTGCGTGTTCTTTATCATCAACGTCGACCCTATCAAGGTCGATGGATACCCGTATTTGATGGTAAAGCTTATGCAGGATCACAACAAAAAACTGAAAAGTATTGGCCTGTGGGTGTTTTACGTGATCGTTTAATGTGTGTTGTGATTCGTGGTAGTAATCTATATCCATTCTTCCCTCGACCTCCAGTGAAAGATATTCCGCTACGATTACCTTTACTGGAATCATCAACTGAAGTAGGACAATTGGAAGAACAAATTTTACGTATTGAGACATGCAATTTCCATGAACGTGATGAAGCTGAAGCAACTAATACAGAAGAGGAATATGTACAAACTTTCCATGAAGCTGATATTGAGATGGATATTGCTATACTGAAGCTCATTAATTTAGCTTGTAAATCAGAAAAGGTAGGAAGAGCGTTAGATTTGACCTATACTCTTCATACGTCAGAATCAATCGATAAAGCTGTTAAGATTGCCTTATTCCATCACTATACAAGTTTAGCAGAAAAAATAGCTCGTATTAAAGAGGTATTATTATTTTCTATTATAAATATATATATATATATATATATATGTATATTATATACATACTAATGAGTTAAACAATATGTAGACTAAATTTATAAATGACGAGCATTCAACGCCATCTACTTTAGCAGATTCTCTTGGTGCTCTACCTAATATTCATTCATCTACTCAACCTACTTTATCAAGTGATCTTTCTTTTGTTAAGAAGCAAAGAGGAAAAGAATATAATGGTAAACGAAGCATATCAGATGAGGATTCTATCATGTCAGACGTACACACATTTAAAAGATCAAAAGGGTTTGATTTTTCTCAATAAAATGAATGTATATATTAGATGTTTGTATTATGTTTATAGTTGTATATAAATATAGTAGTATGACAATAATTGTCTCCTGAAATATGTGTACACACAACACGAACAGTTTTTTTTTTTTTTTTTATTTTTTTTTTTAAAAAAAAATAAAATAAATAAATATGTATTCGTATACACATATATCTAACCTCCTTTTCTTTTCCTCTTTTTTTTTTTAAAAAAAAAAAAAAAAAAAAAAATCTCATTAATTAACGTTGTATAATGCCTATTAATAAAAGTAATTTTCAACCCAAAGATGCTCGAGCTGTGGCATTGACATATTCGGATGATGACGATGATGATGATATGAGTGAATTTTTGCAAAATGAGAAACTCCCTCATAATAGAAAGATGATGACAGGAACACAAGCTCTTGTAGAGTTTTTAAAGACAACTAGTCCAGAAGAGTTTCAAAGAAGTAACGTACAAGAAAGGTCTGTTAATACATTATTTTCTAGAATAAGAAAGCCAAAAAGAAGTACAACAACAGCACCACCACCACCACCAGCATCTATTATGCCTACATCTACTATCTCTAGTCGGTCTGTTCCTTCAAGTTCAGCTGCTTCTTTGCCAGGAACATTTACTTCTTCTACTACTTTAACTGTAAATTCCACATTCCATCATAAAGACTTTATTCGTCGAAAGAATTATATTGAAATTGTACCTCAACAACAACAACAACAGCAACAACAACAGCAGCTTATTTCAAGAAGCGCTGGAAATAGTAGATCTCCTTCTTTTGATAATACAATCTCAACCCAGTCATTTGTGCTACGTAACAGCAACACAAGTATGAACAACAACAACAACAACAATAATAATAATAATAAAGAACCTATTTTGCCAAATAAGAAAAGAGAATCAAGTCTCTACAGTGGTTCACTTCGTTACTCAGCATCTGTTAAAAGTCAACTAAGTACATTAAATAATCGACGTCCTTTAATAAACAGTACACAAAATTTAGATTTAAAAGCTACAGAAGAATATTTAACGTTAGCTGATGGAATGGATGATATTGAGTCAGCATTATTACAGAGATTGGAAAGGATAAGATTATTAAATGAAGAAATTCCAAGTGATAAGCTAGCTGCTGGTTTAGCTACAGAGCATATAAGAGCATTGGACATTACACATAGATTAGATAATCAACATCTTCAAGGAAACAGCAAGACAAAGATAAGGCATATGCAAGTACAAACGGAGGAATTAGACAAGAATAATAAGACAATAACGGATGTTACCCAACAACAACAACAAATAACCGTACAACAATCGCATGCATCATCGACTGAAGAAAATGCAGAAATAAGAGTAAAAAGAGCGGAAGCAGCTTTAGAAGATGCCTTGGATCATTTCGAAGTTATTTGTGGATTGGCCTATAAAAAATTACGAGAATTATGGGAAGAGAAAATGAGATGGGAAAATGCCTGCATGGAGTTACGAGATAGACTTATAGATATGGAACAAAAGAAATATACTATTCAACAAAACGGGAATCGAAAGGATGAACATTGCTTAACAGAAAATATTAAAGAGGAGGAGAAAGAGGATGAATTAGGTTTATCAGAATTTCCTTCTAACGAGAATTAATTTATGTAATAAATATTAAATTTTTATAATGGACACTTTGTTTATGATGATAAAATAGAGTTTATAGCCTATATTTATATTGATAAACACAACTTGCAAGCACCAAGAGCAGTTAAATAAAGCCTGAGTTATTACTGCCACTTCTTTTCTTGTTGAATACATGTTTTTTTTTTCATGAATATTTGTAGTTTCAATAGAAAAGAGAGTAAACAGGGAATAAAAGATTCGTTAATTTTGTGGGAAGTAACTTGTCATTAGTACTAGTTTTTGAATTAGATAGCTCCTACCTATAATAATTTTCGTTATATTTGTAGGCCTTATATTTTGCATATGTTTCCTTTGATCCTAGATAATCAAAGTATTAGATTTTTTTTGATGCTTTATAATCAAGCTTTTAAAGTCTGCAAATAACTCTTCGCAAAGGCAAGTAATCCAATATTAGCTGAAAGTAATAATAAAGACATATTCAGGTTAAATATTAGTTCTGATATATTACACTTTTTTTTATAAACTAGGAACCGCTTTTTTATATGTGTCACTTTTATACATTTACGTACGAATTGGGATTTATATGTATCCATTCAAAAATCCAAAATTATTGTTTAATGATTGCGGTATTTTTATCATGAAGAGAGTAATATACAGTATTTTTCAAATAAATGAGAAAATGTTTATAATAAATTGAGAAAACGAGATCACTATGTTGAGAAAAGTTGAGCAGAAAATTGAGAACAAACCCTTTTACATTGGTTATCCAACGACCCTTTTGTTCTATCTCGCACCACTAAGAAGCAGAAGAAATAAATGATCTTGTTATATATATTATGATAATATAAATAAATAGCTGTCTTATTGAGTCAATAATATGTTAAAATCATATTTGTATTTTAATCTAAATAAACTTATCCTTTATTCTGTTATTCACTCGTAACATGAATCTTTAATCTTTTCACTAAGAGGTCTAACAATTATTCATCCACATATCTACTAGAAAACATATTTGCAGCGCTTGACTCACAGTCATTCTTTAAGCCCTACTTTCCTCTTCATCATATGCTTTGCGGCCTTCTATATATGTGCTTGCTACCATTGTTGGTTAATTGATACTAAATAATATACGTTAAAAAGAGTTTGTTTTCAATTTTCTGCTCAACTTTTCTCAACATAGTGATCTCATTTTCTTAATTTATTATAAACATTTTCTCATTTTGGGGGTACAAAATTATCATTTTATTGAAACCTTTTCTTACTTCATTAAAATCTTTCCTTGCTTTATTGAAATCTTTTCTTATTTATTAGAAAAATATAGTACATATATAATTTTTTATTTATAATTCAAATAGTTACTTAATATAGCAAACATAAAATAAGATTCAAACAAAATAAAGGTTTCAAGTATAAACGATAAAAGTCCTTTTTTTTTTAGTTTTAAAACTTTTATATACCTTTTTCTCTTCTTAAAACTTTTTCATAATTATAATTACTGTTAAATGGGGCAATCACCATCTTCATCAGTTGCAACATCAACAAGACATGACAATGCTTCGACTCGTACTTTACATTCAACATCCATAAATTCTCATCGACCTTTATCTTTTTTAGAAGAATCTCCAACAGACTTCATGTAACTCATCCCACACGAAGATTTGGAAGATTAAGGGCAAATAACAATACAACGGCAAATATAAATTCAAATAATAACAACAACAACAATAATAATAGTCAATATAGAGTTCATACTTCTGCTTCTTCTATTACTTCTTCCGTTCGTCGTGCAACACAAGAAGCTACTCAAGCAGCAGCTGCGGCCACTGGACCTCCTAACCTGCACAATTTTTTACAACAGTCATTAAATGAAAGTAGTCGAAATAGTATTGTATCTTCTTCAGAATCAACAAATGCAAGTTTTTTTAATGACTTACTTTCTTCAGCAAATAATTCATCTTTAAGATATTTACAAATACCTATTCTTATGCAAGAAATTAATCATGTTAATGACGGTGCTTCAATTCATACAAATACATCTTCTACAACTACAAGGACATCAAGAAGAATGCATATTCTTGTTATTGAATATCGGTCTAATAATAATAATAATAATAACACAATGACCTCATCACCGTCAACAACAACTTCACAACGACCCTTACATAGATTCTTGGGTCTAAGAAGACCGAGATCTGAAATATCTACTACTTCTTCAACAGATACCATTCAATCCATGTCTATTTCAATAAATTCTTCTCAAACTAACTTTACAAGACAAACTACTGCAATATTAAATCAACAACAATCACAAGATGGACAATGGATTATGTATATACTAAACAATAATAATAACACTGCTGCTGCTGCTGCTGCTGCTATTGCCAACAATACAGCATTACAGGCCTTTTCTGTTTCACTTGAAGAGAATCCAACTTATGAGGATCTTTTAAGACTAAGTAATATTTTAGGACCTGCACGACCGAATACAACTACGCAAGCAGCTGTTGATGAAATAATACCTGTCGTAGACTGGTCAGATGATACCAAAAAGGAATTAAAACATGTTCAATGTTTAGTTTGTCTTGATGAATTTACACTTAAACAGCCTGTAAGAATATTGAAATGTCATCATGTATTTCATCGTGAATGTGTAGATAGATGGTTATGTGAAGCACACAATTCATGCCCTGTATGTCGTCGTGTACCTGTTTAAATATATATATTAAAATCATAATTTCTTGCATATACTTGCATATATTTACTAATGTAAATCCGGTTTTAATAGTAATTAAATAAATATGCAAAAAGCGTGTTTTTTAATTTTGAATTTTGGAAATAATAAATAATAAAAACTGTTTGCTCTTAATATGATATCTATTTTACTTTATTTTATTAGCTGCAGACTACTATTAATACATGCAGCAAACTAGTTTCAGTTTAAAGTAAAAAATAGTGTTCAATAATCAATTAACAAGCTTTAAAAAGTTACTGAAGACTTTTATTTTATTTCAAATGTCAACTAATTTACATATTAATATTTCATAAAGAATACTCATAGTAAGTACTTTTAAGCACGAACTCAAATGTTAGTATACGCACTTTAATATGCGGATCTTTTAACTACAATTACAGTTGATTCCCCCTGAATATATATAATAAACTATAGTTGATTATAGGTACAATAAGTAACTTAAAACATAATTACTGCTTCAAGTAAGATATAATACTTTATTTGGATTTATTAGTAATAAAATAATCTATGCTTGAAATCTTTTTGTCTTGATTTGGACTTTTATATCTGACAAATTAACTATTTGTTATCGTATACACATATATATTTAATCATATTAACTACAGAAGCTATTTTTGTTACAGATCTATGGAATTCTTCGGGAAACATGCTGATCATTTGTTTTTATAGAACAATCTGTATTAAAATTATCTGTAGATACATAAATCTATTACTGACTCATGCATTATCTTATTAAGCTCTGAGTACATTCTGACAGCAGACATAATAGCACCAAATACTTAAGGAGAGAACTGCATTTATGCAGCTCACAACCTATTTATGAAACTTGAATACTTTAATACAAATGAGCTTATTTTATATTAACAAAACAATCGTCAAATAGTTGCTCTCAATTACAATGGATTATCCAACTTTTTTGTTTTAGATATATAATTTTATAATCATTCTGAAAGGTCTATTATTTTTTTTAAAAAAAGAAGAATCTTATCAATCTTATAAAGCAAACTTGGATTGAGAAGAATTGTTGATAAAATAAAAGTAACATGACCAAAAAAAAAAAAAAAAAAAAAAAGAACAAAAATGTTTCTGCAAATATACTCGAGTTTCTTGTATGGAGTCTTTGGCTACATTAAAAGAAAAAGGTAGATATGAATAACAGTAGTAAATGTGTCATATAAATAATGTAATTTAAAGAAATTATAATTCTCTTTATTTATACAATTATAGATAATAACTAAAATAATACTATATCGCAGCCACTCTTTTTTGCTTTTCTTTTCCAATACTAAGGTTTATCTCTAAAATACTTTATCAATTTTTTCATATGAGACTAATAGTTTAAATTATAAGATTTATATATCTGTAAGATAATTATTTATTAATTGAAAACTCATATAAGATACAATGTCTGAGAAAGTTATTTCATTTTGATGTTATTCAGTATCATTACCGAGTATCTACATGAGTTATTACAAATGAAGAGACTATACCATTTCCGATTTTCGTTACCCAGTCTGGTTTATAACATAACGATCTTCTTCAGTTTTTTTTTTTTTTTTTTTTTACTCAAACACAAACTGAAAAAATCAAAAGAAAGTTTTGCTCAACAAAATACTCTATTCACTGTTAATGTAATAATTATATATCATGATAATATACCTATAAATAAACGAAAATATTAGATTACAATATAGTTCAAGCAGATATAAAGATTTGAAAATTATAAATCCCTGAATGACTTCAAATTTGTACAGACATTTCTGTATATGAAAAAAATAAATAAAACATCATCCTAGTTTTTTTTTTTTTTTTTTTTTTTTTTTTTTTTTTTTTTTTTATGTTGCACATTATTATGAAACCAGGAAAAAAAAACTCGGGATCTGGTGCTGTAATCAAATTACCCCACATTATATTGTAAAGCCAATCAAATCTAATAAGAAGCTTATTCTATTAAGTTTAATAGCTCTTATTTTTTATTGAAAATGGCAAAATATAATTCTATCATATGACTTCATACTTGAACAACCACAAAAAAAAAAGACTATTTATAGCATAAGTTTTGACGTTAATTTTTTCTTCTTGTCCTTTTTTTTTTTTTTTTTTTTACTTTTTTAAACCAAAAAAAGAAAAGAAAAACAAAATGACTGTCACTGAGCCTGTTGAGAAAGTATTAACACTTAAAAATATGAATCCACTTATCAAAAGTGTCGAATATGCTGTTCGTGGTCGCTTGGCTATTCGTGCAGAAGAGATTAGAACTGATATGGAAAAAGGAAAAGGAGACAAATATGATTTTGATAGAGTAGTTAATTGTAATATTGGTAATCCTCAGCAATTAAACCAAAAACCTATTACTTTTTTTAGACAGGTAATTATCGCTATTTTATTTTTTAATTGAAAATGTTACAAACATTTTATGTATTTAGGTCTCTTCTCTTTGTGATAATCCAGATCTCTTAAAGAAAGAAAATCGTTCTCTTATATCTCAGTTATACCCCTTGGACGCAATTGAACGAGCTGAATTATTATTAAAATCAATTGGTAGTGTAGGCGCTTATTCTCATTCCCAGGGAGTTCCCTTCATTCGTAATACTGTGGCTCAATTCATTGAGAGACGTGACGGATTTGAAGCAGATCCTAATCATATCTATTTAACACAAGGCGCATCCTCAGGTGTTCAAACCCTTTTAAACATTTTAACAGAAAACAAAAATACAGGTATTATGATCCCCATTCCTCAATATCCCCTTTATTCTGCTACCCTTTCTCTTTATGGTGCTACACCTGTGCCTTATTATCTGGACGAATCAACAGGTTGGAGTTTGGATATTCAACAACTTGAACAAGTTGTAATAGACGCTCGTAAGCAAGGTACAGACGTTAGGGCACTTGTCATCATTAACCCTGGTAATCCTACCGGTCAATGTTTAACAGGTGAAAATATGTGTGATATCGTATCCTTCTGCTATCAACATCGTCTTGTCTTGTTAGCAGATGAAGTCTATCAAACAAACATTTATCAATCTCATGAACGTCCCTTTGTTAGCTTTAAAAAGGCTTTAATGGATCATCCTAATCCCGAAGTGAAACAAGGGGTTGAATTAGTATCTTTTCATTCAATCTCCAAAGGTATGGTAGGTGAATGTGGACGTCGTGGTGGTTACTTTGAGTGCGTTAATATAGATAAGGAGGTCATGGAACAACTGTATAAAATGACTTCTGTCTCATTATGTCCTAATTTGCATGGACAAATTTTAGTCGACCTGATGTGTAACCCTCCTAAATCTGGAGATGCTTCTTATGAGTCATATACTGAAGAAATAGACGCTATTTATGTTTCTTTAAAAAGAAGGTCTAAAAAATTGGAAGAATGCTTTAATAGTCTTGAAGGTGTTAGTTGCCAACCTGCACAAGGATCAATGTATCTTTTCCCATCTATTACTCTACCAGAAAGATCTATTGAGGCAGCAAAGAAACTTAACATGGCCCCTGATGCTTATTACTCACATGCCATGTTAGAAGCTACTGGTGTTTGTGTCGTGCCAGGTAAAAATTTATATATTTACACAAAAAAAAAAAAAAATAATACATATTTCTCACGATTATTGAAATTAAAATAGGATCTGGATTTGGTCAGAAGGAAGGCACATGGCATTTTAGATCTACTTTCTTACCTGAAGAACATTTATTTGACAATTTCTGTTCTGCTCTTAAAAAGTTCCATAATCAATTCCTCGAAGATCATAAAGATTAAACACAATATGTTCATTATATACCAACTAGTATTGTTTTACAAAACAAAATAATAATAATAAAAATAAAAACTGGGGTAAAAAAAAAAGTCCGATATTTCATTTTTATTTTTGAACTGCTAAACAAAATAATTCATGATCCATCAATAATAATGAATTACCATTTGAATCCCATTTCATTTTTTTGACCAAAAAATCAGCTGTAAATAAAGAAAGAAAAAGTTTAAATTCAATTTTCTTTTTTTAAAAAAAAAATTCATTGCATCTTACTCATTGGTATTTTTTGTGGAGAAATATCTATTCCATCATTTTCTATGAGTGGCTGTATAAAATGTACATGTTCATCACCACTTATAATTGTTAATAGATGCTTTCTAGAAGGATTCCAGCATACTTGCTTAATCGTTTTCCGAAATAAAATAATATGTAAACATTTTAATGATTTTATCTGCCATATCCATATCACATTAGGCATTATATCACTTTTACTAAAAAGATAAAGCCCATCAGGACTAAATTGACATAATCCAATACCAATCCTAGGATTTATTTCCTCATATGCTGTTTTTCGTGTGGGTATATTGAATGGCCGTGATAGAATATGGCGATCTAAAAGAATTTAAAAAAGTTAAAACTCACGTATATGTTTGTATCTATTCTTCTTTACAATCTATATTAAACTTTTGAAATGAGGGCATCCCAGACTGCGGTACTTCAATTTCCTCTAATGCAATCTAACAAATACATAAATATTAAATAGGTAAAGATAAATTATAATGTTACCGTTTCCATAGTTTCGGTCAATACTGTTGGATGTTGCAATATACCAATTAATTTCCATGACAACGTTGATAATAAATGAATCTAATTGAGATGTTAACTTTTAATATATAAGTATGTATCTCTATTTCGCATTATTAACCCACTGTTTGATCAAAATTGCCCAAAGCTAATAATTCACCATTAGGACTCCAATTAACGCATTTTATACCTAATCCAAATTCATAGCCTTTATATATCGTACATAAAAACCCATCTTGTCTATAAACTAATAGTTTATGCTAAAATAAAATTAATATATTATATTATACACCTTTACGAACTTACATATAAGCAATTGTCCCAAACAGCAATATACAAGCTATCAGGTGACCATTTAATATTATCTAAATTCACTGTGTCTACTTCAAATCTCTATTTTATACGTAAACATATACACATTGCATATAAATATATAAATATGCTTTCTAGTAATCACTTTACTTTTCAACATGTTCTTACATGTAACAATATAAATGAATTTCCTTGATAAATCCCAATACAATCTTTTCCATTATATTTTTCTACTATAGCTACATATTTTCCATCTGGGCTAAATTCAATTCCTAGTAGATTCAGAATAAATCAAAAGCACTACACTACATATATATATATATATATAGCATAGATAGTACCTTTTTCTGAATACTTGATATGATTAATAAATTTCATTTCCTTCGTTGACAAATTCCATATAGCTAATCGTAACTTGAAATTGTTTTAAAATAGTATCAGAGTTGTGTTAATAATTGCATTAACTTCTTTACCTTTAATTCTGAAATGCACAAAATATTTTTTGAATCCGGACTCCATTTTATTTTGATAAAGGGGTATCGTTCATCTGTAATTACCCCATGCCATTTTGGATCTATCACTGATCTTACATCGATCCGAGACTTTTCAAAGTTAGTTGTCAAAATATAGTCAGAGGTAGGTGACCATAATAGATAATCAATAGGTTGGCGTGTTTCATTGACTTGAACTACAGTTAGATCTTGTCCATGGGCTCGAATCACTAGACGATTTTCTATTGCATTAGCTACATAATGATTATTGGGTGAAATTTTGCATTGAAACTTTGAATGTTTGTAAAGATTGCTGTAAGAAAAATATATTGGATCAGTCATTAATATTTATAAGAATAAGAATATATATATATATAAAAAAAACACGAAAATTTAAAGTCGCGTATTTCATAATTTATCTGAAATTAGTTTATTAACATATTTTTTTTTTTAAAAAAAAAAGAATATAATCTATAAATTATTCTTCCATAGTCTCAAGTGGTTGATGTGTAGTAACATTATCTTCTGGTGCTTGAACATCGGTTAAAGTATTATTTAAAGGATTGACATCTGCATTATTTATAAAAGCAGTTGCACCTGTAAGAATTTCTTGACTTAATGGATGAGGACCAGTCTGGATATGTTGATTATTATTATTATTTGTTTCGGGCATAGTGTCATCTCCTAATATTGTCATTGGTGTGTTACTATCAGTTGTTGTTTGTGGTGTAGCAGCTGCTGAATCTGTCATGTCATCATCAGTTAAATGAGGTTGTGCATGAGGAGCTAATGCCGGATGCTTTGATGGATCATTGACACTATCTACATCATTACTGTCATCATTGTTAGCATTAGGATCTTCAACATCCGAAATATCATCTAAATTAGGCGTTTGAGATCTCTGTTCATCATCATCGTCATCATCTTGCTGTTGTACTGAAGAGACAACTTTATTTGTTAAAATTAAACTACTTGGTCCTCCAGGAATAGTGTCTTTTAATAGATTAGATGAAAGTGAATCTGGCTGTTTATCACCAACATTTTCGTGTTTAGCATTAGTTTCATTAGTTTTATCAGGAGTACTACTTGTTTCACTTGTAGTTTTATTAGTAGCTATTTGCTCGTCTTTTACTTCTGTGTCTATTATTATGTCTTTAGCAGGTGTTTGTTCAACCTCCATTGATTCTCGCTCAATTTCATCTTCATCCTCTTCAAATTCTATAACTCTGTCAGCTACAATTAACCAAAATCGCATTACGTTTGAAATATTAATAATGTGAAATAAAATAAAATTAAATAAATATTACACTTCATCCATTTGAATGTCTGAAGATTCTTTGAATTTGAATGCTGTGTCCATTTTTTATCCCTAAATAATAATCTTTTTTATTTAATAAAATAGAACATGTTTTGTAATTTGCTTTTTTTAAATTACCATGCTTGAACAGGTTGTGACAATGCTCTTAATAAACGATCATTATCAGAAGTATTATATTTTCTTTCACGATATCTACTAGTCATTTAAATATACGAGTTATTTTTTTTAAAAAAAAAAAAAAAAAAAAAAAAAAAAAAAAAAAAATAGGTTAAGAGGTCATTAAAGAATTTAAAGGAGGAAACAGTCACCACCAGCTTTACCATCCAAAATATTATCTACAGTCAGGCCTTTCGATTTTGTCAGTTTGAGTTAGAGTAATTTGTTGACACAAATTGTCGGTAGTTGAAAGGATGATAGCTATCGCAAGCTCCTGAAGTGGTTGTTTACTCTTTCGCTCTTTCGAGTTTTACAAAATAGCGAGCAGTCTTTTTTTTTTTTTTTTTTTTTTATAAGGATGGACAAGATAATCTTTACAATGAACAGGTAGAAAAAGTTTATGATCCAGTGAAGGGCATCTTATCTCAAATTTATAATTTTAACATGGTTCTTCAAACAATAACAAGTTAGCAGATATATTTAGCTTCACAAACCTGTATAGAAAATCGCTGAGGAGAAGGTTGCTAAATAATCAAAAGCTGCAAAATCAAATCCGAAAATGTATAATGATTATAGCGACAGAGAAAGAGAAAGGTTTATAGACAGGATGATAGAAGTATATGAAGAGCGAGGTAATATAGCCATGTTTGTAAGAGAATTTGATATCGATCCCCCATACTTCTAAAAGATGGTGTAAAAGTAAAAAAAGACTGTAGAGGTGCCATATAAAAAACAAAAGATGAATGGTGACCCTAACAGTTCTATTACTGCCAGATATAAAGAGTATATAGAATGTTTGATTAATCAAGGTCCTCAGCTCCTTTCTGAAGATATTATAGAAGAATTGGCCAAGCAGTTTTGGCGACTTAACCACTATTTAAAGAATAAAATGAAGATCACTATAAACCCCCCCTCTCCTAATATAAAGCTGAAATATGGAATTTTGTAAATAACTTGAATACAAGATTCGAGTGATTTATGAAATAGAAAGACACAAACTTCGAATATAATTTATATCCTGCTTTCATCTATTGACTAAACCACTGGTAATGTTCTTCAATTTTGTCAAGATGGTTTCTCCTAACTGGATGAAAGTGAGCTCTTTTCAGACAAATAGAAAACTTTTTTGTTACAAAATTATAAAATACTGTCTTACCAATATCGAGCTGCCCAAACTGTGTCTATTATAACATCCAGAGTTAAAGAACTGGTATTTTCGTCGACCATATCAATAAAAAAAAAACTCTTTATGTTCTTCATTTAATATTAGTAATCGTCCTACATGTCTACCACTATCAGATTTTCTTTCAATGAAGTTCTTTAGCTCTTTTTCGAAATCATTAGCAGTACACAATTTAATACTTAATTTCAAGGCAACCGAACGGACACTTACACCATTTAGATAAATCAACTCAAAAACCTTTTTTTTTTTTGTCAACATCTTTAAAATGATTATCAGATATTTTGATTCTAACAGGAGCACTCTTAGTTTCAATGTTAATGATTTCCTGCTTGATTCCATACTCTTACTTAAATACGAATATCATGAAATAACGTAATAACTGTACGAGAGTAATAGGTCTATATTGTACTCTCCAGTCTCCCTTCACTTTTTTTTTTTTGAATTTGTTTGACATTATGTTATTCAAGTTTGGAATGAATAAAGAAAAGTTAAAAAAAAGCGATAAAAACTCTAAGCTTAAAGTATAATCAAAATATAACGTAGCATTACAACAGGTTATATTCAGATCAATATTATATAGAATGATCAGGTCTGACAGTACAATAGTCTTGTGTTATTAAACTATCTGAACTAATTTATTGTCAAACATAATAATTATTTTTAAATCTTGGCATATTATGTGTATTATATACAATTGATTTATTAGATAAAGCTTTATTGAGCATTGTATATGTTATTTTACAGTAACAATAGTCTAAAACTAAGCATAAAATATTAGTTTATTATGTTGCAATACATTTGTATGTTAAATATTTCGTGAGAATAATCGATTTAATAACGCTTTGATATAAGAATTGAGAGAGAGAGAGGCTTCGATGGTTTTCTTCATTAATGGCTTTTGATTCTAATTCGTATGATTGAAATATACAGGATGTTGGAGCAGAAAAGTTATGAAATAAGGGATTGATAAAGGAAGCTAAATGTTTTGTTTAAATAATGCCTGTATGATTTATACAGGATGATTTGTACTATAGATATTATTCACTTACGAGTGTATATTGAAATTACTCGAATAGATAAAAGAAAAATATTAATAGCAAAATAATGATTTGAGATGAAAAGCAATACCATATCCTTTTATTTAGACGCCATGTAGTATCTTTAAGCGTTGTTACAAAATAAAACAAAAAAAATCTCGACGAACACCTCTTGCATAAAATAATTTAGATTATCAAATGCAAGAGTCAACTCTGTTTCCATTTAGTTGCGTCATGCATTCGAAATTTCATCAAGCCCACGGAGATTGTTCATAGTCGAGCTACCCCTGAGCATTACGGATGCCATACCATGCAGCAATAGCGGTTATTAAGACACAACCATGTATGTGTGTAATAAATATGATTTTTTTTTATTTATTTATTTATACAGGAACTTGGACTCAATCATATTGATGACGTATATGAAATTCTATAATGATTGTCCCTAAAAATAACACGTTCCTAGAAGGCAATACCATTGTTCCTTACTTCCAATATGAATAGTAATTATGCATATAAAACCTTTTGAATCTCCAAAGCTGATGGTGCTAGAAAGTTCTTTCACATGAATAACGCCAAGAATTGAAAATTATATAACTATGTTATATCTACTCATAACAATGTCAACAAATTCAAAAGGTTCAAAACAATAGGAGCAAATTATTTGGAAGATATTAATCAGATTATTTACATAAAAGTTCCTAGTGAAATCAAAGAATATGTTTTACATTTATAAAACGTTATTGTAGAGTGTATTTAAGAATATTTTTGATATACTTGTTTGAATATAACTATTTTTTAACCCAATAAAGCGAGTATCATAGCGAAGAAAGTCAAAAGAGCACCACAGAGCCCAGTTAATAACCACAACATTATTATGTATACTGACAACATTTATTTAAGTGATGAAGTAATTTAGTGGCAATTGCTATTTTTAATATACTAAACTCTAATGGTTATTTTTTAAAAAAAAATGGATAAAGGTAGCAGTAGCGTCAACAACAACAACAGTATTAGTAGTAACAGTAACAAGAGCCAGCTTGACAATAAAACTGATGACAGTAAAAGTCATTCCAAGAAAAAGGAAAAGCTAAATGAAAAAGCAAGTATTATAGTAACTCTCAAACTAAAAGTACTAACATCATGTCATAGGTTTGTGACGTGTGAAAAGACTGAATTGATTTTTTGCATAACGAAAAAAAAAAAACAGAGAAATTTCATCCCTATAGGCTAGCAAAAAGCATTAACTAAAACAACTAATGGAAGGATAACAAAGCTTAATTAACTGATAGCCTTGAAAATCATAACATTATTCGAGTTGGCAGGGGCATGTCGCCAAAACTAAATCTTGACGAAGAGCTGTACAACCGATATTTAGAAATTCACCAAGTTCCAATATATACACTTCCACACAATACTCTAGAATATTTGATTTACATGTCAAGATAAGTAACTAACAATTTATTATTCTCACTAGTGTCTTTTGGAAGAATCTTTAAAGAGTGTATATACTCTTAATGTTGAGCATATACAAATGCTAAAGAAGTTCAAATTTTCTTCTTTTCCTTTAGAAAATCTTTCTATAATTGCTAACCCAAGCATAATGAAGTTGACCGAGGAGGAAGATAAGGCAGTAATGTATCATCTTAGCCCATTTCGCGTTGATCATCACTGAGAATGGAAGAAGAATTTATAGTTTGAGCTAGGTGGTTAGTAGTTTGTAGGTCAATACTGTCAGGAGTATATAACTGTTGATAGAAAACACGAGCAGTCTCTGTTAAGGTTTCCGGTGAAGTACAAGAAGTCGGACTGATTGGATTTGTTAATTCTGGTACGAAACTTTTAGTCAATCGAATGGTAGCGTTTAAGATAAGAAGGTGATAATTCACCTGTTTCTATCCAAAATTTCTGAGCACGTAAAGAATCATTAGCTACTGTTATGATTGTAGTCATCCTTATAACTAAGTTGATAGAAATAAACCATCATTTATTTACATAATAAATAAGTTATTCAAATAACACTAGTGTATTGTACTTTACAGCATAATATTCATTCTACAACATTCAGTTTTAATAACAGGTCATTGTTAAAAATAATCATATACATTGTATTATATAATAATAAGAATTCAATAGGATTATGACTGTTATATGTAGTTACATAATCACTTACATAAATCATACATATTATATATACAATATACATCTATAATATTAAATATTGTTATGTAATAACATCTTAGAGGATGATAATAGTAATAATAGCATATTCACTGTGAATTAATATCAACGTGGCACTTACCCCAGAAATAACCATTGGGTATATTGTTAGTAACAGAGACAGCTCAGGGAGAAATATGCATATTGCATGCAGAATTACTCAGAGACAATATTTACACATAATGCTTTATTGTAGCAGTATCCGCTTGTCCAAATCATACTTCTATTAATATCACTTACCTTCCAAAAACATATAAATAGCCCTTGTCATTTTTCCATATTTTTTTGTTGGTTTCTTCTTTTTGGTACGAACTGTTCGTCATAAAAAGCACTTTAACAAGGAAAACGAAGATCACTTTAGCTATGATGACATTGAAAAAAATTGCAATATTGCCAATCTCAAGGATGATAATTTTGACCAGCAATCAAACATTGATCTAGAAAAAGGTAATACTATGAATGAAGATACTCAAACTAAGACGAATGAAACTGTCTATCCCGAGAAGACTGAGGTGGCTCTTCCTCCTGAAGAGAAGAATGAAGTAAACCAAGCTGAACAGAATAATGATTCAGTTGCTAGTCAATTTATGCAGCGTATTAACTTTTTTGAAAGCATAGCAATTGATTCAACACCAACGACTATAGTCACTGCTGCTGTTGATGTTGTAATTGCTTCATCTTCTGTACCATTAGCCTGCTATCCTAATGAGGACTTTAAGAATAAACTTGAGTTCTTTGAAAACTTGTGTTCACAACAAGAACGATTAGAAGAAACAAGTGACAGTGACAGTGACAGTTACTTATCTCCGATTGGTAGCATCACTAGTTTTTGGGGCTTTTACGATGGAACGTAATACTTTAAAGAAAAAGAAAAAGAAAAAGAAGAAAGAAAGGGAACAAAAGGAAGTATAGTTTGAGACTATGTTTTATTCAATAAAGAAAAGTAAAATAAAAAAAATAAGAATTGAAAGTTAAAGATTATTTTATGTCTACACAATTGCTTGTATTTATATTAATAAATCCTGAATCAAAGAAATAAAAAAGATAAGTCATGAAACAGTGTTATTATTCAGATATATACGTCTTGTTGCATCAAGAATCTGATTTATATGGATTATCTATTGGGTGTTATAATGATCTGATTAAGGTTTTAAATTGTCTAATTTGAGTTTATGTTCCTGATATTTTTTATAGCTTTATTTTATTGGATCAAAGACGATCTGAATCATTTGTCAAGGTTATAAAAATAAATATTTCAGAAATAATACGATGTCTTATAATTGATCCATCTAGACGATTGGATGTCAATAAGAAGTTTTATATTATTTACAAGATGTTATATACAGAGTTTTATTTTATATTCAGGCTTATAGTTTATCCTTTATTATGTAATTCATCTATTATAATAATACTTATGCTTTTATCCAGAGCTTGTTCTATAACAGCTTTAACTATGAAGATGATGCTGAGAGTATTGAAGCTGACAAACTGGATACTCAAGTTAAAATCTAAACCAGTGATATTCTGCTTCAAGAATATTTACCCAATACTTATTTTGGAGTCCTTGATAGAAATGAACGCTGGCGAGAATATGGTCTATACTTTGGTAGTATGTCTACGATGTAATCGAATATTCAAACAGTCAGAATCTCAAACGACTTGACTGGTCTTTTTGCTAGTGCCCTTTCAAGAAACAATTTTACAAAGGTTGAAGATGAATTCTTGAGGATAAAATCTTGGAGTAGCCTCTAGTATCCTCAGTTAATTTTTTTTGTAGGGAAAGACAGCAAAGCTGTTTCTAAATTATATTTAACGTCCCAATGGGACTAAAAAAAAAAAATAAAAAAAAAAAAAATAAAAATAAATTAACGAAAATAAAATAAAAAACTTTGTTTTGAAATAAATAAAGATTAAGGAAGTAACTTCGTTAATAATGTTGAGCTCTTCAAAAAGAACATAATGGTGAGATTATATGTCGACGTTATTTTGAAAGTGTAATTGCCAAATGATGGCCGAGCAAAGAGGAAGAAGGGATATTAGAACTAAAAGGCTGATCATCGAAAATCGATCGCCAATGATTTTTTCATAGACTGAATGAAATACAACCAACAACAGACGAACAGGAAACAGAAGAAGCCACAGGAGAGGTCAAATATTTAAATCCTCTATAATCTAAAGAGAACAAAAAAGACAATAGCTGTTGAGAATTAGTTTGTACTTTGGGGGGAAAAAAAGTAGTAATAGTTGTATTCCAGATATTCCGTTTGACAGGGCATTCATAGATAAGATGCTTAAAAGTGTCCTCAGGATGATGACAATGAATGAATGCAGGTGATGGATAAGTATCTGGAATTAGATAATTAAGTAGTCTTTTGGTGGGGATCTTACCGTGAACTGTTCGAAACTACACTGTATGGGCTGCTGGAGGAAGAGATGTACGCCAAAGTTTATTCCAATGAGAAGGACTAAGTTTCGTAGCTGCTTGAGGAGGAAACAGAGTGTCATGTATTAAAAAACCAAGATGTTTAGGAGATTCGAATAAACGAATAAAAAAGGGCATTTGAGTTTCAACAATAGGGAATAAGTCAGCGTCTTGAAGATTAGGGGCAGGAAGTACAACATTCATGTAACGAAAAAAATTGTGCAAAAAGTCGAATGTAATTCGAGCCAAAAGCGATACGAAATTTACGGAGTAACCTGGGATACCTTGTTTTACGATCAGTACGTTGTCGAAGTAAACCAGTTTCCAAGTCAATAATAAAGAAATCCTTAACTATTACTTTGGATATACCTGTGGTATTTCTAGCGAATACCATAGACACCAACTACTCGTTTTGTGAAATGAATGGAGTATAGGAAGTTGAAGTAACAATGGAAGCTAAATCCAGGTCTAACATAGTATCCAATGACAGATTGGTCTGATCGATATTACTTGGTGTCAATGAGTCTTGTAAGGAAAAAAAACAGTTTAAATGCATTGTTAGTCAATTGATTAAATCCCTTTGTTCTTGTAGGAAATAACAGTGGCCATAAATAAGACGAGTAGCTCTTAGAAGCGTTAAGGAAGGAACTACATATACCATGTATAGTGACTTATAAAAGTGTAGCAATGCTTTATAATTTTTGGCTTTATTTTTATAGCTTCTTAACCCTCACTTAAATGCATGAATGTTCATTTCGACAATAAATTATGTCGTTTTATACGATTTAGCATTTTAGATGCAATTTTTTTTTATTTTAAATCATTTAATATTATTATTGAATAAAGAAAAAGATTTACTTCCTATCTGACATTGTTTTTTCCTCAAATTCATTACTAATCTGAACAACATTTGTGCATCATTCCCATTAACACTAGGTCACTACATACAATAAAATGAGTCCAATTCCTTACCATAAAAAGACAGATATTTTAGCGAAACCTAATGCTAAGGAACCTTATAAAGATGTTTCTAAGGCAACGGGAGTACCAATTATCCTAGTTGGCAAAATTGCCAAAGAAAATTATGTTAAGATTAATGTAAAAGAAGATAGACCAAAGAATATTAGCCCATTACTTGGAGGATTGATTGCGCAACCTTTTTATACTGGTCATTTTATCACTACAGTGGACGCTGCCCGGAACTTACATGGTCACTGATATGATATTTTTAAGGGCTATGGACTATGTAAGAAAGTTGCAATTCTTCAACAAGACAATGATCCAAAGCATACATCCAAATACACAACAAATTGGTTCAAAAAAAAATAAAATAAATGTCCTTAAATGACCATGATACCCACCTGATTTAAATCCAATTGAAAACTTTTGGTTTTATTTGAAGTACAAGCTTGCTGCCTATGATCAGACACCAAAAAACATGGATGAGTTACGGGAGCGAGTTACTGATGTTTGGTACAATAAATTTACAGCAAAACTATGCTTAAAACACATAGAAAGCATGCCATGACGTGTAAAAACAGTAATAAACATTAAAAGTACATTATTTATTTCATTTCTCAAAAAAAAAAATATTTGCATAAAATTTATATACATACAACTTTTAACATGATTTTTGAAGTAGAAACATCATATAGTGCATATATGCTATAAGTATCATCAAAAAGAGGAGACTTCTGTCTTCCCGCTAGTACATACCATATTGCACTTTGCTTAATAAATAGATGATCAGTTACCGCGGATTTGCATAAATTGCTTAAAATTCCGAAACATTGCCACACTTTTGTGAGTCCACTGCATACCGTGTTGAATACAAGAAAAAAAATCTCTTAGTCCACTAATATAGTATATGTCTATAAAGTGTAATATTTAGTTTATTTGAATAGGAGTATGTTAGGTAGCTAACCAACATTTGATAATAATTAGAGTAACATCAAATGATCAACTCAAAGTGTAACTTGTAGCAAGATACCTTATTGTTTGAAACAATAAGACAAGTATCAATTATGAGCAAAAAGGATCTTAGATGTCTCAATGTTATAATCGATATAGATCGTTATTGTAGACAGATCAAAAGATGATATATGGATATGTGGGAATTTATATTTATTTTTATCACATCTGGTTATACTTATCATGCACTATTTTCGTTAAAAAATTAGCCAGCTGCTAAGAAAAAAAAAAAAAAAATAGGCCCATTTTTTTCTTTTAACTGCACTGTAGTAAATTCATTTATGACAAGGGCAATGGAAAGCTTGCAGATGAAGAAGGGAATAAAGTTCATGAGTATACACACTTTATGTTTTTGCCTGGTTTGGCTAACTATCTTCCCATTACTAATACTAACTTTTCATTGCTGACTTAACACGCATTGCTTATGTGTATTGCAAATTAGTGAAAACCCCTCACAAAATCAACTATAAATAAGTGCAGTTCTCTAAAACAGAAAGTATACGGGAAAATTATATACAATATAGATATATAGGCCTTTCTGCTAACAATTGAGTTATATAAGAAGCTATTATCCGATTGGCTTAGATGAAGTTATTGTTTTTTTTTTTACTACTAATCGAACCGACTCAAAAATATAAGCTGATGAAAGATGAAGCATTTTCCTCTACCCCTCTAAACTAAACTATTTCTTCTTAAATGAAAAATTAGGAGTAGTAAAATGCCCAAATACGCCTTTGAGTGTAAGCACAGCTTTCTAAAATGAATTGTTGAAATTCCAGCTTTGACAATCATAATTTCAGTATTATCAAATATATCAGACTAGAAATCGTCTATTCTCTAATGCAACTACTATTCTTTACTCTCTACTCAACTCCCTTTTTTTATCTTTTTTTTTAAAAAATAATAAACTTCCAGGACAAAACTGCGAAATAAATATTATATAAAAATAAAATAAATAAAAATATATTTATTTCAATTTATATAAAATGTACATGCTGTAAAAAGTCGTAATTGACCTAGTTAAGCTTAATCAAAAAGACCTAAAGAAAAAATAATTAATCACAATTCATAATTCACTATCCTCTCTTTCTTTTTTTTTCTTTTGCAACTTACCGAAACCCATATCTTCGTCGGACTCTTCCTTCTCTTCAGCCTTTTCTTCCTCAACAGGAGCATCAGCAGCAGCACCGGCACCAGCAACGGCACCAGCAGCACCAGCAGAAGCGGCACCAGGAGCACCAACGTTCAAGAGAAGGGCCTTGAGGTCTTGACCGGCGAGAGCCTTAGCGTAAAGAGAGAACCAGATGGGTTCAACTTCAACACCAGCAGCAGAGACAAGAGCTTGGAGCTTGTCAGCCTATTTTATAAATGATTATAATTAACTTCATGTCTATAAAATGCAAATGTACATATATCGTTGTATGTATGTATGTATGTATATATATCTAAATCCTATCGTTAACAAACTTACGGTAATTTCAATGTTGTCATCCTCAAGGATGAGAGCGGCGTAAACAACAGCGAGTTCGGCAGACATGATTAAGAAAGAAGATGGATGTTCGCAAGTAACGATTTAACCCGAAGGATACAAGACGATTAAAGAAGTTCTTCACGTTTGTTTGTTGATTATTTTAAATAATTTGAGTTTTTTTTTTTCTTCCTCAAGTTCGACCATTCCGGCCCGAACATTACATCACAATTGCTATTGAAAAAAAAAAATCAATTGTACAATAAGTGATCAAATGTATCTGGTAGCATTCAATGTGAGATTATCTTGTATTATAAAGGGATACTTTTTATTCAATAACAATAAGAAATATAAATAATATAAAAGCTATAATATTTAATAAATTTTATTAAGTTATTAAAATAGACTTTATACATACAGATATACATATACAATTAAAATAGTTTAGTTGAAGTAACAGCTTATCTTAAGCTTAACTAATATATTTATATGCACATAGAATTATACTCATTATTTTTATTGTGTGTAAATAGAATAGAACTGAAAAAAAAAAAACAATTAAGGGAACAAAGGCTACAAACATCTAGTAGTAGATACATGTACCTGACTTGAGTGACTGCAATTCCTCAAGTCACAATTACCAGATTTTTTTTTTTTATGAGGCTTTGCCACTTATTCTCAATAAACTGTAAAGCCGACTAGAGCGGAGCAACCAGTGTCTTGCTAGTTATAGAGTTTTAAAAAATATTTTTCTTAAACAGTTTTATAGCACATTTAAAATAAATTCATTAAAAAATAAAAATGGGTAAAGGTGGATTTGGAGAACGTGGAGGTCGTGGTGGATTCCGTGGAGGTAATATGACCAATGTAAAAAAAAAGAAATTGAAGTGAATTTTAACATTTATACATTGTACTTATTTTGACAGGTCGTGGTGGTAATCGTGGTGGTATAGTTAATCAAGGCCCACCTGCTGAAGTAGTTCGTAAGTTTATTTGGTCATTTGAAAAAAAAAAACATCTTATAATTTGAGATTTATGTTTCTTAATTATTTAATTATTAGCTATGGGTGCTTTTGTTCATGAATGTGAAGGAGAAATGGTTTGCAAATCCATTAATCCTAAGATTCCTTATTTTAATGCACCCATTTTTCTCGAAAACAAATCACAAATCGGTAAAGTAGATGAAATCTTGGGTCCCTTAAATGAGGTGTATTTCACTGTCAAGATGCAAGAAGGCATGCTTGCTAAATCATTCAAAGCCGATGATAAAGTTTATATTGGTACAGATAAACTTTTACCTCTTGAACGTTTCCTGCCCAAGCCTAAAGTAGCTAGAAAAGGTAGCACCAAAAATACAGATTTTTTTTTTTTGCATAAATACTTATAGTTTTTATTAGTTGGAAAGGCTACAGGACTTCAAGGTAAAAACGCCTCTCGTGGTGGACGAGGCGGTGCTAGAGGTGGTGCTAGAGGTGGTGCCCGTGGTGGATTTGGTGGTGCTCGCGGTGGAGGCCGTGGCGGATTTAGTGGCGGCCGTGGTGGATTTGGTGGTAATCGCGGTGGTCGTGGTGGTAATCGTGGTGGCAACCGTGGTGGTCGTGGACGTTTCTAATCAACAACAACAAAAAAAAAAAAAAAAAAGAAAGAAACCTCATCATAATGATATGCATGTATTTTTTTATTATGTTTTCCCTCTTCCTTCCCTTCAATGTAAGAAGATAATAATTATAAACTGTTTTTTTCTTTGAAAAAAAAAAAAAGAAAAAAAAAAAAGAGAAAGCTATTCATAGATATTTCGTTAGCAATGTGCAGCTTTTTTTTTTAAAAAAAAAGGAAAATAAACCTCATTATTATATTAAGTAAAATGATACAGTAGATATCCAGAAAAAAAAAATGTTTTATTCTTTTCATGCAAACTGCTTTTTTATATAAAGAGAATGGTATACATAGTAAAAAGATATACCATCGCAAAGTTGTTACATGGAGTCAAACTTGAATTAAGAAATATTCTCAAAATTGTAGACTGTGGTGTTCATTTTGGTTAGTGCTACTTTAAAAAAAGTTTAAAATAGAAGAGTTGCCAAAAAAAAAAACAAAAGAGGTGAAGCTTGTTCCTGAATTTATCTACCTTTAGCTACGTCACTAGACAAATTTAAACACAGAGTTGAAGTGCAAATCGCAAACAAAGGATATTAAAGAAATTAGTGGCCTTTTGCAGAAGGTGGACGATCTAAAAAGACTATTCCTATTGTATGATCACCAACTGGAGTCTCGTTACATTAACTTTAGAGCACCAGAAGACGACCCAACTTCAACTATGGAAACAATAAACTTTAAACGTCGCAAGAAAAGAATCCCTTCTTTCTCTTTAATGTAATGTTTCTCTTCCTCCTCCCCCTTTATGATATCTCTTCCCTCTTTCATTCCTATATCCTATATCTTATATAATAAATCATATTTCACATTTTCATGTCTAAATATCCAACTCACACAAAAACCAAAATCAATTGCACAATTCTTTGTTCTATTTTTTGCGTACTTTCATTATAAAAAAAGTGCTTATAGTGGCCATTTATTCAGACAATCTTCAAAAGCATTAACAAGTGTTTTCTGGAAACTTGATCGCATGCCTCAACATTTCTTGTTTTCAGATCTTCAGTATTTTCCAAATTGAACAGGAAAAAATGCTTAAAAAAGACACCACAATTAATTTAGAGAAAAATGTACAGTCCGTACTTGTTTAAAGAGACTCAATCTTCTCTAAAGTTTTTCGGGCAATCCTGCCCAGTACGTACACTGACTGCGGTTTTTCTAGTCGCATTACTTAAAAACTTAAGCTATAGGTAAAGTTTTTTAGTTACTAAAATAACCGGCATATTTGTTTGAATTTCTATCATACGCTGCTAATACTCTCTTCGTTTCTTTCATTTCTTTGGAGGGGGTTCCAAGTCACTCATGTCGCGATCTAGTGGTTAGTTATTAGAATATTGAGTGAAGTTGCTCGGTGTTGCGGGGATTGAAGCCCTCTTCCCCAATCCATCGCCTCATTTCCATTTTCGATGATGTTGTCTCCTTGATCATTAACGAACATAATTTTTCCAGTGTTTGGATACATGATAAAAGTTTATTTAGAAAGACTACGAATGTATATCTGGTTAGCTACTTATTTTAATAAACAATCATTTATACCTAAATGACAATTTGATAAAAAAACCCGACAAATTGAATTCTCTTTAAGGACAAAGTAATTTTTCGAAAACGACAATAATTATTTTTTAGTTAGCACCAATTATTTTTGGAAAACTGACATTTATTTTTCTGAAATTGCCAATTATTTTTTCAAAACGGACAAATTTTACCAGCTACACTGTAACAGAAAGAATTCTTGTTATAAAATACAATAAATTACGTAAATGCGTTTTTTTTTGTATTAACTTTTGTCAGATGTCACTGTGAAAAAAAAAAGCAGGATTTATTTATTTTATTTGTCATTTTTTTTTTTTTTTTTTTTTTTTTTTTTTTTTTTTTTTGCCTATCTCCTTTTTAACTGTACTTCTAAAAAAGATGCCATTGATAAATACGATGTATGGTGTTACTTCTCCTTCTTCTTATTTAAATGAAGTAAGTTTAAAGGTTGCATATAATGTTTGTGGATGTTTCTTAAACTGGTTGTAGATGAATAGCTTCAACGAAAGATTTTCTTCAAGAAATCTATTACAAGAAGAAGGTGAAGAATCATCAAGAACAAGAGGAGTCGATATTTATCGGTTGGCAGTAAGAGCAAATGATGAAATTTTAGAAGATTTGGCAGCTATTATAAGGATCCTAAGACAAATAAATGCTCTTTATCGCATACTTCATCATACAAATAGAGATAATTTTGAATTATTAAGAAGTGATGAAAGTGGAAGACGAAGAACATTATTTGCGTATAACTTTATAAATGATGATAGTGATGAAGAAGGAGAAGAAAACAAAGAAGAAGAAGAAGAAGAAGAAACGAATGAATTACTTGAAGCAGGATTGGAAAGTTTACAAGCTATATTAACTTGTGAAGAAGAAGAAGAAGATCAACAGGTACATAGAAGAAAGCAGTCCACCTTAGCCTTATTATCGCTTATTACATACCAGCATAACCATTGTTCAGAAAAGTATCTTCGACGTTATTTAAATCCAAATGGTGAATATAATCCTAAATTAGCAATATTGGCCGCTGCTATTTATGACGAAGATGAAGATACATCACCAAAATCATGTCAAGATATTATTCTAGCAGCAGAAGAATTATATGGTCCAGATTGGTTAGAAGAATTTGATGATGAAGAAGAAAAAGAAGGATTTTCATTCAAACGGTTACTAGAGAAACTTACATTTGTTGCTAAAATCAGATTGAAAGTACGTGATGCAAATTCTCCTATTGCGATTCGTTAATAATGTTTTTTTTCAATGTACTTTATAAAATAAAGTTGTATTAAAGCAAATATCTATAAATAAATAAAGTAGCCAATAAACATTTTTCTGTGGTCCTTTTGTGTGTGTGTGTGTGTGTTTAGCTAATAAAGATAAGAAATATTTATAGCTTATAACAGAATAAGGATCATTAGATCTTTTTTTTCTTTTTCCCTTTTGGCTAATTGTTGTAATCGTTACTTGTAACATTAACCATAATTACTATACATCATTTAAATAAAGTTTATACACTGAGAATAAATTCTTTTTTTGCATGACGTCTTGTTTTTGTTTAATATCATCACTTTTTTCTCCGTCTCAGCTGCTTTTACTTTTTCATAACAAGAATGAGTTATTCTGGTGACATGCTAGCTAATTAGTCTCACATGATCACTAATTCAAACAACTTTACATAAACGAGGCTAATGATAATAATAGTAATAATAATAATGAACATTAATAAAAATTACGGATTTTCATAATTTCAAAGAGATTATGGAAACAAATATAGTGAAATAAGAGAACTTTAATGACACCATTCTTCAAATGCCCTGTTTAAATCTTTATATTGCTTCTATAAAGATATATATTTGTGTGTGTTTGAAAGATGTATATTTTTTTAAAGCAGCTAAAAATTTGGGTTTTAATATCAGGACGGCGTCGAAGAAGTTGTTAAAACCCCAATCTAGAAAATTATTTTAGTTAATATTTGATTAGTCAAATCATTACAAGATAGGATTAACTTAATTACGGACTTCTTCTAATATGTTAAAGCAAAGAAAGAGCAATGAATGTACAAAAGCCGAGCCCTATAGAAAATATTTTGGACGTTTTTGATAATGTTCATATTTTTCTAGTTAATCTATTGCTATGAATAATACCTTAATTAATATTACATATTTATTCCTAATTATGTATTGAGGAAAGAAGTTTTAATGATATTGACTTATTCTTCGTTGTATGCTTATTAAAAGAATTCTGCGCAAAGATAAAGATAGTTTTATTTTATTTTATTTTTTGTTTTCAGTTTACTCAAGAACTTCAATTAGAATATATCTTTTGAATTGTAATTCATTGAAATTAAGAAGCATTATAATAAATATTTAATCGATTCATTTAGTTTTATTGTACAAAACCAGCTTAGCATGTACACGTTGACAATAATGAAAAGCATTTAGTTATGTTAAAAGAATTGATTCTATTTCATTGTAAACTTTAGAAGTAATTACATGGCTACTTGCTAAACTATTTTACCATTTTGTCGTTTGACTTGCTACTATCATAAACTATAACTAATATTTCAAATAAAATATTATTATAAATTAAAAATTGTGTTCGTATATAAAGCTATTGTCATCTTTAGTAACTTTCATGATACATTGCTTAAGGCCAAAAGTTAACATTTTGAAATAAACTATTGTTTGACAGATAATTGAGTTTTGATCTGGAATTAGTGGCGTGCCCTGATAAATTATAATTTTTCTGCACATAATATGCTATCAGTTGTTTCTGTTGGTTTTTTTTTTTTTTTTTATTTAAGTTGACTTTTTCTTGAATTATCTTTATCAATATACTCATTGTTATGAGCTGACTTATAATGTCATGTTTCTTGATTGAGCATGCAGATCACAGCTTTATTCAGGGAATTCTGTCTAAATTCCCCCGAATCTCTCTTGATCCAGTTTATCAAATAATATTAAAAACTTCTAACACTTCATTATCTATAATAATAACATACCTTATTCGGTCGTTAACTAACACTTTTCCGACTCACATCTTATCTCAGACCTCTTTAACAATCCTTATAAATACCCTATCAATTTAATTCATAAATAAAAATGATTGACTTTAGAATCATTGTTCGGTCTCGTTAACTTTTTTATGTCTTTTTATTATTTTTATTTGATATTTTACAAGTAATATTACATAATAAGCACATTTGTAACCTCTTTTGTTAATAAGCTCTCTAATAATAGCAATAGGTTCGTGAATAAGAGCATTGTCTATTATAAGAGTAATGACAAAACTAAAATAGATCGCCCTAGATCTTACGCTAAACAGCGAATTTCAGTGAAAAAGAATCAGTATATTGACAAAACACAATATCATCTTTTTCAATATGAAGGTAGTAGTGGGAACCCGCTTTTATAGATTTATTATTTCTAAAACTGATATGATAATGATGGTTTCTTGTACAATATCCTTAAGTGATAGGTTCCAAACTATATTCTGATAATACTAAATGCATGACTTTATTAATACTGTATAAAAGATTATAGATAGATTAAAATTAACGAAGATCGTACTAAGGCATAATCTAATTACAGTAGGCACTTTGTGAAACTGAAAATAGTTTAAATCAACATTTGTACGCTCCAAGATCATTTTACTTAAAGTGCAAATTAAGGGCATATAATTATCACTTTAGGGACATAAAGTTGACCTTTCACAAAAAGTAATAAGCGTGTAATGTCTTATAATTATGGAAAAAAATTATATCTAGACTATATTAAAACTTGTTTCTTTTATAATTAACAAACTTTTGTATAGATGGCAATTTCAACATGAAGTTGTGGCAATCAAATTATACCGTTATAAATGAGATGAAATTTATATACTATGATATACTGTGTTTTCCCAATAAATGAGAGAAATTTCATTGGTCAATTGATGATTATTTTGATAAAATTAGAGCAGCAATTGAAAGATGTCTTTTTTAACGTATTTCGAATTTATAATAATCTATTGAAAATGATAAGGGTGGCAGATGTTCATATGGAAGAAGACTTTAACAGCTCAGAAGAACAGATGACTGAAATTTACAAAAGCTTGATGTCCATGTTGCGTGGAACAATTAAACTGGATGAAGCAGCGAATGGAGATTGACGAAGAAATTACACACGATCTCAAAACTGACAAAGGTGGAGAGCAAAGCAGAGTGGAAGATTAAGTTTATGTAAGCATACCTGAAGAGAACGAAAGGCTTAAAATAGAAAGTTCTGCTAAAGGTTTTTCGAGTAATGCTGCAAAAAAAAA